GCGCCCGCAGCGCCGGCAGTGCCACGCTGTGGTCGCCGCCCAGCGTCACCAGCTTGGGGTGGCCAGCACCGATGCTGTCGCCACCCTTGGGTGCGGCGTTCACCGGCTTGCGCGAGCCCAGCTCCAGGAACGCCTCATACATCTGCCGCTCCGCGAGCCCGTTGTCGAACGGCGTGATCGGGATGTCACCACAATCGGTGATCTTCGCCCACGACTGGTACGGGTTGATGCCGGCCCGGGTGTTGTAGCTGGTACCGGCCATTTGGCGCGCGCTGGCGGCGCGGATGGCGCGGGGTCCGAAACGTGCGCCGGGTCGGTAGCTAACAGCCGTGTCGAAGGGAGCGCCGATGACGGCGATATCGTAGCGTTCGTCGGGCTCGATGAGGCACTTGACGGGCTTCAAGTGGGCAAAGCTGGCGATACCAGAGAAGGACCACTATAGTTCCGGTTAGATTGCCGATTTCTCTCTCTCTCTCTCCTCTGGGCAGAGACCAGATCCAGCCCGTCAGACAGTAATTGACAGTAGCCATACCTCTTGATCCCACTTCTTAAGCAGCTCCTCGCGCTCATGTTCAGGGACAACCTCGGTGTCGCCGTGGTGCGCGCATGACACCGCAGTGCCGGCCAGCGCCAGCACGCTCACAAGAGACTTCCAGGCAGGCATGGTCTCTGGACTTGAATGGGGGAAGAATGAAGAATGTCCCCCGACAACGGGGTTATATAGACCATGGGTTTTCTCCGCCGAGCTTCCTAATCAGAGCTGCTGCTATCTAAAGGGAAAGACGAGCAGATACGGGCCCCGCCCTCCGCCCGCGGACCGCAATTCGTGCAGACCTTCCCTTCTTGGCCGCCCCAACCCGCTTTTCGCTCTGCAAACTCCGGCTGCACTTCTACTGTATCACCAGCTGCTTCAATTCCTAAAAGACTCCGCATATACCTTCTTCTAATCAACAATGCCATGCGTCGTGTCGTTGTGACAGGCTTGGGCGCGGTCACCCCGCTGGGCGTGGGTGAGTTTCTAGTTCCTTCAATTCTACCCTGCAGGACCACAACCTATATCAGCCATGCACTGCGCTTTAGGCAACGCGAATGCACGGCACTCTCCGCGATGCTCTACCGATTCCATCCCCGGACTCGGCAGACTGACCGTAGAGCTGGTGCACCCTGGCTCCCCAATGAGGCCGAAAAATCGGTGGGCTGGGTCGGGGTCTCCACTCCGGCCACACCGGAAGGGGAAAGTCTTGACAGCCAATGACGGCATTTGCGATGCCACCAGCTCCGCGGTCGATCACCGCTGGGGCTTTGTTGATGCTATGTTCCCTGCCCGACCAGGGCAGCGCAGCCGAGATGCCGATGCACAGTACGGGAATTGTGATGGAATCAATTTGCTAATCGCTTTTCTTTTTGCTCGGGAGTAGGTCTTCGGCGCACGTGGAAACGCCTGCTGGATGGGCAATGCGGCATTGTCAATGTGAATCAGCGCGACAAACGTTTTGCGGAAATTCCTTGCCAGATTGCGGCTGTTGTGCCGTCAGGAACGAAGGAAGATGGTGGGTGGACAGCATCAGAGTGGCTGAGTCGTGGGGTAAGACTGTCCTTTGGCGCATTGCCTTTTTTTCTGCGCGCTCTCTTCTATTGAACAGTGCCTTGCTGTGATACTAAGGATTTATTAATGCGGATAGGAGGAGCGGAAAATGGCTCAATTTGCCCAGTATGCGATGGCGGCAACGGAGGAAGCGCTCCAAGATGCAGGCTGGAAACCCGAGCTATTTGAGCAGAGAGAAGCCACAGTATGGAGTTTTTGCGCCATCAATTGGGTCGTTCATTCTTTTTAACACTCATACCAGGGCGTTTGTCTTGGCTCAGGTATTGGTAACTTCGACGAGATCTATAATACTGTTGTTGCGTATGAGAAAGGGGTGAGTATTATCATTATTGAAAACCGAGTCTTTCATTATTTTAACTATGTCTAACAGGGCTACAAAAAAGTGAACCCGCTTTTCGTTCCGAAGCTCCTGATTAACCTTGGCGCGGGCCATATATCCATGAAATATGGATTCATGGGACCGAATCATGCTGCTACGACTGCCTGCACAACAGGAGCCCATTCTATCGGAGACGCCGCACGGTTCATTGCATGCGGTGATGCCGATGTCATGGTTGCCGGCGGCGCCGAGTCTTGCATTCACCCTCTAGCTATTGGCGGTTTTGCCCGGGCACGTAGTCTAGCTACCGATTTCAATGATACCCCCGAGAAGGCATCGCGGCCATTTGATGCTGACCGCGCTGGCTTCGTTGTGGGAGAAGGTGCGGCGGTGCTTATTCTCGAGGTATGTGTTTGCGGAAGAGAAAACAAACATGGTAGTGTCTTTCTTGACTGACAGACTCTAGGAACTGGAACATGCTTGTGCGCGGGATGCGCACATTTATGCTGAACTCAAAGGATATGCCTGCTCGAGTGATGCACACCACATGACGGCTCCCAAGGAGAACGGCGAGGGCGCATACATGGCGATGAAAAAGGCTCTAAAGCAGGCCCAATTGTCCCCCGCCGAGGTAGATTATGTCAATGCGCACGCAACTTCGACCGTCGTTGGCGATGCAGCTGAGAATGCTGCCATCAAGGCGCTTCTTCTCGGCCCAGAGGGCAAGCTGAAGGCTGCTGATGTTAACGTTAGCAGTACAAAGGGTGCAGTGGGCCATTTACTAGGAGGCGCTGGAGCAATCGAGGCGGCGTTCAGTGTTATGGCCATACGAGATGTAAGTCTATAGGTTGGCACAATATCCGAAGACTAAAGAAGAGGTGCTAACAAATTTCCCTGATAGAACGTCATGCCGCCCACTATTAATCTCAACCGCCTGGCGGATGGGTTCGACTGCAACTATGCCCCAAATGAACCGCAGGCTCGCCAGATCGATGTCGCTTTGACCAATAGCTTTGGGTTTGGGGGAACAAACAGTAGCCTATGCTTTGCTAGGCACGAAAAATAGGTTATCTCAATTATATTTGTATCATATTGTAATATAAGGCGTTTATGTTGCGGCCTATTCCCAGCTTCGATCAAATTGTGTGCATTGTATTTAGCTCCATAGATTACTGGCCGCGTGCTTTTCGAGATTTGCCTGATGCCTTTTATCAAACAGGCATATCAATGCATACCCCAGATACCACAGGTAATCTCCTCAGCATGTTACATTCAGATAGATCCTTCAGTATGAGTGCCTCTAGACGACGATAATATGTAACCCATTCATCTATTGCTTATTCGCTCGCCTTCACGGCATCTGAGACAGTCCACGTGACCCACCCCCAATGCGGAGCCCCAGCCCGACCTTCGATTTCCGGAGAGTGATAGGAACAAGATCGCATCGAATCTCCTCTGGTGCGACTCAAATCCAACTGAAAGTGCCAGAGAGTACACCGCTTATTCAAGGGCCTGAAATACCCACGCTCATTATGGCGACCAACGGCGACTCCGGTCGAGGTAAGCCACCACCTGAATCAGTCGGAGCGCGACCGGGAAACGTCGCGCTCCGTCGGACAAAGAGGCAAAGGGGTGGGTAAAGATCCTGCAATCTTCAGAAAGCTAATGGTTTTCATCGAATCTCGCAGTATCCGGGAGCTTGGTCGATGCATCGGGCTACAAGTTCACCGAGAAAGATACCAAGCCGGGCAAGATGAAGGTTAAAAAGACGTCCAAAGCGTCGACTAAGAAGAAGGCCGATGGTATGGATTTCGCTGGGAGTGCATGCACGCTTCCCTACGGCCAGAAAACTAACCGGAGGACAATACAGATGCGAAAGATGGCCCCGTCGATACCTCACCCACGTCCTCACCCTTGCCTAAGCTAGACAACAAGATTGCTGCCTCTTTCCCCACCGGCAAACCTCGTGAACATGATCTTCTCGAGACTGTTATCTGCAAGCATTGCAAGCGCCCTGTCTTGAAATCCACCGCCGCTGAACACATCCGCGGCTGCTTAAAGGCTAAGCAGGAGAAGGCGCGCAAGAAGAAGGAAGCGCGTGACGCAGCCAATCGCGCCAAGGTAGTCGACGACAAAGATGAGGATGGCCGCGACAAGCTCGATGGTGATGATGCGATGAAGGGTCAGAAGAGCGCTAAGAAGAGCGCCGTCAAGGGCACCGAGGACGGCACGAAGAAAGGCAAGAAGCGCAAGGCCGACGAAGATGACAATAAGGAGCCGAAGAAGAAGAAAAAGAAGGACGAGCCCAAAGCGAAAACCGCGAAGCCCAAGGGCCCTGTCGATGTGGAGAAGCAGTGTGGTGTTACCCTGCCCAATGGTGCACAGTGCGCTCGTTCGTTGACGTGCAAGAGTCATTCGATGGGTGCAAAACGTGCTGTCCCTGGCCGTTCTTTGCCTTACGATATGTTGCTCCAGCAATACCAGAAGAAAAACCAGGCCAAGCAGCAGAGTATGTTCTCCCCACTTGTCTTGCCCCTTTCCCCCTGAATAGAGAGATGATCTGACTTGTGCTTTTTACGTTACAGGGGCTGCCATTGATGCCAACGCACCGCTACCTGATGAGATTGATACCAATGGTCCTGTTGATTCGGATGAAGAGAGAGATACTGTCATGGCTGCGATTGCCCGATCTGCTCCCAGGCCGCTTGTCGAACATACTCTCATCAGCTCTAAGTCCAAGTACCGATTTGTCCGCATCAAAGAGCAGATGCTGCATGCTATCGGAGGTCGCGGGGGTGGTAGCCTCTTTGCAACCGACGATAGTCAATCTTTGTTTGGCGGAAGCATCTTCCAACCATTTGATACGAACCTAGTTCCATCTTCGTCTCCCATCGTCCCTACTGGAGAGAATGCCGATGCGACTGGAGATGCAGCCCGGAAAACCCCAGTGCAGACTACCCGGAAGACCCCCGTTGCTGCAGCTTCTTGAGCAGCTCGTGTTCCGTTCAGCAGCGGATGATGATTATAATGACTATCTATTGACCTACTGGTCTTTCTCATATCTCCGGTCTTGTTCTCGGTGTTCTGGATGGCGGATACTGGAGTTGGAGGGCACAAGATCTTGTGCATATGCATGTTTCCCTCTTTTGATTTTCTTTCTTTTCAAGTTTCTGGTTCGGGCATGGAACAGGCTGGCTCTGTTTGATTGGCGATGACATGATACCCCGGCTGCTGGCATGATACACAGCGCGCAGAGTGTAGTTTGTTTGGAAGAGACCTTTTTCTCCAATTGAGATTTTTATATTTAATACTGGAGTATACTATGGGCAGACTATGACTTTAAATGTAAAAGCTAGATGCGAGATCAAGAAAGCATCAATAAACCGAAGCCTGGGTTTGCCTTTGTCTTTGTAGGATTTCATGGATCATGGCACAATGGAGAATTGATTACGTTATCCAAGCCTCAGGCCAGCAGTCTATTCATGCTTCCGTCGATCACTTTCTTCGACACCGTCTGCTATGAACCTCAGCTCGTTCTCAATGCTCATTTGAGCTGATTTCACTTGAAATCAAACTTTGCAGCTCATTGTCCTACAGGGTCTTCGCGTGGATGTGCGCCAGCTCGCCTTGAACCCAGTCGCATTGAGCTCTTCCACTATAGCTCCCGCCCTGATTCACGCGAACTACCCCTCGAAGCTTCTATATTCTCACCAATCTCTAAGTCTGATTTCATCTGCCGTCCTCATTTCCTCGCGATACCATCATGAGCCATTCTGTCCCCGATCTCGATGCGATAGGTGTGAAAGCCGAACCGAACCTCGCAGGCTCGTTCCGTCGTGAAGTCGCCGACCTCCTCGGCCGCAACAATATCAACTTTCCCGGCGCGCAACCAGTGAGCTTCTCAGCAAAACACCTGGAGGAGCTGCAGAGAGAAGATTATTATGTTTGCGAAAAGACCGACGGCATTAGATGTCTTCTGTACTTTGCGCGCGGTGACCCTGGGGCTGGTCAACCTGAGATTCACTACCTGATCGATCGCAAGAACGAGTACCGCTTCGTGGCGGGCCTGCACTTCCCGCTGCCCGATGATGAAACTTTTCAAGGGTTCCATGTTGACACACTAGTGGATGGCGAGCTCGTCAATGATACCTATGAGGATGGCACGCAACAGCTGAAATACCTTGTCTTTGACTGCCTGGTACTTGATGGTCAGAACCTCATGCACCGCACCCTCGATAAGCGACTAGCCTACTTCAAAGAGAAAGTCCTCAAACCTTACAACAATCTGTACCGAATGTTTCCCGAAGAAAAGCAATACCGTCCCTTCGTCGTCGAAGACAAGTCGACCCAGGTCAGCTATGGTATCGAGATGATGTTCCGCGAGATCATCCCTCACGTCAAAAAAATTCATGGAAACGATGGCCTCATCTTCACCTGCCGCAGCACCCCATACAAAATCGGCACGGATGAGCACATTCTCAAATGGAAGCCCCCCGCCGACAATACGATCGACTTCCGCATGCGCCTCGAATTTCCCCTCCTAGAGCCCGATACCGATGACGAAGCAGAGGGTGTCTCAGAGCCATACCCCGACTATGACGCCCTTCCTATCTGCCACCTGTTCGTCCTTCTCAACTCCAACGAATACCAACCCTTTGGTGAAATGTATATAACCCCCACAGAGTGGGAGGACCTCAAAGCCATGCGTATCCCTCTCGATGACTCGATCGTCGAATGCTATAAAGATGAACAGTCTCGCTGGCGTTTCTATCGTTTCCGAGACGATAAAATGGATGCGAATCACATCACTACAGTGGAAAAGGTCCTTGAGAGTATCGACGATCGTGTCACCGAGGAAGACCTCATCCGCATTGCGCCCGCCATCAAAACTGCCTGGAAAAAACGCCAGGCCATGGCTGCCTCGGAAGACGAGGAGCGTAAGCGAAAAGCGCGCGGCATGCCGCCTTCCATGAACGGAAACGGCGTCAAGCGGAAGTTCGAGGGATAATGAACAATAAATGGTCGTGTTTGACCTCTTTTCTTACTCTGCGGTTCCATTTGCAAGGCGCTCGGGCGTTGTGTTTTGAACAATCATCTTGTGGTTTCCTCATTTTTTATCGGATTGCCCTCCTTTGTGCCAGCAGGCTGTTTATATTGGCGATGTTCGTTCGGCATAGATGAATGGGTTAAGGCGGTTGTGAATTCGGGGGTGGGGACGGTGTTGGTGGCTTGGGGGCTTCCTGTAACGTACCTTGGGTTTTCTAGTAATTCCTTGGTCTCGGCATTATTGATCGGATTTGCGGGAAGAATATACATGTACTTGATTCAAAATCTTTTTCTTTTCGAATTTTGGGACTACTTTAATGAACTAAGACCGCTTTTAGGTTGCTGATCTTCAAGCCCTAAATGTTCAATTGTCGGAGAGCTCCCCGTTTCTTTTGAGAAGCAGACATGATTACTTGTATGTCTGTTCAAGATATCGTGTACACTGGTTATATAGCAATGTGTAGCGCACTTCTGTCTTGATCAGGTTGCTTTTGAGGCAACGGAGCTACTCAATGCTGACAACGGCTAGGTTTGATTTGACAAGACTTGAAAATGATATGGAAATTTTGATGCATTACTACAGGATAATGTCTGAAAATCCATCTGGTCTCATTCAATTTTCAACGAAGATTCCTCTTTTGTGCTGTCCTTGAATATCCCGTTAACCATTCACTCGAAATGGAATGGACGAGTTATAACAGCCTCCGTCTAGATAATGCCCGGTGATATTTATCGCCGGCAAATCTTTGCCAAACTCAATGATAGACCCTCCATTCGGTGAATTGGGGTTGAATAAAGGCCAACCGACAGTCTCTGGGAGAGAATTTGGGTCTTTGAGGAAAGCCAGCATAAAGTCCTGCATGGCACGAGAAGTGCTGATCTCAAGCTGAGATATCTCACCGGCATTCTTGACGTACGTCCCAAATATCATGTACAGGTCGGAGAAGTGGAAAGCTCCTAGCCAAGACACTGGGCTAATATTCGAGAAGTTGCCTATACGAGGATGATGAGCGTAATACTGACTTAAAAGTGCTTTATGGAAAGTATTGGGCTTACCAGCCCAGAAATAACGATATGTATCCAAACCATGCGTATAACGCAATACCGTATCTGAGAGTGCACTACAAACCCACTTCTGTGCGTCCACTTGCGATGATGTAATGTTGTTGTCTACTGCTATTTCCCGTGCCGCAAAGGAGCGGATGGCTGGGCCCTTAGCTACCTTACCTTCTACATAGCGCTGTGTTTCGTTGGAAAAGATATATCGCTCATCGGCTGTCAAAAGCGAGTCAGGTTGTGAAATTTCACCAGTAATGGCATGAACAAGGGCTCACGTATGTAGTCCATAAAAGAGATCCGTCGGTTGCCGGTGTAACGATTTATATACTCTTCAATCTGTACCCAAGATAACATACGCATGCAGTTGAGTTCCGCCCCGGCATCGTCCCCGTAATTGCACCCAAGGCCCTTGGCGACAATGTCGAAATCGAGGTAAACATCATTTGCTGTAGAGAGGTCGATCTTGACAGAAGGCTGTTCGGAGATGATACCGTACCGAGCAACGAGGGGGTTTTCTGGGAATGCAAGAGTGTACATGTGTGCCAAAGCCCCTCCTTGTGACTGGCCCCAAAGCTAGGAATAGAAATCAGTTCTGGGTGAGATAGCAACGAAAAACGAGACTGAACTTGCCATGATGTTTTTGGGATCTCCTCCAAAAGCTTCGATATTTTCATATACCCACTCAACCGCCGCTCTCACATCCAGCAAACTGAGGGATGTCTCGTTCAGAGCCCTGGACTTTGGATCTGTCAAGATATCTTAGATGTAGTTTCTACAGTTAGGATGTTCAACTAACTTCCAAATATATTCACCCTGTAGTTCAAAGCAATCGCGATATGCTCCTGGGAGCGGGACACCCATTGGGATGGCAGGTGGGCGGGAATATTGATACCTCCTTCGACCCCGGCGCCTCCAGTGGCAAATAATGCAACTGGGAGTTTAGATGTATTGTTAGCGTAGGAGGGAGTCCATATTGCTATGGACAGGCAGTCTTCAGCAGACGACCAGGCAACTGAGCCTTGGGTAAGGTTCTCTCCAGGACTGATAACGAAACTTTCAGGCTCGTAGGTTTTCCAGAACGAGTCTACAGATTCGACGTACTGGGGGCATGCTAAGTGGGGTCTCTAGTGTCAGTTTTGACTTTTCCCCTTCCATTATTGCACTGAAAAGATTATTGGCATACCAGGACCATACGTGGTTGCATCGTATTTTTTGTCCGAAGGGGGAAGCTTCTGGGGCGGAAGCCAACGTAGATCGCCCACGGGTGGCTTAACGTTGGCTTGTTATTATGACTCGCAACCAATCTGATTGAATGCCTTACCTGCGCAAATGGAACCCGCAAGAATTGACGCACATTAGGATACGTGTCGTTGAAAATACCAATGAAAGTCCCGGTTTTAGCCTTCACCGTTAGATTTGGCAAATTCGACAAGGTTCTTGGGGGTTCCCATGTCAAATCTGCAAAATAAGGAGGCTCTCCGAGTCCAAGCACTGAAGATGCTAGTATGATGGCTGTGCTAAAGGTAAACCACATATTGTCGACAGATTCACAAGTTTGAATGAATTCAGTCACGTTTAGTCGACCCGAGTGATTGATGAAATTCCTAGCTCATGATTTATACATACTTCTCATGGGAGGCGGCCCATATCAGACTTACGACTTTGTCACACCTACCCCGTACCCCTTCGGAGGTTCGGATCTTCGTGAAAAATATTTAGTTGGATGAATGCAAAGCATCTTAGTTGTGAATGAAATATTTGACTCAGGTAATCGTAGTATGAGTAATGATGATACTGATTTACTACTGGTGCAGCGTAATCCGGTGGAAGCTTTAAATTGACTTGAATTGGGATAATGTATTTGAATAAGCGACTAGGACTATAAATTTGATATGTCCATAAAAATCTCTCATTGAATAATAGACCTTAGACTATTTGGATTGAAAAAGCCGTCTTTAAAGTTTGGTCTCAAAAAGTAATGCTGAGCACTGAGAAATGAAGTCTGATGGCAAGTTGATGATATATACTTCCAAACAAACAAACTCTAGAGATATGGTACGATGTGGCACACACCCTAACTTTGCATGAAGGGCATGGACCAAGCCAACCTGGGGAGCAGTCGTTTTCATGTGCTAACTATAAGACTCCAAGGTATGTTTCCTGCGCCCTATAATCTCAGCAGGGGTTGCTACCGAATGAAATGGACATGAATAGCAGTAGTTGGACTGTTTGCATTCGCACCAAATATATGCAATCTTCATTCTGAGTGATTTTACCTGGAATGAGCTGAGATATGCCCTCATCATTGGTATTTAGTAAGAGAGATTATCTGGGCTAATGATGAAGAACCTCTAAATAGGAGGGCTCGGGCTGCCTGGGCGGTTGGTTATGTGACAAGTAATCATTAAGCTAGGCATGAGACGAGAGCACTTTATCACCTGGCCTTCGCTCTATTAGAGCGTCCAACATACCAAAGCAACGCCAAGAAATACACTTAAATATACGAGCGATGTGGTCGCCGGGGGCCTGACACAACATGAAAAGTTTATTTCCATTCAAGTGCATCGTCAAAGCTGCCTTCAAAAAAGCACTCAATTACACAGCACTCAAGGTAGCCACTATACATGGTCATTTGTCGTATCCTATGTAAATGGGTATTTTTGGAAAGTGGAATGCCATTCTAAAATATACGACCGGCAGAACTATTATTGAGGCACTTTAAGAAAAGGCGATTGATTATAATTATAGGAGAATAGAAAAAAATACTACCGAGAATAGTCTTCTATCTTTTAGTTGATAATCTAAGTTATCATGCAAATATTTCGTCTCGCGACTCTTATTGGTGCTGGGTTTTTGCCTTTCACGAAGGCCAGCAGGCTCACCACTGCCCGACAAACCTCCAGTACCACCGTCCCCCTCTTGGCTACGGAGCTCGGAAAAGTATTTGATGCTTCTGTTACTATTGGCAACCAAATTTTTCAGCTGCTTGTTGATACTGAGAGTAGTGAGTCATACGTGATGAAAACGGGCTACACGCATTGTTTCATTCCTTTCCTCTGCGATGTTGACCAAGTCAATTCTCTCTTCTCGCCCCCAGCAAAATTTGTTTCTACCTCCGCAATGTATATTTTTGACTGCTCAGTCAAAGCTCCACAATTCGGTATCAGGATTGGCAATCAGGCATTTTATCACAGTGGCCAACATCTGATATATCGGACATCAGAGGGTGTTTGTGTCTCTAGTCTTGCTAGTTCAGAGAGCGTCTCGATCGCCGATCTAACGTCGAACATCCTTGGCGTGCCGGTTTTGAAAAACGTTGTTACGGTATTTGACTTTGGTGTGTTTGACTCTGGCAACAATTAAATGAAATTTGCAAAGCTAGTGGAGTCCGAGGCCATGGGAATTGAAGAAAATGGTACCATGCCGTGAATAGAGTGTCAACATTTGTTTCAGCTGATGCAGAAATGCTGACCAGAACTGTTTGGAATAGCTAGGCCATTACACTGTTCGTAAATATCATGAACCATGTTGTGAATAAATAAATAGTGAGTTTAGAAATCAGAAAAACGATTAGATGTCAATGTAATGTATCATGATATATCATAATTGATTTGATCACTCAAAGTCATCTTTCTATTTCTACTCTCAAGCTAGGCAGTTCGGCCACTCAAAATTAGAACATTCTGATTGAAACATGCCACCTTGACTACTTTCTTAAAAGGCCTACCAAAATCAAAATAAGTATTTAGGATGGCTGCAAGCAGACTCAGCACTGAACATTGGCTTTCATGCAATTTCTCAACAGCGTTTTTCCGCAATCTGTAGCATCTTGAAGGCTTCATCTAGGCCACCAGAAGCATCTACAATCCCGGAGCCAACTTCCTCCAGTCTGACTGCTTTAACTGATTCGTCTTGACAAAAAATATCTTTCGGCAACATAGCCTTCACTATAACAATGGCTGTTTTTGCATCCCATAGTCCATCCCGTGCTGATGAAAGAGAACTCTGTAGTAAAGACATTGTTTTTCCTAGTATCTCTGTGTTTTGAGTTTTCATGCAGATGAAATATAACATGGCAATTATGTTCGTGGACACTGTGAAATCTCGGTTTCTAGGATGAGCGCTGTCCTTTTCGTTGCTCGATGTTGAAACGAGTGTTGAGATCTGAGATAGAGCAAGATCGAATCGCCATAGAGCTTCCATGGGTACATTGGACCCGCTCCAAGGATCCATGATATTTTCCAGCAATGCTCCGTGGAAGATCAGAGCTTGGATTTCCAGCAACTTCAATTGTTCTTTCTGTGAAACTGTGTGGCATTCCTCGGGCATTTCAGATACTAATCTTCCGATTGTATCTTCAAAGCATTGGAATTGGCTTTTCAGTTGTAGCCTCTCACATATGATCTCCACAGGCAACTCATCTCTAGGCCTTGGTTTGTATTCGATATATGTCATGAGATGCCGTAACATCCAGTTTTGCAGAACAACTAGTACATGCTCGGCTTCGGCAATATTAGAAAATCTGTTCGGTACTACTGGCTCCAAGCCCGCTATCTGCGTTGGCGAAACAAGATCCAATAAAGGAACTCTCTCGAAAGAGAAAATACTTGCATGAATATCCAACCGAGCAAAAACGGGTTTCAGCTGTGCAAGGACTGCATCTGAACTGAGTGTGGAGCTTGGTTGGCTAGCCCAGCATTGTTGGAATAAGGCTATTCCTTGATCTAGATGCCATATAGCTTGCTGTGAGTTACCAACAAGGCATTCAAAGATATAGAAGATGACGCTGCATATGAGGGCCACTTCCATCGAAGCATTTCGATTGACTAACTGCGTGGATAGCTGTTTATGAGACTTGGCAATGAGCTGAATATGATGTGGGGATATGTTAAGTGAAGATGAGCCGACTCGTAAATAGTCTTGATACAAAGAGCTGAATGTTACGAGGGCGCTGCGAATGACAGGTTGGTGCTGGCTCCACTGTAGAACAAGATGTGTCCATAGCGTTGTATCGGAGAATCGGGAAAGGCATCCCGCAGCTTCACAGCAGTAGAAATGAAGTAATTCGCGGTCAGCTCGACTGCCAGGGACTCTGAAAGGGATATTGTACATCTTGATCGTTGTTTTTGACTGGGGCTCGCTAGGGTAGCCTGGACATTGTCGACCAGTACTAGTGCATCGCTGACATTGCGGCCGCATTTCATCGCACTTCACGCGCCGATTTCTAAATAGTCAGCTTTGAATGCTCTTGAGACCAAGTGGCGAAAGCAAACTCACTTGCAGGTAGCACATCCCGTACGAACCTTGGGCATACTCCGGCGTTGCCTCTGCTTTGTTGACATTTTTGTGATGAGTAGGTAGCTGGTTTGTCTTGAACGATGCTCATGGAATTTGAACGCAGTTTGGCGGACTCTGTTTGTGTTATCCAACGGTATAGAAAAGCGATGTTCTGGCTGACGTTCAACTTAAAATGAGCGCAGCCTTGCGAGTGCGGCAGTGGTGGGGCGGAAAGGTTCCTCTCAGGCATACAAGGGCTCCCTCCCCGACCTCGACCTTTTCCTCTACCATACTCGTCATTAATAGGCGCTGGACAGATTGAGATGTAGCGAAAGTAAGAAGGGTCTATTTTGAGGCACATTTCTAGCTTCTTCCCTCTCATTACTCCTTCCAGGCTCTAGGGCACCGGGGTGTCCGGAACTTGTGGTGCTACGTAAGGTTGGCCATCCCTTAAACGATGGAATGAAGAAGACTATAAAAATCTATAAAAGCTTGATTCTTGTGGATTGGAGCACCAAATGGTGAATGAGTTGAAAATGAAACGGTCTTTCTCGAGCATGCTATAGCGAAGGACACAATTCATTTTGACACCGGTTAATTCACAGATGTGGCGTACTTGGATAAATTTTTCCTTCAATTTAGATTAAAGTGGTCGCATAAGCTTAGCTCTTGCAATAATAGTATATGCGGGATAGGTTGTCATGAAATAAATATATACCAGGCCGTCCGCCACTTGGCATGAAAATATGTCTAAAATGGAAATAGAAGAACTAGTTTTCACCGGGTTTCCACGCAAGAAATCTAGGATTAGCCGCTTGAGCTTCCACATCTATATGTCGATCTAAGTGATCATTTCCAAAGATAGTCATTATAGAGCTATGGAAGATATTTCAACTCTTGACGGCGCTGAATATTTGACGCAGATTTTGCTACAATGAATTATTAAAGTGACCCAGAGCTATTCTATTACTCTCTCACTTCAACTCAGATCCCTTCCTGTTTGATTTGACCATGTATTTACCATATGCTCAAGCTCCCTTTTGCACTATCCAATCCCTTAGAAGCCGCCGCTCTCCCTCTGCAACGGAAGATCATTCATAAGTAATCGTAAGATTCAAGTTCGTATATTTTGATCAGCAGTCGACTCCAAAAAATAGACAACAGGACTTATTCTATTCAAAATGGAGATGCCTTCGAGGGAGGTCTCCAGCGCAATGGAAACCCTATCACATTCCCTCAATTCTTGTGCATTAATCCTCAAGTTGACTCTCGGTGCACAAATCTTGCGCCAGCCGAGAAAGTTTGTTTAAAAGGCATAGGATGAGCAATAGCTAGATACTCTGAAGCAATGAAATGGCACTGGAAGTGAAGCGTTCAGTCAGTCTTTGTCAGAAATCTCGAGCGCAATATCATCTGAAGCTTCGTGGCATGTTTCCCTTTGTAGAGTTCACTTTCGCTTATGATGACAATAATTTGAGGTTCGCAACTTCTCGATCATTGTTGAACATAGGATTATCGCGTGGTTCATCGCTACGTGAACACTCACTCTCAGAGAAGGATTTCAGTTCATTGAGAAGACTGCAAAGACGCAGATGGATGAGAAGACTACGTGGAATTCGAAAACAAGAAGGAACGGCTTGCATCCTCGGACATGAATACATGGATATAGAAATTGCTACGGCAAAGTCAAACGAAAAAAAAAAAAAAACATGAAGGTCTTTCACAAAATGCAAGATTTACCGCTTCTTGATGCTAACATCAATGTTGCCGATGCCCCACGCGGCAATGAAAACGGCGAGAAGACCAGCAAAGATGGTAAGCGGCTTCCGCAGAGCGTCCGTGAAGGAGTAGTCATAGGCCACCTTTTGATACCATTAGCCATGTTTGGTTTAAATATGAAGTGAGAGAGTAGAGTAACATACCACAAGCTGCGAATCACGAGCTTCATCAGTCAAGCTATCAACCTCCAGGGTCAAAGTGGTTCGACCAAGAGTATCCATGTAGGTCTTGAGGGAGGAGAGACTGGCATGAATGTGGTTCGCGCCAGGTAGACCATTGCTAGCAGTACCCTCAACTACCTGGAAGCGAACATTGTGGGCACCCTCAGGCAAGACAACACGAACTATGACACGCTCGTACTGAATACCCTCGGCCATTTTGGGGCCTTGGAGGAAAGGCACCTTCAGAACCCATGAGTCGGCACTAGCGGCCTGACGGAGGAAACCGCCCAGATTGTTGTTCCAGCCCACTTTGAAGCTATAGTTCCAGCCACCGAAGATTGGGAAACGGGGCTTCAACTCCAAGTTGGCAGCAGTCTTGCCATTGCCCGGGCGGTAGCGGCTAGTTGAGACGTTACCGATGTCATCGATGAAGTAAGCGTCAACAGAGCCGGGAAGCAACGGATAGTTGATCTCACGAACAGCCGATGTAGGAGCCTTCTGATAATTGGCGAAGGTCCACTCGACGCGTGAGAATTGGTTGGCCAGCTGGGAGCCATTGTTGCGCAGCCAGTAGCGCTCCTCGGTTGCAAGATTACCACCCCAGTGAGAAATCTCCAAATCTCGCTCCAAAAGGTGTGCTGTAATCACCGGATTGGTAAACTCGTAGCGGACAGTGATCGGGTATGCATCACCTGGGGCCACCTTGGCCGTGTCGTATGGCCCATAGGTGTAGGTACTACCTTTGCGCTCAGGGTCAGAGCCACTCTTGAGCCCTGAAGTTGAGGTATAATCGGGTACATTGGTGCTAGGAAACTTGAGCTTAGTCTTCTGTGTGATCGTTTGATAGGCTGATGGAGCGTAGGCGGAGAAGCTATAAGTGAGGTATTGCTTGTCGTTCTGGTTGATAGTTGCGGGGAGTGGGCTCAGAGAAGAGAGGACGGAATAAGAAATTCCCAAAGTGACTTGAGATTTCGGGGCGAGAGGCTCGGGGAAGTGAACGACGAAGTACTGATTGCCGCTGTTGTAGCTCAATGGTTAGTTAGCTCTGCGGATACTCACTCTGCATGCTTGGGATGGTAACCCTAGCTCTGAGCCATTGACAGCATCAATTGAATCTTACCTGGACAGATCCACCTCGGTAGCATCCACATCAAATCGGCCCTTTTCTGTTGCCTTCTTGTCCCGGACTTCAAACCCTCCAATGCGATCAAAAACGTCGGCAGGGAAGGGAATGTAGTAATCAGTCTGTGGTTGCTTATCAACATTCTCCACAACAACATTGACTGTCTCTCTGACATATCCCTTTTCCAAGTTGGTGTTTCGAACAAGATTGGTGTTCTTGAAAACCTGCGCAGGCTTAAAGTCGGATGGGAGTGCCAGTCGAGACGGGGTGGTAAGGTTGGTCGCGGCAGCTAGGCTGGGCGCAAGTAGCCCGAGTACTGTGGCGGTGAAAAGCCTCATTGTGAATGAGGATATCACGCCGGAGAACACAAGGTCTCCGAATCAGTAATAGGGATTTTTGAAAAGGCGAGGGTGATGAGCGGGTCCTGAGTCGGACGAAGCTGATGAGGTGTCCCCATGTATACGCAATACGGCGGCCGCGGCGGCCACAACGCGCACTCCGCTGCTCTTATCGCTGATAACAGCTTCTCCTCATCTCTGCTGTTTCTCCATCGATTGATCTACATCGATCTGAACAGTCCCACGATGTTCATCTCAAGGACCGTTGCGCGATTTGGTCGCTGGAGAGCAGCACAGTTGCCGCGTGCTCGCTCCCTTCATGACCTCGCGAATCACCCACAGAGCAAATTCTTGAGAATATCTGAAGAGGTTCGTGATGCGGTTGCGACAGGCAAGCCAGTTGTCGCGCTTGAGACAACCATCTACACCCATGGTATGTATCAAATTGTTATTCAGCCGGAGTGACTGTAGAACGATTGATAGTGCGATAGTAGGGCTCACTTCGCTTAAGGTTTCCCATATCCTGAGAATATTGCCCTCGCAACACTTCTCGAATCGGTGGTTCGTGCCAACGGTGGAGTCCCCGCGACCATTGGCATCCTCGGCGGTGTTGCACGAGTTGGCATGAGCGGAGAGGATATCATTGAGCTGGCCTCAACAGCGGAAAACAAGACCGCACTGAAAGTGTCTCGGAGAGACCTAGGCTATATCTGCGGATTGGTAGGTCAACATTCCCCACGGAATTACACGGTTGGAAACTCAACATCCTCTAGGGCATGACAGGAAAACTCATTCATGGTGGTACAACTATCTCTGGTACAATGATCCTCTCGGAGCTTGCTGGGATTAAGATTTTTGGAACAGGCGGACTAGGTATCAGCATATTACCATCTCAGGACTTCCTAGATCTAACTAGCTCTATAGGTGGTGTGCACCGCGGTGGTGAACGCACAATGGATGTTTCAGGTAAACAATTCGTCAACCAGAGTGCCCATTGCATGAGCATAAACTAATGTATTCTACACCAGCCGATCTTACGGAGCTTGGTCGAACCGCTATCACGGTCATTAGTTCCGGATGCAAGAGCTTTCTTGATATCCCTCGAACTCTGGAGTATCTCGAGACCGAGGGTGTCTGCGTTGGTACTTTCGCTGATGGACGTGAAGGATCTGTTGATTTCCCCGCTTTCTTCACGCGGGAAAGTGGCGTCCGTAGCCCGCGGATCATTCAAGACGAGGCGGAAGCTGCCGCCATAGTTTGTGAGTATGGTTTGAACTATCGTGATTGATTTCAACTAATAAACCGCTAGATGCGCAATCCAAGCTTCCGGTTGGATCTGGAATCCACTTTGCTAACCCAGTACCCTTAGAGTACTCTATACCAAAGCCCGAGATTGATCGCATCATTGAAGAGGCAGTTCGCTTAGCAGATGAAGAGGGCTTCAAGGGCAGCGACAATACTCCATTTGTTCTCGCTAAGATCAAAGAGCTGAGTGGCGGGAAGAGCGTGGTTGCGAATCGTGCTTTAGTCGAGTCCAATGTCAAGCGCGCAACCCGGGTGGCCGTGGAGCTTGCCAAGATCGAGGAGATTGACCGAGGAACTGCGTCTCGGTAAGTCAGTTACATAGACACAGAAATATACTCAATGCTAAGTTGGGAGATTTTCCAATTCATAGACACATGCCCGCTATATCGAGCTATAATCGGTCAGATCAAGATAATATCACACGCCAGCCCAACCCTGAACCTGCCAAGCAAGTACTAACTCCTCAAATAACCGAAAAAGCCGATATATTGGTTGCCGGTTCGCTTGCCATCGATTTATCTTGTGACTACACTCCATTTGATGCCGAATGTGCCCAGATTGCGCCCGTGTCACACACGTCTAACCCTGCTGTGATCGGACAGAGCCTTGGTGGCGTAGGTCACAATGTCGCTATTGCTGCTAGCTATATCGGTAGCGATGTTCTTTTCTGCAGTGTCGTTGCAGACGACTTAAGCGGCCGGGCGGCCCTTTCATCTCTCAACCAGGAGGGTCTTGACATTGCTGGCGTTCAGGTTCTCCCCGCAACTCCGGGAACTCGGACTGCACAATATGTCGCCATTAATGACGCTAAAAAGGATCTCCTTGTTGCCATGGCCGACATGGGAATTATTGAGCTTCCTGAGTCGCAGCTGAATTTTGATGGATTCTGGGAGCCATTGATCGAACGAACCAAGCCTCGTTGGGTTGTCGTCGATGCTAACTGGCGTCCTGAGGTCATAGCTAAATGGACGTCTGTTGCCCGTAAACACGGTGCCCGTGTGGCCTTCGAGCCTGTGTCAACAGCCAAGTCTCGTAGACTATTCGGTCGGGATGCCAGTGGTTCTGGTGCAACTATCAGCCCTGCACAGACGGTTCCCAACAATGCCATCAGTCTCGCCTGCCCGAATCGCCTTGAATTATCAGCTATGTATAATGCTGCACGCGAGACGCTTCTTTTTGACTCACCTGCTTGGTGGAGTATCATTGATGCAATGGGCTTGTCTCCTACAGGTTCTCGTGAGCGCCTTGTCGCAGCGACATCTGCTGAGCTTGTTGACGAAGGCCTGCCACAACAATCCATCCAGCTCCTTCCCTTCATACCATGTCTTATCACTAAGCTGGGCGAATCCGGCGCCCTCTTGACACAACTCCTACCACCAGGTGATCCGCGACTAACAGATCCTGAGTTTGCACCTTATATTCTTGCGCGCGCTGCTCCGACAGCGGAAGTGCCATTTGGAGGTGTTTACATGCGACTTTTTCCTCCCACTAAGACTCTAACCTCCGAAGAAGTTGTCAGTGTCAATGGTGCTGGCGATACTCTACTTGGCGTGGCTGTGGCTGGCCTTGCAAAGGCTGACTCGTCTTTGCGCATCGAGGATATCCTTCCCTTGGCCCAGGAAGCTAGCCGATTGACTTTGACAAGTGCCGGCGGCGTGAGCAAGGAGTTGGTTGGCCTCCGACCTACCATGAGACCGAATTAAGAAACGCTGCTAAGAATCTCGTGTTGTTAGCGTTCTTTGGCATCTCAATAAACCGCATCATGGATTTATACCGGATAATATCTAGCAACTCTTGAGTTGTCACAAATCGTTGTATGGTATAGCACAAAGGAAATAGCCCATAAATGACAATATCTGTGCAATAGTAAAGTGTTTTGCAGAATGGAAATACTTTATCTATACACCGACTTTTGTTGACCCATTGCCACTGTCCTTTTCAACTGGTGAAAGGTCAATCACTGAATTGCCCGACCTCCTCCGCACACGGTTCCTATGCGGCAGTTGCTGGTTCACAGCATAATCAAAGATCCTAGATATCACAACAGAATTGAAATGTAGTAGAAAAGCTGTTTTTTTTGTCGATGCTCGGCTATCATTTTTTCCTAATAATGATGGACTACAGAGTCTTTTATTGGTTTCAGTACACCGTCGGAGTTACTTTTTCCGTTTGGGGGCCAAATTGACGGGGCTGAACCCCCCACCTCATGAAAAACAATGGCGAAAACAAAAGGCCTTTATTCCAAATTGGGGCTGATATCTCTCCTGTGACAAAACAAACATTATTCTTTGCTTTCTGGTTAAAGTAACCCATTCTACGATATGGGTGGAATTCCATGGCAGTCCGCTGGGTGTGCATCTTGCCGAAAACGCAAGGTGAAGGTGCGACCAGCCCCTAAAGTGAGTTCAGGAAAGAGCTAATGAGGCTGAACACAGTGTGACCTTCAAACCCCTGAGTGTCTGCGGTGTATCAAACGCGGTAATACTTGTCCCGGGTATATGAACAGGCGCTTCTTAGCGCATTTTACGCCGTCCAAATCGACGGAAAGCTCACTAATTCCAGCTCAAACGTTCCAACATCGCGCTCAGCCTATGTTTTCAAGTATACCACAAGCTATTGATTTTGGCCTCCAAAACCGCTTGCAGATTTACTCCTGCTTTCTTGAACAATATCAACCACTGGATGAGACGCCCATTTCTCAGGTTGATCGAATGTCGGACATGATCGTGGACTTGCCAATGGTATCGCGGACTGAAATGCTTGATAGAGCTCTGTCGGCTGTTGCGTGTCTAACTTTGGGGCTTATCAATGGTGACAATACTATGTATCGGCATGGAATTGAGCTTTATAATGTGTCACTTCGATTGTTATCAAGCAGTATAAACCGGAAAGCGGTTTCGGATGATATGATATTTACGACAGCCGTTTTTCAAGTCATCGAGGTAGGTCTTGTTGCTGATTTTTGGATGTCAGACTTTGACCATTATATTGAAGGGCGCCCGATACAACGGTGATCCCCAGCCTTACTGGCAACATAATGAAGCCACCAGCATGCTTTTGGGACGATATTGTGGTGCTAAGCTCCCAACTCCACTGTTCAAATACGTCTTCACTAGAACGATGGAATTCGGATGTGTATGTCATCTTGACTTCTTAACACAATGTCCAGTACGAAGTACTCATGATGTTCTAGATATTTGCGGCCGCATTAGGAAGAAGGATCTGCGTAGATCCTCGGTCTCTCTCATGGTTTCAAAGTGGACCACCGATTGATCAAGCTTACGGACATTTTTTCGAGTCTCTTTTTCTCCAAGAGGCTCAAGAGCGGCTCGATATGTCTGATAGCCGTGCATGCGCGGTTCTGTTACTAGGCTATTTGGATTGTAAGAGAAAAATCCTTGCATGGTATTCCGGCATTAAGAAGACATTTGATATATGTCCGGAACTTTGTGCATCGGAAAAAATACCATGTGGAACTCTCCCTGCAATTGATGGGATATTCGGCAAACCATATAAATTTACGTCTCTCACGTCTGCAAAAGTGCACGTGCTTTACCTGGTATCAATGTTACAGATCCAAGGACTAATATACTTTGCTCGGGCTCTTGCTTTGATTCATGAAGGCGTCCAGTTTTCGAAAGATCCGATGTGCCATGACGAATTTCAGCTTGCACGGTACTACTCCATGGAAATTTGTCGATCCGCGCCATACTTTTTGCAGGATAAAAAGAGGATTTGTGGCGCTATGTTGGTCATTCCACCTTTGGTCCAAGCGTCAAAAGCATTTGCTCACTCCAGGAGTCGCAAGCAATTTGACTGGTGTCTTCAATCAGTCTGCCGATTGGCTGATCTGGGGGCGCCAATAGCTATGAGCCTTGGCCCCTATTGTCAGAAATATTGGTCTTTGGCTGAAGATCCAGTCAAGAACTTTGTTCTTAGCCTCCAGTGTTTTCATCTTGTTCCTCGCGATGAGAATGCAAATGGCGACAGTACTAAACTCGCCCAACTGATGGCTTTAATCCGGGGAGACATTAAGAAGTCTGAAATCTAACCAATTTACTGCTTGAGTCAAATGTTGACACTATAGAGCATGGAATCACTTGCAAAGAGGCATATTTTGAATCTTGCCATATTCTCTAACGTAAGATCCATCTATGGAAACGTGTTCCTGAAAGATTAATCTATACCTTGGCTTCGGCTTTCATTTTGGGTACGAGCTCAGGATCAAGTAATCCAGCCTGAATAAGCACACTTGCCTGATCCCAGTACAAACTCTGGTGGACAATGCGATCGGCAAAGAAACTAGCTACCACAACGATCACAACTTCGATATCCCTCTTTGTAGGCGAAACACCTGGTAGTAGCCACGGCACTTCTGTTGTGTGGCAGAATGAAAACAGGATTTCATCAACAATACGATCTGTGCCAACCGTCCGTGACAGAAGCCGAATAACTTGGCTCGGCGGCCCTGTAGGGATGAAATTATCTTGGAAGAACGATCGAAGATCGTGCTCATTGGAGCCTATTCAAAGTTATCAAAGTTGATTCATAGAAAAGAGTTAATGTGGATAACTCAACAAGAGACTGCAACTTACCCCCTGCTTTTGTTGGGACACATTCTAAGGTTGCGTGTTGCTCATCGTGTCCTTCTCCTTTCGCAAGGCAAACATCGTCATGCCCGCGCCTCAGCATAATCTCAATAGCTGATCCAGCAACCTCCGCCTGGCCATTTAGATCTGCAAGCAAGCGATGCCAGTATTCTTCCCAGACGGTTTCAATGTCTCTTATAGGCCAATTGCTACCGACGCCAAATGCGCGCCGTAAACATCCCTGTGCGCGACTCCAGGCCAACTGCGAACTAATACGATCTCCGTCAGTCGGGCTAGTGTCTTTGATACTGTAGTTTGACGGTTTTCGCTCTGCAAATCCCGCATGAGCATTCGGGTAGGTGAAGACGTGGCATCGATGCCGCTTCTTGTAGGTCACGTCTCCTTCCAGCGGATTTATGCTAATCCAGGGCCAGAATGTGCGGGAGCTGGGTTCATGACCGGTCAAATGGATTTGGATTGGGAGATAAGTGGCGGAGGTACTTGGATTGAAGATGGAGGTGGTATCGCAGCAGGCCGGCGCACAGCATTCTTGATTGTGGGAGGTAATCTTGGCAAGCTCATCGGTGGATATGAGTGGGTAGTAGGCTATCAAGGCACAAAGTCGTGGGAATGGATTGGTGTTGCTGGTAGTTAAATGGTGCGATCCGAGGAGATAATAAGCTGGTCGATTATATGCTGTTCATCCCAAGTCAATGTCCGCATCACCATAAAAAGGATTGCACTCATTGGCCTTCTGAACTGATCACATACCAACAATAGCATACCGCTCGCCTGCCTCTAACTCGTCTTCCTTCTCATGCACGGCATTCTCCAGAGATTTTCTATCTTTCTCAGCATCTTCAGTGCAGACAAAACCAAGGTATGTGACATCGAAGCCTTCGGCCTGAAATCTTTGAATGATATGCGGGTCAAAAATCGCATTATCTGAAATCAAGATCAGATGTCTTGGGGAGGGCTCCTCTGCTGTTGACCAGCGGTTGCGCTTGCCAGAGCTCGCACTAACAGTCCGATGGAGATCATGAGAGCGTGATGGAGCATTTTTGCTATTGGGGTTTGCGTCAGGTGCAGCACTGCCGGAACTGGTAGTTCGCCTTGTCAGGCGCTGGAAGACGTTGACCATGACGGCGGTTATCTAAAGTGATTAAGCCAGGGGCACGCAGGTTCCGAGCTTATATAGTTTGTGCCGGAGTTTCCGGCACGCGTTTTCCTGAATTGCACCGGACAAGACCACAAATTGAGCTGCCTTCTGATGCCAATGCTTAGGGTTTTTGGCGAGTGACGTCAACGAGTGCCCCGATAAGATAACCCGCTAAAAGGGATCATGACCAAATTTCCCATGCATTTCACTCCTTAAATTAGACAGAAGTATGCAAATTCGTCAATAATGACAGACGCGATAGATGCAGGCTTCAGTTTCTCCCTGTGTTGGATCATTTAACTTGGCCCTTCTCCAATCCGATTGATGCCGCGAACTCACATCCCTCTGCTACCCGACCAACCAGGCGTACTTAGAAAATATACCATGGTAGAGAACCGATTTCTTGATGGAGGGTCTGCAGTAATTACCCTTCAAAATTATTGCTTGTTAGTTACATATATACCGGATAATGTCTGGCAACTCTTGGCGCTCTCCTTCCGTTCTAGTGCTCACCCCCTTGCCGCTTTTGCTCACTGAGTAGAATTGAGCACGCCCCTGAGCGATCTGAGCTGCTCAGTGACCATTACGTAATCAGGGTGACCTGCTCACTGAGCCCGATCCGGGCATCCTGATTTGCTCACTGAGCCTGACCATAACGTCCTGAGCTGATCACTGAGCCTGACCAGAGCAATCCCAGATATGCTTACTAATCTCATCCCAAGAGGCGATCTGAGTAAGCAGGCTCAATAAAACGCAACAAGCTAGCCCGACCCCTTGTATAGCTTTTCCCTTTCGGTCAAAGAGCGGACATCGTAAATTTGCCACTTCCTTGGCGATCCTTGCCATTGTAAACAGGATGTATTTAGTGAAAATCGTTCAATTGGCTGATTACAATTATTGTAAATCTAAAGCTCCCAGGAGCATTTTCCGTGCCCGATACTTGGCCACATTTGGGGAACTCCGGAGGCAATTTGGGATTTTCTAGACGAACTTCGCATATTCTTTGATTTGATTGGATACTTTCAGATCTCTCTATAAAAATTCACATACCCTTCTATGATCGCCACTACTAAGATGAAGACCTTTCGTAGTTTTGATGTCATACCATTCTCGCCAGATTAGGTAGCAATAAACGGAAGTAAGACCTGCTATTCGCATGACCAAACACTTGCTCCTGGGAGCGTCACAATGTTACATCTTCAAGATAGCTGAATCAAAATAATCTGTTCGGGCGAGATATTATCATAGGCTCCTGGGAGCTTAAGTCTGACTAATGCTGCCTTGTCTTAATGAAGATAGATCTGAACAAGGCTCCCTACACCGATGCCCTTTAAACAATGAACTTATCTAATGAGTGAAAGTGAGTGTAATATTAACTACTTATACTTCTTTCGCTGATAGTTCTTCGGATAGAAAGACATTTACCTATGCTAATTACCGCCCGTCTATGCTATGTATATCAAGCACTTACAGTGAAGCCTAGTGTTACAGACCCACCCCTAGGATGCTAATTATAGACTCGCCTGAACTAATTAGTTCAGCAACAAGGCGGTTAGATAGATTCTGCTAGACAATCTATCGAGATGCTTAGATAATAACACCTAAGTATAGGATTACGTGACAATCCGCTCCGTTTAACGGAACGGACCTGTCATATGATATTGCAACATGAAGCTATTCCCAACTTCACGCCTCAGGTGTCAGTTAGACACCTTATCGGTCAGGCTTCGTAATAATAGCCCCACTTCTCCCCAACATAGATGTACGACCTACAAGACCCTGAGGGTTCGGTGCCCTTCCATTAGGGATTCGTGAACCCCTCTTCTTTGTAGCCTTTGCTTACCTCTGTCACATAGGGGCCACGTCAGACCGCATGTTATAATGTGATCCATCGTCTTTGCTTGGTCATGTGGGAAAAGTGTTGAAGCTTGTACATAAATTGAGGGCTATGGAGAGATCCATGACAGCAAGAAACAGTGTTTTGCTTTCCTTACTTGACGTTTATCTTCCTACCTAGTCGACAGGCTTTCTACCATGTACAAGTAGTTATTCTCTAACAAGAACTTAGGCTTAGGCGGTTTTACTATAGTAGTTACTTAGTTTACCTACGCTTAAAATAATTCCTCCTTAAGTTACTCTACTATAGATATAAGTTAAGCGTTAGTAGTACCGGAACGGATAACTATTACGATATATTACTAGAGCTATCGTTTAGAGCTATAATACTTAGATTATAGTATAATAGATAGGGTATTAATTATATTACGCGCTACTAACTAGTTAACGTAGATAGTACGTTATATTAATATACTACTCTTATAATCTCTAATAAGATATCTCGTAATCGTACCGTTACCGAATCGCTAGGGCCTTATATAGGCTCGGATCTATAGAGGATCCCGAAGATATATATAGTTAAAGAGCGCCTAGTTAGTCTATAGATTAGTTAGGATTAACTACTATATCTTCCTCCTAGTAATAGGTATATCTTTATAGAGTACTATAAAGTATTAAGGTAATAAGTAATAGTCGTTTAGCTAGCTTAAGTTATAATATATAACCCTTAGTAATAATAGATAAATTAACACGAAGAACTAAATATATATAGGTAAATAAGCGTCCTTATATATCTAATCCTTCCGTTACTCTAATAGGACCTTTCCTATTAAAGGTCAGGTCCGTTCCGTTTAACGGAACGGATCGTCACGTAATCCTATATTTAGGTGTTGTGACCTAAACATCTCGATAGATTGGCAGAATCTATCTAACCGCCTTGTTGCTGAACTAATTAGTTCAGGCGAGTCCATAATTAGCACCCTAGGGGTGGGTCTGTAACACTAGTATAGTGTAGGAAGCAAAGGGTGGTAAGTCTAACATTTGGCAGTCATTAAGTAGTTCATGATGTGGAATATTTTGGCGACTAACATAACAGTATTATCTCCCAAGGTCTATACCTATGCTACATGTTTTTCGGACTTATTGACCAAGATAAGCTTCAGAGCTTGGCCCCCATTTCCAGTATAGTGCCGATTTGTCTGTCCAAACGAGTGGGTCACGCTATAATGACCATCAGGATTTAAACCCTGCTAGATCCTAAAATGCGAAACACTCGGCAACTAACTACTGCACACTCATGCACCTATCATGCAAAGAGAAGCAAATGTCCTTTTATCTCACCCTCCCCCCTTTTTATCTCCTCGGGATTGTCAATTCGCCTGAAGTGCTTTCCGTACGATCTACTCACGTCCACTGAAGATGAATGACAAATCTCACCACGAAGTGCCTACGTCAAGGCCAAATCCAGGCGAAAGCTATCAGTCAACTACAAAAAGCTCTGGGCTCTTAGTGCTTACCAAGGACACAAGCACAGATGACCGCGCGGGGGATATCAAGCACCAAGCTCCCGAGCGAACCTCGCCATCAGCAAGCACTATAATCCCCTTGACTCCTATGCAAACGACTGCAAAAAGCTGCCAAGTAGGAGCAGGTCGCGATTTCTCTAAGCGAATGGTTATATTCCGATCGTCAAATTCACCATCAGTGAAGGTCGATCAGATCGCCAGTGAGCCTTGCAAGCACAACCGGTCTCGTTTGTTGCAAACAGAATCTTTAAAAGACTTTGATTTCTCTATGAAAATAAATGCTTCGATGTTTGAGAAGCCCTTTCGTGATTTCGCCGACTTGAAAATCAATTTCATGAAGGATACAGCTCAGAAGAACACTCAATCAAGTCAAGAGTCAAACCCTCTTGGCTCTGGTACTGCAAACAAAAGCAAGAACTTGACAACGGTATTTTCTGAAATCCCCAAAGAAGAGTATCCAAGCTCCCGGTTCTTTAGCGACAATTTTCAAAATGGGCTGTCTCTTGGATGCCAGTTGGCAGGCGACTGTGCTGAATTGTTGGAACAGATTGCGATTCGTCAGGGGCCGGTCGCCAGGGAATCTGGACATATAGACAGTCAAATTCAAAAAATGAAAAAGGCTACTGAGTTGCATAACTTTTTCAGCACCCAGAAAGTTGCATTCCTAGGGGACTCGATGTCGGGTAAGAACATTTTTTGTCTCATTTCAATTCAAATGAGAGTACACTGCTTACATATCGCAGGTAAAAGCAGTTTGATCAATTCCTTGCTTGATTTCCCAAGGCTGGCTGCAGCTGTAAGATGTGCACTGTATCTTCTTCTCGTGTGGAATATTGATAGAGAATATAGGATGATTTCGGTTCTGCGGTGACATCAATCGTTACTGAGTATAGACAGAAAAGACCCAGTCAAACTCAGCGTATTCAAGTGGAAGTTGAGTATTTCCATGGAGTTACTATGGAGGCGCATATCATGGAGCTGCTGTGGAGTTCCCGACGTGTTTTTCTTCCCAATGTTGCGCAAAACTCGTTGAGTGCTGCCGACTGGAACGAAATCAAAGAAAAATCAAAACAAGCTTGGTCTGCTCTACAGTCTGCATTTGGAAGCCAGGTTGGCTTTAGCAAACGTTTTCTTTCAGATCAATCTGAGGGGGCATTTGAAAGAATAACGGAGCAGCTGATCCGTTGGTCGAAGACAATTCCATGGCCCACCAGTGCAGATGATGGGAGGTGGGTGGCATTTGCAGAAACCGCGGAAGAGCTACTCGATAAAACGAGTGTGTTCACAAAGACACAAGTCTGGCCCTTTACAAAAATCATGCGGTTAGTCTCTAGGATCGGATCTTGAAAGAGGGTTTTTACTTTGCAATGAAACAACATTGAAGAGGCTGACATTCAGTTCAGGATATATGTTGATGCTCCAATTCTGAAAGCAGGCTTTGTGATTGCAGACTTGCCTGGTGAGGATCGACTTTGCTAGGTCCGGAATCCATAGCTAATAGTCCTATGTAGGTCTTCTTGACAAAAACCTCGCAAGAGTTCAAGCAACTCAAGATTATATTTCAACATGCGACCGTGTCTTCCATGTTGTTGATATACGTCGAGCATTGACCAGTCAGTCTCTTGAGTCGGCCTTGAACATGACGGCTCCCTCTCCTTCAGCAAATGAAGAGGAGCCTACGAACAGATGGTCGCAGTCTGCAGTTATTTGCACCATGTCAGATGTATGTTGTACTAATTTCAGATTCGGACGACGCTGATCCTTGAAAAGGAAATAGACGAAATTGGAGCCGAAAGGCACCTTCAATCCTCGGGAAGTGTAAAGACCTTGATGACAATGGAAACTTTGGACGAGGAGATTCGAAAAGCAAATCTTGAAGAAGATTCAAGTCAACTGAGAAAGCTCCAGTCAAAGTAAGTAGAAATGATTTATTCCAATAGATCAAAGTTCAGAGTGGAAGGCTGACTGTCGGTAGAAAGAGAACGCTCCTCATCCAAGCGCGAAACGAACGTGTTGAAAATGGCCTCAAGACAACATATAACAGCTCCAAATCAGATGATCTGCAAGTCTTTTGCGTTTCAAACGTATTTTATAGCAAGTGCCGCTTTCAAAAGTCAGATCCAACCGTCCTGAATCAACTTGAAGACGCTCTGAGTAATATTCCTGCTTTGCGAAAGTTTTGCTACTCTACCCTTGCAAATTCGAGGCTGCATGAAGCTAAAAATTTCATTCTTTCTGCGCTGCCAAGCTATATTGCTTCCATTTGTCTGCACTTTCAACCACTGGAAAGTGGGCCCACATGCTCTCTCGATGAAATTCTCAAAGAGGTCGACTTGAACAAAGAATCTGTACTATGCTACACCCGCAAATACTCTTAAACTTTGAGACTAATTCTTTTTCTAGATATTGAATACCATTCATTACTCCAGAAAAAAGGTGAATGAGCTATTTGAAATGCGGATCAATGGGCACTTCAGTATGTTCGCCATAAAACGATTGGAACCCAAGGTCTATCCACTGACTAAGTTTTTCTGCAGATCGCTATCGGGAAACTTGGCAAAAGGAAGCAATACAAAAGGGAGAAGAATGGCTTGTAAGTTCTTGTAAAATGACACTCGGCAACCTACTAACGATCTTTAAGTCAATGCCGGCGGGTAAGAGGACTATTTAACATATTTCTGCTAGGAATCTGATAGCAACTCAGTGTCTTTCAAAAATACTGACGCCTAGTTATCTTTCTAGTGGAGTATCAAGCTTTTTGTCGCAAAAATGGCAAACATGTGGACATCTGGGATGAGCCTGTTGATTGGAACAGCGAATTGATAGGTATAATCCAGCCGGCCCTCGGGTCTGTGTGGAACGACCTAGAGAAAGATGTCTCCTCCTACACTTCAGTGCTTCACAGAGACCTTGATAAAATTTTTGCAGTACTGAAATACAGTTTGAGCCGTAAGCAAATGCGAGTGGGCTTCTGTTATTACTGCACTAACTGGATGTTATTAAGTGAAAAACTTCCCATCATTTTTAATCGAGAGCATTTCGTGGCGCGAGCAAGAGATCAGACAAGCCATTGAGAAATCTTGGGGAGAGCTGAGAAGGGAAATGCAGTAGGGAACACATCTTGCTCATGTACATCTGCCTCCAGTCTGATAATCTATAGGAGCATACGTGCTAAGGCTCTAGGGTCAAACGAGAACTCGTTTATACTGCGAGCAATGCTCCCTGCGTATCGCGCTGCAGCTTCTTTCGATGGTGCGTTTACCAAGTGACCCTTTTCTTTCCGTTACAATTAACACAAAAGCTTGAATAGGAAATTTCAAAGGCAAAGAATTGCATGAAAAGGTTCAAGGCCGAATCAAGGACAGCATGCTTTTCCAAGATATGGTCTCGGCGGCTTCATCCGAGATGCACCTTGCATCGCAAAGACTTGAAGAACGACTGAAAACAGATATTGCCAAAGATAGATTTTCCGCTATAGTTGGGGATGTCTGTTCAGTTTATTCTACAATCACTTTGGCGAAGACTGATGACGAAGAGGAGAAACAGACATCGGAGGAGACCATGTCCTTGGAAAGTCTCAAATTTAAGTGTCGGGGCTTGAAGGCGCGGCACAACTACATTGCTAAATTCATGTATTTGTATTAGGATTGAATCTACTTCAAATTTTGATATATGTGTGACGTATATGTTTGCCGTGTCTGGCTATGGCAATGGATGGAGTAATGGCTATGTCAGTGATGTTCAAGTGAACAGTAAGATAACTACATATATCTTGCGCGATACTGATCGGGCAAACTTTAACAGCACCAGCCCCCACTAAGCCACCATAGACTTGTGTGACAATAACTATCCTTTCGTCTTCTTCTTATAACGTTACAGCTTCCGATGCACAAAGGTGGCATCATCTACAAGTCCTTACTTGCTGATTTTATGCTGATTGATGGCAGAGATATGGCGATACTAGGGTAGCCTCGAGATCTCGAGGCTGTTCGGACAGCATCGAACCATTCGGCAAGATGTCATACTCCAGGGACGAAGAAGCGAGTAATTTGAGGGCTCATGAGGACACTTTGTTCTAATAGCCGAAGAGATATTTAGGCTGTGGGTCCTTGAAAATCGAGATCTCCTGTATTTATCTATTCGTCTTATTTCTTCTTCCGAGACCTCGAATTGAAAGTCGGCACCACACAACGCATTCGGAAGCCTGGCGACCTTAAAACCTGCAATAAATTTCGCAGTTCTAGTGCTAGCCAACCTCTCACTCGGTCAATCGTTCTATTGCCGTTCATATCCCAGGCCATTCAGGCCATCTTCCGACGGCGCAGGCAGATCAGCCAAGAGAATCCGGGGTCGTCTTTTCCATTCAAAGGGCAAACGCTCAGATGGACAGAGGTGTATGTCAGTGCTATGTCGATATGATCTGGTGAGGCTTTTTGAGTGCATTCATTCTGCCTCTACTGCCAACTGCACGTCGTCAACAAGGCGAAGGCGATGGGATAGAAGGGGCGAAGGAATGTAGAATTCCAATTAATTCTTCCATCCTTCTCTCATCATAAAGGTTTGTTATAGCTGATCACGGAGCGTTACTCAGTGCCTGCCTTTGATCCCTCTGCCATATTTGAGAACCTTATCTGCATCTAGCTTGACACCAATATCCCCCTTCTTATAGACAACAGAAATTTATATTCTAATCGCAAATATCGAATGAAGCCTCACAATTTCTACCCGATTCTTAAATATTTGCGCTCACGTCACCAAAGCTTGTCAACCATTTTCGATCTTCATTTACTTTCATCGGCAAGTTTCCGTCATCAACCAGGTAGCGCTGGTACGCCTCACGCAAGAGGCTTTGTCGTGCAACCTCGCAGTCAATTCGGATATCCTCAATCAAAGCGTCTAGTGAGACGTAATCGTACTCTGGCCGAATATATCCGAGAATGACCAGGTTTAGCTGTGTACCATAGAAATCCGGGAGGCGATTGAATTTGGGTTGCGGGACAGCTGTGGGGGAAGGCTGAGTGAGAGGAGGCATGATATGGATCTCCTAGAAGCCATTAGAATGTCAGAAGGCCCAACAATTGGAAGATATTAACAAAGTAGTCAATGCGTGTACATACCACCGACCGTACGGTGTTCTTATAAAACGGGTTATACCCTATGCTCAACACTGCGGGGAGAAGAGTAGCAGATGACAATTTATGGGCTGCGTCTGTTGATCCCTTCTCGTGCCCATATTTCTTGGGGTCCAGCGCGACCACGCCGTAGTATACGCCCGATGTCAGGTCAGGATGCTTCTCGGAGAGGTCATCGGCGGGAATATTGGCAGTTGGGATCCCTAGCTGAAAGAATAATCAGAATATGTATATTTGGACCTTTGCTTCTGAATTTGTCAAAAGATGTATAGAAACGTACATCCTTACTCCCTCGCCCGAAACCTTTAATCACCGGGCCAGACAAGCGCACAGGAAATGGAGCTTCCGGGCCCATATCGGGCCCAGCAACAGTATCACGAGGCTTATCAGGGCGCATTGTTCTTCACTTTCTGGGTAGACGTAGGATGCTCAAGAGAAGCGTGAGGGACTGAAGCGATTGCGATAGACGTCGTGTGAGTCAAATTGTACGAGGGACGCGGGGCAATCGGCGGTTTCGGGTTGTTGCGAATACGAGGAGACAGGACGGATAGATTGCGCAAGCTTTGTAAGCTGCAATCTGATAAGATAGACGGGCGCGGCACTGTAGGTAGCGTCTGGGTGCAGCGTGATGCAGCAATGGCGCGTCACTGATGCGGTTGAAGCGAGGAATAACTCACGACGGGACTATCGATAAGCGGCCAAAACCTAAGGCACCCTCGCGGCTCAAGATGGCACCAATCATGTGCCGGGTCAAAGCAAGCAGGTGCATGTGTGAAGAGTTTAAAGATCTACTATGGATGACGTCGATAAAGGAAAAGTGACATTATATCTCATTATTAGCACGATCCCAGCCCAGAGACATCATTTTTTCCCCTTTTGAGCGCCGCGAAAACCAGAAATATCAACGGAAGCCTGGCAAAGCAGAGCCGAAGCGACCAAACACCAACAATATGTACTGACAAGTCACAAAATCAAGCCACGAAAAAGAGGCATGGGGAATCATACAGTCCCGGTAGCAAGAGCAAGATATGTACCAGAACAAAGTTGGCAGAAGTGAAGCGAAGACAAGGGCTCGAAGTGAGCCCAGTCAAGGGTATGAAGGAGGAAAAATTGACAACAGAAAGCGAGATAAAATGAACAAGAAAAAAAATTGCGGAAGGTATGGACAATAGAATCAAATGCATGGTAAGAACTATACAAGTAGGTTAGTATGTGCCAAAACTGAGCTGAGATCGGAAGTGCAGATAATACTCACGTTCATCACAATAAGCATAGGAATGTCGAACACATCTCGCTTGACTGTCCAGCAGTACGCGCATTCGACCTTGCCATCCTTGAATCCGAGTTGATTCATTCCGGCCTCTCCAGCAATGCCGCCTTTGCGCAGATGGTTGTTCCACTTTCCGTTCTCATCGGACTGCGCTCCCTCCATGTCCTCCTTGGTCTTATATTTGAGCAGTTTGCACCGAGTCATAACACTGCCGCGAGAATCGCCAAACGCCAAGCGGGCAAAGTCTTCATAAAACTCTACTACACTCTCATCGTCAAGTAACTCTGCAAGAAAAACTGGTTGTGGGCGGCCGCTGTTGGCATTCTCAAGAGTTGAGCTGCGTGGGGTGAAGCTGCCACGTGAGGTCGTGCCAGATTGCGGCGCCGATGTTCCACCGGTGTTAACATTGAGATTCGGCTCTTTGCCGAGGAGGACATCCTTCTTCCACCCAGTCAGGATGCTGAATTCCTTACCCACAGCGGCAATCTCGCCTGTGCGTCGACAAACAATTGTCGGAGTCCCGCAGGCATTGATAAAGTCCTCATACTCCCAAAGTGTCCGTTGGAAGCATTTCTCCATGAAGATAAGGTCATCACGGTTCAGTGTCTTGGTGGTCGCAATAAAAGATGGCCGGATAGATGCCAGCGCTTTGGCAATCCGCACGGTCTTTTGGGGCGTAAAACGACGCTGGATGAAGGCCGTAAGATTATGGAATCCGCTGGTATATGCATACGGCTCCTTCACGCTCTCATAGATCGACGATGGGTTGCGATGACGTCGCTTGGGGCCCACCTGCAGATCACGATGTTTCAAGTTTGGCGTCGTGATCAACGGTCGCTGGCTATTCGGCGCAAGGTTATTATTCGACTTGGACACATTGTTATAAGGGGAATCCTCCAATCCTGCGACCGTGACATGTGGACTGGTTGCCGATCCAGGGCTAGTAAAGTTGGCAGGCCCGCTCTCAATTGCAAAGGCATGCGGCGCGTCTGCTTTCATGTGTCCGGGCAACATGCCATTCTGGCCATATACACCGCTCACGTTCACATGCGTTTGACCCGAGGCTTGCCCAGTCGACCATTCATTCAGCAAAGGATCGCCGAACATAAACGGCGGTTGATTCCCCGGACTTTCGCCAAAACCAGGAGCTGGCGTGGAGAATTGAGCAGACCCACTGCGGCCGATCGACCCTCGCTGTGTTGCTGAGTCGGTGGGCGAGTCCCCAGCCCCGGTAGCCATATGACCCAGCATCCCGAATTCTAGAGCACCATAGCGATTTTCAAAGTTCATGCTTGACAGGTCGAAATTGAATAATGCCGGATCGCTGGGATCAAAAAAAGGCCCCGCAAAGGGATTCTGTGGGTTGGTTGTATCTCCCGAAAGAGCAGCATTGGTGGTCGGCTGCTGGTTCACGGTTGACGATAAACTCGGATTCCGACCATTAACGCCGGTCTTGAGATTGAAGGTTGGGGAAACAGGAGACTGGGTGGTAAAGGGCTCTGACTCAAGGCTGTTTCCTGATATATGTTGTACGATCCGGGCTGCGGTTGTGGTTGCGGCTGGGGCGTGGGGTAGAAATTACTAGTGGTTGACGACGGCGGCTGCTGCGGTGTATTCGAGCTGGCACCGTTTCTGGAGACTGGCAACCCATTGCGTATTCCGTTGCTGTTGTTATAAAAGGTTCCACCGACACCGGGCATCAATGCTCCATCGGGAGCGTCGTGGAGATATTTGGCCTTCTTGCGAACGCCATCGTGGCATGCATCCTGCAGACCGCGCTTGATACAACGTTGGCATGGCCGCTCATCACCTGAATTATAGATTAAAAATTAGCCAAGACGGATATTCTTTACTTGGAACATGCGCATGCAGGCGCATGCCGATCAAGAGGCGTACCGCAAGTCAAATGAGCTCGCTGGCATGCAAAGCATGCTCGTCGGGCCTTCTTCCGGCGCGGTCGGGAGGGATCCTTCGCGTTCACAGATTTACGACCATTTTCGGGTTTGTGACCGTCACCGTTGGTTTTCTGCTTGATTGAGTCCATCGTTTCCAGGTGGTCGGTGGTATCGACCGAGTCGCGATCCCCGCCACTTGGGTCTGCTGGAGTTGGGGAGCCGTTCTTGGCTTCCACGTTCATTTCGTCATGTATTCCTGACGAGGAAGTTTTTCGCGGGGGACGCGTTCAAAGCGTATGGGTTCTACAGTTCCACAAATCGTGTCAAGGGTCAACTGGTGGCACCTTTCTCTCTTCTGATCTCAGGATCCCCGATACGGTGGCGACGGGACCATCCGCGCTCACCCTCGATCGCTCGACGGGAGAGAACCACGTGCAAGGCTGGGCGCAACTCTGCCCCAGCTTCTGATTAGAGAACAAAACGACCGCGAAGGATGGTCGGCAAGTCCTCGAGCTCCGAATTTCACTGGTATCGCTGTTTGAAGCGTCTACCGATCGCGGTTTCTATTTGCGCGCGTTCGCGATCAATTCTGGCGGGGGAACGGATGGTAGGTATCGGGTTGAGTCACGGGTGTAACGAGGCACAATCGACTCGAAAAAGGGCGGAACGAGGATCTGACGCATTGAAGGGTCTTGAAAAGGCTTATTGAAGCAAGAGCCACGGCGACGAGTGAGGACAGGAAAATGCCGCAACGGTTTCGGACGCAGCTGAATTCGGGAGTGGAGAGGCGGCAGGCTGATTCGGCTGCGGGGAAAGCGGGAATTAATTCAGTCCGGATGAGAGGAGGCCAGTGAACCGCTCGTTTGATCGGACAGCGGCGAGGCAGGCGAAGGGAAACTCCGTCGGAATATGGCGTGGGGGAAGTGATGAGGAAGAGAGTGGGAGGAACTGGAAATAGCAACTCGATCGGAATGTTCCCGTGACTACGAAGCCCAGCTCCCAAGCATCCAAGGCGGACAGGACTTCAACCGAACCGATTGCTTTGCGAACCACCGCAAACTCGCGTGCGTAGTGACCAGGATGTGTATGATGGTAAGATTTTAATTTTCGGTGGTTGCTTTTTTTTGGGGTCTCGTACTCTTTCGATTCTTAATGGATTTTTCCTCGCTTTCTCCAATGACATAGGGCCCCATTTTGGGTGGCTCCTCCTGTGGCCATACTTCCCATAGTTGGGCCTCGTTTCCCTCCGCACAGATGGATATACTTCGCCAGACACGCCCAGGAATTCCTTTGGCTTTTTTTTTACCTAATTAAAACGAGACAAAATCGGACCGCAAACCTAATGCAAATTACGAGGGACATTGCGTTTCCAAGTAGGCTTTCACCCCGAGCATATCTTCCCTGGACTTCTCGAGGCCTGAACCCACAACCCACATCGATGGCCCTTGGACAATGTAGGTCGCAACTCACATGCTGACGTTAGGGAAATCTGTGACTGGAGCGCGGCACTTGCGAGGCGTATTTTACGGTACCGGATAATACCCGCTGTTTCTGGACGGCATCGCGTCGTTTGACCCGCCGTGATTGGCTCCGGCGAGCCCAACCGGGAGATCGTACACCCCGCGATGGAGGCAAATGCGCACGTGTGGTTCAATAGCTGTGATTCTAAACCCTGGCTTGAAGGTTCAATCCGAAGACATCTTCAAGGCCTTGAGGCCTAAAAGGCCTCGGAGCCCCCCTCTTCTGCGGTTTTCATACACCCTTTTCTCAGACTGTTGACGGTTGTCGGAACCGTCCTCCGGCTCCGTTTTATCCCGAGGCTACGGCACTGACGACGAGCCTCGGTTACTGTTGTCGCGAGCTGAACAGGGCGACTTAGTAAATAATTTTTTTTAAAAAAAAACTTCTCATATTGAGCTGCGGAAGCCAATTGAACTGAGGGTGATGTAGCGAGATGAATTCTAAGGCCACATGACGCTTCGTATACTTCGTAACTGGACTGGAGAGAAACAACGGGGAGTTCAGTCGGAGAATTCGAGTTCGGCCCAGATTCACCCCTATGCCGGGCGGGTGAACTGTGGGCCGTTTTGGCTTTGATTCAAACCGCAGGGACAATGCCAGTACTAAAGGGTATAGTTGCTGTGAAAAAAAAAGCAGGAGAGTAGAAAGGAGATGTGATATAGAGGACTCTATGATGGCTGTTTAAGAAGAGTAATATTGGTCTACTTTTATTCACATGTTTTGATCATTGGAATTTTGATTCCAGCTGTAGGTGGGACAACAGCTGGACTGTTGGACCGTGATCCTGGCGAAGGACCGAGCACAGGCCCTATGGCTTTCAAGAAGCTCGATGTCACCGGATCACGGCATATGAGGTTTTCCCATGCCGCAGTGTCCAGAATCTCGCCTGGAGATGTTGGTCTAGGACGTTGAGCTGCACTGGGATCGAGAATAAAACTGCAGGCACTCACTTTGAACCACATAGTCAAGAGCCGAACGACCCAAATATTGGAATGAAGAGGTTAGAATATCGATCCGAATGAGCGGTAGGGTACTGCTGCAAGGAACCCGGACAAAGAACATCCAGGTGATTGGATTATTCAACATCTACATAATCAAGAAAGCAAAGGTTACATTTGTGAGGTGGCAAAGCGACTCGTCTTTCGGATACGAGCTCCATATCGAAAAAAATATAACTACCCAGAAGTTAGCAAAACGTATCAGACCTGGATATGCCATGTGAAATTTGTGCTGGCTTGATCAGCGCCATGTCATTCATGCCACATGCAGCTGAGATGGTAAGACTTCCTTTGGCCCGGCTTTCGTTCATGGGGATTGGCCATGCAGGGGAAACGGCAATACAAAGGTCATAGCGGGTCCGATCGAGAATTGGAGAAGAAACTCAGGATGAGCATATCATACTTACGGGAATGGAGTCATGACAAGTGTGAGAAATGCCAGCAATGAGGTCGCCCAGTGAAATCCGAGGTTATTATACACTGCACAGCCGTTAGCAACTATATACCATAGCGATTACAATCAAACCATAGTTGGATAGAGCCCTGCACCCTCCGGTACAAGTTCTAAATGGGTTGAGAGAGACACGATGGTGCCACCTTTCTGCAGCTGAATTCCAGTTGCTTCATGCAAAGCACAGACTCTTGAATTCCAGTCACCGTAGGAGATCGCATGGGGGACAGACTTACTCTGAATTCCGAACAGGGGAAATATTCCTCCAAAGCTTGACCGCATGAAGCTATTGGCGGCCAGGGCACTGGCAGCAAAGGTGGGGTATGCATCAACCAGAAATGTAAAGATGCCTGAATAAACGAGGATAACACTGGCAGTAGCACAGCCTGATCAGCATCTGAAAAGGCGCCAGGATTGAAGCTTTGGCTGAAGGTCAGGTGTACTTACCCTGCACCAAACACTGCACTCCCAATAATTGGCGCAATCCAGTGGACGTTGGGGTAGATCGTCCATGCAAATATGAATAACCCTATGGTAACTAAGGGCCCACCCAGAATTGCTAAGCACCGAGCAATTAGATCTCATATACTCACTTTGAAACAAATCAAGGCTTACCTGGAGGCAATCGCCACTCTGGCTGAAACTCATCGGTCCTACGCGTCGCATTTTGAAAATTGCGTTCCAGGCGCATGTAGTTTCGGCGCCAAATTGGGTCAGAGAGGATTGCAAGGACCATACCGACAAAAAGACCCATGAAACAGAGACCACGCTGCCACAGTTCCAGGCCATACACAGTAGAAAACACCAATTGAAAAGCACCGAAGAAAAGATACAGAATGCCCAATAAGATGGCAGAGAAGACACATAGGTTCAAGCACATCGGCTCTAGTGCCAAGAGCAGGATAGGGCGATACATCGATCGCAGAACCGTCTGCGCCACTGATCGCTGCAGCTTTTCGATCGGCGCTCTCCATCGGTCGTCTCCGGTCTCCTTGCGGAGCTTCTGCGCCTTGCGCCTCAAAAGCCTAATCGCATGTCAATTATACTTGATCGAGGCCGCAACAATGGCAGGAGTTCTCATGACCCGCCGGGAAACATACACCGGATGATATGTCTCTGGAACTAGAAAGATTATCAAGACTAGTAATACTCCTGTCCAGATCAGGAGTACATAGAATGTCCAACGCCTAAAAACGGTATTAGATTGAGCCACAAGATCGAAAACGGCTCTGATATTACCAGCTTGTAAAATCGTTAATGAAGCCGCCAACCCTGTCCAAAGGTCAGTCCTTGAAGTCATTGCCGCGGATATCGGGAAACTTACAGAGGCCCGACTTCGGGACCGATGAATGGACTTGCCGTATAGAGCATCATCGGAAATGCCAATTCATGTCGATCAAACATGTCGCCAACAGTACCGCCAGCAACACTCAGAAATGCACTACCTGACAGTCCGTTAAAAAACCGACTCACGAGCATCGTTGCCGTGTTCTTTGCCACCGCACATGGGATGAGCCAGATCAAAAACAGCGAGAAGGAGGCAATGTAAATATTTCGTCGCCCATAGAACTAAGAAGAGACCAATCAGTTGAGATCTTTCGTTTGGTCTTTTTTCTTATTTCATTCTGGAAAGCAATGTTGAAACTGACCTCCGAAAGCGGGCTCAGGACGAGTGGGCCAATTCCTACAAAAATCAGGGTTAGCAACAAGGATCAGTTAGCAAAAGGAAAACCGTTGATTCCAACAAACCTAGTCCCCAGATGAAAAATGATAACCCCAACGTTGCGACTTCTTGGGAGCAGCCGAACTCGTTCATCAGCTGCGAATAGGTGGTAGTATACATTGACGAAGTACACGTCCTGCAAACGGCTAAGTAACCACCCAAATAGGCGAGTCATAAATATTTTCAGCATCTACTCACACGCAAAGCGATCCCATTGAAACAATGATCACGATCATCCATCGCCGAGCTGTGTTCATGTTGCGTGGATTCATGGGGTCGCTCTCATCCCAACCAACGATAAATCCTCTATTCTCATCCGGCTCTCCCCCAGCCTCGTCGGCCTCTTGCCTGTCAAGCTCATTGCCGCTAATGCTGACTCCATCATTTAGCGACCAGCAGTGATCCAACGAGCGGCGGGATGCATTGGTGCGCTGCTTCTGGAGCTGCGTGCCACGGTGCTCATCATGCGACAGCGGCCCGGTGGTGATCGGGGCAAAAGTCGCATCCTCGGAGTTAGTGCCCTCCAGCTCGCCATCGCTCTTTTCCGCCGTAGAGGCATTCGGTAAGTCCATGGTGTTTTGTTTTTCGTTGTCGGTCAAAAACCCGGGAGATGTTGAGCTCCGTATGGACGTCATAACCCGTGTGTGACTAATTAGTATGAATGTCAGGTCATGCAGTTCACTAATAATCCATGACTGGTGACCAAGTCCGACTAGACAATATATGCAAGGATAGAGCGCAGATTTAACTAATGGGTCTGAGCTTTCACTTCTTGCAAGTCTTATTATGAAAAATCGGGAGCCATAGGCCGAAGCTGAATAATCACCGTTATCGCGAAGCCCGAAGGCGCTAATTTTTCTGGCCTACAGTAAGATATCCACTTGGCTCGGCCATCGGGCCGATAGTCAATAAATGGCTATTGTTAAGTACTTCGGTTGATGTCACCAGAGCAAAAGCTGTGACTCAATAACTTGCAACAGAACAAACGGATTATTTTCTGTTCATCAAAAAGAAGTGTGCAAAAAAAAAAAACAATGCTGAAATGTCTGGAGCATTGCCGAAGTATGGTATTATGTTGTATAGCGGGTGAAGGCAATGGTTGTATTTAGATGCAGCAAGATCAACCGTCAATAATTTTGCATGAGGAGCAATTATTGTTGTGGAATATATCAAATTATACTTCGAAATAAAGCCTCCTCTTTCCTTCGTGCAGCTTGACAATGACGCACATGCCACAACGGCGTTGCATCGTCTCCCACGTGGCAAACCCCGCGCAACGGTTCTCGGCACAGGGAATTGGGAATTGTATGCATTATGAAATAGTTGAATATAGCGTGGATCTGATACAGGAGGCAGATGGGGTAGAATGCAGTCACAGATATGTTCAATTACTTATGTTGCTAAAACTAATGGAGCAAAGCCCCCTGTCTCGGAATAAGACTCTAATGGACCAAAAGTCCATTCCAAGCAAAATCATCATATCAAAATTCGCCCAAGCTCCCAATTCACCGAACCAAGTCCCAAACTCCGCGATAGTCATCCGGAAGAACAAAATGGACGCTATCCCAAATCAATTATCGGATCTTCCAGAAACCCATGACCCGTCCCAAACTCAGCTGTACATGAATGGAAAAAGCGCCGTTGTATCTTTCAAAATTTTTCAACCAGGAGACCCAGATAAGTATCCATTACAAAACCTGGCTTAACTGGCTCATCGCACCAGCGGCATTTTCCTCGGCCCAAGAGCCCCAAAGAGCCTCTTTACCTCGGATCTTAAGCGGGGCACCAATGGACTTCGAGCCCTGCTCCACCTTGACAGCATCCTTAGTGGCAAGTACCAGAACCTCAAAGAACATCTTGGTGGCATCAGCTTTGCTGGAGCGCTGCTCGGGAAGAAGATCTTGGAAAACAACGGCTTTCTTTTGTTGTGTAGCAGAGTCACCGAGACGCTCTCGTAGAATGTGAACAGCGTGCTTGGTGCCCAGAGAAACAGGCTCGGTGTCCACGGGGCGAATAGTATCCTCTAGATCCTCCGAGGACTGATCCATAATACCATCGTCATCACTCATGGGCAGATCCATATTACCATCATCAGCGGGGAAGTCGATTTCGGATCGTTGGTGCATATTGAGGTCCAGGCCAATTCCTTCGTCCAAAGGAGCAATAGCTTCGTCATCACCAAGATCCAGAGCGGGAATATCGGCAGCAGGAACATCCATGTCAGAAATTCCGCTGTCACGCTTTCGCTTAAGTTCACCAGCCTTCTTGACGGATTCCAAAGACAGGAGCCCACGCAATTCAGGGGCCCAGCCGCGTCCGCGCTCCTCGCCAAAGATGCTCGACACAAAATCACCAGTCTGTTGCCGGGTCATCAGAGTGAGCATGACAGGGTCCCGAGGCAGAAATGTCGACCGCTTCAGGATACCAGAGCGATCCTTGTCCAGGGCCCTGTACTGGGCGTTGGAGAACTGAGGTTCAGCATCGCTTTCAATGAGCGGTTGGACCTTTTGACGCTTAGCTCGCTGGTTATGCTGGACAGCATGAGTACCAGCGTCAGCAGAATCTTCACGATTGAATTCCTCTTCCAGTTCGTGCATCTGAACGGACCCGGCGTCGGAAAGAGGGCTCTCGGTGTCGCGATTGAAACGGCTCTCTCCAGCGCGAGGGGTCATACCACCAAAATCATCATCGCCACCAAGATCCAGCACGCCGTCATCAAGAAGATCGTTAACATTTTCGTTGTCTTGCGCGCTGTCATCAAGCTTATCGAGAGGAACACCATCATCTCCGAAGTCCAAGCCCAAGTCGTCAATATCATTAAGTTTTCCGGACTCAGGGCTGTACAAGTCCAATTCAACGGGACGAGCGGGAGGGGCATCACGACCAATTTCCATTGAAGTGTCATCACCGATATCGAGATCAATCAAGGAGGCATCCTGGAGACGAGCGGGTTCCTGGGAAACCGAGCGACGGAAGCTGCTATCAGACAAGAGCTGGCTTCCAAAATCCATTGAGCCGGGGTGTTTGCCCTCAGGCTCCAAATTCAAATTTTGCGGGAATAACAGAGATGCATCTAGATTACTGAAAAGGTCGGACTCAGTCAACACATCAGGGAGTGTGATACCCCCCGGTGCAACCACGGTGGATGTCAAGTCATTGTTATTTGTGAGACGAAAAGCCTGAAGAGATGCTTCGTTAGGAATATATGCAAAAAAGCCAAAGCCAATCAACCTCTGACGACATACCATTTTGATCTTCATCAATGCTTCATTGCAATCATCGAGTAGGTAACGCGCCTTGCGACTGTAGATACGTACAACACCCAATAGCAGCTGACCGCTTAGTCGCAGTGCCATAGGTGCCTGGCCTTGGTCGACAATCGCGCTGACGCTGCTTTCAATATCGGATTGGAGAATATGCGATTTGGACAATTTGCGCTCGATGTTGGCCGATAGCCAGACACGAGCCAACGGCCCTGTCTTGGACAGGAGGGTCTCGGAATAGAACATGGCGCGTGCTGGTAAACCGTATATCTATACACAGACAGGCAATGCTCCAGGTGGTGGAGAGATCAAGCCCGCCTGGCGCGGGGTGTGGGTGCAGCAGGGGTTGACGCGCTGAAGCCAGCAAAACAATGGCTTGGATGGATTGCGTGGCGCCCCTGATCCAAGAAGGGGTTAAAAAAAAAGCGTGTCTGAGTTGCGACAAATCGAGTCCAAGACTAGAAATCACGTCGCGTTGAAGTCACGTCCAAGATGGGGCGCGAGGGATAAGTTGGCTGAGAAACCGAGAAGAACGAGGGATGCGCGTCGGTGGGAATCAGGCGTCGAGTCAGGTGAGCCCAGCCTTTTTGGGCATGGAATCGAGGGGGCTGGGGAGGGGGTGCCTTGGAAACGAGGAATGTCCGGGCCTGATTGGCGCCTGATTGAAACCGATTCATTACATAAGGCGTTCTCAAACACGCCTGCTGACTACTCATTGTGCGCGCTAGTCCCAAGGCGGAACTTCCGGCCATATAGATAATCCGATAGCCCTAAACCATATTAGGTAAAGCATCATCATGGGACTTGGCCGCTTCCAGTGAACAATTCAACGCCTCAGGAAGTCCGCACTTTCGGTGAGGCTCCCAAGTTCCACCACGCTTTTGTTTCGCTGTTGCATAATTGTCTTTCAATTGCTTTCCTTTCGCTGGTGGTGGATTATTGACAGTCGTTGGTCTTTCCAAGTCCCACGCGGCCCCGGATCCTAATAGGTTCCATCGCCTGCCTAGCGCCCCGTCACAAAGCTGGTGCCAGATCGCATCTCAAGACCGCAACCCCAACCATCAATTCCTCTCTTGATGGGATGCAACACGCTCTAGATTAGGCTTGACGCGTTTTTCTTCTTCTTCACATCCCTTTTATCTCGTTTTTTGGTCAAAGCATGAGAAATGTCAAGGTCCGCGACACCTGCGTTGCCGCTGCATAATGCACCAAACTCCGAGTCTTTGCGACCCCCATCCTCAACTCCATTAGGGGCCCGGTCGGTCGCACCGTCGACAGTATGTTCTCAATGTCTCCGAAATACCCTCTTGTTCCTTATTATCTGTCTTCATAAAGCGCTTTTGATCTTGTGATCGTCCGCTAACTTCCCGGGTTGTTTCTCCAGAACTCGACCTCCACCTATTCATGGCTCGAACCTTACGAAACAGCTGAGCGATTGAATACGTCCCTAATTCATGGTCTGACACCTGCGGAGGCGGAAATTCGACTTGCCCGGGATGGCCCTAACGAGCTCCCCCATGAGGAGCCGGAGCCGTTGTGGCTACGTTTTCTAAAGCAGTTCAAGGAGACCTTGATCCTTCTCCTCCTCTCATCTGCTGGGATTTCATTTGTGATGGGCAATTACGACGACGCGGTTAGCATTACCCTTGCAGTGACAATCGTGGTGACCGTTGGCTTTGTCCAGGAGTATCGGTCGGAGAAATCTTTGGAGGCTCTGAATCGTCTTGTTCCACATTATGCCCACTTAATTCGTGATCTCCCATCGACAAACACTGCTGTGGATAATTCAATTCCTGAACCAAGTGAGGAGCTGGGTGGATTAAATAGCACAAGCCCCGGTGCAGCATCCGCAGCCATCAAAGCATCCACCACTGTCCCTGCCAGCGATCTAGTTCCCGGAGATTTGGTCCTCTTCTCGACCGGCGACCGCATCCCGGCCGATATCCGCATCACGGCCGCAACCGACCTTTCGATAGACGAGTCGAACCTGACTGGCGAAAATGAGCCGGTGGTCAAGTTTTCCGCAGCCCTTCACAGCCACAAGCACGGAGTTCACCAGGCGCCGAAAGTTGTTAGTCCCCCTCGCTCGCCCTTTTACGATGCCCCGGCCACTGGTGCTGTTGGGGCTGATGTTCGTCTGAATGAACAACACAACATTGCGTTTATGGGAACGCTGGTTCGATCTGGATATGGCCAAGGTATTGTTATATCCACAGGCGCAAAGACAGAGTTTGGGAGCATCTCAGCGTCACTCCAGGAAATTGAAAGCCCGCGAACGCCTCTCCAGCTTTCGATGGATCGATTGGGCCAAGAACTCAGCTATATCTCGTTTGGCGTTATCGGATTAATCGTGGTCATTGGCCTTTTACAAGGCCGTAAACTACTCGAAATGTTTACTATTGGAGTTTCTCTCGCTGTCGCCGCTATCCCAGAGGGTCTGCCTATTATTGTCACCGTCACCCTTGCCCTTGGCGTTTTGCGCATGGCGAAGAGAGGCGCGATCATGCGCAGACTTCCCAGTGTCGAAACCCTGGGCTCTGTGAATGTCGTTTGCAGTGACAAGACTGGCACTCTGACCCTTAACCATATGACAGTCACTAAAATGTGGCATTTTGATTCCAGTGAGCCTTTTGAGGTTCAACGAGACGTGACTTCCGTGCTGTCTCCCGGGCCCGCTGCCCGCACGATTCTTCGTGTTGGTAACATTGCGAACAATGCCAGACTGTCGCGCATGCATGCCAACTCGCCGGCCAGTGCCTCGTCCGCAGCAGTCTTATCTTCAACAGTTGATCGCGACTCGGCCGCCGTGAAGAGTCGCTGGGTTGGCCAGCCTACTGATGTTGCCATTTTGGATCTTTTGGACATCCTGGGAGAAGATGATGTCCGCGAGCGTATCAGTGCTCGTGTGTCTGAGACACCATTTAGCTCTGAACGTAAGTGGATGGGTGTTATTATTGGCAGTGGTAGCCCTGGCGATTCCGATGTTGCCTATATCAAAGGTGCCCTCGAGCAGGTTCTGGCTCGCTCCGATACTTATTTGACCAAAGATGGTCGTGAGGTCATTCTTGATGAACCTCGCCGAATGGTCATTCGAGAGGCCGCCGAGCAGATGGCCTCGGAAGGCCTTCGAGTTCTTGCCTTTTCTAGTGGTGCTGTCCGCGATGCCTCCCGGGGCATGAGAGGATTCGGCAGCCGCTCTGGCACCCCTTCGTCCAAATCCAGCAGCCCTGCCAACGATGATGATAGGTATAACGGATTGGTATTTGCCGGACTGGTGGGTATGAACGACCCCCCTCGACGAGATGTTCACAAATCTATTCGCCGTCTGATGGCTGGTGGGGTCCGAGTAATGATGATTACTGGCGATGCAGAGACAACTGCCGTGGCCATTGCCAAGAAACTGGGAATACCTGTCAACGAATCTGCAAATGCCCGATCTGTGCTCCGGGGTGACGAGATTGATCACATGAACACTGCCGAGCTCGCCCAGGCCATTTCGACCACCTCAATCTTTGCCCGCACAAGCCCCGATCATAAAATGAAGATCGTGCGTGCACTTCAATCTCGTGGAGATGTTGTTGCCATGACTGGTGATGGTGTGAATGATGCACCTGCATTGAAGAAAGCAGACATTGGCATTTCGATGGGCAAACTTGGCACTGATGTGGCTAAGGAGGCCGCTGATATGATTTTAACGGATGATGACTTCTCTACAATCCTCCGGGCGATTGAGCAGGGCAAGGGAATCTTCTATAATATTCAAAACTTCATTACATTTCAGCTCAGTACTAGTGTCGCCGCGTTGAGTCTTGTACTGCTGAGCACCACACTTGGGTTCAAGAATCCACTTAATGCCATGCAGATCCTGTGGATTAGTGAGTTCTACCGATTTTGACATTCCTCTCAAGATGCCTTTTGCTAACAAGCTTCAAAGACATTCTCATGGATGGTCCACCAGCCCAATCCCTAGGGGTTGAACCTGTCGACCCCTCGATCATGAACAGACCCCCGCGCCCTAAGCATGCGCGGGTACTCACGAAGCCCCTCATCCAACGAGTCCTCACATCAGCTATGATTATCATGCTCGGCACGCTTGCTATCTATATTCACGAGATGGGCGATGTGACCGATGGCCAGCCAATTGGCAAAAGGTCCCGCGTGGTCACCAAGCACGATACCACCATGACGTTTACCTGCTTCGTCCTCTTTGACATGTTCAATGCATTGACCTGCCGCAGCGAAAGCAAGTCTGTGCTGCGCGGCGAACTCCCACTGTTTGGAAATAAGATGTTTAATTACGCCGTCCTCGGCTCATTGGCTGGCCAGGCATGTGTCATTTATCTGCCCTTCCTGCAAAGCATTTTCCAGACCGAGCCCCTCAGCTTCGGATCGCTGCTCAAGCTAGTATGCCTTGCCAGCTCCGTTTTTTGGGTTGATGAGGGCCGCAAGTATTTCCATGCCTTCAATCGCCGGCGTGGTCTCGGAGCTGGATACAGTGTCAATGTCTAATGTGTTTTCTTTTCTGGGACGTTTGAGCCCGTGTTTTTAGATGGATTCCTGAGTGGATAGTGTAAACTATTTGATTGGATTAATATCCCTATACATAATAGAGCTGTTCTGCATATTCATTTCTGCTTTCTGTCTCCTTATTCGAACTTTGGTAGAATCGAAGAGACCTGACCCTAATGTCCTAATGGAATTCTTTCGAAATCTGACGAAGCAAACTTACTGTAGTATGCATATTGAGGTCCCGCGCATCTTGCACCCAAATTCCTCTCACTCATTTGCGATTTGGGGGAGCGATGCCCTCGCGACCGATTTGGCGATGTTTTTGATCTTTCAAATTAAACAGTTCAGGAACTCCCTGGAGACCTTTGAAAATCACCTCATTGGTAATAGCTTTCCGGCATACCAGTAGCCTAGCTGACATGTCCAACCAGGAATTGTTTGCTCCATCATTGAGTTGCTCCACCAGTGAGCATTAGTTGTGCAAATCATGATGTAGATTCTCAGCATTGGTTGCCTACGATCGCAAAATTGACAATCAATTGTCTCTAATGAGGTATCATTTCCTTTTTTTTAGAAATATTTGCTTTTTGGAGACAAGAACCCTGTTCGTTCAATTCTAGTTCTGTAATATTTAATCTGTTGCTAAATTTTCGAAGATCATAGAGATATATTTCAGCCATGCGCCGTCGCATACTTCAGACAATCAAGCCAACAATTGCCATTATAGTATATTATTCTTTCTCTCTTCAACCTCTCTTCTCGAATTTTTCGACTCCATTTATTACTATAAACTAAACACTATCCAAAATGCACTTGAGCTTGTCCATATACCTCCTTTCTATCCCCCACGCAAGTCGGCCTTCAATGGAACAAATTTGAAAAAACTTCTCAATTGATACTCTGCAGTAAACCTTGACTAAGATCATTTTGACCCCATTCTTCTACTAGGGCCACGGTATCGCCAACAAGATAGTCATAGTTTGTCCCAGTCGAGAAAAACATGGGTGAAAATGGCTTCGAGAAGCCACATCCTACTTGCGTCTCACCTTTGATGTTGATTCTAGGACCTTGTAACTCTGTAGTCGAGGTGCCTTTATCAATTCCGCGACTAATCCATTTTGGCGAAACGGATACACAATATATAATCACTACTGCTACGGGTCAATTCTTAACGAGACAGTTTCGAAGGGGACAGGATTGCAGAAATACGTTGGTTGGCTCGTGAGGGAGAAAACTTTGGCAGCTTGAGTGTATCTTTCTCAAAACATGAAACTCATCGCTACGGTCTTGACCTGCCAATATTTATGATCGATTGGCAGCTTATTGAAAACGAAAGGTTTGGTAGATTTCGGCTTGAGAACAAACGGATTTTGGGGTTTTCTAGGGTCGGCGGTGTTCTCTCCCAGACTCTTGCCAGTAGTTCGGACAGCCTTATGTATTCGTTCAGCAAACCTCTACCAACTATGGCTTGCTTAACTATCCGGCACTGTAATGTGAAAATTGGAAACCATTTGGTCTCCCAAGACATACAAGTCAAGGCCATGCCGAGCGTAACAATCAAGTGGTATTAAAGAGGTTATTTCATACCTTTCTAACAAAACACTAACCACCTGAAAAGCTGCCGAGCCTTTTTTCAAGAAGTCTACTTATGAAGCTGACAATAAAGATCCCGGTAAATGAAGCGACTTGGCAATATGCCCCTTGAAGGAGATCTTCAGCAGAATATCCACCGTTCCATTACAACCCTTGATTGGACCCCTTGCGTTCGCACCTCTTTTCAAAACACCACGGCCACCACCAACAACCTCACATCTGCACTGCTTTCCAACCGAGGCCAATAGCCACGATGTCGGGCTTCTCACCAGGCGAATCCCTGGGCCACATCATTGCCCACCTGGCGAATAAGATCCGTGACAGCGAGTACCCCCGCAACAACCGATTTGATAAATCGAATCGCTAACCTGGAATTCAATTAAGAAGCAGGACGAAGCGATACACTCGGTGATTCAGAGCATTCAGCTCACAAACACGACTGGAAACGTCTAATCCGGCCACGAATCAGACCTGGAAATCGAGGGAAAGGTGGACCAAGCCGCAGACTATCGGGCCAAACCATAGTCGCCTCGGAAAGTCGAAACGACCCTTGACGCTGAATTTGAAGACTCCAATCCCCCAGATCAACATGACATCCAACAACCCAGAGCTCAGGTCTCTTCATGAGAGACAGGGAAACGAGATTTGGCTGCGATGTTGATTGAGGGCGATATAGGAATGAGCGCTGATTTGAAGGTAGAGGAGGCTATCCTCTCGACCGCGGCGCCTGTACACCACATAGGATCGCGCTATCTCTTGATTTTTTGGCCTTTGTTGTTGATGTCTGGACACAATTGCCCACATTCATTTCCTGGTTTCTTTCCTGTTCCCCTTTTGTTATAAACATGATACACTAGGAAGGGCGAGTTTTCAAATTTGATGCTCAGTTGCATTACCATTCTTCTGCATGGGGCCAGAGAGTAAGCTTGATCATACGTACACCAATCACATTTCACTGGCAGGAGTGCTGTCTGTCAGTGGGGTGCGGGTTGGGACTTTCATGGGGTTAAAACCAGGGGCAGAGAGGCCCATGTGCCCCAACCTGCATATGATTAGCATAGCATGCACCTCGTGCATTATTTTCTCCGCTCGCCTCCTTCGGGGGCCACGTTGAAACTGTGTCAATCTTCTACTGTAGGACACTAGGGTCCACCAGGGTGATTAGTTTGGGCGAGATCGTCTTCCTGTGACGAGTTCACACAGCTAGTCGACGGCCTAATGCGCGGTTAAAATAGTGGCTGGTCCACGAGATAGGCGCTAGATTAGAGGGAAAGAAAGGGCAAAGGTCGAATGACGTATTGGGAAATAGACAGGGGGCCTTTCCCAGAAGCTCTCATTTCCGGAGGTGGAGGGTAATCTCAAGAATGAAGCGGCACACTGGATTTCTGACGCCTGATTGGAGACCATTTTGTGATTTGAAATTCAACACTGGCCGCAAGCAATAGAAGTTTACAGTTACAGGTGATGCATGGTCGAAGGCAACTCGTCTGGGGTGATCGGAGATGGATCCCGGGGCCAGTTGTATAGAATGGATACTACGGAGCTAGCGGCGGCGGCGGGGCTCAAAGCTCGGCTGGGCTCAAGTAATTTAGGGATAAGGGAAAGCAGCATCATAGAATCATCGATGGGCGTAGATCGAGTCATATAAATATGATATCCGATGGGATTTATAGGGGATCTAGTGGACTCATGATGAGTCGTGATGGTGGATATGGGTTTGAGAATATTAAAGTGAGGCTACGATAAGGCCCAGACCCTCCCACGGCAACGTCGGGCCCGGCCCCACGGGAGCGGGATCGATGACCAGCCCTCGTCGGCCAGTCGGAGGCTGTCTGATGTTCATCTTCGCCGAGATAGACTCTCATGGTAGGGGTTTCAGATGTTTTCTTTTCAGGATTTCGAGTTTGGCACTGGCTTGCTTTGCTTGCATCTCTTTCAACCATGTCCATCCTCAGTCTATTTCGGACCCATGCCGAGAGCAGCCCGAACTCGGGAGTGGTGGCAGGTCGTGGCAGGTGGTTTCCCTGAAGTTCCCGAGCCGGGAGAACCCGGCAGGGGCGAACAGGCTCTTATCTGGAGCCAATGGGGGACCGCCGAGGCGTTAACTTTTGGCATCGCCGCCCGCCCAGACGATCCAGACGATCGGGCGACTTGACCCCCGGCTAAGCCCAGCGCTAAACCCAACGCGGCGCCTGGACGGGGCCCACTTGGCGCCCTTGGTGGCAAGGCTTTATCTGCAGCCAATCACCGCCGGAAGATACCAGCGTCACTCGTCCAATTGCTCGTCGTGGATAGCGCGTTGTCTGTTAGCAAGACGTTTGAAGAATCGACCCTTTCGTGTCCCCCGATAAGCAGGCGGGAACCACTGAGGTCAGCCCAAATTACCCCCAACCGAGAAGATGGTCTCCCCCCAGACCGCCGGAAGCCCGCGAGCGTGGTGGTTGCTGATAAGCTAAACACCCTATCTCTAGCCTCTGCCAGCCAACGTGATGGTGGAGGAGCAGGGAGGAGCAGAGGGACGCATCGATAGGATTCCGTCCTCGCTAGCTAGTTTTGAGGGCCTAAGATTGAGGATATATAGAGAGGGTCCCCGCGTGTAGCGATGCAGAGAAATGGAGAACCTGTTCGCGTCTCTTCCCGGCCTCCCCAGGATGGGTTCCCCAGAGTCATGGCATCCCTGCCAATCCTGGAATAGTGGCTCCTCGTCACCGAAGATGGATTGGGAGATTTTTTTTTTGCTTGGCCCGGGACATGAAACGACCCATTCAAAGGGGGGGAAACGGAGAAGGAGGGTCCTTCTTAGCACCTCATGAGAAGTCGGGACTTTGGATCAGGCCTACGGAGTAGAGGGAACCCATCGCAAAACTATATTCCGTAGGCTTATCCAGGCCTGTCCCGAGAATTGCTGACTGTACCCCGACTAGGAGGACAAGCGTGGGAAGATCCATGGGCGAAGGCAAAAAAAGGCGTCTTTACCGTCGCCACAGTAAGTGGTTTTTCTGGCGGCCATCGGAGCCGGATAAGCAGGGCGAATTTCTCATGATGATGCGCGAGGGATTGGGGACGGGCCTCAATTTATCGTTCGTTTTCATTTCTAGCTGATAGAGTGACTTCTTTTTTCCATAGGGTGCTTAGAGGGAGCAATAGAAGAATCTATTTTATTCCTACTCTGCCTCCTCTTCTCCATCTCCTACACTCCTGCTGTTCCGGGCGACCAGTTCCGGGGGGGCTTTATCGTGATTGGACCCGCCGGCGGATTATGCCATTGCTATTGTCATCGCCCATCGAACTAATCTCGAGCGCCAAAAACACCCTGGAAAAAAAACCCACGCGATTGAATTCCACCTAACCGCGCCTCCCCCGGTTTATTGCGTCTGCACGGAATTGATTTTTCTCCGGCCAAGACCTCCTTCAGCTCGTTTTCCCGGCTTTTTTGCTTTTTTCCTGCTGGGCCCAACGTGGTCCGATTTCAGGCCTCGGTGGAGCCTGTCGATCCGACTTATCGTCTTGGTTTCCTCTCCGCAACGCTTCCAGAAATCGAACCAAGCCGTATATTATCTTCCCTGGATCCCCCCTCCCTCTCGTGGCAAAACTTCCTTTTCTCCACCTCCCCGATCCCGGCCTCTTCAAGCTCTCTTCCCGCCGGCCCTCCAGAACTTCATACCTGCAACAACACCTCTTCTGCACCACCCCGACCTTCAACCCTTCCAACCCTTCTTCCTCTACCCTCCCAACTTCTTTCTCACCCGTCACCCGTCGAGACGCCTCCGGGTTCCCTTCTACGACGTCCTCGAGCTCGGTTGAGCTCTGCCAACGGCGTCAACCATGTCGTCGTTTAACGGGAAGACCGACTACGCGCCGGACTATGCGTCCTACAACTGGATTGGAGCGCCCTCCAACTACGAAAAGCTCACCACCAACGTTGATCTGGGCGGCAATTCTCGTATGTAGCGGCCCCCCTTCCTCTTTCCCCCAACCAACAAAAGATCCCCTCCGCCATCCCCCTCCCGGCCCCCCCATCCTCCTCCCACATTCTCCAGTTGGCGTGTTGCGATGGGCTTACAATCAATTGGTTAACAGGCACTGAAAATGTGAACAAATGGTTTCAATCTGGTGACCAGGCCTACATCATCGTGGCTTCCGCCATGGTCTTGGTGATGATTCCCGGCCTGGGCTTTCTGTACTCCGGCCTAGCCCGCCGTAAGTCCGCCCTCAGCATGATTTGGGCCTGTATGGCGTCCATGTCGGTTATCACCTTCCAATGGTACTTCTGGGGCTATTCGCTAGCCTTCTCCCCGACCGCGACCAACGGCTATATTGGAAACCTGCGCAACTTTGGACTCATGAAGACTCTGGCCGATCCCAGTCCCGGTTCACCATTGATTCCGAATTTGCTGTTTGCCTTTTATGAGATGCAGTTCTGCGCTGTCACCGCGGCCATTGTAATGGGAGCGGTCGCGGAGCGCGGTCGTTTGCTTCCGGCCATGGTCTTCACCTTTATCTGGGCTACCATCGTCTACTGTCCACTCGCGTATTGGGCATGGAACGCCAACGGCTGGGCCTACAAGTACGGTGTGATGGACTATGCCGGCGGAGGTCCCGTCGAAATTGGCTCCGGCTTCACCGCGCTCGCATACTCTATGGTCCTGGGTCGTCGCCAGGAGCGCATGATGCTCAACTTCCGCCCACACAACGTCTCGCTCATCCTGCTCGGTACCGTGTTCCTGTGGTTTGGCTGGCTCGGATTCAATGGCGGCTCCGCTTTCGGTGCCAATCTCCGCGCGACTATGGCTTCATGGAACACCAACCTGACAGCCGCCTTTGGTGCCATTACCTGGGTTTTGCTGGATTGGCGGTTGGCGCGCAAGTGGTCGATGGTCGGCTGGTGTTCCGGCACCATTTCGGGACTGGTCGCAGCCACTCCCGCCTCGGGTTTCATTAGCCCGTGGGCGAGTGTCATTCTGGGAGTCGTGACTGGTATTGTGTGCAATTACTCCACCAAGATCAAGTACTGGATCCGCATTGATGACTCCATGGATGTGTTGGCTGAGCACGGTATCGCCGGCATCGTCGGCCTGATCTTCAATGCGCTGTTCGGTGACGACGCCATCGTTGGCCTGGACGGCGTCAACACGGGCACTGGCGTCGGCGGCTGGGTCATCCACAACTATAAGCAGCTTTATATTCAAATCGCCTATATTGTCGCGACCGCCGCCTACTCGTTCGTCATGTCTGCCATTATCGCCTACGCCATCAACGCTATCCCGGGCCTGAACCTGCGCGCCTCGGAGGAGGCCGAGCTTCTCGGTATGGATGACGACCAGCTTGGCGAATTTGCCTACGACTACGTCGAGGTCCGCCGCGACTACCTGGCCTGGACCCCGCAAAAGCACGACCAGCTCGAAGATGGCCATCAGATTCCCGCCGCCGAGCGCTACGGTATCGGTGAGCACTCGGAAATGATGCTTGAGGGCCATGCACCCAACGGTGAGATCAGCCAGAGCTCGCGCGGCGGCAGCGAGGGCGACATGACGATCCAAGAAGGGAAAATCCCCCCTGCACCACGCCAGGTCGCCGAGGCAAACCCCCCGCACACCCATCCAGAGCCTCCGATCCCCGAGCCGGTCGTGCTGCAACCTGTCAACGAGAAGAGGAACGATTAGACGCTTCGTCCTAGAGATCTCCTTTTCCACCTTCCGTCTTCCTGTCTATCCATCCAGCCAGCGATGATTTCTCTTTCGCATTGTTCGATATCCCTCTGAGCGTATTTCTGCTTTCGTCCGCTTTTTTTTTTTTTTTGCACCAAAAGGCCTGGGGCCTTTGGTGATTTTCTGTTTTGTCTTCTTTCACTTCATTTCTCCCACGGCTGACCTTCCCCTCCTCTTGCATCCCATGTATAACCTACCTTGAAATCCATACCTCTTGTCACCGTCTATCTGGTATTAACCATACCGCTTCCTCCGCCAACCTTCTCTCTCCACCATCCTCCACATCACACCTCCCAACCTCTCATTAGGTCGCCGGGGAAAGAAGAAGAAAAAGCATCATCTCATACCTGCTTTGACTGCATGGGTGTTTTCTACCTTCCTCCCCCTATCGGATCTTGACCGGCGTTTGCATGTTATCTGTTTCCCCTAGTTGTCTCCTTGTGTCGGTCCGGGCTGGGTGTACATATTTTTCTCTTCTTCTTTTTTATATTGTGTCGTTACTTGTTCAGACTCATTGTCTGCCGTCGACTTGCAGAACTGAGCATATGTTGTGCCTTGTTTCGTGCAGTATAGAGAATTGTGATTCCGTCTTAGACTTCTTACTTTCCTGTGTTGATGCATTTCCTCGTACAGCAAACAGCATAGAGATACGGTTCAATTCAAGATGGTGTAGATTTAGGAAGGAAATAGTATGTCCCGGACATGCAATTGATACCACCTGTCTATCTAGTACTTGGGGGGCGCTGGCTATTCTGAATCAAGACTTGCGAGGAACACATGAGGTCTCTTGAAGTGTATATACATATAATGAGGCTAATCGAGGCTTCATTGATCAATGCTGCAATGCGCAATGCTCGATCTCTATAGGGGACTAGTCCCAATCAACGCAATGCAATGCTATAAAATACGCACTAAGTAAGCAACTAGATAACCATCTGGGCCACCCGGGCCACTTGATAAAACCGTCTCCGTCACCTCTGCACTCCTCGGAAGACCCTACTAGAACGCCCAGCCATCACTCCACTTCATCTTTTGTTTAGCTCTGGATCGCTGTCCTGGTTTAGCGTCGCCTCACCATCGCGCGCACCCGAACCCTCTCTTCCCGACTCAATTTCTCCACCACATCCGCCGCCTCACCCCCGTGTAGCACCTCATCCCATTCGTCCTCATCCATTCCCATCACAAGGGTCATTTGCACGCACCGTGCGAACGCCTCTCGGTGCCGATACCGCCCCGGTGCCCCCGCCCCATATCCTACATCCACCGCCGCTGCAATGACCCCGGCCACATCGCGCTCCAGCCGTGCCGCTCCCAGCGCATTCACCCGACCCTGGTAAGCCCACAGCCGCTTCTCCAACAGCCGCGCGAAGTACCCGAGCGTTACAACCAGTAGCCGGTCGAAAGCCTGCGCCGTCAGCACGCGCGCCAACGGGACCAGCAGCTCCGCCCAGCCGGCCGCAAACCGTGGGCGCACGACCTCCTTTGCAGCGTCGAAGTCGTCGTCCACGCCCTCGCCGGGCTGGTACTCGATGTCGCGGAAGGCGTCCGCCAGCACGGGCCGTAGCCGGTGCTTGACCACATTGTTGAAGACGACTTGGATGCCGTCCGATAGCAACTCCGCGACCTTTGCCTCGAACGAGGTACCGAGCGCGTACAGGGTGGACGCGACGTGGCGCGCGGCAGCCGGCGCGGGGAACAACGCGAGCAGGTGGTCAGTAGGCACTGCATTTTCGTCGTCGCCGTCGGGTGCGGGGGTTTGCTTGGCGCCGGTGTTGTTCTGGACGATGCGGCGGATGTAGTCAATGGCGACGTCGAGGTTGTTGATTTGCACGAGGAAGGCGAGCGTCGTTTGCTCGGGAGGGTTGCCGCCCTGAACCGCAGCGCGGGGGTAGCACTCGTCGCGCATCTTGCGCTGTGTCATGCCGATGAAGTCGGAGCCGAGCACGCGGGAGAGCGTTGGAACGACGTTGGTCACGACGGGCTCTTGAGAGGTCGCCAGCGATTGCTGGAGGACTTTGTTAACGATGTACATGATGTCGTCGACGGCGGAGGTGATGTGAGGAGGATCGGATTTTAGCGGCCGTTGTAAATTCAGGTTTAGACCGGAGGGAGACTCGTCAAGCTGGAAGGCTTTCTCGACGGATCGGCGGAAGAAAAAGGTAGTCATGGCGTTGAAGGGAGACATGAGCCGGTCATTTACTTTCCGTGCTAAAGAGGATTCTTGCAAGAAAGAGGGAAGTGCGAATCGTTGCTCGTTCTCCTTGACATTGTCAGTTTCGTTTTCTTCAGGAGGCTGGTTGGGAGTTAGTAATGGACCTGAAATTTAGATGAATTGTGGGGAGGAGCATTCACATTGCATGTGTCTGCCAGGAAGCGGCAATATAGGGACCATCTGCCTAGCATAATGGCCATTTCGTTCAGGATGCCGTCAATCTCCTTCATATCGACGCCCTCATCCTCAGTCGGTGCGGTCGCCCCCGGAGTCGGGGAGTTCGAATGCCCTGGCCCCGTACGTTGTGCCGGAAGGAAGCTTTGCAACAAGAACGTAAAGGCATACGATTTGATGTCCATGAGTTTGCGATCTACATGTCGCTCGTCACTCCATGTGTCCAGAATGATACCACCCTGCACATCAGCTTCGACTTGCAATCGTTCAATGACACGGCTCATCTTGCGGGGACCGTAATGCCTTTCGACAAGCCCGCCATGGCCGTCGATGATCTGCGCAATATGTTCAAACAGTTTCGTCAACGCATTGGCATAGAAGAACCCATCCTTGGCCTGTGCCCCGGTACCCGCGTTGAGGTTACTGCGGGCTCGCGCCGCCACACCCTGGCAAACATAACGACCGTAGACATCAAGACCAACTTCAGAACGGCCAATGAGAGGGAATAATTTGAAGAATCGAGTGATTTTGGCGCCGTCGTTCTCCTTTACAGCCTTGTCAAATTCCCGCAAGAACAACCCGCACAGTGACTCCGCTGCGTTGTCAAGGGTCACACTTGGTGGATCTGGTACTTCGGCCGTAGGGACCATTTCAGCTGCAAAAGCTCCATTGACCACCGAAGGCGGCACCTGCGAGGCACGGTGCAGATAGCCGGCGGCGGTTTCCCAGTCCTGAGACGCACCCATTGACCCCGCAACGCCTAACGCACATGCCTTGAGCTCGGCAACTTGTTCGACCACTTCCAGTGTAGCTTTGACTCGCGCTTGCTCCAGATCCAGGCGGCGCACGGCGCTGGAGATGCGATCGGCGGTCTCAGCGGCCCCGGAGAGCATCCCATGGCTGAGCGATCGCGTGGTGCTTGTCTGGGTGCCGATGTGGGCGCGCAGGAGATCCAGACGACCCAATTCTCTCGAGAGATCCTTCTGCGACGTTACCAGCGCATCGAGACGGGCAGTGACGGAGGCCTCTTGGCTGTGCAGGCGAGACAGGGCGGCTTTGATCTCGGCGACGGAGCTAGCGTTGAAGATGTCAGATTGCGGGGATGCATCGCCAATTGCGGGGCTCGATGGGTCTGCAGAGGGCGATGGCGACGATACGTGACCGTTGGTCGGGCCCGTCTGCGTGGCCATTCTGGAGCCGGAGGGGGACCTGCGCTACCAGGAGTTTCGTGGTTTCGATGTTGATGCCAAATACGCCAGTTGTAGGGGGCCCCACGCGGGCGGTGAGCGCCGGTGCTTTTTTTCGGGCTTCGACTGGGGCTGAAGACGGCCTCGATCGGGTTGATAACGGGCATTTTTTTGAAACAGGGGAAAGGATCAAGGGCAATATTACGAGCGAAGTTTATCTCCATTTGTTGGGAGCTTCTGGTCTGTGTTGAAATTGCCCGATGCGGTGCTGATTCAACGCAACGTCATTTCCTCATTTGCCCCCACGATCACCTCTACTTCCATATCAAACCCGCTATCGCCCACCAGCCACGGCCTCTCGTCTTCGCTGCTGCTCAATAGCGCTCAACTTCAACCGTCGCCATCGGACGCCGTCGCAGATCCCGGCATCAGCATTCTAGCCGTCGCTCTCGTGCCATGGGCAATGAAGAGTCGACCGTAGTGGGTGATTCCACGCCGCCATCCGTGCTCGAGGCACGGAACATTGAGGCGGTGGCCAAGTACATCAAGCAGAAAAATGTACAGCGCATTGTGGTGATGGTATGTCATGCTTCCTATTGTATTGTCTCAACCTATGCATGGCGGAGAAAGCTAACTGATGCACAGGTGGGTGCGGGCATCAGTACCTCCGCCGGCATCCCAGATTTTCGATCCCCTGATACAGGACTCTACGCGAACCTGGCTTTTTTGGACTTAGAAGAACCCGAAGATGTATTTGACATTAGCTTCTTCAGAGAGAACCCGAAACCGTTCTACGCATTGGCGCATGAGCTCTACCCGGGTCGCTATCGCCCGACGATTGCCCACTCGTTCATTAAACTGCTCTACGACAAGGGGATGTTGCTGAAGCACTTTACGCAGAACATTGATTGTCTCGAGCGCCAGGCCGGTCTTCCGGGGGACATGATTGTTGAGGCCCATGGCAGCTTCGCAACCCAGCGCTGCATCGAATGCAAGACACCCTATCCCGATGACGAGATGCACCAGGTGGTTGAGAAAGGCGAGGTGCCACACTGTGTGGTTCCACAGTGCAATGGCCTGGTCAAACCTGACATAGTGTTTTTCGGCGAGGCTCTTCCCGAGAGTTTCTTCCAGAACCGTTCCCTGCCGGCAGAGGCGGATCTGTGTATTGTTATGGGGACTAGTCTGTCTGTGCAACCGTTTGCCAGTCTCCCCTCCCTCTGCCGCGAGGGAACGCCACGCGTGTTGATCAATATGCAACGGGTGGGTGGTCTTGGGTCAAGACCCGACGATGTGCTGGTCCTCGGCGACTGCGATGCTGGCGTGCGGACATTCGCGAAGGCCATGGGATGGGAAGCTGAGCTGGAGGCCCTCTGGGAGGAGACCAACCCCGACCCCAAGGCCCGCGAGGCCGAGACCGCCCCACTGCCGACCCGGGACGAGCGGCTCCAGGAGGAGGTGGATCGTCTGACGCAGGAAGTTGAGCGCACACTGGGACTGACGGATGCATATGAGCAACGGGTCCGAGAGCGGTTAGGAGAACCGAACAGCTCGTTATCTTCGAGTGGCTCCGAGGAAGCAGGGCAAGGGCTGGCGCATGTGTTTCCGCACTTGGCGCGCCAACCCCGGTAGATCGTGAACCCAACGACGCTCACCGCTTGCGTCGGCTGGTCTGGCCCAGTTGTTGACACCCACGAAGATCGATCGCACGATTCAAGACATCTAATGACAAAAAAAAAATTCATGTCTCATACCTCACATGACAGGTCGAACAGCTGTAGTTTCGTAAAAAAGCTCCCGGAAACACTCTCGGCGGGCCCTGGGTTTAATTCGGGGAAACCAAAATCAGAATTGACTTTGCTTGTTGTCACCGCAGCCAAATCAAGCAAGGCGATCGCGGCCCCACGTTCATATCGTCATTCCCTCCCCCTCTTCCCCTTCCTTCATCCCCGACGTTTCTTTCCCCCAATTTGCTACAATCACCACACAGCTATACATCCATCATGGTTGGAATCGGTCCTAAGCAGCCGCCGTCCCGCAAAGGTGAGCTTCTTGTGTCACTAGTCAGCTCCAGGACCATACTAATCCCTGTCGGTCCCCAGGGTCTATGCACGACCTGCCGCAGAACCTTCTGCAACAGATCAAGGATTTCGAAGACATCTTCACCGTTGACCGGGCGAAGCTGAAGCAGATCGTGAACCACTTCGTCAAGGAGCTTGAGAAGGGTACGTTTATTGTTACAAGGCGGTTCATCTTCAAAGGGATGGGACTAACGACAACAAACAATAGGCCTCACGGTCGAGGGCGGCAACATCGTAGGACTCACCACCCGACACTCCTTTTGGATTAGGGCACTGACAAGTCTTCGATAGCCGATGAACGTAACCTGGGTGATGGGCTTCCCTGATGGGAACGAGCAGGGTACCTTCCTGGCCCTGGATATGGGCGGCACCAACCTGCGTGTGTGCGAGATTACCCTGACCGAGGAGGAGGGTGCCTTTGATATCACCCAGTCCAAATACAGAATGCCAGAGGAGCTTAAGACTGGTACCGCCGAGGAGCTGTGGGAATATATTGCCGATTGCTTGCAGCAGTTCATCGAGTTCCACCACGAGAACGAGAACCTCTCCAAGCTCCCCCTGGGTTTCACCTTCTCCTACCCGGCCACCCAGGAATACATTGACCACGGCATTCTGCAGCGCTGGACTAAGGGATTTGATATTGATGGTGTTGAAGGCGAGGACGTGGTCCCGCCCCTGGAGGCCATTTTGAAGAAGCGGGTATGTTTTGCTTCGATTGGAGATATTTGGAGGCGTACCAGAAGAAGAAAAAAATCTTTGGCTAGATGTGTTGTTTGGTATACCTTACATTAACTGACTGGATTGCGTTATAGGGACTGCCCATCAAAGTCGCTGCCTTGATTAACGATACCACTGGAACTATGATTGCTTCCGCCTACACCGACCCGGACATGAAGATTGGCTGCATTTTCGGAACCGGCGTGAATGCTGCATATATGGAGAACGTCGGCTCTGTTCCCAAAATTGCGCACATGAATTTGCCTCCCGATATGCCCGTTGCCATCAACTGCGAGTACGGCGCCTTCGACAATGAGCGGGTGGTGCTCCCTCTCACTAAATATGACGAAATCATCGACCGTGACTCGCCTCGCCCCGGCCAGCAGGCCTTTGAGAAGATGACAGCCGGCCTCTACTTGGGTGAAATCTTTCGTTTGGCCCTTCTGGACCTCATTGAATCCCGTCCAGGCCTTATCTTCAATGGCCAGGACATCACGAAGCTGCGCAAGCCCTACCTCCTGGACGCATCCTTCCTGGCTGCTATTGAGGAGGATCCGTACGAGAACTTGTCCGAGACCGTTGATCTCTTTGAGCGCATGCTCGGTATTCGCCCAACTCAGCCTGAGCTAGAGATGATCCGTCGCCTGGCCGAGTTGATTGGCACCCGCGCTGCCCGTCTGTCTGCCTGCGGTGTCGCAGCTATCTGCACGAAGAAGCAGATCGAATCTTGTCACGTCGGTGCTGACGGCTCTGTCTTTACCAAGTACCCCCACTTCAAGGCCCGCGGTGCCCAGGCTCTCCGCGAGATCCTGGACTGGGCTCCCAACGAGAAAGACAAGGTCTCCATCATGGCCGCCGAGGACGGTTCCGGTGTTGGCGCTGCCCTGATTGCCGCGTTGACTCTCAAGCGAGTCAAGGCTGGAAACCTCGCTGGTATCCGCAACATGGAAGAGATGCGGACCCTGCTGTAAAGAAAGGTGGCATGGATTTCGGCTTCGTCACCGAAACTGAAAAGAAAGAAAAAAAAAAAATACAAAACGCCCAAGAGGAATGAAAAGAGGGCAAGAATAACGAAACATGGGGTTTAAGAGATCAATTGCAGCGTGACTGTTATGAAGTTTTTTGGGTTTAATTTTCGGCACGATCTCATTGGATTGACGTGAGACTATGGATCATGATACGAGATGCATATTGGCCTCTTTTGGCCGGTCAATAGAGTACAGGCTTGTGCTTTAGGGTAGTATATACCGATATGATCAATGAAATACTTGTTGCCTTTCTGCTTCAAAATCAAGTGAGGTATCCTTTCTGCTGATAATTTAGATGTAGATGTAGTTGTAAAAATCAAATTTAGTGTCTGGAAAAAAAGGTAGCGAATGAGTGGTCATTCACGCGGTAGATCCGACCCCGGATATCTATGGGATCGGCGAGATGCTCTCTGGATGTCGATAACACTTTGAGTGCATTTATTAAATATAAACCTTTATCTGCCACGTTCAACCATACCATGAGAAGGAAAATCCCAGAGAACCACACATGCTCCGTAATATCCTGTTTGTTCTCGGTAAATGTCCGAAAAAGAAGCGGTTTCAAGGTCACTAAACACGCAATCGGCGCATCGATGTCGTGATCCGCAAGCTCCTCCACCAAACCTTGTTGAGCCACATGGCCGGTTGAATTCAGGAGCCAGATATGCCGGAATGGACTCAAACTCCATGTCATGCTAGCAAAGGGCTGTTCTTCACTGTCATAGGACAGCGGTAATCTTCGTTCTTCTTGGTCGCGGGGGTCACCAACATGCTGGAGCATCTGGCCGAATCACGGTACATGTTTTGCACTGAAGACTTGACGGCAGCAACTCCACTCCACCTTTTCTTTTAACAAATACTCTAGCTTTGTCCCCCTGGTACCGCCTAGTGTGGGGTCCTCTGGCGATGTTGTGCTTTCCCCACGCGGCCTAGTAGGCAATGCTGCTCTATAAAGTCTCCGACTCCGCGCCCAGGGTGTCAGCCGATCCTTACTTCTGGTCTAAAACCTTGATAGAGCACCCAAAAAAGATTCTGGGAAGCCATATATTACCGGGAGATGGCACACTTGGAAAAGGAAGTCGAGTCAGGGACGTCGCCGGCTATCATGCCCGTGGAGTCTGGTCATGATGACAGTTATGATTTTTACAAGCAGAACCGAGGGATTGAGTACACGGCAGAAGAAGCGAAGAAGACTTTGCGAAAAATTGATATTCAGCTTATACCTTTACTTTTCGTGATATACATGATCCAGGTATGGGGTTAACCCGTCTTTGGTCCGTGGCAGTCGCTAACACGATGAACATAGTACCTGGATAAAAACAGTATCAACTTCGCTTCTGTATACGGCCTCAAGGAGGGCACCCATCTTAAGGGCCAGGAATATTCGTGGCTCAGTATGATCAGAGACCTTCTCTCCGTTCATATATATTGTTGTGCTGACTGAGATCAGGTTCCATCTTCTACTTTGGCTACCTCGTTGCCCAATGGCCTGCAGGGCTGGCCCTGCAAAAACTCCCGGTCGGAAAATTCCTAGGCGTCACAACTCTCAGTATGTATGAGAAAGCTATTGAAAAAGAGGTGTTATTGATTATCAACAGTATGGGGTGGCCTCCTGATGACTACTCCGGCATGCCATAATTTCGCAGGCATCGCCGTCAACCGCTTCCTCCTCGGTTTAGTGGAGGCGGTCGTGAATCCTGGGTTCGTTCTTATGATGAGCATGTGGTATACATCCAAAGAACAGCCCCTTCGCCTGGAAGCGTACTACTGCACCAATGGCATTGCCACGATGTTCGGCGGGTAAGTTCTTGAGATTTCCCTTGTGTTGTGGATTCAGACTGAGAAAAGCAGGCTCATCGGATATGCTGTCGGACATATCACCACAGGCCTTCCTAAATGGATGTATGTGTTCCTCATTTTCGGCGCTTTCTCAATTGTCACCGGTATCTTCGCCCTTTGGTTTCTCCCTGATCTCCCATCTACGGCGAAATTTCTCACCCAGCGCGAGAGAGCCATCGCTGTGGAGCGAGTGGCTGTGAATCGACAAGGCGTCAAGAACCACAAGTTCAAGTGGTACCAAGCGTGGCAGGCTGCCAGGGACCCCAAGACTTGGCTGTTGTTTATTATGGCTGTTGGTGCCCAGGTACCGAATTCAGCCTTGACCAGTGTATGCACAGCCTTTTCCAAACCCAGGAAACTTAATACTTAATAGTGGTTTAGTTTACTTCCATCATTGTCGGCTCCTTCGGCTTCGACACATTGGGAACTCAATACCTGCAGATCCCCGGTGGTGCTGTGCAGTTTCTTACTCTCATTTTGGGAGGGTTTATTGCGACAAAATATGCCGATAAATTCCACTCCCGCACCGTCTGCATGATTGTCGCTAACTTGACATGCATCATTGGGGCTGGACTGCTGGTCGGTCTTCCAAGCTCAAATAAGTGGGGTCGACTAGTTGCTCTCTGGCTTTGCTATTTCCAGGGCCTTGGATTTAGTATGGGACTGACAATTGTCAGCTCCAATGTTGCTGGATACACCAAGAAACAGATCACGGGAGCTGTACTGTTCACAGGCTACTGCGTTGGAAATATTATTGGGCCACAGACTTTCAAGGACAGTGAGGCCCCCGGCTACCACAGTGCATACGTCGCGTAAGTGCAAGCATGCTTCTCTTAACCGTGGTATATGGCTGACTCAGAGCTCAGTATGCTTGTGGGCTATGCTATCAAGTTTGTTGCAATAGTGCTTTTGTATGCCTACATGTTTTGTGAAAATAAGCGAAGGGACCGCGAGGCACTTGCTACCTTGGAGTCCGAGGATGATGGCGTTGAGAACGGAATGCTGGTAAGTCTAAAACTTCGTTGCTTGGCCGTGTATTTGAAGCATAAACTGAAATCTTTCAGGACCAAACGGAAATCGACAACAAAGCGTTCAGATACGTGCTGTAATACAATTGAATTGTTCCTACAAATTCACGGTGACAATGAGGAAAATATGGTACATAATGAGCTTGAGGCAACTCCATGGAGTATTATTAACATCTAAAGATAGTATATTATGCGAAACCATCGCTTTCAACTCCCAAGTGGTTATTCAGTAGATGATTGAAAAACTTTGCGAGTATGGTGGTTTACCTCCCCTGAACTCTCCCACGATTAGGATGAAGCTCGGATTATGTCCTCTGAGATTTTCTCTGCTAGCATATCTATTCATATAGTTAGGATTGGTAGCCATACCGAGAACATATTTCGGATTAACTCACAAACTGATGACTGAGGGTGCCCTGGTGGTAGAAAGGGAAATGCGCTGGCATCCACAACACGCAGTCTCTGTACTCCGTAAACCCGGGCCTGGGAATCAACCACGGCCATATCGTCGTCGGAAGTTCCCATCTTGCATGTACAGGCAGCATGCCACAGAGTCATTACATTATTCTTGATGAACTCGAGAATCTCAGAATCGGTTTGAACATCCGGGCCCGGGAGGTACTCCTTTCCGATTATGACGGGCGCCATAGCTTCACTCTGGAATGCCTGTCGCATTCGCTTGAACATAGCAATGGCCACTTCCTGGTCTGCGGGATCGCCCAGCCAATTTGGGTTAATCACAGGTAGGTCCGAAATATCAGCCGACTGTAGCGTGACGTTGCCTCTGGACAACGGCGCAATCAAAACACCAAGCATGGAAGCATATTGATAGCCATCCTTCGGCTGATCTGACAAGAGATTGGACACATTACCGATATATCCAGCCCCAGAAATATACTTTGTACATGTTAATTGTGTTTTGACCTCAATCTTATGATTGTTGCATTTTTCATACCTCTGCTTCAGGCCAATCAGAGGGAAACCGAGATAACGCTCGAAGAGTTGTCCGCGTGAAATTCGACCTCAAGGCATGGGGGATCTTTTCCCAGGCCAGGTAATCCGCGACCGGGTTTGTTATAGGTCCGCTCTTGTCCAATATTCCACTGACAACTTGAGCCGCAGCGTAAAGAAGATTGTTGGCGAATTCAGTGAGCGTGGATACTCGCACCCGATATGCAGGAGCAAAGAATGGGTGATCCCACATATTTTGACCCACGCCAGGTCTGTCCGCAATCACATCAATATTATGAGCTTTCAATTGATCAGAAGGTCCCACACCGGACACCATCAGCATCTGCGGTGATTGAAAAACACCCGCAGAGATGATGACTTCCTTGTTTGCTGAAAGAGTAACGGTATTTCCTAATAGTCCATTAACTTGAACCCCAGTCGCTCTTTTCTGCTCGTCAAAAACAATTTTCTTCGCGAGTGTTCCGGAGTAGGTTGTCAAGGTGGATGGGGTGATTGAAGTAAGGAATGAGGCCTGAGAACTACTGCGGAGCTCATCAGATGGGTTGATGGTAGAAGAACAGTACTGGCATCCCATAAGGGAGCCTGAATTAAAGTCTTCAACTTCATCTATCCCGATTGCCTGCATACCTAGGTTCATCCAAGATGAAAAAGGCTGAGCATAATTTGCATAGGAGACATGTAAGGGACCGCCACTGGAGTTGAATGCATCCGAATTGTATTCTGCCGTGGCATTGGAGGCTCTCTTCTGTGAATTCGGTGGTGTAAACTGCACACTTTTCTTGTACAGAGGAAGGACTTCATCGAAGGTGTAACTCGTGTCATTGACTGCATCCGCCCATTGTTGCATTGCCCCGCGAGTCGGCCTAAGTAAAGTGTTCAATAAAAGCGAATTTGAATCATGAGCATTGTTGTCTACCTTTGATAGATCATGAAGTTGAGAGCAGAACTATGAACGTCAGTCCAGCTCCATGATGAATTGATATAAAGATGTACGATAGGTAACCACTTACGACCCTCCAAGGCACTTTCCTCGCGCATAGTGTATCGCTCGTCCATTGGCCCCAGGCTGACCGCTTGTGACGAATCCCCAATCGATTGCTGATTTCGTAGTCGGGTCAGACCCTACTGGTAAAACATCTGCCGCAGGAACCTCTGCCAACGATTCTAGCTCATATAAGACACCTGCTTCAACCAATGCTACCTTATAAGAGTGCTGTGCTAATCGCGTCGCGACGACAGCTCCACCTGTACCACCACCTACCACCACATAGTCGAATGTCTCGTCGACAAGGGGGCTTGTTAGAACCGTACTCGCGTGAAGTGCTAGGCAGAAGAGCGCTGCAATAAGCAACATATTGAGAGGGAGAAAAAGAAGAGAAATCAGTAGGCTACGGCATCGTCGCCTAAAGAGGATGTTAACAATACTTAAGTCAAAGCCCCTGACGAACTATGTCTTGGGGGCCATGGGCTGGGGTTTGAAAATGTCCGACCCCACTGACTCCTTGGCCACGGGGTGACGACCTATGCAAGGTGACGAAGCTAGCCGAATTCCATCAATTGAGGACCTGCAGCTTCATTTAATTAATGCATGCCGATGACAAGGTGCATTAACTAGTTGTAAGCCGATTTTTTCTTTTTCTATTTGCCAAAACGACTCGAAAAATAAGCATCCACAGGTCCGTATTTTTGACCGCAGTTTGGCTCAGCTACTCTCAAGGTCAATGCGATGCCCTAAAATTGGCACAATTAAAAATTGAGTTTCACGTTTCAGAGGTTGTGAGCTTTCTCAAGCCCATTCCAATTTCGGGACACGCGTCTCGACTTCGGCAGGTTCGGATCTTGCAGGAAGGATGATGCTAGCACGGTGGTGAGATGCACTAAACAGGGTTTGTCCCTGATTATGATTCATATCGTTCCACTCAATAGCGGGGCCGGTTTGTTTTTAGATCGTTGGCCAAGACGATCGATACCGCATCGACGCTAACTTCTTTTCTCTTCGGCTAGAGAACAGTGCAATCGGGATTTGATTTGACCCCAGCCATCTAGTTTGCGTCATATACAGTAATTTAGAAGACCAAAAAAATCAGAAACACATTTACACCCTTTCTGACATGCAAAGTATTGGCCACACTGAAAGGGTTTTAACAAAGCTTAAGCAATTAATATTCCATGCGAGGCGAGACATATGGTAAAGTATGTAGTTGTAACAAACTATCAGCTTTACATCATCTGAAACTCAGTACCAGCGTAGGCGCGATGAGCTGTATGACCGAATTGAAGCCCCCGAGGGCTCTTAGCCAGTTGAATCAACATCATTGGTACGTTTGTCTTCGACTTCAAATCAAAATTTGCTCCTAGAATTCCACTACCAATACTTTAAGGTTCGTCTGAATTGGCTTATGAACTAACGAGAATGTTATTGAATCATAACGACCTGAATTATTCGCCACGTGTTATGTACCTGCTGGGAGGCAGGTAGTCAATAAATCAACATCATTCTATATAGATCTTATTCGCCGGCATCTTATCAATCAGAAATTCCTTCAATATTGCAGTTACACAGATCAAACTTCAATCATACTTGTCAGGGAAATCTTTCAAAAGTAGGCACCCCATGTGCAGCACTCGGCTGGACATTTATTCCGATACAAATCCGATACAGAGTCGAAATAAACGAAACAAGTCCGATACATATCGTAGGCAAGCGGCTGTTTAAGGCTGCCATCATTTTCGGCTCTGGGTCAACATGTCCCACGATTTCTAGCAGTTTCATTAAAAAATCAAAGAATAGTGACCCAGATCCTCTGCCAATTCCGGATACTCCGCATTTCACTTATTAGGCTTTGGGTACCAATCGAAACCACACATGATCACGTGAAGTATGAATAGGCAGGGAGACTTGGGTTTGTCTGGAATACGGCACTTGAAGGACTACTGTTTTCAATGAAACTATATCGCTCGCAGAATATGTGTATATTATATTATTGTGGACAGGATCCCTTGATACCTCCCCTGTTCTTCGCACTCGAGGCACGAAGTACATAGATGTAGGCGAAATGACCGTGCTTTAATACCGTCACGCCAAAGTCCTGTATTGTTTCCGGGTCAGTTTTATCGGAGACAGTCACACGGCCTTACCAACTTTTACTCTTTACAACTATCAATAACCAGATATTCCATGTCATGATCCTGGAATGTCAGCCCTTGGTCGTCGGCGTAACCGCTCATTGGCTTCCTGTGAGCCATGTCGGAAGTCCAAAGTTCGATGCGATCACCAAAAGCCGATCTGCGCATCCTGTCAACGGCGTGGCTTCGGATCTGAATGCTGGTACCATCCTGCGCCACTCACCAAAACACGCAGTAGTCACCGGACAGCCCTCCCAAGCCCATTCAGACCAAATCAGATTACCCATGATGCACATATTACCACTGAAGATATTCGGCAAAACGCTTTGAACAGTCCATTGGGTGGGCCTCTGCGATTCCATTCATGGCCTTTCATGGTGACTGAGCCTAACGCGTCAGGAGTCCAGGCTTTGGTCCACTCTGCCAGTGATCAAAAAGTCTGCAGTAACCATTTGACAGACATGATGGAAATAGTCTCCCAGTTGAAGTTCCTGCCAATGATCGAGAAGTTGCTTCAGGACTTCTATTCGTTTAATCAGCTTAATCTTGTGCCGAAAGAGGTCCTATTACAATTGTTAGCTTCGGTTCGGAAGCAAGTTGAAGGCTGCGTTGGTAACACAGGTGGAACGACCGAATTGATAGAAATTCAAGGCCTTACTGACTTGGCAAAAAATGTGGTGCGTTCTTCCTCAGTGGAAACCACCATCTCCCAGTCCCTTGATGTTCGGGGCTTTTGTGCATTATTTTCAGGACTCAACCTGCGAGTTGAAACGCTTGGTCTTATTTACACCATGACAGCACGGGCAGCATTTTATTGTGGAAATGATACTATAGACAATCAATTTATACGAGATATGGGTGAGTATAGCAACAAGGCGCTACGGCTCGCACGGGATCTTGCACCGCGAACAACCGACCTAATGGTTTGGTTGGCACATGAAAATTTACAACTTGCAACTTGTTTTGAAGGGGATGCAAGTGAGTTTCAAAATGATCAAGAATATGCGTATTGTAGTGCTAATATTGTTTAGGTCTAGGCGTTTGGCGAAGATTAGGGGATCTCGCTACAGATCTGTTAGCGCTGGGGCTAAACAGAGAGGCTACATATTCTGTGGACCTAGCCCCTTTCTTTCTTTCAGAATGCCGGAGAAGATTCTTCGTAACCGACTATTATCTTGATAAACTATTTGCAATGATTTTCAATCGGCCTCCACGGATCACCGCACGGTATGCAGACTGTAAGCTACCACTTGATCTATCGGATGATGATATTTTTGCCTCGACTCCAGAGAAACTGGAACAGGCAAAGTCAAACCTGAGCGAGGATGGGTGGAATATGGATGAAAACTATAGAACTGCCACATGGGCTCGAATGCGCTATGTTCTAAGTCAGTTTCGGGAAGAGATTGTGGAATATCAATATCAGTCGGCTCAAATCACTGATCCAGCCCAGTTGAGGTATGTGAAATAGTACTGGTGATAATAGGGCAGACTATCTCATAATCTTAGGGATATATCTAAAAGGTGCTATGAAACCTGGAATAATTTGCCTCGCCATCTGAAGTACAACCAAAACTGCTGGGAGTCGAGTCTACCACCCACTACTTGCTATATGCATGCAAAGGTGTATATTTCGTATCTTCACATCCACTTTCAGATCTACCGATTGCTTAGGGAGGGAGACGGCTTTCCGTCACCAGAATTACTAGAGATCTCAGGAAATATGCTTGAAACACTGATTGAGCTGGAAAAAGTGCGGAACAGAGGAGCTTTGACACCTCGTGATCATCCCGGAATAGTAAGACTCAAATATTACGCCAAAATCATGATAATTCAAACTGATACTCTCCAGATTCTTTCTTATGGGCTCCCCTGTGCGTCTGTCATCTTAATGGCACTAGAAAAGGTGACCCAGGATAATACGATGAGTCTTCCGCCTGTCGTCAAAAGCTCCGTTTTGATTCGGAACCTCTCGATCCTGGTATCACAACTAGAGAACGTGTCTGGTCCCCGCGAGGTGAATCAATTATTTTGCCTTCAAGCATCAAAGGCAATATCACGGAAGCTTGATAATATCTTGGATTCATTAACCGGCTCTAATTCATTGATGTCGCCCGACACTTCGACAGACCAATCAACGACTGATATTCCCAGATTTCATTCAACGGACTCGAACAATGTCTCCTTGCATACCATGCACACTGACTCTTCGCTTCTTGATGATTTTGACACTATCGATATGTTTTCGTGGGCTGTTGATAGTGATCTGGGAGCATCAAGCAGCGAATGGAATTTGTTCTAGATATATTGAGTTGCCATTGTCTTGTGCTGAAAATCAAACTTGTAAGTCTTGGCAGCTAGAAGCCACTGAAAAGGAGGAATATATGTGAAATATTCGCGTCATATATTGTTTCAAGCTTAACATTTTGATGGTGAATTATTTGGAGCAATATTTTCCAGAAGGATTACTACTAGTCGTATGCCTGCGTGCCTGGCTAACAGCTCCACAGCCCATTTAGCCTCGCTCCCCGGTAACTAAGTTCATCAACATTACACATACCACCACCCTCGTTTCTCCTGATTGAAATTCAAGAAACCCATCATTCCGAATTAAATCTCTATATTGTGGAACTATTGGGTTTCAAGGGCATGTCGAGCCAACCTATCAGCAGCGTATGTTTCGTTTATTCAAATTCATCATTACGGCTACTTCAATGGCCCTGAAGCACTCTCAGGTCCTAAAAAGATTGATAGACTCCGCGAGATCGAGTCCGCGGATCTGGTGGCTGCGATGGGACACTTGAAGAACCACACTTTCCGCCCAGTGACGGACGACCTGTTTATTTTCCAGGGGTTTACAGAGTTTCATCGCAGCGGGGCATTCGCAGAGCAGTTCAAAAGGCGTGATCTGCGAATGCTAATTGGCGAAGTCCTCAATGAAGAGACACTTTACGCGACGTACAACAGCCCGGCGTCGAATCTAGATTCCCTGCGGTTGCAGGTGTCAAACTACTATGCCCCTGAGATAACTGAGCGAGTCTTGTAATCGTACGAATTGCCTCTTAGCGCGGATCCTGATGGGTGGAAGACGCGTTATGGAAATATAATTGCAGACGGGCAAGTCAGAGCTCCGTCTCGCTGTTTGATCCATTGGCTCCACAGTCAAGGCGTCCCTCACGCCGATATTTGGCGTTACCGGATCGCGTATCGGCTGTCCTTTATCACGGACAAGGTAGCACCGTGGTCCTTTGGGGTATCGCATGCTATGGACACGCCTTTCTGGAAGTGAGTGGTGATTGGATGTTCAACCTTGGCTAATTAGTGAGATGCGCCATTTGCTGACGGACGGTAGCTAGTTTTTCGATTCTAAATGGCCCGACAGAAGCTGAGAGGACATTGATGGAGAATTGGATTCAGGTGCTCAAGGCATTTGTTCAGGATAATCGAAGATATGACTTTGATACATGGGCAATCGGCGAAATGAAAGTGGCCACACCGGAAGGCACAATTGAAATCCAGAGGGATGAGCGATGGCCCAGCCTAGTTCAACTGGGAGAGGTCTTTGCGAACGACCTGTAGGTGCATTCATGCAGCCCACAAAACGAAGATCGACAGGTCGGTCAATTCTCGGCGTGTTAGAACTCTGAAACCTGTGTCGATTTTCATCTCTGCAGAGCCGATGTGACGATGCCCCCACGCTCAGCCTAATTGGGGTAAGTTAGAGTTATCGCTATCGGGGAACGCGGAGAAGGTTGTTTATACCCGTCCTCCGCAAAGAAAAAAGAGAAGAATAGGACAAGATGTACATTTCTGTCACGGAGAAATTAGGCGAATCATATCCATCGTCATCTCTGCAAGGTAGCAACGAGTCCCAATTCAACCCAAACACATCCCTTGACGTCTGCATCTCCACTTCTGCACCAACTGTAGCAACTTCCCCCGTCGATCCATTCCACCCATAATATTGGGCATCGTAGGAGTCGCTGCACGATGCAAGTCACAACGCCATCCGGGTAGAAAACTCCGGACCCTGGAAAACAATTAATCGGCTGTTGATCATCCCACGCGCCCTGAATCAATACCTTCCAGCCCTCCTGCAACCCCCCGCTCTTCCTTCTTTCCATCCTCATCCCCGGAACAGCTCTGCAGCGCCAGCTCCGGTTCTCACCCTCTACCGCGTGAAGTGTGTACCAACAAGCACTATTCCCACACCACGCGCCCCCAATTCCTGCTTTCTTCCCCTCAACCAGAAACAATGCAGCTCTTATCAACTCTCATCCTAAGCAGCCTCGCTGCTGCCTCGCCCTCACAGAGTCAAAAGCCCTCCCCGCCCTCCAAACCCTCTACTCTCTGGGCAACGCATTACAATGGCAATGTTTACACGCTCTCCCTAAGCGGCGACTCGCTCTCCCTCGCCTCGGCGCAAAAGACGTGCGGCGATATGCCGAGCTGGCTGACCTTCGATGCGGCCTCACGCACCGTGTATTGTTCGGATGAGAGTGGGACAGCCGCGGGCGGGGGATCGCTGACGGCCTACCGAGCATCGCGAAATGGGACATTGCACCAGTTCGCGAAGACAGAGACAGTCGGCGGCGGAGTCAATAGTGTGTTGTATGAGGCAGAGAAGGGCAAGTTTCTTGGGATTGCGCATTAGTAAGTCTGCTGCTTCTTGTCTACTTCCTGTCTTGTTTTCGGGTGCTTGAGATGGCGTCTACGGGGAAAGCTTGGAGACCTCATTTGGAGGAGAACTGGATCTGGAAAGTCTCTAGGTTTTATTGCGCAACGCTGTCGGGAATATAAACTAACAATGGAACTCCAGCGAGGGGTCGGCGGTGTCAACCTTCTCCCTCCCTCTGAGCGACAACCAGGAGGCCCTGCAAGAATTCCACTTTAATATGACACACCAGGGCACCACGGCGCAGCAGGACTCTCCGCACCCGCACGGGGTCTTCATCGACCCCACAGGCTCGTTTCTCGTCAGCCCCGACCTTGGCGCTGATCTGGTGCGCGTGTACTCAATCGACGAGGTCTCAGGAAAGCTACGCGAGTGTCCCAGTTTGGAGGTGCCCCTGGGAACTGGCCCACGGCATAGCGTGTTTTGGACCGACGGGTCGGACCATGACGCCCGCATGGGCGGAAGTCAGAGCAGCCTCGGGACCGCGGGCGATAAGACGATGATGTACCTCGCGAACGAGATTGGCGGCTCGGTCATGGTGTTTGATGTGGCATATTCACAGGATGGGTGTCTGTCCTTCAACAAGAAACAGACACTGGTGCCATATACGAACGGTACAATGCCGGAGGGAGCCACGCCCGCTGAAATCCGGATGGTCAACAACGCGATCTATGTCTCAATCCGCACCGACCAGGGCTTTGCACCAAGTGACTCCATGGTCACCCTGAGCCGCGCACCAAGCAACGGGGCCATCAAGCTGCGAGATCGTACCTCGGCGTATGGAAAGGTGCCTCGGACGTTTGTGATCAACCAGGCGGGTGATCTAGTGGCCATTGGGAACCAGGCGTCGGCCATGGTGGTCATTGTGCGACGGGATCCCGCAACGGGAAAACTGATCGAAAAGGTTGCTGAGCTACAGGTCGGAGAGCCGGGGAAGGTAGGCTCCGCAGAGGGACTGAGCAGTGTCATCTGGGCTGAGTAAATGGAAAAAAAAAAAAGAAACATCAATCGAGAATGTGGACGTGAATATGAATGAAGAACGTTGAGTGCAACAGAACTGAGCCGCATTGGCCTGCCAGGCCAAGTCCTGCCTCTCCAGAACCATCTGTCCACCCATCCTGTTCTATAGGAATTGCATGACGTGAAAAGGAAACAAGAATCACTGGAACACAAGATCACATCATTTGGGGCATATAAATCAATAACAAACGTATAACTCATGACCAAGATGAAAGGAAACCATACACATGAATTAACATGGAAAACCCCAAAATGCCACCGGAGAAAACCAAGAAATTGAGAATTCAAAGAGATAAGGAGCGGAATAGCACCACGGCTAGAAAAGACCAGCTTTTCCTTAGGTTTTCTTTGTCTTTTCGGAAACCAGCACCGAACATGTAGACCTTTCGATAGAACAAAGTCCATTCGAGGCCAAGGAAGATGCACTGGGCCTTACCCGCAGCGCTGCATGATGATAATTCTTGAATAAATGCAGTGTCCAAAAAAAAGAAAGACGAATGGCAATGTACCATATATATCAAAGCGTCAAATCATTACATCCGTAAACCCGCACAAGCTTTGCCGTCACGCTCATGTGGGAATCACTTCACATCTAGCTGAAAAGCTTTCCATTTGCCCCCCATTGTCCGGCAGCGCGGGCACCCCCGAGCACCACTCGGGTAGCTCGTCGGGCCAGGGGGCGAGAAGTTGTTTAGAGATCCGTTGCCTGGCGTTCGGAAGGCGGCAGGTGGACTTGAAATGAACATGGGCACACATTCACGGCAGACTCCACAGATACACTCTGTACAAGCATAGCATTCGTTCAAGGCCCATGGACGTTTGCAGTGGGCACAATATATCTGAATCTCTTTGTTGCGGTAGGAAGCCGGGGTTGGATTGGAAAAGCGATGGTGCTGGCGTTGTTGCCCCACTGGTGGGATCAAATTCAAGACGGGACTTGAATCCGAGTTGGTAGAACGCGCAATTCCCGAGGCTGATGAAGGAAAGTTTTTCCCGGAAGTGGTAGACATCGAATCCAGAGATGATTCAATTGACGGGAACGGCTCGAGGTCGCTATCCCGATTGCGCCCTTCAAATGGAGGAGGCGTGAGAGATTTGTGCAAGGGAGAAGCGGCGTATGAATAAGGCGGAAACTGGCGATGCGACGAGAGCGGCGGAAGTCCTTGTGCTGACTGGAAAGCTGGTGGTAGCGAAGACCGAGTTTTGGATCCAGATGGTGCCGAGGTCAAGTTAGCGAGCAGTGGGGCAATGGTTGGGGACCGACCAGCCTGCCATGATATCTTGCGTGTCAGTTGGCGCTCATCTCAGAAGGAAAAAGACGATGTGGAGAGGCCATCGCTTACCTCAGAATATCGCTCGTCATCAGCTTCCGTCGCTGAAGTGGCTGCTTCAATCAAATCCTCCCATCGCTTGCCTTGCGCCCACGCAGCCGTCTGCGGCTCTGCCGACAGGGCCTTGCGATCGCCCAGACTGGGGCGGCGGCCGAATTCCTTCGACTTTGGCCGTTCGTGTTTAGGCTTTCGGGCTGACTGCGAGATTGAAGATTTGCGGGGACGGGAGGGTTTGTCTCGTCGCTGGATGGGGGGAAGTGTGGAGGAGCGACCGGGCGGGGAATGGTTCAGAATCGACGGAAGAAGCTCCCGCGGTCGTGGAGACGAAAATGGAGGGAGCGATTCTTGTTTGAAGTGGTCGCGCAACGACGGCAATTCGATGGAGGAGCGCATGCGACCTTGATGAATATCGGTGTCGGAATGAGTATCCTAAAAGTGAGAAAGCATTAGAGCGCCCGATGATCCATACATTCAAGCAGTTGAGTGAAACATGCGAAGAGGAAAAAGAAATGAGAGGGGAGAAACAGGGAGACCAGGAATACAAGAGAAGTGTAACGGAGCAAGTAAGCAAAGAAACGACCAACTAGTAGAAGCATACCATGTCCGTGTCCCAGTCGGATGCCAGTCGATGGTGGTGCAATTGTGCCAGTGCGACGGCCGCGGTGGCCGCGGCCGGGTGGGGTTCATCGAGAGCTCGAGGGGTGGCCGGGGAGCTGGCATCGGCGACATAGATGTCCCTATCCGCCAAATCTGTAGGTATCCGTCAGTAGATCCTTCGGGGAAGCGGACAGGCAAGGATAGCCGCAGGGAAAGAAGCAAGACCACTGACCGTGACGGGGTCGGGGCCGAACGGGATCAGGAGGGGACAAATGCGCCCGCTGCTCGGGCGGGGTGTTGACCATCAGAAGGAAGCTCTCTTCGGTAGCCGGGAGCTTCGGGATGTAGTGGTTCGGATGCGCACGTCGGATATGCTCTTGCATAGAGCGATAGCGCTTTTCCTATCGGCCAGCATGGTTAGCCGCAGTGAACTCGAGATCGTTGCGGAGAGATCGGATCTCGCAGGGAAATTTCCTGGTGCTGTCGCATTTTGTTCAAGTTGCTGATGGTCTTGAAGGTGGGGCTTTTTCGGCGCCCGGGAAAGTAGGAAGAGGGGAGGGGGGGGGGAATGGCAGGGCGGTAACGAGCACACGAAGGGAGGCGAACTTACTCCCAGACATCGCTTGCGACAATTGGAGCCGTCATTATTCTTCAAGGGACACACGACTTCATTGTTGGCGTCCGTGACCGAAAAGGAGCTGGTCAGTGAGCTTCTCGGAGGCATGGTGCATAAGGCCCTCGTTCTCGCTCTTGGCTCTCTTGTTCTCTCTGTGTGCACACCGGGGGAGGAGGAAGAGGTGGCGTGGGGTGGGAAGAGACCAGAATGGAATATCAAGATAGAAGGCGAGAGAGAACAGGACGACGAGGGTTTCCAGTTCGGATGAGCTTCACAAGATTCGAGCGGATCAAGAGGATCAGAGGTTGCGAAAGGAAGAAAGGAAGAGCGGCTCATACAACGTAGTGCCGTCCCAGTAATCGAGTAATCGGCCTGCTTATTTGCAGAATTCACGTACCTTCAGTACACGGGGTACACTCCAAGTACCGGCCGTCATTGGACTCTGCGGGGAGGTACCTACAAGGGACTCGAGGCCGAGGGCGCTGTATTTACCGTAATTACCATACCCCGCGACGGCATGCCTGGATTTGAAGGGTTCCAAATTTTCCAAATTTCCCCCTCTTCCAGCTTGTTCGAACAAGCGTGGACTCCTGAACAGCTGGCACTGAGAGGATCCATCGAAGTCAGCGATGTTAGCGATCACCGGGGCGTTACAGGGATCCGGCCCGGGGTCAATTTCGAGTGCTCGGTTGCGACTACTGTAGGTCCTTGCTGGCCCGCATGATGTGCACGTACAGCATCCAGGCCTCATGTGAACTGACTGTCCAAGACTCACGAACTCTCGAGACTCCCTGGCCTTGCTACAACCTGGATTTCCGAGGAGCTACGAGACGAGGGAACTTATCGACTCCAGTATCCACCGGGATCGGGGACGGAGCTGCCAGTGTGTCGCGTACGGTCATTTTACGCCCGGAAAGCCCGGTGGAACGCCGAGGATCAGCTGTCTGGGTCGAGATTTTCACACAGTCTTTTTTCCGCTGCCATCTATTCCTGGATCAAAGCGAACACAGTGGCATCCAGAGTGAATCTGGCTCACCATCAACGTGCGGCGTTGGGGGGGGCGAGGGGGCAGGTGGTCACGATAGGCGCTATCAGCGGCCCCTCCGAAGCTCTCCCCAGCTCCCAGCTTTCCAGCTCTCAAGCTCTTCCAGAAGCTCCCGAAGGAGAGGAGCTCCGGGTGGCAAACTCCTTAGCGCCACGTTACGCCCGTATTACCACCGGAGACAACGGAGGCGGGATCAGGCCGCGTACCGTTGCCTTCCTGGTCGACCGACCTGAAGAAAATCTCCCCATACAAAAGGAGTTGTCAAAGAGATCTGCGACCGAGCATACAAAGAGAATCAAGAGCGCCCGCCGACTCTCAATACCTGTAGGGAATGGCGAAGAAGTCCCAGCTCTTTCCCCCCGCGGGGGCACCGTTCGCCGTTCGCAGACTGAGGCTTAGACGGTCTGGTTTACGTGCGTCTAAACTCTCGAGGGCTGGAAAGCCCGTCCAACTATACACGCCTCCAATCAACCCAATCATCTCCAGCTAAACATGCACTTCCTGTGTCAAGATACCAGACCAGCTTCTGTGCCCCCCCCCCCAGCGTTCCAATTGCCCAGCTCCCGAGCTGCTCTCCCCTTCGGTCTGTCCCCCTCCCAGCGTTGACTTTGCGCAATGAAACAGCGTATCCCGTATTACCCCGAGACCGGTACGTCTTGTATAACCGACTCCACTGGCACGGCGCACATGCCGATGAAGAGCATCCCAAAGCAGCCTGATTGGCCGGAATCCGGCGCTGCGGAGTCCAGAGTTCGCTATTACCAGCACGCCCATTGGTCTGTGGTCATTGCGGCAAGGGCGCCATCCCGGATGTGGATGGCCGTGCAGGAGGGCAAAAGAGGAGCAGCTGCGAAAACTCTGAGAGCCATTGCAAGAAGCCCACTCCGGGCTGGACTGAACCCCAAACGGTGTGATACCGCAGTCTCGTGGACGGAGTAAGCATCAAAAAAGGATTGACTCCATACCTAGTCTGTAGACCATCACTCCTGTCTCGACGGTACATGCGGTACACGCGATACAACCCCCTCCCGACAGTGTGGAGGAGCGACAAGGGGGCGTGCCCCGAAACGGCGGAGCGGAGATCGAGTCTGGTGGAGCTGGCAAGCACTAGAAACGAATGATACACTCTTTGGCGTGTGCTTCCCTTCGGGGGACGTAATCGTCAAGATGGTTGTGCTGCGGGACAGTTCCTCCGATCGTGATCAGCAATAGGTGGTCCTACTCTACTTGCCATTAGCCCCTTTCTAAAAGAGATCCCCCGAACCGGTGTTTGACATGGCGGTTCTGTCCTTAAGGGTGAATTGAAAGGATATGGTAATGAAAGACAAATAGGAGTCGAAATACGTTGTATACATTACACATGCAAGCTGCAGGGTGATCACCTGTGGTTGCGGGGCCGATCTGAGCTGAAAACACTCGCAGATACCCATGCTTTATAGGTCCAAAGTGCCTATCAGTACAAATGAATAGTCAATATAAGGTTCCATTCTGCTATTGGGACCCTGCAGGATTTCTTGACATGGGAGAAACCCAGAAGCTTTCATTGAATTTCCTTTTCTCTACCCTTTCAAATGTATGAAGTTTTGATTGTCCAACATCGCTAAGAGGGATGGCGGGGTCGCGCTACTACTTACTTCGACCATATTTACTCATATTGAACATGGTCGGAAACTATTCAGACCCCTAGCTTCATCTTTTCACCCCCATTTAAAGAGAATAGTGGATCAATTTTGCTGGAATTTGTTGAAGCTCAATACTTTACGAGGATTTCTCCACCGCTTGAGAACCCATTGACATGCAGATGGTCTCAGCTTATGCCAAAGTTCCTGATCACTACCCTGTTCACCTATAGATCTACAAACAATATACCATTATGTATACGGGTCAGATACTGTAGTATAGTATATAAGATATTAAAGCTAAAAATGCTACAAGGTCAGACATCACCAGAGCATTTTCTGATTGAACACCCACACATGCTTACTGGGATAGTCTTTTCACAACCCACGCATATGTCGACCCATATATAAGTGTAACATGCAAATCTATGTACCAGAAAAAAGAAAGAATCCACAATATCTAATTCTGAACTCACGTACCAGGCCGCCCACATTCGTCATCACACAGATTTCCTGCGTACGGCACCTACAAGACCCACCTACCAGATCCCTTTCCTGCAGAAACGACATACCAACCGTGCCTCAGCAACGCAGGGTCCAGCTACTCAGTCCAGGCAACCTTGTTCTCGCCACTCCCGAGGGGGAAGTAAGAGGGAGACCGGGAACGCAGCCCCAATACAATCCCTACTGACCAGACATCGGTACTCTCAATCAGCCTCCGGTCAAGACCGTCGGGATCTATCACAATTCCGACCGCTTTGCATGCGGCGAAGCCCTCGATCGGACACCCCGGGCAATACTTGCCGAATACGAATCACGCATCCAGTCCACACAAAGGCGTACCAAGAGCTTTGTTCGCGAGCCCTTTTCACGCGGCAACAAGCTCCTCAATTGGCGGCGTGATCAGGCCGCTTGGTGTACCAGCTTGGGCGGCCGGCTGGTCTTCGCCCGCGAAGAAGAGTAGCGCTGCCTCAGCCGCAGCTTTCGAGTCATCGTCGTCGTCTTGCCCCGGTACGATGGAGCGCTGGATTTGCTCCACGTACGAGGCGACCAGCGGCTCGGGCCAGTTCATGCGGCGTCCAAAGGCTTGTGTGAGCTCGACATTGTCAGTGGCGTTGAACTCGAAGTGGCCCTGATATGTCAGCACGCGGCCGGGGCTGTACAGTCCTTGGATCGGGCACTGAGCGCTGCTGCCGATCTTCATCCATGGAGCTGGGAGGGAGACGGAGGACTTGCCAGAGGCGGTAGCAGCGGCGGTGGCCTCGGGCGTAGGTACTACTTGGTCGCCGTGGATTAACTGTATGCGAAATGGACCTTTAGATGATACGCGAGCGAGAGGCGCAAAGTGTGCACTGAAGGAGGGTGTCAAGGTGATGGGCTGGATTCCCATCTCAAAGCCTGCCGCGGCAGGTTCAACGTGGAACGTAGACCTAGCGGTTGATTCTTCCGTGGCGCTTGAGAGCAAGGCTTGCGCGATCAGCTGGTGGCCGAAGCAGGAACCGAACAACTTGACTCGAGGGTAATTGCCGTGGACGATCTGAACAAACGATTGAAGATCTGCGATCCAAGGGTGTTGATCATATGCGGAGACCGCCGATCCAGTAATGAGAATCGCGTCGACTGGGCTGAATAGACTACTAGCATGGGACTCGTCCTGAGAATGAGGTTTAATCCGCAGACAATCCAGTGGCGGCAGTGAGCCGCCCACTGCATCGAATGCCGTGACATGCACAGTCAGTGGGCCATTATGCAGGGTAATATCTGGATCCTGATTGATGCGCGCAGCCGCTGCTTGGAGAAGGACGCGAAACTGAGAGCTATAAAGACCGTGCTTGGCGTATACTGACGGGCAAGGAACGTCTGTGTCTAGCACGGCGACATGGATCCGGTGGTGGGCCATGTGTTAAGGGTCCACAGGTCTGATTTGCGTTCTAAGGCGATAAAATGATCTGATGGTGAGAGGGAAAAATGAACGAAAATGGCGAAAATGAATCTTAATGATGAGAATGAGAGTCGTGCAAAGTATCTCTGCTCGGACTAAAAACAGCAGGGCATGCTTCGTAGTCATTGATAGGGCGTGGAAACGGATTCGTATGCCCGATAAGGGTTTTCAGTGAGTAATCGGGTGGAGAGGGCCACCTCCCAAAGAGGAAGCCCAATCCTGGTTGGCACCGACACTGTGCCAGCGACTGGTGACTGCGCGGGATTCTGTTAGTCATGTAGCCCGCTCTCTAGGGTTGGTGGGGTGCCCAACAGGCTTTGAGAAGGAATTTTGGCGGAAGATGGCCGATGGGACTTGTGCCTTTTTAAACGGATGTGGAGATTTGCAATGTAACGACAAGATCTCCAAGTCGAATTCCTATTGGGCAGAACAAGCAAATAAATAAGCATACTCATGCCAAGATGGAATTAATAGGCAAAGGTAATATATTCCCCGGGTTTTGACTGATCAAGAGCTCAATCTACAATGAGCTTAATTCAGATGTCATCGAATGAAAGAGATTGTAAGATTGACTATTGTTCTTTAAAACTCATATCTTACTTCATTAGTTGAGATACTTTGATCCTTCAAATGATTAAGATCTAGGGATGAATTGGCCATGATTTATTATTCTACTTTTTCTGGACATTTTCCGACAAAGGAGCTTCTAGGATGTAAATGATATCTCTGCTCTTGCATGTTCAGACCTCACCTCTCCCTTTTGTTTCCTGATTCTCGTGTGTCCGTCTCACACCAAGAAATGCAATAACCAATCCAAGCCAGCTATTACCATACTGCACCACATGCCAATCCTGTACTGCTGAAGCAAACTGTGTCCCTTGCTTGTTTCCAAGGATTGGACCACTGAACTTGTCATAGCGAGACCAAAACTACCGCCTATTTGGAAAGCAGTATGTATCATGCCACCATAAAGACTCTGGATGTCAGGTGGCACTGATTCAAGCAATACCACGGTTACAGTGCAAAAGACTATACTCGGACCCATCACGCAAAGGATAGATGTGGAAAAAACATGTTCCCAGAAATTGATGTCTCCTTCTTTCATGAGGGCTGATGGCAGAGGGGCAAGTGTGCAGATAATTACTCCCGCAAGCAGGAGGTACTTGGAATAGAAGTTTTCCAACATCGGAGTCATAAAAAGACACACAATTAGGCCAGTAGCTTCCATGGGAAGAAACCGAAGAGCCGTGTCACCTGGACTGAGCTTGTTGATCTCTTGAGAAATCAGAGTTGCGTCGTAAAGAGTGCCCTGATATCTACCAAAAGCAGCTACTGAGCGTGAGCGGTTAAACAGAAGAATCGACCAAGGTAACTTATTGAAGACACTGAGCCAAGACGCCGTAAAGTTTGGAAGTTTCCACAAATATAATGGCATGATTGAATCTGACGCCTTCGCTTCTCTCCAAATAAATCCGCACAGAAGAAAAATACTCACAAGTAAAGTGACTATGAGCGGTGAACTCCATCCGAGTAACTCGCCGCCGCTGATAACAAATATGAATTGTACCAAGCCGGCCGTCGAGATGGCCGCTCCGGAACAGTCCAATTTTGATGACTTGGAAATTACTCGTTTACTGTTTACTGTTTGGAAGCGTGACATAGGAGAGCGGGAATATCATGCCAGTTACCGATGCAGGAATGTAGAAGACGTATCTCCAACCAAGAGATGCCGTCAAAAAGCCACCTGTGATCAGGCCAAGTGAGAATCCAATTCCGCCAGATGCCTCGAAAAGTGTCATAGCAATTACTCTGTCTTTCTCGACGAAGAAGTTGGTAATGATACCTAGTCCAGAAGGAATCGTCATCGCCGCACCAATCCCTTGTAGTGCGCGAAAGACAGTAAGCTGGATGAAAGAGCCAGCAAGCCCATTTGGCAGCGACCAAACCGTTAGTTTCACCATCCCAAGACAAAAACTAGCTTCCTGCCGTACATGTCGGCGCAGACACCATTCAATAGAAGCAAGCCGCCAAAGGTCAAAATATATGCGGATACCACCCATTGTAAAGTAGCAGTCGCAACATCCAAGTCGGACTGGATTGAAGGCAGAGCTATTTCGACAGTTGTAAGATAGAAGTCATTCAAAAATTGAGCCATACAGGCAATAATAGAAGGAGCGCGCCACGCCAGGACTTGATCACACCTGTACGGTGATCATCATGATGACTTTGTGTTTCTTGTTTACTGCTAGGTCGAGTTATCGGATCTTGCTGCTCTAATGAGAGTCGCGTGGATACGCTTCGTCTGGCATTTAGAGAGTGCGGCCCGTACTACATGTCAATTATGATATGCATGGAAGGTAAAACACGGTGTGTCGGATATTGTCTAATGAGAACACTGTGCTGGATAGGAACTCACCTCAGCTTGGTCAAGGCTAAAGTTCTTGTCTGGACTACAGACTGCCGGGGTGCTGTCTGACATTCTCTTTGGGATACCACTGACTTGTTGGGGAACATAATGTAATCGAATTTCGTATCAGGGTCATTTACTTCGGGCTTTGCTAGAAAAAAAATGAGCCCGACGTCGCAGAGCGTAAACGGCCAGTTGAGTAAAATCCTTCATTGCTCCTGAATTTATTCCAGTATATATAGCCAGATGTCAGTTCATATTGCGAAAATCAGGAGCAGATGAGAAGGCAAGTTTGCACTTTTAACATACTGGAAGATTCATCAACATGAGAACGAAAAGTTTTGGGAAGTTTGATTATACTTTCAGACCTGACTTCGCTTAACAGCGCACCAGGTCAAGTAACATGATCGCTCTGTACTTCTACAGAATCAACAACCATTTCATTCAGCATAGTTTCCAGAATTCAAGATAAGAAAAGTATGAAAAGGGACCATGGGATACAGCTGCTAGCAGATCTATTGTTCCTGGGCAATCGGAATTCTTCCATGAACAGACTACGGTGGCAATTGCTCCACAGTGTGCACAACATAGGTGAGAAGAACCAGATTGGGTGAATATTGCCTTCTCGATCAAGTTATCACAATTTCTGAGACTAAGAAAAAACTTGGTCCGCACCTGATACTTCGCATCGGCAAGAAGTTCGACTAACCGAATCGAGTCACAATACCCTCGGGACCAGACTCATAATCTTCGCTATGATGTAGTTGCCATGCTAGCAAATTGTGTATGTGTGAATTCCGCTTGCTCTGTATTTGGCAATCTCCATCTTCCATTCCGGCTATTGATTGCCGGTGTCACAAAAGGTAATGCCACTCCCATTCCAACACAAATCCGGATAATCATTATCTCACTAACTGTGGGAGTTTGACGAGGTTTATCGGAGTAGAAACGAAGTTGCCGTGGGGCTTTGAACATGTGAGGAAATGTGATTCTCATTTTCTAAAGACCGGAAGAGCTTTCGTCAGACAATTCCAATAGATAATTTTGCGGTCTCCTACGTAGAATGGGGATCTGTGAGTGAGGATGCAACCTAGTTCAACAACAAAAACTTTTCGATCCGAGTTGTCAGCTGTGCTGTGTTAACTCACAAATAAATAGTACTTCTTGGAGGCAGCTGGAAAATATATTTCAGGATATTTAGGACCTCTATGACTCAAGATATCTCATCTCAACTTGGTGATTGTTTACTCAAACCAAAAATTTCAAGTACAACTCCATAGGCTATCATATCCTCTAATAGCTAGTCTTCTTTAGCACCAGTATCTCATTGTAAAAACTTGGTTCTCTTGCTGTGCAGTTTGGACATATACCTATTGTTCTCTTATCCTCCTTTCTGTCACCTTTAGGGAGCGATTCCTTAAGCTGAACGTCAAGTTATCTTGTGAAACCATGTCCTTTCAAAAAGCCTTGCTCAACAATGGCTATGAGATGCCCTTGACCGGGTATGGTCTCTGGGATGTCAGCAAGGCCGTTTGTGCCGATCAAGTTTACAAAGCTAAAAAAGAAGGTTATCGATGATTTGATGGCGCCCGCGGTAAGCCTAGTCAATTATTTCAATCAGGTCATATGCCTATCTAACGATCTTTGGAACAGATTATGGAAATGAAGTTGAAGCCGGACAGGGGATCGCGCGAGCTATTCAAGATGGACTCGTCCAACGCAGTGAGCTTTTTATTGTGTCAAAAATCTGGTGTACATTTCATGACCCCAAACATGTCCAGGCTGCTGTACGCAACCAGCTTTCAGATTGGGGACTAGATTACTTCGACTTATATCTGATTTACTTTCCCATTTCTCTCAAATATGTTGATTCATCTGAAAGCTATCCTCCGGGATGGACAGCTCCCTATGTTACGAACAAAGCCGTGGAACTTGCTTGCGTTCCAATGTATCAAACATGGGCAGCCATGGAGTCTCTGGTTAAAGCGAAGCTCACAAGAAGCATTGGGGTCAGCAACTTCCAGATCCAGCTGATAAGTGACCTGCTTTGCTACGCGAGCATCAAGCCAGCTGTATTGCAGATTGAACACCATCCTTATCTCACTCAGCGGCGCTTGGTTGACTATGCGCAAGGAAAAGGCATTGTAGTAACTGCATACTGTTCCTTTAGACCCCAAACTGCTGTGGCGGCGAATATTTCAGAACCTTCCTTGCACATTTAACACAATAGTATTGAGTTCCATAAATACACAGAAGAAAATGACCAGAAAATTGCTTCATCGAGGTCGACCAATGGTTGTTGACATCACGGATGAAAGTAGCTCCAAGACCCACACTTTCAGGTGTTAGGTTTTTAGAACTAACGTTATACCCCGTTCAGATGCTGAAATGGAAAATTTCCAGAAATTCCACTGTCGCAATGGCTTATTCTATGAAGTCAGGATTCTTTTTGGATCCATTGGGAGCATGCATATGTTTAAATGAACTGATCATCCTGAGACGAACCACTGAGCCTCGATGGGGCGAAGCGAGGTCCACAACTTAGCTGCATAACTAATCAATGTAGCCCCTCCTTCAGCGTGCCAACTCAGCAACTGCAATATTTCACGACGATTCATGGATCATCACCATCTCCTGTACAATGGCACCAGTATCGTCAGCGAGATTAATTCACGATATCCGATCAGTCAATATCAGTCACCCCACCACTACTGCTGACTATCTGGCTAGGCAGTGGGTGAACCCCGGAGACATATTTTCCATTTTGCTGCTTCTTGGCCCTGAAGTCATCCAGCAAGCAGTAGCTCAGCTTGCAGGACGTCAAATAACTCCGGTTGCGTTCTCGTTCGGTTGGGTCGCGTATGAAGTTCGAGCTTTACTTGCAGCTGTTGGCGGTAGTCTATACATTCCCCCTCCAATTCGAAATTGAAGATCGGCATTTAACCTGGAATTGCAGATGGAAAATTGATGCCCCCTGCAGAGAGCACAAGCACAATGGTGATTGTTGCTCAGAGTGGTCACAGTCGGATCACCAATTCATGGGTTCTTGGTAGACTCCTTCGAGATACAAGCGATAAAATGGATGAAGAAATGAGGGGCGAAGCACCTCATCGAAGTACAGGTACTTGGTCTACTTGGAATCCATCATTCTGGAGAGCCATGTTTGGACTGGAGCCGAAATCTGAGTTGCCATCCAAACCATGGGAAGCGCTTCGAATCGAAGTTTATGAATTAATAGACGACGAGGAAATTGAGCACGGGGTGCCAGAAAAAGATGGAATCTGGCTTCTAGGCTTTTTGGTGATTTTTATTCAATTAATCATTGCCATGATACCATGGGTCATCAATAACGAGTGGGGAACCTTCCTAATAACATGCTATGGTAACATTCTCGCATTGTTAACAAGCTCGCTGCCTCAGTGGAGACGTGAGAAGTGGGCTTGTCCAAGGAAAGGCGGCCCTACCGTAACAATCACTGAAGGAAACGGCAGCCGTTTTGCAATGATCATTTTAAGCAAAAAGGGCGTTGGGCTAAATTTCGAGATTTTGGCTCGCGGGACCAGAACTGCACCGGCATCCCTGTTGACGAGATTAGCTACATCATTCTTTGCTGTAAACTGGATCATTCTTCTAATCACAGCAGTAGGCTTGAGTATTGATACCTGGTGTAAGTTTTCTTACTTTTATTCGAAAACTCATTAATGAAGGAAATGAACAGATATTCTTGGAATTGGTACCCTTGGCAGCATCCACAATATCGCATCCGCGGCACTTTCGCGGAGCCCAAGCGCCCTCGGCATTCATATCAGGAAAACTGGGGAGGTTTTTCGCGGACCTCGTGTGGCGGAAGTTTTGAAAACTGCTGAAGAGCGATATCCTGGAGTGGGGCTATCTCTTGTTCCTGTGTTCTTCCCCGGATCGATGCGGGTCCAAGAGAACAGTTTTGGATTTTGGAGGACTGCTCAAGATCGGGTCATGGCCCCTAATAAATGGGGAACACGTATAGATACTCTACCTTCTGCCAATTCTGAAAATTTCGAAATTGACGGAGAAGGTGAAGGTGGGCTCAAAGGAAGGAGTAATCAAGGGGTTTAATCATAAAAATGATCCAACTGCCATTCCACGCGACGATTAAACAAATATTTGAGGATTCCTGATTTTGAAACTGGCCAAGCCCTTGAGTTTCTATGGAACTCGCGAAGATCAAGTCAAATAATTGAACCAAATTTGATATACACGCCTTCTTCCTTGTACCCGTTATTGTATTGGTATTATTTCTAGTTACCTTCTCCAAGAAAATATAAAGACATTAGACTTCGTTGATACAAACCACCTGTATTGTCTCGATAATAGTCGAAATGAATGATAAAATTCTGGTTTCTAATTTTATTTTGATTTTGAGTCGCAAGTTTTCTTACTAGTACCGTTAACCTTCAAAAACTTTCATTATTCAGAATACGAATGGTAATAATCTTCGGCCTCGTCATAACGATCATTGTACTCATCATCATGATCCTCATTTATATAATCGAACTCATCACGCTCATGATATTCGAAGTTGTCTGAACCTCCTGAATCATCAACGAGATCGAACGATCTCACTAGACAAAATATCACAAATCAGTGAATATCTAAGTCCTCATTATTCATGGACTTGCATACCGTAATGGTCCGTGGCATTGGAATAAAGGCCACTGGAGAGGATAATGGCAAAATTTTGACCGTTAGAGAATATCTCAATATCATTGAAATGTTCTTCTTCATTCACCTCGTCATCGGCGTCGTAAAAATAACTTTCATCAATTCCTTCGCCCTTGAGTACTCTAGCATACCGCTTATCATCCTCTTCGTTAGCCTTAGCATTATCTTCGATAGATAAAGACCCGCCACGGTAGCCAAAGAAAGAGAAAAAGCTCGTGCTAGCAGGACTTTCATTTGACTCAATGCTGCCCCCAATATCCGGATGACGATTATCATCATCATCGTCATCGTAGTCGTCGTAGTCGACTTCCTCACAAGCCTGCGTCGCAAAGTCGGAGTCACCATAAACTTTGGCAATCAGCTTGACGAGATTCTTATACTCAGGCAACATTTTAGGGTCCCCCCTTTTTTCTCAGCCTCAGCTAGATCGCAGGCGGCATCTAGTAAGCCCTTGGTAGGGTCGGCACCTTTCTTCCAATTTATACGAACGGGCTCAGAAACAAGACCCGTCACGATACGGCGCTTGCCTGTATTTGTGTGGCGCAATTGTTTCCGCCAGTAGAGGTCTTTCACCAACTGGGTGTTGTCGAAGAAGTTATTTTTCTCCTTATCAAAGTCAAAAATGAAGCGTAAGCTATGAGGGTTGCCGTTGCCTTGCTCATCAAGTTCGAATATCTCAACGGTGAAATTCGTTAGGCAGCTGCCCAATATCTCCGCATCATTTTCTCCAATGTAGTCATTAATGAAATCAGGGGCACAACTGAAAACACGTTTCCAAAAGTCATTCTTGACATCGGGCAAGTTGATAATCTCCTCGCGCTTCTGGTGGATAGGACGCATTTTCAGGACATGATGGCGAACTTTCAATATGCAAGTCATTAGCAAAAAAAATCCTTATTTCTCGCAGTTCTTGCAATCATTCTCTCCCTCTCTCTTCTCTCCCTCTTTCTGATTTTCCTGGGGTTTTAATGCATTAAACTTAGTGAATGGCGTCTGATTTGTAGTTCCCAATTTTGGCCGCCAACTAAATAGATAATTGGACTTTTCGACTGAATTGCCAAGAGTCACGTCGCGGTACAAGAGAAGAGGTCCAATAGTGTGGAAATGGGGAGGCATATTGGGGTGCAGAGGGACTTACGTATCTCGGTATCAGCACGTCGTTTTTCCTCATTAAGAAGAATAATTTTGGTCAAGGCCGCATCAGGGATCGTTGTAAAATCGCTTGTTGGATTCTCCTCGCCCAATTTAAAAGGGGGTATAATCATATTGAATGAAATAATATACCGAATGTAGCAAAAGTGGAAGGTGGGATATTTACTCGCAAGGCAAGCGCTGAGCGTTGTGAATGATCCTGCAGGAGAAAGCAACCCGCCGCCATTTCCCGAGTTTTCTCTCACGCAAGTCCTTTTTTAGCGCAAGGAGGTCGACACACAACATTATAAGCGCCATTTGGAGTTAAGAGCGGGGTAAGTTACGCGTTGAGGGGCCATTTATTGTGTGGCGCTAGCAATGTCTCATTGGGCATCAACTTCCGAGCCACAGAGGCTATTGCCGCCTCTTTTTTTTGCAAAACTTGAGATCATATAGACACGCACGATGCCCTCTAGGAAAATAGGTGCAATCCGAGGCTGTGCGGAGAAAAAGCCCAGCTCATCTCGAACGAATGCCCCCATTTTACGTCTAAAGGCCGCAACAATTCCATTTTGTATGACCCACCCAGCGCCCTGATTCTGGCCCCCACTCTGGCCGTGCTAGAAAGATATGCTGCCTACTCAAAAAATAGCCCGCTTTCCAAGATTCTTATTTATCCAGTTGTCACTGGTTTAGAGAGCATCTCAGGTCATAACTGGGACAAACCATGGAATTGGAGCACGATGAGGTCCTAGAGGCTTTTCAGAGAGCAAAAACACTCAATCTATGTCCGAACCGCCTCTGGACAGTTGCGGGTGAGAATTTACCGAAAGTGCTGCCGGACTGCGACTTGACTCCAGTAGTGGGAGATATTATTAAGGAGCATGAAGAGTGCACAGCCGGTTTTTGCGAGTATTCTCTACGAGACTTTACCTCTGTACAACAGCGTCACGAGTGCAAGAATAACTCAGGTCAGAGGCTATTTATATATACAAGTTGAACGGGTGGAAGCGACTGACAAATTGCTTCATGTAGAGGGCATTGGCTCCGAACAATGTACGCAAATCCAAGGCCGATTCCCGAGCGCCACAAGAGATAAAGCTGCGCTCGAGGGACGGCCTACTGTATGGAACCTGGCTGGAGATGCTATGCTGGAACCCCCTCGGCCATACATGGCGATTTCTCACGTATGGGCAGATGGAACCGGGACCGGGGCCTGGCAGGCTGGAACAGTCAACGAATGTCTCTATGTATTTTTTGAGAGCATTGCAAAGCATTTTCAATGTGAAGGGATATGGTGGGATACGCTTTGCATCCCCCGCGAGAAGGCTGCCCGGACCGTAGCCATCCAAAAGATTGAAACGAACTACGAAGATGCTCGAATCACCTTGGTGCACGATTTGTTTCTCCGCAGCTGGGAGTGGGATCCTCAAACTGCGTGCTTCGCTATCCTCATGTCCCCTTGGTTCAGTCGAGGTTGGACTGCATTAGAGTTGACCAAGTCGAGGAAAATCAAAGTGATATTCAAAGGCCGCCACGGCCCAGTTATCAAAGATCTTGACGAGGAAATTCTTGCAACGGAGGATGACCCTGAAGGGCCCCGGAAAGAGGCATCTCGAATTATTAGGAATCTTCGAAAAGATGTTACAACACTCAAGCTGAACGATCTTTTAACTGTTCTCCGCTCGCGCCATACATCTTGGCCTAAGGACATGGCTGTTATCTCTGCGTTGCTGGTGGGTTTGGCACCAGCTCAGCAGCAGCAAGAGACTTATAGAAGAATTTTGAAAAGATTCGGTCAAATACCGCCTGGCCACCTCTTTCATAATGCTGTCACGATGTCTAAGGGCTTCAGCTGGTGTCCAACCTCTCTATTTGAAATGCCTCTAGACTCGTCCGATGCCTCCCTCAGAGTGTTGGAAAACGGCGATCTTGAAGGGAAGTGGCGAGTTCTTCCTGCAGATCGGTTTGTTGGTCTTGAAAGTAGGTTTTGGTCTGATATCATGCATCCCTTAACTGCACGCGAGGTCCAGCGTGCACTGAAAAACAATCAAAGTTGTCATCTTTTGGCTGAATGTGGAGAACCGCTGATAAAAAGAGCCTTGCTTGTGAGACAAACAAACCTTGCAGATTCCTATCAATACATTGGGTCCTTGACCTTCAGACAGGAAGTCACAAAAGAAGAGGGCGATTGGGTCGAGAAGAAAGTTATAATTTCGGGCCATCGTGAGGATGATCAGCAGCTCAAGCTTAACCGACAGTTGAATGAAGAAAAAATCATAATACGCTCAAAGGCCTTGGAGACGGATAACTCACTTACCATGGCTTCGGAAATTAGCATCTTTCACGCAGCAATATGGCATGGGGACTACAATACCTTTTCCAATTTAATCAAACGAGTTAGTCTGTCCATCCCGGACCAACTCGGACGACGACCACTTCATCTCGCAGCAGAACGAGCAGATGCCCGCATGGTTCAAGACCTCGTGAAAGGGGTTGATTTGAACATACAGTGCGATAGGGGTCAGACAGCGTTGCATAGTGCCGTGCTAGGAGGCTCTGCTTCTGTTGTCACAACACTCTTGCAAAATGGTATTGATCGAAGAGTGAGGGATCAGGATGGAAATACTGCATTGCATATAGCAGCTCAGATGGGATCTATTCGTGTCGTAGAGCTTCTCGTCAACGATGCCATGGATGACAGGGGCCACAACGATCTTACACCGCTGCACATGGCCATAATCAATGGACATGAGCCGGTGGTAAAGTTTCTTGAAGGTGCTGATCTTTGTGTTAGAGATAACAAGTTCGGCTGGACACCACTACACTGTGCGGCAGATTATGGCGATCCTGAGCTCGTCCGACTCCTGATAGAGCGTGGTGCAAAAATTGACGCAGTGGATAACTGCGCTGGATGGACCTCGCTGCATGTCGCTGCGATCAACGGCTATCAAGATGTTGTTTGTCTTCTACTAGAACACGGTGCTCGGCCGACCAAGGACAAATGCGGTTGGACTGTACATCACTTTGCAGAAATAAATCAACATGCGGAAGTCTTGAAACTACTGCCCAGCGAGAGTACCAGTCTTCCCCCAGCAGGCAATCTACCTTCTATGCCACTGCATTCCAGGGCAATAAACAACCAACCGTGCCTAGCGAAGCTGTTAATCGACAAAGGTGCGGACGTCTACTTAAAGCCTAGGGCAAACGGCTGGTCCTTTCTGGAAGTCGCGGCCGAGAATAATCTCAAAACTGCAATCCAATGGCAACTGAAGCATACCATTCTTTCCGAAGCAAAAGAACGCACTAAATTGTTACACTATGCCGCTGAACATGGATACGAGGCGTTAATGCGAATTCTCCTTGACGTGGGGGCCGATGTTGACCACAAAACTAAGAACGGCTGGACAGCCTTGCAACGGGCTAGTCAGCGCGGTCATGTAGCAGTTGTCCGACTCTTACTTCAAGCCGGGGCTGATAAGGAGACAAAACGACCACCTTCTCTTACGAGACCCTTACATCTTGCCGCTGATGAGGGGCACGTGGGAGTCGTCCAGTTGTTACTTGAGGCTAGAGTTAACATAGAGGCACAAGATAGTCTTGGAGCTACACCATTATTTCTGGCCTCTCAAGGAGGACACAAACCAACTGTACAACTGCTGCTCGAGGCTGGGGCAGATTTAAAGGCGAACGGCGAAAATCGAAATACACCGCTGGTTGTGGCCGCTCACAAAGGGCACGACGAAGTATTCCAAATACTACTTCAAGCCCTGAATAACATACAAGACGGAGATGGTTCTAACTGGCTACCTCTACAGCTGGCCTGTGAACTGGGTAGTGAAACCATTACACGGTCTCTGCTCAAAGCTGGGGCAGATCCGTCGAGAAGAAAGAACTTCGAAACCAATACACCACTACATATCGCGGTTGGCAAGAGAAATGAGAATATCGTACGACTATTGCTTGAAGCTGGGGCTGATGTAAACAAAAAAGACATGGATGGTCGCATACCCCTCCACTACGCCTGTTGCCAGCCCAATAAGATTGTCATTCGGCTGCTTCTCGAAGCTGGGTCTGAAATAACGACGAAAGAACGTATTGCTCAAGACACACCATTACATGCCGCCACCAAAACAGGAACCGAGGATGCCATACCGCTATTACTCCAAGCTGGAGCTGACATCAACGTTAAAGGCGAAGATGAAAAGACATCTCTTCATATGGCCTGTGAAAAGGGTGACATAGGAATTATCCGGCTACTTGTGGACTCTGGAGCTGATATAGAAGCAAAAGATATTTTTGGTAGTAGGCCGTTACATTATGCCGCAGGAAAGAGCAAAATTGCCGTCCAGATATTGCTTCAGGCTGGTGCTGATATAGAGGCAAGAGGAAAGCGCGGCCAGACACCACTATTCTACGCTATTAACAACGATCGCCGGGCGGCTTTGGGGCTTCTAATTAAATCTGGGGCTTTCATCGAGGCCACAGAGGAGTCGAAAGGTCAGACACCACTCGCCCGTGCTGCTGCACGAGATAATATGTTCATCGTACAGCTACTGCTCAAGGCAGGAGCTGATATAGATGCAAAAGACAATAAGGGCGATAAACCAATAAAGTGGGCTACTCGTTCCCTTGCTAGCCCTCAACTTTGCCGGTTACTGCGCGATAGATCTAAATAGCAGATTTAAGCTCATATTACTGCTTAAGTCTAGTTGTCACGTTAAGGGGCTTCAGACCTGCATTCCGCGATTGAGTCGATGGCTACTCGAAGATGTTTCTGTCTCTGCTCTTTTTTCAGCTTCGAACTAGGATCCGTTCACTGTGATGCAACCCTTGTATCAGTACCTCTGAGGCTTATCCGTGGGAGTCGAGAAAGAGATCGTTAAAATCGGACGAAGTGTATTCGTTTGACTGTTCAAAAGCATCATCAGAGCAGATGATCATGTGCTGAATTGAGGGGAGAAGAAAGAGAGACTCTCGTGCTAAATCAAGCCATACAAATTTCTAGGATCATTATCTCTCCTCAGGATCATCACCCTGTTCTATATATATATATCACCATGTATTGGTGAACGGTGCTCTACGGGACCGATGCAAGGCAAAAATCGCAAAATAATATGTAAATCTTTTCTCCAAGTTGGTTAGATACGATTTATGACATGGAGTGGCCACCCTATGACCGCCGTCTGATTTACTCAGACTTGCTGTCTCAATAGAATTGAGAAATAAGGCGCTTCTTATGGAACCGAATAACATGACTATGGACTCTAGACACAATATCAAGCTCGTACACTGAAAAGAAATTGGGAGAGTGAGAAAAGAGAGAGGAAAATAAAAAAGAGGTATCATTTTAGAAGCTATCTACACATAATTCATAAGCCACATTAGTCCCTGTCTTGTTCGATCTTTTCACTCTGCATCCAACGGGGCAACAGGCGGCTGATCATCAACCTGGATCCCACCCCGCTTCTTCTCATTGCTGTCCCAGAAGGGCAGCTTCCACCCGCCCTCGCTCTCCGGAGTTGCCAACCAGAGACGCATCAGGTGCCGGCGCGGCGCCGGTGGGGCATGATCGGTGTAGGCGGTGCGCGCGTGTAGGATGTGCGCGTTAGATAGGAACTGGATGTCACCGATATCCAGGACCATGTGCAGTGAGAGACGCATGCAGGTGTCCTCGAGCACCTGAAGGGCGTCTAGCTGCGCAGCAGATAACGGCGGGATAATGCCAGCGTCGGAGAAGCGCGTCAGCGAGCGCACATAGTACGGGTCCCACTTGGTGTAAACGCGGCCGTTCTCGCCGCGCTCCAGGTATACGACGCTCGTGCGGATGTATTCATCCTGGCCCTTGCTGGTCTCGCCCTTGCGGTCGAAGTACCAAATGGGAGAGGCCAGGGTCTGAAGAACGTCTGGGCGTTCAACGGCCAGCGTATTGTATACGTGGTGGGAAGAGACAATGTCGGACTCGCCGCCTTCAAGAGCTTTGGCAATGCAAAGCAGGCCAACGATATCGGAGTCGTCGGCATGGAAGAATTGGCTGGGCGAGGAGGTTAGAATGAAATGGGCTCATTTTCAAGAATTTCGACGGGTGAGAGATGATGAGTGGGGAGCGAGTGAGACATACCGAGCGTTGGTGCGATAGATGCGCACTTTGTCAATCTGAGTCGAGTCTTCGCCGAGATCCTTCACATGGCCCAGGACATGACCACGACTGTTCTGGCTAACGAAATAGCCCAGGTAGGTTCCCAGACCCATATAGGCCACGGCGGACTTGTGGTTGCCCCATTGCTGAACAGGGAAGCCCTTGAACAGAATGAATCCCTTGCCATCAATGAGATCCCTGCGAAGGACCTCAAGATAATCCGCCAGCTTCGGAAGATGGAAGTTACTCTAAATCGCGAGTTAGCTTTGGTTGTCGCTCTATGGAGATCTCCAAGCCGAGGTAGGACCTACCTTCGAAATACCCGTTAGCGGGGTCTTGGATGCCAGGAAGGCATCTGCCGCGTCGCTCAGCTCCACCACTTGCTCGGGGGTGAACGTATGCGTCCACTTCTGGGGGTTCTCGCGATAGTCCTCGGCCTTCCACACGGTGGGACCGGTAATTTGTTGCGGGAAGCGATCGAAAGGTAGGATGTGGTCGTAGAGCGGGGGGTGCTGGCCAGTGGTCTTCAAGCCATCTGGGAAAACATCCAGTGGAACGGCAGCGGCCAAGTTGTGAGGCGCAGTTGGCAGCGCGTCTGTAAGAGCAGGGGCCATGGCGAATGTAACAATGCGCTGAAGGACTGAAAGGAAAGGGTGTGAACTCAAACACGAGGGTGTGAGGGTGGCGCTTATTTATATCGCCGCCGTGCTGCCGTCGACAACAGCGCCGATAGCCTGTTGTGGTGAGGAATCCCATGGTCAGGATGGCGTGCGAGGCCCGCGCTCTCGTTCCCTATAGGACGAAATTGCGACATGCTGTTTCACAGGACGACGAGCAGGCCTGAACGGGTTGGAAAAGGTTGTGTCGTTGATTGGAAATGGCCCGCGCAGATGGCGCAATTGGCGGGGTTCGATGTTGTGATGAGCCGATCGCGGTTGCGCGGCTTTGCCTGGGCTCCAATGGATAGACGCGGGTACGGGCGCGTAGAAGAGGACAGCTGAATCGGCAAGAAAGGCTGTTCTGCAGAGAACAGCATGGGTGCAGATAAGAGGAGCTGTTCGTATACTGGAAGTTAGAATAGGAGGACGACCGGAGTCGATTGAACTAGGCTATACAAGGGGCTGTCGACGGCTGGTCGGTTCCGGCTATACAAGCGGATCCGAGGCTTCGGACCACACTCAATCCCAACCGCTCAAGAAGCCTCGTTCGTGTCCATGACTCGGCCGATAGAGGCTTGGAGGCCAGTTCTCCAGGTTCTGCGGATCGGAGCAAGGATGGGCCAGGGGCACACACATGGCCGGGCGATCATCATGCACTAAGAAGCAGGGATCATGATTTGTTCGAAATCCACGCCGCGTGTTTGGCATAATCAAGTCTCTCGGTCGAGAGATCGGATCTGATAAGTAGCGGAATATTTCCATATGGTTGCGTCTTGGATAGATTTCATACTTCATAACTGAAAATGTTGAGGGTACGTGCACCACTGTCTAGACTATATACATGGCCCGGGCCCATCGGCAGCATCTCTAAAGATCCAGCTTGAAACCAACTTGAAACATCATCCATTCATGATACCATTGCTCTATTGATTGTTCAAGCTTGGAAAGAACCCGACGTAATAGTCTTTCTTGCCTAGCGGAATCCCAGCCTTCCGCAGAATGCCATATGCCGTGTTGAGGTGGAAGTAGATATTGGGCAAGACCACTGTGTGCGCGTAGGCCGCGCCACTCATCTCAACGGTTCCTTGCGGCCCCAGATTTGTCGGTGCAACCGCATCGCCGTGCTGGGTGACGACGTCCCGGTCAGCCTCGCTGAGCGATTGCAGTACCGTGTCAATACGCTGGTAGCATTCGGCAAAGGTCGTCGGGTTGCCGCTGAAAGTGACCGGCTCTCGCCCCATCAATCGGGCGACCAGAAACTCCGAGTATTGCGTCGCTAGCCTTACTTGATCGGGCACGGGATACATGTCCTCAATGAGGCGGGACTCGAGGATCGTGCTAGCATTTGGGCTCTGCTCCGCCGTGTGGAGGATGTGGGACAGGGTCCGCAGGAGGCTCTGAGTCACTGCAATGGCGCTGTCGTAAACACTGTACGCCATGATCTCTGGGGAGTTGAATGGGAGTGGGAGAATGAACAAGGTCGGAGGCAATGAAGATATGGATAATGACAGCTTCCGATCGGCCTTTTTACGCTGACCTTGCTCGATCACGTGTGTTAAATGGGTTCAATCGCCCGTGGGGGCCAGTGATGAGGCGAATTCGAGGGGTCAGAGATGAATGGCCCCCCCAAACCAGGCCTTCTCCCAACGGCCTCAGCAATCAAATCCAACATGCAGTCTGAGGCTTATCCTTGGATACTATAAATATGGCTGTTTGATGGGCATTGACTGTCAAATCCACATAGAGATGCGCTAAACTGAGGATTTCTGAAACGAAATTGAATGATTTCTTATATCATTCATCAGTCATTCTACTTCATGAATAAACTAAGCACTGTTAGATTAGATTGGCATTGAGAGGCAAAATTGATCATAAAAGAAAGTAGTTATTGACAAGACTTGACAACTTTCACAATCAAGACTTTAGGTAATGCCTACATGTTAAACTAGGAAAAGCTCGTATCAGGGTCTTTTAAAGTTGGTTGATTTGGTTTATGAAACCGCTCAGATATTGCTACACAACTACTATCTGACACGCCTATCCTGAATCTTTCGAGGTAAGTGAGAATTTCAAGAGTGACGCAAGTTAGTGTGGTCCGAACGTAGGCAGGAAGCTGCGTGACTATCCAAGTCTGGGCTCATACGGCAATTATGTAAAGTAGTAGGCCGTCCTCCAGGCATCCATCAGATCTAGCAGAAAGGGGGTTTCTGAACCACGTTCGTAAGAATGGGTTCGTTCGGCCCACATTGATCTTCATGGTTCGGTCCATCTATTTTCGGAAGGCACCGTTTAGGATACGAATACGTACAGAATTACCTGAAATGACCGTTCCGTCCCACATAGAAACCATATGCCCGAGGGACGGTGAATTTTCGGGCAAGGATGAGCATGATCTTTTAATAGTCGCTGGACGGTTCAATTATCCTAGATCAAAATCTGCTTCCTAACCCAAGTCATAAATTGAGCTTTGTTACACCCATTTTCTATTTGGAATCATCCTACACAGCTAGTTAAAGTATTGAGAACTGCCAGAGTCACGATGTCCAAGACAAAATCCTCGGAAATTGACCATTACTGGCAAAGACGCGGGCCTTATGGTGTCGTTGTTCGTGCTGCTCTCCGAACTCTTCAATTCACCTTCGCTATTATCGTTGCCGCCCTCTACGGTGTTGATTTGGCCCATGCTACCAAAACCGACTCTCACGCACCCTCGGAATGGATTTATGCCGAACTTGTCGCTGCAGCCTCCGCTATCACTTGCATCATCCACTGCTCTGTGATGGTCACCCATGTCGCTTGGTCAGCAGGGGATGGTGTCCTGTGTGTTCTATGGGTGGCACAAGTGGGTACTTTTGGAACGATCTATAATTCCGATATCTCGGTTTACTACGCCAATGTCACGCTATCAATAGCTCGTATGCGGGCGGCATTTTGGATCGATTTGATCAATATGCTTCTGTGGCTCTTGACAACTATCCTTGGCATTTCACGGTGCATTCAAACTCGCAAAGTTACCCGCCGCACAGGTCAACTTGATGACAGCCAAAACACACCTCCGCCGCAAGAAACCGGCACACTACTCCTGACTTCTGAGGAAATCGAAAAAGATGTCAACCTTGAGTATTTTCCGCCAGAAAAAAGTTCAGAAAAGCAGCTATATACGTCAGAAAAGCAGTCTAGTATGGCAGAAAAGCAGCTGGATGTGGTCAAAGTTTGAAAGTTGCGGTTCGAGAATTACACCATCGCTTTCGTCGTTCATGTGCATGTTAAAATTCCAATATTATGGAGATAATTATCTTTTTGTCACTTTAAACCTACCTTTCATGTCCTGGTCCAAGATAGACAGTACGATACGTAAGTAAATACCAAAAGTATCATGCAAAGACAGAGTTCACTCTTGAATCGCGCTCAATTGTGAACGACGCCAACGAAACGTGTGGTATTAATATTCTTCTAATTCAGAAGGTCAAAGAGGTGGCCCCAAAGGCCATCTTGATGTAATTTTGAAGTGTTTTTTTGGACAGAGAGTACATACCTACACTGTTCATTCCGGGTAAATTGTGAGCGCTGTCAGAGAAAGATGTGTGCAGTGCCCTGACTTGTGGGACAGTGCGCAAAAAACGATATCGTCATCATACTGGTTCAGCGTGGATCAAGAATAAACTAGAGGGCCTGCAAACTTGATTCTTCAGAATATGGGTTCGAGACTAGCCTGTCAGCCCCTCGCAAAAAGAGACGAAGTTGTGGAGGATAGGCGGGACTGTTGCTATACAGTCACGCAGATTCATCACCACTTCAATTTCGGGATTCTGGGTCGAGGATTTGGTTTCTACAGGTGCAGTTAAAGCTAGAATAGGGGATAAAATACTGTTCTGGTTCACTGCACGAGGGGATTCTCTCTAACTCCAGTTAGAAACCCAGCAAAGAACTCGCGATATTTAGATAGATCAATAGCATCTAGTAGCTGCTAGAGAGCTTCGAAATATTAAAAAAAAGGACTGATATACTTCATCATTCATACAGGGTATACAAAATGCGAACGTGCCATGTCCCCAACTCCATGCAAAAAGATGCTAGCAAACACCCACCGACTAACCACATCAACTTCAATGCACAAGTTTATAGTTGCCACCACTTGCGATTTCTAATTTACCCCGTGATACCATGCCAGCCAGGAAATCCCGCAACTCCTCGTTACTAAACGGGAACCCACCAGGCACCACAATTTTCAACATCATCACAATACGCTGCAACGGCATAGCACCCTGGTTCGTCAGCATGCCCACAATGAACTGCCAGTAAAGATTCATCTTTTCCATTGCCGCCGCCTCAGCAGTCTCCTTCGCCGCTTCTGCTGCCGCAGCTTCCGCCGCGGCTGCGGTATCAGCTGCGTCTCCGAGATGGCCCTCCGAGAGCGCGTCGGACTCGGGACCGTGGGTCGCGGGGGCATCGACCTCGGTCGGGAGATATTCAAGTACGCGGAATGTGTCGCGGGATACTTCCACTAGAATACGCTTGCTTACCCAAAACAGGCACGCAGAACGTACAAGTGAAGGGGCCATATTGAGGGCGTCAGCGAGATCAGACACGTCTCTTGTGACACAGTCTTCAGTCGGAGACTGGAATGCGTGAATGACGGTCGCTTGCCAGGTGCTTACTTCCTCGGCAAAGGTGCGGTCACCGAGCTCCAGTTCCACAAGGACTTGGCCCAGCCCATTACGCCATGTAAGCTTGCGCGACTGTTTAAGGGCCTCGAATCCGGCTGAGTAGCGTTCTTGCAAGGAGGCAATCTCGTCGGGAATCTTGAATGCCAGGTCTTGGATCTCGGGCCAGAAGAAGCGTGACAAGATTTTGGCGTGGAGTTCTGGAATACCAGGGTACGCGGGGCGCTTGGATTTCGAGTGAACACGTGAACGTGGTTTGGAAAGGCCTTGGTCGTTGCGAACGACAGCATCAACACGTCTCGAGTCGGATATATCACGAAGCATGACCTCGCAAGCTTGTAGGGCCGAGTCCCCAAATCGTACTTTGAGAAGCTCAAGAACTGAGATTTCTTGATCATAGTTTTCGCGTTTTTGGAGGAGACGGTCACCGAGGAGGGTTTGGAGCTCTTTCACAAAGGTCTCTTTCGAATCGAAGAGACTGATTAGACTATCTATGACATCTGAGCTCTTGGATTTGCGGTAGTCCGGTGCCGCGTCAACAGGATCGGGAGCCCAGTTCATGTCGTCCCAGTCCAACTCGCTGGCATTATTTTGCACAGAGAGCTGGTGTGCTCTGGATAGCTCTGTGGCCAATTCAACCAGCGTATCATTCGGGGAAGGCAATGCGGATACTTCGCTAGCTGTTGGCTCGGCTAGTAAACCGCTGACAATGACCTTCACAGTGTCATCCCGGTCTCTCAGATATCGTCGAATTGGTCGGGCAATGCGGTCTAGCAAAACACCCTTCGGGTCCAAGAGGTGAAATGCTCGTATTATTGAGATATAGATTTGTAATATCTCGACCGTGGAAGCACCAGGGTGTAGCAAGCGTTGGTTCAAAGTAGTAATGAAAGATTGCGTCACATATGCTCGAGCTGCGGGATGCGTTGTGAAGTGCCGCAGGTCTTCAATGGCACCGCTGCTCACAGGCCATTCGACAATGACATCAAAAAGCTCGCTCGTACGAAGAGCTCCTAGACGAGCGATTCCTATTTCTTGCCACTTTTCGACGTCGCCAAAGCTAACATCTAAGGCGCCAGCTGATTGGCTACTTGATGTAGGCGTGTGTATGATTGCTAGAGCTTGCACTGCTAGTCTTGCAAAAACGTTCTCCACCCAGTGACGCAAGTGCAGCGATACTGAAGTTGGCGATTCCCACTGTTCGGTGTATGCGGCACGGACAAAATCGGTCATCATAATATTCATCACGCTGGCAAACACCTTTTGGGCCTTGTCACCCCCCAGCCCAACCAACTGAAGACCATTGAGAAAAGCCAGAAGTCGATCTCGGGACATCGTGACACGAGGTTGTTCACCTTCAGTCATCATCCGCGCGCGCACTTCTGAGCTCTCGGCTTTCCACTCTTTGTACGATACCGAATATTGCCGATCCACATCCATGACATCCTGTATAATTTCATCGGTAGGCTCTGGAACCAAAGAATCGATACCCAAGATAATCAGTGCATCCTGCGCAAGTTCTCGGGCTAACAGTGGTGATACATGCGACCACTGCAGGGAGTAAGAAACCACAGTATGAAAGCATCGTTGGATTTGCGTCAACACACGCCCTTGCTCGGTTGTTGGAAGTAACGGTAACAGATAGTGTACGACTGGCGCTAGGTAAATGCGGCGGGCTAGCTGTAAGCAATTCACAATCGTCCGAAGAAGGCCGTCTTTTTCCGGGGGTTTCAGAAGCTGCATATCCAATTAGCACACAGAATTCACGAATATACCACCGAGACCACGTACCTCGTAGAGTCCACTACGAAGGTTGGTTAAGAAATGCCTTCGTATCTCATCCCCGTACCAATCAAAGAGGTTCCTCGGACCACGCGCATGCTGATCTGCGTGAATCAAGCATTCTAAGGCCGCCGCCGTCTCTTTCGATGGTGGACTGAGTCGGTTCCATTCTTTCAGCGCGTCGCTGCCATCGGTATCTCTAGATTCGTAGATTGGAGCAAATCCGCGGTTCGGGATCGAAAGAAAGGAAATTGCCGCCGTCCATGCTTGGTCCCAGGTATCCTGATCAAGCGAAGACTCGCCAGATTGGAACTGTTGGTTCGGATTGGAGAGGAAGGATCCCGTTCTTACGGTTGACGAAGAGGCACTCGATTGAAATGACGCGAATGCAGGCTGAGCATCAAGAGAGGCGGGGGAGAAAACCGAGCTGAACACGCGTTGGCGCGCCCCAGTTAGGGAAATAGCGGAGACCATTATTAGGAAAGGGTGACCATTTTGATTCGGAAAACCGAAACTGTGACGAATAATGTAAAGAAGGTAAAATGCGAAGTTGCGTAATTGCGATAGCTCACCAGATCGTCTACCTTCCCGGCCTGATTAGGAAGGCGGAAGACGAACATTCATTGGAGATTGCAACAATCAAAACACTCTCCTTCTCACCTGACGGATCACGTGCTGATTAGGAAAGATTGCGTCCGTCTGATCAACCCAACGTTGCAACTGCCATCAGTCGATTAAACAACTTGAAAAGATGTGCACGTAGTACATGATGATTGACTGGGTGGTATTTTTTTGGCAACCAATTGAAACATCAGAAAATCCAAAGCCCGAAGCCAAAAATATAATCAAAGAGAAGCCAAAATACAAAGATTAGACCAAGGTCAAGTGTAAGCCGCAAGAAGACACTTTTATACGCCCTATACTCTTAGCTTTCTGAATCTAGCCGCAAAGCGCGTCAAAGCTACTAACTGCAGATTTCCATTCGTCGTCTGAGCTGTGGTATCCACAGTTGACCACGACATAAGATGGACTGAGACTTGAAAAGTAGACGCTCCGATTTGGGCGCTACCCCTATAGCTAAGCTTTCTAAGATTGGTCTCCTATAGAGGGAACTACACGACAGTGGCATATTTGTGATGATATGAACCGATCGGGCAGCGACTGATTCTTCGTTAGTTGCCCGAGATATTGGTTGCTTGGTTGGCGGTTCCAGTTTTGTCGGACTACTGGCCAGGGGGTGGTAGGAGGATCGCTATACAATAGCAGACATTGGGCATGATGGGTTGCAGTGTTGAACTTAGTATTTCCTACAAATACTGGAAAGTGCTACCATGCAGAACCCCTCTATTGCGTGTAAGAAAGGGAAAAGAAGAAAAAAAAATAAGAATATGGATCATGATGTTCCCGCTATTTGAGACAAGGCGGCTTTCCTTTACTGGCAGCCGACTCAGGCTCAAAGGGCAGACTTATGCCTTGTTGCCGTCAACCTTCTCCCACTCGCTATCCGTGCTGCCGTATCCCGAGCTATCTCCGCCAGTGCTGGGACGCTTCTTGGGGTCACGCTCGATGGGCTGCAGTCTAGCCGATGTCGTGCTGCTGCCGGTCGCGACGGCCGCGGAGGATGTAGGAATGTTCTGGCCTGCCAAGGTCTCCGTCTCCGTCTCTGTCTCACTGTCGGCACTGTCCCCTACGCCGGAATCCTTCTTCCTGTCGGAGTCAGGCTCGGCCTCGGCCAGCTTTTTCTTCTCGGCGTCTTGGGCAGCCTGCGCAACACGGACCTCGTGTGCGAACCAGTTGATAGAATACCACAAGCCTGCGCACAGAAAGGACAGAGCGACGAAGTGAATGCTGTGGGTTGCGAACAAGAGGACAAAGAGGACGAGTTGAAGGGCAGCAAAGGTCACGTTGGTCGCGATCAGGAGAGTTGGGGTGGGGCCCGGCGTGAAAATGCTAGACCACAGCTCTTCCATGAAAGAAGCCATGGTTACGGCGTAGTCGGACAGTGCAAGGGTGGGACAACAAAAAAAACAGGGGTCACTGCAGCACAACACGGCAGTCGCAATAGAGTCACAGCAGTACCGCAGTACCAAGGAGTGACGTCGATGCGGAAATTGGTCTCCGGGAAGGTTTTGGAGGGGGGAAAACGCGGGAACTGGACGATGCAAACTGGCTGCCCCGGGGACCGGGTTCCGAGGGGGGAAATCGATCCACTGCTGCTTCTCCTCCTCTTTCTCCACCAAGGCAGGCGTGAGGACTGGAAGAATATGGACTCTCCGGATTGCAATTCCGGGTGCGAGAGATAGTATGATGGGCTCTCCCCGTGGGGAGACGGGATAAGGCTGCTTTTACAGTTGTCCCCGGAACCCAGCCACTGTAGTCACCTTGTTGCGGGTCCCCTTCGGAAGGACCAAGTGACTCGACCACTCCCTCTTTCCTCTTTCACAGCTTCTCAATATCAACCGGTTTTCATCCAGTATGATCAGATGCGATCATCACCCGTTCTGTGGAAGTGTCGCAAGATGCCATCATCATGTCTGTCACGGGGCCTCTCGAAGAACCGGCCCGAGTGCAGCCGCCGAAGGTGATCGCCTTGGTCCTTGCCATTTGGTTGAGAGATAAAAGGCATTCACCCGAAAGACCAGCTCGCGGAGACGATTCCTAACAGGGACTGGTACATGCAGCCCCGGATATCGGAGAGAATTCTCTCGAGTCTCGAGTTTCGAGTCTCGGAGGTCGCCCGAGATGGCGGCTCTCCACTTCCAGCTGCCCCGGAAAGCTAAACAATATGGGAGAAAGGGGAACCAGGAATGGACTCTATGTCACCACCACATCGGGTCTCGACCCATAGGAATAGCAATAACGGGTGAGCCAATGGGTTCTGTATCCAAGCGTCAATTCGAGACTTCTGGTGCTCCGTCTCGTCGCGTGAGGGATGGTGAATTTAGGGTCTCGTAGGCCATCATATATACACTTTCGGCCCGCGACCATTCCAGCCCGGGAGTCCGAGAAGCGCCAAGGATCGGAGGACCGGGGGGAGTAGGGACGTACAGGTCTGAGTGATCGCTCTGATTCAAACTCCTGGCGTAGTCAGCGTCGAGTACGTAGTATGGGAGCATCAATAGTCAATAGCCGGGCTGCCAATTGGGTCTCATCGATTAGTTCTGCGTGATGGTCCCAATTTCCCCGGGTTTTCCCCACGCGCAACCTTATCCGCTGATCATCGTTGCCCGTTGCGGCACAACCCAACCTGGCCCGCCGAGTTGCCGTCATCGCGGCCCTCGACTCTCCTGCAACAGGGTACACGGCCCCGCATACACCCGGAATCGGTCTTTGGTCTAGTCACATCCAATCAGGGTTCCTCCTAGGGTGTCACCACACCGTGACGGGGCTGTAGGAGGGGAAAGACCCCAATCTAGAGAAGATGGGGGAGGGATGGAGGGGTGCGAGGTCCCTGTATAAATATCGCCCTGGAGTTATCTCCAACTCAGCTGATCATCTTTGTCTGGACTAATCAGGCAATTCTTTCCTCTCAGTAGTCTCCGGCGAGGTCTTCCTTTTTCATCTTCGTCTTGACCATCGATTGCCTTTCTTGCTCTGCTTCGCCGAATCTCCTGGAATGGCAGACGTCGAAAAACCCCATCCAGCCAAGGAGCTGTCTCCTGATGGTCATGTATTGGAGGGCTTTTCACACCATGCCGAGGATATCACCGCAGACCGGGAGCCCTATGGGCCACCGGGTCTGCGAGGTCTAATCCTGAACCCTTTCGTATTGATGTGCGCCGCTTGTTCAACCCTGGGCGGCTTGATCTTCGGATATGATCAGGGCGTGGTCTCAGTCATCTTGGTGATGGATCAGTTTCTGGATGAGTTCCCGCGGGTCGGGGGCTCGGGAGCTGGGTTCTGGAAGGGACTACTCACAGCGATGATTGAACTAGGGGCCCTGCTCGGCGCACTCAATCAGGGTTGGATCGCCGACAAGATCTCTCGCCGGTACTCAATCCTTGTAGCTGTCGCGATCTTCACGATTGGATCGGTCCTGCAGACGGCGGCCATGGACTATGCCATGTTGACGATCGCGCGACTGATTGGCGGCGTCGGGATTGGTATGCTGTCCATGGTGGCGCCCTTGTACATCTCTGAAATCAGTATGGCCATCTGTGCTCAACTCTCAATAGTGAATTGAACCAAGTTGACCTCTTTCCCATCCTTTGTTTAGGCCCTCCCGAATGCCGAGGAACTTTGCTTGTCCTCGAGGAATTCTGCATCGTGCTCGGTATTGTGATCGCCTACTGGATCACTTATGGCACTCGATACATGGCTGGCGAATGGTCCTGGCGCCTACCTTTTCTTTTGCAGATGATCCCGGGCTTTATCCTAGCCGCCGGAGTCTATGCTCTCCCCTTTTCACCTCGATGGCTCGCCTCGAAAGGCCGCAACGAAGAATCCCTCCAAAGCCTTTCGAAGCTTCGTAACTTGCCGACCACTGACCGCCGTGTGCGCCAGGAATATATGGACATCCTAGCCGAGGTTCGATTCCACCAGCAGATGAACGCAGAAAAGCACCCCAATCTTCAAGGTGGTGGCTTGAAGAATGAAATTCTCTTGGAGCTGGCCTCTTGGGCCGATTGCTTCAAAACTGGCTGCTGGCGCCGAACCCATATTGGCACGATGATCATGTTCTTTCAGCAATTTGTTGGCATTAATGCTCTGATCTACTATTCTCCCAGCCTTTTTGGCACCATGGGCTTCGACACTGAAATGCAATTGGTCATGTCCGGAGTACTAAATGTGTTGCAGCTGGTGGGTGTTACTACAAGTATTTGGACGATGGACACCTTGGGGCGTCGCAAGCTTCTGCTGGGCGGATCTGTTCTGATGGCCGTGTCCCATATTATCATTGCAATCCTGGTCGGTCTCTATAGCTCGAACTGGGCGGCACACCAGACTCAGGGATGGGTCAGTGCTGCATTTTTGTTATTCTACATGATCGCTTTCGGCGGCTCGTGGGGACCTGTTCCCTGGGCGCTTCCTTCCGGTAAGTTGAAGGTCCTAAAGTTTCAACCTTTTCCACAGTGAATGCTAACAATTTCTCCTAGAAATCTTCCCCTCCTCCCTTCGTGCCAAAGGTGTTGCTATTTCGACTTGCTCCAACTGGCTTAACAACTTCATCATTGGTCTCATAACTCCACCCCTGGTCGAAAACACAGGATACGGTGCCTATGTCTTCTTTGCCGTGTTCTGTCTGCTGTCTGGCGTGTGGACCTTTTTCTTTGTACCAGAGACCAAAGGTCGCACTCTTGAGCAGATGGATCATGTGTTCAAAGATAATTCGAATGAGCATGAGCAGGCTCGCAGAGATGCAATTGAAACGGAGCTCCTGGCCGAGCGACAGTATGTATAATACACTTTCTTTCTATCATAACGCAAGGATAGAATATCTTAGCGTTTGGCGCTGGACCTCTTTTGTCCTGGTATTTCTGATAGTATATATGAGTATAAACATTACGAATCATGATTCAAGATATGCATTCTCTTGCAGATAGATGTTCAAATTTAGGATATTGCATAAGAGAGCCTTCGTTGGTCCGTAATATCATTTTACTCAAACATTGGAGATGCCGGATCCCACCTCAGTTCATTCTTTTTATGCCGTCAGTGCTCTGTATATAATAGAACAATTTTTTGCTTGATCTTGTATGTGGTTTTCTTCTATTGTGCAGAGCTTTCATTTCTTGAGCCCGAAGCGATATCCGACCCGAGTCCCGAGCGACAGCCTAACCCCAGTAATTTCGAATGCGAGAACCTAAAATCGATTGCAACATTTCTGCATGGAACCCCATCATTTGCGGAGTATGGGGTAAACAAAGGACTTCTTTATAAACCATTGAGGAGTTTTGATAGCTGCATGTCAATTGTAACTTTCAAAATAAATACAATTATCCTGTTAGATCACTATGCCTTTTTCTTGGAAATTTTGGTTGCTATGCTGCCCATTGACAGCCGCTGCAGCAACAGAAAATGTCGTCAATATTCGTGCCCCTAAGAACGCTCCAATGGGAGTCTCAAAGCCAGTAGCCCATGACTTCGCGTCTATATCTCTCCCAATTCACTTTTTCGCAGACTATGCCGGTCAGAATCCCTTTGATATTTGAATATTAATCCATTTTTTAATCGAAACTAGGAAATAAGTCCCATCCGAACTTGTTTTCGCGGGACATTATCAATCTTCTTTATCAGACAACAGGCGCGCATCCACACATCCGCGTGGGAGGCACCTCGGCGTAAGTGATGCATCGCGTTACGAGGTAAATCATTCTAATGTTACTCATGTAGAGATCGCGCAATATATAACTCCTCGCAGTCGCAATCGATCATACTCTCCGAGGAATATAACAATGGTATTCCTCTCGAAGTATTTCTGGGTCCAGTCTTCTTTGAAGGATTTGAGAATTTTCCCGGTACCCCTTGGACATTTCAGGTCAACCTCGCAAATAACAAGAGCAATGCCTTAGAAAACGCCCTTGCGGAGGCCGAGGTTGCGTTGAAGCATATCAAAGAAAATTTAGTTGCTTTTGAAGTTGGGAATGAGCCCGATCTTTACGCTGGCGAGGTCCGACCACTGAAATATTCAGAGGCAGAATATGTACAAGAATGGGAAAGATTTGCCGATGCAATCTCGAAGAGAGTATTGCGTGGAAATCCGTACGGCTTGGATGACTGGAAGCTTTTCCAGGCTTTGACCTTTGCTACGAAGGATGATGGCTGGTCGACGTGAGTATTTCCCTTGCCTTTTCAAGACGTTGGTGGGACCATGATGCTTACAGAACGACAGGGCCAAGGCTTATAGCGAAGGGATATATACAACGGGTCACATCAAAACAATTTCATTGCACCAGTATGCCTTGCCTACCCTGGGTCGTGATGTCAAGCTAATCTAACATCAAATTTCCTCTCAGATATGCTGCGGGTAACCAGCCATGGGTCAGACTCCAAAGTAAGATGAGATTTTTATTGGCCTCAAAGAAGAGAGCTAATGGTATTTAGACTCGTTCATGAACCACACAGCTATAATGGGAAACTTGACCCAATATGTTTCGGACATGAAGGTTGTGCACACTCAGTGTCCTAGTATCCCATTTCTTCTGGGAGAAACCAATAGCGACTATGTGAACCTGAACATGGCCCAGGTTGAAGGGGTGTTTGGTAGCTCGCTTTGGCTGGTAGACTACCTGCTCTACGGAATGACTCTTGTAAGCTCAGATTCATTGCATTTCCAAGAGGCCGGTGCTAAACATCATTCAACAGAATATTTCTCGTTTCAACTTGATCCAGGGAACGACATTCGGCTATGCTGGTTGGGTTCCAGTGGAGTATAACGGCCAGGAGCCTCATGTGCGGCCTCCCCTCTACGGACAACTGGTCGCTGCAGACGTGATTGGTCGCAACCCCACAGTTAAGATCAAATCACTTGATCTGGGACTCTGGAATCTATCTGCCTACGCCTTATATGAATCGGAGATTCTGTCCAAATATGTTGTCATTAATCTGGACGAGTGGAACACCACGACGACCTATCCTCGGCCTGCTCAAAAAATTTCCATTAGTGTTCCTGATGATATATCCTCCGCGGAAGCTAGACGCTTGGTTGGCCCCGGTGCTAATTCCGTTGATGATATTTCTTGGGCCGGATTCAGTTGGAATTATACGAATGGCCGACTTGGGCGGTTTGGAGTTCGACACAGCGAGATGCTTGATGTCAATAACGGAGTACTTACCGTCTCATTACCTTCTTCTCAGGCAATTGTTGTTGAGCTCAAATATAGGAAGTGAAGAACAGATGACATGCTTGCACTGCCATTTCATTTGTGGGTACCTGTATCTCGAGCTAATTCATTTGTTATTTCTTCTAAATCAAAGGAAAAATGAATATAACGGCCTTTCGCCTGGTAAAAGCCATGCGTAAATAGGGCACATCGCTGTTACGATAGGAATTATTGCAGAAAGTACGAAAATAGGATAAAACCCCCTTATTGAGACTGATATTGTGAAAAAAAATTCTGAAATTTGACTTCTTTTCCATAGCTTTCTGATGAGCTATTCTAAGTTTCATGATATTTTAAATATTCCCGTGGCGATTGTAACTCTGGAGCGTTCTAAAGAGGTTACTAAAAAATTTGTTGCCACTGATACTAAATTGAAGCTTACCCTTTCCCGGTGATTAATTCAGAAGGATGTGATCTGAAAGGACCTAATTGGATAATAGTTGTTGAACCCGTCGCGTATCCAGCCACATGCGTCGACATCGAGCGGCGAATGAAATCCACCACGACAACTTGGTGCGCCATAGTATGTAATGTTGCATCCATCTGCCTGGGTCACTTTTACGGAAAAAATGACACGACTTGGTAGATTGTAACATCCATCATCGGATTGAGACTTCTCTGAATACCATAGCCTGCCATCGCAACTTTGACCAAGAAACCCGTCGACCCCCCACTGTAGTGCGCGACTGAAGTGGGCAAGTACAAAGCATGTTAAAACCCAAGAAACCAGACTCATTTTGTCTCATTTGTATAGATTTTAGAAAACGAGCAGAATTCAAGTTAGCCGGTAGAAGAGGAACCCGGGAGAGCGTAGACTATATATTTGTTAAATCTGACAGTTGAACGGCTAGAAGTGACACAAGAGCTCGGTATCGTCAAACATGGAGGGTTACATGGAATAATGCATGTCCCCAAAACCCAGGATGGGACTGGTATGAGGAGTTTTTGTTTCACAATCTCATTTTCAGGAAAAAGACAAAAGTTGATGTCAAGTCGATTAAAGAGGTTCAAGTAAGCCCAAAGGAGTTTCGTCGTGAAATAACCGATGTCTCTCGTCACTTTATGATTCAAGAAGTTATCGATTATCAGGAATCAAAGAATATTTCAAATACAAAAGTGTCGAGAAAAAGAAGCTTTGTAATATAACGAGGACCTAAATATTCTGCTATGCGCTCAGATATTACAAGGATACTCGATTCCCTGCCCATTTTGTGTAGTATCCCAGGTAGACTCGGAATTCCGCACTATAATACGGTATTTAGCGAGGTAGGAGATATTCAATACTTCCTACTAGATCGTTCATAGAGTTACACATCATCATATTAAGCATCGCGCTCTATTTGATCCCACTTTTCCAAGCCTATACCGTATCCTACTATATTGACAGATACTAATGATGGTCTTCTTGCTGCAATCAACCTGTTCGGCTACTTCAGACGTGGTGAAAGATTCTCTCTCTATCATATCACGGATAAGAACAAGCTTTGCAGACGAGATTCTTGGAGCCATGTCGCCTAGACTAATAGTGGTAATCATGTAGCTATTATGTAGGGAGTTGCAGCCTATCACGAAAGTAAGAGGGGGGGGAATGTACCGTGTGTCTGCTAAATTCGTGTAAAATATACCACCTATGGTACTGGGTATGCATTGTTAAATACATGGCCTATTGAAGTTTTTAAATAACCTCCAATAAGAAATTGCATATCTAGGATTTATTTTCCGAGAATCAAGTCTAAAAGAATGCGATGTCAAACTGATTTCCAAAACTACCGTAAATCAACGTCGATCTAATCTCCCCTATCGATTACGCCTCTCCATAACAAAATATTTCACAAAAGAATAGTCTTCCGTCACTCTAGTTCGGTGACCAGGGGGAAAATCCAATATATAACGAGGATCTGCCGACTTATACTTATGTCATGTGTCGATCGGGCAGTCGATGCATTTTTGATTCGCTGGTTTCTTTTCGACAAAGGTTCGGAGGTTTATTTTCAAAATTATCATGAAAACGGAAAATTCTACTTGAAGCATGGGGACGAGGGAGGAGACCAAATACTTGTCGACGATGAATTTAATATTACCGGAATTATCGACTGGGAGTATGCACATGCAGATTTGAGGTCAGGGGCGTTTAATTCACCGATTGTCCTTCTCCCCGTTGCTGATTTTTATGCGAGTGTAAACTCCATCGGTGAAGATCCAATTTTTTTTGCGGGCTGTCTTGAAGCAAAAGGGCATCCGGATCTCGGGATAATTTTCAGAAATGCCCGGCTCGCCTACATATTTCGATTTTGTTGCGGCCACGGCCTAGCAGTTTGGGAGTGATTTCTTGGGCTCTTTGCCGGCCATCTGGGAGCCATGGGCACCACTAGAGATTTTCGTTGGAATACTTGGAAAGCAGAAGCCTTGAAAAGAAACGAAAATGATCATCGGCTCCAGCGGTTGATGGATATTATTTGATTAGAACATACTGGTCTCGCCTCGAGCAGATAAGTAGAAAAAACCGCCATTTCATATGAGCATCTGAGAACAAGACGTCTCCTCCTCCCATGGGTGTCGTGATTCAGTTTCGATAAGGCAAACATGAGTTTCATTGACCGAGTGCCATGATCACTGACTATTGGACGGCGTTGATATGTCCTCAAAAAGAAGTCAAATATTGCCATTAATATCGGGGTTTAGTGTGAAATTGGAATTGTAGCGGGGGTTAATCCTTCTCCCATTGAGACCGAGACGGCCAGCACCTATGACAAGTTCTATCCGGTGCTGGTTTGGTTTGATGATGTGTGCCGGTATAGCCTGTGGCGCAGATTTCTAAAAGCTGTCTTGAGGCATCCCGCGGACTACAAGCTTCTGGGTTGGCAATATTGCTAGGCCTCAGAGCCTAGATATCAGGTAGGTCGATTGTCTTCCCAATAGCACTAGCTAATCTAGATTTTATATAATAATATTAAATATCTATCGCTGGCCTCACTTCTTAGCAGATTTTTGAATCGTCCTTCGTATCTCTCATACTTTGAACTAATGTCTGGCGATTCGCATGCTCACCCAAGGTTCGGTTCAACTCTAATCTGTGGTCTGGGCTGGACCCCAAAACAAGGACTTGGCGGTCGCACGCCAAATACAAACAAAAAGGGCCCAGGTAAATTTGTTCATTTATCACGCCAACGTATGTGGCTTTGAGGTCAACGCTGGGCTTTCCATGGTACTAGTTGTGCAGTGTGTGTTTTGCAAATATATGATTGGAAGTATTCTCTTTCAAAGAATCTGAATTTTTCTCTCCGTGGCAGCTGACCCATAATAATCAAAGACATATAGCCGAAGCAACTGCCCCAAAGTTAACACAGGTGTCAACAAAGAATATTTGCAAGCATTATTCTGGATAGTCTCGGTACTCATATATATCCATCTTGTTGTCTCTTGTATCCTGCTAAATGTCATCCCTCGCCGAGCGTTTCTGCCATCATGAGTACAGGGACTTTACATGATCAACACACAAGGGTTTCAAAACCAGTCTTTTTGGTGAGGTCTCATTATACATAATCAACATGTCAAATTTCCTGCTTGTGACTCACAGTTCTGAACACAGGGTATACTATGGGCTCTTACTGGCACCTCCTTTCTTTTTGTTCTCTTCCGAATATATGTTCAGATTACTTCCTTCCGTCGTCTTTTCATAGATGATATCTTTGTTTGTTCTTCTTGGATCATTATTCTCTCTGCAGCAATACTCTGGCAGGTCGAAGGGAGAGTTCTTTATGAGTTATACGCTATCAGAGCTAGCAAGGAGACGTATACGGATGCCTTTTTGCCTAGATACAATACTTTCATGCGATGCCTTGCTCCCTTGGAGATATTGTTCTATTCCGCGCTATGGTGCATTAAGTTCTCATTTATGGCGTTCTTCTACCGGCTTAGTTGCAAGGTCAAGAATTTCCGAATTTGGTGGTTTGTTGTTCTATTTTTCACAGCAGCCGTCTATATTGCATCAGTGGGAGATATAGAATACAAATGCAGCTTTGGAGGAATAGAGTTCATCATCGGTCAGTGAAATGAGCCTGTATTTACTTCCATTCATCAATACTGATAACCGGCAATTTGTAGCGGAATGTTCTCAACTTAAGCACATTCGTTATGAGAACAAAACCTTCTGGGCTAATTGCGCCGGCGATGTTGTTTCTGACTTGATGAGTGAGTTGAGAACTTGTTAAGGGCCAAAGCTATATATTCCAGTATCTGATCTTTCTCAATGTAGTTCTCTCTATTCCGGTTCTTGTTTTATGGAATACTCGGATCTCACGCCGTAAAAAAGCCATTCTTCTCAGCATCTTTTCGGCAACCATTATAATCATGATAATCGCCATAATTCGAGTAGTAGTCGATAATACCATCGACCGTGAGATAAATATTGCCTGGTTATGCTTCTGGGGGTTTGTTGAGGTTGATGCTGGTTCGTCGCCTATAGTCGTTCTTCAAGGTTTTAACTTGAATCTATAGATCATTTACTGATCCTTGATAGCAATCATTGTCTCTTGTGTCGCCTCCCTCAGGCAAATGTTCATCACCTCACAGAACCGAGATTCACATAGTGGGGCAACTTATGCAAATCCCTCCTTTGACAGAGTGTTAAAAGTTTCCAAAATTGTAAGCAACCGGACAGAATCTCGATATCGAGGTGATGCTGAGGCACTAACAAGTGATGTTGTCCCACTATCACCTCTTACTATCGTGCATGTCCGTCATGATATTGAAGTGACCAGCGACAATGCGTCTTCACGGGCTGACACCGAGAAGGTCTGCGGGCACCATACAAGTTTTGACTAGTTCACCATTTCTTTCCGTACGCAGAAATGACATTGCATATCGAGCTCAAGGAGTTATTATCAATCAATGATTGTTGTAATGATCCTAGCTAATCTCCATGTGGTATCTTAAAAGGGGTGAAAGACTTCAAACCAACCCATGACTCTGTCCAGAGCCCAACGCCAATAATGGAGGGGGAAACATTCGCAAGGAAGAAAAGGAAAAAAACAGCATACTAGATAACACCATGCCGTGCCTTGAAAATTGAAATCTTGTCATCATAAAACAGAATCTCCTGGAGCCGAAAGCGCACCCGTGGAGATCCGGATTCTTCTGGTTCAGTGTCGTAGTCATCCGTGAGATCGTCGGAAAGTCCGTCTGAGCCGTCAGGTGCACCAGAAAACTCGTGGTCGTCATCTGTGAAGTCTACCAAATCGTCTTCAAAGGTGGAAATGCCATCTTCGCCATGAGACGTTTGGTCAGTGCCCTGAACCTCGTCAAAGTCCGAGTCATTTCCCTCACACGATACCTCAAGTATCTGGTAGCATTTTATCTGGAGTCCAATGTAAGTAACTTTGAGCTCCGGCCGGATACTGACGATATCGAGGACCTGGAGTGCAAGCTCTTTCAAGTCACGATGCACGCTATGGGATATGTGGGGAAGGTATATAGCACGCAGCTGAGGCATGTTTGGAAGTCGTTGTAAAAGGAAATGCCAGTCACGGTAGTGCATAGCCATGCCCAATTCTTTCAGCTGGGGCATTCGACCTCCCGTAATAAAGGATATCATTTCATGGTTAAACATCCACTTGTGCCAGCGTGTAGTCGGATTTTCCGCGGTGGGATCATGCCGGTCAGATGCATCGATTAAGAGTTTTCGCAGACTCAACCGATGCTTCCGAAGAACGTGTCGGTAAATGGCATCAACCTGGACCGTTGAATCATAGGCCGGCGCTTCGTGTAGGTACACACTCTCTAAAGTATTCGGTGCGAGAGTATCCTTGATAAAAAGTATCAGATACGGCGACACTGTATCTGTACGTAAATGCTTCAGATTGAGAGAGAATTCGGGCAGAAGGCTACTCATCCGACGGCCCCCATCCTGTGTTTTCTGAGCAGGTAGCGCAGGTGGTGCATATTTCCGACGTAGAGCTCTCCACAAGTGCTCATGATCCTCACATCGCATAATGGTAATCGAATGGAGACGCGTCCATTCGATAGCTGGTAAAACAGTTGATACAGAGAGAGGCACTCTTTCGAGTTCAAGAACTTCAAGATTCAGTTTCTCCATAGCCTTAGGAGTGGAATAAGGTAGATGGACTCGAATACCAGGAACGTGTAAAGGTGATGAATCGGGCGATGTATTGTTTTTCGCGCTTTCTGGGATTGGAGGTGCTTTGTCAGCGCTAGCTAGTGAGTTTGTATCGCCTTGAGTAGAATTTGTACTTGATAGCTTCTCTGCAGAGGATGGGCATGTCAAGATTTCTGAATTGCTCGAGAGATCAACGGTTGAAGAATTTGGGACAGATCCATCAGATACGGCTGTGTCTTTTTTGCAAAGAATACTAAGCACGCCACCAACCCGAGGCCAATTTGATGACGAATCCAGAGGAGCATCTGTTTCACTTGCACAAATGAGCCAATTTGCCAGGTGAGCCTTGGAAGAAATTCCGATACGCAATTCACTTAAGCGATGGCGAGATCGTTCAATGAGAACAGCCAGTTCTTCCACATATGCCGGCTCATCTATATCGAGAACTGCCACACTCTTAAGCGGCGGGAGTACAGAGAGCGATGGATGCTCTACATGCTTGTACTTTTGCAGCAGGCGGCTTGACATCGACGGGGCTGCCGAGACACGAAGCAAATTTTCTGAGTTATCATGCCAACGCACCCATATTCGCTCCAGACGACATTTATGGTTCGGTCGCTCCGCTAGTGATGCAAGTGCAAGCCATATATCACGGACCACCCCTGTGGGCATATCCCAAATAAAAGCTTCAAGATTGACCATCCTTGCCACGGCCAAAGCGACCAGAGTTCCTAGCATCTTTCCCACCTCTCTGTTAACGGAGTACTCCTGGACCCAGCCAAGCGGACCATTTCCGATGGAGAAGGTTCTCGTGTATTGTGCATAATAGTTTCCTCGCCGTGACCTAAATCCTGTGCTTGCCTCTTGTGTTTGCATGGTCGCAGGCCCATGGCCACGATCATCACAACCACATTTTGTACATGCCGTGACAGATCGGTCCGAGCGGGGCAGCGGTAGTTGATGGAATACATCTTCACCCATGACAAGTGTAGATAGACCATAAGAGAGCGCGTCAACTCCAGAGTATTCGTCGGAGCTCGGGTTCAGTGGCTCGGGCCACACGATGTCGAAACGGGAGTACATATGAGGTATAGTCAGAGCATGAAGAGAGGAACATGTGAGTGCAAGCGAAGTGAGGTCGTTTGTGTGCGTAACCTAAGAATAGAGGGCCATGGTTAGTATGATATGGTGGAAATAGACTCGCAATTGAACGGTCGGAACATTGTGATGAAGTTTGTAGGGAAATTTGGTACCTCTTTGACGATATCCTTCAATACATCTAATGGCAACTCGAGTAGTCGCAGTGGCTTTCTTTCCGAAACTAATTTCGAAGTAGCGAGAATCGAACTGCTAATGCCAGGCGTACATGTCCGAGCTGCGCTCTGTTGACTGTTTTCGCAGCTTTGACTTGATGGTGGGTCAAGATGGAGCTTTCCGAGAGCGACGGCGAGATTCTTTTTAGAGCTGACATCGGGCTCCATCGAAGCAGTGCTTTGGCTAGAGACAAAATCCTCCTCATCTGACGACAACGCCAGGTCGGAGCCCGGCATATGTTCCGAGCTGGCGTCCGCCATTGAGGAGATAGGAGAGATTCCTAGAGCAAGATCAAGGTAAAAGATGGTGGAGCCACTATTCATCCGCATGACCGGACAGCCTGGGGCGGGTTCCACGTCCCACGACGCGTCGACAGTGTCCGGCTTTGAAAGGGAGAAGAAGAGGTTGAAGAAGCCCGGGGAAGCAATAGACTAGTGGAGTGAGACGACGGATCAGCCCGACGCGGATCACGGAAGTGGGGGGTTTACGTAAGGGTAAGGGTCACCTCAGGCTCCCCGCGTTGGTGTGTGATGATGCAACAGTTTGGGGTTTGAAGTGAAGTACGTAGCAGGAAGGGCTTCTAAATGTCGTTTGATGATTGGTGACGCTCAGATAAAGGGGAAAATAAGACGGGCACAAATTAACCGGCATGAAATTGCAACTTATTAAGATATAAATCTATATCAAGACCAATAAACGAACGAAAATGGTACATCAATTTTAGGGTGAGCGACGCCCACGTCAGTCCTCTTGACCTCTCCTTCACTAGGTATCACGGCCACGCTTCTCCAAATTGATAGCCGCACTAATACAAGCCAAATGACTGAAGGCCTGCGGTGTATTGCCCATTTGTTCGCCCGAAATAGCAACTTCTTCAGAGAACATCCCAAGGTGGTTGGAATAGGACAAGATGTTATCAAAGTGCGAAAGTGCGAGCTTCCAGATGTTTGGGATTGGCACATCGTACTTGGCGGCCTATTTATCAATAGAGTGCAAGCATTAGCAGATATGTCATTGAAGAAAGGTGGTTGCACCAGGGGTTGACATACACGGGCCATGGCCTCGACAAGCCAGAAGGTAACCATAATAAAGGCACCCTCTCCTCCACCAACTCCTGTGAAACAACATTCCATGGATCAGTAATGGTGGCCAAAATGCAGTAATTCATGGAGTCTCTGGAACCTCAGATCACGTACCATCGTTGGCTTTGAGGTGGTCGTATCGGAACACCATCTTGGCGCTGGAAAGCCCCTCTTTCTCGGGGCTTTGCAGAATTCGCTTGAGTGTGCTTATAAACCGTGGATCATTAGGTGCAACAAAAAAGACCAACGGGGCAATCAGGATAGATGCATCCAGAACCTCCCGGCTCTCGTAGCTCTGGCAAAAATGACCGCGCTCGGCGTTGTATCCTTTATCCATGATCTCATCATAGAGTTCGTCACGCACTTGAATCCACTTGAAGCGATCGGGGCAAGGAAGACTCGTTCGCTTCTCGGCTAGTCGAATACCACGGTCCAAAGCAACCCACATCATTACCTTTGAGTAGATGAAATTTTGGATCTGGCCACGGGACTCCCAAATAGACATGTCCTTTTGGTGACGCACACCAACAACATAATTCACCATGCGTCGAATGGCAGACCACTGGTCGTAAGTGATGGGGTTACCGTGCTTGTTGTACAAGTAGATGCTGTCCAAGAGCTCGCCATAGATATCCAGCTGTGTATGAAAAACAGCAGCATTCCCGATGCGAACTGGCTTGCTGCCCCGATACCCATCGAGATGCTCCAGCTCCACCTCTGGAATATCGTATTCTCCACGAATGGTGAACATGAGTGGCAGGAATGGCCGCTTACTTCCTGGTTCAATGTCCTGGGCAGCATGTGGGAAGATCCGGTCGAAGATAAAATTGACATATGCTTCTGCTTCCCGGCTATATCCCATTTTCAGGAAGACATAAAGAGTGAAAGCAGTGTCTCGTACCCAGGAATATCGGTAGTCCCAGTTACGAGAACCGCCGACATCCTCAGGGAGCGAAAATGTGGGTGCGGCGATGATGGCTCCAGTGGGCTTGTAGGTAAGTAATTTCAGAATCAGAAGACTGCGTTCAACAGTTTCGCGATAATGACCCCGGAACTCGCATTTTCGTGTCCAGTCTGTCCAGTAGTCGAAGGTCTCCTCCTCCATCCTGGCGAGGTAGGCCGCCATGGTCGCAGAGCTAGGAACCGCTTTCTCGGGACTATGCAGCACAAGATGGATGGTCTGTCCCTCTAACAGGCGAATCCAGGCCACCAGGCCTCGGCCCTTTGCCCCTGGTCGCTCTTCCAGGGTCAAATTTGCTTTGGGATACCCCAGCTTGTCCGGCTCCCGTGAATCGGCGAATAACTCAAGCTGCAGCCGCTCTGTTCCACTCTCGAAATGGATAGTCTGCAGTTGATGCCTGCACATATCATTCTCAAGCTTTGCACGAGCGGTGTGTGAGTCTCGCGCATAATTGAAAGCCGGAAACAGCTCAATCTGCAGCTCCATGGAGCCACGGCTGCACTCGAGCTTTCTGATCAAGCCAGAGTGTTGCAGGCCTGACTTGAAACGATTGGCATTGGGCTCATTGCATGAGCAATAGCCAGAAAGCAGTCGGCCCGACTGTGCCCCCTTCTTCGGTGTCACCGGGAAGTAGTCCAGCATTGTCACAACACCGTCTTCGTTGGTCCAGCGGGTTTCAAGGAGATTTGAGTACGGCAGGTAGCGCTGCTTGCTGTGGGGATCAACCACTGTCTTGTAGGGCTCCACGGACCAGTATCCGCCTTTCTTATCATCCAGAAGACGGCAGAATACCGAGGGCGAGTCGAAGACCGGCCAGCACATATAATCCAAGCTGCCTGCCTTGCTCACCAGAGCACAGGTGTGCATATCTCCAATCAAGCCATAGTCTTCAATGGCATTGTACGAGGGTTCTGCCATGCTGTGCAGTGTGGTAGTCGAAGATGGTGGTGAGTTCTATTGATATCACCGCAAAAGAAAGGTCCTTCTTTGGACTTCTTTCGCATTAAACAGGGGATCCGGTCGATGAAAAACAAAATGGTATCAGCCAGTCACCCAAAACGGTAGGATGGTATGGCAGGAATAATATGCGAGGAAGTTGGAAGGAAAAGGAAGAAATCCCGCCTTACTATACAGTCTCCCTGTCCAGCCTGGGGATGATATAAGACCCCCAGTACAGGCCGGAAGTTCTGGAAACAACGACATGATGATGAGGTTGATGATGATGATGATGATGGCCATCGCTGTCTTCCACTGAGGTCATGGCGATGTTTAAACGGTTCTCCGGGGATTATGAAAGGTCATTGGATGCAATGTCCTCAACTTGGAGAACACCAAACGGCACCACTTCATCATAGCGGAGGTTCAGTCTTGCCGAATGAGATTGGGTCACCAATCTCGGTCAAACAAACTGAGATGCGCCGCGACAAGGAGACTAGCCCGCTTTGCCAAGCACAGCGGGTCTGCAGCAAATTAAAGCCGTGAGACCTCGGACAGCCAGCGGTTTCAAGATGGGCTACGCTTGCCCCCATTCCAATCACTCGTGACTTCGAAGGAAGTCTTAAGCAAGCTCGGAAGTTGGAGTCCGCCAATCGCAGCGGAGCGTTCAGGCCCCGCGGTGGACTCGCCAGCATTGTTCCCTTGGGTGCCTGGTCCCCTTCTGGTCCCCTCTTGGACCCCGGATCGACCGGACAGTGGAGCGAAGGGACTGGGTGGAGCTTGGTGGCGTGCAACAACAAATCACAGAGCCTCGGAGCGGAGAAGGTCGGCGGAAAGGTGCTGACCTCAGCCAAGCTCGTTCAGCCAATCAAACTCCGCACCGCCTAACTCGCTGCGTTTATGCTTTACCAACCTGCAGTGCTGTGCTGTTGGCAACGGGAGCCAGGATTTCGAGCGAATCTTTCAGCAGATTCTGCTAGAATTGGTGCCAAGTATATCTTCTGGCTTTCCGCAGATTGGATATCTTTACCTTCTTCGTCATTCATGGATTGAATCTAGAGACTCTCGTCGATTTGTCAAAGAAATTCGACCTGTATGTTTTGTATACCTGGACCGTTCAACAAAGGTCGTACTCGCTCCCTGTCCAGCTTCACCCTCGGGCAGGTATGTATTCCACTCCATCACGACCTTGATATTTCCCCTCTTCTTTTTTTTATTTTTGCTTTCTAACGAGATGCGGTCCGGTCGACGGTCAGACCAGTGCGATAGGCCGATCGAGTGGGGAGGGAAAGGTACCCAGGAAACGCCCTGGTATTGGAATTTCCACTTGATTCTGCCGCTCATACCACCGAGGGAACGGCCTTGGCCAGAACTTGCCGCTGCTCGCCCGTCCGCCCATCACCGCCCATCACCGCCCGTTCTGCTTCGACCTTCGGACTTTCTGCCTTCTCGTCCTTGGCTGACTTGCTCCCCCTCGCGTGACCGCTTTTCCATTCCTTTTCTTTTACTTTCCTTTACTTGACTTTCCTTGAGGCTTTCACGACCCCCTTTCTTAAGATCCTCGTGGGGATCTTCTTACTTCCCGTCAACGGCTTGACTCGACACAGACATTACCCCCGACCGATCCCTCCGTCCCGCCCTCGCAAACAAAAGGGTGCACTGTCGAAGACGCTTCTCAGTCGCACCCTCATGGGGCAAACACTTCCTTTCCCCCCCTTCGTCCCTTCTCTCTGACTTGCGCCAAACCCTCCAAGTTCCAGAATGGGATTGTCTGCCGCCGGAAACCACCACCGGCGACGGAGCTCGGTGCTGACAGGGACGGTTCGTGGACCCCAGCCGGGCCCCTCGGAACGGAGAGATGACAGCCTGCGCCCACCTGGAGATGGACATCATACCAAATGGGATGAACAAGAGCCTTTGACGGCGGAGGATACAGATGTGTCGGAACTATCCTCCTCGGCCCTGGATACTCGAGAGTTGGACGCGATCAGTTCGGACGAGGACCAATATGACGAAGAGACCGGTCTCACAGCACATCAGAAACGCCAGCGGCGGCGACGGCGTCGTCAACGTCGAAAGCTGGATGCTCGCATCGCAGATGTCAAATCTTCCCGATATGGATTCCTCAATCTAGGTCTTGCAGATCGCAACGTCGCTCGCAAGTTACTTATCAATGCTGGATTGATCTTGCTGTGGTATTTCTTTTCGTTGTCTATTTCTATCGTGAGTGATCACCCCCCTTTGATCTGGTCGACAAATGGAGATATGAGGAGTCGGCTAATCATGCTGCTTATTGCTGCAGTACAACAAATGGATGTTTTCTGAAAACGACGTCGTCTTTCCCTTTCCCCTGTTTACCACCAGCTTGCACATGGCGGTCCAGTTCTCCTTTGCCACTCTTTTACTCTGGATATTCCCCTCTCTACGCCCACGACATCCGCCGCCATCCGCGGCCGATTCGCCTGTCATGGATGACTCGAAAGAAACTGAGCCGGTCCTCACCAAACTCTTTTACCTCACACGCCTTGTTCCCTGCGGTGTCGCAACCTCCTTGGATATTGGCCTGGGCAACATGTCCCTCAAATTTATTTCTCTCACCTTTCTGACTATGTGCAAATCCTCTGCACTTGCCTTCGTTCTTCTCTTCGCTTTTCTTTTCCGTCTCGAATCGCCCTCGTTCAAGTTGATCGTAATCATCGCCACAATGACGATTGGTGTGGTGATGATGGTCGCGGGTGAAACCGCATTCAATGCGCTTGGCTTTGCGCTTGTCATTGCCTCCGCTTTCTTTTCGGGTTTCCGATGGGGTCTAACCCAGATTCTCTTGCTCCGCCATCCAGCTACATCGAACCCTTTCTCTACACTTTTTTCCTCACGCCCGTCATGTTCGTTTCCCTTATTGCCATCGCTCTCGCTGTTGAAGGCCCCAACGAAATCCACCAGGGATTTTTGAATCTCGCCGAAAAACAAGGGACTCTCTTCGGATCAGCGCTGCTAATCTTCCCGGGTATCCTCGCGTTCTGTATGATTTCGTCCGAGTTCGCCCTTCTCAAGCGCTCGTCCGTCGTCACGTTGAGTATTTGTGGCATATTCAAAGAAGTTGTCACTATTAGTGCTGCTGGTGTTGTCTTCCACGACACTCTCACTCCAGTCAATATCACCGGCCTTGTCGTCACTATTGGCAGCATCGGTGCTTACAATTACATGAAGATCTCACGGATGCGCAATGAGGCTGATGGAAATTCCTGGGACCGTGATGTTACCCCGGAATCTGACACTGAGGGCGAGCCCAGTGGTGACGATTCCGGAGATTACCACCCTGTTGCGAATCCACACACCACGGAACGTTTCGACGACGATCTACAAGCATCATCTGCAGGCGACCAACGTCGTTCTTTCCGTGTCCGAGCCAGTGGCGCGATGCACAATCTCTCCATCTCCACTACTATCCCCGAGGACGATGGCGCGGATACACCCATCAAATCGGCGCCTCCCACCATCACAACAATGGCTGAGGCGGGGTTTTCTCACCTCCAGCCCGACCGGGAGGATTCGCCAGATGTCCATTCCACTTCATCCATCTCCCCGGTCCGCCATCACACTCCTGCCCTCCATTAGACTTCCTTTCATCCTTGATTATTGCCTCTCCTATCCGATCTATATATAAGCCATCTCGTAATGGTGTCTTTTTGTGATGACTTCATTTGTGCCGGGTAATTCCGATATTTTTGGGGGACTATTAACATGGTCTGCGACCACCGCAAAGAATACAGTACCCCGGCGCATCTGGTGTTGGGTCTCACTGGTTATTGATGTAAACATTGACTTGGTTTCTCATGAAACAATGAGTATTGTGGTTGATCTGAGAAGACGTCTTGAGGGTTTTATGCATGGAGGCTGTTGGATTCATACGCAGAGCCGGCGATTTGACTGATACCACCAATTCATTTTTTTTTCTCGGCGCTCATATCATATGGCGCTTATTTTCTGATATTACCTCAATATCATAAATTACACTAGCTATCATCAATTTCTCAGACGTCAGTCTCGTACATTCATCTATGCGTAGGTATGGAGATCGCCGCCACTAAGCCTGATATTGGTACCAAAAAACGAAGTTCACTCAACTGTTTGGTATACTAAATTTCCCGACAAGGTCTTTGATTGGACTTCGAGATTAAAACATCGTCACGGAACGCTATCTTGGGTTTGTGGCACTTGATTGTGTCTGGATAATCAACCGTTTTCCTGGCTCGAAATTCTCCGAGAGCCTGATCTTATATCCCCTTTGATTCGAGACAACAATTTTCTCATTGCTATCCCGCCATTCACAGTTGAAATGTGTATGACCGTACGCCCAACCCACAACTGCAGGGTTCGTCCAACATTCCTCCTTGCTCAGGTCCGTAGCAAAGCCCGAAGACACATCATTTTCAGGCTCCATCTCTGCTTTACCGGCAAATCTGGGATTTTGGCACCGGGAATCAATGCTTGGGCAATGATGGGTAAAGATCACAATCCGCCTCTCCGGCTCGTCCCTGGCAATCGCGGTAACTTGGGTATTGAGCCACTGTAGATCTGACTTATGGGCGTCATTGTGAGCTTCTGTTGTCCATCGTGCAATGTCTTTAAAGTCCACCAAGATACTTTCGACGACGAAGTCTTGATGTGGGAGGATGTGCGAGAAAAGAGTGCATCCCAATACAGTCACGGTATTAGATACATCGTGTCTGGTTTGATCCAAGAATACGAATCTCTTTGTCTTCAATTTCAAATTCTTGTTTCGTTCGAAAATACGCATCTTCTGTTTGGCCTGTTTGAACGACATATGCCATGGTTCGTGGTTTCCTAGGAGAAAAAACACGGTCGAATAGACTTCGAGTTTCTGGTCTAAGAACTCGAACAGTCGCGGATCAGCGACATGTCCAACATCTCCAAGGAGAGCGAGATTTGATGCACTGGCATCGAAGTCGAAATCATATGAATCTTGAGTTTCCAAGTGTAGGTCCGAGAGAATCTGGAATGATACAGATCCCATGTTGATGAGATTTTTGGTCTCTAAGCCGAACAAAAATAAGTGCACTGGCTGGGTCAGAAGTTCCAAGGGGACTGAAAAATGGGACGAATATTGAAATGGGCCACAGCCAGATGCAAGATCACTCTACATCAACAATCTATAGAGCAGGCGCCTCTTTATTGCGTCAAGAGACTCGTCTTCCTGGGCAATCGAATTGGCTTGAAAAGTGATTGAATTATTGAGGAACAGAATGTATATCTGTTATGACAGAATAGGCAACTGCATCGGCAGAAAGAGACTACTGTTGGAGGTCAGACCAGAACTATGCGGCTCTTGTGTCCGGCGACTTGTTTCTTCGTGCTAAGTGGGTTCATTCAAGAAACATACATTACTCACTCTGTGGATCAAAGGGACAACTCAGCCCTTGTGAGATCCATTTAGGCGGTTGGTATTGACAGAAACTAAGGTCGAGGTATGGAGCGGAGTTGCAAGCGATCAAAGTCATCGTCAATCGGCTAACGTCCATTTCAAGGAAATCGGCATATCGGGCGCGCCCGAGTGGACCGGGCCAATAGGGCACCCCTGGCCCCCAAAGCCCAGCCAACAGCTAACACCCTACACTCATGCGTTGGTGCACGAACTAATGTTAGTTCCCCCTTAGACACTCCTAAGCGAGAAGCAATGCATAGCATATGACGCACGTATGCATGCTCTGATCGGCTGGACAGTCTTCTCAGAGGCTCCATCTTTAACGAACATTGATCATGTTGCACCAAAGTAGGATCATCCTTCCTGCTCAAGGTGGAATTACGTCTCTCAAATCCCTGTAATTAACTGATAGAGATCAGCTGATGCTAAAATGAATTATTGAAACATTTTCTATTCTTAAGCTTCTTGCATGCCTTTCTCAATGCCTTAAGCCGCTCCTATGACCACGAATCCCACAAGTTCTGTGCTACATTGTTGTTAATCCTTGTTCTTCTTCTTCTTCATCATGTCCATAAGACTCTTCTGAGCCTTCGCATTTCCCTTTGCCTCTTTCTTCTTGTCAGCCTCGAGCTTACGCTCGTACTGTTCCTGCTGCTTCTCGCGCATCGCGCGACCCTCCTCCGATAGTTTAGCCTCAAGTTCACGGAACTCCTCTCCATCGGGATCCATTCCAATAAGCGACTCCAACAACTTGATCTCACGAGCCCACACACCGTGATCAGGAACGGTGGCAGGGGAGGCTTTTGCAGGACGTTTTGAGCCCTTCTTCGGCTTTTTCTTCTCAGACTCGCTGGCGCACGAGTCCCCATCATCATCATTATCCACTGCCGAGGATCCCGATTGACCAGGGACGCGATCAATTGGCGTCTCTAGAACCATGGGCAAGCCCTCAAAGCGTGGTTCGTTCATGACGTTGTGAAAGGCACGTAGGCCAAGGAACCCGGTACCGATGTTGGCATGTAAGTCGCGTTTACTACCTCGTGGAGCCTTTGAATCGTTCAGATGCAGGGCACGTAGGAATTCCAGGCCAATTAATTCGTCAAACTCGGTAAGAAAAGCCTTGAAGCCTTCTGGTGAGACCAAGTCATACCCTGCTGCGAAGCTGTGGCAGGTATCAATGCAAATACCAATTCGAGAGTGATGCTCTTTGGGGATTAGTGCTAATAGGTCACGAAATTCGGAGAGTGAGCCACCAATTGTATTTCCGTGGCCACACATTGTTTCCAGAACAGGAATAACCGTCGAGGTTTCCGAGATTGCCTTGGTTAGAGAATCTGCGAGACGGGAGAGTGCCTCTGGGAGTGGGGTTTGATTGGTACTTCCAGGGCTGGAATAATTTAGTACGAGGCGGAATAAAGAAACCGATAGAATTAGACGTCTTACTGAAAGTTATACAGTCGGATTCCAAGAGCTTCACAGCGGCGCAAGTCGTCTAGGAAAGCATCGTATGCTTGTTTGGCCTTGGCCTTGTCATTTTGCGCCAAATTGACGAGGTATGAGCCATGGGGCAAGACGTGCCTGTGAAATATTAGAATCAAGCTATACTTAATTTCATTCCGAAAGCATACTTGGCTGCATCATAGTTATGCTCGACACTCATTTTGCGGAACTGGTCTCGGTGCTCATCCTGAAGAGGAGGGTTCTCCCATTTCCGCTGTGATTTCAGGAACAAGGCAAATGCATTGCCTCTGATAGTTCATATTAGAGCATATTCTTGGTTCAATAAGCACCAAAAAGATATATAGAGACTCACCCAATGTGTGTGCTGTTGGTAATCGAGTTGAAAACGCCTGACGCAAAAAGATACTTATCAGCTTTCCGAACTAACGGACTGACCGTCAGAGACACATTATAGAAACACACCCTTTGCAGCACTAACATGCGCCCCAACGAACATACGAAGACCCTGTGTTCTTGGTGCTAACGGCATTGCTTCGGCGTCTTTTTCTTCCTTCGACTTCTTCCCTCTCTTGGAGGTCTTGGGTTTCTGGGTAGTTGGGGCAGCTTTGATTTCGGCCTTGACCTCAATGCTGCGTCCTTCTTTATTCCCTGTTTCAATTTTGGAGTCCGTTTCTTTGCTGTCAACAGGTACTTGCTTAACAGAAAAAGCGACCTGCGTCTTCTTCGTTCGGGTTCCTTTTGAAGACGTGGACTTCGCAAGAGTCTCCGATTCAGGTGCGTTGTCTGATAAATCGCCCTCTTCACCTGATTCTTCAGCAGAAGATGCTTCTTTGAGGTTCACAGTAGATCTCTGTCGTTTAGATCGCCTCGGTGGGGAGTTATCTGGTGTCCCATTGCTGAGATTCCTCTTGTGGCCTCCTTTCGTCAACGGCATTGAGAGTTTAAATGAAATCGAATAATTTTGCTGTTGTTTGGATGTATTGTGCTGCAGCAAAGTCTGACACAACAGTCAGTATGAAAGTTATGCGCAATATATCCCGCAAAATGATTCGTGGAGGCAGTCTAAAGCGATTTCACAACGTCCGGGAGGTCCAGAAATTTGAGGGGGTCTTGAATCTGATTGGACGATGTAGCAGGGGAGCTCAGAGTAACCGACAAAACAGACCACAGAAGATCCAGAGCCGCGAGATGAGGAAAAAGTAATCCCAAGAGGAGACCTGGGTAAGAGTAGTTTGAGCCCTCTCTTACTGAAATCAATCTTCCCCTTCATCCGTTTAGATTTTGGATTGAGGTGCCTGCTGAACATTGAACAAATGAGGTCACGTGCTGATCACCGGGGTAACGGTCATGTGATGTTTATCGATAACCCAATCGGCCGTTTTGCAGCAACATTTAGTGCGGTGCCCAAGTGCCCCCTCGCTGCCGTCAACTAACATCCAGCACGACACAAAAGACTCGCAAAGGGGAGATCCGGCACCCGATCTCGGCAATATGGCGGCCTCCGAGGACCTGATTGACTTCGACATTATCGAGGCCCAGAAGGAAAACGTTCAGTCACTTCCTGGTGGTAGATCGGCCAGAGAGCTTGCCCGGATTTTCTCAGCGGGCAGCAACAGCGACAAACTTGCATCTCCTTCGCCAAACGACACAAGGACTATCAACGGTGCCATTCGCCAGGACTTTGAAAGGGAGCTGGAGTCAATAGGAGAATCGGACGATCCGCTCGATGTTTATGACCGCTATGTCAAATGGACCCTTAACGCGTACCCGTCTGCCCAGGCCACCGCTGAATCCGGCCTGCTGCCGCTACTCGAACGCGCCACCAAGTCTTTTCTCTCGTCGTCACATTACCGGAATGATCCCCGCTACCTCCGGCTATGGCTACACTACATCCGACTGTTCTCGGATGCCCCGCGCGAGACATTTGCGTTCCTTGCCCGGCATCATATCGGCGAAGGCTTGGCATTATTCTACGAGGAATTTGCCGCATGGTTAGAGGGAGCTGGACGCTGGACACAAGCAGATGAAGTCTATAGACTCGGAATAGATCGCGAGGCTCGACCAGCTGAGCGCTTGCTCCGGAAATACAGCGAGTTCCAGCAACGATACGAAGCACGACCACAAGATGCCGGGCCTTCCTCGCCCGCCTTGCCGGCTGTACGTCCCGCCTTGGCCGCAAAGATGGATCCTTTCGCCCTATCTGAGGCTGCTGCAGACCCGCAGACCTCACGGCCTTCCCCACAGATAGGTGGTACGACAAAGACGAAATCCGGGAAACAAAAGATGACTATTTTCTCAGATTCCGATGCCGCCGCATCGAGTCAACCGCCAAGCAGCGGGGGAACAAAGGGGTGGGAAAGTATTGGATCAATGCGGGAACGCAGAAAGGAAAATGAGGTGGAGGCGAAACCATGGGTTGGAGAGACATTGAAGGCGGGAAAGAAGCCAGTACCAACACAGAAAATGGCAATTTTCAGGGATGAGGTGAGTCTGCAATCTTCATTTTGCTCCTTTTGTTCCCTCGCAGCCTTCCATATATTTACGATCACAGGACTAATTGCTGGCTTGAACCTATGTGTTTCCCATTGTGTGTATACAGTCCAATCCAAATCCACCTCAAGAACAAAGTGCCTCCAAGTACGTTCCAGAACACCATGTAAGGGAAGCGGTAAACCCACGGACAGGGCGTCGAGAACGAGTTTTTGTCGACCTTGAATCAGTATATCCAGACTATAAGAACCCCGCCCACGAGATGAGTTTCGAGGAATTGAGGGCTATCAAGCGCGGGTGGATGAATAGGAGCTGGCGTTCCCAGAAGGAACCCTTGCAACAGATCTCAGGGAACGTGAAGGGTTTTGAGGGTCATTCATCGATGCAGAAGACTACAAGTGCAGCCGGGGAGCCACCCGAGCAATTGAGTCAGAATTCAATAATCGATGGAGAAACATCTCAAGCACAGGACCAGGAGGGGCCTCATGCGGGCAAGACCGGGAAGGCAAGAAAATTCAAGGTCCAGGGAGAAACTCAAACCAGTAAGGAGCTATTATATCTAGACTGAAAGATGAACGGACTAACAGCCCTGGCAGTTAAAATGAAATTTGATTCCCCGACCAACTCGTCGAAAGTCCGGCGAAAGAGCACAAGAGAACCGACAATGACTATGCATACTCGCGCTGCAACGGATGAGATCTACAGCATATTCAATCAGCCATTGAAGGCAGAGACTGAGGATGCGACAGATAGCTTGTGCGGCAGTGATTACGAGGATGATGCTTCTGTTAGTACTGGAGATAGTACAGGCACCGGCCATATCTCGGCAGTCTCAAGCGACTTCGGCGACGATGAAACTCATACTTTCCACGGGTCTTACGATGATACAGAGTACGGTAACGACGATGTCACGCACGCTGAAAGCGTTGCTGGGGACGACTGGACCGAATTCAGTGTCAGCAAAGACGTCCCTGGGGGCGGAAGTACCGATATGACATCTCGCTCGGTTATTAGCGAACGGGAGGATATCTCTCCGTATGGAACCCCCGAGAAGGAGCGGTTTGTACCTCAAATGCCGGAGGACTACAACCCACCTTGCGGGACGTATCGTGATCCGGCAATCATGGCACAGAATCGGCTTCCCTTCATGACCCCAATTGTGGAACGGACCGAGTCCTCAATATCCATGACAGCTGCCAGGAATATGCATAATTCGAAGACGCCATCAAAGCCTCGCACCCCAGGTATGCCTCAGATGGGCGATCTTCTACTCTCTAGTCCAGTTGCAGCAACAACACCCTATCACGGAGACCACACTGTCAATTCGACCGCCGACGTGCCATTCAGCCCAACAGCGTTCAAAGCCCTTGCTCCAAAACCACGCCGACGGGAAGTTGTTATCAGAGACTTGCAATGCAATCCAACTGATAAGGGCATTCGCAATACGATTTTGAACTCTTTGGAGCCACCACTTGCATCATATTCGGGCTATCATGGTCATGTCCAAGATAGCAACTATGCTACTATGATCCAAAAATTCGTGAAAGCCCACAGCCGAAAGTTGAAAAGCGCTGATGATGAAAGTTTTGACACTCCAATTCTGGAATTTCCCGGAGCTGAACGCAGCTATATCATTCGACGTGAACTTGGTGCTGGCGCATATGCTCCCGTTTACCTCGCAGAGAGTGTCGATAGTCTAGAGTCGTACGATTCTGATTCAGACGGCGAAAATAGGAGTCCACATAACCGAGACTCCCTGTCTAGGCATCCAAGCCCTTATGACACTCCTCGGGATCCGTTTGAAGCAGTCAAGGTCGAGAACGGACCGTCCAGCGCCTGGGAATTCTACATGATTCGCACTGCACACGAACGTCTCCGGCAATCGACTAGCCAGGCCCGCGCCACAGAGAGCATCGTCCGTGCCCATGAACTACACGTCCACCAACGCGAGAGTTTCCTAGTGGAAGACTATCGAGGCCAAGGCACGCTCCTCGATCTTGTCAACTTGCTCCGCAACGAACCCATCAGCTCGACCCACAACAGCGACGGCGGGCTCGAAGAATCTCTTGCAATGTTCTTTTCCATCGAGCTCTTCCGCACCGTCGAGGCCCTACACGCCAGCGGTATCCTGCATGGCGACATCAAAGCCGACAACTGCCTTGTTCGCCTTGGTGATCCCTCGACAACCGACTCCCCGCCCACCAGCACTTTTTCCCTCCTAGAGCTTGGCGATGGGCCCGCGCATGAAGCCCCCGAGTCACCCTCCTACGCGCCATCTGGCGCCTACGGCTGGCGCACTAAAGGCCTCGCACTTATCGATTTCGGCCGCGCCATCGACATGACCGCTTTCGCGCCAGGCGTGCAGTTCATCGCAGACTGGGAAACCGGTACCCACGAGTGTCCCGAGATCCGCGAGATGCGCCCCTGGACCCACCAAATCGACCTGTACGGCATCGCCGGTGTGATTCACGTCCTGCTGTTCGGCAAATACATCGAGTCGGCGGCGGTCCGGACGAGCTCCGATGGTGCCGGCGCCGGCCCTACCTATCGCATCCGCGAGTCACTGAAACGCTACTGGGACCGCGAGCTATGGGCAGATGTCTTTGACTTGCTACTTAATCCGGGCGCGCAGCGGTGGGTCGCGCTGGAAGCAGAGGGAGATGCAGAGAACGTAGTTCCTGGGGCGCCAGTGCTCCCTGTGTTGCGGGGGATGCGCCAAGTGCGGCAGAGTATGGAGGACTGGCTGGTTGTGAACGCGGAGAAGAAAGGGCTGGCGCTACAGTTGAAAAAGATTGAGGCGCTGCTGGCGGAACGGAAGAAGAGGCTGGAGCGGGCTTGATTAATTGATTGAGTCTGAGCTTGTCTTCTTATTTGGCTTTTACCCTTTTTGTCTTTTTGGTGTCCTTTCCTGTCTTGTGTCTTGCATGATTATGACCTTTTTATGTATACCCCTTTTGCTGTCCTCTATTTCTTTGCCTTGACTTTTTTTAGATGTTGGTATTTCCATTTGTAAAGACATTTTGGATATGATTACTATGCTCTGTGACCCAGCTCGAAGCTCCATTACTGTATCAGTATTGTCTCTCAACAAGTAGGCGAGTCTTACACCTGCCCGATACGTACAGACGACAAGCTGGACTACTTGTTCAATTACAGCTACAAGGTCCACGACGGGCTCGAATTGAAATAGGTAAGAAATGAAGGGCAGATGCAAATAAGGATGATAATAATAAATTGGGCGAACGTTCGCGGTCCTCACATCAAACGATTAAAAGAACACATCGCCAAGCGAAAGCAAATATGGCAGAGCAAGCTAGTAAAGCACACAACAACTCTTTTGGCGCACGAGCGCAAGAGTACACTCAACTAGACATGGCAAGACATGAGAAGATAAAGAATAAGGGATTTAAGAAATGAAATAAATTGAGAAAAAAAATCACACTGGACACAAGCAAGACATGACCCCACGGAGGCCGGCGGCGCCTGGTCTGCAAAACACTGTCATAAAGTAGAACGTGACTGGAACACGAGCATGGGTCGAGAGGTAGATGATATAGAGACTGAAGAGCTTCGTGTTGGTGAAATGCAGCGCAGAATCGTGCAGCACAATGCAATGCAATGTGGCTAGCCTCGCGTTTCGGGGTATGTGCTTGCTGCCATGAGCAGGTGCAGATCAAAGGCGAATGTCATCCAGTCTTAGGCAAGGGGTATCCTTCCTGAGGCTCAATGTGGTCGGCTTGAACAGAGTTTGATCTGGCAGTCCTTGCTTCGCAGAACACATTAAGAAAACAAGTCCAGCTCATGGCTATCTCGAAAGATTCGAGACAAGGCTTCATATTGAAGAACCTTCGGATTCTGGGAAAGTAAAGAAAAAGAGCAGTGGCGCACTCGCATGAACATCAAGATCGAAAAGAGGAACGAAAGCCTAACACCACGCTTGCGTCTCAGAAATGTCGTGTTGCCAGCAGCAAATCATGTGCGTCGTTTCGTTTCGGTTCGTCTATGAGAAGAAGTGGTTGCATATGTATGTATCGTCATTTTGCACAATCTTCATTTTTGGGGGGGCGTGACATGACATGGCATTTGATCAGGTTAAAATTTCAAGGAAAGATGTGTGTTGTGTGAGCTTCATCAAAACCACCAGTTGGGGTGGGGTGTGATGAAGCGAGAGGCCGAAGAGAAAAAGTATGACGAGATAGTGTCTTCAGACATCCCAGTCTTGTCAATGCGTTCAGAAACCATTGGTTTGAACATGAACAGGATCACGATTGGATGCAAGACAAGGTGATGACGGAATGACACAATAATGTGAGATAAAAAAGAGATAGAGAGAGTGGATCACAAGTATGTAAGGTTGATGAGTGATTTTGATGGCAGATAGAGCGTTTTCGGGTTTCATCGTGCTTTTCATTTTTTTTTTTCTGCTTTGTTGAGTGTTTCGCTGTTCTCTGGGTCGCAGTCATGAGCCCAAGGAGCAGGAGAGATACGAAAGGAAAAGAAACAAATCGATAGATTTGGTCAAAGAGAGCGAATAGCATCAAGTAATGTCAAACGGTGATCACAGTTCCGCAGTCAGAAGTTCTGAGTCTGGTTTGCTTGTATCAAATTGAGTCGCCATAGAAACATTCAAGATGCCTGTGTTGAATAGAGGTAGATAGGTGGCTGGTAACGAAAGTCAATCCCAATGGGAGTCGGTTTCTCTCTTCTGGAAATATCAAAGCATCGATTCATCCAGAAAAAAAAATGAACTTAGCACACAATCAACGCAGTTGCAGGATCCGTTCAGTATCTGCAAGAAAAGTCCACTCGTCGAAACGAAGTGGAATATGTGTCGAGCGTCGATGCGTTGTGCAAGAAATTCCGAGCACCAAATCGAGAGAATAGAGCCCATCACAATTTTCTCTTCGGTGTAGAGAGTGAGAGTCGTGGTTGGTGAAGTTGCAATTGATTTTTTGGGGGGGGAGGGGTTTCACACCCGACTAGCCAAAGCAAGAAGCAGGAACATTGGTGCGGGAGAAAAAAGAATAAATCGGGCCATCAAAGCATATCGTTACAGTCGTCAAGGCCGTTGCTGTCATAAAAAGGGCTGCGAAAAAGGGGCAGATGCATGTCAAAGCATCTTCCCGTCGTATTTCGTTCAAGTCATTATGCAAAGGGTTGAGGCAGTCTCGCGAACGAACAGGCACCGCGCTACGAACGGAAGTTGAAGAAAGAGAAATTGGAGTTCCGTTCGACAGCAGATGCACGAAATAAATGCAAAGACGTAATCCTTAGTTGCGCATAGAAGGCATGTTAAGGATTTGTCGACGTATGCGCTCGGCATCCGAAAGACCTTCCTCGAAGGGGTCTTGCAGCGTAGGTACGCCAGGCTTCACTTGTTCTTGGATATGAGATGGGTTAATAGCGGGATGAGCGTAGGATGGGAGGCCTCCGCTGGAGAATGGATCAGAAAGTGAAGGCGCATGTCGAATGAATCGACTTGGGCCGTCGCGGCGCTTTACCACGCCTTCAATCCTGAAGGGGGAACCGAGCCGCTTAATGTTTTCACCACCGAGACTCAGCAAAGGATTGGATGGTTTGGGATTGGGAGTTGTCTCCTCTGCTGTAGATGAGTTGAGAGATGAAGGCGGCGAAAAAAGCTGGTTAACATCCTTCGGTCCAATGGCACCGGTGGTTGTCGCACCGCGATTACGAACGCGAACTCGGCCATGTGCCATGCTCTGAAACTTGTTGTCGCGAAGGTAAGTCTCGAGTCGGTTCTGAACTTCTTCCTCCGAGGGATCCTTTTCGCCATATACATCACTTGAGAAAACATCGTCGCTGTCTCGTGGAGTTCTATCCATATGAGTGTTGCGACGCAAACGACGACCAGGTACATGAACGGTCTCGCGGCGTGCTGACTGAGGAATATCTTGAACTTGACGGTTCGAACCTCCGGGTCCCCAGGTGCTGTACACAAACGGTGATCCCAGGCGGGGAGGAATGTTGTATGGCTCAACACGGAGGTGGGGAGCCGGGAACTGAACAGTCGAGGGCTCGGCCACGTGGGTGTCAGAGAAAGTGTGCAGCGGTTTACCGAACCAGTCCGCCTTCGACTCATCGGGTACTGACATCTCGGCAAGTTGAGTCAGCGGACTCGGGTCATAGGTGGACGCCAGAGAGACGCCCAGATCGCGAGTGGTGTAGGCAGTAGAGCTTTTGTCGGCAAAGGCATGGATGTGCGGCTCAGACGGGACACCGAGCATGTCTGCCATTGGCTCCGGACTGCGGGATTGCATCATGCGCTGATAGTGAGGCGAGATGCAGAACTTGCGTCGACATAGCAGCTTGAGTCGCCCGCGGGTCTTGGCATCAGATTTGGGCCACAGAGGCTGGGCAGGGGAATCCAAGGCCTTGGGAGTGGAGCTGCCGCTGCGGTTATCAGGTTGGGTGGGAAGAGTCTGGGTGAAACGGAGTTTCTTCTTCTCCCAGGTGCGCTTGGCACGGCGCGCAACTCGAGACGTAACGCCCAGGGGCGGAATACTTCCCGGAGTCATCTTGAATGGAGTGATTGTGGGATCTTGCAAGTACAGCTGGTACGTGTTCCACAAGTGATTGTCCATGTCGCGGGTCCAAGACTTGTCCTTTAGGACCTGGGGACGCTGCACCTTCAGTCTCTTGGGCAGGGTTGGGGATTCCATCGGGGCCTCTTTGGGGAACTCCAAAGGGAACTGATGATCAAAGATATCGCTCTCGTTACTCGTACAACTTCCTCCTACTGAGGGCCGCGACGCAAATGTTTCGATGGACTCGATTGACGAGTCAGAGTGGTTGGAGCATGCAGAATCAGGGCGTGTGATGCTGCCTACAAATGGGGTCTGGTCCCATGAAGGCCATGGATGTTCCGTGTCGCATGAATCGAATGGCGTGCCTCGGATCTGGGCCGGGGGAGTCTTGAAGGCCATGCGCTGGCGAGGGGGTGCGAGGAAGCGATCATCGTTGACTGATTCGTCTGGGACTGATCCCCCTAGGATCGCGCTCGCCTGAGGAACTTCGATGGAAGGTAATGGCACATCTTGAGTACCCTGGGATCCTTGGAATCGGAAGATGTCGAGGTCAATCCGCTCGCACACGTCAGTCCCCGATCGCACACGGACTCGGGGCAGACGACAGCTGGAGAAAGAATGGCGGGGCGGTGGTGGGACTTCGACGTGTCTTGACGGGCGTTCCGGGGTCCTGGGCTCATCGGTACTGAGCGACGGGAACGTGAAGTTCTTTGGGAGCGTTCGCGAAAGCTGTCGCTGAGCCATGATGGTTAATAATTGTGGAGAGTTCAGTTTCCACTTGTTGGTATGTGGGGACAACAATTGGCAAAACTGTAGTGGCGTATCGTGAGATGATGGCGTTGATGTCGCGACTTCGCGGATCAGAGATGAAGCCACGCGGTCGCGTAAGGGTCGTGAATCGTGAGAAGAAAAGGAAAAGTAAGATGGAACGAAGGCGAAGAGGAGGGCGTTGCAAAAGAAATCGGGTTCACGTCGATGAGGCGTGATCTGGGGAAGACAGGGCACGGTGTCGTTGCGGAATGCGCCAAATCTAGAAATCGGGGATCACCAGATCACATCCGCGGCTCCATCCCGGCCACGAAGTAGGGAATGGAGAACGTCCTCATTACCGAACGCCGAAAATACACAAAAGAAAAAGAGCCTTCCCTCACGCGCAAAATGAGGAAGGGAAGAGGAAGAAGGAGAGGGGGGAGAAAGGGAAGGGGGGGCAGAAGAGAGGAGGTGAGTGAAGAAGAGGAAGAGTTGAAGGAGGTGAGGAGGTGCAAAAGGTGGTTGGGCGCCAGCAAGTGAGGCGGACGGGGGACTTGGGGGGTACCAGGTACTTTGCACCTGTGGCAGCCCATACCTCCCAGGTACCACCCAGTACCGCCCAGTACCGCCCGCACAGCGGGCCTTAGGGGGGGGCCAACGATACACGAAGTTCAGCGCTTTGGCGGTGGGAAGGGGGGAAGGCGCGAATTGACTGGCAGGTACTGGGGGCTACTTTTGAAACCACAGCCATTGGGCCAGTTGGGCCCACTGTATTTACACCGGAACAAGTAGGGACCAGGTACTTGGGCAGGTACCTGGTACAAGCGCTCCGCTGTACCCTCGATCCACGACCACTCTAAAATCTCGACTACTCCGTGCGAGACACTAAGACCTGCGCTACTTGTGACTAACCTAGAACTAGAATCAGAGCCAGATTTCCAAGCGTGGACGTGAGCATCCACGATGAGGAATGTGTGTTGTTTAGATTTCCCTCGAGTCCTTCCTCAACGAACGAGTCACTGCAGTGTGGACCTTGCTTGATGCACGCTGCAGCATGATCATCCCGGCTCCTCGAGGTCGAGAGAGCACGGTCAAGAGACAAGTCGAGGAGAGACCTGCCAAAGGGAATGCGTTCGGAGGACCTAGTTCGTCCAAGATACAAGATCATCTCCGTCTAGTAATTGGGGGGGCTGGGAGATAATTATAGCAGAGAGAAGACCCAGATGAAGTATACCGAGGATCCAAGATCCAAGTGTCTGTGCTGGCCGGAGCCACCGACTCCATAATTAACCCGTCTGTACAGTCGATCGTGGGCTCGGTTAACCCCAAACCCCTCCCAAGATATCTTCCGGTGGGAACTAGAAAACACTATGCCTCGTACCTACAGTAGAAACTGGGAACGACGTGCTGCGAGCTGCGAACCAGACCAAGGGAGAGACACTGCAAGGGCGCTCTCTGAAGCCGATCCGCAAGATCCTCCCGAGAACGGTCACGCTGCGGTGATGGCCATTGCAGACGCATCTTGACTGCCTTGCCTTAATGAGGCGGTTTTCACTTTCCCTGCAACCATACCACTATGAACTATAAACAATCAAAACAGCAAAACAGTGGCGTTGTAGCTAGAGTCTTTGAAGCTTGGGTGGCTCTTACCTTATTCTTTGTCGGTCCCCAAGTTAAAAAAAATCCAGGAACCGCCGAGATCAGTGAAATTTTCATTGTGCGGTGTACGGGGCATCGGGGGCCCAGTTCGTACCCGTCGTCCCCCGTCGTCCCAATATAACCGTTTTGGGGCGCCATTCGCCTCTCCACCGACGCGCGACGCGTCGCGCGTCGCGCTGTTACATACGCGTTTGGGCCAGCACCCAGCTGTTGTATTTTTGGTATTCTGTGACACACCCTCGCAGTCCCGCTCCAAGTGGGGAAACAGGATGATGCCCGCACTCCAGTGGCCCTGGTACTCCGTCCCGGGTCATGTACGGAGTACTCCCGTACAGTAACTTCGTCCGTTCGTGGTCTTTTTGGGAGCTCGTGGACACCATCGAGAGCTCGAGTGGGGATTGTGGGTTGCACCAGTGGTGGACTCACCGCAGGTGCGACATTCCGTGCAGTGGGCCAGATGACAATGCCTCGAGGCATGGCCCTGCAAAGCGCTGTCCGGACTTCCTTTTTAGGTGGTTTTGACGTATTTTCGACGCATGTACTCTGCGTGTAATTGACAATTGACTGATATGGGAGCCATGCAAACCTGTTGACAGTCGACTCACGTTCTCATGGAAACGACCTCACCCCTACCATGAATCTATGCGCGTTTGTGGTATGTACAGGTGACGCTGCATGAACGATATGATCATATCAACAGCCAATGGAAAGTTTCTCGCTGTTTAGAAATTGAAAAAAGAACATTTCCCTAGCATATAATCCTGCTAGTTCTGCCACAATTTGAAGGGAAACGTATATATATACATATGTATATTGCACCAAAGAATTGAAAAAATCCAAGCCACTGTGTTTTCAATTCCTAGTTCATAAGAGGATGTAAATGAAAAGAAAAGCAGCCTATCTAATTCATTGCCCCAGATTGACTTCACCAAGAGCAGCAAGATCGATCTCCGGCTCGCGATACCGGAACATTATCTCAATCATCGGATTCGTAATCACTTCAGTGCCATGCTCAATGCTGTTCGGCCGTCCGTGATCCTCCTTGAACATCCAGTCGTATTTCAGCAGCAGATGAATAAGAAGGATCTTTGCCTCGTGGACTGCAAAAAAGCGACCCGGACAGGCGTGGATGCCATGGCCAAAGTTATAACTCTCGCTCGTCGTTGTCACCAGCTGATGACGGTGCTCGTGCCCAGGCTCTTGCCGCTTCTTGTAGAAGCGAAAGCCGTCGTACGTGGCTGCGTTTGGGTAGATGCTGTTATCCTCGTTGACGTGTGCGGAGACGGCAATAATGGCCCCCTGGGGAATCACCGTTCCATCAGAGAGAGGAATGGCTTTGACAGCGAAGCGGTTCAGGGAAGCTGAAGAAGAGAGGTATTGTGTGAGATAAAATGTATAGTGGGAGAATGTCTTGCGTGGAGTTCAGGAAGGGGACAAGGTTCGAGGCGACTCACTAATGCTCACGGGGTTGATCCGTTGTGACTCTTTCATCACACTATCCATTAACTTGAGCTTCAATAAACTGGTCTTCTTCAGAACGCCGTCTTCGGCAATGACAGTGCGGATCTCGTCGCGCAAAGGCTGAATGTATTCGGGGTAGGCTGCTAAGTCGTATATTACGTTGGTCATCAGGTTAGACGTGGTATGGATGGCCGCCAGCGCCAGGCCAACTTGTGACCGGGAGATATCGCACAGGGTGTTTCCCTCTGCCGACATTTCTTGAAGCCAGTCAAGGGCGTCGGCATGTGAGCGCGGAGGGTCTTCTGGGGCCAGCTTTCCCTCGCGGATCAGGGCCCGTTTCTCAATCTCGCGGTTTATAATGGAACGCGCCACGACCATATGCTGGCGGAGTTTTCGGACCGATGGCATGAACCAGTGCACAAATGGACGAAGGGTGGACGGCCACATGCGTAGCTCACGGGCCGCAGCGAAGGCATCGAGCGTGTAGTGGACGGAGACGTTGACCCAGTCTTTGTCACGGCAGATATGCTCACCCAGGAAGGCGAGGGAGGAGAGCCGAGCGAGGATGTATGGAATCTCATGGGAGAAGTTATACGTTTTCCATTCTAATTACTGACTTCGTTAGCAACGACGACTGCCAGGTTCGTGATGTGCAGGGGACTAGGACTCAAAATTGTACCATTTGAAGTCGGAAAGATGTCCTCCACCGTCGCTGCCGTCTCTTTGGAGAGTGGGATTGTCAATGATCCTGGAGAGTGATGAGAATTGATGATTCTTCCGCTAGCATTAGAGCAGCTCAAGCATACCGAGGGCTTGGGTCAGCTTCACCCGCACGAGATCCACCGTAATCTGGCCCGCTTTGGATCCTTTGGGATGGAAAGCTTCGAAGCCCGCGATGCGATCATCGAAGAAGTTCTGGCCATGGTCAATTTAAGACGCCTTTCAATCCTCATGTCCCGGACAGTATGTGATTTACCTTCGTGGTCGCTCGTTGAAAATCTAAGTGCGGGTGGCTCTTGATCTCATCAATATACTTCGGGTCCAGTACGATGAGGGGCTGAGTGCCCCCTACAACCTGGAAGACACTTATACCCTGTTAATTTAGATCAGCATCCTGCTATATTTTCAAGCATCTGATTATTCTGGCTCATGATTTTCTACCTTAGCGAACCCCTCTGCGAGCAATGCCCGCGCTGCGTTCGTGAAACGCGCCTTGGCTTTCTTGTTGGACAGGCTCCACCATTTCTTACCAACCAAAGGCACCCTACTATAGGGAAGTTCATCGATGAAATCCCGCCAAAAACCGAAAATAAAGACACCTAAAAGAGCTGCACAAATGCTCTGGGCCAGGTAAGGGCTTTCAAGTAGTCCGGCGAGGACAGCCATGACCGGATCAGCAAAATGGAAGATCAAACGGCATAAATTGGAAAATCAACGAAGACACAATGGCGACTGTTCAAATAGTTACACTGACTTTGTGACTTGGCACCAACCACGTCGCGGCAATTTATGATTCCGCTCCGTAGGCCAGTAGGCCAACCAGGGCTTCTTTATTGTAGATCATTCGGGATGGAGGCAGCCGAGATGTCGATAAAGTGACCCACAAGACGCCACAGCCGGAAGCTGGGCCAGCCGGATGGACACGAGCCTGCGGTCAAAACACGCGATTGAGCTCAATGCTCGGAAGCTAGAACCCCCGAGAGGAATGGTAGGTCTGTCAATGCAGCGTGGTTATGCATCGTACCTCCTAGCGTGGCCGAAAAGTCAAACACGAACACGAAAACGACATCCTGCAGACTGACCCTGGCCCGAAGCATCCTGTTGTGATTTTGTAATAAACCTTCTCGACAGTCCACTAATTGATCTCCGGGGTATGAGGTGTGAGCTTCATATGCTGTACTTGGACAGCTAGAGTAGTACATGCATGGTGCACAGCGTGAAGAAATAACTTCATGGCATAGATTGGGGTTATAGGGACTTGCAGCGGTCCAAAATTCTGAAATCACTCTACAAGCCCTTCAATCAAATCGGGGAGGATTCTACAATTTCTGCAACGTATGCAATATCCGAACGGGGATGGATATCCAGCGCGAAATGCTTCGAGGTATGACAGTCTCAAATATGTCCGCTAACTAGACGACCCTGTATTTATTGCGACTTAGCCGGTCAGGGATAGAGCTGTCGTGATATAGGTCGTCTGGAAGCGGTTGCATGAGACCTAGTACGTCTCTGTACAGCCCAATCATGCTCGAGAGGCGGGTAAGCACCCTAAATCCCCCAATTGAATCTCCCCCTATTTACGTGGTCGTTGAAGACCGGCTTCGTTTCTGAATCAAGTCTCTAACTATCTCACTGCAACTAAGCTGCAACCTAATAATACCCCGACAAAAACAACATTGGATTTACTCCAAGTGTACCTTTGCCCATCAATACTAACAGTGAGGGCGTCTCTACTCCAATATTCGTATTATTCAGCGTCGCGTGCTCACGGGTCCCGTGCCAAGACCCCGCATTCAGCTGTCCAGTGATCTCCGTCATCCCCATTTGCCCAATCTCTCCCCGCAATGTCCGAAGGCTCAAGACTCACAGTACTCTCCTCTCCACGTCTCTTTTCCCTTTCCCTTCCTTACTCCGTTATATACACTTAAATCTACATTAATATCGTGCCGATTGAATCATGGGAGACTACGGCTCCACAGTCCCACCCCTCCGCTCCACCCCTGTGGGCAATCCTTCCCACCTTCCGCCAGTCCCCAACGAGATCTCCGTGCTGGTGACAGGGTTTGGTGTAAGTCCATGATGCCCAAGTGAGAGGATCTGCACCGGATTGCACTCATTCCCGAACCCGAGCACCTTAGCCCAGGTCGACTAGCATATTTTGTATCCCAAACTATATCGTGCTCTCTAACATTCCTAGCCCTTTAAAACCAACCTGGTCAATGCTTCCTATCTGATCGCCTCTTCCCTACCGGCTTCGTTCGCCTTCCCCTCACCAGACGAGACAAACCCCGCAACTAGCGACGGCGATCGCCGCGTTTCTATCCACGTGCATCCGTCCCCAATCCCCGTCGCCTATGCGACCGTGCGTGAAACCCTTCCCGTGATCCTAGAGCAGTATGCCGCCACCCATGGTGGAAAGCGGCCCGATCTAGTGGTTCACATTGGGATAGCATCGCCCCGTCCGTATTATTCGGTCGAGTCGCAGGCGCACCGCGATGACTATATCATCACCGACATCGAGGGTCGAAATGGATTCGAGGATGGTGAGAGGCGCTGGAAGGAAATGGGGTTGCCGGCGATCCTCCGCCCAGGCTTAGTCGCGCACGATGAGCAGCATCAGAATAATGCACCAGCTGCTAGTACTTCCGCATCAATGAGTACACCCTATCCTCCCGATAACAATTTCCTAAAAACATGGAAATCCCTGGCTCCCGCAGATCTAGATCTCCGGGTCTCGCAGGACCCAGGTCGGTACCTTTGCGACTTTATCTTCTATACGAGTATGTCCTTGGCCCTGCTGGCGGGTCAAGACCGCAACGTGCTCTTCCTTCATGTCCCTGGAGCCTCGGAAGACGCCGATATCGAACGTGGAAAGAAGGTCGCCCTGGCACTCATTAAGACCATGGTGACCTGCTGGATCGACGAAAAGCATGTCGCCTGATCGTCAAGAGCTCAATATAATATGGCCACGGAGGCCGCCTGAATAACCCAATCCTCTCGCTTGCTTTTCATTCTAATCTTCCGTTTCTCTCTTGGTCCCGTTGCATATTCGGTTAGCATGTCTAGCATATTTTCTGATCAATCCTATTGACATAATTCTAACATCTATCGGTGGCTTGCGTTTAGCTGAAGAGTGGGGACGGTCGATCCATTCTATGGCGTCCATAGCTTCACAGCCCATAATCATCTTTTTGCTTTTTTTCGCATCTCAATGCGCGGATGGTGTCGAACGCTGAAACTATTCTTCCTATGAATATATCCCGAAGCTCCTACTTTTTTTTTTCTAAGAATTTAACCCATTCAAGGTTCATCACAGCGTAGACAGCCAAAAATTTACCACGATATTATACTCCTGTCACTGGATAGGGCCACTCAGTTGATCAGCCCCAATAGAATATCATCCACCTAATTGTCTCATAATTTTGAGGCCACAATTTGCATTTCTCATTCCATCAGGGCCGAGCAAAGAAGAGGCGGCATATTTACGTGCGAAATTTCTCTTTGGATAATACCTTTGGTGGTATTATCAGCTATATGACCAAATTAATGATCCCGAATTCGCTTCGGAATCTCTCAGAAGGCAGGTAGCCAGGTTTTGGCTAGACTATCTGCACCTGCTGGCCTAACCTCACGAACGGTGTGTGGTACCTGGCTTATGAGCTAAGATGTTTGATCGCTTGGCGAAAACATGGACGTTTTTTCGTCTCACTTCAGAAGTCATGTAGTGCCATTAGGCCGAATGACATTTGTTTGTTCAGCTTGAAGCATCAAAGGCCGTCTATCGGTTCTAAAGTACATTTTCTTTTATCCGGAATTACATCGTTCGATAAACTTGAACTCCACGAAAGATTTTGTTCATGTGAGAGAAGAGTTGAAAATAAGCAAGTTCCAATTATTGTCCTTTTCTTTTGCTTGTCAGACATTTCTCCCTCACTATCTACCACGTCCCCAACACCCAAAATTTAATCTATTTTAATCTTGTACTTGAATTGTTCCTTGCTTACCATCACGAAGGACGCTGGATGTTGAGCTACAGGTTTGATTCTCAAACTTCTGGTGTAACCATGTCTCCATCCCTAATTCCATATTTACTTCTTCCATCTTTCTTTTAAAATGAGCAGGATTTGAGATATTCTTTATAAAGAAGAACCTCGTCCATGATATTCTCGATGGCTAAATAATGTCAATATTTGATCAAAATGTTATCAGCAATCGGTTCTGAGGTCCTCAATACATCTTTCTGTGTTTCTCATCCAATATGGACGATAATACTCACGTTACTTAGTATCCTTATTCTGCCGGATCTCATCCGAAACATCAAATGGAGGATAGAATTACGTGGTATTCCTTTTATCCTCTCTGACAGTCTGTTTGGCCCATTGCTACAATGGACACAGCCTGCACCGGATTATGAAAAGGAGTTACGAACAGCCTATTCAAAGGTGAATGAGTCCAATTTACTTCATTTTCATGCGTCAGATTTAATCAGCCTTAATTCAGTACACAAAACAAGGCAAGCCATTTGCTATGCCTGCATTGAATGGCTCCGGTTGTATCCTTGTGCCCCCTCCTGAATCATGCAAGGAATGGGTCAGTTTACCTAAGGACCACCTAGGGTGGACAGAGCTCGTCAACCATGTAGGCTTACAATTTCTTGGAGGGACCAGCTGGCCCAGAGCTGATATGATACTACTCTAAATTAGGAATTGAGACTCCATTCCATCAACCTTGATATCGGATGGAAGGTGGCATCTGATGCCCTCCTTGCTTGTGTCCGACCCGCTTCCGTAGGTATGAATAAAGTCCTGTGAGTTAGTTGGCCAGAAACTAATATCGGGACATTTGAAATCCATTCAGACAAAATTCAGCATCATATTTTCGATATAATAGATCATGAGATCAACCGGCTATTCACCAGTTCAACCACCAAAGGTATTCCTTGATCCAGATTATAATGTATTATGATCGTACCACTAATGGGAACAAAAGATTCAACGATATCCAGTATCTTTGATACATCTATGGATATTTGCGTCTCCATCGCATATGCATTGGTTCTTGGTCCAGACTATGAAAAAAATGAGGTCCTTCGCCAACAAATATTTCGATTTATTGAGTCTGTCAATGAGAGAGTCCCAGAAATTAAGAATTTCCCGACAGTCCTGAGACCTTTTGCTAAAAGATTCTCATATTACACTCGAATAATGAATGATGTGACTAAAACAACGAAGAGAATTTTAGTTCCTGAGATTAAACGGCGAATGAGCAGTATTAGTGAAAAGCCATCCGATACCCCACAGGGCGAACAATTCTTTCTCGATACAATGATATATTTTGCGATCAAAAAGGGCCTGTTGACCGAGAGGAGTACGGAAAGTGAAATGAACAATTTGGCAAATACACTAGCCGATCACGTTCTTGTACTAGCCTTAGAGATCACGCTCCCTGTGAATCTAACGGCGAGCAATCTACTTTATCAGCTCTTAGAGAGGCCGGAATACATCAGACCACTGAGAGAGGAACTCGAAGGCGCACTCGATCACACAAATGGGGTATGGAGCTTTGACATGTTCCATCGTACGCCAAAGATTGAGAGCTTTTCTCGCGAGGCATTACGAATAGTGACAAACGTCGCCTGTAAGTATGATCAAAGTAACTATTGAATAGGGTGTTCAAACCTGCTGACAACTTTCAAAAAGTCACGAGCTCTCGTATTGTGAAGAAGCCACTCTTTTTACCTTCGTTGGGACGAACGATCAAGCCTGGGATTGAAATCTGGCTACCTAGTCGATGGGTTCATCTCGATCCTGAGATCTATCCCGACCCAGAACGATTCGACGGCTATCGATTCTACGACCCTGTTAAAAAGACTTGTGAAGTACAAGATACACTCACACCTTCGCCCCAATGGCTGATCTTTGCCATCGGAAGTGGTCTCTGTCCTGGGCGACTTCTAGGAATACGTACTGCGCAAGCAGTGCTCGGTAAATTTCTGTTCAACTTTGATATGCAGCTTGAGAATGATGAAAAGGCTCCTCCGTTTATACAAATCTCAGATGGCCTTTTCTTGAACTCCGTGATCAATATGCGGCTTCAACCCCGACCAGCTTGTCCCTTAGCCTCTTCGAAGAGCCTGTATGAGCGGGAGGCCGATTAAATAGGTTGGAGATTGAGCCGCCTGAGGAAATTTATCAGAAGACGATGTAATGAAAGCCAGTCATTCTCTTTCTTTATAATCGCATTTTGAAGAAGCGTTCAAACATACTAGTGTTGTTCGGCTTGGCTCCCCCCCCCCCCCCGGTGCTACGTTTGGTATCACTCAATTTCTAGGCAGAGTTCTTTGTGAGACCGGAGCAAATAAGGGCGAGGAATTGGTCCACTCATTATGCACCTAGGTGTAGCTTAGTAATCGATGCAGGTGAATAGTTTACTAAATTATAATAAATATCATTACTTAGTTAGCTAGATGATACTGTAGTCAGCCCGAACCCCTTAGGGAGGTGTCTTGAACCCCCCGAGCGGGCGGCAAAAACGGCAAAAAACGGCAAAACGGGCGCTTATCGATCCCGACGAAACCAGTTAGCTAGTTTGTTAACTTAGAATTTGCCTATTAGTAACAGGCGATCAGACCAAGCGAAGTATATTTATCGAGTCATCTCAAACCCCGATTCTGACTCAGATTTCAATCTACCCAGTGACAGCCCCCAGGCTCAACCAACGTTAACAATGATGGATCCAAATGCGAACACGCCAGTCGTGATCCTCGTCTTGGGGTTGCTCCTTCTCCCAGTCTTCTTCATTCCCCAGGTGAACGGATGGAGCAAGCGAGCGTCGTCGGCGCTGCTTCCGTGCTTGAACCGACTCTGGAATTGGCCTCAGCAATCTAGCGAGATTGTTTCGCTACGCATGTATCCCATCAAGTCCTGCCGCGGCTTTGAAGTCCAATCGACCATCCTGAAAGAGCATGGACTTGATCTCGACCGTCGCTGGATGCTCGTCGATGCCGAGAAGCGAGAGTTCTTGACAATTCGACAAATCCCGGACATGACACGCATCGGAACCGGTCTGACTGCCGATGGCTCTGAATTAATTGTGACCATTCCGTCCAAGACTGAACCTGCCAGCACCCACACCGTCCGGATCCCATCTCACCCGACATCTGAATGGCTAGAGGCCAATACCTCGGTAGCGCCCGTCAAGATCTGGGATAACGATACCGATGGGTACATTTACAGTGATTCAATCAACGCCCCGTTCTCCGAATTCCTCGGTCGCCCTGTTGCGTTGGCCTATAAAGGCCCAACGCCACGCGTGCTCAAAGGTAACGGCGCGCCCAAACTTCTAGGCCGTGTCCAGACAACCGGTTTTCCCGATGTATTCCCCATTCTAATCGCGTCCGAGGCATCTCTTACGGAGCTGAATTCGCGGCTGCGTGATGCAGATGCAGATCCCATCACTATCGAGCGGTTCCGGCCGAATATCATCGTCCGTGGCGAGAAAGCCTGGGTCGAGGATTCATGGAAGACAGTGCGCATTCGGACCTTGTCCCGAAAAGCCGACTCTAGGGAAGCGTGCAAGCAGAAAATTATATCCCAAGTTCCCCTGGATCTCGATATTGTCGCGCGTTGCGCCCGTTGTCAGGTGCCCAATGTGCACCCAGATACGGCAATGAAGCATAAAAAGCAGCCATGGAATACGCTCATGTCCTACCGTCGAGTGGATGAAGGAATTAAGTACAAGCCTTGTTTTGGAATGCTAGCTGCGCCGAGAAGCGAGGGAACTATCGAAGTTGGTATGCGATTGGAGGTGCTGGAAGAGACGAATAAGCATCGGTATATTACTGGCTTTTGAGATATGGAATATCTGAAATCCAAAAAGTCGTATTTCAACCGCAGCAAAAATTGCCTACTTTGCCCAAATATCTTATCTTGAATCTTGACAAAGATTGAAGGGCATAAAAATAAATCTTGAATAAACTTAAATCCACCTCCAGCTCGTATTCGAAGCGTTGCCACGTCTTACATGGCCCCCACGTTACGATGAGCGCCTTCATCCACCCCGTAAGAAGAAAAGTGTAAAAAGCAGCTGACTAACCAGGCTTCTTCTGCCTGGCCTTTCTTAGCAGTAGATAGATGCTTCACACCGGAATTCTCTGTTTCCTTAGAGGTGTGTTACCAAAACGGACACGATGATCGACATCTCTGCCTCCTCGGCCGTAAGTGAATATATTCCAACAGTCCGAACCTTTACCCTATTGAAAGCCAGTTAGGACCACCACACAGGCCACACCGATTCTGGATCAGTGCCGGCTCTAGAGCCCCCGCAGGACTATGATCACGGGCAATCAGACCATGGCCACAGCCATCATCATCACCCTGGGGGCCACCAAGATCCAGATATATTATTTCCCATTCCAGCTACATATCTAGACCAGACAGGCAACATCAATGCCACAAATTCTAGTTTGCCATTTCTCTCCTACGGGAGCTTCCCTGAAAATGCTCAGCAGAGGCGGAGACCGACTCAGTATGTGGAGGATGCCTTCCAGGGTGTCTTTGGGGTGATCATTGTCGTTCTTATGGTGTTCTTTTTAGTGGGTGTGGTTCTTCAGTGACAACACAATGAGGGCTGTATTGTATTTAGATTGAGACGGATCACTTGAATGTTTCAAGTCGCTCGCAATTCTGTTTTCCATAATTCATCAGCATAGTCCACTGGCAATTTGCAAAATAACAAGGCCTTATTTAGGACTAGATCTTACCTCCTACCCATTATTTCAAACCCCATTTTCGAGTGATATGGCAAAAGAGAGGCACTATAGAAATCAGTAGCTGCTACGAAACATAGTGGCTTCATTTCCTATGTCTATCATGTATGTGCGTTTTTCTCCCTCGCCCCAGGATACTGTTTAGAATCATTATCTCTAGTCAATAGGTGTTCATATAAACTACCAATCCTCCGCCGCACTCCCTCCCGAATAACCGAAGGAAAATCCTTCATTTTCAGTAAAAGATAGGCGGCCACAACGGTTGTTCATATTCACATTGGAAATGGATTTTATAGACTCGCTTCCCTTAATAAACTGCCACATGTCATGCCTGACCATATTCGTGCTTAGAGGGAGTAGAGAGATTGTGCTGGACTTATGTTTGCTTAAAATCCATTCCGCGAAGCTCTCAGAAAATGTCTTATCAAGCTGCCTTATGGAACGCAGGTCCGTGAGCATCACATCGTAGGCCTTGGCCCACCACAATGGCGAGTGGCCCCAGTTGTCTAACACGCCAGGGTCAACCTTTTGTGACTCAAACAGTGCATTTATAACACCCTTACTGCGAGGAGAACTGTGAATCTCATCTTTCCTTAGATTGAATGGTGCAACTGCCCAAGATAGTGCAGTTCGTCCATCAACATCTCGCAAATTTGCCTCTAGCCGAGTGGATGATAGAAGCATTTTGACCACATCTTCCCTTCTGTACAGAATAGCAATGATAAGCGGGGTTTGACCGCTTTCGTTTCTGCTGTTGACATCCACATCGGCATTCTGAAGTAGAACCTGAACTGTCGCGGGATTCCCCGTTTGGGTTGCCCATTCCAGGGGAGGCCTGAGTTGGTCATCTCCGGTATTGACATTGACTTTCTTGGTCTCAAGCAAAAGAAACAGCAAGTCCTTCTGTGATTAAATTCCTTGGGAATGATCCTCTTTTCTTCTTCTTGATCTTTTTCAGACATGCGCCTGTACTCTAAGTTTCTAAGCGTCACTCTGCGGCCTGCAGCCCATGAAAATGGAGTTCTTCCAGATCGGTCTTGTCTGTCAGGATCAGATACCCCTCGCTGGAGTATAATTTTGACAACATCATTACAGCCATACTCAGCAGCATATGACAGTGGATCTCGTCCATCGGAGTCACAGTGTTGAATGTCGACACCACGTTCAATAAGGGAACTAAACGCAGATTCATCACACGCCAGGGCTGCCCAATGAGCAGCATTTCGTCCCACTTCATCTTGATAGTCTAAATTCAGGGCCTCGTGACGCAGCAAAAGTTCCAGAATTGTTCTATCGGCTTCTTTGTAAATTTCAGCGGCATCTCGATTTATGTGCGTTTCATTGTACCTGTTCTGGCTTTTTATAAACACCGCTTTGAGAGGATGTCTTTTTAGATAATCTTTCTTCGGGGTTTCGCCATTCACATTGATCTTAGCTTCTGATAACAGAAACTCCACCACCTCTGGTTTAGACTCGTGAATTGCCCAAAGAAGTGGTGTCACAGTATTCTTTCCTACATTAGCATTGAAATCAACTTTGTTTGTGAGGAGAAGAAGCCTTAGTATGTTCACACGGCTGCTTTCCAACGCAAATCTTAGCAGGAGCCCACTCATTGAGTATTTAACTTCAGAAGTCTTATGCAATTCACTTTCAGTCAAGAAGTCTTTCAGACGAGCAACTAGCTCTGGCTCTGCAAAATTATCAACGATGCAGGCCTCACTTTTCATTTCGAATCCCAGCAGAGCTTGTATGGTTGCCAGATCTCCCCTGCGAAATGCAGCACCCATTGGACAAACCATAGGGCCACTGGGCTTCCAAGCATATGATTCACCACGGAGCTCAATAGGTATCAGGTGGTGGAAACCATTATCAGCCAGCAGGTACAGAATAGATATGTCATCCCCATATTGGCGATTCGCAAAACCTTGAATGGCAGTGTGTATTCTTTTGAAATCAGAAAACAGGTCGGCAAATTCTCGTAGAAATTTTTGTTGCGAGAAATCGCCTGCTTGGGCTAGATTACTGTGATAAAGAAAGTTGCAAACTGCGTAATCAAGGAATGGAATGGTTGTTTGCACGAAGTTCTTCTTTTCTGATGAGAGGCGCAATCCACGGAGATTTCTGATTATCTGGCGGAAGGAATCATCACTAGCTCGGCGAAAGAAATCGAAGCAAACTTGCTTGAGACAGTCATGAGAAGCCGAGACAAAATTACCCATGATTGTGTGCTGAGACTGAATTCTGTGAAAGCCAGCTCTCAGGAGCAAGAAATCTCGAACAGATTCATGAATGAAGCGAACTTGGTAAGGCTTTGATCGAGCACTTTCAGCAAGACCTTTGGTTATGTGAAGAATAAACCTGGAAATGGTCGTATTTGTATGCAAATCCCAGTCAATAGGTTGTTCAATCGATCCATTTTTATTGAACAAAATGGCAAAATAAAGCTCTTCTCTTGCAAGTCTTCTCTGAGAAAAAAGGATGAGCTGAAGACTGAATATGAGACCATCCTTGTCCTGCTGGTCTCGAGTTAAGATATCGGTGAATAGCTCGTCAAGACCATCCGGGATTTCATCCAATCTTTGTTCCAGGGCGTCGATCTTGCCTTTATCAAAGGCGTCATTCAACGATCGAACGACGAGTGTAACCCACAAGAACACACCATCCGCTCTTCTACAGATCCTGTCTCTGATGTTTTGGACACGGATGGATCGCCCTCCCCGTAGCTTTGTATCGACATATCTTCTCAAATCACTTTTATGCTCTTGTTGGTCTTCAATTATGAGGTCAATCCCTCGTTCGAGGCTGACGTGGGGATAGTGTCGGCTGGCTAAGCAAACCCTCATGTTTACCCTAGATGAGACTGCAGATGTTCCCAGTCCTTCAAAAAATGTTGTCATATCGCCAACCTCTTCCTGGTTGCACTCATCGACAGCATCGATTAGGATGAGTATCCGATGCCCTTGCAAGGACTTGATGGTCAAGGAGAACACGTTCTTCACGTCTCTTGAATTCCAATCAATACTCCCATCTTGGAGCTCAAGATGCTCTGCGACATTCATAAATGAGTTTCTCGCATCTGGTAGTAGTCTATTGGAGGACAGAATTTGGTGCAATAGCGATCGATACATGCCGATCACCGATTTCTCCAAAATATTTCCCTGGGCGTGAAAGAAGGAGAGAATGATAGTATCATGAAAGTTCCTTCTCGCATTCAAAAGTAAATATTTCATCATGGTTGACTTGCCTGCACCAGGCTTCCCTTTGATCCAAAGAAAGCCGCCGTGCTGTGGCAAAGCTTTCTCATTCATCCACGTCTGGTATTCGGACTGCTCAACTATCCACTCGCAAGTTTTCTCATGGGCCACAGCAATTTCCTCGAGGCGATATTGGGCTTGTGGAAATGTCAGTGATTCAATGTAGAGGTCTTCATTGCAGCGGGCCTGATTTATGGAATCGGCATGTCTCTTCCTTGACAAGATATTTGTTACCCGATCATGGTCTAGGATTATCTTGTTCAGTAAATTTTATGTATAATGCTAGAATGGGTTCACTTTACACACTTTCAGTTGCCGATGCTGACAGGGAAACCGGAATCTCATCCAGGATCGCACGCATACATGCTGCTGCACTTGCTGTTGCATAATGCTGCCATTCCTTACTCTTGTGACTATCTGCATAGTCGCTCACTCCTTTTATCACAATGCACGGTAGATTGTCCCAAACTCCTGCGCCTTCCATTTCAAACCCGATAACGTTTTCGGTTTTCGCGATTCGATCTCTGTCTTTAGCAGACGTCATGAGCGTATCTCCGGAAGCCATAAGACCAAAATGTACTTGTATTCTCGGGTCACTTTGGTCGTAGGCTCGAAGACGAACGATGTTATTATCATCGTGACAAATAGCTTGATCACAGCGACAATTTGTGGACTTGTGTTTGTAGTCAGGACTGAAAAGTTTGTCCTTTGTGACGCCTGGATATTCACTTTGGAAATCTTCTTGAACTTTCACCAGGTAGGAGGCTAATCGAGATGTCAATCGCTTATAGCCAACGTCCAATTTGTTCAGGAATGCAAGTATCTGTGGGCTCCGCCTCCCGAGATTGGCAGGCACTGTGTTCTTACGAACGAATTTACCAGGAACACGCTTTCCTAGGTCATGCTGCACTACCCCATTGCTGACGAGTACATCTCCCGAAGATATCGCCAGAAGATAATGTCGAGTTTTTCGTGTACGGAACACCACCACATACACCCACCACCAGTGCCAGCTCGATATTTGGGTAGCTTCTTTTTATATTGCTTGCAACGCTCGACGCAAACCCTTTGCCTTGTCCTGGCATATGTACGATGACGACATGATATTTTTCAGCGCTTCCTAACGTGTAGGCGTTAGGGTCACTAGGCACCTTTCCGTATTCGATGTGGAGGCTGTCATCATAGGTAGTCTCGAGCAATGGCAATACAGCTTTCGCCTCCAGTGTGAGTGCACAAATGATAGCGATTTTGAAGTCTTCGCGTGATGAAGGGGTGGAATAGGCATTTCGTACTTCTCGCCGAAGGAGGACGGGGGAAAAGTGAGGGTGAAGCCTACGAAGACAGCCGTAAAGATGACAAGATGGGAGGCAAGATAAACATCTCAGTGATAGCAGGCAGGAGAGGTGGAAAGAAAAGATTTTCGAGTCCTACGAGGAGAACCATGCGGCTGATCTGGTACAAGGAGACCTTCCATGTGGCGGTCAGTTGGGCCGAGGAGGCGGTGGCTGAGGATGTATTTGCTTTTGATTGCCGCCTTTGGGGATCGGCAGGGCCTGCATGAGGATACTAGACAAGAATACAGCTTTATTGAGAAATATTGATGATGACTTCTCCAACATACGGCTTTTCGTTAATGTCCAAACATTTCAAGGAGTTAAGGTTAGGGTTAGGGAAATGAGTGGGACTTGAAAATCCAACTCCACACCAGGCGTTATTGCGGATCTCGTGTAATTTACAGATCTAAGATGTCAAGAGGTTACAAGAACAACGTCTTTCGAGACTTGTTTAAGCGAAAAGTGACATTGTCATCTGAAAAGGGTGACAGTAACACTGCCGCCTCGGGAAGAAAGCGGCTTCCAAAACCCAGCCTGAGTTAATACGCCGCCGTGAGCTACTTACTTCCTGATCAACTCTGAACTATGCTTGAGTACCCCCTGCACGCTTAAACTGGCATCGAATTTAGCTCTTTTTAGCGCCCAATTCACCATCTGTTAGCGTTGCAATGGAATATATGGAGTTTTAAAACGAGAGGAATCCTGCAGAACTCTTTTCCAAATCTTGTGTTATGCAAAAAGAACGATATCTTGAATCATGGATATATACACAACCAACAATCACTCATTCAGTTCTTCAGCTGTTTACTAGCAGACACACACCAATTGTTCCAGTCCGTGAAGAACGACGGCTGAACGTGGCACTTGGTGCTGCTCAGTTGCTCTTTGCGGGTCTCGGCGTACACATCAACAACGTCCGCAATCGCAGCCTTATCATGTCCCACTATGACCTTCACCACAAGCAACGAAGCCTGGCTGCAGGCAGTTGCATGGGCCGACGGTCCGCTATGACTCGCCTCCTTATGAATCGCGCGCAGAAGTTCTTGCACAGCCACGGCGCCCTCCTCACTGTCGATCTTGGGGAGCGCATTGCCCTTGCACAACTTGGTGTACTCACGCAGCACGGTGTTGGCCTTATTCGCGATCTGCTTGACGCTGGAGCGGCGGGCGAGGCGAAGCAGCGGGAGGATAAGGTCCATCGTGAGCAGACGGGAGTGACACTTCTTAACGAAGATCTCCAGCAGGTCGAGGACACGATTCTTGAAGTTGACCATGTTCTCGCGTGCGTCCTTCTTGTCTTTGATCTTAGAGGTGGCCTGACGGCGGGCACGGAAGACGTTGGCTAACTTGTCGTCAATCTCTTCCATCTCGTCGTCATTCATGTCGGCGTCCGAGTCGGATTCCTCGGCGTTGAGGTCTTGATCGGCACGATGTGTACCCAGCGCGGCGGCTAGCTTGGCCTCAAAGTCGGCGATTTCAGCTGCATCTTCCTCGCTCTCTTCCTCATCGTCATTGTCATCTGAGGAATCCGAGCCATCCGAGCCGCCACCGAGGACGACTTCAACATCACTGTCCTCTTCGTCCACATCGACCATCTCTACGTCGTCGTCATCGTCTTCATCATCTCCTTCCTCTTCTTCAACATCGTCATCATCATCCTGTTGATCGAACATCTCCTGTTGACCCGCCAGGCTCTCCTTGGCTTCCAGGATCTGCATTTGTTTATTAGATACCACGTAGCATAGAAAAAAGGCAGCAAATACATACCGAGATCAAGGACTCCAGACCATTTTCAGTAACCTGGTCAGCAAAGGCACCAAACACCTGCTCGCTCATACGGCGAAACAATTGTGACTGCTTGGACGCAAAGCTCAATAGGATTTCAACCAGCGCGTCCGATGCATCAGAAGTATCCTCCTCCTTCGAGGCCTGGTCACCTAAGAACTTGGAATAGCAGAAGTCCAACTCATCCAGCATGGAGACGGCATCGGCGTCACCGCTATACACTTGCAAGACAGTCATGGAGTAGAGAAGCTTAAAGGCCGCGATGCTAGAGGTCTCGCCCTTCTTTTCCTGTAGTCAGTGTTAACATGTTAACAATATCGAGAAATGAGAATTTATTTTACCTTGCTGGACAGTTTCTTTAGTGACTTGAAGGCAGTCTTCACAGCATCTTGCAACTTCTCGTCCATATTGATGATGAATTTTCCGAATTCCTCGGACTTTGTAGCGTCGCGGATCTGTCGTACCACAGCATATGGAATAGTCGCCGCAAACTTTTGCGACGTGAGGAGGCCGTTCAGCGCCGAATTGATCCGATTCCGTAACAATTCCTGGGTAGCCTGGGAGACAGGTGGCTGGGGAGCATCGGAGCCCTTGCCACTATCCAAGAAGTACGCAAAGCGCACGAAGATGAACATAATCTGCTCCAGCACAGCCTGGTAGTCTTCCTCAGAATCACTGTTTCCAGTGGCTGCCTTCGCGCGCACGATGGATAGAAGCAGGCCGGCGATGAACTGACGGTTCGACGTAGCAGCCTTTTCATCGCTTGTGCCTGGGCTGCGGATGAGCTGCTCGAACAAGGGAACAATTTCTTGCAGGGCATCGCTGTTCGCGTCGGCCACGATCTTCTCGACTGTCTTGGTCTTGGTCACTTGGTCAAAGTTGATCGTTCCGCTGGTACTCATCAAGCCCCGGACGGCGGCCGCGGCGAACCCGGGCTCTTTAGAAACACGCGTCTGAATAGCCTTAGATGATTTGACAGCCATACGGTGCAGGTAGCGGTCCTCCACGGCAAGTTGGTTCATCAAGCAACGGACAAGGTTCTTAGTGAAAATGTGAGTTGCCTGCTCTGGGGCGCCTTCATTGAGGACTTTGTTGAAGAGGAGGAATCCCCAGTACTTGCGTTCATCGGACGATGAGGAGGCAAACAGGCCATCTAATTAGCATGTTAGCCCTACTGTAAAATGCACGACTTGAAAAGGAGAGAAAGGGGAAATCATACTATCCACAACTTCGGTCCAGAAATCAACGAAAGTCAGGCGGGTAGACTTGGAAGATTTGCTCTTAGAGTTTTTATCCTTCGATTCATCACTGGTCCGAGAAAGAACCGCATCCCAAGCAAAGTGAAGCTTCGAGTTCCACACTCCAGAAGACTTGGCCTTACTCTCACCGTCGTTCTGCTCCGCGGACGACTCCTTCATGATCTTCGCCAGGCTGTGGCGCTCCTTCGTGTCCAGCGGGTCATCGTGCTTCCAAACCTTACCAGGGAAATTGGCTTTGGGGAACATGTCCTTAACGGCGAGCCAGACAGCAACGCCCTCTGGAGATCGGGCAAGATCATGAGAGCACAAACGCTCAATGGTTGCGTCGACAAACTTGATATCCATTTCACGTGCAGAGAGATCATAGACACATCGGTATAGAATCCAGCCACATTCCTCCCGCAACCATGGCTTTTTCTGGGCGAGTTCGAACACGAGATCGAGGACCTTGGTCCATTCAGAGAACGGCACGGAGGACTGGAAGAGGATTGAGGACTTGATAAGTGCTTCGGCGCCGAAGAGGCGGCCGAAATGGTGATCGCGTTGTTCCTATATCAATGACAGCCGTGTTAGCACAATTGCAATGAAACGATGGTTTCCGTCGCGACCAAGGGAGGTAGTTGATGACGAACCTGTCCCGACTCGCTGCCGGACGAATTCGACTGCGACTCCCAGATCTTGAGTACATTCGAAATATCAAATTCTGAAGACTCCCGCGACGCCGAGAAGATCTGAGTAAGAATCTCGGTCAGGGCAATAGAGAATCCAATCCGGGCAGCTTTGCGGCTACTGCAGAGACCGCGGAACAGCCTCTGCAGGGTCTTCTTGATCTGGTCATCGGCCGGGTTCTTGTCCGGTGTAAACTGTGAGACAAGACCTTGAGCAGCCTTGAGGCGAATCTCGTCCTTTTCGCTGGCGAGGTCCTCGTAGATCTCGACTAGCTTGACGTCGACGTTGTACGGTTCGCGACGACGCTTTTTCGAAGCGCCATAGGCGGGACGCATTTTGTTTGGTATGGTAGGAGAGCCAATAAGCCCACGCTATTACTGTCGAGACCGTAGCTTCAGAATTGGAGCCACTGAGACGTTGCGCTCCTTGCTGGGGAAGCAGTGTAGCATTGCTCGTTGCGGCGCAGAAAATTCGGGAGGCGGTTGCCTTATCGGGCTTAGTGTATTGCGATAAGCTGGCTGATAAGAGGCATGCTCCTTCGACGTAAGGCGCTGTCGCAAGGGCCTCACGAGAACAACAACCTTAAGAGCTTAAATCTAATGACGGCTTCCATCTGGAAAAGCAAATGATGACCTTTGTCTTTGAAATGGCTCGTTTTTGTTCTATAGAATTTCATATCTGGTTCTCCGGATAGATAAAGTTCCACGCACTGAAGAGGGAACATCGCCCGCATCCAAACCCCTATACAAAAGCCATTGAAAGTACACTATAGATATTGGTCACGACAAAAAAAGAGGATTCCAAGCATTGGACTCCTACCATCCTCAGATCCATCATTTCTTGACTTTTGAACGTGTAGAAAGCAACTAATCGATGTAACCCCTTTCCACATCACGGTGGTCTTCGCTCAACTCCGGACCCGGTCAGCTATCATGGCCCGGTGGAAGGTGGCGTTTGAGCGATATATTTTGGATATTGAGCTATCAAATAGCTGAAGTTTTAATGGAGTTCTACAAAATATTTGGGGTGATTTATCAACTGAAGTTTTCATGACCGTTCAGGCAATTGCTCGCACGTAGAGATATATATAGTCCTTGTCTCGGGCTCCCGCCACATCTACCACATGGCCTGATGAAGAGTTCCTCATGCCTTCAATCTACAACCGGCCAAGATTCCTCACAGCACCGAGCTCTTTGAACAAAATATAAAGGACTACCCCAGAATCACCTCGCCAGGTGGTTGCCATGCAAACCTCAGCCTCTCGTCCAAATGAGTCATCTATCTCATCGAACATACATATCGGAAGTGAAAAAAACAGCAGCGGTTCTGAGTTCATGACATTTCGAGATTTCAGTACTCGTTCTTTCATGTTCAGATTACTCGATACTCAAAACAATAGAACGAATAGTCCGCATGTCGCAGTGCCCACGAAATCTGATCAGTTCTTCTGAGAGGTATTCAGGGGCAAGCGGTTGCGAGGCCCCGATAGCTAGGACTCCAGGCTCACCAGCAACACAAAAAATCTCGCCGCGACTGGTATTGCGTGCTGCCTGAGTCGATAGAATGCAATTGCCCGGTTCCCCGGGCGTGCAATCCATCGTTGGCCAGGCTACCCAGGCAAACTATTGCATTTATACTTGCGATCAGGAATGTTGTGGTGTACGAAGTCTATAAAGAGCAAAGAAAAAGAAACGAAATGTCCCCTCAATTAAGTTTCTGACATGTTTCACCAGCCAAGTCAGGCAGCGTTGCATGGGTACGAGAATATTATGAAATAGGTGACGATGTATAGGAAAAGGCCTGGAGCCGATGTGTCGCGAGTGTACTTGTAGTATGCAAGCGGAACCACCAAGGCGATATATATCACTCCGAAAGTCGCGACACGGCGCTTGCCCCAGCAACGGCTCTGCACGAGAGTCCACAGGTCAACTCTCAGGGTCAATCATGACACAAATAACCTTATAGTGCAGCAATGTGGCACAAAATGCATTGGTGATACGGCGTGGAGGAGGCTACGTGGGCCATGCAGGCCGCCCCAATAGAGCTGGTTGACAGCTAACCGCGGATCAGCAGGGGCACTATTTCAGGGGAAAAGCGTCGAATGCGGCAAGCGCAGGAACTAGTAGGCAAACGGGGCATGAAGGTCGGTATGGTTTCTTTTTCTTGGGGTGGATGTGGGTTCTGTGCTACAGCGATAAGAGAGACATAATTTGTACCTGTCGACTGAGGACGACATATGGTGGGAATATTTGACATTTGTCTATTGAATGGGCAAAAGTTCGACTAATCAATTTCATCGCCTCGACCCGACCTGCGATCTATCTGGACGCCAGCTGCTGGCACGCAATAATGATCCAGCGACAGAGGCCGCGGTCGGCATTCCCGTGCCAGGATCGGGGCAGTGCGCTCTCAGAGTGGAGAGGCGCCAATATTGAATGGGGTGTAGGGTTGTCACTAGGTCGTGATAGCACCCGCGATCAGGGGGCTCATCCGCTTTTAGGCCGCCTAGCTTGCTTACTACTGGAGCCGGGGAACTTTGCTGACAGGCACGACGGTAAGAGGCGTGGACTATCGCATGGGCGATGGCAGCCGGGGCATTCAATAGCGCCGCAGATCGGAGCCGCCGGGGGATGAAGAATGGATTTACAAATCGCCGGAGCCCAGCGACTTGAGGGGGGAGGGTGACAACGGAATGGGGAAGGGAGAGCGAAGAAGACCCGGCGGCTCGTATGAAATTTCATGGTATGGGTAATTCAAGTATTGGAGATAGTGACAAGACCAACGGTATCGAATACGGTGGATAAGCTTGTTGTGAAAGTTATCAAGGCACAAATGTTGGTGATGATGTTGTTGTTGGTGTTGGTTGGTTGGAGGCCAGTTGGGAGTCACGGGATTGCGCATGCGGTTCGCGTTTTGCGAAACTTTGGTTTGTTTACAGATGCGGGCAACTTCAAGTTTCCGTTCCAGTTTCGCTATCACCAACATATCATGATGTCACCCCCACTCGGTCGCGAAGGCTCATAGGGCGAACGAGGGGAGCCCAGACGGTCCAGACAATCGGGTTGCAGGTTGCAGGGACGCAGAACACGAGTCGACGGATGTGATGGACCCCGCAGCTAGGACAGGGCAGATCGGCTGGAGACTCAACGCGACTGGCTCATTCGCACATGGCGCTGTGACGCAGCTGACGGATCACATCATTATCAGCCTGACCCCACTGGCCTGTTGAATACTCTAGTGGCGCAGCCACAGAGAGAACGCGATCGGGCTGACCGAACAGACAGTACCGGGGTCAGCGCCAACAGATGCAGAAAGCGGGCCAGTTTGATTGGTGTCCTTGTAAGGTGACAGTAGGCGAGGCTCTGGATGCTCGACATGATGCAGACCAAAAGAAAAACAAAGCCCGCGACGCGACGGTAAACAAAGAGTCGATCTCGCGAACGTCATGGAGTCATCATGATTCCTCCGATCCGGTACGAGAGGGCAAATTAATTAACACAGATCATGGAATCAACTCATGGAGTGACGTAGCCTCACGGACCAACATGGGGCCCATGGAGTTGATGCCATCACTCCAAGGCTCATATCATGACCCGTCATAGTATTGCATACTCCATATGGGGGGGCTGTGGGTTCCGTACACCGCATCTTTTCATGGGGCGATGCTCTGCATCCTGCTTCGTTCCGGAGATCCTGATCGGCCGATACGCCGCCGTAGAATGATGTGCGGCGCGATCGTGAATTGAAACCCCTCCGGAGAGGGAGCCATCAACCGGTGTTTCACGAAAGAGGGGTCAAAAGCCGCCCGAGGTGCTCAGCATCGCCCAGAATAGCATGCCGTGGGGTGCAGGATTTGGAGCGACCCAATACCCACTCCCACTGGTCGGTTTGTCGCCGACCCCATCGACTAGCAGTCTCAGGTCAAAACCAGAGCCGCTTTGATATCATGGTGGCAAAAACACAGAGCTGCAGCCGATGCCGACGTGGTGCCGACATGATACCGTGCTTTTTTGTTGATGCGTGGACGCGCCTCACATACCCGATTAGGGCATTTCAACACAAAGAACCGGTTCCCATGCAGGCCAGTGCATGGGCTGGTCGGTGACTGACCGAGCCTATCAGTGGATGGACTGGATCGACTCGATACAATGAACTCGACAATCGGGCATGTTCGGGGATGTCATTCCCAGTCCCCCGCAAGTCGCACGGTGCCGGCCTGCCCAGTCTCGTTCATGCTGCGTACCTAGCAATGCGCAATACGGTTAGTTCAACAGGCGGGCCTCTCAACCTGCTGAAGGTTTAGTTGAGTATCAATAAAGCATATCATCATCATGATCGCATCGACTATGGTGCTGGACTCGAGGACACTATCCCATTCTGGTGGTAGATATTGGCTGTGGTGCTGCTCTCCGAGCGTCGACTCGGACGAGTAGCAGGTCACAAGAGCAGAATGAAGGTTTCAATGGACCATGGCCCTCGGGACTCAATTAATAGCTAAAATCGCCTAAACATCCTACCAAGGGGGCATGGAAGGGATGCGCGATCTGAACGTTCCCCTCGCGGACCCTTGATCAACCGGAATGCAAGTAAGGGCAGCAGCACGGGTATGAGATAATGTCCTCTCCTCACGCCTGAAGAACCGGTTTCTTTTGTTCTCCAGGGCTGCGTCCGCGACAAGAATGAAGATAGTCGGGCCCATTCCTTACTCGATACTACGTGCTTGATCTCACTCCGCACCGATAGCCCTTGGGATGGTGGGGTACAGCGTCTATCCCAGCTTCGATCCGTGCTTGACGCCCAATGAGGACAGAGATCAAGGGACCCGGTCGACGAACGGCAGCGTTCTCGCGCACCGCCAATCAGCCCCTCGGTTCTACCGGAATAATCCACTGTTGAGCTCAAGGCCTGATTATGTCGGAATTCCCTTGCGAATCGTCATTCGCCAATGGGTCGTTTTTCTCACTTTTGGTGTGCCGTTGCTGCGATCCTCGATATCGCTTGCTGCCGTGTGCCCATAAGCTCGCACGCATTGCTCGCAATGGGAATGATCGCCCACAACTCCGTAATTTAAGCCCTCCCTTCATCGGGGGTGTTCCTCATCGGGTGATACCGAGAAGCCCCGACCGTGAGCGCAGGCGATAGGGTTCTCGCGCACTTTGGGAGAGTTGAGAAGGGATAATTGAACTATGAGACTTTGTCTGTGACGTCGACGCCCCCAAATTGAAACCGTTAATTGAATTTGACAGACAGCAAACCCATTCCTCCGGACTCGTCCTTGCAGGTGATCCTCGCATCACTTGCAGTCTCCTCGTTTTGGGTTCCTGAGCTCTATTTTTCCGAAGGAGTGGAACGGAGTGGAGTTGGGGGCCTCTTAGCTTCGATCTGGCTCCGTTTTTTTCAGCTGAAGTCCGTTGTACTACGGCGACGGCACGGGATGGACGAAAAACTTTTCGTGACTGATTTTTCTGATGGTGGATACGGAAGCCCCATGGAAGCCGCACGGAAACGCGGGCTTTCTGGCGAGAAGCGAGTATACGGAGTACAGTTCTATACAGTACCTCAATAGACAGTGGTTCTCGTGGAGTCGATGGAAATTACCAGGTCCCGCTATTGAATGAAAAAAAAATTTGAGGGACGAATAGCATCACGAAAAAAAAAAAGCATCTAACGGCCTGAACCAGATGAAAGGACCTGGTATCAAAAAAAGTGACACCCCCCTGGCAGGTTTGTCTGGATTTCCCCATAGTCGGTTTCTCCCAGGCCAGGGGGGGGGGGGGAAGAGGGAGGCCAGTACTTGGTGGTCGCGAGGGAGGATAAGAACCGCCGGGACTATTGGGTTGCTCCTAGAAAGGGTCGACAACACATGGTTGCCAAGGATAGAGATTGAAGCCCTAGCTAGGAAACCCAGTCCTCCGTTTGGAGCTGAGGGATGCTCGACCACGAAAGCGGTGGCTGTAAGTGATCCTCCAGAGGTCGGAGCCCGTTCCTGACTGGATGTGGGATTTTCCAATTCTCACGAGATTCTCCCCTGGTAACGGGGGTGCACAGAGCATCTCAGCCAGCCCGGACAAGAATGAAGGCGGAGGGACCGGGGAGGACGCTGATAGGCGCCGCGTTGCTGTGCAGCCGGTAGTCTGGACGATGGGCGGCAAGGGAGCCCGGGCAACGAGCCACTGGGGCCAAAGAACGGGCAGTACGGTCGGAAGCAGGAGGTGTGCCAATGGGCAGACCAGTGCACATCCATACTCAGTCGGGACAGCCCTCCCGGAGTAAAAAAAAGACTACTGGCCGCTGGGGGGAAAGCGGCTGTTGCATACCTGCAGCGCGATCGTACCTGAACGCACTCCACAGGATGAGCATGTGTGCAAAGTGGGGACGTGCAGAAAGCCCGACAGAGGTACATCGTGTTGCGGGAGCTCAGCGTACAGGGAGGAAGTACTGGCCGAATTACGTAGGGCCGGATCAGCAGCAGGTATGGCCCGTACGGGGTCACAGCCCATACAGCCCGTACCGCCGTACCCTGCTGGGCTGTGTCGGGCTCCATACGCCAAATACGCCCTGCATACCGCCCCAGACCCGTCGTCGGACCCGATCAGAGCGCGAGGCTATGGTGCCCACTGGGCACACTGTGAATTACCCCGTTCGGTCGGGTATGGTATCGATACGGACCCCAAACGCCATACGAAACGCAGCAGACCGAAGTAACTGTACCCTAATCTGGAGATCCTCCCCACTTGCGTTGCCATTGCAACAGACCCATCCCTTCAGCTTCACGAGTTTCGTTCTTCAAACCCTTCTGTTCCGCTTCTTTTCCTTTCTCTCCTTCATCTTTTCTTGTTCGACCTTCCAGGCTCATGGTCGTCGGCCGCGAAGTTCAGTCGCATCTCTCCACCTCCGACCTTCAACCCCGGTCCCCGAATACTTCCTTTCTCTGTACATCCTCCTCTGCCCGCTGCCCACGAGCTGCCGGCCCCTCCAATTGCTGCAGCCCGAATCTCCGATCTTTGCCGCCGGCCATGTCCCTCTAAGCTGCCCTCCCTCCATTGCGACCTCTCTTCCCTCCCCGACGAACTCTCGTGCACCGGCCGTGAGCCCGCCAGTTGGGACTTGGTCATCAGTCCGAACGCTCTGGGAAATCTGACGACCGTTGTGGGCAGAACGTGCATGTGGTGATATTACGTGTGACGGGTGTCGATTGCATATCGTGCATATTGCATACAAGCGGTCTTTTGCAAAAGCGTTGTCCTTTCAGTTTGATTGAGGTCGTGTTTAAGCCTCCAATTGCGTTGACTCTCAACTGTATCACCCCGGAACCTCTCTGGCCCCGTTGCCATTCGGCCTCTGGAAATGGAACACTCCTCCCCGTTGGCGGCCATGCAGCCTCCATCCCTTCTCTTTGGGCACTGCTTCCGGGCAGATGCGCCGACCTCGTATCCTACCTCGGGCTTTGGTCCAAATAGCTTCAACTTCAAAGATCTGTCCATGAAGAAGTCGGGTCCCGACTACTTCAACATGAAGCCGATTCGGGGCTCCTCACCGACAGCCAGCCTGGTTGCTGATTTGTCTCAGAACTTCCACATTGACCAGAGGTAAGTGGTTACTGGGTCTCGAGCAGCCGCCCCAGATGGCACAAAGAGTTCTTCGAATCAAAGGAAAGACGAAGAGAAGAACGAAAGAGGAGAAAAAACGTGCTGACACTATACTTAGCCCACAACTAGCAACGCCGCGTCGGTCTTTGTTCACATCGAACATCCTGGGGCATGCTCATGGTCACGGTGAGAATCCACGCTGAGGGAAGCCTTCATATAACCTGATGATTGCCATGCTAAGTTGCTGTACAGATGATGTGATGACCACTCCGCCGCTGCCCTCGTCGTCGCCCGCCCCGGCCATCGACATCATGGAAATGTCTCCCCTGCCTCACAAGCCCGCCTTCATTGTCACGACGGAGATCGAGGTGCACTCCCCGTCTCCGCTGGGGACGCCAATGGACTCCCCTACGGCTTCCAATGCTCCGAGCCCACTCCAGGCGTCGCCGATTGAGTCACCTGCTGGACTCCCGTTCGAGTAAGCAAGAATCACCCAGCCTCAGCCATATTTGCTCGAGCTAACCTAATGCTTGTACAGACGACGCCGGCCTCATTTCCTTCGTCCAAGTCTGGCACGGAGCAAGGCTCAGTCATTTCAGCTGGGCATGACCCGTCCTGCTCACGAGAGCAAAGCACCTCCATTCCGCTTCAGTACCGCGGGCGCGAAGACTTCCTTGAGCACGTCTACCTCTTTGGAGGACATGTTTGGTGATTCCCCTCCTCAAGAAAGATCCATCTCCCGTAACAGCTCGTCTGGTAGCCTGGCACTGCCTCGTCTGCGCCCTCCTTTTCACCATGCTCGTAGCAGCGGGTCTCCCGCACCCAGCTCAATTCGCAAGCCCTCTCACCCCTTGATGCGTCCCCGCAAACAATGCCGACGATCATTGAGTATGTTTGAACATCCTGCGGATGTGATTGCCGACAAAGAGGCCAAGGTATCTACAAATGCACCCCTTCAGTCCATCAGTGACATCGAAAGTTCGCCAACCCTGAATCTTCCACACTTCGTGCCGGAGGATAAGGCGGACAGCCTGCCTCGCATCGCCAAGAACACCCTCATCGAACTCCTCGACGGGAAGTTCAACGACCGCTTCGACCACATCATGATCGTCGACTGCCGATTCGAATACGAATATGAAGGTGGCCATATCAATGGCGCCCTCAACTACAACGACAAGGACCAGCTTGCGGGTGAATTGTTCGGGTCCGTCAAGCCGCGGACTGCCCTAATTTTACATTGTGAATATTCTGCCCACCGGGCCCCCATCATGGCCAAGTATATCCGTCACCGTGATCGGGCTGTCAATGTTGACGCGTACCCTAATCTCACCTATCCCGATATGTACATTCTGGACGGGGGTTACAGCTCCTTTTTTGCCGAGCATCGCTCGTTCTGTTTCCCCCAAAACTACGTGGAGATGAACGACAAGGAGCATGAGTTCGCCTGCGAGCGTGGTCTGGGTAAGGTGAAGCAGCGTTCCAAGTTGAATCGTGCCCAGACCTTTGCCTTTGGCCAACACTCGCCCCAGATGGAGGATAGCCCAACCGGCCGTTGTCGTCTGGGTAGTGACCGTAGTCGTCTCCTTGGTTCTCCCTTCTCTGAGAGCCCGGTGCCCAATCGAACTCCTGGTCGCCGAATGCTTTCTTACTAAGTTATCTCACTGCTGATTGTGCTCTGGCGCCCGGCGGATACTTTGTTTTTGTGTCTTGTTCTTGGAGCGAGGAGTTCTTATTTCTTTTTCTTCTTTTTCTTTTTGCCGTTGTGGCATTCTATTTTCTCTTCTCTTTCTGATGGGTTTCTTCCATCCTCTTTCCTTGACCTTCTTCTTCTCCAGCTTTCGATCACAAAAGTACCTTCGGTGAAAGGATGGCGCGATAGCGACAGCACTGGCTTGCACAGCTGGGCCAACCGACCTTTCTCCCGAGAGCTGCGCAGAGCGCGGATTCCTCCGATTTCTCTACCTTTCCAACTCTTCTCTCCACCGACCTGATATTGCGCTGTCGATATCATCATGTCCTTTCTTTCTTGGGCTCTTTTCTTTTCGTCCCCCGAGTCCCATACGATTCCAGCGTTTCCTTTCTCCTCGACGATATCCGGACCTCTCACCAGTCCCCCTTTCCTTTCGCCTTCGCATGGTCCATCCACCTGCCTGGCTATTTCTCCATGAGCATATCAACGACCTCGGGTACCCCTTTTCTCATGACCCTCACCCGCCTCGGGCCCTGGACCCGACCTACCTTTTCCTATGTTCTCGATGACCCCTCCGAATGCGAGATTCCATCTGCCTCATGAAGTCTCCCTGGTTTTATTTCCGCCTGTTCGAATCTGCGGTCCCCGATCCCAACTCGGGGGGACTACCCGTCCTGGAACCAACTGGCGCATCCCCTAACCCATCTGCCGCCAACCAACATGTTGGCCACTTTCCCTTTCTCTTCACCCCCTAATTCGATTTCCACACCTACCAATCTTTAATCCTTTGTTTCACCCTTCCTGTACAGGTGTTTCATCATATCGTTTTCTAGTCACGGGGGAATGTTTCCATTCCCGCTGTACCAAAGATGCATAATCGTTCATGACTGACGGTCTTTGCGAGCGCTTTCTTCGTGTCCTTGCGAGATTTGTATTTGATTGCATGTTTTCTTCTCCCGCTGCGAATATATGCCCCCGTGGATTGCCTGTCTTCGCTCGCTCTGGGTGTTCGAGAGGCAGATCCTTGGGGTTGGCTGGGAGGGGAATATGGAAATGTCATACACCACGCGTGGCGGTGCAGCTGTACATAACAAAACTAATTGCCTGACAGTGAAGACAGGTCGCTTTATGCGCCTGGGGGATTTTAATGGGTGTGGCTGAACCAGCCGGTTGAAAAGAAGGGCTTGCAGATACATGATTCTTCCCTTTGTGAGCAGAATGAAAACCATTCTCTGATGATAATCTCATCTTCCGTGTTGCGTGTTGTAGATCCTGTAGAGTTTCCCCGGTATGTCGGCCTCCCTTGACTTGTGGTCCAGTCAAGCCTCTCCCCGGCATCGAAGTATATCGCCCCACGCGACGACGATACTCGATCGTCGACGCGAAGATGCTTGTCTCTGCCGCCTCATTTCGGCGCGCTTGTCTCTGTGCCGCCTTCGTTCTATCTTTAGCCCTTCCACATGTCCCTGTCCCGCGAACCAACTTTTGCTAGCCGGTCAAATTTGCGCGATCGGCAAACGGTGGAGGCGAAGGCCCCTCGATTAATGACGATTGGCGGTTACAAGTCTCCAACGAGAATGTGGGGGCTGTGATAGGCGGAGAAGGCGGGTGATGGGGTCGCCTGTCAACCCTGACTCTGAGATCCCCTCCGTGTTTCAGCGTTGGCTCTTCAACTTCTTCTTTTTCTCTCTTCTTTCCCTCTCCAAGCAGGCCTGTCACTCGTTTTCGGCCTTTCCCTGCTTCACCTGCTCGATCTGAGCATTTTGATGCTCTGATCGCCCCCCTCCGCCCGGCGATCCTTGACTTAGAGTCCTGCTGCCTGCGCCTCTCCAGCGGGATCCCTCGACCCGTTACCCTTGGGACCCTTTACTCCATTCGTTGTTGCTGCGCCTCGCGCTGCCAGGGTTCTCTCAACACACCCCCCCCCCGATTACCGGGTTGGACGTGACGCTCCTCTCTCATTGGAATTTCTGTGGCAGCCAGAGATCACCGTCTGGCGGATCGCATGCGCTGTTCGCTCTTGCGACTTTTCAGGCCGGACATCGCACATTGAGACCGTGGTCGGGTCTGATTTGGTGACCCAAAATCCGAATGATCGCCTAGATACCCATCAGTGGCCTTCAACTTGTTTCAACTATTTTTTGCAATCATCAGTTCACTCATTAGCGCGCTATCATGAGTCCGGCGCACATGGCTCTATGGCTTCGTGCCGATTCGAGCTCTAGTTCCTCATCTTTTTCATCGTCTTGGGACAAATGTATGTCGAAGACGTACTGCAAGTAAGTTCATCGGGCTATACGAAGCCAGGTGCCTGAAAATTATAATCCTGGAACTAGGCCGCTAATCCGTCGCTCTCTGTCTATAGATGGCCTGTTATCGTCGCGATCATCATCTGCGCTGTGATTGTCATTTGTATCGTGGGGTGCGTCATTAATTGTTTGTGCTGCGGCTATCAATGCTGTAAATGCTGCTGCGGCTGTTGTTGTCCCTCCGGTCGACGTAAATCCAAGAAGCCCAAATACTATGACGAAACTCCTCTGAACCAGCCGCCTCCACCCCCCCCTGAGCCCATATACCAGCCTTCGCCCGCCCCGCCTGTATACCGGGGAGCCGTGAGGACGGCAACATTCGACTCGCCGAAGACCACTACTGCCAATGATGATGAATTGCCCGCGATGCCCACCTGGGCTTCCGCAGTCGATAAGCGCATCGAAGATGAGAGCCACCACGATGAGGTCGAGATGGAGCCATTAGGGCCTGACCGCAAGCAGGGCGCTGGCACGCCCATGCATCCAGGCGCCGCCTACTCGGACTACCCACCGACCCGTACCCCCTCGGCTCCCGGGTACAGAGGGTTCAATCCCACTGATCCCTATGCCCGGCGGTCTCCTGGCCCGGCGGCTGCATTGGCTGTCGCCCAGGATCCTTACCGCCGCTCGCCCGTCAGCAACACGTCCCCCATCGGTGCTGGCCCCATTGATCCCTATGGACGGCGATCCCCCGGCCCAGCAGCGGCGTACGGCGTCGCAAATGACCCTTATACCCGCCGTTCTCCTGTCCCTTCGGGCCCAGCTGCCACGTACGCCGCCGCACAGGATCCGTATGGCCGGCGCTCACCTGGTATCGGTGTAGCAGTTGGGGCACCAGCCGCCTATGATCAACCGTACGACCATCAACCGTACGATCACCAGCCGTATGACCACCAGCAGCCCTACACGGACTATGCGCATGGCGCGGACAATCAGTTGCACACCGTCGGCTCGCCCACTCCCATTGCGGCCTATAACCCCCACAACAACTATAACCCGGCGCCGATGGCATTTTCCCCAGACTCTGCACACGCCGCTCCGGCGGCGGGATTCCAGCGCCAGCCGTCCTTCGGCTCGACCCAGTACCCGCCCACTTACACTTCGCAGGCGGCATCGCCCCCTCCTCCATTCCAGTCGCACGCCAACTCGGAATTCGAGTACACCATGGAGCCAACGCGAGAGCGGCCACCGACTCTCCTGCAAAGCGGGCGCAAGCCAGCCCCGAATACTTTCCGGGACGTCTGAGCTGTATGATTTTCTCTTTTCCCACGAACCCTCTTCTTCAAAGCCACTTATCTTCTTCTCTTCCCTCTTTTTTCTCTTAACGTTCTTCTGACTCCCTCTACCTTGTTCACCGTTTCTCTGTATGATGTGAGTTTCACGAGGAAAGAAATTTTGATACCATGTTCTGTACTCTTTTCTCTTTCTCTTGGCATTCCCCCCGTCCTGCAAATTATCCTTTTTTTCATGTGTCCCTCGTTTTCTTTTTTGGATCTGTCCCCCCTGCCGCCAGCGCTTTGACTTCACCGCCCGGCCTCCATTACGAAGTCTCTATATTTCCTACACTTTGCCTTGTGTGGCATTGGATGGATGCTCGTACTCGTGTACATACTTCACTCATGCTCGTTTTGGAGAAAGAAACAAGTGCTTGTGCACCACTACTCACTACTGTGTTCTTGCCGGATCCTTCTAGAGTACGTGCCCAATGGACTGAAAACCATTCACGGACTTATCATACTTATTGCCTTTTCTCTCGTAGCACATGCCTATAGGCTTATTACTGGGGACTTATTGGCCACAGTTGAGTGAACGTATACGGAAATGACAAGCGATATCCATTTCGATTTCCATTGTGCTCGTCGTCGTAATATTGTACATGAAACATGAGGTCGACGCTTGCCCGGTAGAGCCCGCCCCAACGGCATGCGTAGATCGGCTTCCTGATACCTGCAGACACGTAGATCACGGCCTTAGATCCTCACCTCATGACTCGAGCGAGAAGTCATATTCTTTGAATGTCTCCTTGAACGCCACCGCATCGGCCTCTTCCTCCGCTTGCGACTGCGTCGCGTTCCGCCAGTCCATCCGCTTGTCGACCTCGAGCAACTTTGCCATCACGCGGCGGCCGAACTGCAGATCGAATCGGAACTCCGGGTGCAGGTCCAGTGTGAGCACCTTCTCGGAGCCGGACGTGTGAGCTCCGGGCGCCTTCACGGCATCGGATGCAGTCGTGTCGGCCTCGGGCGCGGCTGGGGCTTCTTCAGCTTTGGCGTCGGCGGGGCACCAGATGGAGACGCGGAAGTAGTCGCCCGGCTCGCTGGGCCCGTCGGCTTGGCTGTGGGCGAGAGTGCTGAAGCGCGGGTAGGACAAATTCTCGGCCTCGACCTTGAAGGCGGCCTCGACGAGGCCCTCGCGGATCAGAGAAGCTGCCACGGGGAGGAACTGCCAATGCGTGTGGATGCCGCCAGCGCGGCTGACTTCCCAGGTGACGGCGCCTAGATTGCCAGCTGAGCGGGTGGCGACCATGCGGCGCAAAGAGCTGTTGTAACGCCCCATCTCGTTGTAGGTGGTGGAGCGGGTCTCGGGGTCGGGGATGGAATCTAAGGTTGGGGTATGGGAGAAAGGGATGATAAGGATGTGGCCAGGGAAGCCGAGGGATGGGAAGAAGTCGGCCGGGGGAGGGGCCCTTTGGCAATTGTGAGGTAGCTTTCCTCGCCGATGGAGGTGATGAGGTGCGTGGCGACATTGGGATTAGAGAGACAGAAGAAGCATTGTTCTGGGCCGGGGGGAGGGTCCCGGTGACGGCGCTTCTTGGAGCGGTCTTGGTAGTTATCGTCGGAGGCGGCGAAGCGCTTGAATGATTCGTGCTGCGTGGGGAGATGCTTGCGTTTGGCTTGGGGTGCGGCCAGGGGTGAGGCGGTGACGCCAGCAGGGATTGTGAGCGGCGCTGTGGCGCTGATGTCGATAGAGAAAGCATACATGGCCTTCTGCTTTGAGTCGAAGGAAGCCAGAGAAATGAAACGGGTCAAGGGCTTTGCATCAGGGCTATCCTCGCTCGGCATATGGAAAAATGGCGCTCGCTCATAGAAAAAGCTGTCCGATGTGGAGAAGTGATAACGAGGCTTTAGGGTAGCGCAGATATCGGACACAATTTGGGTTTCTGTTGAAAGGGAGCTGTAGTCCTCGGGCACTGATACATTGGAGCCAAGGCGGATTCCCTTGGGCCACTGGTTGGTAATGAGGATATCGGCACTGTGGGTTCCGAAGAGAGCTCGAGCATCAGATTCGGTATATGTAGTCTGAAACCTTCCTGCGGCATTGGTCACGGGAGCAGATTTTGACTGATGCGTGTCCTCTAATTTACCTCCAAGGGCAGCGATGCGAATACCCTCTGAGGTTTTCAGGGTGCCTCGTTTGCCAAGGAAGTAGAGGTTAGGACACACTTCATCGTCGGCTTCGATCTTCTCCACAATTCGTGTTGGCAATGGAAGATTGCCCAAAGTGAAGTAAGTCGGCAAGGGGACATTGACATTGCCATTCAGCAGAGCAGTGATCTCATCTAGTTCAGCCTCAGTGGTACAGTCGCCGAACAGGTTGCCAACAATGAGCGCAAATGCGAAGTTCTGCTTCACATGCAGCTTGGCAAGTTTGGTGAACACGGCGCGCAATTGGCAGTTTGGACTGCCAATCACAATACTGTTTCTTGATCAGTTCGGCTGCCATATTGCTTCATGAGAGAGTTTCATACATTTTGGAAGCCATGGCGCAATCAATGCAAGGGCCCCAAATTGGTCCAGTAATAGACCAAAAGGAACAAATTGATCACTGTCAGAAATTTGAGATCTGTATTGACATGCAACCGTGATCCTTTTGTACAAGAGCGACCAAGGTCGCGTGTCAAGCAGAAAGAATGCCCGTTTGTGCAGAGGTGAGCTGGAAAAGGCCGGGGAGCTTGGGCCATCCCGTGATCACGCTAGCTGCAACAGGATTAGCGTTGCGAAGGTGTATTCGGGCACCGGAAAAAGGTATGTCCGGCGCCGGTCAACTTTTTTTGTATTGGAGATGCGGGCAGGACAAAAAGTTCCCCGAGCACCTTTCTCGTCAGCAGCGCTACCTGTTCCCATTGTCAAGATGGTAGCGCAAGGCTCACGGGCCAAGCCCACCAGGCGCTTGAAAAAGGGCACCGAAACCACCAAATCCCACCGATGGGAGCCTTTCTCACAGCGCATCGCGAAGCTCAAAATCGACCCGATCCATCGCGTGCGCCGGGCCAGCTTTGGTGAAGATGATGATGAAACCACATCCTATTTTCGGTCAGCCTTGGACCACTGGGTTGATATGAATTTGTCCGATAATTTCACACAGTTCGCCCGTCGTGTCAATTACCTCTCTGAGAGCCTCGCCCAGATCTTGTACCACGAAGAGAAGATCATGGGCTTGTTGGTGGAGTTTATTGAGAAGAGAGACCATAACTCTGTTGAGCCTCTGCTGAGCTTACTTGCACAGTTTGCCAGAGACCTAGGAGTTCGTTTCGAGAAGCATTTTGCCACAGCCGTCACTCTTGTAGCATCTGTTGCTGCAACACACCCGGACGTCGAGGTTGTCGAATGGAGTTTTACCTGTCTCGCATGGATTTTCAAATTCTTATCGCGCCTGCTAGTCCCTGATCTACGCCAGCTGCTCAGCATCATGACTCCATATCTCGGCAAGGAGCGACAAAAGCCGTTCGTCGCCCGGTTCGCTGCCGAATCGATGTCCTTCCTCATTCGTAAGGCAGGCCTTGTATACTACAAGAACAAGTCTCCTCTTGAGAATGCCGTCTCTTTCCTTTTTGACGATATCACAAAGGCCGCCGACGAGGGAAAAAATGTGGACAGTTATAAAGAGGGATTGATGGTCATGTTTTCAGATGCCATCAAGGGTGTGAACAATGGGCTCCATTCCAATGGAATTGATGTCCTCCGTTGTGTCTTGGATCAAATCCCCCCGACTAACGAGAACAACCGTGTTCCTTCTGAGGTTGCTTTTGGACTTGTGATCAACCTCATCCATCATACCACTCCCGACACATTTGGGCCTATTCTCGATACAGTGCGGGAATATGTCGATATCCGCTCTAAGGAAGCCAAAAACCCTAATATTTTCCAATGTTGTCATTTGATCTTTATTTGTGTGGCAACTCGCAAAGGCTCTAGAGTCCGAGACTGGAAGGCTGTCCACCAGACCCTTGTGTCACTTCTCAAACAAGTGTCTGCCAGTCCTGATGAGTACCCAGAGGCAATTCCGAAACTTCTCGCTGCCGTCGCCTACGCTCTCCAGTTATCGCCAATGGATGAAATGTTGCCTTTCATGCGCACTCTCATGGAGCTTGTTTCTGGCGGGCCACTTTCGAAGTACTTCCTGTACTTCTGCAACACATTTTCTGAGTGGGGCTCAGAGCGCTTTCAAAGCTTGTTGGTACCTTATTTCCAGAAATTCATCAATTCGTCCTGGAAGGAACAGGAGTGGGAGATGTGCTTGACGCTACTTCGATTGAACCAGGCTGGTTGTATTACACCAGAAACTGCCAAGCCGGGTTTTGTTTCTTGTCCAGATGACTTGAAGTCTCGTATCTATGACTCCTTGGAGTATCCAACGAAGGATCAAAATATTCTCAACGCCCTAGTGAAGCTTCCAAAGGCAGTTTCCCTGTTTGCAGATTCCACCACCCTTTCGACTGTTCTCACGAAGCTGCATTCCAGCCTAACATCTGCACTGCAAGATGCTAGTTCCGAGCTAGTCAACGAAAAGACCGATGGTCTGGTTTTCTATCTCGGTCAAGGGTTCAAAACTTATGTCGATTTGGCGAAGCGGGCTGGTGAGCTTGATTCCAATCTCTGGCAAGCAGTCCTCTCGGCTTCTACCAACTTTTCCCGTCTTCCCCTCTTCCTGGAAGGAGTCCTTGCTTTCGTTTCCTCGATGGACGCATTGGATTTGAAAAATTCCCCGGTGGACGAATTTGCATCCAAGTTGATCCTCAATCTGGCTAGTCCATCGCACCGATTGAGACTTGTTTCGCTTCAAATTCTGGAACAGCTGATATTCCGAGTTGCGGATGAAGATTCCTCTCCAGTCGCTTTGGCCATTGAGGTTGAAGAGAGCGAACTGACCCTACAGACTGCGAGGACACTTTCAATGAACATTCGCAAACTGGCCCTCCTTTACCCTCAGGTTGCTTCTCGCAGGTGGATGGCTAGCCTGATCCCCTACTTCTGCTTTGGACTATTCTCCAAGAAACTAGCCCAGCTGTGGGATGATTCCGCGGCTGCCTTGAAGACTATCAGCGAGCACCCGGAGGGAGAGAAGATTGTTTCAGACTTGTCCATCCAGTGGCTTCAGGAGCGGGACTCGGATGCTGCTGGGGACGATTCAACAAACGATGGAGATGAAAACTCATTTGTCTCGAGCAACTTCGAGTGTTTCAACGTTGGCAAGGCCGAGAGCGTTATCGCTACTAATCTGAAGGTTAGCCAGGCTCCTTCAATCGCTTTGTTCCAGCAATTTCAACAAGATCATATCATTGCCGATCTTGTGCCTGGATTTCCTCGCAGTCATGCTCTGCGCGTGTTGAATGCAGCTCCAAATGTCGCTGAAAAGCGCTCGCGCCAAATTGTACCCCTGTTCTTATCCTGGGCACTTCGTGATGACCAAGATGATGCCCCTCCCAGTAAGGATACGAAGACCGGGGATGACAGTCCTGACGACATGCAAATTCGATGGGGTTTCCGAGATCGCCTGTCCATGCTTGCTTTATTCGGACAGTTTCTCAATCCTAAGGTGCTCTTCAGGACCTCGGAAGTTTACGACGCCGTGTTGGGTCTACTTTGCCATGGTAATTCTGAAATTCAAAAATCTGCTCTCAAAGCACTCTTTACCTGGAAGAACTCGCACATCCTCCCATATCAAGAGAATCTGTTGAACATCCTGGATGAGTCTAGATTCAAGGATGAGCTGGCTGTCTTTGTTCGCGTTGGTGGCGAGGACAGCTTGATCGAACAGGAGCATCGCCCTGTTCTACTACCCGTGCTTCTTCGGTTGCTGTATGGCCGCATGATTTCGAAGGCAGGCGCTAGCTCCAACCAAGGTGGTCAAACCGGAAGACGCAAAGCCATCCTCCGGACGCTGTCTCACCTTTCTGAAGAGGACTTCGGACTCTTCATTCATCTCTCATTTGGGTCTCTCGCGGATGTCGCCGTTGGAAAGGATGGAGACCATGATGAAAAAGTCTTCTCGGAGGAGCTTCTCAGCCCAAGAAGACAACTTGGTTTGCTGAAGATGATCGATACCGTTTTTGATACCCTCCAGAGTCGTATGGCGCCTTACTCCATTCAGACAATGAATGTTATCATGTATTGTTTGGTACGAGCATGCAGGGCTCTGTACAATGAGAAGAATCCAATCTACGTCGATCGCGATGACGAGCGAATTTTGGCTGTGTACCAGAGCATTCGCCAGGAATCTATCCGTTGCCTTAACTTGGTCTTCTCAGTTTCCTCTGATCTTGATTGGACCCCTTATGTCCGCTTAATTTTTGACGAGTTGATCAACAATAGGCTGGAGCAGTTCCCTATCGAGACTGCTCAGGGTGTCTCGGGAATGCTTCGTCTCTTCCACACCTGGGCCTCCTCCCCCAAATCCGCTTTCTATTTGGTTCAACACAACAAAGAAGTCTTGACCAAGGTCATCGACTGCCTTGGAATTGAATCCGCACGCGATGAAGTCAAAATATTTGTGCTAGATGAGGTCCTTGTGCCTTTGGTTCAGCTAGCCAATGGGAAGAAGCCAACGAATGATGATGAAGAGGATGAAGATAAAGTCATGTCCGATATCCCAGCAGAACAAATTCGAACTGAAGTTCTTTCTGATTATTTGGAACATGCGCTCTCCCATCTCGGTCGACTTTTAAAGAGAGGCCCGTCCAAACCTGTTCTGTTCTCCGGGGTCAATGCTCTGTCGCTGATTGCGCCCTGCGTTGAATCCTCTGGTGAGACATCTAGCCTCATCAGTATTACGACTTACCTACTCCGCCAGCCTCCCGACCGTGTCAGCCCTAAGACTAAGTCTGGTCTTTTGCGAATTCTTGAGCATTTCTTGCCTCTGTATAACCCTGAAGAGGATGCTGAACTTTCCCAAAAGGTTTTTGAGGCCGTGTCCTCTATGTTTGATTATTTCAAGGATGATGTGAATCGAGAAGTTTTGGCAAGAGTTTTCTCTGCACTTGCTTCCCACGACAAGGAGCTTGTGGAGGTTGCTGAGTTATGTGCAGACCTCAATTCGCGCTCGATCAGGAGGCTTGAGCCTGATTATGAGCGTCGTCTTAGGGCCTTTATAAAAATCAACGAGGAGCTATCCCAAACCTTCAATGCGAAGCAATGGAGACCGATTCTTTTCAACATGCTCTTCCATGTCAGAGACGAAGAGGAGCTGTCTACTCGGGCCAGCGCCTCTCTTGGTGTGAAGCGTTTCATTGAAAGAGCGGCATCTGAGACCGAATCAGAGGGGTTTGAAACACTGGTGAATGATGTGCTGCTCCCCTCAATGCAATACGGCATTCGTCAAAAATCAGAATTAATCCGCTCAGAGGTGATTACCAACTTTGGTTACTTTGTCAAGATGAATCCCACTAGACCTTCCGTGCAGGATCTACATGTCCTTCTGGTTGGCGATGATGAAGAGGCTTCTTTCTTCAACAACATCCTTCACATTCAGCAACATCGTCGAATGAGAGCTTTACGTCGACTGGCTGGAGAGGCCACTAAAGGCAAAATCCAATCTTCCAACCTTGGAACTATCTTCCTTCCCCTTATCGAACACTTCGCTTTCGAGGAGGCAGAGAATGAAAGTGGTCATAATCTAATTGCAGAGTCACTCGCCACCATTGGGTCTTTAGCAGAGTGGTTGGACTGGGCCCAGTTCCGTGCCACCTTCCGACGATACCGCGGATATATGCAGAGCAAGCCTGATATGGAGAAGAACATTCTCAGACTTCTGGGCCGGATGTCCGATGCCCTTACTAATGCAATGGATCAAAAGAAGACGGCTTCCGAGCAGGCTAATGACGATACGGATAAGATGGATCTTTCCGAGAAGTGCACGCTCGCCAAGAGCGCCCCTTCTATCGCAAAGGTTTCCACCGAGCTGACCACCAACTTCATTCCATTCTTGACCGATTTTATTCACCACAAGCAGGAGACTGAAATGAGCTTGCGTCTGCCTGCCGCAGTCACAACGGTCAAGCTTCTTAAAATCCTCCCCGAGGAAGATATGGCTATTCGTCTGCCACCGGTCCTTCTGGATGTCTGCAGTATCCTCAAGAGCAAGGCCCAAGACTCCCGTGACACTGCGCGGAAAACACTCAATGACATTGCAATCTTGCTTGGCCCCGTTTACTTTGGCTACATTCTGAAAGAGCTGCGGAACACCCTTCTGCGCGGTTACCAGCTGCACGTGCTGTCATTCACTGTCCACTCGATGCTCGTCACGACGACGGATCAATTTAAGCAGGGCGACCTAGATTACTGCGTGGCAGAGCTGGTGGCAGTTGTGATGGATGATATTTTTGGCACTGTTGGCCAAGAAAAGGAAGCCGAGGACTATGTCAGCAAGATGAAGGAAGTGAAGAGCAGCAAAAGTTACGATTCGATGGAGCTGCTTGCCAAAAATTCAACCATCGGCCATCTATCAGGTCTCGTTCGGCCCCTTCAAGCACTTCTACGGGAGAAGCTCAACTCGAATATTGTCAAGAAGATTGATGAACTCATGAGAAGAATTGGTATTGGTCTTCTGAGGAACCCCGGTGCCGAAAGCCGTGACCTTCTGGTATTCTGTTATGAAGTCATCAAGGAGTCTTATCAGGATAACGTATCGACTGATAAAAACACCCATCGCAAGTCTGAAATTGAAGAGCGGTTCCTGGTAAGATTACAGGGAGCCAAACGGGGCGAGAAGCGAGGCACCACTTCTTCTCATGTCTATAAGTTGACACGATTTGCCCTCGACGTCATGCGTGCTGTTCTCAATAAGTTCGGTTCTCTCTTGACGGCCGGCAATCTCTCTGGGTTTCTTCCCATCATCGGCGATGCACTGGTCCAGGCTCATGAGGAAGTAAAGACTTCTTCTATGCGACTCTTATCGACCATCATCAAACTTCCGCTTCCGGAAATTGACAGTAACTCTCATGTCTATTTCACTGAGGCCGTGAAGATGATCAAAGAGTCCCCGAGCACCAACAGTGAAGCTGCGCAGGCATCACTGAAGTTGATCTCGGCCATACTCCGTGAGCGAAAGAGCACCAAGCTTCGTGATGGACATCTTGCATACCTTCTCCAGCGCCTGGCTTCCGATATCGAGGAACCTGACCGCCAAGGTGTAACTTTCAACTTCATTCGCGCTGTTATGTCACGAAAGTTCATTGTACCTGAGATGTATGAACTGGTAGACCAAATCGCGAAGATGATGGTCACTAACCAGACACGTTCCGCGCGTGACCTTGCTCGAGGTACATATATCCACTTCCTGATCGAATACCCTCAAGCCAAGAGCCGCTGGTCCAAACAGCTCGGGTTCCTTGCAAAGAACTTGGAATATAAGCATCAGGAGGGGCGTCAATCAGTCTTAGAAGCCGTGCATCTGTTACTTTCGAAGACTGGTCCGGAGCTCGCACAAGACATCATCAGCACGTTTTTCCTTCCTGTTGTTCTCTCAATGGCCAATGACGAGTCATCGGAGTGTCGTGAAATGGCCGGTGCGCTGTTGAGTCAGCTTTACAGTCGAGCTGATAGGGAACAGATGAAAACCATCTTGATCCCCATTCACACATGGCTTGAACAGACCGACAACATGGCACTCGGAAGCATTGGTTTGCAGGCTATGCGAATTTTCTTCGAGGCGGAGGAAACGGAGAAAGACAAAGAAGGCCGTTTTGTCGTTGGCATATTACCAGACTTGATGCAATCAGTTCTTGATGATCAAGAGGACGGAAATTGGGAGACCCTTTATTTTGCTTTGCAACTTTTCACAAAGCTTTGCAAGACAGTGCCGACACTTGCACTCAGCCTGGAATGCGCGCCCATTTGGGCAGCTATTCAAGAGTCACTATTCTTCCCTCACGCCTGGGTCAAGACATGCGCTGCTAACCTTGTTGGAATGTGGTTGGCCGATGTGGCAAAGACAAATGCTGCGGCTGGCTATGTCTCCATACCTTTGAAGGGTAGCTCGGGTCTTGTCCTAGACAAAGAGGCCATGTTGAAGCTTCTCCGCGCTAGTCTTCGATCTCTTCGTACTCCGGGAATTTCTGAGGAGCTGGCAATGCAAAGCGTCCGAAATCTTGTCTTCCTTGGTAGATGTTGTGCCCAAAATGGCCTCGAGTTCCAAAAGACTGATGCTGAAGACGCTGACTCCGAACCGGAGGATGAGGAGGATACCGGAAGCGTGATCAATGACGAGGATGAAAGTGCAGCAAGTGGCATAAGATCAACCAAGTCAGCCATTCGTTATATCTTCTGGCAGATCTCTTCCCTTTTGCGCCGAGAGGTTATTTCAACTAGAGCAGATGCTCTTATCCCGAAAACTGCCTCTATTGCGCTCCTTGGCTCGCTCGTTCGTCACCTTGAAGCAGAGCAAATCCAGCCATCACTGTCTATTATCCTGCTTCCCTTGCAGCACCTAACCGATTCCTCCATTCCGGCTCCTCGGTCTTCGGACGAGACATTCCAGAACACATACAAGGCTATCGTTGCCAACTCCCATGAGGTCCTCGACTCCTTGCAAAAGAAGCTTGGCACCACCGAGTACATCAGTGAGATGACCAAGGTCCAAAATGAAGTTAAGGAGCGTCGTGAAGGCCGACGGGCCAAGCGTCGTATTGAAGCTGTTGCCGAACCTGAGCGATTTGAGCGTGACAAGAGGAGACGAAACGACCGGAAGAGAGAGAAGCGTCGTGAGAAGGGTCTGGAGCACCGTGGCAAAAGACGTGGTTGGTAGAATATCGGTTAGGGCTCTTTGAATGCCCCTATCTGTTTTTTTTTGTTTTGATTGGGGTTGACCTGGCATATCAAAATCTGGCGTTTCTGGGATAAAATATGAGTTTGAGTATATACCATAGAACAATTTTTTTGATTTGTACAAATTCTATGATGGCTGTATAGAACCATACTCTAATTCTCGTATATCTCTGGAAAGTATGAGCAAACTTATTAGAGATCGATTGAGTAGGCATGGTTGCTGTAGATAATTTATAATGACTCTCAAATCCCTAAAACAGATAATGCACAATGTCTGGATTGATAGTTTGTTTACTAATTTGAACGACTTCTCTCCCCTAAGTAGGTTCTATCTACATCAGGCACCGTAGAAGACCCCAGGTCAATACTAGTACTAAATGGACACCTTTCTGGTTCAATCTGCCTTTTTAAATGCAAAGGCAACCCACAGTGCAGCCAACCCAAACACGACTGGCCCGGCAATTTTGATGCTAGTAATCCACAGTAACCTCGTCCTCGCCTTTGCTTCCTCCGAATGTGTAGTCGCATCATTTTCTCTCGGAAATGGCACATCAGGAACCTCCACACCCAAAAAGTCGCATAGCGGCTTCCAGCCATCGCCCATCTTATACTCAAGCCTCTGCTCTGGCGGAACAGCAGCCCGAACGTCACGATAGTGCGCTTCATAAGTTTTCTGGGCATTTGCCAAAATCTCGTCTCTGGTTTGAGCATGGAAGAAGCCAAAATGAATCTTCCGCATCGCTTGCACAGCCGGTATCCCCATTAGATAAAGCGCCAAGAAGCCATTGATAGCAGCCATGGGCTGTATCATAACTCGGTCCAGGACTTCATGCTGGAAGCTGGGCCACCACTTGGCATATTCACGCTCCACTATAATCACTTTCGCATCCGGGTAGGCCTTGATGAGCTCGAGAGTGAAGGGCGATGCTAAATCGGTGACGGCATCATATTTATTCCCCCATAGCTCGTCCCAGTCCGTGCGAGTGAATGGCGGTCTGGGGCAGGCACCGGGCGCAGATGGCCAGGTCGCCTCAGCTGCTTTTTCAATTTGCACCCACGGGGTGTCGGTGGCTTTCTCCAGAAGGCCATGGTGTGTTTTGAAGCCAAGGATCTGGTATGCGAGCGCCATAGACTTTGTTGCGGTACGGAAGAGACCCGCATTGATGATCAGCAGGCCGCCCGCTACTTTCTTCTCACGTTGAGCTTCCATTCACGAATACTCAACCTAGGGTCTAAGGGTCAACAGAGCCAGAGCGAGATAACCAGAAATGACAGAATCTTGGATGAGCAAGACAAAAAAAGAAAAAGAAAACTTCCCCAAAGCAAGGGATAAATAAAGTAGCCCCCACAACGCACTCTCAAGTTAGTGCTTACCAGCTTAGAATTTGCGTGCCGATCCAAGTCGAAGTAGTCTGACATGGGCGGTTAGATTAGGGGCGTCTATTTATCTAGGACTCTGAGCTGTTCTATGCTGACGTGAAGGTTCCAATAGATTGGAGCTAGATTCTAATATCAGATCATGGAGGTCGGACGGTTAGGTTCAGATTTTCCGTTGTCCAGTAGAAGTCGAAGTTGTTCCAACAAAGCCAGAGTCAAGCTTGATTTTTAATCTCATTTTGTAAACATACTTTCATAGGGATTCTGTGCTACGGTAGTTTTCGAATTCAGTTTGACCTCGCACTCTTGAGACTTGATTCTCGGAAAATAAACCCGAAATGAGCGAATTCTGATTGGATACTGATTTAAGTGCTTGAGTCTAAACCGCTTTCTACTGTATGATGATCTATATATTTTATGCAACACTTCTGTAGCATACACAAGCTATCTCCGTACGCCTCACCTCCCTTTTTCTTGACAATCAGCAGCTTCCTGCATAGTGGCTTCCTGCTTACCGTTATTACTCCAAGGAATATCGCCCCAAGACTCCCGCCAGAAGAGCCCTTTCACATACATGATATAATAGAGATTGAATCCTCGAACAGGCTGAATATAGCAAGCAGACCATCACTGTCATCAAATACGCAACAATTTGTGACAATTTGGAAGCATTTACACACCTCACAGCCGTATAAGCCGGAAACGAATCATGACACCCTTGGTAATCGAAGCCCTCTGTATTCACTTATCTGAGATTTCCGGCCTCTACTGGTTCAAGCAGGAAGCTGAGTAGATGTAAAGATGATGTTCTATTCCCTCAGAAGGAGGTCATGATAAGCTAATGCTATTACATAAATGGAGACGGCGGTAACATCTACCTCGAAGAAATGATTGTACTCTTAGGTTATGAGTTCCAGGTCATGCGCTACGCTTCGCTAGCTGGTCACAGCAAGTGCGGGAAAATTACATCTGGCTCTTCGGCTCTTATCTGAAATATCTGGGCCGCAGGACTATCAACATGACTTGGGAAGAGGCAGTCGAACGGCGGGCACATACTAGGAAAATTAGCTAAAGTACCTCTTTTTACTGTCCTCGGATCAATAACTTACGGGAAAGATCTGTATTTTCTTGAGATCCCATACCCCGCTAGTGGCGTATATATCCTTACTGATGATGTCGCGGACTTCTTCAGCATCTTTGCCTGTATATACAATCACACTTCCTTTGAATTGCGCTTCTTTTCCTCCTTCCGGATGTTCCTTGAAGATGGCTCCTGATTTTCATGAGGCCTGTCAGCATAGCCCAATGCAACTCAATGGCTATCGCGACTAACCTCCGGCCACAAGCTTGCCCTGGGCGATCAAGGGCTGGATTCCTTCGTAGTGACCGCTAATATGCTACATTAGCGTAATTCCTAATTGAAAATCCTGTCTTCTCACCGCTTAACCGTCTTTCTCAGACTCGAAATATTTGGTCGATCAGGTATAATACAAAGAAACTCATTCTTTTTGCCCGCCGTCGCCATATATCGGGAACGACTCATTGCGATCTGCTGTGCGGATCGAGCAAATGCTGCGGGGCAACGAAAGGCGAGCCTGTGTGAAAACATTATATTGGGTAGACAAGACAGCTGTCTATAGATCCCAGAGACGAGAATCCCGGAAGAGTAAAATATAGAAAAGAGTTGTCAAAGTTCAATAAATATATGAAAAAGCGGCGTAGCAGGCCGACCTACTCAGCTCCAAGATCTTGCCTGTCGGAGCTAGCTCCCGATGTGTGGTTAGACCAAGTGGCATCGGCCTGTTACAGTAACAGCAAGATCTGCCGTGCATAACCGTCCCCCTCCGCTACATATCAGGTTAAATAACTTAGTTAGTTAGTTAGTGATAGTGATCTAAGCCTGTATTTGCCTGAGGCACGTATTGCTCACAGGCCCTTACGCTCTCTTGTTCACTCTCCTCCTGTCTTCCGTGGGGCCCATCAGCTTCGACCTTCGCGATAGCCTGAATTTTTTTGGGCTTCTTCCCTGTCCCCCCTGTCCCCTCTGTCCTTGTTTTACTCGCTCTTGAGTCAGGTCTTTCCCCACGTGCGCCCCTTAAGGCCTATGTAGCTTTCTCAACACTAATTGATCTACAGTGGTACCTGACCAGGAGTGCAGGCTCATAAATGACCAGATGAACTGCTTTTGTGGAAACATAGAAATCTCGAACCTATGAAGCAGGAAGTATAGCTTAGGAGAAGGATCTAATTGTTAAATTTAAAGTACAAGGTCTCTCATTCGCATTAGGCTTCACAGCATCTTGCTTCGCCAAAATTTAACTCTTAGGAGCTTCAACGTCCCATTTCCTTCGCGGCCTCTCGAATGTCGACACGACACGTCCATAAGAAATATCGCCAAGCTGCCCAAGTGGTCGAAGCTTTTCAAGATCTATATGGCTGTGTTCTGCATCTGCAGTCCCTTATTTCACCCAGAACCGAGTCGCTCTGACCAAAACGTTCGCCGCAATACTCATTCCAGGGCGTTGTCGTTGATGATCGGTGAGTTCTTTAATATCGATCACTTTTCCTTCGATATTAAAGACAGATTCCGCAATGCGAGATAGTCTCACTGTAGTGGAAGGTGCTTCGTGAAGACCTGAGATCTCCCATTCTGATACTCCATAGGGTGCATCAATAAAGCTCGGATTAACAGCCTCGACCATAGTCTCTGAAACGGTGTCAATAACGCATTCCTCGGTTTCTTTTAGATTGCGATAGGTATCCTTAAGGCTTATATGAGAAACAAAGTCGGGACCCGCTACCGATGTCGGGACCCCCTACCGACGCTGAGACAACCACCGACCGTTATAAAGCAAGACGTATGTGAACAGCCTCTCAGGGCTACGTGAGCTTAATGATCTGTTCGGCAAAACATGCTTCCTCGACGTATATGCTTTACAAGCGGCTCGCTTTTTCGTCCGTCCTTGCCTGTCAGTCGAGTCTCATTGCATACAATGAATACCCTCCCCCACATCGCCAAATTATCTACGGTGACCAGCGTCCATACTGAGAAAGCCTACGCCCGTAAGTATTTTTATATCCAGAGATACCGAATAGTGACTAACATTGTACGGTTCTTAACTAACTTAAGCCTTTGCGCATTATGTAAGTAATAGAGGCATGCAACGGTAGAGAATGTACAACAGTCCTAACGACGTATTGATTGCAGTCCCAAGCGATTAAAGCAGGTGGCCATGTTTGGCTGTCCGGCCAAATTCCGGCAGACGCTGATGGGAATTTGATAAAAGGGTCGACTGTTGAAAAAACCAAGGCTATCATCCAAAACACGGAGGCCATTTTGAAAGAAGCGGGATCTGGATTGGACCGAGTGGTCAAAGTCGTGGTGAGTTATCACAACGGCATCATCCACTCATTAAAGCCGCCAGTTGTGTATGAAAACTAATGAACAATGAAAGGTCTACCTCATGAATGCGAATATGATGCCTGATTTTACCTCAGTGTATGATCCAGCATTTCCACACCGGCCTGCAAGGTCTATGATCGAGGTATCCAAACTACCTGCTGGAGTTGAAATCCAGGTCGACTTCATTGCTGTGGTGTAGATAAGACCTAATTAATATTGGGTTCTGCCGTCAAATGTAACAACACGCTTGCGATGATAATCTAGGGAAATTTCGAAAACCTGTTGGCCTGCAACCCGAGCCGTGTTCCCACATTCAACGTTCCTTAAATATTAAGATATATAAACGACGTGATACATCAATTCTAAAAAGTAATTAGGGTCTTTAGAAAGTCAACTTTAGCTTGTGAGAGAGTTAAGTTAGATTCAAGATTGGCAACGAATAAGCTGCATACGACAAAATTCATGAAAATGAAGTGAATATATCGGGATTAATTCGATACTGGATATAGCACAGTCCTCTGTGCGTATGGCTCGCGGGGGTACATAAAGCCTGCACCCCCGATGGGAAGTGGCAATATGGTACTGGTGGAAAGGTGGAGGATATATCATTACAGTTTTACTACACAAAGTCCCGGTTCGTGTTCCAGTCATTACCACCGCAGTTCTGCCCCATTAATCAAGCGGTGACCCTAACCGAATTAGCGTTTTTCAGACTTATTTTCCGAGAAGCAAGTGTAAAGAGTGAGAGGTCAAACTGAATTCGAAAACTACTATACGGTTTCTTGGCCAACTTTTCCAGCCTCTATGTAAACAGTGCAGGGTCCCGATTTTGTACCACTGAACGAGCTATACAACAACAATGGTTGATAACTCTGAAATAGTTGGGCTTGAAAATGGTGCTTAGTTTCAATCCTCTTTGAGAGAATCTAAGACACTAGTATACATTTTGATATTAGATCATGATACACATGGTACGCCGACAAAAATATAGCCTTTATACACCATCGAAATAGCCTCTACTAGGCTTCATAAATGCCTGGAACCTGCCATGCCGAGAGTGGAGAGGGGTAAAATACAGTTCCATCAGAAAGCATAGCACCAAGCGCCAAATCGATCGCGCCCTGAATATGCATGCACCCGTGAAAATAACAAAAAGAGTATCAAACTTGCATGTTATAGCGATTTAGTCGGATTTCTCTGACTTCTTTTCACCGGCAGAAGAAGAATCCAAGCGCTGCTGGCCATCCAAGTCGAAGCTCTTGACGGTGCCGTCATCCCAGAATTCTAGGTTTCCGTCAGCAACCCCGTGGGTGAGCGTCTGTCCCTTTTCTTTCAAAAGATCCTCTAGCGTGGTACGTTTGTCAAAGAAAATCCCCAAGTGATCACTCATCACATGACGCGATTGACACGAAGGACATTGAATGAGGACTGTGCCGCGGTGATAACCCTGCTTTGACATGCGGTGCGAAGAGCGCTCGCCACATGGCTTGCAGGTGAATACAATCTGGTAGGCCTCCTCGTTTTTACGACGCTCGGCATTCTGTTTCTCGCGCTCAGCATCAGTCTGGGATTTGTTGCTGGGCTCTTCCGACAGGGGACGAGAGGATGTCGAGTTCTGGCGGTAGCTGAGCAAAAAGCGCATGTGCCATGGTTGGTATAGAGCTGGTTGTCTCTGGTGGTTCCGAGGATTGTATAATTGTGATAAAAACAGACGAGACGAAGGCGTATGAGTATAGGTGCGAACAGAGGCCTGCGAAAGAAGCGAGCGTAGAGGGCGGAGGCCCTGTGACGCGGCGAGGCGCATGCTGAGTTGTGCTGTGAGGGGATCAGAAAGAATGGTGCAGCAAAGAGATGGGAGTTTGCAGTAAAGACTGGAGATCTGTGTAACTAGGCTGCAAATTCGTTTGAAGGATTAGATCGACGATAGATATAAAAGTGTTCTTGCTCTCACTTCTAAGGAAGCTTTCTGGAAGGCGGCGGATCGGAACAACTCATATTCCGGTGCTCCTCCGCGGAGAGGGACAACGAGCTTGCGCTTTTGACTGCGGGCACTGGTACCTCCACAATTTAAATTCTCTCCTTGCTACCCCAGTCTCTTTTGTGAGTGCCCAGCATGGCGGCTATGAGAGCGCGTCATAAGATTCGAGCTCCTCGCAGGGTATGTGTTGTCCCTCGACTTGAAATGACCTCTAATTGACAGCCACTTCAGGGCGGTGCATCGGCTCAAAAAGACGACTTCGACGCAATTTGGAGTGTTCTTGCCTCTTCTTTGAACGAAATTAATACCAAAAATGCGTCATCTCTCTCATTCGAGGAGCTTTACCGGAATGCGTACAAGATTGTGTTGATGATGCGGGGTGATGACCTATACGAACGGGTCAAACAGCTTGAGGAGGACTGGTTGCGAAACAACGTTCAGAAAAAGATCATTGACTCTATTTCTCCGATTCTTATCCGAGCTCAGAACCACACCGATGCACAGGACCAATCGACCGAGAGGAAAGATGCGGGGGAGAAATTCTTGAAGGAACTGAAGGAGGCATGGGAGGATCACCAGCTCTGTATGGGCATGATCACAGACGTATTGATGTACATGGTAAGTGAAAATTGTTTTGAGAAGATCATGGGTGCCTGTTTCTCATTCCAGTCTCATAGGACCGCATCATTTCCCAAGATCGTTCCAAACCTCCAATCTATGTCGTCTCCATGGCCCTCTTCCGAGACCACATTCTGCGCGCACAGCTTGATCCTACGCTTGATATTCATGTTGGCAACGTTCTGGAATCCACCATATTATTCATGATTCAGCTCGAACGTGCTGGTCACATGATTGAACGACCATTGATTCGACACTGCATTCAGATGTTGGAAGGACTCTACACAACGGTGACTGAGGAGGAAGGCTCAAAGCTTTATTTGTCTATGTTTGAACCAGCTTTTCTTTCCACAAGCGCCGAGTTTTACAGGTCTGAAGGTCGTCGATTGTTAGAGACCGGTGATGCTGCGACCTTCTGCCGAATCACCTCGAAGCGCATCGCCGAGGAACAAGAACGGTGCCAGTGCACGCTTGCATGGACTACTGAGCCGAAGATTCTTGATTTGCTCGATGAAGAGCTCATTCGCAAAAATATAGTCGAGGTCGTCAGGTTGGAAGGGACAGGTGTGCGACACATGCTCGACCATAATCTGCTGGAATCGCTGCGGAACGTTTATATCATCAACGCTAGGGTGGATAAAAAGAAAGACGCACTGTCAAGGGCAGTCAATAAACGGATTGTGGAGTTGGGAAGGGAAATCAATGCGTCCTCTATGGCCCCGCCTCCTGCACAGGCTTCTGAGAAGGATGCGAGCAGTGAGAAGCGGCCCGAGAAAAGCAAGGAAAAAGAAAAGCCCGTTAATCAACAAACTACTTCTGCAATCAGATGGGTTGATGATATTCTATCCCTCAAAATCCGATTCGATACTATCTGGGAGAAGTCGTTCCTCTCTGATCAAGGGCTCCAAAGCACCATCATGACCAGCTTCGCTGATTTTATCAACCTGAACCCACGAAGCTCAGAGTACCTTTCTCTCTTCTTCGATGAAAATCTCAAAAAGGGAATTAAAGGAAAGACAGAGAGCGAAGTCGATACCCTTCTGGATAACGGCATCACGCTGCTACGCTATATTAAGGACAAAGATCTGTTTGAGACGTACTACAAAAAGCATCTCTCTCGCAGACTCCTGATGAAGCGATCTGCCAGTATGGATGCTGAACGGCAGATGATCTCCAAGATGAAGCTGGAGGTCGGCAACCAGTTCACTCAGCGCATCGAGGCAATGTTCAAGGACATGGCAGTCTCTGAAGATCTCACCGCCAACTACAAAGACCATATCGCGCGAAGTGTGGACCCGGATCAGAAGCGTGTGGACTTGGAAATCAACGTCCTGACAAGCACCATGTGGCCAATGGAGATCATGGCGAACACGAAAGAAGGCCATGTGCAGCCATCGTGCGTATTCCCACGAGAAGTGGAAACGCTCAAGCAAAGCTTCGAGAAGTTCTACCTTGATAAACACAGTGGCCGCAAGTTATCCTGGCAAGCTAGCATGGGCACAGCTGATGTCCGTGCTACATTCGTGCGAAGCAATGGAAAGGTGCAGCGCTACGAACTCAATGTCTCTACCTATGCCCTCATCATTTTGATCCTCTTCAATGATGTGCCGGATGGCAGCTCTCTCACTTACGAAGAAATCCAAGAATGCACCCGCATCCCAAAGCATGACCTCATTCGCAATCTACAGTCTCTTGCAGTCGCCCCAAAGACACGAGTCCTGAAGAAAGAGCCCATGAGCAAAGACGTCAAACCCACTGACCAGTTCTTCTTCAACAAGGATTTCGAGAGCAAGTTCATGAAGGTGCGGATTGGCGTCGTCAGCAGCGCTGCCAACAAAGTTGAAGACAAGGAACAGCGGAAAGAGACTGAACAGAAAATGAATGAAGAGCGCGGTGGCTCTATCGAGGCTGCTATCGTCCGCATTATGAAGTAAGTTTGCTATCTGACTAGCAAGGGTCAAACAGATCCATGTGGCTAACCGATCTTCTCCAGACAACGCAAGAAGCTCATCCACTCACAACTCATGACCGAGGTCATCACCCAACTGTCTGTCCGTTTCGCTCCGGACGTGAACATGCTCAAGCGCCGCATCGAGAGTCTGATTGATCGCGAGTACTTGGAGCGTGTGGCCGAGGACCCACCCACATACGGATACATAGCATGAGCTGGGGTATTTGTACCTCCCGATGCAATCGACGACGATCTTTCTTCCCATTTGGTTTTCCTATTCCTTCGCCCTACCCTCCCTTCCTTTCACGAGTCTCCGTGTGATGGTGATGATATCCATGCATTTCCCCGGTTCTTTGCATCTGCCTGGTTGCTGTCTTGGTTTTTTTTTTTTTTTTTTTTTTTTCTTTGCTTTTCTTTTCATGCGCTTTTCATGGTCTCATTCTTGTTATTTCTGAGTTTAGCGACTGGCGTCTCTTGGGTGGCATGACTCCTTATGCAATGTCCATAGTTGAAGCAAAATTCACAATACTTCAGTCAAGGACTTTTCTTTTCTAAATCTACAGGGACGAGTGGGATACTGATGAAGATAGGCAATTAACGTGTCAAGAACTAGAACACGAGCTATATATTTTTGCATATTGGCTCGAAAGAAAAAAAATATCACTTTTCTTTTAGACAAAGTCATGAGATCGTATCGAGTTTTATGCACCCATTAGAGGAAAAAGAAGGCACTGGCCAGGCCAAATGAAAAACAGAGCTGAAGAGAAACCAGGAAAACGCCAACGCCAGCGAATGCCATGACTCCGACAAACGTATACTATCCTTCCCAAGGGCCATAATCCCACGGCGCACTGAAGGGTAGAAACAGGAAGCGCCATTGAGCTTCTCGTATAAGAAAAGGGGGACAAGAAGAAAGCAAACGCCCCAATTCATGAAAAAGTCAGGAAGGGTTCTTTCCTCTCTCCCCTTCACAACAATTCGACTTCTCCTCTCTCCCACGCCTTTCGCACGCCCTCCCACCGCACAACCCAGACATCGCCCATCCGCATCGTCGCCCCATACTCCAGATCATCCCCGTCATCCCCGCCAAGGAGTACAGGCACTTCGGCCCCGAGACAACGGACAAACACAACCTCCCGCATCTCAGGACCCTGCACCATACTCGTGCCGCCGGCATTGTCATCGAGCCGTCGCAGCTGCCGTGGGAACGCGCCCATGAAGGAGCCGCCGAAGTGCCCCGCCAGCAGGGTCTGGTGCGCGTGCATGAAGCTGGCTTCCGGCTCGGAGAGCGGAGCGAAATCGGTGACGGCGGAAATGTCTGGGACCGAGTCTTGCGGAGTGGTGTTGGCGGCGGTGCTGGACTGGGAGGGTGCGGTGGATTGCGAGGGGAGGAGGGGATTTTTGCTGCGCGAGGCGAGCTGGACAAGGTAGTGCATGCTGAATTTGGTGAGCTTGGCCAGCCGGGCACGGAGCAGACTGCGGAGGAGGTATTGAGTGCGGGCGAGATCCGTTTGCAGGATGGAGAGTCGGAGGTTGAGGTTTGGGTTGTGTGTGTGGTGCGTGGTGGAAGCTGTCATGTCGGTGTCGGCTGAGGACGCGGCGAGATCCTCGATTGTTTCGATCTGGCCAGAGAAGGAGTTAGCGAACTGGCTCTTGAGCGTGCTTCTCACAATGGAGATTCCAAATTCCACTTGTGCACCCGGTGCGTCCTCGACTTACCTGTGTGCGCACGCGATCCATGATCCGCTCCATCAGCGGCGCCGGCCAGGGCAGCACTTCGGAGACCGCGCGCTCGGCGACCCAGAACCGCGTCAGGAGCTGGTGGTCCAGCGCGGCAGATTCCGGGCTGGCACCGGCACCGCGGTCCACGGCAGCGAGAATGTCGTCGATGTCCATGGGCCTGGGGTCTGGATGCGAGAAAAACAACGCGGAGGGGCGGAGATCGGGGGAGCGGGTCTAGGGCTGGATGGTGCCCCAGGCACCAAGGCTGGTGGAGGCTCATTCAACTCAAATATTTCAAGTGGAGACATCGGCAGGTGGCCAACAAGAAGACCGACTTCGAAACCTCAATTGCAAAAAGGAGTACGGGGAATGGAGCGTTGTAGGACTACTGGAAGATTGAGAAGTTGGGAAGTTGGGCGTGGCCTCCTTGACGTGGAAGTCGGCCAGGTCTCTGTCCTACGAAGGCTCAGGATGAAGCGTGTGTTTTTCTTTTTCCATATTTGAAAAAAGTCTCATTGAAATGATCTTCGGAAAGGTGTATCAAGGCATTAACCGATTTCATCATCACGATCCGTCTCAGTAGCCGCGGGAAGTTGCGAACTTATCATCCAAGCCAGGTTAGAATGTTCATCCTGCCCTCACTAAAACATGAAACGGATGCGCGGGGTTCAGGAAAATAAAATAGATAAGGGGCATTAAAAAGATGAGGGGGGTCAAATTCCTCATGCAAGTGATCTTTGACATGACATGGAAATAAAGGGAATAATGGACACATGAAAAACCACCAATCTCAGTCACGCATCGACCAAGATTCCAAAAAAAGGGGAGAAGTCATAACGCCGCAGGACTCGAGGCTTTCGTTGCAAAGGACGTTTGGAAAAGAGGAGAAAGGAAACCGGCGACTTTCAGCTCGTTCATTCCGGGGTTAAAGAACGGCTTCATGCTTTCGGGGGAGGAGGCCCAGGGGGAGGGCTGTACATGTGCGGAGCAGCAGCATGCGCGTTCGGCGGGGACTGAAGCTCGATGCCATTCTGTTGCTGGCCAGGAGCGTTCTGGGCGCCGAAGTAGCCGTAATTCTGAGGGTTGGCAGAGTATTGAGGGGGCGGTTGCTGTGGGTAATAGGGATCATTGCCATAGTAAGGCTGCTGGTAAGCCTGCTGCCGGGGTGGATTGCCGGGCGGCGGCGCCATCCATCCGGTACCAGTGTATGGACGGAGGCCGTGGGTGCGACGGCGGCGGGCGTTGAAGCATCTGGAGGTAGCCGGGGTCAGCAACGGATGCAGGGATGGGACACACGTTCACGAGGATCTTGGTCGCAGATGGCCTGCGAGCCAGGAAAGAGACACAAGGGACCACGAGGGGCCAGCGGGACTGGGAAGACCGGGGTTACAGAGAAAAACTCACGCAAAGGCAAAGAAGAGGAGGAGCGCGCAGCCCACGATGACGCCAAATGCTACCCAACGACCCCAGCGGTCCCAGGATGAGCTATAGCAGTCGTCATAGCCGTAGCTAACAGCAGGTTAGATCGAGGACGAGCGGCAGACGAGGAGAAGACGTACCAGTAGTATCGCGGAATGATCGCCATGGCGGCTGTTTGAAGAAATGAGAGAGAAGCAAAGGAGAGGAAGAGAGAAATAGGTGATGGAGTGGCTGAGCGGATGTCAATCAATGGGGCTGGGAGTGGGTCTTGGCACTAGGCTGCAGGTTTGCGATGATTCATGCGATTCCCTTTGCAACTCCCTCTCTTCTCCGTCCTCCGTCCTCCCTCGCACACTTTTGAGAGGCGAGAACGCTGCAGAGAGGCCTCCGCTGTGTCGCGATTCAGACAATTCTTGAGCCGTCGCACTACAGTGTCTCATTTTCTCGTTCTCCGGCCCGTCTACGGCATACGTAGCCATCCTACGTATTCCGAGGCTCCGTGGCGGCGCAGTCCGGGTGTACTCGCCCAACAGCCAATCACACCCCACCTACCGAGGCGCAGGGCTGATGTCGGATTGCGGCACTCGCAAGTTCAAGTTCATTGACTCCACCAGAAACCTCTCAGTCAGGCCTCAGGCGTCCGAGAATGGGTGAGCAAAATCATCCGAGGCCGAACATGAAGCCGAATCACAGGTGCCGTACCAGATATTCGTTTTATCGATCTCCCTTACCTCCTGCGTCCATAAGTGCATGTAATCTACAAAGTACTATTGACCCATTTTAACTTGATGTACTCCCACACCGCATCGTCCTCGAATTTTTCTGAACCGAATGAATTAGGTCAAGGGCGGACAGTATTGATCCCGACCACTCAATATCACACCAACGAAATTAAAAAAAAAATGAAACAAAAGAGAACGAGAGCGAGAAACCCCAGAGCAAATATGCCCAACTGAAACTCTAGATGAAACAGGGGCATCGTAGCTTCTATCCCTATACTCCAGAATGCTCATTTTTTTAGCAATAGTTGTTTCTTCTTTTCATTTCTTCTTCTCTTCGAGGGACTGAGGATTGAGGACTCGACCTCACGAGCCCCCCGGAATTATAGATATACCCATCAGAGGGGCCCAAAGTGGGACTGTCTTGGTTCCTCATTGAACCCTCCATGCCACCAGTGGCGCGCCGGCCGGAAACCCGAGGAAATTGTGGCGTTTGTCAATAGTCTGATGACCCCATAGAACAAGCTGCACGGCGGTATTCACTATTAGTGCCTTACACCGCCCCCCCCCAACCCTTCCGGGTTGTGGGTGCGCCACGCACAGATGCATAACCACACACAGACGCATAATTTTTCCTATTTCCCCTATCTACTACTGCATACCACTAGTATCTATAAAGAAAATATTACCTTCCTGACGTGCTTCCTCTGCTCTATCTAATGATGCCTGGGATTCCTGTGTAGGATCTGGTGGTGGTGATGTTCCATACGCTTTCTTCCACTGCTTCCTTACCCGCTTCCGCTCTGCCTCTGCTTCCTTCTCATTTCTTTTAGCAATAGAACGGTTTGCATCTCTAATAGAGAGTACCCCTGTTTTGCTAAGCGGTGTTTTAACCTGGCGCTTAGTGATTGGGCGCTGTAGTGGTTGTTGAGCTTCCCTAATCTTGCGAATAGTATCGTTCGCTAGATTTAGGGTTCTCTATAGCAATCTTGTTATGATGAAATAACCGGTCAAGATTGCGTTGCTGCCTAGGTGTAAGATCTTCTTGTTGATATCTAGCAATCTTCCTTTGATTCTTCTCTAGATCCTGTATAGATCTAGGCGGCGATTTGTCGATACTAGAAGAAGATATAGGTGGTGGTGAAGGTGTTGTATGAAGCGTTGAATGAAGCGGTTGTAGATCTGGCGCTATAAGACCTAGGTGATCTTGGATAGGAAGGCTATTAATAACCTTTCTACTATCGACTGGATATATCCCACGATCTTTAAACGATTCACGAATAATTCGCTGGCTAAACGCTCTATTCCGAATATCACCGATTATTCGAAGGAACTCTGATCTTCCGATAGGGCTTCTACCCCAAAACGCGTAGTCGTTATTCGCTAAGCGGAAGTGTTGCTTATAGCTTAGAAACGGCTTACCGTCTAGCGGCTGGCAAAGATGTGTAGTATGTAGTAGGAATCCTATAGGTAGGATATTATTCTCTTCGCAAAGGTATAGGAATTCGAATGTAAGATGCGAACCGTGACCGTCGAATATTAGGATACGTTTTTCACCTGATTTCGTACGGTCGCATGTTGATTCTATAAAGAATCGAAGCTATTGAACTGCTATACTATCGGTTATCCAACCGTTTAGCGATATAGTAATAGTAGTTCTTAGTGGTAGGTTCTCTGTTTGATTAAACCAAGATTCCATAAAGATGCCGTTGCCTTTAAAGATGAACCAGGGTTCCATCTGCCACCCGTCGGCAGCTATACACTCGATAGACGTAATATTTTCGCCTTGGTCTGGCTGAGGAAGGTCTACTATCTTCCTACTACTACTACTACTAGTAGTAGTAGTAGTAGTAGTAGTAGTAGTAGATATAACGTTTCTAGACCTTCCTTCGCCTGGTTGAAAGCCGCATTCATCAAAGTTATAGACTAGACGAGCAGGCGTTGTCTTCTTGATCGTTTGGGCTAGTAGATCGTACCAGTGCTGTAATGCTGCTGGATCTTCTGCTAGTATTCGCTTTGATTCCTTCGTATACTGCTTAGTAGGCCCTAATTGAAGATGTTTAGGAAGCCTATTAATAAAGCGATACGCCCACATCTTGCTAACCGACGGCTTCCCGACGCGTTGGCATGCACGATTCGCCCACGCTTCTAGTATCCTAGGAGTGATAGGCATATAGCAATCGTTCATATATTGAATCCAGCGAATCAAGGCTTCTTCTTGATAGGCTTCTAGGGCCTGTTTAGCATTGCGTTTAGCTGTATTAGGCCCTGATCCTTTTTTAACACGGCGATAGAGAGTGCTTTGATTAACACCAAATTCGCGTGCTAAACGCGCTATATTCGGCTTCTCAACGCGTGATGCAGCTAGGCAGGCCTCGGCCATACGAGATTCATCGAACTTAGGCATATTTAGATGGTGGTGTTGGATAGGGAAGCAAAAAATAGGAGATAGGAGAAAATTATGCGTCTGTGTGTGGTTATGCATCTGTGCGTGGCGCACCCACAACCCGGAAGGGTTGGGGGGGCGGTGTAAGGCACTAATAGTGCCCTGGAGCTAATTTCCAAGAGCCTAATTGGAAAGATTTTGCGGCGTCTATTGCGTGTACAGATCGAGATGAAGCGATTCATGGCAGCGAAAACACAACCAAGCGGCTTTGGGTAGTGGATAGTGGGGTGCCTAGGTGTTCAAATTTCCACTCGGCCAATTGACTCTCCACGATTGGCCTTTCAAACTTCGGGAAGATACTTTCAGCATACTGTTTTCGAAATATTGACTATCTGATCCTTCAGGAGATCTCTTCGGCTGACTTGATCGACTCTCCCTGAATTCCCTTCTCACCACTTCTTCAAAATCAACTCAAACAAGGTGTACTCAATGAATCAGCGGACGCCCAGTAGATATATACAGCAGTAGGCTCTGTCGCCATAGTTCTGGCGACAATTATACCTAGATTTACTTCCCTGTGATTTGAGAGGATGATCTACATGGTTTTTACATCCCTCTCAGCTAAGATCTTTGGACCCTGGACCGTGAAGTGGTTTTGGCCTGCTGCCTGGTCATAGTCGACCCACACTGGTTTACCCACCTGCTCCATAGATAGGGCCACTTAGATATTGCAACCTAGTAGCGTTGAGTGCGAGAGCGATAAAGGGATGTCCGTTTGTCCCGGGCGACACTGAAGGAAGCCCCCGTGAGAGGTTCGCTGTGGCCATACTGAATTGTGTATTCCTGTTCCCAAGTCAGTCAAAAAAGCGGATACCCCTATCTGAAATCCCCAAATAAAGCTCGATCATCGCCCGTCTCTTGGGCTGACTGGCAATAGGAGGGTGATCCTTGTTCAGATGAGACGGGAGAGGGTCCTGACTCGGATAAGAGGACCCATCCAGTTTACGCTTCCGAGACAGAACAGACTGCATGATGATACGACAACAAGCCTCCACTGGCCAAAGCTAAATCAATGCGACCATGATTCTGTCGCAGTTGGGGAACCATCTAGGTGATTACCTATAAAAATTCACAAAGGACAAACTTATCCTCGCAGGATTGAAACGATATGAATATCATTTTCGGAGGTACGGCCATTACAGTAAGATTCTGGTTTGGCTAGTTAGTAGTTGATCATTTTTGAGATTATCTCCTGTAGAAATTAGCTGTATTCCGGTGGCTTATTTTTTTTTTTTAATAACCGATACCAGAATAAAATTGTTTTCTTTGACAATGCGTCAATGGTGAATATGTCGAATTGAATATCGCTCAAAATATGGGCTGAGAGGTACAATTTCGGATGTATGGAGCGCGAACTCAGTGCCAGATCTAGCTTTGTAATTTCCGGGCTAGTCGAAGTTTGACCCCTAGATTTCTTGATATTGGATATCGGAGCAAGAGCTGACGAGCAAGAAATTTCAAGATATCTTAATCTGCTTCTTTTTTCTTTCTTTCTTTTTTTCTTTCTTTCTTTCTTTCTTTCTTTCTTTCTTACTTTGGAAACCTTTTCATGAACTGACAAACATAGATTTTTTTGTGACTGAGGAGATAAGTCCTATGAAATGGACTAAAATTTTAGCTTTTATCCTGGTTGTATATCGCTAGTATTTATTCGGGATATTTGCCATCATGGTAAATGAAGGCAGCCTTCTGGTATCCTGCTGGAATACTACGAGTCTCCGATAAGGGTTCCAGTCAATTGCAGATGCGAGAGCTGCGTGGAAATGCCACGTGCTTTAGGACTTAGTGCAACGCACAACCGTGGTCTCGTCCTTGTCACCATCTTCTAATCCCCCGTCCTCCAGGCGATGGCGCCCCGGCCGGGATCGAGTGCAACATGCCTGACACGAAGCTTTTCCAGATCTCGTTTTTGTTCTGCAGACGAAGCTTTTTACGGCTGTCATATGGTTTGCCTTCGCCCGACTCGGTCATCTGCTGCTCGGCCTTCGAGCATGTAGCGATTTGAGCTGTGGTCTGATCTAATTCGCGGTCTTCCTATAAATAGCCTTCCTCTTCGTAGATAGCACGACTAGCTCGATACAGTACTTGGCGCAGGTCCACCTGGATTCATGTACTGTAGTTCACCGTGGCCCTTTTTTTGTTTTTCATGTGTTGGCGGGGAAGGGGCGGCCTGCTGATTCGGGGCCCTTCAGCTGCAAGGACAACGCATCAGTTGGTCCGTGTGCGGTTCCGTTTATTTATGCCCGGCAAACGCCAGCGTGTCTGCCATCTTGTTTGCTACTCGGACTTTTGAAATACAATCTTCACGCCAGTGACCGCAAGGCCCATTCCCACCCTTGAAATTTCCTTGAAAGTCTGAGAAACACCCCGCATAAGGCTATCAAACACAAAATCAATCAAGAACAGAGAGATATTATGAGATCAGAGATCAGCAATATGCTGCAAAAATGCGACTGAACTGCAACCAAAGAGGAAACTAAAAAAAAAAAAAAAAAAAAAAAAAAACAGGTGATATATTGCTCATTTACCGCGGAATGATGAAGATCGTTTTGATTGGGAGAACTGGCACCGGGCCTCCGATCCCAAATTGCATGCTCCCAAGCTGAAAGAAGAAAGAAAGAAAAGGAAAAAAAAAACGAAGAAAAAATCGAGCGGAAACAAAATCCGCATAAAGTCGTTGACATCGTCACATCTGGGGGCTGCGAGCCAAAAAAAAAAAAAAAAACAAAAACGCTAGGAGTCTACGGGATATAAACACGCTCTCCAAAGAAGGGAAGGAAATGAAAAGTCCCCCAAAAAAGCAGAGGCAACAGGAAATATCGCTCTCAACGGCCGAATGGAGGAATCAAGATCAGAAAAATAAAAGAGGAGAAAAATGAAAGCAAAAGGGAGAGGACGATGATTCGAGTCCTGGGTGATGCTGATCGCAGGGCAAAAATTATACGTTTCATCGGCTCGCACGGGCGATAAGCCAGTGCAAGACCGCATCTAGGTTAGTTTCCTCCTTTGCACTGATCCCGTAGCAACTGACTTCACGGTGGGTGATGGCTCTGAGATTCATCGCATCGATCAGCTCGTCGACTGAGAGCTTGACCGGCAGATCTGACTTGTTGCCCAGCACCAAGAGCGGAATACCATCGAGGGTGGGCTTGTTCATCAGCTCATGCAGTTCCTCGGTGGCGGCCGGCAGGGCATCTTGATCAGCTGCATCCACGATGTATCTAATTATCTGCGATCAGTACAGAGACTTTGCGCTTGGCCGCGAGCGATGTAATCGGATCTTACACGATCGCATTGACACCCCGGCAGTACCGCTCCCACATTGGGCGAAATCGAGGCTGGCCACCCAGATCCCAACTACGAACCCAGCGACAGTTAGTTTACCTATGCCCTTGCTCGCGACGCCATGAGGAGACGGGAGGGAGGGAAGGAACCGATGGGATGATCCTACCATTTGAGGGTCACATGGCCTTTCTGGACTCGTTTGGTGTTGAACCCGATGGTCGGAATGGAACTAGGACAGGGGTTGTGAGCAGACGACAACGAAGCACCGCCGATGTGGGAGCGACCTACTCGACCGTGAATTCCCCGCCCTGCGCACAAGAAGATCAGCAGACGATTCGGAGTTATGTATGCGGAGGCGGGGCGAATCATGAAAAGGGGCCAGGGGACAAAGACATAGGAGAAGGGGGGGGGGGAAGTAAACCTACCGCCAGCACGCGCAGCAAGGAGGATTTGCCGGCATTTTGCAGGCCGATCATGGTGACATCCATCTCCGTCGCCCTGCAGGAGAACAGGCCCTCCGGTATTAGCAGGCTTCATCTGCGGGGACGGGCCGGGAGCTGGTCTCCCGAGAACCGTCGGCGACGGCCCACTTACCAGAACATCCTCAAGAGCCAGTCATAGATGGAGCGAAAGATCCCGGCCATGTTGGGCTAGTTTGGGGGCAGGCGGAATTTCTAAGAGGAAACGAGAGCGCGAACGAGGACGCTGGCGGCGGACTCGGGCGGTTCAGGTGCCCGGGTTTCCCAGGTCCAGCGGTGTCGAGGCGATGACGCTGGTTTCCCGATCTCCAGGCGGGATCCAGAACAGATGCACAAACCCAATACCCAATACCCAATACCCACGTAGAAAGCGAAGCACGGAAGAGGGCGAAGGGAAAGAAGGGGGATTCGGGGAGGAGTTCAAAGCAGATTGTGGGCAGCGACCAGCTCGGAGTGGGGTCGCTGCGAGGCGCGATACAAGGGCTTTGTTGGCTTGGGGTGGTTTTGGTTGGCTTCGTTGGCCGGCGGAAGGAGAAGTTCGGAGGTTGGAGGTGGACGCGGCTAAACACGACGTTTGAAGGTGGAAGTCCTGGAAGTCCAGATGCCAAAACCCGGAACACACGAAAACCAAAACCCCCACTCAGAACAAAAACCCAGGGACGGGGAGGGGGAGGAAAAAGAAAAAGGGACCTGAGCGCTATTTGACAATATGCCCTTGAACGGCGCGTAGTAGGATGGAAATACTCGAGATCTACGGGCACACATGACCGCTGCCGTTTGAGGGGCGCTTAGGCTCGCGGCCTGACGTAGCGCAGTCACGGCGCATGCAGAACGCACCCAGAACCCGGAGTTCACTAGCGCTTCAATCGGCCAGGATGAAGCCTAGAGGATCGAGCGGTCGAGGCTGACGGAGAGGCTGAGTGGGGTGGAGGGCAAGGGCGGCGGGAAAGCCCGCGATCTAGGACCGCCTGTGCACTACGAGTAACCCAGCTTCGTTCCGATTCCCCCCCCCCGGAGATGGTTGACGCCCGCGATACACACAATCCACGTCGAGCGTCGAGTCTCTGGATGACCCGGTTTTACTTCAAAGTCCCCAAATGCCAAGACTGCCGTTCAGATGACTAAGCCATCGGCCCTGTTCCTGCCTCAGGCTTTAAGAGTCCCATATCTCCACGTGATGATAGCACCGGCTCCACCTCGAAAAATTTCCCCAAGAAGTAGCCCATCTTTGCTCTCAGCAAGCTGCCATTGCCAGCGCAATTCCCTCGGTTCTTTGTATACCCCCTTGGGAGGCTGCGGCAGAAGGGCTCATTGCTTTCGTCGCCCGTGTTCCCCTCCAACTGCTCACGAGGGCCGCCCCGAAGACGACAATTCCGATTTTTCCCCTTTTTTTTTCTCTCTCTCTCCCTCTTCGACTACTAGTGCTGGACCAGGTCCGCGAGCTCCCCAAGCATGGCTCCTGCGCCCACCGACACCAAGTGGTCGGTTCAATTCGACTCCTTGCGACGAGAAAACCTTTTCAAGAACCCGCCCAAGGATCAAACCGCGTACCCGTCACTGGCCGAATCCATCAAGCCCCATGTCGACTCGTTCAATGCTCTCTTTGAAGACAGCAAAATTCTGGAGGCCGGTCTCAAGGATATCGGCATCAAGTCTTTCCTCGACGGCGAACCCGAGACCCCTGAACAAAAGAAAGCTCGCCAGGCGGAAGGCCGCCGCGCCCCGAAGCGCAACCGTCTGAATGTTCGCGTGAAAGAAGTTTTTCTGGAGAAGCCGACCCTGCCGTCTACCAACAAGTTCAGCCACAAGAACCGCAATATCTACCCTTCCGAGTGCCGAGAGCGACACTCGACCTACCGTGGCAAGCTGCGCGCGCGTCTTGAGTACCAGATCAACAATGGAGACTGGATGGAGTCGGTGCGCGAGCTGGGTCAGGTCCCCATAATGTTGCGCACCAACCGCTGCCACCTCGAAAAGGCGACTCCGGAGGATCTCGTCACGCGCAAGGAGGAGTCGGAGGAACTGGGTGGTTACTTCATTGTCAACGGTAATGAGAAGCTGATTCGAATGCTGATCGTCGGCAAGAGGAATTTTCCCATGTCGATTATCCGTGGGTCCTTCGTCAAGCGTGGTCACACTTACACCAAGTTCGGTGTGCAAATACGATCGGTTCGGCCCGATCAGACTTCGCAGACGAACGTGCTGCACTACCTTTCGGACGGTAACGTGACCTTCCGTTTCTCCTGGCGCAAAAACGAGTTTCTCATCCCTGTGATGATGATCCTGAAGGCACTGGTCGAGACCAACGATCGCGAGATCTTTGAGCACCTTGTCGGCAGTGCCACCTCGAAGGGCATGGAGAACACCTTCGTGACGGACCGTGTCGAGCTTCTGCTCCGAACATACCAGGCCTATAACAAGCACAGCCGCTATGACTGCCGAGCTCACCTGGGTAAGTGCTTCCGACCTGTTCTTGGTGTGCCCGCCGACATGTCCGACGAGGACGTTGGCACCGAATTTTTGCGCAAGGTCGTTCTCCCTCACCTGGGCAACCACAACGTCACAGAAACCCAGGACTATGATAAGTTCAAGATGATCATCTTCATGATCCGGAAATTGTACGCTCTGGTTGCCGGCGACTGTGCTCCTGACAACCCTGACGCGGTTTCCAACCAGGAAATCCTGCTCGGTGGGTTCCTGTACGGCATGATCCTGAAGGAACGTATTGAGGAGTGGCTGCGGTCTTTCGGTCCCATTGCCCGTGACTGGTCCATGCGCAACAACGGCGCTAGGTTCTCAGACCCTTCATTCGAACGGGATTTCTTGTCCAAGATTGTGAAGCGGTCCAACGAGAACATTGGCAATGCCCTCGAGTACTTCCTCTCTACCGGCAACCTGGTCAGTCCCACTGGTCTTGATTTGCAACAGACATCTGGTTATACCGTCATTGCCGAGAAGATCAACTTCTATCGATTTATCAGTCACTTCCGCATGATTCATCGTGGTAGTTTCTTCGCTCAATTGAAGACAACCACTGTGCGTAAGCTGCTGCCTGAGAGTTGGGGTTTCCTTTGCCCGGTTCACACTCCTGATGGTTCTCCCTGTGGTCTGCTGAACCACTTGGCGCACAAGTGTCTGATTTCCACAGACAATTTGGAGGTCTCTCACTTGCCCCGAATCCTCGTTCAACTTGGCGTACAGCCCGAGTCGTCGGTTGCAGTCGAGGATAGTGTCGTTGTCCAGCTGGACGGCCGTATCATCGGTTTCTGCTCGCCCAAGCAGGCCCAAAAGATCCATGACACTCTTCGCTACTGGAAGGTATCTGGAACAAATGACATTCCTCGTGGATTGGAGATCGGATACATTCCCAACAGCAACGGTGGGCAATACCCTGGTATCTACATGTTCTCCCAATCAGCGAGAATGTATCGACCCGTCAAGTACCTCGCCCTGGATGAGCTGGACTACGTTGGTCCCTTCGAGCAGCCGTTCATGGAGATTGCCTGTGTTGAGAATGACCTGATCGCCGGCGTATCCACCCACATCGAATTCACGCCGACCAATATTCTCTCCATTGTGGCCAACATGACTCCCTTCTCCGACTATAACCAGTCTCCCCGTAACATGTACCAATGCCAAATGAGCAAGCAGACCATGGGTACGCCCGGTACCTCGATCGCCTACCGTACAGATAACAAGCTGTACCGCTTGCAGACCGGTCAGACGCCGATTGTGCGGCCACCGCTGTACAACGCCTACGGCCTGGACAACTTCCCGAACGGTATGAATGCCATCGTGGCCATTATTTCCTACACCGGTTACGACATGGACGACGCCATGATTATCAACAAATCCTCTCACGAGCGCGGCTTCGGTCACGGTACTATCTACAAGACCAAGGTGCACACTCTGGCTGAGCGTGACTCGCGCCGTAGTAAGTCTAAGCGTGAAGTCTCTAAGCTGTTCGGCTTCGCGCCGGGTGATGAGGTCAAGGCCGAAGTTAAAGCTATCATCGATAGCGACGGCATGCCGCATGTCGGTATCCGGGTTAAAGAAGGTGATAAGATTGCAGCTTACCACAACGTGCGCTACGATGCCTCAACGGACTCGTACGTCAACGTCGATGGAGTTACACATTTCCTCAAGTACAAGGACGCCGAGGCCGGGTACATCGAGAGCATCCGCCTCATGGGATCAGAGAACGGCAATGAGCCGATCCAATCGCTCAGCGTCAAGTACCGCATCCCTCGTAAGCCTATCATCGGTGACAAGTTCTCCTCGCGTCACGGTCAGAAGGGTGTTTGCTCGCAGCTCTGGCCTGCCGTTGATATGCCCTTCTCCGAGAGCGGCATGCAGCCCGATTTGATTATCAACCCCCACGCTTTCCCATCTCGTGAGGATCTCCCTTCTCCCTGACATCATAACCTCTTGACCACAGACTAACAGTTCTCCAGGTATGACCATCGCTCAGATGATCGAATCCATGGCCGGCAAAGCCGGCGCTCTACACGGCCACCCGCAAGACTCAACCCCATTCCAGTTTTCCGAAGAAAACACCGCAACCGACTACTTCGGACACCAGCTCCGCAAGGCTGGATACAACTACTACGGTAATGAGCCACTTTACAGTGGCATCACGGGCCGCGAGTTCGCGGCTGACATCTACATGGGTGTCGTGTACTACCAGCGTCTGCGTCACATGGTGAACGACAAGTTCCAGGTGCGTACGACGGGTCCCGTCAACGCGCTGACTGGCCAGCCCGTCAAGGGTCGTGCCAAGGGAGGTGGTATCCGTGTTGGAGAGATGGAGCGTGATTCGCTCATTGCCCACGGTGCTGCCTTCCTGCTGCAGGACCGTCTGATGAACTGCTCTGATGCCCAGCACGCCTGGATCTGCCGTGACTGTGGCTCTTTCCTCTCCACCCAAGTCGCGGTCTCCGGATCAGGCACGTCCCGTCGCGCCGCCCTAAATCCCGGCGCTGCGGCCGCAGCCGCTAAGGCCGCGCCGAACCAGCAGAAGAATGCAGCGGCGAGCGCATCTGGCGGTGCTCTCGGCGGTGTTGCCGGTATTGTGCGCTGCCGTCGTTGTGCCCGTCAGGCATCCTTCATGGATTCCCGGGCTGAGGCCTGGGAGGATGGTGATGGACTGCGGTATATCGGTGGTGATAATGTTACTGTTGTCGCTGTGCCTGGTGTGCTGCGATACCTGGATGTTGAGCTTGCGGCTATGGGTATCCGAATGAAGTTTTGGGTGGACAATTAAGGCTTTGTGGGTCATAGTTATGCTGCTGGTATATGCCGGGCTCATCTGAGTCCACCTGATGCTGAAGTATCTGAAAAATTTCCTCTTTTTTTTGTGTCTTACATGTCATAGATGGAGCGTCTGCCTGGTTTGAGTTATATTTCTTTGCTTTTCTTTTCTAATCTGTTCATATTTGTACACACCTGTACGAACTGATTTCAATATATCACGCCTTTCAAAATAATCCCTGTGCTTCGCTTAACTGTATTATGACGGCATGTGAATTGAGGCTGAAAACGCCGGCCACGCTGGCACAATCCACTTGACCTGTTGATCAGCCCCGCCTTACAAGTACTGACAAGGGGCCTCTTCGCGTCATATTTGCTCGTGTCTTTGCAACTTCTCCGCACCATCCAGTCCTGCCGGTTGTCTCGATGGAGAACACGCCTAGGAGGACGCCTACAGGGCCACCACAAGCTGGGTCTGGAGCAACCTCCCCAAAGAGCTCTACTTCAGCGTCTCCGGCAAACTATACTCACAGCCCAGTCAACCATCAATCCGCACCAGGCGGCTCCGACCAGCCAGTCCACCTGTCCAGCTCTGCGTTTCCTCCGCGATATATTCCCAAACCCAGTCCCTTTGTGTTATCTGGCTCGGTCGGACCAAATCGTGCGATATCTTCGCCGCAGACCCCGAATTCTGCGCAGTCTGGTAGCTTCCAACATCCTACGGGGGCAGGTCTAGAGCCTTTACCGCCTGGTAATAGGTTTCCGCCTAGACAGGTAATACATGCTGCGCCCGAAGTGGAAAAATCAGGACGATGGCCATGGCAATGAGGTCAAAAAAGAGCTACGTACTGAGGCGCAATACTACGGATCTATGGATGGTAACGACTGTCTCGTTTTACAGGGCGGGGGAGCTTCTGGAAGTAAATTGGCACCAGAACAAGACAAACAATATTCACCGCCGGGTTCCCATGCAGGATAACAGAAAAATGATTAAACAGATCGAGTAAGTAATATAATTTGATTCCAAAGCCAGAGAGCGCTGATTCAAGTTCGAAATATTCATCAGACCCGACGAGTACGGCCTATAGCTGGCATTTGCAAACCATTGAATCAAAGAGACAATTCATGTCCATTTGATGGCGGGAAATTATTGATATTGCGTCCCATCTGAGAATTGATGCGAATATCGACTGTTCTTCAAGGAATGTGAGGGTAAAATTAAAAGCGAGAATGAGATCCGGTATCGGTTCAGTCATTAAATAGTCGTGATTTTACGTGCCTAATTAAAATCGAGTGCCTGGCATTCTCAGGTCTGAAAGGACCTGTTCAAAAGAAACCCTCCCCTAAGCGACCGAAGTATTGATTGTGTCTATTGTATTGGTTCTGAATATCTTATTTGTAAATACTTGAGTCTATTTTTTAGAAACCCAACATGTCGTGCATTCATGGTGTTTTCATCCAGTTCTATACCTATCAGTCTATACCTATCAGTCTCTTCGCTCGATATTTTTCTTTCACTTTTTCTGAGCCACAGGAGATGCCGGGTTCCTTCTCTTGCACTCAGGAAGCAGAGAGAGCACTAGACTTTAGTCCGCCATGTGAGGGGCGACGCTGACCCAATGCGATGCACTAGTCTAATGTAGCAGGATGTCGATCAGCCCAGACCCCACGGTCGAGCGCTAGTTAGAACGAGGTACTTTTGTTGAGTCACGACTAGCTTGCCTTTCCCCCGCTTCATCAACCATCAAGCAGCGATGGATTCAATAGGAAAGGGACGCAGTCCCAACATGCTGCAGAGACCAGCCTCTGGCGCAGAGCTTGCCGGAAGCCCGACTCCGATAGCAAATGCGGACTCATCTAACGATCCCCCGGACTTCGACGTCGCTGTGAACGACTCCGATCAACCAATCCAGTTATCTGGAAGTACCCGAGGTTCTGTATTTCCCCCCAAATATACGCAAAATGCCAGCAGTTCTCGCGGAAAGTCCTACCAGCAGAGCCGAACGGCACAGCTTGCCGATGCACGGAATATACAAGAGGCTTCTTCGTGGACGCGGGGCATTCCTGATATGCAACAGGAAGCAAGTACCGACATGCCCTCGTTCGTCAGACCAGTTAGACCGGGCGCCGAAAGTCCGGCGCCCAGCAGCTGGGTCTCACCACATAGAATACCCACTGCAACCCAGAATTCTCCTGCAGCGATGGGAACTCAACATTATCAAGGCCGGGATCCGCGTGAGGGGCAACCACGTTTGGTTCAGACATACCCCGCGAACTATTCGCATGTAAGGGAGGTGCATCCAGCTCCGATGCAGATGCAGCACGATGGCTATGTGCAGACACAGCAGACACAGCAGACACGGCTTGCGCAGGCGCAGGAGACCTATTATCATGCTGTGCCTACGGATAGGCACACATTGAGACAAGATCAGACTGATCATTCGCGCAATCCACGTTCGGTACAACAGCCGTTCTTCGACCAGCAACCTCCCATCCAGCACCCGCCTGCGAATCCCACACAGCGATACCAGTATTGATCGGAGGCGATGACAGATCCGGCATGATAGCTGCACTGTCATTACAAGTAGGATGTAATGGACACCCAAGCACAAACGACAGATTCAGATGAAACAGCGCAAGCAATGATGATCAATGGCTTTACAGAATTTTCGGTAGGTTGAAATTTGGATAATGATTTTTGGAGGCAGTTGACCTGATTTTGCGCCGGTTTCAATTCGATTTTGCAATTCTCTTTGGCTCTTCGTTTTCATCAGTTGGCATTTTCGCAGATTTTATATCTGCACATACGTCTTGGAATCTCTACTTTTGTTTTCCTCGTTGCGTGAGCTTGTACTTTGAAATTCTTCATTTTTCACGACTGAGTGATAATAACCTGAAAATCATATGAATTGATAATTTCAAGTTACAACAGTACATCGTTTATCTGCTTTAGCAAGACGATGGTCCAGTTATCTCTTTATCAAGCTTGGACCTAGTCAATGGAGTCCTATCCTATTGACCATTTGGTTCCAGCCATATAGGGGCATCGGTTAGACTCCGGTTGATCAGGCACGGAATTAATGGCAACGTGGGTCAAAATCCTTAGGCGTTGACATCCTATTGATACCTACCCAGCTTCGCTGTGACTTCCAGATATGATTACCCACATAATATTTGGGGGCCATTCCTCGGCATACGGCGATAAATCCGGATCTAAAACTTTCACAGGCGTAGTCCCCCGACGATCTGGCCTGACATTGGCCCTCAATATGGGGCCAAGTCGATCATTAGATATCCTGTACGAAGAATCCGACTCACATGATTGCTCCACGGCACAGCTCATAAAGACCTTCAATCCAACACGCAGCAATGGCACACAACATATCTCTCGATATTGACACTGCAACAATTCGACGATATGGGCGAGACCTATGATTATATCATCTGCGGAGGTGGCACTGTGGGATGTGTTCTCGCATCTCGGCTCTCCCACAGTGGGCACAGCGTGTTAGTCGTTGAGGCCGGACCCGAGGACTACAATAAGGAAATCATGAGTCCTGTCGCAGCTCCGCATCTTCACGGCACTCGTTTCGAATACAACATGATGACTTCCAATCAACCTGGACTGGGAAATCGCTGCATTCCGAACTACGGAGGCAAACTGCTATCAGGCTCGAGTGGTATCAACTACGGTCTTTGGACCCGCGGCCACTCAGTCGACTATGACTCCTGGGCGAAGTTAGCCGGGGATGACAGATGGAATTATGCAAACATGCTCAAGTATTTCAAAGTGACACAGTCTCACCATGATCCTGACGGCAGTCCAGAGAAGTATGGGTTTGGTGGTCCTATCTCGACAACAGCCGAAGCTTGTACATATCCGCTACGAAAGACCATCCGTCAGGCAATGCTGGATGCTGGCCTCGAATATAACCCAGATACAAACGGGGGCAATCCATTTGGGTTTGGTCCATTCACAGAGAACTGGAAGAATGGTCAACGGCAACCGGCCAGCAAAGCCTATGACCTTTCAAAAGCGGCAATTCTGACAGATACCGTCGTCGCTCGTGTTGATTTCGATGACTCCAAGACAGCTGTAGGTATCACTTTAACGGATGGAACCAGATACATGGCCACCAAGGAAGTCCTTGTCACATGCGGTGCTCTCAAGACACCCCAATTGCTGATGCTTTCTGGTATTGGGCCCCAATCGCGTCTCGCGCAGCACAACATTCCAACTATCGTGGATTTACCGGTTGGGGAGAACTACCACGATAAAATATCGACAACGTTCTTCTGGAAACTCAAAAATCCAGAAAAGGGATACGCACTCGGGTCCCCAGCTTTTAACAGGCCCGAGTTCAGAAACGGCAATCCTATAGAATGGCTTGCAACGATTTCTACTCCACATGAGGAGCTAGTCAAGGCCGCACAGGTAGATGGGCTCGACGCAAGAGATCCATGCCTCCAGGAGCCCCGAGGAAACGTGGAGATGATGATAGCCTACGCGCCAATTGCTGGTGGAGGATCCGAATTCCGGGTCCCTTTCGACGGAAACCATATCAGCAGCCCCGTCGTGCTTCTTCTCCCGACCAGTCGAGGCAATATTACCCTCGCCAGCACGGATCCCATGGCCGACCCGATATTGAACCCGGCCTATCTCAGCACAGAGATGGATCGGGCCACAATGCGCGCGGGTATGCGGCTCGCCCTGCAGGTGATGGAGACAGATGCTGCTCGGGAGGTCGTCGAGGGCGAGACTCCGCCACCAGGTCACGAGCCACTGACTAGCGCATGCACAGACTCGGACCTGGACCGGCGGATGCAGATTGTGGGGAGTAGCTTTTTCCAAAATGGAGGAACAGCCGCGATGGGTTCGGTGGTTGACACCCAGTGCCGAGTTAAAGGCGTCCAGAATCTTCGCGTTTGTGATGCTAGTGTGCTCCCTGTGCCGTTGGCAGGTCATTACCAGGCACCGATGTATGCTTTTGGAGAGGCCGTAGCGCAGATGCTACTTGAATAGTGGAGATGGATGTCTTCTAGATTTCAGTCAACTTTGCGATAGCATGGGATATCATCGTCAGAAAGTAAATGTACATGAATGAGACACAACTTGGAGACATACGATGTGCGTATATCAGGCAAGTAAGTAGTTGCCTGAGAGTTACACCACTATCCCTCTAATATCAAAATCCGTGGATTTTGATATCAAGCTAGTTTCATAAACAGGTCTGTTGGCTGAAAGATTGCTGGAGAAATCCACCGTGTATGATATACATAATAAGTCCCAATACGTTTGGTTTTGGTATTAGAGTTTTCTTCGGCAGTTGTATTGCAGATGAAAGTATACTTCCTAGAGCTTAACTACGTTTTCACCGAAGTCTTTCAGAAACCCCCATTGTAGATCACTCTTCCCACTACTGCTCTTCCAATTGTTGATTTTCCCAGGAAAAAAATCTATTTTCCCAATCAGCGACGCGTCGTGTCCAATGACCACTAAAATATCCTCATTGCCATCAAAACCGCAAAGTTTTCGTATCGAGTCCTTCGCTGCTTTTTCATCCACTGTTGCTTCCACCGGCATTTCATAGAATGGTGTTTCACAGCTCTTCTTTGGGTGGATGTCATGGTAAAAGGATTGCGGACAACAGTTCAGAACAGAGTGTGCCCTACTATCGAGAGGGACCAGTGGCGTTGGTCGGATCACTCCAGGATAGTGGCAGATATCTCCACCTAGAAAGACGAATGTGTCATTTTGAGGATGCTCGTACGGGGATCCAGAAGTAAAGTGGGAACTTGAGGTTACTCTCGCTAGTGCCGCAAGATGTCCGATTGTATGCCCAGGAGCGTTGAGTAAAAAAAAGCTTCCATCTCCGAAATAGTCTATGGCCTGGAATTCACCAATTGAAATTCCGGTAGAACTATGGCTGAAGCATAATTCCTGGATTGCATGTTCCTTCCAGTCCCGGTCAATCAGAGAGGATCCAGTATTGATAGGCCACCCTGGTAAATATGTCTCTTGGAAGCCTGGTCCCACTATGAGTTTGGTTTCCTTCGGTAATTGGCTTAGATCGCCTAGATGATCAAAATGATGGTGGCTCAGAATGACTGCCTCAATGTCGTTCAGATTGATGTTGTTCTCTTTCAGTATGTCTGTGACATTTTTCGCCACGGTCAAATCCCAGCCAGATTCGGAGAGGAAGGTCTGAACTGCAGGCGGCAATGCGGACACATCCTTTCGAAGACCCAAGTCGAATAAAATCATTCTCTTTGTGGAATGATGCTCTACGAGGAAAGAGAAAGATGGCAGGTTGAGCGTTTCATGCTGCTCAATGGATGGGGTGAGGAGGTGAGAACATGGCAGCCGCATGCGAGTGCTTAACAATTTTTATTAGTTGAAATATCTGACATAGGGATGCAAATTTTTGGAGCCTTGAAAATGTTGAAAGATATAGACCTCTTTGGAGATTAATACGTACTTGTCGATGACTGAGACATTCACCGTCGAACCACGCGGGATCTGCAGAGGCGGATACTCTGATCGATGCATCAAAAACGTATGCTGGGCTATTTCTGTTATCGAGGACAGCGTCAAAAGCAAGAGAAAGCAGTTATGAATGAATCAATCGCCAATCTACTAAATGAGTCATCATATTAGAGATCTGGGGCATCTTGGAGATAGAATGACTCATTTACTTCAGACGCGCCTGGAAGTTCTTGTGGGATCTCAATCAAATACTTCTAGAGCCAAACTCGGATTGCTTATCCTCAATCTGATCTGATCAGAGTTAATACTTTGATGAATAAAGAAATCTCGAAAGGCGGCAGCAATTTCTCTTTCACTAAATATCACAAGACCCGGGGTCTTCGAACAATCAACTGTGTTTCGTTCCTCCACTCCACTTTCAACCCCGCATTCCGGCTCTCGCAGTTCTGCTCCGAATATATCGGGGTAATAGCGCATCGATGTCTTGCATGCTTTCGCATGTGGACTACAGACCATGACCCTCTTGCCACCATGCCCTCGACAGAATTGGTGACCCCTATTTCTGGGCCTCGAAGTCCTACTTCGTCCTAATCTAAGAGGAGAGAGCGGGATTTTCGTCGCTCTCGCAGATGCTGATAGGTCGCCGGAGAGACAAGTCGGGAAATTTCGCCGCAAACCTTCCTCGTAGCCCGGAATGCCGTGCTCGCAAGATCATATGTGATGAGAATCGGCCCACTTGCACCGAGCGTTTGAATAGTGGGCTTGAAGGCAAGTTCATCGACGGTCTTTTTCGTCCACACGCCTTTTCCTTTCCCACCGTTGTATCTCCCCGGGTCAAAAGTTTCCCTGAAGCACATTCTTCGGGGGAGCTACGCCCTACTCAGGACTTATCAAAGCCCCGGATATCATCCGTGCAACCGAGTAGGTTAAGCACCCAGCCCCGTCGCTGCTGCCCGACCAACAGCAAGCAGTAGCAAATGAAAAAAAAAAAAAAAAAAAAAAAAAAATCACTAACTTCTTCGTGCATTAAGTGGTTACACGACAACCATGTCGATTAAGTCCAAATGATGTTCCCTTTGGCAAAAAATGGGTCTTCCGCTGAACTACACGGGGCAACTGGTTCTTCAATGCATCGAGGAGCCAAACCAAGAGACCGTATTCTTCCAGGCTCTTATTCGGTTACTGTGCAAATTAGTTACCCAGCAATATGGTACCTCATCCAATTGGGCTGAACTTGATCTGGAGTTCACACAATGGTACCAAGCATTGCCCCCCAGAGCTCTTGGTCCCAATAGGCCAACCCCTTCCCGCTTCTCTGAATGTCTCTCAAAATTCATCAAAACTCGAGGCTTAGTTTAGGTCAGAAACAATTGCTATCGCCATTCTGTATTACCATATGGCAAGAATCATATTGCGGGGGAGTCAACCACAAGAACTATTTTTTTCTATGCAGCCAAACAAACCGCATGATTTTCTTAGCTCCTATAACTTGTTACAGAAAACCCTTCATCAGCATGCAATGGAGATCATTTCCATTGCGCCAGGGGGATGCCCAATGTCAGGGTACAGAAAAATATGACTCAACTACTATATATGGCTGGACGATGTTTGTTATGCTCTAATGGGCGACCAACTGTTGTTCAATTGCTGAAACAAATTGAAGAACGTCTTGATGTATTCACAAAATACCGATTAAGATATCTTGCAGAGGAATGGGGTACCCCCTTCGAGTCGATATAACAGTTTTGACATGTTTCCACCGGATTCCAATAACACGAGATATTCTAATTATAGAGAAATAGTTTTTTTTATTCCAATCCCAACAGTTTGTTCATCTCAACCGCATCACTCTCGGCAAGGTTCATTAGATCAGCAACAGGCTCAGAACGGTGAGAAATAAAGACATAATTGGTTCCAAAGGGTTTTCTAGCATCGAATCTGAGCCGCATGATATGGATACCAATGACGATTTTCGCACTGTAGGACTTCGCAACAGCCCGCTATGGGATTGAGGCTAACATATTTATCGATGGTGGATACATTGCTCAGTAAAAGGTATACAAAATAGCACTATCGGAAATACAAAAAGAGCGAGTCCCTCTCATCAACCTCTACGTAATGGGGTTTAAGCAATCGACATCGTGCTCGCCGTGGTCGCAAAGAATATGTGTGGTTCGGATCAGGCTTTATCCTATGATTATTCGCGTTCACTGCAAGCGCCGGGCATCCGCTGGTCCAGTTTGAGGATCTCTTGGACAGTGCAGAGAACTCCAGATTCTTGAGCGAAGAAATCATTTAGTCTACACCCAGGTTTTCCATACTACCAAGAAAAAAAATTTCAAATCGAAATGAAGTTATAAAAGACCCATGTTAAATCCTAGCATCACGATTCAATAATACAAATCTACGTGCCCCTCACAACTCAGAAGTGACGTTCGAGAACTCGCCACGCTCCAGCTTCGTCTTCCAGAAAATGGGGTTCATATCGTCGAAACCATGGTGCACCCAGCCCTCTTCCTTGACGTGATAGCAATTGATGAAACCACCTGAGTAGGCGTCACGGTGCATGGCAGCCAAAATAGCCCGACGGCCCAGGTCCAACGCCTCCTGTTCGGTCAAGTCGTACCGGTAGTTGGCGTCGAGCACACCGTAAGCGAACGTTTGACCGGATCCAACACAGAACAGGTTGCCGGGCAATCGGGTGCCATCCGAGTCGATATAGTAGAGCGCGGGTCCTTCTTGGGGGGTCACCTATGAGAAACGAATATTAGATATGGACCGTGCATTTTGGGGGTAATATCTTATTGGTGCAAGCCATACTCCTGCAAGCATAGTTCCCATGCTCAAGCCGTAACCTTTGTAGGCGTAGGTCAGGTTGGCGAGGATCTTGGAGGCAGCGGCGACGGTGATTCGGCGCTTGTGTCGGATTTCTACAGCCATGTCAGCAAGCCATGTTCCGTGACTTTGGTGTGTCGAAACGCCTGGTGGCGCGTTGTACTTACCATGGAGGGTGCACTGTTGACTCAAATACCGCAACCAATATTGGCAATCCTATCGATTAAATCCCATGAGCACCTCAGCCATCTCTTAGAAAACATGTCTTCTCGCCCAGGCACTTACCGCCGCACCACCAGCCATCGTGCCTAGAAGACCCGGGGTGGGATCATTTGTGGGTTTGTCCTCGCCGCGGCTCAGCCGCGACACGGGAATGACCTTCTTCACTGTCTGACTGGCGATCCAGTTTCCGGCGGTTGCTCGAGAATCAGTGCACACAATCTGTTAATCACAGAGTAAGAATTATCAGTATATTGTTTTGATTCGTCAGCTATTATGCAGCAGGAAAGAGAGCGTACGATGCCGCCTTGGAATCGGAAGGCCAGGGTTGTTGTTCCGTGGGCAAGCTTGATCGGGCAGCTAGGGTTGGAGTGGTCATCGGTCATAGCACGGAGGAAGGCAGAAGACTAGATAATGCGAGGAAAGACACAGGTCAGCGATAGATCTCGGGCTGATAGGTTGGTTGGGGTGGTCGGAGCTCCGCTCGCCGCCGCATCGCTGCGAGGCCATCATGGGGGTCGGAGCGGCTTGAGGGACTCGAACAAAGCCACCTTGTTGAACCCTCATCGAATCCAAAATGAGGACAAATATGTCTTGACGGTGAAAAGAGGACTCACGTTGTCGACAGGAGGCAGACTGAACTTGAGGGACAACGGAGGGAGGCTCTCCGTAAGGTCCTGTTGCTCTTGCTCTGAGAAGAACTCATTCTGATGGGGCGGGCGTGAATATTGGGCAACAAGCTTGTCCATGATGTGCGAATTAAATAGAAAGTTGGAATCGGAAGAAAAGGAGTATTGGTAGGGGGGTGAATGAAGAACGAGTCGCAGGTTTCGTGATGGAGATGAAGCTCCGCTGGAGCTTGGGAGTTCCGCGTCACTTCGGGCGCCTGGAGTCACGTGAATGGACATTATAGGTACAACCGATTCGCATAAACTCAACAACTCGACTAACATACATCGTTTCCCGTATTTCCAACAGTATTAACTAGAGCCAGTCTCCCCTGACCAGGCGCCATTTCTGTCAAAAGGCGCACTAACATATAAATTCCCCCAAACAGTGAACAAGTTTACACAGGACCACGAGACATGGCTACAGTATGTCAATACAATTTATTGCGGCACCAACAGCTCATTCTTCACCTTGAGTCCCTCAAGATGCAAGAGGAGCTGTCTCCAACTGCCTCTCGGAAGGTGGGACTTCACTCCCTGCGGGTTCCTCGTTGATACCATTGGCATCGGCCAAGCTTTCCTCGTCGTGAGGGGTGATTCCGTTTTTGTGGGCTGCGTCAACTTCATTGACCCCAGTGGCTTCGCCGCCTGCGGAAGATGTGATGGGATCCAAGCTGGGTTCCCACGCGCGTAGATCGTTTTCGGCGTCCTCGAGAACCTGGCGTGCGTCGAGCTCATGGTCGTAAGCTGCGCGGGAGTCTCCAGGTACGACTGGGGAGTCGTCGATGTAGTTCAGCAGCCGACGGGCATGGCGAGCGAGAATAATCTGCTTCTCTGCACGTTCAACTACAGCGGCCAAGTGGATGTCAAAGGCTTCCTTGATCTTTTGCCGAGTCTATCGGAGAGAAAGAGAGAGGAAAGCGACGGTTAGCAAAATGTGTACGATCATATCAAGCCATTGTCCACGAAGCAACATACAGTATTTGAAAGCTGTGCCTCGGCAACAAGGTTCTGCGCCTCGGCGCGCACAAGCTCGTGCTCCAGCGTCGTGATACGGGTGCTGGTGGGATCCTTATACTTGAGCTTGGCAATCTCATCCGTGACCTTTTGGCGTTGGTCGCGCGACGGCTGCACGGAGGCCTCCATATTGCGAATATGCTTGAGAACCCCGCGATAGTCCTCCAAATTCTGAGCAAAGATGTCTTCTTGCTCGCCCATCTCAGCTAGCATCACACCGAGCTTGTCGGAGATATCGGAGACGGCATCATCCTCGGTTGACTCGCCCCATTCCGACAGCTGGGAGGCAATGGAGGTACGTTCACGGCCGGCAGCCTCATGCGCGCCGATGGCCGAGTTCTCGCTCTTGATCAGACGACTAAGCTTACGGCTGAGCTCGGGCTGCTGCATGCCCCGGAAGGTAGCGATGCTGAAGCGGTGGCGGCCGCCTGCGGGTTCTCTGCGCGATCGGATCGACAGAGTGCGATTCCTAGTTGCGGCATGTCAGTGAAAAAGCACAGCGAATAAAAATGCACTGAACAAATTCTCTCTGCGTACATGGTGTCTTCTTTCAAATAGAGCAAATGAAGTATGGGTTATATTGCGATATCAGGTGTAGGAGGTAATGGGGGGAGAATGGTACAAAGCGACGTTTCGACAAGCGTGTGACACGGAGTTAAATGACGACGGGGACCCGAGCAGGATGGCGCCTGCCCATAGATGACGATGCGCCAACCCTAATTCTGGTCGTTGCGCGACAGCAGGAAGTGCAATCCCGGTGGTAGCGTGACGTCATGACGGGGAGGGGCGGATGGTGAGTTCACGCGCCGTTCCGATTGCAGTCGATTGCATGAACTTTCAAGGATCCGGTCTTGTCGGCAGAGAGGCTTTGCTCGTTAATTCGCCTGGAAGCTCTAAAGCTTCGAAGCTCGTGCTGGATCCCTGCGGGGATCGCCGGTTCTCCACATTCGGCTCGCCATTGATCGAGTGGAACGAGGCATGTCGTTTAATATGCTTATATCCACACCCAATAATCGGTTAATCATAGATCTAGCTGAGAGCGAGGGCACCAAGCCAAGAAATAAATTCCCCGTAAAAGAATGGCTCGGGATGCACCGGACTTCATCACTTTCCTAATCGGGAAACCAGCTCCCAACCCAACCCTACCCAGTTAAGATAGCGAGACAATGTGATGGAAAACAGACACACAAGTATAATAAATATCATCCATAGACCGAACCAGATCAGTCCAGGAGCCATAAGATTCTCTGTCAAATTTATTATACACCACAAAGAGACGTCGGATGCAGAATGCAACCGTCCATCAGATCGGATCCAAGACCTTCCTAGCCACACACCGACAAACACCCAGAAGCAGGCAGATAGGGCCCGCAGTGTGCTAAAGCAATCAGGGGGGAAAAACAAAAGCAAAACATAAATCAGCCATAAGAAGCGCCTTCATACGTAACAGAATTGCCAGCCTCGGCCCGCAGCCCTCAAGTTAATTCTAAGAAATCTCGTCCGCATCCGGGTTGTGAGAATGCTCATTGTCTGAGGCATGGAAGGCATCACCGAATGCCGAATTCTCCAGGTCAGGAAGGTCAAGCTCGTCATTTTGTTCGGTATAAGCAGCAAGTGCATCGCCTGCGCTATCAATGTTGGTGAAATCGTCGAAGTTGGTCGTCTCAAGACTTGCGTCTCCGGCTTCAGGAGCCGGTGCACCTTCTTTGCTTTCATCATTGACCATAACCCAGTCGCCAGTCTCGCCGGTCGCGCGACCGGCAGTGAGCTGGTCACCCAGGTCCATCTCGACGTCGGCTGAGATCTCAGCGCTCGGCATAGGCTGTGCAGGTGCGCTGCCGTTGTTATCAGCAGCCGGGCTGCCAAATTGGTTCAACAGGTGCGACTCTCCTTGATCCAACATCATGTCATTGGTAAAGGATTCTGGCTCTTCTTTGTGCTCGGGTTCGATCTTTTCTAACAGACCGCCCTTCTCCACACATGAAACCTTGGGTTCAGGCACGATCTGTTTCTTCCACGAGCTCTCTACATCGCGCACCACATCGTCGACTCGGTATTTGGCCTTGTCTTCCACGTACTCTAGCTGGGGTGTTTCATCGTCTTCGTTGGGAATATCAATTCGGCCTTCCAGTCGCCAGACCTCTGGGCCAGTTTGGGTGGGGTCGGTAGCAGCCTCACGAAGGCGCAGCTCCGCATCCTTAAAAAGAGAGCTGCGGTTGAAACGCTCCATCCGCCGTGCGTGTTGCTTCTTCAGCTTCTCGATCTCAGCGGTCATATCGGCAACCTTCTTAGCAACGCGGTCCGCAAACTCTTCCGCCTTGGCTGGTTCCATCTTAGTCGCATCCGGCGCATCGCCTGCTCCTTGGCCTTCTCCACTAGGCCCAGGTGCATCGAAGAAGCCTGCGGTCAGAGACTCTAGCTCACCCTTTCGACCAAGGCCAAGGGACACTGGAGCAATCTGCGAAATAGCATACGGGGACGCAAAGATTTCCTCCATCCATTCATGATGCTGCACGTAGCGCATCTTGCTGACCTCCCGAGGTGTCACAAGGTCCAACACATCGCCGCTTGAAACATCCTCATCTTCCAAGGCGAAATCGGCCGATGCAGCAGCGACGGCGGCCGATGAAGCACGATGTGCGCGAGCTGGTTTTGGCTGGGCTGGAGCGGGCACTTGGTGCCCCTGCGGCGGGTAAAAACCTGGCCGGGGCACCTGGCCCTGGGCGGCTTGGTAAGGTTGTTGGGGCGGTGCAAATTGCTGCGGAACGGCCTGTGGGGGGAAGTTGATCGTAGGCCAGTTGTTTCGGTCATGAAGCAGAAATTCTTTACGGAGAAGCTGGCCCTGACTCTGCAAGAATCGTCGCTGGGCCATCATGTTCTGCACCGGCGGGGGAACAGGGATGCGGTTCGCGGGAACATGGTCTTGCTGAGGTGCGCGCGAATAATGAACAATCCACAATGAGGGATCAGGCTGGGGAGCATTCGGGATGTTGCAGGCGACAATGCGATAGCGCTTGCGGCAGTGAGTGGCCACGGTTTCGTTCGGAGGATGGTAACCACTGCGGTGGGTGTACATCTCGACAGTCTATTTTTTTTTTCGCAAATTAGCCTTTCTCGTTCAGCAAATGCGGCCGGATACCGATGGAAGGGTACCGTACGTATCCTCGGACTTCGAAGGGAACAGCTTGCTCCACGTCGGCCCAGACATGACCGTCACTGGCGAAGTTGGCGCCCATATGGCCATGTGGCTGCCATGTTAGCATCACAGTGCCATCAGCTGGTCCATCCAAGAAGGTCCAACTCATAGGTTGTGACTGGCAGATACGAGGAGCGCTAGCCAAATATTCCACGGCCGTCTCGGTCGGCATCATGTGCATATTGGGGTATCGATTGAGCGACACAAGGTGCATGTGCGGCAGCTGCAGTCATGGAGACAAGGTTAGCCGTTAAATATCCAGACGTGACATTCTGGAAGGGTTGGTCCTAAGGTGTGTCGATTAGACTTGGGAGGTTGGTCTTACCAATTGCTGCGAGATACGGGAAGCCGGGTCATCCATCTTGACCACACCCCTTTTTCAGGTATCAGATCAGATCAATGGAATCGCGTAGTAGTAGTCACAGGAGTGTAGGGGTCAATGGGGATGCATCCGATGGGGGGGCCAAGCGGCGAGCGCGGGTCTGATGAGGCCGGATGGAGCTCCTGGCAACGCGACGCGGAGGATTTTTGACGCGGTACGGAGAGCGTGGCAGACTAACAGCGCACTAGCACCTGAGGAATCAGGCAACAAAGGCCGGCCTGCCCCGTTCGCTGTCTTTAAATGTAAGTGTGCCATTGTGGCATTGAATATGGCGGTGATGATATCGAATCTTTTATGATCTCTTCTAGGATCTTGAATTTTTGTTCAATCCAGCATGACTGTTCTGTGGTGGTCAACCAGGGAATGTACCATCCGCTTCCACTCCGAGCCCCTGGTCGAGATATTTGTCATGAAGGCGATAGCGAAGAAAAGCAAAGAGAGTATTGAACCTAGCATTGGGCAAGAGGGTTGCCGGGCATGTGAAACGATTGAAATCCTTCCCAAGGACGTTACAATAGGCATTAGGTTCATTCCCGGGCGTATATATAGTGGAAACTCGGTCCGCAAAACTTCCCCCTTAGTTGCCGACGCAGATACTGCCGAGTGAAAGGGAAAGTGGGAAGGGGGAAAAAAAGGCAGTACGACCGGTAGGATCTTCTAGATATAGCCTGTGGTGGTGAAACCAAGGGGAGTCAATGCCTTGAGACAGGACTATATTCCAAGAATCTTTGGACCCGGGAACTTCACTTTTCCATCACTTTCAATATACGTACCTTCTGAACCCTATCAGGACGTCCCAAGCCCCCCCCCCCCCCCCCCCCCGGCTACTCGAACGAAATCGATTTCAACTTGATCATAAGATTGACTGCCTCGCTTACTGGTTCAGCTCTCTGCCCCTCAGGACCCACGGGTGATCTCCACTATTCCATTCGCTTGCGCTACTCCACGCGGGGAGAGGGGAAGGAAGGAGACGGATATGTAACCCATCCCATTCATCAATTCCCCCGGTTCTTCGGTACTTTGGCCTCCATTATAGCCGTGCGGATACAGACTTTACCGAAACAGGGAACATCCCCCAGTCGGAGACCAGCGACGACGCAGACACTCGGTCGGGCGCCGATGGATCGAAGCTTTGGGGCTGCACTCAAGCTTTCGTACTTTCTCCGCATCAACCCACTGGATTGGCCCCTCCCCGCCGGAGGGCGCTCAGGGCACTGGGGGTCGCTGGGGGATTGCCTCGGAGGCTCGACGCCGCTCCGGCTTTGGGCTTCAAAGTGTGGGGTTCCCTCCCCGGTCCGGCGACGCCAATGGTCGGCTTTCCAAAGCACCACCAGGTCAGCCGTAAAGGCAGCCAGCCGCTTTAGTATTACAACTGTGTCCCAGCTTGACTTCTTTCGTGTGCCGATCCCCCGACTATAAATGATGGCCTTCCCCGACGCTCGCCTAACTCCGAGCGAATTCTTCCCTCGATTGCGTGTGCCCCCTCCAATCTACCACTATGGATTTCTTCCGCAAAAGCGACACTCCAGAGGACGAGATCCAACGAGCGCCCGATCAGGATGTCGAGAAATCGGTGCCCGCGCACCAGGAGAGTGGTCCAGTCCACCCCACCGCTGTGACTCCTACACCGGTTGATCCGGAATTGGAGAAGCGAGTTCTGAGGAAGATAGATTGGCGACTCCCGACCTTGATGGGATTTTTCTGTATGAGTTGATTTTTCTGGGATAGAAATACAGCGAGAATTGCGCTCTAACTGTATATGCACCACTTTAGATCTACTTGCTTTCCTCGATCGAAGTAACATTGGGTCTGTCCAACCTCACTTTTTCCATGGAAACCCCCTTCCCCTCCGCCGAAAAGGACCGCGAAGCTAACCAGAAGAAATCTAGAAATGCGAAAATTGCAGGCATGGAGGAAGACCTATCTCTCACGGACAAGCGTTACTCCTGGCTGCTGACGATATTCTACATCTCCTACACGGTCTTCGAATTTCAAGCGCTCATGTGGAAAATCGTCAAACCACACCAATGGGCTGCCTTTGTGGTTTTTTCCTGGTATGCACGCACTCCACGTGGCGATGATCGACCATCTTCTCCGAAAACAGATTCATTCAATGGAAATCTAGAACTAATACGATGCATGCAGGGGGTTGGTCGCGACTTGCCAAGCGGCGGTGAAGAATTGGCAAGGTATGATGGCGCTGCGATTCCTCATGGGGGTCTTTGAGGCCGGGTTTGGCCCTGGCGTGCCATACCTGTTGTCGTTCTTCTATCGTCGCCACGAGCTGGGTCTCCGGTGCGGTCTATTTTTGTCGGCGGCTCCACTGGCAAACACTTTTGCAGGCGCCCTTGCCTATGGCATCACTTCAGGCCATGCCGCATTGCCGAATTGGCGGCTACTGTTCCTGGTCGAAGGCCTCCCGGTCTGTGCGGCAGCTATCCTCGCATGGTTCTATGTTCCGGATAAGCCGTCGACGGCCAAATTCCTGACCGAGGAAGAGAAAGATGTGGCTCGCACCCGTGCACTTCAGCAGGCAGGAGACGCCGAGCGTGAAGGCAAGGTCCAATGGAGAGAATTGGCCGAGACTCTCTTGGATGCGAAGGCATGGTTCACCGCAGTACGTGCCCCTGCCCCGACAACGATCTTCGTGCTAGTGCATGTAGACTAGCTCCCTGGATCGGGAGTTCGCTCATTAACTTCTATGTAGTTGATGTACTTTAGCTGCAACGTCAGTTTCTCGTCCCTGCCTGTGTTTTTGCCCACCATCCTCAAGGAAATGGGGTTCACCTCGATCAATGCCCAGGGTCTCACGGCACCCCCGTTCTTCGCGTCCTTCCTATGCACCATTGCAACCACCTGGGTGGCGGATCGGATTCAACAGCGTGGATTGATGATCGCGATTCTCTCGGCGATCGGCGGTGTGGGGTACATTCTGTGTGCCACCTGCAAATCGGTGGCCGTGCGATATTTCGGTGTGTTTCTGGCCGCGTGTGGAGTCTTTCCGTCGATCGCCAATATTCTGCCGTGGGTTTTGAGTGAGTCACTTCCCTTTTACCTTGGGGCTAATGAAAGATCCTGTATAATTTCCAAAGCGACCTTTCTGGCTGACCAAATATCTGTGTTCTAGACAACCAGGGCTCAGATACCCGCCGTGGTGGAGGCATTATCCTACTTAATATCATCGGCCAATGTGGTCCTTTCCTGGGCACCAATGTGTTCCCCGACAGCCAAGCTCCGTTCTATGTCAAGGGCATGTCGATCTGTGCGGCGTTCATGTTCTTCACGACGTTGCTTGCCCTAAGCTTGCGCGTCCTGCTGGTCTGGGAGAACCGCCAGCTCGACAAGAAGTATGGGCCGAAGGTCGAGGTCGACCCGACCAAGGGTGTGGCCATGACGGCAGGAGAGGACAATTACGGAGCCAGCTATCGTTACGTGCTGTAATTGTTAAACCTTTCTGAGAAAGAACGCAAAAGATTTGTTGATATGTGTTTCTCTCGCAATCCTTGCGTCAATCTCCAGACCTCCGCTTCCCCGCGATAATTTGCCGGTATGATGTCAGACCTGATGATACTTAGATATGAGGGCTGGACATGGAAGCCGTCATATGTAATTATGTCTTCTTATACCCTTTTCAAAGGATGTCTCGATATATATTCTATTGGGTTTTTAACTTCGAAGCCCTCAATTATGTAATGGCCCATGAGCGGAGCCTTGCGAAGCTTGCCGGCCAGGAGCAGTGTCTTCCGAAGTATGCAACTTGGCGCTTACCCTCGGTCCAAGTAGTGGAGAACGGCGTGGAAAACTATCCTAGAATAAAAATTCTCGACTGTTTTCTCTCCGTACGATGGAATGATACATCTTTCAGATAACTTATTGTGTCGTCCATCTGTCATAGTGTGCAACATGTATAGCGTGCCGATGAACGAGGATGGACTGGTTCGACTGTCTTGCGTCACCACCAAAACACAGGCTGTAGCTCAATAATAGAAAAACAGTGGCATGGGGTTTCAACACCAAAAGGGCAACAGACGAATAAGACACGTCATTATGCGATCAAGATCGGCGTTCCCCTCTCCGTTCACCGGCCGGAGAGATTCGGAGTCGCAGGGAAGTAAAGTTACGGGAATCCTGGGTAGTGGGGGTGTGCTGCATATAAGGTTGCGCTGCCCCTCTTCTTTGCACTGACTTTTACTTCTCTTCACCAATTTTCTCTTACAACGTGTCTTCCAACAAGCTTCTCAGCTACTACAGTAACTATGAGACTCCTGGTCGTCTCTTTCAGTACTGACCGTTGATGTAGATCTCCATTCGGCTTAAGTACATACAGCCCTCCCATCCATCTGGGAAGCCATGGGTGCGCTTTGGCTGGGCATATTATCTCTCAGGGATCAAGGTATCTCAGGTAACTTCTGGGCGTGGACCGGTGTTCGTTCCCATGTTGTTGTTGGTCTCTTCTTGAGCAAGTCGAGAGTTGAGGCAATCATCGACATGGGCTCGTTCTGAGATTATACGGTCAAAACTTGATTTCTGGATAATACCAGCGAAAGGATCATGCCTCCCCCTCTTCCTTCCTACTATTGGAGTTCAAACTAACAAAGGTACCCAAGTCCATTTGTCGACTTGATCCCTAACTCACTATGTCTCCCCCTGCTGCTATCTATGAGCCCTCTGTTGCCCCTACCGAATTCAAGGGCAAGGTGGTCATGCCTGAGGTGCTCTCCACCACCCTAACCGCCCAGGGCCAGAGTAAGCTTCTGGAGCAGTTCGGTGGCAAGTGGGATGAGTTCAAGTTCGCCCCGATTCGCGAGAGCCAAGTCTCTCGTGCCATGACTCGACGCTACTTCCAGGACCTGGACAACTACGCCGAGAGTGATGTCGTCATCGTCGGCGCTGGTTCCTGTGGCCTCAGCACGGCCTATGTGTTGGCCAAGGCCCGCCCAGACCTGAAGATTGCCATTCTTGAGGCCTCCGTATCCCCTGGTTAGTCTTTGGTCCTTCCATTGAGACAGCCAGCTGGAAATGTATACTAACTATACCCTGCAATACAGGTGGTGGTGCTTGGCTTGGTGGCCAGCTCTTCTCCGCAATGGTTCTGCGTCGTCCTGCAGACGCCTTCCTCAATGAACTAGGCGTGCCTTATGAGGAGGAGCCCACTAACCCCAACTTCGTCGTGGTCAAGCATGCCGCGCTGTTCACCTCGACTCTGTTGTCGAAGGTGCTGTCCTTCCCCAATGTCAAGCTGTTCAACGCCACCTGCGTCGAGGACCTGATCACTCGCCCTGACGGCGATAGCGTCCGCCTCGCTGGTGTCGTTGTCAACTGGACCCTGGTGACCCTGCACCACGATGACCACTCGTGTATGGACCCTAACACCATCAACGCGCCCATCATCGTCAGCACAACCGGCCACGACGGCCCCTTTGGCGCCTTCTGCGCTAAGCGTCTCGTCTCCATGAACACGATCGAGAAGCTCGGTGGCATGCGCGGTCTGGATATGAACGCGGCCGAGGATGCCATCGTCAAGAACACCCGTGAGGTCGCCAAGGGCCTGATCATCGGTGGAATGGAGCTATCTGAGATCGATGGCTTCAATCGTATGGGCCCAACCTTCGGTGCTATGGTCATGAGCGGTGTCAAGGCTGCCGAGGAGACTCTGCGCGTCTTCGAAGTCCGCAAGCGCGAGTGTGCCGAGTAGATTCGGCTTCTTTGCACTCTGGCCCTTGGCCCGATGATGGGATGATACGACTGAATACTGAGTTTACCTATTTTGCTTTTAATTATGCCAATGCACTTCACACTCGTTATGTGCACTCAATTTTACTTCCGTTATCATTCGTAGATATTATAGTATTTCCAGCTATACAATTAGTGTTAAAAACTGAACATATATGTAATAATCTCTTTTCGGCCAAAGCAAAGCCGGCAATATTATAGAATGGGTATTTTTTTTCTCGGGCCTAAGCGTATCAAGCATCATTGGCCTTTTTGTCCGCTCTCCGCGGTAAGCACCAAGCTTCTCGCATTGCGGACCTCCCACTCAAACTCCTTCAGTGCACGCAGCTCGCCTGAGACAAAGAGCCCGCCGATCAGGCCGTCCAGAATACCCGCTCCGAAATTGAGAGTGCTCACGAGAATCAGAATGAACCCGATGTAGGTTCGACTGCCAACCCACCAGACACCAACCATACATCCGATGGACACTAACACGGAGACAAGGAAGTGTACAAGACGCCAGCGGCGCTGGGAGCGCTCGCGACGCACGTATGTGTCAATCATTTCGATGATGAGGTCGTATGTTTCCAGAGAGAGGGTAGCGTTGGGAGCGATGGTGGAGGATGTAGGCTTGTGCAAGGCTGGAGAAGTGGAAGAGGGTACGGAGTCGGGCTGAACCGACGACGGAGAACCTGGTAGGACTTGGGTGCGAGTGATGACTGCCTCGACGGCAAAGTGGTCACTGAGAGAGCAGCGGAGAGTAGGATGGCGCTGGGTCATGGTGACCTGGACAGACTCAACGGACCATTGTGGCGGAGGGAAATTGGGTGCATACCCTCCATCGCCGACGAAAATATAATCGAGTCGTTTCGCGCGGGCGTCTGGTGCATCCTTGTCGACCGTGATCTCATCACCCTTGTCCAGTTGTTTTTGTAGGGCTTTCGACCAGCGCCACGTGTTGAAGGCGCCATCACAGGTTGCCCCATTCTCGATGAGGTTGAACTCCGCAGACGGGATGGGCCGGTTGCGTGCTTTCTCGACTGCGTCGATGGCAGCACCCACGGAAGAGTCGGGGTGGAGCTCCTGCCATACATCACGGACCGGGCTCTGAGAGGATATCAAGCGATGAGCGAAAGAAGAGGGCAGCATATTGAAGTCACCGAGGCCGATAACCAGATGGCCGCGCTCGGCGGCGCCGCGCATAAGCTTGGAGATCTCCCAAGCTTGTGCAGTGCGGTGGCATAAATAGGAGTCGTGCGGCTCGCGCTCATACGGGGCATGCAAATGCGTGCAGAATACTTCGGCCACATCTGCGACTCCAGGGCCGAACCGGACGCGGGCACAAGCAACACCTTTCCCAACGAACCAGTCGCCGCGAAAGAATGCGGTTGGTCGTCCGTTCAATGGGTAGGCGTACATGCTGCTCTCTTCGATGGGCCATTTTGATAGAATGGCGAGGCCAGCGCCAAATATTCCACCAAAATAGAATTTTCCGTACGGTAGAAGATGACGAGTCTGATCCCGGATACTCTCGTAGTCCTGCTGCGTCCAACACTCCTGAAGACCGACTATCTCTGGTGGTGGATCAGCCAAAGCCAGCTGCCGTCCTATCTCCGAAAGACGTTCATGGCGATACTTGGCGAGGTACTTCAGACCCCAACAGTTCAGGGTGAGAATTCGAATATGAGTTGGCGGTTGCTCGCTTGGGGCCATCGACGAGGCCATTGGGAGACCAGAGATCAGAAGGTGATGCTCAACAGTCGGGGAACAACGAGGTACCATTCGACCGTAGCTGTCGATCAATGATGTAAACGGGCAGAGACGCGCTCACCGCCTTCCAACGCGCGACTGGTTTTCTTTTGCGCGTGATACGAAGTCAAAGCGACCCGCGTGGAATTGTGATTGTCCCTCCGTTACGAATTTCTCATGGACCAAACGCACGACAATGCCCGTCAGTGGGATGACCGGGTCCAGTCGCCCGCCGAATCGTCGTCTGACGAATTGGCCGCCGGCTCCGATCAAGAAGAAACCGAGCGGAGAAGAGCAAGCTGGGGTGTGCAGAAGAACTTCACTCCGCAGCAACCAAATCGCCAGGGGAGACATTACAGCCAGTCTGAGAGCCCGGATGAGCTGGCGGTTGACGCTGAAGAATACTGGCGCACCTCCCACAACCGCCGCAGCCCGTCACCCATCAACCGCCCCGCCGAGTTGAGCGGCCCCGGAGACCGATCTCGCGAAGACTCCAACGCTCTTACAGAAGACAGAATGAACAACGGCAACGATACACCTGGCGTCGCACACCATACCATGTCCGACCGGTCCCCCACTCCTGTGCCTCAGGTAGAGGCTTCGCCTTCAAGACCCGAGCGATTGAACTACAAAGAGAAGTTTGTGCTACGAGGCCATCTCCGAGGCGTTTCCGCTGTGCAGTTCTCTCCGGACTGCTCTATGATTGCCAGCGCAGGTATGTGTCTCATTATTATTGCGCATCTCAGGCCGAGACCCCTGACCAGTCTTCACTACAGGCGCCGACGCTGCGATTAAAGTTTGGGATACTCTGACTGGACGACTGATCTACACCTTCGAGGGTCACCTGGCGGGCATCTCTACTCTTGCCTGGAGTCCTGACGGGCAGTGGATTGCGTCTGGCTCCGATGATAAAACCATTCGTTTCTGGAACGTCAACACTGTAAGTCAACCAATCTGTGTCGCCCGCTCGCGCAAGAGAGCTAACCCTGTCTCTCACTCCAGGGCCGAGCCCACGCGAAGATCTTCCAAGGTCACCACAACTACGTCTATCAGATCGCTTTTGCACCCAAGGGCAATATTCTAGTCAGTGGATCCTATGATGAGGCTGTCTTCCTCTGGGATGTGCGTCGCGCACGCGTTATGCGCTCCCTCCCCGCCCACTCCGATCCCGTCGCCGGCATCGACGTCGTCCACGATGGCACCTTGATCGTTTCTTGCGCACTTGATGGTCTGGTCCGAGTTTGGGACACACACAGCGGCCAGTGCCTGCGGACCCTTGTGCATGAAGACAACCCGCCTGCCACTTGTGTGAAGTTCTCGCCGAACGGCAAATACATTCTGGCCTGGACGCTTGACGGCTGTGTGCGCATGTGGAACTATGTCGAGAGTAGAGTCATTAAGACCTTCCAAGGTCATGTCAACAAGAAGTACAGCATGTCAGGCTGCTTCGGGCTTTACGGCTCATCAGATGTCAAGTACGATCCGCCTTTGGCCTTTGTCGTCAGCCCCAGTGAGGACGGCGCCATCCTCTGCTGGGATCACGTTAGCAAGAAGATCCTTCAGCGGATTGAGGGACACACCGATGCCGTTCTCTGTGTGCACACTGGCAAGTTGAATGGTAAGCGGATGCTTGTCAGCTGTGGACTTGACAAAACAGTACGTGTGTGGGAGGAATTTCCTGATACTGAATCAAGTGCTACTCCTGAGGATACTAACATCTCGAATGGCGTTTCCCCCAGCAATGATGAGGACGGGGACAACGAGATGGTTGACGCTCCTCCAGAGCTGTCGGGTGATATCACTCCCGCTCCTGAAGAGGATGTTATGATGACATGATCCTACCTTTGCTCTTGGCTCTGCGTTTCTTTTATTGCATAGGCGGCTGACTTTCTTTGCGGGCAAATGGGGAAATACCCGGTGTTTGGAGTTTAAAATGCATGGCACCATGGACAACGGAAAATGCATGGATGGTGGTAACTGGTTCTCGTCGTCTAGAGTCTTCGTGATAACCTTCCTTATTTCATCAGCATCGTTTCGGGTCATGAATGTAACACACTTATCTTTCATATGAATTGTGCAGCTTATCTCTAAGATGTCTTCTAGGTCTTTTTCGTTTTATTGTGTTCAGGACCCTAGTTCTCTTTGTCCAACCTAATTTGGCCCATTTCCGTAATAAGTAGCCCTAAGACCAATCAAAATGTATGTATTTCAGAAATAAATATATCATATTAGGAGGCGGCGGAAGCCAATTATATCATTCAGTTCACATGAGAGGAGGGATATTGTCAAATTATCACGACGGCCAATTCTGTCTGAAAAGGGTCCGGCGATAGCAGAACCAACCACTGAGCCTGCAGCAAGTGAAGACCCAATCGCCCCCTGGCGTAGACCTGGGTTATCAAAGTAGTCGAGGTACTGGCTTGTCCCAATAATGGCCGACATAGACGAGATGTCGAAGCCAAGCAGCATTCCACCGACTGTGGCGATGAATGCCATCAAGTACGTCTTGGGTAAACGCATGGTGACCTACTAGAGCGACGTTATTTGGAGTTAGATCAATAATGGAAAATCATCAATAGGCCTTTCCCTTGTTTGTATTCGTGTGAATGCCCTGGGATGGTTGGATTATTAAAATAGATTATACCGGGAGAAGGCGTGTAACTAGATTCGCTACGACAGCGCATCAACTAATATATAACAGGAAGAAAACTGCCAGACATCTTCCAACGGGGTCGAAGCAAGTGGCCAAGATTGGTCAAGAAGAGTATCCTGTTGTGCCACCGTGCTTTTGCCCATTTTTTCTATTCCAAGGTTTGTTTACTTAACGGACGGTCCTTGGAAGCCAATTAACACACAAAGGCAGACCCTATATCTGGATTGGGCATTACTCTCCCAGTGGCCAAGAAGTTTAAATTCACCCTGGGCCCTCTGCTAACTCTGGCCACATCTTTTTTTCCGTCACTAGCCAGCCACCTCCGCATTTCCCTGGATAGATACTGGTCCGCAACAGCTGAAGGCGGGGTTGAGTAACTCAGTGGCTATGACCTTACCGAGTGGAACCGTGCTTCCCGGCTGACCAGGAAACCATGCCACTTGGCTATTAGTCCGAGGGTCGAATCCTACCGTTATCCCGGTTGATTTCTGAGGGCTCACCAGGAGACAATCAGAAGACTTGGCTGAGGGGCCTTTCTCTCTTGGCTGTCGCTTGGCAGAATTCTTTCCATGTGAGAGAATGAATTGAACACGGAATTTTCCATCCCATGGAATGTCCGACTTACGGGGAGGCTCGACACGAAGAAATGCTTCCTAGTTGAAAGTGTTGATATTGATCTATGTCCTATGAAGTTCCCTTTTTGCCTGCTTTAGGTTCGCGTGGAGCGACTAGGGCCCTTGAAAGGATCCTCAGGCGCCATGGCTGTAACATCAACAAGGTCCTGTACAAACTGGCTATCCATATTTATATCTGCCGCTTTGTTCAGAAGCATTTGGAAGAGATCATCGTCTCCATGAGCGGCGGCTAGTTGAACAGGGGTTCCTGAACCGGGCAGCGATTTGAGTGGGTTAGCTCCACACTCCAAGAGCTTCTCACAAATGACATACGAGCCCTTCGTGCAGGCTGCATGCAAAGCAGTTCCATAATGGCCACCAGTGTGGTCGAGGTTCGCACCATTGGCAATCAACATATCCACGGCCTCTTTGCAGCCCGCGCTACAGGCCGCTTGTAGAGCTGAGCCAAAGTATCCACCCGAGCTGTTGACATCGGCGCCTCGGTTTAACAGAGCCTCCAGAATCTTTGTATTGCCCTTCCATGCAGCCACTTGCAGCGGAAATCCATAGTGTCCCCTTGCCTCCACTCCTTGGGCACGGAATCCTTCGTCTAGTAGTTGTATTGCGATATCTGGATGGCCACCCGCGAGCGCAGCTTGCATGGCATCCCCATAGAACCCCCCGGTCAGGTTAACATCAGCTCCTGCATGTAGTAGTAGCTCTTTAATCTTGTGATAGCCTTCGGCGCACGCAGCTTGGAGGGGTGAGCCGTATTCGCCATTGTTGATGTTGACTGTTGCGCCGTGATCAAGAAGTAAGCTAATCAAGGACGCATGCCCTTTAGCGGCGGCAGCCTGAAGAGGGGTACCATACAAGCCCCCAGGTAGGTTCACATCAGCTAGGGTATCGATGAGAAACTTGGCAATCTCCGTATTTCCCCGGGTGCAGGCCGCCTGAAGAGGCGTTCCTTGGATGTCAAGGTCAATCTGATTGAGGGACTTCGCAGCGGCTATGTGACCAAAGGAAGCAACTTCATGTAAAAGATCCTCTAACTGGTCAAGAGCTGCCCCACTATCCAGCAAGTATTGAACCACAGGGGTGTCGGTGTTTTTGACAGGTTGCTCAGGTGAGATATTCCATTTTGCTTGCCGGTGATTCACGTTTGCGCCGTTGGCAACCAACAGCTTCACAACCCCCAGATGTCCTTCTTCGGCTGCATATGCCAGTGGCGTCAAATCAAACCCATCTGTCAGGTCTACATTGACTCCATTTTCTAAAAAGAGTCTCAAAACAGCTGTGTGTCCGAGTATGCTAGCGAGGTGGATAGGATGACAATATGGGCGGAAGTCCCTCTGCCGTTCAAACTGGGCAATTTGATATGCTGAAGGTGCGTTTTCATCTTCCATGAAATACACAATATCATCCCAAAGATCCCAGATGCATTCGGCCGCGCTGTCTAGATGATGAGTCCAGTATAGAGAAGCGTACTGTAGGAACTGATGTTGGTTCAGTCGCTCCTTGTATCGCTGGGAAACTGCTGTCCAGTGAGTCTCTTGTGTCGGCCCTTCCGCCATATCGCAGCTACAGATATATTCCATACATGCTGCAGCGAGTTGCAAATTCGCTTGTGAGGCCCAATCCGGGCCTTCGGTGTCCGGCTCATCAAAGAACCAACAGTCAGGATTATTGTTCAGGAAATCCTGCGCTGATTGATCGACCATCTCAACTACAAGTTCTCCTTTCTCGTTGGGGACGAACTTGATCAGACCACCGCAGAAAAAATCCACTTGAGATTTGAAGTTGATTAATTCGAATTCATTGATCAGAGACTCCTCCTTTACCCATCGAGTGGGGCCAAATGTTCCAAATACGCCCAGGCGATATTCTTGAACTGTCATCGGTCGCTTTGCACAAAGTACCCACTGAAAATGAGCCCTTGCAAGCCCCCGTAGCTTTTTTTGAGGACAGAGCTGATGCAAAATCTCCCGATAGAGGTCATTCATGTCCGCTGGAGCTTCGTCCACAAAATCCAAAAGCTCCAACTCCAGTCCCTCACGGTATTTTCTGGCCAGCATCCTCACGACAATATGCACCCATAGAATATTTCCATTAGAGCGGGAATATAGCCGTTCGACCAGTGGGGTCGGATCGTATAGATTTTTGAGTTCGTCCATCACTTTGGTTCTGATGCAATCATGGATTTCCTTGGCGGGGGGTAGAGAATCCATCTGGAACGACTGCTCAGTCATGACGACGTATGGAGATGATATTTCAACTTCACGGTGAAGGACTTTTAAAAGATGCGATAGATTCGAAAGGTGGTTCTAGCTGCGTGAAAATTAATCACTTCAGGCATGGGAAGACAAATTGGAGGCCAAAATGAACCTGGGTTTGTAGCGCCGGCAGTTATATAGAGCATGTTGGGAAACTCCAGAAACAACCATCCCTTTTTTTAGATCTCGGCAACACCTGGTATTTCATCATATTATGCGCTTAGCCAAGTAGAGTAAAGGAGATTAGACAAAAAGTTACTTCATGGAGGGAAAAAATCGCTAAGCACAGAATTGTCGGTCCAACATTTTGACGCGCCGTGAATTGTTTCAGAATTGCTGCTCATCTTATGGGCTGTGCTAAGATATTATGTTGGAAAATGCTGATTTCTTCTTAGCTCTGTTGATTATAGCAATTCCCTGCAACCTATTGGTCCAGAATACAGTCCAAAATCATGTAAACTGCCAAAAATAGCCCATTATAGCTCTATTCGTTTCGAGCAGATGGCTGGTTGCCTCAAATGCCCGAGGAGCAGCCCTATATGTGCCGTGCTCTTTTCGCTCTATCTTGATCGCTTTTGTCATCAGTACATTTATTACTCAGTAACTCTAGTAGAGAACTACTGCTTCGTAGTCATGATATGAGAGTCTGAGTAAAGTATTTCGATTTATTTAACAGAGATCTCATTTGTCAACATGGCAGGCTCTTCTCATAACCGCGAGTTGCAATACTCTCACAGACACTCTAAAGCTACCTAAAACCAGTCTTATCTTTACTTTGTTATGGAAATCATATCATCGCCTGGAGCGAGGGCTCAATTAATGGCGATTCTATCACCTTTCCATCTACGCTGTCTGTACGTTTTGCTTTTTTTTCTGGGGACAATAGAATTCACGTGCTTAAAATCCGTCCTTCACTAGTAATGATATGAGCAGAAGGCAATGCATCAAGCTCACTTCTCGAGTAGGTGATAAAATTAAAATGTTTCGATACTCAAAGCCGGAGTTTCCGACCACTGTCTCCTATCAACTTCATCGGCGTTCAAATCGCACACTTGCACTCTCAGGCTGGCGAAGGTGTGCACTAATATTGAAGTATTTCTGCGCAAGCGTCGCGAGCAGGCGGGCTCTTGCTTCTTCCTCAGACTCACCATTCGATTGTTCGGGCCGCAAACAAAAGTTTGACAAAACCCTCGCCATCACACCAACGAATTCGACTTGACTGAACTTTTTCCCAGGACAAATTCGTGATCCTATCATCCAGGGCAGAAATGAGACATTATCTGGCAATACCAACGTCTCATCTCCGTTTGAAGCGACTAAGATAAAGCGTTTTGGGTTGAAAGTTTCAGCATCATGACCCCAGCGAGAAGATAGGTGAGCTCCATAGAGGTGACCGCCGACTAAAGTACCAGGGTTAACTATGATTGAGGACTCTCCATGTGGTGTTATGATGGGCAGCGTTTGTGCGACCGTAGGTTCTCGAATGAGTAGTGGCGCAGGGCTAGCAACTCGAAGCGTCTCATACAGGCATGCCAAGCATCGCACCAATTTTGGGTAGGCAGTTGCGTAGCTGCGATCGCTGGAAGCTGTGTAATGGCGATCAACTTCTTCAATGATCCAATCTTGTACGTCTCTGTAGGCAGCTAGGAAGGGGAGGGCAAAAGTCATCGAAGAAGCAGTAGTTTCAAATCCGGCAATGTTGAACACAAAAAGGTTTCCGTACAGCTCGGAGTCTGTTAGATACGAAGCACGAGCGGTTTTCTTCAGAGACTCTTGCTTCTCTACCTCGTTAGCTTTGACCATAGCCTCGAGAAGACTCGGCGATTGGGATTTGGAATCTGTGCTACTTGATTGGCGCATCTGGTATAAAACAGACTCCTCCATATAAAGCCTGAGCTCGGCAACTGAGACCTTCAGACGGCGAAGAATGCGAGGTAGGAGGAAATTAGGAGCTTTCAGTCCACTGAAGACAAGGGTCAAAATCAGATGCTTCAGGACAGCGTTAAGGCATTCCAACAATGATTCCTTATGACCTGACGGAATGGAGGTCAATGACCGGTCCTGGCCAAATCCAACGACAGCCAGAACTTGCATAGCAATGATCTCTAGTTCTGATCGGAGGCTTCCAAGTGTAAAGTTGCGTTCGCCCACACGGTCGAACGACCCTGCACGATTTGTGGACTCATGCCAGACTCGCTCCATCATATCTTCATTAAACGCGGCCGCAGTAATTTTTCGATGTCGTTGCCAATCCGTACCATTTGTCGAGGATACATTTTGACCATAAAATGCGAATAGCTGGGACTGTGCTTTGGGAAGCATCCAGTTCTTGTGCTGCCCAAACGAACTTTTCAGTCCAGCACGGTAACAAGTTATTATCTGATTGCTAGATGGAGAGCAAAGAACAAAGTTCTCGCCGAGGCGCGCAGTGGTCCGATTACCATCGATCGTTGGCCATCCCATTTCCGTGTAGACGTACCAGCTTCCTAGTCCCCATGGAAGATGTTCGACCCAGGCGAAAAGTGGTCTGAGCGGCATCCACCATGAATCTTCAAAGGAGACGGGAAGAAGAATGATCGGGAGGCCAAATTTCCGGGCATTTTGGTAATTCTTGATAAGGCCATATGCGCGAAGGAATATGAAGAGGAGCGGTGGAAGGAAAACATAAAAGAGTAACATATTGGCAAGGACCAACTACTTATCATGTCGTATGAAAAAAACCCCGGTTGAAACAGGGACCGCCTTCATTTTAACAAAAAGTTACAAATCAACCCCCGATCAAGTGAGCAGGATAAACTTTTGACGATTGACATTTGCGGAAATGATTGCGGTAATTCAGCCTTCATTGATTGGATAGACCCGCCAGTTTGCTGGCATGGACGGGGCGCTGGGCATTATGATGAAGATACCCGTTTTGACCGCGGGCGGCCTGAATGGAGGCTTTGAGGGCGGAACAGGATGCACATCAAACAGGGGGGTCTGGATTTATCTGGATTTGAAATAGTTGCTTGAGCAGGAAAAGATTAGTACAGTATCGCAAGCATGTTCTTTACAAGGAAAAGAGGTTTGTAATGCCTTCTCGCGCCAGAGCGAGACAGAAACGTGCACAGCCATTAACAACTCATTTCATGGTGGTTCTGCATGTCTGTCTTGTCAAGGTACTACCAAATTCCGGGGCAAGAATCCAAGTTACATAGTGTTTGTTTCCCACTCCCTGAAATTTCTGCCGTCTGGACCAGGAAGAACCTTGTACAACCGGTTTGATCTCAGCGCCTCTCTTTTCTCACAATCCCAGCAGCTTTTGAGAATTGGCCTTTTTTCTCAAGGCGAGTAGGACGACTCTTAATCTTCCGACCGGGTGCTAGTAGAGACGGTTCTAGTCCATCGTTTGTAAAGATCGTCCGGCAGCATCTTCCTTGTCTGGGTCCTCATGATCACGAGTTTGTCCTTCCGGTCATCATAGCGAATGATCGAGCTCCCACCCCAGCTTCTGGCCACTTTCAGGATCCAGTTGAGGAGTGCGACGAGTTTTTTGATGTCATCTTGGTGAGACCATTCCCATTCCTTGATCGCCGCAGCGACATCCTCTACATCGGGATCGGAGAATGTGCCTCGATTATGGTAGGCACGAACCAGCTTGGGTGTCTGGGATATCCATATTTGGGGCGCAACTTCCGAAAAATCGAATGGTTTGTGAGCAGCCCGGGTCTTGAGTTCAAGGGTTGATGCTCGGGGTACGACCCGGCCTGCATTCTTGATGGTCAGCTGTGATCGCGCTGGAGGCTGAACCGTGGAAGTTGTCGTTGAGGAAAGTGACAATGACTCCAGAAGCCCTCCAAGGCCTGCGATAGACTGATCGCTCTTCATAAATCCCGGATTATCAACATAGCCATCTGTTTCATGGCGAACAAGGAACTTTAGGCCCGCCAGTTGGTACGAAATGATACGGTGATGCGCGGTGCTACCAGGTATCTGATCTTTGGTGTATGCCTTCTCAAACCCATGACCATAGCCCCTGAACTCTTCCGGTTCAATGACTTCCCGGCTCGCAATTTCCTCGCGGCAAAAAATAGCAGTCTCAAAATTGATTTCAACTTGGATAGTGAAAGATTTCAGTCCGTTCTTGGCAAACGACGAGTTGACAAAAGACAGGAGCTTTCGGATGATATTTCGATCAGTCACAATGTCGACTGCATTGATATCGAATGAGGGACTCGCCAAGTAAAGAGAGCGAAACAACGGTTCTAGCGGGCTGTTGGGATGGAGCGCCGCATTCCGGTCTATGTAAATGAGGCCGGTATCCTTTTGCAAGCGATGGGCCCCTTTGGGGGGAAACCAATAAGGTGGACATCCTGGAACAACGATGGTTGGCGTGGGTGCATCGATCCAGTTGTAAGAAGCCAAATGCTTCACATCGGTGATGGTTGCTCTTTCGGAAGTGGAGTTGCTGAGTTCCCGGTCCCACCGGGAAATCTCGACAGTCTCAAAGGCTGTCCTGGAATGAGGCATTTCGATTTCTGGTTATGAACCTTGGAAGAAGTTTAGAAACTTTATGCGAGATGAGCGAAGAGAAATGGTTGGTTCAACTATTGAAATAAGATAGGCCATATTTATACTGAGAGCTGCCCAACAAACAAAAAGAACTTTTCACCCAAAAAAAGAGCTGGCAGATAGGCAGAAAGAGATTTCTTTCGGTTTCTTCTTTCCAAGATGCATTCACAGGCACAGACACCTGTCTATTTTTCATGTTATCTTTGGGTGTATAGAGGATCATGCTGCAGGAGTCCTATTACTTTACTTCTTTTCAGTCTTCATTAAATTGTTTAGCATTAGAAGAATATATACATCTATCATGAGCCTCCTAGTTCAGCTCATGATAACACATATACCAACAGAAGGTTGCGACATGGAATCCTCTATATGTCCCGTTTGTCTCATTTTCTAGGTATTCTGCAGGTTCTCTAATCTTCAATGAGGAAGCACATTTTTGCTGGGTTGTGTCTGGATTTTACAACCATCAGAATCTAACAGATGCTGCTATTGAAGTGTCTTAATGGGTTTCATGCTTTTTCAACATTGGAAATTTTCAAAGCCACTTCACCACGAAGACTAGAGATCGATCTAGATTAGACTTCGGGTTGCTGGTGCCCTAAGCTTAGGGTCAAGGACAAAGGGATCCTATTATTTACCGTGGATATTAAAGGACAAATTGTCAGATACTGAGGGGCTCAATTTGAAGTGCTGTATGAAGAAATTATTTGAAGACGGGAAGTATTCAAAAAAGAAATTTGCAACTAGAATGTGTGCACATTGCGAGTAAGTATTAGACAAGGTAAAAGAACGTGAAAAAGAATTAAGACCAAAGGACACAGGAATAAATTAGTTGAAGAAACGCATACTACTGCACTTGCACTTAAGCTGCACTACATCACAGCTGGAATTTTTAAAAGGAAGATATGAGTTCCATATTCCACTAAGACGCCTGATAATAGGCCACGTCCTTGACATCTTTTTTCTTCATTTCAATTAGTGCATATAAATTCAATTGACATTTGTGATCATATAATCTCAGATCAATCAATCAAACAGAAATTATTCAATTTGTGCTGAATCCTAATTCGCAATGTACTGGGTTCCTGCATCGGTCATTGTATTATTATTTGAGAAGTAGGTGAACTTGTTGGCGGACATGAACCACGAATAATGGGTTATGTTGGGCTGGTCATCCAGCCAGGGGAGGACTTCATCGAGGAATGCCACAGTATTTTCTGAATGACGGACACCTATTGTTGTGTTCATATCATCATTCAAGCCAAACTCGGTACACCAAACATTGTCAATGTTGTGCAGATTGGCAATATCGATGGCTTCTTGGACGTGGGTTTTGAATTGATCAGCTGAGGTCCCGTACCAATGAAATGCAAGACCACTTATGTTACAATTTTTGCATTCTGTCATGAAAGATTTGAGCCAATTCAGCCCTTGATCAGCATTCTCTGATGAGGTCGGAGCGGGGGAAATCAGCGTGGCGTTTTTTGCAAACTGGGTCATGTATGTTTGCCACTCTGTAACGGCATCAGCGACGCTTAGATAGGACTGACCCTTGATATCGGGCTCATTGAAGCCTAATATCTTGGTTGTCTTATCATCCCCTCTCGCTGTCAGCAGATTCTTAATCCCTGTGGTGAAATCTTCACTGCCTTTGCCCCAAAGCATGGGCACGTATTCGACACCAGTGTTTCCTCCTTCAGCATAAGCCCAGTTGTAACCCCCAATTTACCTTGCCTTTGCCGCTACCACCAGTTATCTTGGTCACGGATACAGCATCATTGTAAGCGGCACCACGTTTGGAGGTTGTGGAGGTTGTGTCACCGAGGACTGCGGTTGCAAGCAAAGAGAAAGTATATAAGTTGGTAAATGATATCATTGCTAGATTTGGCGAAGACTTGATCAAATGCTTCCCTGAAATAGCCAGAAGTGAAAAACGGAGCGTGGAAAGAGAAAAAGAAGCCTGTTCTTTAAAAGAATGTAGTCTATTCAAATGGAAGGACTCCGTCCAGGCCGTGCACAGCACATGGACTAGAAGGTAGAAATGAAGGGAAAAGTAAAAGAAAGGCACAGACTACTGTGAGCTGGAAAAGAAAGAAATAAGGGAAAGAGAAAGAAGTAAGTGAGAGAAGAGGAGGTTATTAAATCCTTGTGTTCAATCATCATCTTAGTTCTTCATGTTAAGTCCTTGTCTCTCGATACATCCAACGTATCACCTGGTCTCATGGCCAGACCGAGCTCTTCGGCCTGCTTCTTTTTGGATCATTCAGTCGTGCTGGCAGTCTAATCCTATGACAGGGGTACGCCGGGTTGGCTTCACCATACCTTTCGTGCGCAAGCATCAGATCCTTTCATGAAACCCTCTACCCAGTGGCATCCTCTATCCCAACGCGAGGTTATTTTGGGAAGAGACGCCTGGGTTTTGGGGGGGGGGGTTTGGCGGGTCTGGGACGGGTCCACCGAACAGCTAGGTTTGATCATTAATATCATTGGTCCGATCTCCAGCTGGTTTTCTGCTGGCTTACAATTCTGTATAACTATTGTATAGATATTTTTTTTTGGATCTACATGTCCAAACTACTAGGGCCCAAAGTGGACAGACACTCTTCTTTTCTTTTGAAGAACATATAGTATTTTTACAGCCCAGAAATCCCTGGGCAATTTCTACATCATAGACCTCCAGCGATCATTATGAATCTCCAGTTGTAAGCGAGGAGGCTTGTTCAGCCCACAAGCCGGCTTCAAGTGGAGAAGCCCGATCTATGAATATTCAGGAGCGACCTGGAACCAAACTGGATTGCCAGGGCAGACGGAGCGCTGGGTGTGTGTCTCCATTTGAGATTCAAATATGATCCAACAAATTACAGCTGAGAAAGTAACACTCAGCGATGACTCGGTATTGGCCGATCTCATAGCAGTGTTTCATGCGACCTTAAGACCTGGTCTTTAAGGGGGTGGTATGTAAGTGTTCAAAGGATGGAGGGAAGTGAAGAGTGGGGTTGCCGACCCACAAGCAAGGGGAGAGACCGGTGTAAGCTGTGAGCACGAACTTGAAAATAGGCACTCTTATCGACAGGTTGGTCCGTTTTGGTAGTGGTTCGGGAGTGGTTGGGGAGTGCGCTTGTTGGTTAGAGGATCAGTGCTCGGGCGCCCTACCATGCATCCTTATTGGTGGAGGAAACGCCTTCGGGGGAATCCCAAACATGCTGCGTTTCTGGCTCTTCTTACGTATACTGTGAGCTGCTTGCCTAAAGTAGTTACGATAGATCATGGAGGCACAATAAGGAGATCATAATGGGTTGTTGGTTCTATACTTGGTCCCATCGTCTTCCAATCGTGTTGCCACATGACCTCTACGGCCCTCACCCATCTCCAGTATCATCATTTCTATGCCAAGTAACAGCGGTTAATTTGGAAGCCTCCTAGAAAAAATAGTTCTTGCCTTGGAAGCTTAGCTGCTGAATCCTTCTCCCATGAGTCCCGATCCGCCAGCCAACACCGCTGTCCATCCCAACATCACAGTGTAAGCACTCAAGATTCGATCATCATCTAGCGCACAGGTCGTCATGTTTCAGCGGAGGTTGAAACTTTTTTGTTCCTGAAACACCTTGAATCTCCCAATTACCGAATTATCCCCGATCGCTCTATGCTTTGACGGGGGAGGAAGCCAAGGTCTAGGCCCCCAGCCAAGCCTTACCGAAATGTGTGCCGGCCCGGTGAAGTTGCTGACCGTGTTGGCGTTTCATCTCCAGTAAGTGGAGAACTTGCCTGCCTATGCCGCTACCTATGGCCGGTACGGTTGAAATGGTTTCTCTGAAAAGTTCATATTTCAAGCCCTCTTGGATCATATGTGGTTCACAATAGACGCAAGGAACTAGCGATACTAACTACCCCAACATCATGCTTTCTTAATAGGTTCAATCTGCACTCTGAGCTAGAATCAAAGTCTCCGATATTGGTTTTGGCAAAGGCTCATTACAGAGACCTTGATCCACCAGGGAGGGCAAACTGACATTATTGTACAAGATAAGAGTGTACGTGTGATGGACTGTTGCCATTCAAGTTGCGATATGATTACAACATCATCTTATAATGATTGTAAAGAAAATACTGATATCTTTCGGATTTCTGAAAGAGCAGCATACCATATCTAGTTCTTCAAATCAAGAGAGATTCATCAAGGCAAAAAAAGTAGAATTAGGGAAAAAGACGATATGCAGAGGCTATCCACCAATCAGCGATCGACCCTTCTGCCAGCCCTAAAATAGAAGGCGGTAACTCCAAAACCCGGTGATGATGTATGCGCGAGCTCTTTCTCCGCAGCTCCAGTTCCGGATTCTTCTGCAAATTCCCTTGCACACAAACGACCAGACAATACAAAATGCTGTCCCGCAGTGCCCCCCGTCTACTTCGTGTTGGATCTGCCATCCGCTCCTCTATCCGAACCTCCTACACAGTCCGCCCAGCTTCCAATACGCTCTCCCGCAGCTACCCATCGCACCCGCGGGCATTCCACGCCTCCCCGACTTTCGCCAAAGGCATCCAACCGGACTCTGAAGATCCCAACCCACCGAACCCTCAAAGCACCCCCATTGCTGGTGCTGCAGCACATGTAACTGAACCAACTCCACTCTCAGAAGAGGAATACCGTGAATATTCAGAGCACTACTTCAACGTACTGCTTGCGGAATTGGAGAAGGCGCAGGAGGAGGGATCTGATGTTGAGGCAGAGTACAGCGTGAGCTATCCAGTTCTTTTCTAACATGCCTATCACACATCCAATATCAATTGCTTCTGTTTCCTTGGAAATCTCAATTGTGCTTAAATTGTGCTTCCGAGATATGATGAAAACTAACTCAATTATCGCCAGGCCGGCGTCCTAAATATCTCTGTCCCCGCCATCGGCACCTTTGTTCTGAACAAGCAACCCCCCAACAAGCAGATCTGGCTCAGTTCACCCATCTCTGGGCCCAAGCGATATGACTGGATTGTCGAAGGCGACCGCATGTACGAGAAGCAGGACTCCCGGCCCTTTGTCCACGGCCAGTGGATCTATCTTCGGGACGGGTCGAACTTGACCGAGCTGTTGAACTCTGAATTGACACTGCAGCTCCCGAAAGATATCTACGGTGAAATAACTGACGCATAAATTGGTTATCAAGATTTTATGGCCAGCCTAGCCCGTTTAAGGATGAGAAATGTGGGAGTGAATTGTGCATCGTGGGGAAGGAGCATTTACCTGACATTTATTTCATCCGATCTCCGGTTCGATGGTTTACGGTCTAATGAAGATCCGATATCCCTGAAGTTTTCTTCATGGGGATGCATGACGCATGTACTGTAGCTTTATGGACGCTTAATATTACTCGTTAAGAACACATTGAAAGGAAGTCCTACATCCGAGATGACGATACAAAAAATCCACAAAGATCTGACCGTGACCTCCAAGTCATTGGGAATCAATCAGCGGAATATTTATTTTATGATAGATAGATCTAATAGTTAGGGAAATGAAAGATCAAGGAGTCACTAGAGCTCCGAAGAAGCCTCGGCGACTTTCTCATCTCCCTGGTTTTGCTCTCTTTGCTCTTCCTTTTGTCTTGAAATATGCACTAGACTCCATGCAGATATTTTAAAGGTGTGTCGTGCCAGGTTGCTGTCCTTGATTCGATACGGCGGTTACTCTTGCCATGAATCTGGTATTCTCCGTTGCAGGTGGGGGCTCGTAGCTACAGAGTATGTAGTCGCTCCTGTACATTAGGAACGAACATAGGCCATACGCCATTCTCAGAGCAGCTGGATTCACAGATATTCGATCAGCCAAGATATCAGCAAGCACCTTGGTCGGATGCCCAACTCTTTTATACCTAGGGTTTCCACGAGGAAGGACGGTGGCCATCGGTGGCTACATAGTACACGAAAGAAAACAGCGCCAATGAACTTGTTTGTAGTTTGATTCAAAGAGAGAAAAAAGAAACAACAAGATAGACCGAGAAAATAAGAGGATAAAATCGAAGGGAGGGAGGGAGTTTAAGATAGGGAATAGAGGGGATAGCAAATGGTAGGGGAAATCTAGTCATAATGAATTATCAGGAGTGCTTTACTTGGAATTATGATGGTTTCCAGCGAACTCCTGCAGCCTCCTGCAACGTTATCCCATATATTATGATGGTGATATTCACTTCTTTCATTGACTAGGGTGAGGTCTGAAGGTAGTTAAAAAAAAGACGGTTTATTGCATCTACATAGAAACGTCTCATAGATAATCATTGAGGGAGACATGACATGAATAAGAGGCGATGTTCGATATTTATACGGCTTGCGGTTTAGGACAGGGTATGTTCAAATAATAATTTAGGAAAAGACTATCCTTTCCGCAAAGCTCCCTCTCATTCCAGAAGGAAAAAAAGAACTAAGCCCTCCCAGCGCCATTGAGAGCGCATAAACGGGGGTTTCCGATATGCATCTAAATGACCGCCAGGTCTGACTTTGATGGTGCAGTAGCTCATAATAGAACTGGGCCGCGAAGAACCCATGGCCAATGAGACGTGTTTGGCTCTGTGGATAACTCGGCGCAGTGATCACTTATCAGCGGGTCATTATGCGAACCAGATAGATCATTGATAGCAAGAGGTTCGGTGCTGACTAGAGTCGTTGGGGGCCGGTTGATCGACCAGGATGTCATGTTGTCCTTGGTGCTGTAGGTGCCCGTTGGCCCACCAGGACAAAAATGTGGTTCAAATGAGAATAGATGTTTCCTTATAGTTCACACTCAAGTTCACGCCTGAACGGCAACGGCACCGGCATTTTGTCCATCATCGGCTTTGGGAAGATCGGCCTGTTTTATAAGATACGTTAGCACCGTGTAAAGCATAACAAACCAAGTATAGCAAATGTGAACAATCACTGGTCACCGCAAGGATGTATCACATACCAAATCGAAGATAACTCGAATCATAAGACTACAACTCGGGCACACGGCGATCTCTTCGCCATCGCGTAGATCGTCGATCGCGATCTCGAAGCGGTCACCACATGGGCAGGGGAAGGTATAGATCTGGAGAGCCGGATCGAAGGTCATATCCTCGATCTCGATCTCATCGTAGATAGAGAGGGCGTCGTCGGCCATGGTGGAGGTGGGGTGATGCTTGTTTGAAGATCGTTTTGTGCCAAGACGACTTTTGAATTTGGCTCCCAGTAGGTTTTGAGGGTGTTTTTCAGGTAAAGAGGAAATCAAGAGCGAGTCTAGATTGAGGAGAGGGCGATGTGACTAACCAGGAACTTTCTCGGTGGCGGACAAAAAGTTTGGCGCGAAGAGGTCATGTGATTGCGGAGTATATCGGTCCATATAGTTCATATCCCGGGAATTGGAAGTCATAGCCTGGTTAAAAATGAAAAAAAAAAAAGGTTCGATATATATATTTGATCTTCTGTTTTTCATGCCTAAAATTCCAGTAATTATTTTTCTAGCCGTGCAATCTCCATTCGCACGGTCTCGACTTCCCGTGCTAGCATACCATATCGACGAGCGATTTGCGCCAACGTTCCTGCAGCTGTACTGTCTATGTGCTCCGATCCTGCCGTCTCCGATTCCTCAACATCTCCATAACTCTTCAGCTCCCGGATAGCAAGGCCCCGGCGCTCATTTAAACGCTCTCTTGTGTCGTGAAGATGTTGCTGATAGCGGGCAAGTGCGGCGGTGGTTTCAGGTGTATAAAGCGAAGCCGCGATCTCGAGCTTCATGACTCTGTGACAGCCTAGTCAGTTATTCGGTTCTTAGGTAGAAGCCCACGCGCATACAGGTACGCAGCATCACGGGGTGGAATGGTAGCACTCACTCAAGTTTCCCCTCCACACCCTGCGCAACAGTAGCCAAGTGCTCTGCCTTCGCTCTCGTCGCCCGTGCCAAGGTCCCATGCTTTGCCCGCTCTAGAATCATAACTGTCCGCTCCAAAACCATTGCACGGGCTGCCAACACTGCAGCTGCAGTCGCGGCCATTTCCCGACGAGCTGCCGGTAACTCTGATAGTTGGACCCGGCGGAGAGTAGCAACCCGGTCCGTCAGCTGCGATGCCAGAGGGGCAACGGGTGCCATTGAGGTCCGTACACGGCGGTCTCGAGCACGTGCGCGGTCATGGTGTTTGGATCGGGTTGGGGCGGGGATGTTGCGCGACGCGCCTGCGGTGATATCGGCAGCTGCATCGAGCTGAAGTTCGGCGTTTGTAGATACAATGGTGCGGAGGTCCGTAATAGCTGTAGAGAGGAGGTTTGAGAAGTGTAGAATGAACGAGGGTATGTGCGAGTAGAAGGCTTCGATGTCTGGGGCAAGGAGGGACAGAACGTCGTCTTGTGGGAGCTCGGATGTTTCGTGCATATTTGCCGGTGGGGTATTTAGGCCCAGGGCGCAGTATGGTGTATCAAGATATATCGATATGATGGCAAGATTATCCTGGCACTTCATTACACGGATGAGTCTTAGCATTCTGGGATATCCGTTTGTTTTGCGGAGATATAGCTCTCACCTCCTCAGGAAGGCTGCCATTGGATGCAAACGCCAGCTGCCGAAGCATCCGCTCCTTGAGTCTTCGTTTTGCTTTCTGTATTTGACATTGTTTCACTTCCTATAGGGATCCCATTATCAAAATCCGTCTCTGCTAATTGAGTTCGTCGACATGTCGTGAGAGGCGCTGTTTTGGGCGCGTCGCAACGTACCTCCACCACAGCTTTTCGTGTCGGTTCCGTGTCATAGACAGCTGTTGAGCCATCTGGATTCAATAGATTGATGGTCAAATTTTCATAAAGTCGTTTAAACTGCGGGTTATTCTCGAGAATTGAAGGGTCACAGGGGGGTATCATGGCGAACAGTGGGAGGTTAAAAGCAAGTTTGTTGACCGCCGGGTGCGGGATCGACGACCTCCGCGGAGTCGACCAACCAAAGATTGGATCGACTTTGGAATCTTAAAAGTATAGTGAATAGGCTACTCTGTACATGGAACTTACTGAACCTCGTCTCGTAACTACAAAGAACAGTATTTTTGAAAAACGCTACTACACGTACATTTTTGGCATTTCCGCGTTTCGTTTCGTAATCATACATGTGAAGCTGCTCGCTCCAGGTCCATCCCCGTTTTTCCATCAATCTCATCGAGAAGCAACGATCTCTCTTCCTCAGCAAACGCAGCGAAGAGAGATAAAAATGTACACTCGGTTAGAAAGGAAGGGACTAAACAGTTCAAGCAATCCAGATCCCATGAGACTTTCGCAATATGTCGCAATGAACACACCGGATGGCATTCAAAGGCGATGCATGCAGAAGTGGAGGAAATTTGAAGAGAACAAGAGAAAAAAAGATTTATGTACAAGGTTGTCCGACCCAGATCGATCACCGCAGAGGGCGCAAAAGGATGGATGCAATCAAAAAATTGCAAGCAGGCTAGCGCCCTTTTGGAGGATCCGAGTTTCGTATTAGATCTGGAAATGGTGGGCAAGAATCAGTTCAGGAAGGGGAGAGGACAAGAGAGGGGAGAAACGCTCGGAACGCAAAGCAATAGCAAGGCAGCCACCTCTCCGAAGAGAGAACAATTCACACCTGCAGAGCATTTACTCTTCTTCGCTCTCCTCCGAGTCATCATCTGATTCGTCCTCGCTGGTTTCATTGGCCTCGACAGAAGGCATTGGGACAGGGGAGCCCCCGCCACCCTGGAAGCGAGAGAGATTGCTTTCAAGCATATTGATTTGAGCTTCTTGCTCGTACTTGCTCATGGGCTTGTTTTTCTTCGGCTTCGGGGCAGCCACGCTGCTGACAGGGGCATCATCCTCATCATCCATGATGTTGGGGCAATTTTTCTTCACAAATTTGAGCAGCAACAGCAGGACATCGTTCGGCAGCTCGTCAATGTCCAGTTCAATCTCGGCCTCTTGGGTACCCTAAAAGTAGACAGGCATCAGTTACATCCATCTTGAAAATCGAGATTCGTGGGAGGAAGAAAAAAAAAGAGCAGGATGCAAAACTTACCTTCAAAGCCGGAACATTCTTCTGGATGATGCCGAGAGCCTCCTGCATCTTTTTGTCTGGGAGACTGCTAATGCCGTTCGAAATGATCTGCTTCTCATGGTAGGTTATGTTGCGCTTTTCAGGCTTGCCGGAGAAGCTCTTGCTCTTCTTATCCTTCTTGCCGCTGCTGCTCTTCTTCGGATCCTTCTTGCCGGTTGACTTCGACTTGGCCTTCTTAGCCGGAGGGGTCTTCTTCTTATTCTGGGTAATCATTTCCACCTGGCGAGACATCTCCGCAATCTGCTTCTGGAGTTGGCTGAGTCTGGCGTCGTCATCATCACTCTCATCAACATCCTCATCGCTATCATCCTCAGAGGAATCACTGTTATGTTCGGGGTGCGGCTCATGTTTCTCCAGGTAGGCGGCCTTCTGCTGCCACTTCTCATCGAAGGTTGCCTCCAGGCTCTGTCCAGCCAGGTAAGTGGGGTCACCGGGAAGGTTAAATCGGTAGCAATTCTTGAACATCAGGCGGATGTCAACTTCAAACTCCTTAGAGTTCTCATACTGACCAGTCGTGAGCTTTGACTTGATGGTTGACAGATCCATGGGCTTCTTGATCACGCTGTGATAGGTAGGGATGTTGAGAGCCACCGGGTCGACAGGGTAGTAGAAAGGCAACGCAATCATTTGATGCTTCGGCTTGTGAAGCTCCTCCAGGACGTCCTGGCAGAAGCGCAGTTCCCACTGGTACTTCTTTTTCTTGGGCTTAGTGGAGTACGGCATGTCGCGCTTGGGGGGGTGAATGGACCGCTTAGGGCGTCCATCGGGGTTGGACGAGTCGCGGCGAATGACCGGTAGGCCCTCAGGACCCAGGGCGAAGGTAGTGCTCTGGGGCGATGTCGCCTTGGGTGCTGGAGCCGGCGGCTGAACGGGAGCGGGAGCAGCCGCAGGGACAGGCAGGCCGCCAGTGGAAGTGCGTGGCTCCCGACGGGCTGCTGAAGTCTTTTCTGTCATCTTCTTGGGCTTCTTTTCTTCCACCTCGTCGGGCCTTGGCATGTTCAGCATTTGCTTTTCAAAGGTGGCCTGCAGTTTACGCCCCTCTTGTGAAACCACGTGATCGGGACCGTTGAATTTATTCGCATTGTCCACCATCAGAGCAAAGTCAGCTTTAACAGCCTGTGGGGATGGATACTCGTTGGCCTTCAGCTTCTTCTCCATGGTACCCAAATCCATGGGTCTGGTAATAACGTTATGATAATTGGGGATGTTCAACGTGATCGGATCCACGGGAACCTTGTAGAAGCGTGCATCATGCATGCGCTTCAAACTGGTTAGGCACTTCACGAGAAACTTGTGCTGCATCTTGGTGATGCTGGATTCTCCAACTTGAGCAGCGGGGCCCGGAGTCTCAGCAGCCGGGGTAGGCAACTCGGGCTGCTTGAAATCCACAGTGCCGTCCTCAGGTTCAACCTTCGTGCGTTTGGCAGCCGGCTCCTCAGCCGGATCCATCTCGCGTTCGCGGGAAACCTTCGAGGGAGAAAGGGGCGCGCTGGGTGCGTCTTTCATTTCGTGGTCAGTCTGGAGTGCAGGTAGGCTGGGGGTGCCAGGTTCGGTACTCGGGTGGTGAGGAAGCTCAGTCTTGACCCCTGTAGTACCCTGGGGACCATCGACAGCCATCTTATCCGATGAATCCGCGGAGCCGTCGAATGGTCCAGAGGCGATGCCTCCGGAAGAGGAGGCAGGAGCAGGTCGAGGAGTGTGAGAGATGCTGTTCTCAGGGGACGCACTTGGGACGATGGGAGTCGCCCGTTCCGCCTTCTCTGAGGCCTGCGTCTCTTGCGGCGCAGTGGATTGATTAGAGCAAGCGGGCTCGGCTGGGGCCGACGGAGCAGGGGTTTCAGTTTGTGGAGCCGCAGAGGCCGGTGACTTGGGAGGAGAGGCTGCGGTGGTCGTGCCGTTGGCATTTGCAGGAGAGCTGGTGTGACCGTTCATGGCGGAGTGGTTGGTCATATTCAGTTTGGAGGATTCATCTGTTTTGAGATCCGAGGTAGCACTGGCGACGCTGCAAGCGGAGCAAGTGAGGTTAGTGGGGTGCGCAGGTGAGAAAAACACATCGCCGATAACCGAGGTAGCCATACCTGTTTGGCGCGACATCCAGCGCCGATGCACCAGTTGGAGAGGGTGGCAGCTGTGGCTTCTCCCCCTTGACAATCGGAGAGGCCTCGGGAGGCGGAGTCGCCATGAAGGATACGCTGTACTCCAGGCACGGACTGGGAATACACACGTCTAGGGTTGAGTGGGGAGGTGTGTAATGGAGAGGAAACGACGGGTGAGAGCGGAGATCGCACGCGACTGGTTCGGGTAAAAACAATTCAACTGGATACACGGCACGCGCTAAGGCAGGCTACCTGAAGAAGGAAGACAAATCGCGCCACGGACACAAAAGCACAGAACGCGCGACGAACGGGGAGTGTGACTTGAATGATTCGAGAGATCGAGTGATCGGAGTGATAAGGATCTGAGGGAGGCTCGGGAGATATGGAGAGTGGAGAATGCGATCGGGGGCAAAAGAATTTATACCGCCAAGAAGGCGGTGAGACGGTCACGTGGGCGGTGACTCGATGTTTGAGGCAAGATTGGTCGACGGGCAGGGAAAAAGGGTCAAATGGTGACGACAGGGAGGGAAGAGGATGAGTCAGAAAATTCACGGCCAGAGCTTGAGAAGAAAGCCGAACCCGACTGAGGGTGGGTAGATGCCTCAGGTGTGGGGTCGCGAATCGGGGGAAGCACGCAGAAAAATGGGGAGCCAAAATAATCTGAATAAAGAAATTAAGATTGGCGAATGGCGGGCGGTTAAAAAGAAGCTTGGGGATTGGGGGGAGGGGGAGTACAGGGGGGTTCGCGACGCGAGACGCGTTGTTTGGGCAGATTCGGGTAAAGGGGGAAGAAGGAGTTGAGAGGGTGGACGCGGTCAGGAGGAACCAATCAGCCAGAGTGACCCAGGAGTAACCACGACAGGGGGGCGGTCAAGGGCAAAAAAGGACGGAAGCAGACACAATTTCGGAGGCGGATGCCCGAATCCTTAAGTACGGCCAGCACGCCTGGTCCAGCTTCGGTCCCAGGCTTTGGCAAGGGCTCGGGAGAGCCTCCACCGCCCGCGCTGGGCCGGATTCTACTGGTTCCGCCGCAGCTTGATTGGCTTGGCCCCAACGCGTTTGCCTGGCCCGTCCTCGTGATTGGCCTTGCTGGGGACTCCGTACGGTACGTAACGCCCAGCCCAGTACCGTACCGTATTGGTCCTTCGCAAATTTTTCTTTTTTGGTGGCCGCTCGCCGTTTTTTGGGGCCGATCTCAACCACGGCCCTTTACACGCTATACACAATACACGTCGAATTCGAATTCGTGGGCAGGGATCGGGGGACTCCATTTTTTTTCAGCTGGCGTTTCCCGCATGAATAATGGGATGGGACTCCCATCCTCATAGTTATTAATATCGACTCGGTGGAGACTTCCTGGATCTGCGAGGGATGGAAATGAGATCATCATGGATGACTCGGTGTCATCGAAATTTCTCCAGTGTTTCCCCCTGGTCCGCGCGGAAGCCCTAGGGTTATCGTCAAATGCGGTCTAGCGTTATCGCCCAAGTAGTCCGGGCGTGTCACGTGGTGCGCAGCAAACAGTAGGGGTATGATCCAAGACGATCAAATAGGACTGCAGGCGCAGCCCCAGGACGGGGTTTGTCATTGCAGCTGTCAGAAAACGGGTTGGATTTAGAAAATGAAACACTCCACATGCCAGGAGAAGGGATTCCAGAGTAATTTGGGGGCATTCTACAGATTCATCTGCCAATGTTGGGGGCGGAGCCAATCATGTGGCATACTCGGCTTCCACCCTTACAGATGAGGCAACGAATTTCTAATCTTGCGTGGACATGGGTCACATGATTGGTCTCGGCCTGGCGAGCCAGCGAGGCTGCTACATAATATACATAGTGCTTTGGTCTTCGGATTTGGTACGCCATAAATGTAGATCGTATCACGGAGAAGTTTGAATAAGAGACTCTGGTACTTTGTCTTTGACCGGACATGATTCAATCATCATCTCGAAATCCGTAGACCTTACATCCTAGGCTCCGAGTTTGTTGAGTGAAACTAACCGAACCAGATCGACTTTGCCCATGAAGCTTTCATACAAAAACTATCACCACGAGACTCGCGGCCCAGCAAATCCCGTCCGACATGGACCGAGAACATCCCTCGACCGCCTATTATCTGGTCAGGACCCTACATGAAAATCCGAGTCCTAGTTATAGATCACCGTAACAGGTGGAAGCCTGACTTCAATTTGGCATTGGGAAACAGTCTATTCAGAGTCCATTCAGTTGCCATTGATTCCATGTAGGTGGTGATTCCCAAGAAATGAAGTCTTCATAGGTATGTTGGCTTAAAGTTGACTAAACCATGCCGCATGTTTAATTTCTAAGTTTGAGCGTTCATATATATTTAACGCATCATTTGGCCTGAAAGGAGGATAGAGAACATTTGCCGTGATGGTTGGGTATCTGCAATCAACCAAATCAAAGAAAGGTTGGAACTGATATTTTGAGAATTCCAATACATGAATGCATAAGAACATCCCCATATAGACCCTGAATGAATTCCATGTCTTATAGGCCACCCTCTGGATTGAAGCTCGGGCTGATTAGATAAGGCTCAATCGTCTTACGCTAGTCCATATCAAGCCTAGTGCCCATCCCGGGAGGTCTACAGAACATTTTTTTCCTTTCCGCAACTGCGAGACCACCAGAGTCCCAGAACCCCTCCCCTAGTCAACGTTTCTTCGGGGTTCAGAAAATTGTTCACGGGAATCTCGTCCGACCCTATTGGAGAATTGGCGCTTCTCCATCTCTCCTCCAATTCACCCGCGCAAGGGGGAAAAACTCGAGACCTCCCAAACAGGAAAAAAAAAGCTTCGACTTCGAAACAGAAAATGGGCAAGAAGACTGCTCGCTCGTCGGCCAAGGTTGGCACGGCCGCATCACCCGCCTCAGGTCTCTCGTCTGCTGGCAGCAAATCCTCCATTCTGCGAGCCGCTTTCTCGCCATCGGAATATCAGTTGGCTCTGTTCGCATCTGTCATCCAGGGCTTGGATGCGCAGCACCTCCGGATCCACGACATCAACACCGGCCGGCTTCAGTGTGAGCATGCGTTGGGACCGAAGGAGACCGTCACCTCGCTGGACTGGGGATACTACGGGGGCCAGGGCAAGAACCGCGATGCGTCGAAGAAGAAGCGCAAGCGCGGATCCGATGTCAACGGATTAGACCAGGGGGATATCGTGGTGGCATTCGGTACCAGTACCTCGGATATCCGAATGTTCTCACCTTCAGAGGATAAGGTCGTCGGCATCCTTACCGGCGCGCACGACAAGGGCATCAAGGATTTCAAGTTCTCGGCCGGAGCTCCCGCCCAGGAGGCTTGGAGTATTGGTGGTGACAACAAGCTGATCCAGTGGGATCTGCGCACTGGGCAAAGCGTAAGGTATGTTGGAGTCAACCGTCTGATATATTATCCATTTCCCCTCGACAAGTATGGTTTTCTCATGAATTATCTCGCAGAACAATTCACTTGCCCTCTCCTTCGACTTTCTCTGCTATCTCTCGCCCCGTCCCCTCCAGCACGCCTGTCATCTGCGCCTCGCAGACCCCGTTCTTAATAAACGTGGAGAACCCCGAAGAGCCGCCGGTCCAATTCCCCGCCATGCGCAACCAAATTCACACAGTCGTCTCATCCGCCGGCGCTTTCCTCGCTTCTGACGGCGAGCGATTCATTAACGTTTTCGATACGTCTAGCCAAAAGCTTGTTCGAAACCTTGTCGCTGACCAGGACGTGTCTTCTGTCTCTTTGTATGACGCTACCGACTCCGCTGCTGAGAAGCAGATTCTCGCCGCCGTCACCGAAGACGGAACCATCGAGTTTTTCACAAAGCCGTTTGCCCAGCTAAGCGCACCGACTGCCAGTGCCAAGGCCAATCGGAAACAGATGACGCAGAAGGCCAATGCCTCTCTGAAGATCACCCGTGGCGATTCCTCAAGTGCCTCCGTACCCGTTGTATCAACTTCTTTCTACGGACCCGAGATCGTCGTGGCCTACGCCGAGGGTGGTGTGATCCCTGTCTTTGAGCGTGTCAAGTTCATCGACGAGACTACCGAGGAACTCTTGTTTACCGGTCCCAAAGCCGTCGCAAAGACTAAGTCCAGCTCCGTCATCACATCCATCACCACGAACAGAGCCAAGGACGCGAGCGAGAGCCGCGTCGACGAGACCCATACAGCCGTCGAGGATGGGAACATTGTCGACAATGATATCGAGATGAACGACGATGCCGGCTCCGAGTCTGGTAGCGATGTGGACTCTGATGTCGAGGACGCTGCCAAGCCTACCGAGAAGAAGAGTAAGTCCGCCAAGCAAACCGCCGCCGATGAGGACGTCGAGATGGACAGCGTCGCTTCCGACAATGACGACGAGGAAGATGAGCAAGAGGAGGACGCCGGTGCCGAACCCTCCTTCGGCGAGCTGCTGCGCGCCAACGCCGGCCAGGAAGTCGATGTGGAGGCCGAGCTAGAGGACGATGTGCTGATGGGCGCGCTGGTGCCGGGCAAGCCGACAGCCGCGGTGCAACAGATCCCGACGGGCGTGTCGCTGGCGACGGTGCTGACGCAATCCCTGAAGACGAACGACATGAACATGCTGGAATCCTGCTTCCACACGAACGACACCTCAATCATTCGCACGACCATCCAGCGTCTCGACTCGTCGCTGGCCGCGACCCTGCTCCAGAAACTGGCCGAGCGGTTGTCCGCCCGGCCGGGCCGTTATGGCCACCTGCTCATCTGGGTGCAATGGACGTGTGTCGCGCACGGTGGCGCGTTGGCCGGTCAGCCTGAGCTCCTGAAGCGTATGGCCACGCTGTACAAGGTCATGGACCAGCGGTCGTCAAGCTTGCCGTCGCTGCTTCTGCTCAAGGGCAAGCTGGACATGCTGGACGCGCAGCTGGGCCTGCGGCAGGCGCTGCACGGTGGCAACGAGGGGCTGGACAGCGAGGACGAGGACAACGTCATCTACGTGGAGGGCCAGGATGAGGATAGCGACAGCGAGATAGAGGCGAAGCCGCGGCCCAAGTCGATCCGCGAGGCGGCGTTCGACGAGGATGAGTCCATGATGAATGGCATTGCGGATGAGTCGGAGGATGAGGAGGATGACGGTAGCGAGGACGACGACGAGGACGAAGATGAGGACCTGCTGGATATCGAGGCGGAGGAGTCGGCGGGCTCGTCGGACGCGGAGGAGTCGCTTGAGGAGAACGAGGACGACGAGGATGATGATGAAAGCGATGGATCGATGGTCGATTTCATTGCTGACACCGAGGACGACGAGTCCGATGAAGCGATTGAGCAGCCGCCGCCGACCAAGAAGGCCAAGACTGGGAAAAAGAAGGCCGGCAAGAAATGAGCGGCCCCATGCATGGACCAGTTGGCCGAAACCTATGATGGAGCAGGATCGGTTTCTTGGTGCTTGGGAGGAGGTTTTATGTGTACGAATTGACTGGCGGATAAGACGTGGCTATCTGGGATGAAATATTTTGTGCTAAAAAGAACGGTTTTTTTTCTCTCTCCTATTTATTATATACTCTTGATGCATCAATGCCTGCATTTTCTTCTTTGTGATTTACTTTCGTGCTTTGATACATTAGATCGATGAGATCTAGGACGACCATCACTGGCATCCAGAATTTATTTTCTATGTAAAACTTGATTCTGCTCGTTTTGATCAATCGGGTTTCTACTGCATAGTGAAGGTTTTTATCCAGCTATGTACTGTATCAACTCGTTCCTCGTTCTTCTAGCCAATGTTTTATTCAAGCAACTCCGCTTCACGACAAGCTCCCTCATGCAGCACCGTATGTCCTGGTACACTCCCCGCGCCGAGAGGAATCTCCAGTGCAATCGTCTTTTCCTGCGACGGATACGTGGTGATATGCCCCAGGGCACTAGCGTCGGCTGTGTCGAGGGCTAGAATGGCTCCGTTCTTGCCGCCTGTGATCCATGCCTCAGTAGTAGAGTTGGGCAAAGTGATGTGCGCCACGCCGGAGAGGAAGACTACCCATCTGATGAGGGAAGAAGGGGCAATGGTCAACTGGTATTTTAGGATTATATGGACCCGCAAACAGGTCTAGAGAGGAAGAGTTCTGATATAGCAGAGAAGGGGAAGACAGCTTGTCTTAGGCTTGTCTGTTTGGGGATAATAGGCGGCATGTGCAACGATGTATATAGCTCTGAACCGAGTGCATTTGCCACGCAGGCGAGCGAAGGGGGGTGTTTCACGTACTGCAGCTCCGGAGCATTATGTCGTCCACCGTCAAATCCGGCTGGGATGATAGTGTATGTCGCATTGCCTGCATTGCCGCCGCCGATGGGTCCAAGATTAAGAGCCTGTGAGCCTGACGTACCAGACTCAGAGGAGGTGGTGAAACCGGGCTCAAGAGCCCAGCATTCAAGGGTGGAGCGGTTATGCCGGGCGCCGAGGACAGTAATGTTGAGCGTGTTGGCGGCTGCGAGGGTGGAGAGGAGAATCGGCGTAAGGGATGTGAGACGCATGATGGAGAGATTCGCAGGTGTGAGCTCAGAGGAGAGGATCTGTCGGTAGGGATGCGAGATTGCAAGATCATCCACGTTCAGTTGGAGAATTGGTAGAAGAATGGAAATGGTCCTAATTGGAGTATAAACAATCCTCCTAGATTATATTAGTGTGTGGCGCACTACTAGATGCCAAGGGGGCCTGAAGAAGGCGGGTGGGGAGGGATCGGCATGACGGACATGAAAATTGGAGCAATCGGGTTCCAGCGGGCTCCAGAGTGATGTGGTGACCCAGAGGACCGGGAGCTTGATTATACTTGGCTGCGAGATCCAGGTGAGAAGGTTGTCAAGATACACAGAGTAACGTAAACCTTGAAGTTTTAAAAGTTGTAGAAAGTATAGTTCCAAAGTACACAAACAACTTGGAAGGTACAAACAAAGACCTAAGAATGTCACACAGCAAAATGGAATAGAAGACAAAAGCCGTCAATTCCTCGTCAAACAGCCCTAAAAAACAACACACAACGCCATTCTAACCAACGGGGATTTTAGCGAATGATTTCCCCACCAGGCTTTTCAATGCCTTCCATGCTCTCCAAAATATCACTGCCCCCGAGTAGCCCAGAAGCAGCAGATCCGATGCCGATGCTCTTGCGGCGCCCAGTCCAGACTTCATGGAACTTGACGGTCTGGTCACTAGACGCGACGATGATGCATCCTTCTTCCATGGTGCGCGTACACCACATTCCGCCCTCTTTCTCCTTCGGCCGCACCTCTCGCGGGCCCCTTCGACGCATCGTAGAGGCATTCCCCTGCCCCGACACTTGCGAGCTGAGAGGCGAGGGGCTAGTTGATCGTGATGGAGGGGATGAAGGTGGAGTGAGGATATTGGGGCCTTCGAGTTCGATACTGGACAGAGCGGGTGATTTTCCTGGGTAACTGATAGCCCAAAGCGCACGTCCACAGTCGTAACTAGGCTCAGGACCAAGTTCATCCCAGCTGGTTCCATATGGCCCCCAAGGGATGACAGCAACTTGGGTACAACTAGGCCAGGCAAAGACGGCGATCCGGAACGGGTGGTCGGGCTGGGCATACCCAAAGGTTGCTGCGATTTCACGCCGGGTCTGACTCCAGATCAAGCTGGTGACTTGCGCGAACACATTGATGGTAGCAAGACATACTCCAGTGCGAGTGTGGTAGAAGTGGATCGCTCGATCATTGGAGCCTCCCCCAGTGGCCAGAAGCGAGGGCTGCCAGGGTGCGAATGCAATTGCTTTGACTGCCGCGGCGTGCGCCAAGCGGTGTTTCTGACGGTTAGAAGGAACCAGAACGGTCTTGCCCGTCCCTGAGATCAGGGTGCCCGCATGGCTCATGAGAGGTACCGCCATGGAAGGCTTTATTGGCGGGGGATGAACCCACGATGGGAGCAGATGGCTAACGATATGCTGTCGACCGAGTAATTGCTGGGGAGTAGTCCCCAGGTTGAGGGATGGGAATGTGCGGACATTCATATTTCTTAAAGAATCACCCGACAAGGCTGACACCAGTGAAGGAGGTAAAGCCGGTGAAGGAATAATCTCAGGCAACTCGAAGAGTAGGCAGACGTTGTCATTACCTCCAGTCGCGAGGAACCGTTCATCGGGAGACCACGCGAGCCCGCAGATTTGCTGTGAATGTGCGGATATCTTCGCGAGAAGAGTCATCGAGCCTGTCCAGCTCCACTTATTGTGAATCTCCGGCCACTCGACCGAGTAATACCAAATATTGCCCATTTCATCACCAACGGCGAGATCCTCCACCTCCACCATCAAATTCGAATAACGCTCTGAAGGTCTTTGCGAGACTTTGGGCTTGAACGAGACGCACGAGATGCTGTTGGGATGGCTGACCTCAAAGCGGACCTTGGTCTCAAAGACACTCCACAGAGATAGTTGACCAGACTGACGGCCCACTGCGAGAATGCTTCGGCTTCCATTTTCAGAAGAGAATGACAAAGACGTCACGAAGTTGGATGGATGGACATCTCCAAAAGGTGGATGGTCGACAGCAAAGCTTTCAGACCACAAGTAAACATACTGGGCAAGGCCCACGGCAAGAACGCCAGCTGCGAGCGAGTATGCAAGGGTGGAGCAGTAGAAATCGTCTCGCAGATAAGGGGCATCGAGAATCCGAAAAGGCTTAGGTGGGACAATTTCTGGCCTAGGGAGACGTCTTGGCCCTGGGTGATAGGATGGATATTAGTTTAATGCTGCAGGAATGACTGCAAATACCACTGCCTCACCATTTGAAATAAATTCTGTAGATGTCATTTAGATTGTAATTCCGGTTTAATAGTGATTGAACAGCTTGAAGCACGCGGAAGAAGTAAATCGAGAGGACCCGAGGCCTGAAAACCAAGCAAAAACAACCATGGAAATCACTACTCACAGTACTCCATTTCAACCTTTTTCCAGGTACTGTCTTTCCATACAAACGGTGAAAGCCGCTCATAATCCGGTGATGCTGGACTGGGGGCGTTCTCCTCGCATCTCATACACGTTCCAAGAAGCCTGGTCGTTGGGTCAATATCCAATGCGAGGGCTAATCTGGATTCATGCTTATTCTGATCATCGGCCCTGGTATTTATTGGTAAGAATTTCGCGACGAATCTCGGAGCCGAGGAGCCTCTGCTCGAAACACTTCTTGTCTCGTTCGGGACCGGGGCGACTGTTGAAGAATCTCCGAGGGCGGCAGAGGTTCCCCCAACGCCCCAGACAGCCCTTGCACTGACTTGCCGGATGAAGTCGTTGCGACTGTTTGCCCCCATGATGGTTGAGTCTGTGACCAGATGAGGCTGTTGATAAGGTCTTTGCCGCGGCCTAGCGGATGCAGGTCTTTGCCCGTGAAGTGCCGATGGCCGTCGAGTTGATGAAAGAAACGGGTCATCGCCAAGCAGGCGTCGCCGAACGACTTTTTCACGAGGAGAAAGCTGATATGCATACTTGTTTATGCGGTAGGGAGTGGACGGCGTTTCCGTAAACTCTCGCTTTGGAATGAATCTATCTGGAGATATCAGACCAGTGAAAGTCCCGTGTGTCAATTGCCTGTTGAAATTTCCTCTCACTCTGCTTCGGCTTTGCTCAGGAGGAGGACTGTCCACGCTTCTGTTTTCCTTTAAGCGTGTGGTGACATTGGCTGCACTCGCCTTGGGTTTGAGAGTCAATGATATCTGAGAACTGGTAGGTGAGTCCAAAAGGGGTAAGTTGATAGTTGCAAATTCGGTGAGGATGACAGGCCCGCTGTCCTGAGGAGACTCATATTGGGAGAGAGAGGTTAGTGACATGCGGTGATGGTGGGCTGAGGAAACATCCTCGAATGAGTGGCATCGCGAGTCTACCATTGTCTAGACAGAACGCGAATTGGCTGAATACAATAGAAAAGTAAGATTCAGTTAAGAAAAGGAGTGTATAGTGGATTCCACGAGTCGAAGAAGCATGATTGTCAAGAAAAAGCCCAGGTTTGACGTTGCAGGTACGAAGTAGATGCACACAAACGTATTGTAGAGAAGCTGCCTTCGGGGCCGCGATGATTACGTGATGCCCGACGGTGGGATGTCTAACGGTGGCTGTTTCCTCCTCCGCCTCCTCGAGCGCTTGCTGCAAATTCCGTCAAAATGGCTAGTGTGAGTCAGGCAATGGTTTAATTGAATTTGAGCTCGGGCTTTACTGAGATTTTGATAGCATGGCGTTCGGCGCTTCAAAGTAGTAGAGAAGACGCCGGAGGAGAGGCAACTGGAGCTGCAGAAGATAGACGACTACAAAGCCCTAGAACGCCTGGTCTCCGAAAAGGTGATTGCTTGATTTCCTTTTGTGATAGCAGAGTGGGAATGGTGCTTACTAGAATCTAGGTCGCCGAGCATGAATATACAGCTGATACACTGAGGAAGACCTCGGATTTGCTGAGTCGCAACCCAGAATACTACACGATTTGGAACTATCGACGACAGGTGCTCCGGCATCAGTTTTCCGAAGCTGAAGCTTTACCAGAGAAAGAGGCATCGAACCAGATCGCAGAATTGATCAAGAATGACCTGATGTTTTTAATTCCCCTGTTGCGCAGCTTCCCGAAATGCTACTGGATCTGGAACTACCGCCTGTGGCTCTTAGATGAAGGTCGCCGTTTGCTCCCACTGGCCTTGGCTCGTCAGTTCTGGCAAGAGGAACTGGCTTTAGTGAGCAAGATGCTGACACTGGACGGGCGCAACTTTCATGGCTGGGGATATCGACGCCTCGTAGTCGAGACCTTGCGTCAACTTGGGACCCCGGTCGAGGCTGCCAGCATGACCCAGATGGAATTTGAATATGCGAAGAAGATGATCGGCGCCAATCTGTCGAACTTCTCCGCATGGCACTACCGTACGAAGCTTATCCACCAACTATTGGAGGAACAGACCGCAAGTGACGAGGAGCGACGAAGGATGTTGGACGAAGGTTAGTTCTGTTTCCTCGGAGCATTTGCATTTTCCCGCCATCTTTTTTTTAATCTGAGACACTGTGACTGACCTGATACTTTTGGGACAGAGCTGTCTCTTGTTCACCAGGCCTTGATTGATCCTTACGACCAGTCCTTGTGGTTCTATCACCAGAATCTGATGTGCGTGTTTGACCCGGCCATGGCCAGCCGGACTCTGGCTCCGAACCTGAGCACGTCAGAGCGACTTCATTACCTCCGTGATGAGATCGATACTGTTCAGGAGATGCTGGATGGGGCAGAAGATTGCAAGTACATCTACCAGGCCCTGATTGAATGTACATTGCTTGCCTCCAAGGTAGCGGATCACTTGTCCGCGGCCGACCGGGCCCAGATTCTGAGCTGGCTCTCGGAGCTGAAGCAATTAGATCCACTGCGACGACAGCGGTGGCTGGATTTCGAGAAGACCCTGTAGATCTATCCAGAAGAATCTCTTATTTCTTACGAATGCAATTACTCCGAGATAGGATGATGTACATGTGCATTCGCTCTACTCTATGGTGATTCACGTTGGTTTGGCGCGTCTAGAGAGGGTGCCTTGGTAGCGCTTTTGAGCGGTCCTTGAGACCATTCGACTCGGTATACCGTGCATAATGGGCCAACATTGCTCCAAGCCCGGGCCATAGCCTCTACCTGTCTTATAGAAGAATCCTGCATTCTGCATGCAAGCGCACACGGTGAATTCCAACGTCCCGATCGACAGGTTGACTTCCCCCCCCAAAGGCCCCACTCGAGCCAATCACGGGCGGACGTGCCTGGCCCTCGATTTAATCGCCAAACTGACATCCCCGAATTCCTTCCACGCTGGCTCATTCCAACTCCCCCATCCCCCTTCTGATCTTCGTATGACCTTCTGGGCCACACAATATTCTCTCCTATGGAGTGTTGCACTCGCTGATTGAGATCCTCATGAGACCGACATGTCGAACCGGAAAAGCTCTGACTACGTAGGGGTAAGGACAGTGTCGTGTGTTTCACCGTTATAGTGCTAACCACCTCTCAGGAGTCCTTCGCCGACGCCCCTGAAGCCCCCGATCAGTTGAATGTCAAGATTCCCCAATCCTCCTCGACACGATCCTTGACCGATAGCCCGCCTGTCGGATCAGGAGCTTCCCCCGAAACCGCGGCACAGCCGTTCTTTACTTCTGAATCGCAGGACGAGCAGAAGGACGAGCAGACGGATGGTGGTGAATCGATAGGCAAGAAGAAGAACAGAAAGAAGAACAAGAAGAAGGCCAAGCAAGATGAGGATGAGGTTGAAGACCTCCAGACCCCGGTGGAGGATGTGAAGTTAGACCCGGCCGATGAGTTACAAGCGCCTGCCACACCGGTCCAGCTGGGCGAGCCTGGCGAAGCAGTAGAGGCCGGTGAGGAGGAAGAGACGCCCCGGAAACCGATGAAGCAGAAGTCCCCCTTGCTCACGTCTCATCGCCTATCCACCACATCTTCGCTTGATGAGGTGAACCTGACGAATAGCAAGGAAGATGAACCCGTTATTGTTGGGGAGGGCGATTCAGACCTCAAGTCGGAGTCGCCTCCAGTTCCCCCTAAGGACGAGACAGCATCTTCGGCAGGCTTGGCTCTGAAGGGCCTTTCTGGTACCCTGCCCTCCTTGCCATGGGGACCGCCCCCAGTCAACAAGAACCCTCCTCCCGCCGCACCCCCTCCACCAGCCCGCAAACCCAGCGGTCCCTTTTCCTGGTTCTCTCGAAGCTCAACCGGAGCCAAGGATATCAAGTCCCCACCTCAAACCGGCCGACGAAATACATCCAACTCTGTGTCGACGATTGCGAGCAACTTGGATCTGGTGGCTCATGGGGAGGATGGAGATGCTTCGAGCGTGAACTCCAGGAGGCCGAGGCGGAACAGTCTGAAGGACCAGTTCAAGTTGCTGCGGATGAGGGAAGAATTTGTCGTTCACGAGAACGATGAGGGAAGCATCCGATCAGGCCATGCCAGCATCAGTCAGACTGGAGCGAGTCCGCCCATCATCCCAGAGGAGGGCGAGGATGGTATTCTGGAAGCTCCTCCTGCTCCGGCCTCGGAAGCGACGTCGCCGGGTGCGACTTCGCCATCTACAATCAACCCCAACCTGGCCCCAGGCACTGTCTCTGGATTCTCTCGGTCTGCGAGCGACGCATCCACCCCCGTCGATTGGGATCTCTGGCAACAACTGGTGAACAATGGACCTCAAGCGCTGGCCAGCTCTGAGGAACTGAATGCTGCCATCAAGCGAGGTATTCCGCAAACCATTCGAGGTGTGATCTGGCAGATTTTGGCTGATTGCCGGATCGGTGAATTGGAAGACACATACCGCGAACTTGTCGCTCGTGGAACTGACAAAGATCAGCGGAGACCAAGTGTCCAAATGAATGGATCGATCGAGAAAGAGTCTACAACCTCGTCACGCTCCTCTATTCGGTCTAACAACTCAGGGTCTGCCACTCAGCCCACCAGTGTCGCTGCTAGCCCCTCTGCAGAGACTGATTCCGAGAAATTGGCGAAAGAGCAAGCGGCTCTCTTGAAGAAAGCTAAAGATGACGCTACTGCTCTGCAGAAGCTGGGAAAAAACCATTCGACGGGATTTGGGTGCCCGCACCAGCTATTCAAAATACTTCATCTCGCAAGGCAGTCAGGAAAGCCTCTTTGGACTGTGCAAGGCGTACGCTCTGTATGATGAAGCCGTGGGATATGCACAGGGCATGAATTTTATCGTCATGCCTCTGTTGTTTAATGTGAGTTTTTTTCCGGCTCGGCATAGGAATTGACTAACGGATAGCGAAATACAGATGGACGAGATCGATGCTTTCGAGCTTCTCGTGAAGCTGATGAACAAATACAAACTTCGAGAGATGTTCATTCAGGACATGCCCGGTCTTCATCGCAGCCTCTACCAATTCGAACGCCTTCTGGAAGACCTGGAGCCTGCTCTTTACTGTCATCTCCGACGACGCGGCGTGCCCCCCCAACTGTACGCCACTCAATGGTTCTTGACCTTGTTTGCCTATCGTTTCCCTCTGCAGCTTGTGCTTCGTATCTACGATCTGATCTTCGAGGAAGGCCTTGAGAGCACAATCCTCAAGTTTGGCATTGCTATAATGCGTCGAAACACCGAGGCGCTTCTGGGAATGAAGGACATGAGTCCCTTGACGACGTTCTTAAAGGAGCGTCTCTTCGATGCATACATTGACAAGCAGCCATCTGCGTCCTCTATCCTAGAGTCAGGCTTCTTTGGAAGCTCTGGCGCTGCTGACAAGGAAGTCTATCGGGCCGATCTTCTCGTGCAAGATGCCTGTGACGTGCCTCTCACTCAAAACATGATTAATTCCTACACCGCTGAATGGGAAGAAAAGACACGCACCGAGAAAGAGCGTGAGGCGGAATTGGAGCATCTTCGACACACGGTCTCCACCCAGGCTTCTCGCGTCCGACTGCTCGAGGAGCGCGCCGAGGCATCAGACAAAGAACACGTCCAACTGGCGTCGGAGCTGGTTCATGTCAAGGTGGAGAATGAGGAACTGCGGGATTTGAATGATGCACTGAAGCTCCAGGTCAGCGAGCTGAAAATTGTTGTCGACAAGCAGCCTGCCGAAGTGGAGGAGAAGCTTCGCATGGAGATGGAACGCATAATGAAGCGGAACATCGAAGTGCAGAACGAGAACCGTGCGATGGAAGACTCCATGGCTGAGATGGAGAAGGAGCTTGTGGCGACGAAAATGAAATGGGCCGAGGTATGTCCCCTGCATTCAAGCTTGATTTTATCGTGCAGACGAATTGACCACATTGTTCTTAGATGTCTGAAAATCATGAGACTCTTCGTCAGAAATGGAGCGACCTCCGTCGGGCTCTTGACTAATCCCCCTATCTTCTTCCCCCTTCCGGATGGGATTATTTCCCCCTTGGACCAGCGTCTTGTATATTTTTGATCGCGCAGCTTGGCAAGCCGGATCTGTGATCCCTTCCCGTGCTGCGCTGGACCATGCCTATGGGCTGGCTGTCTGCTCTATTTTCCTGCGATTTGCGCGCGTTGCACTGCGGCCCGCTATGATTCCTCTGGCCGATTAGTTCCTCTGCTACTTCTCTACAGAATTCTCTATTACCAATGAAATTTTGTAAGGGTTTTTTTTCCCTCTAAGTCATGTTGCTCCACCCCAGCATGTTCCTCGTAGAGCAATAGTGGTGTTCCCCCTTTTCCTCTCCTATTATGTGTCTTACTCTCTTTTGAGGATCCCTTTTTTTTCCTTGCATGTTTTCCATGTCTTTCTATTTCATGTCTCACTCTGTTGATGCCCTTGTGCCACCCCCTTCTCGCCTGCTGGTGTTCTGTACCTCTGTGACAGTTTAGATCATATTCGATGTATGCAGTGTACATCTTGCAATGAATTGACCTTTTTCTATTATATCCTTTGGGCCTAGATTTGGAGATCTGGAGTTATAATTTCTGATTTCTTTGATTTTGGAGTCCTTTATTGAAATTCCGGCCAATAGGGTGTTTATCTACAACACCCTGGTTTCCAAGTTTTACACATCCAAAGCTTAAGCCCGTGTTGAAGACAGGAAGATAATATTGCCCAAACCAATGATCGCGGTTATGTCCTTTGCAAACAAACCCCTTCCCTAATTCTCGTTTATTTATAGCACACTTTCGTAGAAGGTCGTCAAAATATCCTCTTTAATCGGCCCGGCCACTGCCTTCAAGGCCTTGTGAGCCTCGCACTCGGTGTCATAGTACTTCATGTCCTCCATCGAGGCAAAGGTCGTCTTGACGGAGACGGTGTAGCCCTTGTTGCGCGGGTCAGGGTAGGACAGGCCGACTGCGGCGGCGACGATGTATGGCTTGCCATCCTAGTCATTGAGATTGGAGAGTCAGTCAGCTTGTTCTGATTCTCGATTGTGGGCTTATTATGCTGGGTGAGAGGTGGTAGGAGAAGTGCTGGTGGTGGCACAAGCAACAAGGAGTGCAATGTCTTGGGATAGTCCGAGCCAACAGGATATTCAAGGATCGCGTACCTTGGTCGCCGTCTTCGTCAGCACCTTGTACTGCTCCAGCAGGCGCTGCTGATCCGCCTCGTTCGGGATCTTGAAGAGAGTGATGCGCTCGATTGGGGCCATGGTGCTAGTAGCAGTAGTGGAGAGGGATGATGCTGTTCTGAGGGCGTGTGGGGGAGATAGGGAACAAGAGAGACGACGGATCAAGTTCTGGCCTACGCTGGGGGGCATCGGGGCTGATCGGGGGTCTTTTATATCCCGCCGGATGTACGGTTCGCTGGCGGGGTAGCAACGGGGCGGAGAGGCAATGAGGGGGAAGAAACATCACTGGCAGTTCCGACGGGTCGGGAGATGGTAGCTCGGAGAAAGGACTTCGAGCCTACGAACGGGAATTATGGTACGTGGATGTCGAGCTTCTACAATAATAAAGCGTCCAGCACTCTTGAGTTATGCTGTATCCTGGTTCTGGACAGTGAATATGTTGAATACTGTAGTTGTTGTTTAATTGAGACATGGATACTTCCGCGCGGGCATATTCACTGGTTGGAGAGCGGAATTAGCACGCCCGACAATGCGCCTGATTCCGCACCGGCTCTTGCTCAAGGTGAATTCGGATAATGTCTGGCACCTCATAGCGCTCTCCTGTCTTCTCTAAGGTTGAGCACCGTGATTTACTCAGTGAGAGCCTGCCTTGAACATTCCAGGCTGCGTACTATGCCCCCGCAAAATAGAGTGACCCGAGGCAGTGGGCTCAAGATAGAAAATAACCAATCGCTCAAAAATTTTGATGAATTACCCACGGATATCACTGGAACCGCACAATACAGCTTCTAGCCATATATCACAACTAGTCATATTGACACGATATGGTCTGCCAGGTGAGGCTTTCTTGTCTCGGCTGCTGCCGCTTTTGCGAGAGCATTCAGGCTCAAGCTCAGGCTCGGTGAATAGATGACCAGCACACGCTTAGAATCAGTGATCAGGTCAATGGACTCATGTGAGGTATGAATAATACATAGCCACCAATCACTCCGTGACCGATCAGAATTACATACACACTACTATATTTCCAATTCGCAATGTGGCTTTCTCAATATGAGATTCATGCTCATCAATTATCTAGCACATACGACCACAGGGTGTGGAGAACAGGGCTTCCCGTCCGCTCAGCCGTACTTAAGCCACACGCCGGCAGGTTAGTAGTTGGGTGGGTGACCACCAGCGAATCCCTGCTGTTGTATGTTTTTTGTTTCTGTGATCTTTTTGGTCTATTGGATGTAATGCACTGTTAATTGTGAGCGTATAGTATTGAGTATTGCAGTGGGGAAATAGCCAACACTAGGGAGGTCTCTGATTGGAGGATATCTTTCCTAGTACACAGTCTTTGCAGGATATAGCTTCGTATCTCCGATAGGGAGAGAATCAACTTTCACACTCTCTTCGCTTCATCTACTTCTGCTTTTCCTTTTCGGAGGCTTCCTCTATCGTGGTGTGTGGTGGTTTGTTGGTCTGTTCGTCGACCTATCTCATCCTGCCTGCATTCTCTGGCTTGCCGTAGAGTGCCCTGGTTCACTAGGTTGCTGAGTTTATTCAGCAATTAGACGTGTATAGTTTACCCTAGTAAACATTCTTGTACTCCACTACACTTTGATTTCTTTTATTCTTGCTTGTTAAGCCTCCAAGTCTCTTTATTGCATGACATTGCTACTATGTCTAGTAAAAAATGGTGTCTCGCGGGTCCTCGCCCCCCATTCCTCTTCCCATTGACGAGCTAACACTTCTAAAGCACCCGTCTCCTCAAGCCGTGACTTATTCCACATAATATACCCCCAGCGACGCATTGTATCCGGGACATAGTATCCGTAAAGGTTACTGTAGGTTCCTTGCCAAATTAGGGTCCAAGCAAGTGGTGGATAAGATTTAACAGCATTTGGAACCTTATCACCTTCAAAAGGCAGCGGAACTCGTTCCTCTTCCTTCAAATCCTGATTCGAGAGTTGCTTCCTACGTCGCTGTGACTGTGCTGTTTCACCTAGAACATCATCCTCAAGAAAATTCCGCACCGGGAACCTCATATACTCTTGCATTGTTGAAACAATTTGCGCGTGGTATTTAGTCTTATGGAGAACTATATGAAGTAGTTCGAGCCCACGGGAAACTACGCCCTGCAAAAGGGCCGACCTTGTATCTATTTTATAATCTAATGTTAATCGTACTGGAAGAAAGTGATACGTCGTGGACGCTGGTTAATAAGAACGATAAAGTAGGGAACTAACAGCTATTATCCAAGTTAAATGCCCCTGGTGGAGTAGGCGGCCGTTGATAATTCGCGAATCTGGGATTCTCCTGATTGACATCCCACTTGATATTATCAAATATTCTGTTAAAGGTGTACTTCGAAAAAGCCTCGATACACGCAATTTCCTCGACTTCCCAAGGCTCGTACGTGCTTATGAATATATTCATAAGATCATAGTTAGACTCGTAGTTGAGGCTAGGTAACCCGAAGACCTGGTGATATCCTACCCCGAAGAGATTGCAACAGAGTTGGAATCGATAAAGAGCACGGATAATCCTTTTTTTTCGGATCGGGTTAGAGTTCTTTTTTGATATAAGGAATCACTTAAGTCGGTCAAGCTATCTAGGGCCCAGCTAGTATACTGCCGGGTTAGAGGCCTGATAACAGAGTTATGAAAGTTCACTAAAGAACAAAGCTCATCCGTAGGGATTCTGTTAGTAAGACCCATATACTGGGGCTTATTGCGGCGATCCTGGTATGATTGGATGAACAAGGAGATCTTCCCGCTAGTGCAAGCTTTTGCAAACTCGAGCGAGCTAGATTCATAGACAAAAGAAGCATCCACTATGACAAGTTGTAGTGTGTTCTTCAAAGATTGAGAAAGCAGTAGCCAGCGATCGAGCAGATACTGCCGGTGAAAGACGGGGGAGGCATGAACCAAGGCACTTAGCTCGTCCAGTTCAAGACTAGACAGTAGATAGCGCCGAATTTCGGGCGGAAGATTCTCTAGGGGTGTATCGGGATGATTAGAGATATCAAAACTCTTGGCCTGCAAAGCGCCTGGTGGCGACGATGAGGGAACATTTTGGGATGGCCCGACTTCAGCTGTCGCCGGCGATCGAGACGGATGAGAAGCGTGATCAGGGGCGAGATCGGGGATAAGATCAGGTACGGCGGGGGAAAGCCGCAGGGGCTTTCTGAACTTTGAGATAGTCTTTTTCATGGTGATAAATGTTTCTGCATCGAGATAGTCATAGAGACAGGGTTGATATGGAACAATATTGAAGCCGAGGAGTGTAGTAATAGCAATGATTGGAGCACGCGACGCCGACAAACTGAGCGTATTTGGACAGGAAACTATGTGAGGGAAGATTGGTGGAGGCTGGCTCTGGAAACATGATCAAATTTTGGATGTTTGGCTACGCGCTCGAGCTAGTTTGGTCGCTCAGCCGCCTACGGCTCAAGTGTCCCGTCGAGTGCACGTTGTAGCCCAAGGCGGGGGAAGAGGCATTGAGGTTGCCAGTAGCGCTAAATCGTGACGGCCCCCCGACAGCTGATTACATAATGGCATTGGTCACTCCGAGTCCTGAGTCCGAGTCCCAATCACTTGGAGACTGCTGGCCAGTGCCAATGTGGGTGTGAGTGTGCGTGTTGGCAAGCAGAAGCCTGAGCCCGCGCTTGAAGTTCTCCTTTTCTTTTTAGCTAATGAAATTCCTTACCTCGAAGTTGCTGGTCACCGCACGGTCCCCTTAGTGCGATCTCGGGTTGGAGATACCAACTCGTCCACTGTCCTGGAAAAACACCTACTTTTGTCTATGGTGGTGATTGTTCGTAGCTTGTTGGCCAGTGACTCCCTACTATTTATGGATCAATGGCTGAGATCTACTTCGTGGTATTTGGCTCTCCAACGCTTGGCCATGTTTCATCTATGTTGAGTGATGTCAAAACCGCCCCTCGACGTCTTGTGTTAGTGACTATGGCTTAGATAGTTGAGCGTCGATATTTTACTCTCCCGCTCCCTAAGGAGTCACGAGAGTGAAGAGGAAGCAATGGATGCATAGTTACCGAGCAGAAAGGATCGCTTCTCGAGCTACATAAAACGTCCATCACCTTTAAGTATTGGGAAACAGGTGCTATTGAGTAAGTCATATATAGGTAGGATCACAAGATACGCTGTTTGTGGGTTTCGAGTAACTAGTTGTCGTGCCGTCCCGAAAGAATCCTATAATTAACAACTATAGGCGCGAATGTCAACCTGAACTTTTATAATACCTCTCAAGATATTATTGGCGTTTCCAGTCAGCACATTAATAGGATCTCTCCAAATAGTAACCCCCTCCCGGATTCCGTAGTGACTTATATTGAACTTTCTAGTTTAGTGTATTTTGGCCCACCATCGCGTTACGCTGAGTGCTAGTTGGAATACTCCTGTTGGATGCCCGACCTGTTTGATCTTGGACCTTCATACTTCCTAACTTCCAAGCTTGGAATTGGTAACAAAAGGCTTGTGCTAGACTTACTGGAATTTGACATATAAATAATGTCCATCACCTCCGTCTACACAATATCTTTCGCTGCGAGACGGTCATCTACTATCCTCTGTATACGAAAATAGCTTTTCTACCTTTCTTGGTTCTCAATTATTCATCAATAAGATGCCTTGCAGTAAGTGTAAGATGAAGGGGTGTATGGGGAGACCCTGTAATAAGCAGAGGGGACGGGAACCGGCCAGGAACAGAACCCGAGAGATAGAAGCTCTTCGGTTGAACCCGCCCGGCAAGTACAACTGGTGAATGAGGTGAGAATTCTCAACTTCATTTAATTCTACATTACTAAGTTTGGTCATTATTTTGCTAGTCAAATGTTGCTACTGATGCCCAGAGCACAAGCTCTGACAGCACACAACTTTCGGTGGCAAGCATTCGATCCTTCCATTCACCGAGTTCAACGGCAAGTAGAATCAGTCATGATATTCACTTGCAGGAACAGGTTGCGAATGATCCAACGGCATGGGCAAGGACAATCGATCCAGGAAATTACTCTAAATGTGAATGGACAACGGAGATGGAAGGCTTGTATGATCACTACAAGAAACTGGTTGATCGCCACACGAGGAGCAAGCGTCTACATGACCAGCATTTTGCTAAACATAAAAAAGACCAAGACCCCGAGACGAACATTCACCGTGCAAAACTAGCTATTTCTTGGGCTAAAGATGCATATGAGTACGGAATCATATTGCCCCTACCTTGCGATATCCTATGATATTTTGTGCTTGCTATCTTATATCGAATTCAAATTGGTCACCAGGCTAATGAATATGGCTTATCTTTAGGGCAGGTAAAGCTCGATTAGAGTTCATGCAAAAATTTGAAACTGCTTATGGTGATGTGATTTCTATTGGGACTCATATCGAGGCGGCACAGCATGCACTCAACAGTGCTAAGAATGGCGTGAAGGAAATTAGAACTAATAACGACAGTGAGTAAATCCCCAAGACCTGTTAATTAGCCTGAGAGAAGTAGATAACTAACAAAAAGCAGAGATTTGGCAAAAGGCACTACGGGAAGCTGGCGGTGCTGCAGCACTTTTTCCAGGCGTGTGAAATTGGGTATTTATAGGATCTGGAAACGTCTTCATGAATGGAATCTTTTTTTGTAATAAAGTTCTACCTAATCAATCAAAGATTTGATCATAATGAATCCACTCTGAATAATATTATTCGCTGTCCGCAACTATTCTACGTATTATAGTAGTCCCTCAGGTAGTCCACTATTCCTCGCTTGACCTTGAGTACTCTCCTCTCTTGCTCTAACTGCTTCAATACACTAATCAAGGAAAGAATTAAATCTTTGACAAATCTTTGACTACGGTCTTCCTTAAATTAGGACTAATTACGTCTAATAAAGCTCTTGAGCTTAGCAAACAACTCCTTAATTAGGTTGAGGTCCGGTGAATAAGGAGGTAGCTATATTAACTCGACTCTAGCATCAGTATATATCTGCGCAATACGTTTAGAGTAGTGAAAAGATACGTTATCTATAACCAAGATAGATCTAGGCTCCGGCTATCTTCTATAGTTACGAAGAAGCTAGTCGAAGAAGTCCTTGAATATACCGGTATCTATTAAACCGCGAAAAACGCGAGAAAGTATGATACTATCTTAGGAATACGTAGAGTATATTTAACATTATTAATTATAGTGAAAGGATGAAGAAGACATGGATGTTGTTTAGATCTTTTACAATTGCTAGTCCACATTGGCCTCAGACTGTCAGTACATTTTCAATAGCCGTTATGGGAAAAGCAACTATTATCTGGGGATCTACCGTTCGTGATCAGTTCGATCCTGTGTCGGATTTGCTTTTGGTGGCGGATATGTTTATTGAACTTTATGGATCAACTGCATGCCTCAATCCATGCAAAAGCAAGGGGGCAAGAAGCAACCCCCCAACCAGTTAATGCAAATGCCTAGTATAAACGACAGTCGGTTCCCATCACGTCAGTTCCTCAATAATCTATTCAAAAATGCAACATAATCTCGCATCGAATCTCACAGAATTGCATTATCATAATGTCAAAGTCAGAGGGCGAGCTTGCTCAACCGGTGCTCCAGGTTGCTTCACGCCGCCACACCTGGAAGTATGAATTCGAGTGGTATCGAAAGAATTTCCACAAAGTTCTCCATGCGGGTCTTTTGGGACCAATAGCTGTCATATTCTGGGCTGCCCCATACGTTGTTGCCAGGAAAAACACCATCATCATGGCTATTACTTGGGGGATTGTAGGGGGCTTTAGCATTACAATTGGTAAGTGGGTCATTGAACCCAGACCATCGGAGGCGGGAACGTCCGTAGCTAACGCAACTGTAGGATATCATCGACTTTGGGCTCATCGATCATTCTCGGCATGCATCGGGATAAGAATCGCCCTTGCTGTCGTTGGAGCTGCTCAGAATCAATGGCCCATTATGTGGTGGGTGAAACATCACCGAGCCCACCATCAATACACAGACACGGATCAAGATCCCTATAATGCTAAAAGAGGCCTGCTATTCTCTCATATTGGCTGGCTACTGGGGTTAAACGAGAGAGCATGGGGTCCGGTAGACTTATCAGACCTGAAAAAGGATCCGGTAGTCATTTGGCAAGATCGATTATACTGGCCTCTTCTCATCACGGTCGGCATTCTTCTGCCCGGTGCCGTAGCTCATTGCGGCTGGGATGACTGGGAGGGTGGCGTACTCTACGCAGGGATAACTCGAATTATTTTAACGCAACACATCACGTTTTTGATCAACTCAGTGGCTCATGCCCCGTGGGCTGGGACTCAGCCGTACTCTACCCGTACAACTGCCCGGAATAACCCTCTTCTCGCCATTTTGACACTTGGAGAAGCGAACCACAACTACCACCATGCGTTTCCGACTGATTATCGAAATGGAGTGAATTGGAGTGAGCCGGACTTTTCGCGATGGATTATCTGGCTATGGGGAAGACTTGGTTGGGTGAATGATCTAAAAGTTGCCAGCCCATTGGAGATAGAACAAGCTCGCTTCAAACGGAAGAAGGAAAGCACCGAGAGCCAAAATGGCAATAACGAGGATATGCAGGTCTTGTACAGGCTTTCTCGGATGAGCTGGAAAGAGTTCAGGAAGCGATGTGATGGTGTCGAAGAACTCACCTGCATAAACGGAGCGGTATATGACGTTTCGGACTTTAGGGACGATCACCCAGGCGGTCGTGATCTGATTCAACAATCCATTGGGAAGGATGCAACTGATCTGTATAATAGAATTCATTTTCACTCCCCCCATGCTGATAATATCCTGAAGAATCTACAGGTCTCTATTTTAGAGAATCCTCGTCACTGATTTTTTGGCCCTTTCAAACCCTTTCGAAGATGTTTTTAAAAATCCATACATGTTTGATACCATTCAGTCTAGCTTTGGATCCCGTGAAATCCACGAAGGACCTGATGAACTTAATGATCTTTACCGGTTACATTGTTATACAGTCGGACCTATGTACATCATACGACTCCCTGATACTGTTAGCAGACTTATCACCGTTTAGCGGCGTGTTTCAGGCTTAGCGCAGCTATGGTGAGAGTAACAACACCGCCAACAGTGCCTGCTGTCGCGATGTCGACTAGGCCAAGCTCCACCTCAAGGTTGCGCTTCAACCATGCTCGAGCTTCCACGGCAACCAGCGAGTCCACCGAGATTTCAGCCATAGCCGCCCAATCTTCGTTCTTGACAGCGGCCGAATATGGCCCCATCAAAAGTGCCATTTCCTTATTGAGAAAATCAACCGTAGGGGCAAGCTTCAAGATTTCGGGATTTTTTTCCACAGAGTGAAGAAAAGTTTTGATATTACTTGTCTCTGAAGAGCGCGGCCGGAGGCGGGCGACTTCTACCGCTGGGTCGTGACGGTACCGGGCATCTTTGCATCGTACATCACCGGAAGCCTGGTTCCATAGGAGGCCTAACCCGATCGAGAGGTGGTATTCTTCACTAAATTTGGATGGCGCTCCATCGACCAGTTTGGGCGGGGCCAAGAGTAATTGCATGGCAGCAAGGAGATGGATCTCGCGCAGTGGAATGAAGCCTTTGGACCGCATCATATCCAAGAGCTCGGGACGCTGGCTGACATAGCCGACATCAGTAATCCAACCAACATCGAGAACAGATGCTGTCAGACCCAAAGACTGCCGGTAACGTGCGAAGGCATTAAGGAAGGTATTGGCCGCGGTATAATTTGCCTGCCCAGCAGAGCCAGCTGCTGCTGCGACAGAGCTGAACATGAGGAAGAAGTCGAGCTTGTCAGATTGCAAGGCTTTGTGCAGGTTCCAGACTCCTTCAACCTTGGGGCGCAATGCTTCCGTCCACTGGTCGTGAGTCATGCTAAAGAAAGGAGAGTCCTGGAAATTATTCTAGATCAGTCTCGTGCTTTAGTAGGAGTGAGAGTGAGAGATAGTGGCTTACCTTCATGAGCATTGCCATATGGATGACACCCTTCATCGGCTTGCCGCTGGCAGCAACGGCCCTTTTGACATCCTCCAGGTTGGCAACATCACCCTGAATCAAGAGGGGATGGCACCCTTGGAGCTCTAGCTCGTAGATAAACTTGACATCTTTATCGCGAGTTCCTGCAGTGCGGGAAAGGAAGACCAGGTTTCTGGCACCATTCTCAACCATCCATTGCGCTACTGCACGGCCTAAGCCACCAAGACCACCGACCAGAAGGTAGGCGACGTCCTCGCAGAAAGAGATTTGTGCCGGTGTCTTGGTCATGGGAAGTGAGCTGGTATCATTCGGCATTTCAACGACGATTTTACCCATGTGTTTCCCCTCTTGCATATGCTTGAATGCGTCGGTTATTTGATCGGCTGCAAATCTACGTATCGGCTGAATAGGCGCAATGGATTTCTTGGCCAAAAGAGTCGAAATTGTTTTCAAACATCTGTAAGCTCATGTTAATATCTGATATACTGCAAGAATATTGGATAAACTCACTCTAATACGACCTGAGGTCGTGATTTGGCGAGGGAAAGAATGTCAACACCCATAAAAGATCGATTTGCAAGGAACCGATCCATGGGCAGCATAGAATGACCCATCAAGTCGCGTTTACCAATTTCCACCATCATGCCTCCTTCAGCTACACACTCCCATGATGCTAGCAAGAGATCTCCCGCCAGAGAATTGAGGACTAGATCCACGCCTTGGCCTCGTGTTCTCTTCAACAGGTTCGGCGCGAAGGAAGTACTCCGAGAGTCGAAGATATGCTCTTTCCGGATTCCAAAGGTTTCAATGAGATATTGTGCTTTCTCTTGATTGCCAACCGTAGCAAAGATCTGTTAGAGTTAGAGATAGTGCAACGACTGTGCAAATCACGCTCGGAGATGTAATCATCATGGGCTCTCATTCGAACTCACCTGTACACCGAGCATCTGACAGAGCATGATGGATGCGATGCCTACTCCACCAGCAGCAGAGTGAATTAACACTGACTAATATGGGATCAAAAAGAGTTCATAGATCGTTTTCTTTAAATCGGCGATTCGTACCATGTTTTTCTGTAGTCGTCCCAAATTCAGCAGACAGTATACCGCAGTAGTGTATGCACATCCGATTGTGGCCGCTTGATCTAAGGGAAGCTCAGCCGGCAACGCGACCACTAAAGCTCCCGAAACAACGACACGGGTACTAAAAGCCGGCGAAGCCAGAAATAACACTCGATCACCTTCATGGACATGTGCAACATCACTCCCAACTCGTCGAACCACGCCGCTTCCCTCTAATCCAATATCGCTCTTGCCTTGCAACATACCCAGGCTCACCATCAGGTCCTACTCATATGATCAGTTTCTGATACTCAAAATAAGTGAAATAACTTACGCGGAAGTTGAGGCCCACGAATTTGACATCGATCTCCACATCGTCCTTTTCTAGGGGGGCAACTCTTTCTCAATCCACTTAAGAGAGTCCAGAATCCCAGGCTGCTCGACTGAAAGGGTCTTGGGATGGGCCGGAGAAGGGTCTCCGAGCAAATTCTCAAACAAATTACTCGAGTGGTATCTGGGAATATGAATCACTCCGTCCTGGATAGCGAACTCATGATCAACTGTTTCATTCTCTCGGAATCGCTGCTGTTGAAACTTCCTGTACATCTCAACGACAGCGATCCCCGAGATGTGATCAAACTCTTCCAGCTCGATAGTATCAAAGTCCATTTCGTATTCCGTACGCATTGTCCGCGCAAAACCTAGAGTTAACCCATAACGAGGATCTGGACAACGCATCTGGGAGCTGCGAGTCACCCACAGAACACGGGTAGATGTGCATGAAGAGAGATACTCTTGAAACTGGGCCAGTTGAGTGTTCGTCAAGGAATACAAAAACGGTTCTTCATTATCCAGGAAGGAGATAACGTCTTCGTTGGCAGGAGGCGGCTCTGAGAGTGTACACCAACGGACTGGGAAACCCAGAGCCTCTATCCTTTCAGCAACTTGAACTGCCCATTGAGGTCTCTGCGAATTGCACAGTATGCTCACTGAACTCCCTTCGCTACGAGATAGCGGGGGAATAGACGCTAATATTGAGGTCATGTAGATCTCTGCTTCACCTGGTGCCGAGTGAAAATTTTCAAATCCGGCTTCTTGTAGCTCGCTGCGCCAGCGGTCTACCGAAATATACGGGGCGTTTACACGCTTGTCGTGTTCGCCTATCCACCAGCCAGGGAGCACACCCTGCAGTCATTCATATCAGCTTTCGTCACATGTGCATGTGGAGCCTGAATACACTTACCATGATGAAGTCAATTGGTTGGGCCTCTTCAATTGTGTCAGCCCAGTCCTCGTTTGCGAAATTGTATCCCGATTTCTTCAACTCACCAGAACATATTTCTTCGATCAAGACTCGCCCACCGGGCTTGAGTAGGGATTTGACATTTTTCAGGGTCTCTTGTATACTGCATGTAGCATGAAGTACCTAAAAACGATGTGAGTATCTCATTATATGCTAAAAAGAATCTCAAAAGCTCACATTCGACGCAATGACTAGATCAAAGCTTGCGAATTCGATTCCCTGGTCCACCGGAGGCTGACTGATATCTAACACCGCGTATTCAACAGCCTCATATTTTTTGAATCGCTCCATGGCTGGCCGGAAAAAAGCCGAAGAAATATCAGTAAACACGTATCGTGAATACTGGCGGATCTTTCCTTCACGATGGAGGCATTGTAGTGCTCTTGCTGTTGTTGCTCCCGTGCCCGCTCCAATCTCGATAATCTGAAGGTCGGGCTGAGAGTGCCCTAGGAGCCTCAAGAACTCTTCGTAATTTCTGCTTGTTCCAGTGTTGTAGAGCCGCGATAGTCCATCATTTTCCATCAGCAGACCCAAAGGTTGGCATCTACCCTGCACGATATCAGTGCAATTTTCCAAGACAACAAGCGAAAGCTCAGCGAAATGTTTGCTGAGTGGCATTGTTTCATCGATCTGCCACTTTAGGCCGGCCAGTATCTTGGTCCAGTCACCTCGAGGCACTTGCAAGAATTCTCTGTCTGTAGCTAGTACCTTTGAATGGATATTTTTGAGGACCTGAGCTGAAGTCATGGTCATCCAATGCTGATACTTGCGCAGGTGCTCTGAGGCTGGTTCTAAATCGGTGATTAGCCGTGCAGTTTCAATGATGCACATGTCAAAGAACTGTTGCTTTGGGGCGTAAGCATCATCAATGGTAGACATTGATTGGTTGGAAGGCATGAGAAGACGACCCTCTGGTACTAGATCTACGTCTGGAGCCCACACCAGATTGGAGCACAGTTTTTGATCACCGTCTCCCCGTGAGCCTTCATCAAAGCCCATAAACTCAACACCATCAATTTTGATTCCAACTTCAGCTCCCGACTGGCCCCATGCGGAACCAGAAGTCATTCCCAGTGTTGTTCCCGCTGCGGTAGCTTCAAGAAACATGTCAGGCCCCGCCTTACCAACGAAGACTTCCTGGATATACACAGGCATTCCTACAGTGTTGCACCTTCGAGACAGACCATTGGACATGGCAACTGCTACAAGCTGCAGGCATTGGTCGATGTCAGGAGCATTAACGATATCAGAAGACCTATCTCTCTCCAAGCTGGCAGTCGCTGAAAGTTGTGTCGGGTGAGCGGATATATGCTGGAGCAGTCTGAATTTGGGCCCATATTCGAGTCCACGCTCCTTCAGGTTTTCGTACCAAGAATGAGAAGTTACAGATCTTGGTAGTCCTCTGATATCTCGTGGAGTAGGCGAGGACGCTTCGCTTCGCACTTGTCCTGTGCAATGCTTGACCCATGAACCCATCCGAAAACTTGATATGGAGAACTCATACCAACCTGAGCCAGGCTCGTCTGTGGGTCTCGCTGGTCGGAAGTTTGACACAACTTCTACTCGGCCACGATCGTCGAGCGTCAATGCCTTAGACATGCGAAGGTTTCTTAGGCGGTACTTGTGACACCCAGTGACCTGGCGCATGGCTTCACCGGCCATAACGATATACCCTGCGCAAGGGAACACCGTTGATCCTCCAATACGATGATCCCAAAGGCAGGGAACGTCATCGACGCTGAGCATGTTTCTCCAAGAGGGCTCAAGTTGTGTCGATTCTACAGCCCGAGAACCTAAAAGCTGATGGTGGGCGTGCTTGCGGCGCCTCCACTCTCGAGTTATTCGGCCTTCAGACCACTCTACCTTTCCACTTTTCCAAGGGTAAGGATCAAAATCAGTGAGAAGCTTCCCGCTTCCATTAATTGCCTCAAATTTCAGCTGAATGCCACTCAGAAATAACTCTCCTGCTGCCGTCAAGAGAGCCGTCTCCTGGCATTGGCCGCGAATGAGGCAGGAGGCATATGACATCTCCTGCTTCACATCGCCCAAAGATTTGTGAATGTCGCGAAGAGGACCTGAAAGAGCAGAATGAGGTCCAATTTCCAAGAAAAATAACTTAGCATGATCTTGCATGACGGACTCAGCGGCGCCCCAGAACAAGACAGGAGACACAAGATTCTGAACCCAATAGTTGGAATTGAGCTCTTTCGGGTCCATAATGATTTCTCCAGTCACACTGGAATACATCGGGATCATTGTATTCTGTGTCTTGATGTAGGGTCGAATGCTGGTCTCATATACCTTGCCGACGGCGGTCATAGAACCTAAGTTTTTCCGTTTAGCTTGCAGGATTTTTGTCTCGTCGCCTTCCGGCATGAAAAGGGAATCAATACCTGAATGATATGATCTATTGACACGAAGCGTTCTGCAGAGCGCATCTGGGAAATCTGATTTGATCTTCTTGATCACCTCCTCTACTCGATAGGGCTCTCCAGATAGAGTGACGCTGTTGGGGCTATTTTCGCACGCGATGACAACACTGTCCTGTAGATACGATGCCACTTGCACTCGACCGAGGCTAACGGCCGCCATTGCTCCCTTACTGCCCTCTTCGTCTACCAGCAGACCACGGTAGTAACTCAAAACAATTGCAGACTCTGCTGTGATTGCTCCCGCAGCATATGACGCTGCGATCTCACCACTCGAATGGCCGATAACTGCGGCGGGCTTGATTCCCCATTCACCCAGGAGACTCACCAATGCGATCTGCAATGCACAACATAGAGTTTGGGAAAGCTGAGGCTCGTTTATTTGATCACCATCAAACTCCGCAAGTGCGACTATTATGGGACTCTGTAAGTGCTCGCTCTAGAATTGAAGCAACGACTGCTTGGGGGCATGCTTACCTTCTAAATTCCATGAGGGAGGTCTTTTCAAGTTTTGCAAAACAGTATTCAGGGACTGGATCATATCCCGGAAGCTTTTGAAGGATTTCATTAGTCCTCTGCCCATTCCAGCCCATTGGGCTCCTTGGCCCGTGAAAATGTAAGTCAGGTTAGGAGCCCGACCGGCAACAGAATACTTAATGGCTGCTATCTCTGGAGTTATACCATTCGTATTGATTAAAAAGCCCCTATGCGAAAGATGCTCACGACGAACACCAAGGGTATATGTAAGATCGCTCAGACGATCTGGATACAGGCTCATGTACTCCAGAAGACTCTGCTCTCGACTTAACAGGGCTTCTTGGCTTTTTGCAGAAATAACCAGCAGTTGGGGCTTTGATTTTTTCACTCCGTCTTCAAGAAAAGAGGTCGGCATGAAAGATGAGAACGAATCAAGAATTACCTAGAAGTCTGTCAGTGATCTGTTTCAACTAGTGTCAAGTTCTGATCTTCTCACATGTGCGTTTGAGCCCCCAATACCAAAATTGCTGACGCTAATTCTCTCCTTTCGATTCTTTGGCCACGCAGTAAGACTTTTAGGGACACGAAGACGTCCATTGTCCCAAGGAACTAAGAATTATGTAAGTAATTTCTAGTTTAAGATATGGATCAACACGCACTTCGTGGATTCGGTTGATGGAAGTGGATATTCGGCGGTATCAATCTATTCTCCAAAGAAAGAACTGCTTTTATGAGGCTTGTAAGTCCTGATGCTCCTTCAGAATGACCAACATTGGCTTTGACCTGTTTTCAAAAGAATCAGTGTCTATTTTGCAATGAGAAAGGGCAACTACACACTGAGCCAATATATATTTCTTTGGAAAAGGTCTTGGCTATCGCGGAACATTCAATTGGGTCCCCTGCCAAAGTGCCAGTGCCATGACACTCAATGAAGGCAGTCTGCGAGAGATCACTGATCGAAGCTCGCTCGTAGGTTTCTCTTATTAGCTTCTCCTGTGCTTCGGCAGAGGGCGTGGTGATTCCAGGGCTTCTACCATTGCAATTGACCATAGATGATCGAATGACAGCTCGAATCTGGTCTCTATCCCTCAATGCATCATCTAGCCGCTTGATGAAAACTGCATTGACAGCTTCGCCTCTTCCGTAACCATCTGCAGAAGCATCAAAACATTTGGATATGCCAGAGGGGGAGAAAACGCCAAGGCCCGAGCCATGTATTCCGACAGAAGGTGTCAAGATCAGATTGGATCCAGCCACAATGGCCGCAGAGCAGTCTCCTAGCAGAACAGCCTGGCATGCTTGATGCAGAGCAACCATAGAAGAAGAACAGCCAGTCTCAATTGTCATGCTAAGATATCTTTAGTGGGAGAACAATTCCGTGCTCATATTGCGACATTCTTACCTAGGGCCATTGAAATGAAGCTCATAAGAAACCACATTGGCGAGTGAAAATTTTCCGTGTCCAATCATATGAAAGTTATGTGCATTTTGAGCATCTCTAACTTCTATTTCTTCCCAATCTCCTCCGTACGTGCCGACAAAGCAACCGATGGGTTTTCCGCGCCAGTCGACCTGTCCAGCATTTTCGAGACAGTCCCATACCACCTGGAGGAGCATTTTTTGCTGCGGATCCATCCGAGAAGGCTGTAGCCCGTCCATGTCAAAGAAAGAGGTGTCTAAAGTCTCCAAGTCTTCTTCAAGGTAGTAGCCGCGTCGCATTCTTACGGAATGCGCTCCGGAATCTGAATAGAATCCCTCCTCGTTATACCGCGAATCCGGGGTAACGCAATTTCCATCACGTCCTTCACTCAGTAGTTGCCAGAAATCCGCAGCAGAGCGAACACCTCCTGGCAACCTCATCGACATGCCGACGATGGCAATAGGATGAGCTCCAAATTCCCCCGGCTGGTGAGCGGCAGTAGAGCCCATGTTGATAGCGTGCACAAGAGTGTTGAACTTGCCTTGCAATCGGTGCCGTTGTGTCTGTACCTTGAAGGAAATAGGCTTTTGATTCTCGTCTTCATCTTCGGAAGATCCATATAAATTAGCGTGTTCTTCATCTTGAAATCCCCCAGAGAACACGATTTTTCGATCAAAGTGACACCTCCCACCGTTATGCAAGGGATGAACACGTCCGAGTCCGAGCCCCAAAAGCAATTACGAACGTGCATGAACTACTGATCCTCACTATTGCGACTGTGAACTTTGACGACTTCCTAAAAGATAAACTATCTATTGATTAGTCCGACCAAGAGAAAATCTGTTCTCAACAGCGTGGAGATTTGAGTTGACCTGGGTCCTATCTGACATGTATGGCTTGTTCCCGCAGCATGGATGTCCAGCTGTCACCCGATGCAAAATGCAAGGCTGCTGATTTTCAAGCATGTTTAGGCAGCTCAGTCAGACGATCCTTAATCAGAAAGTGACACGCTGTTTAGGGGCAGTGAAAAAAGAGAAAACACTTGTGGTGGAATTATCCCATGTTTTGATGACACTCGGAGACTTTTTTTTTTTTTTTACAGATTCTTTTGTCTGTCAACATCACCCCGGATCTGCTGAAATGGCATCAGAATTCCTGACCCTTATCGTCTCTGTGATTTGGATGGGCGTTCCGTTTGGAATCTATGGGCTGGGTCTCTTGTTTTACGAGCATCTTGCCAAGTATGATCGTCTGCGGTATGGCTGTTGTGGGCTCAGTATCCTCTACTCTTGCTATTCCGTACAGCACCCAACCACAGGTCCGCTTTTCAACTATATGACCGGTTTCATGGCTATTTATCATCCTGTGCGAGCGATAGAACTTCTCATCGTCTCCAACCCGCTGTCCATGCGGCGCTTGAGAAAAGTCGGCCCTCTGTACTGCTGGGAGTCCATTCCACCACCCAATGACATTCGTCGTATTTTTTGCATCATCGACTTGCTTGCAAATCCACGAGCCATTGGTTGGAGTCATGGCCCCATACGCCATCTTCCTCCCGCGGGTTTGATAATCAGTGAAGGTGGTGCTCGTACTTCATGGAAGCGGGTCAGCGACTGGAAACCCAGCCTTTGGTCCTTCGTTATGACTCAGACACGGCGCATTATAATCGCATATTTATGGTTTGATATGTATCTGGCAGTATTCTCTCATCAGAATGGCCGTCTCGCGATGCGGATGATCAATAACGTTTCCGAAAGCCTTGGGGTGCAACTCACACTGGCTATGAGCCATGAGATATTCAAGTGGTTGGGGCGAGTTGCACGTATTATTAGCGCTCAGGTTTTCCTGGATGGGTCGCACGCATTTTTCTCTCTCATTGCAGTGGGTATCATTTCAGGTATCTCAAACGATATTGCAGGGGAGACGTGGACGCATCCAACTCTTTTTGGAGGATTCCGGCTATCTTCACCCAATCTAAAAGGCAAGTGTGTTGCATCAGAAACCAGGCCACTGAAGCTTATATTTTCTTTCAGATTTTTGGGCCAACTGGTGGCATGATGTACTTCGACGCCCAATGTGGTCCGTTGCTCAGTGGCTGATGCCCTCCGAGGCATCCAGCAAAACTCACATCTGGGTGATGTTTGCAATAACTGCTGCCTCACACGGTATGGCATCATTTACATCCTCTCGACATGCTATTCCTGCAATAAGGGTTTTCATCGCCTACTGCTTCCAGCCAATAGCAACAATATATCAAAAATCAAATGCTCAGTGGATTGTGTCACGGGCGAAGAAGGCTCCAACCACAAGTTCGTTTCTAGTTTGGGCTATTGAAGTGATGTCATCAATCACTTGGCTCCTCTTAATACTCCCTTGGCAACTTGATGATCCTGGGCAGGAAGCATTCTTTGCAGCTTTTCAACTCCCTCGGACACCTTGGAGTATGCAATTTATGATATAGTTTCACAGTAGTTACCTGAAGCATTTTGGCTGCCACGGCCATGCAGCATCAATTCATGTATTTAAGGGATTCGAAATTGATTCTCTACTTCTTGTAGTGCACCCCACGTATGAACTGCGCAGATATGAGGTACTCATGGAGGATGGAAGCAATGGATTGTACTTTGTGATTTTCTGAATTCATACTAAGCATTTCGCAGGTTTAATAACATCAGATTCAGGCCTTCAGTATCAAGCCACGGATTCTAAAGATGCTGCCACTGAGTGAAGTATGTCTCCATTAGTTCAAACATGGTCTTGCACTTTAGAATATCCGGCCGGTCTGCCAAAGCTCTGTGAAGATTTTCAGTCCCATGAGTCACCATTGCATCTTGTTTGCTGTTCCACCAAATAGACCCTTTCATTAATCTCTCTGCAACTACGGGTGCCATGCTACTCAAACGATGACCGACTCTCTTTGACATTAGTTCTGCCCATTCAGAAATCTCGACAGCGCGGAGTGGCGGCGAAGTCAATTGGCTGAGTATGCCGAATGTTGTTGATAGATCGATATTTTGGTCTTGGTCTGGATGAATCAAGTTATACGCCTGGCCGAGGTTACCATTGGACAGTGAGATATGCAAAGCAGCCGAGCACACAAAGTCAACAGGGACAAAATAGTTCCGCTGGGCAGGAGGAATCGGATATGCGCCCAGACTAATGCAAGTCGACATGAGGCGATTAATAGCATCGTCTGCGTTTCCTATTCCCGTTGCACTATCTCCCAGAACAAAACCAGCTCGATGAATTGCGAGAGGAAACCCATTTGAGATGGCATCCCATACGATGCATTCCCCAACGTATTTGCTGAGCGAGTAACCCGTATGGTGTTGTAGATCTCCGGAACCAGGTGCTGGCCTCTCATTTTCTGGCACGTATGTCAGGCTGCTGAGAAAGCCTGATGGGCCATATGCTGCCATTCCCGAGAAATAATGAACAGGTTTGAGGCGGCGAGAATTGGCAAATTTGAGGACATTCAAAAGCCCAAGGACATTGATGTCCCGATGAGCAGAGTATGGTAGAGTAAAATTGACAAAGGCGGCCAAATGAAAAATGGCACTGCATTGACTGGATAGACGATCATGCTCATCCGCTTCCAGACCAAGTTCTTGGTGAGCGATATCTCCTGGAACAGCTCGAACCTTGTCCCAGGACTGGATTGGTATGCGGAACTTGGCAAATGCTGTTTCAAGCCGTTTCATCGCTGTCACCGTGCAGTCAGCGCGAACCAGGCAAGTGACAGTCTGCAGTTCAGGCAGGGCGACCAACATGGACAACATGAACGCGCCAATAAACCCAGTGCCGCCTATCAAAAGTACATGCCCTTCAGATTCAGCATACCATTCGGATATTGGCTCTGGGATGGGCTGAATAGTCCGACCGAGTGTCGCATCTTGGAGATACTGAAGATCTTTATCGTTTGATGTGAGCGTGGAATCTCCCGCGGAAACCTCCGTGTTGGTGGTTTCTTGGTATTTGGCACGTAGCGCCTGCAGCGTCACCTTTCCAAGGCCTCCTATTGTCTGCGAGTTTGAAATCTCGACGAGAGGCAACTCCAAGCCGAGATGGCGGCGATACCAGCTTCTGATTTCGATCATAGCCAATGACTCAATCACTATGTTGTTGATCTCATTCTCGTCCATATCGTCAATGTTTCCTAAATGAGATCCAATCTCCACCCCAAGAACTCTGGTGATTCTCACTTGGGTAGCAGGGTCATCTAGTATATGAGGATAACTCTTCACGGAATCCATCAGCTCCTTAAGATCACCATCCAACGCAGATGCTACTGGCTCAGTGTTCGAGATGATATTTGACCACATGCTATAGCGCGCGTCCCGAGTCCAAGGTGGTACGACACCGGGACTAGTGAGAGGCTTTGTAGTTCCGAGACCCAGTGCTATTTGACCTGACTGGCAAATTGCCAGTTCCAGAGCCTGAAATAGCTCGCGCTCTTCAACAGTTTGCATTGAGGCGGAATTTGCACGTTGTATGAGTTTAGGTGCATTCTCATATGCAAACCCTGCATCGTTCATCAGACCGAGATCAATGACACTTGCTGCAAGTCCGCGTCCTGATCTGTACTGGACAAAAGCATCCAGGAATGCATTTGCTGCAGCGTAATTTGCTTGACCAGCATTCCCGCAGAGACCAGCAAGTGAACCGAAACACACAAAGAAGTCAAGTGTATGGTCAACGAGAGCGTTGTGCAAGTTCTGCGTTCCCTGTACCTTGGAGGCCAAAACCGAGCACCACTCATCGTGCGTCATTTTCGACAGTAATTGATCCTGTTTGACCCATAAACTATTATTTGGTTCTTAAATTTGACGGGGAACTTCAGCCTACCTTCAACATCATGGGCATGTGGATAACCCCGGCAATACGCCTCTGGCAAGCCGTCACTGCACGTTGTACCTCATCCATATTGGCCACATCTCCTGCGATCACAGTCACTGAACAATTTTGATTGCGAAGTTCTTCCAGGAATGACTGAGATCCGGGGGTGCTCCCTGCCGATCGACTGAGAAATACCAAATTTCTCGCTCCCTTCTCGACCAACCAGTTTGCCACGGTGCGGCCCAAACCACCTAGACCCCCAACCATCACAATTGAAGCATCGGAGGGGAGGGATATGAATGTGGAACTCAGGGAAGCACCAAGCTCCGAAGAATCATCGGGCATCTTCACAACAATTTTACCCATATGTTTCCCGGTCTGCATAAACCGAAAAGCTTGGCAGATGTCTGCTGCGTCGAAAACCGTAAGTGGTCGAATGGGTTTAATCGTTCCTTGCCCGATGAATTCCATGCATTCTTGCATTACACTAGATTCCCCAATCCATTAGTCCACTGACACAGGGAATTGGTTGGAAATGCTAACTTACCTGTGAAACTGGCTGATGTCTTCATCTATGATCTGCTTCGCATCGACACCGATGAAAGACCTATTTCCTGCAAAAACATTCATGTCCAATTGGCCATTTCCTAGCAGATCACGCTTCCCTAACTCAATCATTTTTCCAAACTTAGCAACACATCTCCAAGAAAGATGTAGAAGCTCGCCGGAGAGAGAGTTGAGAACAAGGTCCACTCCGCGATTTCCAGTTTGCTCCATTACTCCCTGGAAGAAGGATGGGTCTCGAGAACTAAAAATGCGATTTCGAGAGATGCCAAATGTGTCCATCAGATGGCGCATTTTATCTTCATTGCCAACAGTTGTGAATATCTGCCATTGTTAGCTACTAAAATCGAGCAAAAGATGCGAAAGCGAAGGAAATGTACCTCGGCCCCTATCATTTGGCAAATTTGAATGGCTGCCAGTCCAACACCACCGCATCCACAATGTATCAAAACAGACTGGCCTTTCTGAAGTCTGCCAATCTGAGTGAGTGACAGGATTACAGTACCATAAACACAAGCAATTGTGGCCGCATCTTCCAAGCCGATCCCGTCGGGGAGAGGGAAGCAGCGCTCCCCAGCAACAATTTTGCGTGTGCACAGAAGTCCATCGCCAATAACAATCACCGCATCGCCAACATTAACATGAGTCACTGATGAGCCTATTCGACGGACAACACCGCTGCCTTCAACACCGAATTCACTTCTGTCGCCGACCACACCTAGAGCGACCATCATGTCCTGAAAATAAAAATTTAGCCAACAAGTCCCCCAAGAGCAGCCTACTTCAAGTAAATATGCTTACCCGGAAATTGAGCCCAACGTATTTCATGTCGATTTCAACGTCACTTTTTTGCAATTCGCAGTGCTCACGTTCCGACCACGCAAGTGTGTCGAGTAATCCATATGATCTGATATCTAGGAACTTGGCTTCGCAGTCGGCAGGCCTTGTGGAGGACAACTCCTGGCGAGCGCTAACCCAGTGAGCCCTACCAATATGAAGCCTTCCTTGATGAAATGCAAATTCACGATCAGGATCCACGATTGAACGGTTCAGTTGTCGCCTCATGTGCTCTAAAACCCGAACTGTGGCACTGGCAGATGTATCGTCAAAGTCATCGATCTCGAGGGTATAGAATTCAGGCGACACTTCGTGTCTAATTGTTCGGATAACTCCCAGAGTGAGGCCCAATCGCGAATCATTGCATGATATCTGAGAGCTTCCTGTGATCCAGAGAATATGAGAGCTTTTGATTTGACTCACGAACTGTTGGAACTGAGCAAACCTTTCTGGAGAGATGTCATCGAAGAATGGACCTTCCAAGTCTATAACTGAAATCCAATCTATCCCTGCAGGAGGGTTCGCTCCAAGAGCCACCCATGTTACGAGCTGCCCTCTTCTCTCTATCTCCTTTGCTAAGATGCGAGCCCAATCCGGCACTGTGGAAAGATAGAGAATCGCAATTTCCTTGGAATGTTTATTGGCCAGAGGGTATGGCCGCGATGCAATAGCTGTACCCTTGTGGTAGATCGATGAGTCCTTTAGTGTCAACATGCCAGAAACCTCGAACCCGGTCTCCCTCAGTTCATTCTCCCATTGCTCGGGTGTGATGGAAGGCTTGCTGCAGGAGGGGTCATGTTGAGCCCACCATTCGGGGAAGATGCCCATCACGTATGTGATCAAAGGAATTGTGCACAACACCCCTTGGTAGAACAGTCGACCACCTGGGGCAAGCAAGGTAAATATGTTCTTTAGGGAGGGCGACATTGGCATGTCAGCATCGAAAGCCTCTGAAGCGATGATCAGATCATAGCCCTCAGCCTCGAAGCCCTGCTCAATAGGGTCCCGGGCAATATCGAGTAGTGTGCACTGTATTCTGGGGGCCCATGAGAATGTCTCTTTTGCACGACCAACTCCATCTTCTGTCCTGTCGGTGACAGTGTATTTTGAATACATGGGAGTGCCATTATTTGATGTTAGCCCGCATAAAGCTTGGGTCACAGCGAACCCATTGCCCAGTCCAATAGTCAAGACTCGCATCACCGGGTTAGAATGGCTAAGAAGAGAGAAGAACTCAGCGTATCCTGCCGTCACTGACAATGACTTGTAAAACCTGAAAAGATCTACTGCTGTATGTCCCAGTTCCTCAGGGCCGACCGTCCCCTCCACCAAGACGTCCGAAACCATTGAAACTTTCCTTGCCAGTTTCATGAGAGGCGCCAGCTCAGTGTACTCTTCCTCGATTTCTTTCATGATCTCGGTCAGATGATCATCTTGGCAGAGTGATTTTCCGCATTTCCTGGATTGCTTCCTTGCATCCGCTTGGGAGCAGATCCAGCGTTGATATCCTTCAAGATGGAAATTATTCGGGTGCAACGGTTGAATTTTGTCCGCTGTTGTTATTATGACTGATTCAAAGAAAGCATCAAGGAGAGTTGAAGCACGGTTATTCAAAATCTTGGGTAGGAGGTCCTCCGCCAAGGAAACCATGTCGACGTGTGGCTTCCAATCAATACGGGCAACCAAACAATCATTCCTTTCCGTGTCATCTGAATCTTCGACTCCGAAAAGTACGCCTTTTTCCATTGAAAGAACAACCCGATTTTCAGAGATCATCATTGCGTTGCCGATTATACAGTCGCCAGTAGGATTGCATGACGCATCAATAAACATCAGCCCACGACCTGGAGCAATATAGATGCTTTCGATTGCCATGGGCATACAGAGTTTGGTCATATGACGAGAAGATCCCCGACAAATTGCGACGCCGAGCATCTGAAGATTCTGATCAATTATGGTCGGATGGATGGCATAAAAGCTAGAGTGTTTCGCATCACTCTCGTCACTATATTGGACACGGGCCCTTGCCTGGGGACTGCAGGGATTGGCAGAAATGTTCTTCAATCTTCGGAATTCAGGGCCAAAGTTTAGACCGCGCCTTTTCATCGCTTCGTACCATGACTTGGAAGAAACCATGCGCGGATATGAGATGAAATCAGGTGGGACATGTTGTTTCACTGTTCCGGCTCTGACTTTGCCAGTGCAATGCTTTTTCCATGTCCCATTCTGATACGCCGATATTGTGAACTCGTACCACGGAGAATCCGTCGTCATGGTGAGTCTTGTCGGACGAAGGCTGGTCACTAGCTCTGCGGCTTCGCTCTCTTTGAGCACTAATGGCGTCTTCAAGGTCAAGTTATGGATTGTGTAATCTTCCATCCCGACTGTCTGTCGAATCGCCTCACCGGCCATGGCAATGTATCCAGCGCAGGGGAAAATGAGCTCTTTTCCCAGCATGTGGTCCCACAACCAGGGTACATGTCCGACAAAGAGAACTCTCCTCCATGAAGGTTCCAGATCTGTTGATTCCAGAGAGCGAGGCCCTAGTAGCTCGTGATGTGGCGTCTTTGGGTTTCTCCATTCATGAACCAGCCTCGTTTCGCTGAAAAAACTCTCCTCGTGCAGCCATGGATAAGCCGGAAGTTCCGTCAAAATCGAAGCGCCTTTAGTATTATTGACCACATTCAGGTCAACAAAGGCTCCGTTACTATGAAGTCTTCCAGCAGTCATAAGAAGAGCCTTCCACTGAGGCTGGCCGCGAACGAGGGTCGGGATATACTTGGACATTTGATCGGCATCGTATTTGCGTAGGATTTGGCGCAGCGGGCTTGAGAGTGTTGAGTGAGGACCAATCTCAACAAAAAGATTTGGCAGCCGTGTTTCTTGAAGCAATCGCTGAACGGCACCGTTAAACAAAACCGTGGATTGCAGATTATCCCGCCAATATGACGCATCCAGCATCGTCGGATCCAATATGACACCGTCTTGGGCCGTCGAGTAAAGCGGTATCATATTGTCATTATGGGATATGATCGGCTTCATCATGGTCTCATATGCAATGCCAGGTTCCTTCATGCTTTCTGTAGCAAGGTTAGCTTCAATAGCACTAGTAGATACAAACTGTGGACTCACCAGAGTGATATGCCACAGAGATTTTCAGGCGTTTACAAAATGTTTCTGGGTCATCTGCTTCAATATTCTCAAGCACCTTGTCAAGAGAGCCTGCATCACCAGAGAGCGTCACGGACTGTGGACTATTATCACACGCCACAGTCACATCACCCAGAAGGTACTTTCTGGCCTTGTCGGCTGGGAGACCAACTGCAGCCATGCCACCAGGCTTCGTAGTCACCTCACCTACGGCTCTACCCCTCAAGTATGATATTGAAATTGCCACACCTGCTTTTATTGCACCAGAAGCATATGCAGCGGCGATCTCGCCACTAGAGTGACCTATTACTGATGTTGGACGTACACCCCATTCTTCAAGAAGATCTACCAGTGCGACCTGTACTGCTGTGGAGAGCGGCTGAGCAAATTCAGGCTGCTGAATCCTGCTTGATTCGTCATCTTTCGCTAGCTCTTCTGTTTCATCAAAATGGTTAGACCAGATCGTGTATTGGCACAAGTGCACGGTAATTCTCACCTTCCAAAGTCCAGCTGGGAGGATTCTTCAGCAAGGACAACTCTTGATCCATGGCCCTAATGCTGTTCAGGAAACATGGTGATGTGGACATTAACTCTTTTCCCATCCCGGCCCATTGTGCACCTTGGCCAGTGAAGACAAAAGTGATTTCAGATGTTATGTCGCGGCACTTCTCAAAATCTGACGTTGTTCCATCGGGATCAATGATGGCGAATGCTCGGTGAGCTAGATGTTCCCGTCTCACGCCTAGGGTATATGCGAGATCATTCACTGGACATGGCATTTTGGTGATGTACTCTTTCATGTGATCCACAGCCTTCTGTAAAGACTTTCCATTCTTTGCAGACAGAACCAATACTTGAGGGCTTGTCGTATCTGTGGGTCGCTGTTGTTGAGCGTGAGATATGGAGGCAAGGGATTCCAGGATGACCTTGACGGCGTGAGTAAAAATCAAACCCATCATGAAATGTTTTCCGTGTTCTCACGTACATGTGCATTTGTTCCACCAATCCCGAATGAATTCACGCTCACTCGTTCGCATCGACCGTCAGGCCATGCTGTTGGGCTTAGTGGCACTTTCAGACCTGCCTCTTCGAAAGGAACTTCATAAAAAGAGTTAGCAATTGCCTACGATTGAATTCCATAGTATTTGCTTACTTGACGGGTTTGGACTCGTGAAATGCACATTGGGAGGGATGATCCTCTTCTCGAGTGCGAGAGCAGACTTGATGATCGAGGTTATCCCCGACGCACCTTCCGAATGTCCAACATTGGCTTTGACCTAAAGAATTATTAGTGAATTTCTGGCGAAATGACGAGATTTGTGGCTTGACCGACCGCTCCAATATGGATACCCTCAGGGAAGACCTTCGCGACGACAGATGTCTCCGCCGTATCACCAGCAATTGTCCCCGTTCCATGGCATTCGAAAAATCCTGTCTGGGAGATGTTTTCAATGCCAGCCTTCTGATATGCGCGTCGAATGAGGCGCTCTTGAGCCTCCGAGCCAGGTGTTGTGATGCTTGGTGTTCTTCCATCACAATTCACAGCCGTTGAGCGAATGACAGCGCGAATAGGGTCTCCTTGTCGCAATGCTTCCGCCAATGGTTTAATATAGATGGCGTTGATAGCCTCGCCTCTACCATAGCCATCAGCGGAGGCATCGAATGTCTTACAAACTCCGTCTGGTGATAAGATCATGTTATCTGAGATAGATATGGTCATGGTGGGTGTCAGAATAAGATTCGACCCGGCGACGACGGCCGAGGAACATTCACCACTATACAGTGCCTGACAGGCATCATGTAAGGCAACCATAGAGGATGAACAAGCCGTTCGATATGTGATACTGCCAATTATCTTAGAGTCCAGACTATACGGGGCGGTTTGATTTGGACTACTTACCTCGGTCCCTGTAGGTCGTATTCGTAGGACACGCGATTCGAGAGCGCAAAGTCCCCCGCGCTTACGACATGGAATCGGTCCATGTGTTGGGTATCCTTGCTAGACATTTCCAACCAGTCTTCTCCAAAGACGCCGACATAGCAGCCAATGCTTTGACCACGCCAGTTCGTCTGTCCACCAGACTCCATGCATTCCCATACGACCTCCAGAAGCAGCCTCTGCTGTGGATCTAGCTTTGCTGCTTCAGTCTTGCTCATGGAAAAAAATGACCGGTCAATATGACCAACATCTTCTTGTAGGAAGTATCCATGGCGGGTTTTGACGGTACCCGGCCGGGTAGCGTTGTAAAATGCGTCCGCCCCATATCTTGTCTCTGGGACTTTGCAGTGTCCATCCTTTTTGTTGATCAACATGTCCCAGAACTTATCCATAGTATTTACCCCTCCGGGAAGTCTGACTGCCATCCCAACAATAGCAATTGGAAAGGGAACTTTGCTAGAACGATTCTGTCCTGCGACATCTTGCTGCGATTCCTCGCGTGCCACCTGAGGTGCAATACCAATAGGACCAGCTCTACCCTCCGGCATTGATGAGCCATCAAGTGGTGTTTTGGCTGAAATCCACGACATCTTGATCAATCATGAGCCAACTCGTGTGGCGAGACGTATTGTGACTCCAAATTTTGGGAAAGGTAGAAAAAAATAATAAGGAAAGTAATGCTATATACTGTACTTGGGGAATTTCTTGCACAGACTAACATACATGTCCAGTGCTTGAACAATCGAACTAACTATCGCTAGACAGATGGAGAACTCCCTCATTCCATTTAGCTGTTGCTTTGACTCTATCGTGAGCTCATCCTGAAAATGATATGTTTACTTTTCCGTGACCCAACTGTCGGTCCAGAATGACATATCTTCAGCTCAACCCCCGTGGAAAAAGCAATTACTCAGCTACTCATTTGCCAACCGTCACCCCGTACCCAAGCTTGATGATAGATCAGCTGGCAGTTTGACAACTTATTGAACTTTATTCCATAGGCAACATTCTTTATGTTTTTCTTTCTCTTCGAAATAAAGGGGCAGAAGGATCGCGGTTCATTTTGGACGAATGAGCCCCGCTATAATGCAGGGGAAATGCCCCTTGCATATCCATCAACATCTATTAAGATTTCTATAAAGAAATTTTCCAACCGACCTACAGATCAGATGATTGATCAACGGCTGCAAGACTTTCAACCGCTCCATGATCCATGAAATCCGGCTTCTGCAAGGCCACAGCACTCCGTACATGAACTTGCATAGCACCTCTAATGCTAATTTACTGATGTTGACGGTTTATTGACTGACTAGTAATTTTAAACCGGTCTCGCATGCAATAACAAAACCCCTACCTAGGATTCCGCACGAAAGAAAATGCTGCCTAAGACAATTCAAAAGTTTGTACGGAGTAGCAATTTATTATTATTTGGCTTCTCCAACGCACTTTCATCCCACAATATCCCTCGACCAGTCACTCCGCTTCGTTTGATTTACTTTCTGCACTATGCGGTTTTTGAAGTCCTTTGTCACTTTCTCGTCACTATTTCTGGTGGCCTGCGCTGCACCCGCAACCCAGAAAGATAGTGTCATTAGCAGCATCGCTAGAGTCTCCCAGGCTGTACAGGTAAACAAAGATGCCATTAACCACTATCAGGGTGGTTCTCTCGCCGCTATTCCTGTTGGCCGCAAAAACTATGATTGCTGGTATGCCCTGAGAGAGGCACATTCTAAGCTCACCGACACGAAATTCACACCAAGCGAGTCCAAAGAGGTCGTCAAGCAGTTCTCCTCCCTGAATCAAGATTCTATGGACTTGTTAGATTTGTATCGTGAGAAGGTTGGTTATCTTCACCTTATTGGAGCTTGTATGATGATGGCTAATATTGCTGGCAATAGGCACCATTACTGAACCAGGCCAGTGTCAGCTTTTTGGTGCCAATCATGATGCAAGCTTTATTCCGAGAGGCGGACGACTACTCCGTCGCACTCCAAGCTCTTATGCCTCAGAAGGATATTCCGGCCATGAAGCAGATAACTGTAGACCATAAGGCTGCGTGGGATGAGGCATTTGCGGCTTACGACCCTACCCGAAATACAGAGCCAGTGCAACAGTGGAGGTCCCTGATCTCGGTTTTCTCGCCGGCTTTGACATATATTCTCTGAGAACAATGCAACACTAAAGCTTGAGCCTCCTTCATCTATATATGGACTTGATGTTCCTCATACTAGGATGTAATTTCCATAGTGGTCTGGAATGGAACTTGTGTTTATTTAATGTTCTTCGAAGACCGCCAGAGACGAGGATGGCGCTTAAAACTTTCGGGTATTTTGTCATTGATCGGAACAAGCCTACATCACAAGAAATCTTTTCAAGTCTGTATCTGCTACACAATTCATATAAATATAGCTATTTATTGGAAACCTTGAACGCCATTCCTGACCTACCTGAACGGAATAATGTAGCTTGTTTGGTCAACCCCAGCAACCTAGGCGGATCTTTTTGTGAACGTCGGCTTGCAGAGTAAGAGGCAAAACAACTGGCTTGCTTAGATATAAATGAACAGATCAATTTGCCCTTCCTAGCCTTTTTCACCGGGGCTATATGAGTATCACATGCACTGGCAATGCAGCTCTTTAAAGCTTTGTTATCCGCCCGCCTTTTACCTTCAATCAGATATCCTATCATCAGTTACCCACTCGACGAGACGAATTCGACTGTACTTATAAAATAAAATAGGCCATCGGGAATGGCGCCCCAGAGCCCTGGCTTGCAAAAGCGGCGCTCACCAGCAAAGAGTCCTTCGTCGCTCAAGAGTCAGCCATGCAATTTATCTCTACATTCCGCGCGGACGACCGTGAACATGATCGGTCACCGGATTGTGGTATTCATCATGAGAACATGCTTTCTTACTTGCGAGCAATGGACTCGTATACTGTCACTGTGAGTTCCGCGCATTGGTAGCCACCATGCAGTTGCATTTTGACAGCATTGTCAGGAAGTTTTGATTCATCAATTCGAGAAACCAGCTCGAATTTTGAATTGAGCTTGAGGAGCCCAGAAGCAATAATAAATGATAATACACAAGAGCAAGCGCGGTACCAGCATGACACGATATGACTACCCACCACTCGAGCGTCCACGCATCACAGAGTCCCCAAATAGAGAGAGCAGCTCCACATAAGGCATATGTACTAACTCGAGACATTCTATGGCAAATTCGTAATCAAGCATTGCCACGAGTCCTGTTCCCCTTCCATACAAGACAATAGGATTTCGGCAACTAAGCCCATTTTGTAAATTTATGGGCGCCTGAGATGTTATTGCCTTGTCGTCCGAGCATGACCGCCCAAACAACTATAAAAACGGCCAACTTGAACCTTCCATTGAATTCATAATAGTTTATCGACAACGAGAAAAGCAAACAGGGTTTTCTGTTCACTGGTTCTTCACAACAGGCAACTCTCCATCCCACTGGATTTTCATCGTCGAAGGGAACGGCGAAACCATACTCTGCTCGGCATCCATATACATAGTAAGTCCGCCAAGCATTTTCAATTTTTTCAGCTGGCCTTGGGGCCCAGGGGCACGGCGTAAGTTCTCCAATTTTCCGATCACACGCATCATGGTTGGCAGTGAAATCTGACACACGGCGCGCCCCAGGCATTGATGCGGACCGAAGCCGAAGTGACAATACTGCGACAGGTCCCGATCTAAGCGAACCTTGTCAGGCTCAGGCCACGCTTTGGGATCATGACTTGCAGCGACCAAGTTAGTCCAAATGAATTGCCCAGCTTTCACTGTCACTTTTTCTCCATTATCATCGATAACTGTGGGCTTGTTGACCTCTCGGACAAGGGCAACCGATGACCTGATCCGGCCACCTTCCATGAAGCTGTTGGAAGTCAGTATACAACTTGAAAATAGAGGAGTGGAGACAAAACATAGAGAAATTTATACTCACTATCTCAGAAGCAACTCATCGGATTCGGGGGTCTCTTCTTTAGACAAGCGCTGGATCTCCGCAAGGTGATGGGCATTTTCAGGCTCCAGATAGAAGTCCATACATTGGATGAATAGCTGGGCCTGGTTCGCCACCATCGAGGTTGCAGACGGCAGGATATGGGTCCAGACAATATCCTTCGGAGGAAGACCACTCTCAAGGAGGTGCTGAATCATGTGAACTCCATAGTCCGAGAGGGTGTCATGGCGATGGAGGCGATTCAGTAGATTGGCGATGAATCCAGCCTTGTCAACAAGCTCCACATTTGCCATGACCAGATCACCGAGCTGCTGCGCAAGATTGCGCGAGGCTTGCTCGAGCTGGAATGACTTAGAAACATCGACATCATAGAAAATACATGTAAAAACCAAGGCCAGGATCTGATAGAGTTCCACCGGACTAAAGATGCCTCGCGGGTTGGACTCAGTCTTCATCGGGAGGGAGAATAGATTAGCGCAGAAATGAATTTGGGCAAGGTTGGCCACGTCTCGAACGAGGTCGACTTGGTTGACGCCGGCGATTTTGTATGAGTTCTGGCGTAGAAGTTGAATGGTAATCTCCTCGTAGAACGAACGCACTTCCGATTCCCACTTCTCCCTATACAGGGCCTTTCCCACTATCTTCCGCGATGAGGCATTCGCAGGACGGTCGTCTGCTAACATGAAGTCTCGACCGTAAGGATGACCGTCACGTTGCAAGATAAATTCCAACTTTTTAGCCAGCGTCACTCTGAAGCCCTCCCGATCTGCGAGAATGGACATGCAGGCAGCATGCGAGTTGATAAGCCGAGGCGTCGGAACGAAGGAAGGTTGGTCGAAGCTGTATATTTTATCCAGTTTCAGGCTGCTCAGGATCTTTCGGTTTTCTTGTGGAATCACGAACGGGAAATGGGCATAGACCGAGTCCCCGCGGAAGTGATTGGGGAAAGCTCTGAGTACCAGCTTATAGAAGACATGGCCCTTGTCCACGGTGTCGTCATAGCTGATTTCATTGAAGCCCCAGTTTGTGAGATGTCTGGGGGTGTAGTCGACAGTATAAAATCGATCGCCACGAACAAGAGCCACAGCATCCGAAAGAATTGCTCTTGACGTAGTAAAGTTGGCACATAGTCCACTGCTCGGTGAGAGAGGCTCTTTCGCATCTTCAACAACCAGTCCTGGATAAAGCTCCACAAGGTCCGGGTGGTCATAGAATCGTCGCAATTGATCGACGATATGTGGATCCGAGTTAATCTCTTCAAATGTCTTATAGGGTGCCAGTTTGAAAAACGACCGGAATTCGTTCAATGTGGCCAAGTTCCATGACCGCGCCTGCTTGATGCCCAGGACTTCGATAGTTCGGAAGACAGTAGGTACGTTAGATGCCCCGAACGCTCCAGCCACATCTTCTACGCTTTCTTCGAAGATTTTAACCAAGTCATCATCCTCAAATGAGCCGTCCGCCTTGCGGTGCAAGTTGCCAAACGGACGTTCCTGAGGGTCCTGGGGAAGCGTGGCCTCCCATTTACCAAGTCCCATGGTAAATTGCTGCAGAGAAAGCTGGCTCGGGTCTTCCACATTTGGAAACAATTCCTTGTATAAGCCTTCGGACCACTTTTGGTCCCGAGCTGAGATGCATGAGTGCCATCTATAGACAAGGTTGAACTCCGCGGACACCTGGTTTCCAGTAGCCTGCTTGGCAGCTTCCCCAAGAAGACCATCCTTGATGTCTGCGCGAGGATCCAGACTCCATGTACTGTCTGTACGGTTCAGGTTGAGGATGGTTCGAACATAATCTTTCAAGATGATGTTCACATAAAGGCCACAAGTGATCAAACGAGACGTCTGGAACAGGTCATTATCCCAGGTCGCATAAGCCTTTGTATTGGACTCGTCGGGTTTGGTGAACCGACCGCCTTCGTTGATTGCTGCCAGCTGAGTGACAACGTAGTTGTGGAAACGATTGAACATGATTAGAAGGACACCGACACCAGGAGGAAATCCCAAGATTCGCTTTGCAGAAAAGCAATCCGGCTTCAACTTGCCGTCCTTGAAGGTTCTCACTGCATTCTGCTCGTCCTGGTTGTTACCATAGAGAGGGCCCAGGTCGAGATATGAGGAAGTCAAGGATATCGTGCTATCACGGGGGTCCGTTTGGAAGAGATCTAGCTTGTGTTAGTTGCCACAGGTGCCTATAGAGGGAGTGAGACCAACCATGGATAATAATAGATGCGAGGTAGAAAAGGACGCTGGAGATCTTGTTCGGGTGCTCCTTGAAATCCTTCCGAGCCAAAAGACTGTCAAAAAGAGCCTCTGGCTCTGGAAGAGCAGCAGGCAGCATTGTCTGCGGTCGGACAGATCGTGCGTAGGGGGTACCAGCAGCACCGATCTGCTGCCAAAAGAAGTTCTATGCTAGGAGTCAGCGGTTGTCCTCTGGGACCTACAGATTTACATTGCATACATTGCCTGATCCATCAGCTTTTCGATATGCAGAATCCCGCCCCAGGTATCTGCCCAATCCGCGGTGTTAGTCCATCACCAACAGCAAAGCACATGCCCAGCTGGGGATAGAGAAGTCGGCTTACGATATAGGCGGGTGCTCTAAATCATTCCATAAAGTGTTCAGGAAGGTATTCGTCAAATCTTTGCCGTTTTTCGACGTGGAAGGCAACCCAGCCGCGAGCTAGGAGAATATAAGCCACAACTGGTCACTATAGGCAGGAGATCAAACTTGATAGACGAACCTGAATCACTCGTTCCATGATATACTGTCGGTCATTCACGGGGTCCCCGGTAATCGAGCTTTTTGCGACTTCTGCCAGTGTCTTGACATCCTTCAAATCAAAGTGACCCAGGTCCTGGGCCAGGCCTGTGGTCGTATTACTCTTGATGTAGGTGCCATCGCCAGTTTCAGTTGGCAAGGGTCTGAGGGATGCAGCGACAACTTTTTCAACTTGGGCAAGAGGGTTGCCGTTGCCATTGGTTTTGTCGGCCATGGTTCAGGAGTTTCAACGATGGTTATACAACAAAAAAATACAGAGCGCAAATCACAAGTCACAGAGTGAGCTGTCCAAAACTATTCAACTGTGAGCCTAAGGATCAGCAAACCCTCGTCTCAATATAAGAGCTTTTGAACTCGGAATAAGAAAGAATCGAAACCAGAGGCCTCGGATCGGCGTGCATCAATGGATATCGTTGACTGGTGCCAAAAATGACAAATAGGAAACGCGTACCAAGCCCGAATAGAAAATCACAAGCGATGCGAAATATACAGCAGCAGTCTTCGTTCGTGGATGCCGGCAAAGTTTTGGTGGGTGTTCACGAGGCCACCACACTGGATCGCGACAATAATAGCGATACACGTAAGGTCAAGATATATGTTTCCAAGGGAAAAAGTTGGTCATGATACGTCCACGTCGGAGGATATGCAATTGGGGAAGGGGGAAGCATGATGGGGTTATGTATAAGCCTAGACCCCTCTCTGCTACAAAGCCTCCCACGAATATGGTTAAATGAGCCACGGCTGAATGACCTTCAGCTCGTAAATGTCTCCGTAGTTCATATGGGCTTGTCTGGATCGGTTTTGGACCGTCATCCTAGCGCCACCCTCCGCATGCAGCAATGGGCAAATGCAGACGACGCCCCACTTCGTAGTGTGATAAATGGGGCGCCTCTCATTCGCGCGTCAAAATCCTGGTCGAAAATGGTTCCAAATTTGCCAATTTTGGCCCAGCGTCATCAAAAATAGCCAGGCGCAAAGGTTCGGCATAGAAGGGAACCTTTTGCTCCGTGCTTAGCGATACGAGTTTTTTGGAGCCGGGGATCCCCAGTCAGCTGAAAGGCACTCGAGGTTACGCTGCGGCTTGGTGGCTTCGGACATTGCCGCAATAATAGCCTTTTAGTCCACATCTGCCATTGGCTGAGTCGACGCCCAGTTCAGTACAGTAAGCATCGTGCCGGCCTGATGTGCAAAATTGTCAAGACGGTTAAGGATTAGCAGTCTGCTGATGCACACCAAGACTTCTAGCCCGGGTACTAGTGACAGGATTTCGGGGCTGCTTATAGAGAACATTGTGATCGTTTACCGAGGCGAGTTGATTGGCGACACAGTTCGGACAGACTATCCGTCGAGGTTGGGGTTGTCTGAGCTGAGACGGAGCTTGACCAAATCACTGGCAATGAACAGCAGGTAGTCGAGAATATGGCACCGCACTGGAAGGAGCAAAGCATGAAATAGCATCATTTCCAATTATTTCCTAAATTTGAAACAGCTACATCGATTCAGTGGGTGGCTTCTTTTCGACTGAATGGGTCTGGATGTGATAGGAGCTTAATTCTTTCAGGTGTATAGTATTGCCACGAGGAGTTTTGCTACCTTGGGTCCAACACTTTAATTGCGCTTAAAGCCCTATAAAAAGGGCATAAATCAAAGAGATGTTAAGTGTCAGAATTATCTTCGTTTCATGATATCGGTAGCAATCATAAGACTTTCAAAAATATAATGCAGTTGAGCAACGAGGGAAGCATTCTATTGTAGGTGTCTCAGTGCATTGCTGTTTGTGGATCCTAACCTAGCCATCAACTGGCCTTTGAGACCCGTCCAATCCACCTCACCATAAGTGGACCCCCCTTCACCTCAGCTACTATTCTGCAGCCACATATTAGACAATAGCCCAATTTTGCTGACCTTAGTGTGCATAATAATTCAAAAATGAATAATTGGTCAAGGAGGCTTACTAGTCTGCCCGTTTGACCGTTTTGGCTGCAAATGACAAATGCTTAAGGGGGCTGTGGACAATTTCAAAAAAATAAAAATAGAGAAAATTTTAGCACTGCAAACCGTAAAGGTCTTGCGTGTAGTTCGGATATCCTACCGAGCCTTTTGGCAGGAGTGAGAGCTGTATACTCCCCATTTATGGCCTCAGGTGTCACATCACGTGGGGTCGGCCGAGGCTGCCGTTGAGGCTAATCAAATCCCAACAGGCTCGGTTTCTCGATACTCCTGTGTGACCTAATCGGCCCCCGGGATAGCCTGAATCGCTTCTTCTTTCCTGTCGCTTTTTTTCTTGCAGCTAGTAAATGCCCCAGATGTCGTCATCTAAAATCACTCTCATCATTGAGCCACGGGGTATGCAGCTATAGCTCCTATAAACATACCGGACTTGTTGAATCCGGAACCTCTGAGACCTGACACTGACAAAGTACAGGCAAACCCATTCGCAGACTCCCCAAGGAGGTCACTGTTGCGCTCAATTCCTCCGGTGAGGACCTGTACAATCTCCTCGCTGATGTCTCTGGCTCTTCTGTCCACCGTTTGCGCATTACCAAGGGAAGTGACCGCAGCGTTGTGCCCAATGCGAAGACCACTGCCATCAAGGACACTGGTCTGCGGGAGTCAAGCGTCATTCATGTCAAGGATCTGGGTATGTGATTTTTCGATTCCACTATAGCTGATCAGGGCTGGAGTCAAGGAAAAGATCTGCTCCCCCGCACATCCCAAGGCAATGCTAATGGAAGTTCTCCCTGTTGTAAAGGTCCCCAAATCGCGTGGCGTACCGTCTTCATCATCGAGTATCTTGGTCCGCTCCTCATCCCGGCACTGTTCCTTTTCTCTCTCCGCCCACTTGTGTACTTCAATTTCGACCAGCTTCCCGAGCCATCCGAGACACAGCTCCTGGTCTGCGCCCTTCTGACCATCCACTTCCTTAAGCGCGAGTATGAGACAGTCTTCGTGCACCGCTTTAGCAATGCCACCATGCCTGTTCGCAACATCATCAAGAACAGCGCCCATTACTGGGCCCTGGCGGGGTTCAATATCGCGTACTGGGTCTTCCGCCCGGATGCCGCCGCGGCCAGCGCGACCCCCAACCCTGTCCTCGTGTACGCCGGTCTTGCGCTGTTCGTGTTTGGCGAGCTGGCCAACTTCAACGCCCACTTGATCCTGCGAGATCTCCGTCGCCCGGGTACCACCGATCGGGGCATTCCCTCTGGATTCGGATTCAATCTCGTGACCTGCCCCAATTATATGTTTGAGATTATCGCTTGGCTGGGCGTGTTCCTGGTCAGCCAGCTGAGCTGGAGTGTGTTACTCTTTGTGACTGTTGGTGGTATTCAAATGTGGAGCTGGGCATGGAAGAAGGAGATCCGCTACCGTAAGGATTTTGGTGACAAGTACAAGAAGAAGCGTACCGTCCTTCTCGCTGGTATCTGCTAATCTGCGAATTGAATCGTTGGTTGGTGATATAAGGTCACTTTCTGACACGGGAGTCCCGACTCTACCGAATTCGAAATGACGAGGCATTCTGTGGGCATGAGTCCCATGTTTTCCTGCTGTTTTCTTTTCAATTACATAGATGCTTCCTTGATGGATTTGTTGGTCTACACGACCAAATAATTGTTCATCTCGGGGCTCTTCTCAAGTAGTCTTTGAATAATAGTGAACTTACGAAGCGTGGATTTTATTACTGGGTATAGAAAAGAATAATAATGACCGTGTTCCCTTTGTATCTTATGCACGCCAATAATAATAGCAAATGAGCACCGCGCTATATGTTAAAAAAGCCAATCTATAATAAAATCAAAGAATCAATAACACCAAACTATTCTGCACAGTGCGAATCACATAAGACAGTAGACTGTCCTAGCAGGTGAGTAGCCTTTCCCCAAGTAGGGCAATTCAACTACTCTTGATTTTTTTCTGCCACAGGCCGTAATATGACTCCAGTTCCTCGCAATCACGACTGCTGCCATCTTCGCATCCCGGGAATCTGAGAACAAGATCTCCATCTTTGTAAGTCCCATCAATAGCAGCACCCAATGAGTCTTTGCTATAGGCATTCATGATACGCTGCGGAACCAAAGCAGTCCGAGATAGCACAGTTGGGTGCCATTGCATAATGTGATCCTAGATGAGTTGTCAGGGTCAGTATTGGTTCAAGGAACTTTTCACTTTAAGCCTGGGGAGTGATGATATCTTACCAGGCCATGAGTCTCCGCCTTTGCAAAGTTATAGCTCCGGTAAAGCGGGTCAAACCACAGGTCCAAGAAAAAGCGCGCGAAATCGCCATTCTTGAGGATAAAGCTACCGGCGCAGAGATCCTCCCCATCCTGGGTGGCGATGAGATCGATATTTTTCTCCTTCAGATGTGAGAATGTTCTGATAATGCTGTCTGGTGGCACGACTGGTTGGTCCTTCAGCATCAACCCTTCGAGGCGATTCCGGTCTAGCAAAAGGGATGTGAGGGACTTCGACGGATTCATGAAGAGAGCATGAGGACTCAGGTGAAAGAAATATTTCGAGTGAGGGTGTTGCGCCATTGCGTGTCGAACAGCTGGGACCAAAGCCCAGCTTCGGGGGGAATCGCCGATAGCTTCATTGTATTCGGAGACGCTTGCGAAGAAGTTCGTGTAGCCTATCCATGGACACCGTATTAGCGGAAATTTGGTCCGAGCAGAGATGAACCTAACAAGCAGATATGAGGAAATAGGCATCAATTACCATGGCGCTTTGCGTAGTCTTCTCGATTCGTAACGATCTTGTTGATGTAGCTATCGCTAAACCGTTGTCGATCCAGCACCGTAACGATGACCACGCCCGCCGTACCAGCCGGCGTTGCAATGGAAGTCGAGCCGAGGGAGAAGAGATGAGAGATCAGATATAAGATGGAAAGAATCGCAAGCGCAAACAAAGCAACTGTCTTCAGCTGCTTCTTCCGATATAGCGGAAGTCGGGAAGAGTGGGCGCCCGGGTGAGGAAGAGGGCTCCTCCGCGGAGGCAATGCGAACTGCATGGCCGAGGATCGTCCCCAGCACTATGATGCTGGAAATGGACAGAATCGGTTACAGTAAATCAAATCATAGCAAAGCGTATTGCAGGCCGGAGCTTCAAGGAGAATGGTTTGCTGCTGCCGATGGTGAGTTGTCAATAGGTAGTTGCCAGGGCGAGGTTGAACCAGGTTCTGGCCACCTCCGAATCCGGTGGGCGGCCGGCGTCTCTGCGCATTCCAGAGCCCTTCCAACTTCACCAACATCGCCCGTTTCCAGTTAGCACTGGATTTTCAGCGATAAGAAAAAGCCAGCGAGCGAATTCAATTCAACCATTAGCCCAGGTCATGTCTCATTGACCAATAGCTTCGTACTGGATCGCACAAGCCGCTCTAATTACTACGAGATAATTTCTGCTCGAGAGGAAATTGAAAACGCCCATCAAACATAACAAGCTCATCTGACAGCAGATGTATCTTACTACGCACAGATATAGAGAAAGCGAGGGACTGGACTGTAGAAATGTGGATGATATTGGAGTATAAATACACAGAAGGTTTGGTATGCAAAGTCCCACAAGGTCACAGCCATGGGAAGAGTTCACCATATTGCTCAAAAATCAGACAATGGAAAAGATAATTCGAAAAAAGCGAAGAAAAGTATGGTGCGCAAAAAACGTCAACTGTTTCGTCGCGATAATGGTACAATATAAGAAGCGCCGGTCTCCGTGCTTGTGTGCATGCCTTGAGCAAATTGCAAGGCATCGCCAGATTTTAAAGTATCCCGCTCAATGAGTCGTTTCAGGCCGACTTGACAGCCTCACTTTGATGTACGCCTGTACGGACACGCTGAGGATCACCCTTCCCCTTTCCACGGGGTTTTGTGAGGCCTTTAATGTTGAGTCTCTCTTCGACCTTGGCTTCAATCTCATCTTTCTTGGACTCAAGGAACTCCTCAAATGATACAGGCTCCGGAAGACCGTATTTCTCTCGTTGCTGCCGGAATTCTTCCTGGATTGCAGGACTTTGCATGACCTTGTGTCGCAGCTCCCATCCGAACACGCCGAGCTCCTTGATACGAGCTGGGCTGTTGCCCATGAGGTATTTGTCGACCCCACCTTCCTTATAGATTGTCCGCAGGGCTCGGCGAGTAATTTTGATGAAGAGGTGTTCTTGCAGAGCCTCACTCCAAAGCTTCTTGCGTCGCACATTGGGCTTCCAGCTTCGTCGTGTCTTGCCTTCATTTCGGCCTCGAGAGATCTTGTTGCCGAAACGAATCACTGAGCCTCCATAGAGACCGGTGTCGGCTTGTTTGTACCATTGCCTGGGACCGTAGGGGTAGGCTGGGACATCTTCCGGGAGTTTCTTGTCGGATTGCGCGGTCAACGTAGTCGAGAAGCAGCGCTTCGGTGTCGAGAGTGACAGGCTGCGAAAGGCTGTGGAGAGGGAAAAAGGAGCTGCCATGGCCGATCGGGACTGAATTCCTGCCATTGAGGGCAATGAATACCGATTGAGCAGCGTGGACTGAAGCAGGCCGTGTCGCTGAAGATGTAGCGGGAAGAATTTGGGGATGCTTGACCGCCTTTGGCGCGGCTCCGTGACTGGCGCAGATCCCTTGCTCGCGAATTTCGGCCAGAAGCATATTTGAGAGGTCCCATCGCATTACATTCGCTGTTCTATCTGCCTAATCTTTTTGGAAGATTTTGCTTCGTTGATTTCTTCATTCTAACAACTCATTGACTCGATTTCCCTCTCACCCTGGTGGCTTGACAAAGCCACATTCCCCAGCCATGGTCCAAATCAGCGAAGTCAAGGGCAACTCGCGCGAGAACAGGACCGCCGCGCACACGCACATTAAGGGCCTAGGCCTGCGCTCCGATGGCACTTCGGAGGTTTCTGGCGATGGTTTTGTTGGACAGGCTGCTGCCAGAGAGGTAAGCGTGGATTCCCTGATGTCGATGGACGAATCCTGATTCTGTGGAACCCCGTGAACTAACAGATTCAACTTCACCTACCAGGCCTGCGGTGTCGTCGTCGATCTAATCAAGGCAAAGAAGATGGCAGGACGTGCAGTTCTGCTCGCCGGTGGCCCCGGTACTGGAAAGACTGCGCTCGCTCTTGCCGTATCACAGGAGCTTGGAACCAAGGTCCCGTTTTGCCCGATCGTTGGCAGTGAGATCTACTCTGCGGAGGTGAAGAAGACAGAAGCTTTGATGGAGAACTTTAGACGAGCAATTGGTATGGATTTGACAAACAACTTTAGAATATGCTGTGTTTCAGAACCCCATAGCTAATGCAGAAGTCAGGTCTTCGCGTTCGGGAAACCAAGGAAGTGTACGAGGGAGAGGTGACAGAGCTGACTCCGGAAGAGGCTGAGAACCCCCTTGGTGGATATGGACGCACAATCAGTCATTTAATTATCGGGTTGAAGTCTGCTAAGGGCACAAAGAAGCTTCGCCTGGACCCCAGCATCTACGAGGCCATCCAGAAAGAGCGCGTTACTGTGGGAGACGTCATCTACATTGAAGCCAATACCGGTGCCTGCAAGCGTGTCGGAAGGTCTGATGCTTATGCGACGGAGTTCGATCTCGAGGCAGAGGAATACGTGCCTGTTCCCAAGGGTGAAGTTCACAAAAAGAAGGAAATTGTTCAGGATGTCACGCTGCATGACCTCGATATGGCCAATGCCCGGCCGCAGGGTGGACAGGATGTGATGAGCATGATGGGCCAACTGATGAAGCCCAAGAAGACCGAGATTACCGAGAAGCTGCGTCAGGAGATCAACAAGGTGGTCAATCGGTATATCGACCAAGGAGTTGCTGAGCTCGTTCCTGGTGTGCTTTTCATCGACGAGGTTCACATGCTCGACATTGAGTGCTTCACCTATTTGAACCGGGCTCTCGAATCCACCATTTCTCCTATTGTTATCCTCGCCTCCAACCGTGGCAACACGGTCATTCGCGGCACTGACGATATCAGCGCTGCCCATGGCATTCCTCCCGACCTTCTGGCTCGCCTCCTCATCATTCCCACCACCCCATACTCCCCTGAGGAAATCAAGACTATTATTCGGCTACGCGCCAAGACGGAAGGCCTCAACATTACGGATCCCGCCTTGGAGAAGGTTTCCGAGCACGGCAGCAAGGTCAGCTTGCGCTACGCCCTTCAGCTGCTGACTCCGGCCAGCATCCTTGCACGCGTCAATGGACGTCCTGGTGGAATCGAGGCAGCGGATGTTGCTGAGTGCGAAGATCTGTTCCTGGATGCCAAACGGAGTGCTATGATTGTCAACCAGGACAGTAGCAAGTTCCTCCTCTAGATGGCCTGGAAAAAGGAGGGAATGGGGAGTTCCATGATCATGTATACCATGGGGGTATCTTTTGTTTATTGAAAAGGCGAATTTTCTTGTGTAGTCCTGTTTTCTTTTACGCTAATGCTACCTGATGTTTGACCGAATTCTCCCAAATCCAACCGTAATATATTTTGTAGACCAACAAAGTGGAGGTGACCGTCTCGATCAGTGTATAGCATCACTGGAAGGAGTAGGTTGGAGAAAATAAATTGTTCATCGGTTTGAAATTTCACATCTGCTAAGTTCATTCATGAATATCTTGAACTATTATCAGAGGCTGTATCAAAAGGTATAAACTATCTTGGTACGTCAAGTCAGCTGCTCCCGCTGCATAATGAAGGTACCTGACGACCTGAGGACCTCGGTCAACATCACGTGCACCCTGCATCATCATCTGTCCACTCCCCATCTCCCGCCTCCCCCAGATAACGGTGGAGCCTGCAATCAGAGACGCAACGCTCACCAAGACGCTTCATATATCACCAGTCACAATGTCAAACCCTCTGGATACAGATGCGGGTTCCGAGATGTTCGCCAGCTATGAGAATGAGCTGAAGCTGGTGCAAGCGGATCTGAACCAAAAACTGGACCAGATCTCCGAAGCCAGCGGCGAGCAGCGCAAAGCCGCCATCCGGCAAGCAGAGCAAGTTCTTGACGAGGCCACTGAATTAGTATGTTGATAGTGTTGGAGCAAGGCCTTTTCCCCCAGGCCTAACCAATCCGAAGGCATGAGGCTAGAGCAAGTACTAACATCACATTTGTCATTTCACAGCTGGACCAGATGCGCATGGAGAAGCAGAACATCCCATCTGCCGCCCGTTCCAGAGTCAATATGCGTTTTCGTAACTATTCCACCGACATCGACGAGATCAAGCGCAAGCTGAAGTCTCTCTCGGACGACCGGAAGGCGCTCTTCGGAGACCGGTACACAGACGAGCCGCAAGACGAGCACCTAGAACAGCGGCAGCAGCTGTTGTCCGGCACTGAACGGCTCGAGCGCAGCTCAGCACGCTTGCAGGAGAGTCAGCGGGTCGCGCTGGAGACCGAGGATGTAGGACGGAATGTGTTGGCGGACTTGTACGGGCAGCGGCAGACGATTCAACACACTCGGGATAACTTGCAGCAGAGCGAGGGTTACGTTGACACTAGTATTAAGACATTGAGGGGCATGGCCCGTAGGTACTGCGACCCTTTCCACCCTTCCTTCTTCTTTAATTTGCACTTGGCACAACTCTCTGACCCGTTTCACTCGGCAGGATGGCTACGAATCGGATAATCACTATCGCCATTATTACGGTCCTTGTGCTTTTGATTATCGCCGTGATTTTCAGCAAATTTCATTAGCGATGCGGGGTTTCTTTGGCGTTTGTGAATTGGAGGTTCCTTCATTGTATTCTGATTTTATGAGACGTTGTATGAGAGCATCTCAGCGAGCACCACGGGCTAGAGCTCTGGGTTATAGCTGCTCGCGGTATTAATCGAACATGATATACAGACCATACTATGTGAGAACAACATGGAAATTTACTATGTTGAACCGTTCCGAAATAGAGGAAATTTGCATAAGCTGTATAAATGCTACGATGCCAACTAGGAGTTATTCATAACTCGATAAAAAGGATCCGAATCACGACTGAATGGGGGTATCTCATGCAATAATCCAACAAAACGCCGAGCCGAAGAACAAGACAGGAAAGCCGGAGCCAGCGGCAAGCTATATACAGAGATATGATGTCTAATTCATAATTCTCATTGCCCCAAAGGCAGCATTCACGACCACGCCGACAAAAACAGCGACGCCCTTACGCCAGCTCCAAACACCCTCCTCTCTTCGTAGCCACATCGCACACCCAATGGGCCAGAAGAATCCCATAACTGCGCCCCAGAGCATGTCGTCCATGGCACTTCGCGATCCAGAACCTAGGCCGCCATCATCTTCGCCAACCGGCCCACCTTCTCCGCCACCCTGCAACTGCGCGGCGGTAGACCCCTCATCCATCCACCGGTCCTCTAGGTCCCGCAGTTCCTCGCCCGTAGGCATAGTATCTGGCGTGCGAGACACAGACTGCACGGCTAGAAACTGCGAGCGTAGCGCCGTGACTTCTGACGGGGTAAACCCCGCCGAGAGGAGGCGGTCGAAGCCACGAGGAGCTGGGGTAGTTGAGGCGGCAGGTTGTTGGTGCTGGACTTGGGGCTGAGACGCGCGGTCGCGTGGCGGGAAGAGCGAGGACATTTGCCGTGGATCGGACATCTTCTCGTCTTCTTTCTCCTTTTGTAGCTTGATGGCCGAAGTATTGGCCGCCTCAGCTGAGAGGTCGGTCTCGGAGAGGGCAATGTCGCCGATGGAGCAGTGGATGTACAAGCGTGGACGAGAGTCGCGCAGGGGCTGCTTGCCCTTGGCATTTTGCGTTGTTGATGAGCCGTTCTTGACCCCGGAAAGCTCATCTTGGTCGTCATCGCCATCGTGTGCGGGGCGTGGAGTACGAGATGGGGATGGTGGCAATTTGAGGGAGGTCGCAAGAGCAGTCCTGTCTTCTAGGCCCCGACCAGCATATATGAGACGTAGGCGATGAGAGGAGATAGAAGATGGGAGCTCCGATCGGATCAATTGTTTCAGACCAGCACCTGTCGTGTCTTCTGGGTTCGGAACGTCTAGGGGTAGGTCAGGGATGGATGCGGAGAAGCGGACGGTGATGAGGAGGGCATCGGCGACAAGGTCCGTGGCGGTCTTGTGGCCGAGAAAAGCAGACGAAGCCATATTATCAGCTTGGTGTCACAATGCTTGGTTCATGGGAGTTTCTTGTGCGCTGTGTATTGGCTCAAGTTGTGTTGGAGGGATGTAGAGATGGGCATGGATTACGGACAACATGGAACCATTCCGCCATCATGTGACATCAGCGAATGTAGAAATAAGATATGAAGTTCAACTATTTTATTTGGTATTGCGATGTTTGCTTGCGAAAACATATAAAGAGGGACCATAGGCCTAGTAAAAGGGCTAAATTTGACCTACAATTTAGGCTTTAGGCGGGACAAACGTTTCGAATCATTTCAATCATCAGGTCCATTGGACTAATTTATACAAGTAATGATATCTCTTCAAGTGGCTTGCAAATCGCGATCCGAACGAGTAACAGAAATATAAGCGATGGATATTATCGATGACATATCCGAGCCCTCTATTAACGTTGAGAACTTCACGAAAAACGCCGGTGTCGGACACAGGACTTTCTGAAGAAAAGCAAAAAAAAACCGATGAAATGATATCAGCCACAAGACAAGATGTAAAAAGCTAAAAATGGTATCGACTGGATATCATGCATCTGTACTGGACCAAAATAGCGGTCGCAAATCTCAGAACCTCATTACGAGGGACTAGGAAGAGTAAGAAAAAAAACGCCGTCCGATGCACCGTAAGCGATGACGCCGAGAAAACCCGAATAATGAGACAAGTTGAGAACGATCGCTGGTAGAATTACACCATGAACGATTCACCACAGCCGCATTGTTCCTCTATTGCCATCGGTCAGTAGACTGGCCAAAAAAATGGATTTCGTGATTGTCAGGGGGAGGCGGAGGACTCACTGATATTGGGGTTGCGGAAAACAAAGCGTCTGCTCAACTTATCTTCATGCCAATCCATCTCACTGCCAATGATACTGAACAGAGCCTTGCTATCGATCAAAACCTTCACACCATCCTGCTCGACGATCTCGTCAAACTTGCCCGGCTGCTCGACGTATTCCAGGTGGTAGGCCAGACCGGAGCAGCCACGGTTCTTCACTCCGACACGAATAAACTTGGGATCGGGCTGTGACATGAGATTCCGCAGCTGCTCTGTAGCCAGCGGCGTTAATTTCATGGCGGCTTTCCTTGCCCGTAATGGCCGACGGGGTTTCGGGGAAGCCTTCGGGGAAGCCTTCGGAGGAGCGGTCGAGGGAGCGGTCGAGGGGGATTTGGTCTTCTGGGCCTCACTCTCTCGCATGCTAATAGAGGCAGCCTCTGACTGTGATGGAGAAGGGGCCTTGGGTGATCCCGAGGGAAGCGGGAAATCGGCAGAGAGGAAGGCATCAGAGGCCCCAGAGCTGCGTGGCATCGGAAAAGAGGAGGGAAGAGTGTGAGGGCGGTAGGCGGTTGCAGTTTGCATGTCACGTTTGGACGATTGATAGGCATTTCCGTTAGAAGAGAAGCAGCGCAGAGATGAGCAGCGCAATGTGATTGAGGGCTTTGTCCATCGGAGGAGTGTGGCGGATGATGTCACCGGGCGCTGCATGGCGGCACCGAAACTCATGATGGCGAGAAGGTTGACAAAATAGAAGATGTAGCGCTGTGAGAAAAATGGACTAGACACGCATGAAAGTCGTCGGCCGGCGCAATGTGATGGTGGAGGAGGAAGATGGGAGCGAGAAAGATCTCTCCATTTGTTCACCCCCGGTGACCCTCGGGTGGATTAGCTAACCCGGTTGCATGATGTGCAGCCGACCAATCAGCGTCAAGGTGTTTCTACACAAGCAGTGGCGCCATGAAGCGGCTCCGAAATGAGTCAAAGCGCCGGGGCAACTGGAGTGTTTGGGGACGAAAAGAAAACTAGCATCATGCCAATTCAGTATCTTAGAAAATTTGCCCTTGGATCTCGAGTTTTCTTGAAAGCATCATCAATTGATACGCCGACACTCTGCTGACTACAGAGTACACGTGATCGAGCTAACTGCGCTTTTCGGCAGCTGAGTCATATTTTATGCCTGAGGCACGTGTACTGCCCGATTTGCCGCCCGATTTCCGGAGGCGCGGCAGCCGTGCGTTTGCGGGTTGCTGCTACAACCAAGTCCTTCAGTAACTAACTTGGCTAGGAGATATCCTCGGTCTCACTCAACCGGTCTGACAGTAGTCCCTTTCATACTGAAAATAATAAGGCTTATTTATGATGAATACTTGTAAATTTCACCCAGAGCGTAGATCTCTCATTTCCGGCGACTCTGTCGAACCGCTGCCTTTTGTAAAATGTTAAGGACATGTGGCTGGACCCGCTGACAAAGTGGCTAGTGCCAAGTGTCGGCCTTGTTGAAGCGCAAGACAAACGACCACTTCTTCGCATGTCCTATGCTTCGGTGATCGGTCGCTGATCGTCCGCGTAAATCATGGAGGCATCGCCCCTCACCCAACAAACGAGACCCGAGATCTTCCAACCGAAGATTGTGCAGCTCTACGAAACTCTCCTTAAAGTACGCCCCTCCCCCTCCATTGAAGCTCGGAAGCTCTTGTCTGATATTGTGATCTAGCCCAACGACGATGTCGATGAACTATCTGAAGGTTTCTGGAGAGAGTTCTTCCTCTTACCGCCAGGTCGTGAGCAGCTGTATTCTCTGTTGGATGCGCTAAACCCGGATGGGATCCTGAGCTTGCAGGTGAGTTTGATAGCGAAGCTACTATGATGGAACAGAAATAGCTCACCAGTTCTGATTGGCCTAGACGCAAACCAAACAGCTGTTTGCACGGGCTATTCGGGAGGTCGCCTCGGGAACTGCACCAGCCGATTCTTATGCATTGGATGTGAGTAGTTTGACAGCTCCGATGGACTCCAAATTGCCCAATGACCCAATGAGTCCAATGGCTGACGGGACACCCTAGACCTTGACAATATTCTTGACCAGTATCCTGAGCAAGAAATATACGAACCCCAGCTCGGATGTCATAGCGGTTCTTGCCGGCCTCGACGAGGTCGACCGTGTTATCTCGGATTTTGTGTCAGTCCTAGATAATATTGTGCGCAGTGGCAGGAGCAGTGAGTAATTCCAATTTTTTCCTTTCTTTCTGTGGGCTTGACGGGCCGGGGTAGCTAATTTTTCTTTCTTTCAGTTGAATTGCGCCGCCAGGCCATCAGGGTAGCTATTGCCATGACTAGCGGAGCCTATAAGACCAGCTTGGTTTCTTATTTTACACATCGGGATCTCTTTCCCTCGTTGATGAAGGTTGGTTCCCAATCCATACACTAGCGAGGAATCGGTGGTCATACTAACTCCATGTCAGTACGTACATGATTCTGAAACTCCACTGGGGGTGTTTGATCCGTTTCTCTTGCTTGGGCTGCTGGCAAACTACAACAAATTCGAATTTCAAAATCCTTACCAGCTCCGACTGGACGACTTTGTCAATGAGTCAAGCATCCAAAAGATCGTCGAGGGCGTAGGAATAGCTTGCGGTGGCCTTCGAAATGGCTATGTTGCCGTGCAAGACGATGTCCCAGAAGGCTGGAGCTTGACGAGCACTCTGGTCTTTTTCGGCCTGCGTGCTCTCACCCCCGGTGCAAGAGATAAGGCGAACCCTCCTTCAGCAGAAGAGGCGAAGAAAATGTTTACGGAGCTGTAAGAATCGACCGGTTTCTCCCCCAAGTTGGTGCCGGCTATGGACTCTAATACTTTCTCAGGCCTGCGCAAGAAGCTTCCATCCTGATGGCAACCTATGATTTCACAAACTCGAACAAGCTTTTCGGGTACCACATGGTTCATTTGAGACCGGTCAAGGGTACCGACGAGTCACCATTATCTAGCTTCTTATCTCTGTCCTCCTATCTCCTTCAACACGCATACCGGTCGCTGCGAGTGGCACACTATGCCGAACTGAGCCTGTTCACACTCCGCATCCTCGTCGAGGATCCGACTCTCTGCAAACACATCTGCAGCGAGGATGGGAAGCGCAAAGTCCGGCTGTGCCGGCAACGCCAGCCCTTCCTTCCCCTTATCAGCGGCGACCGGGTGCTCGCCACGATTATCTTCGATGTCATGATTGACACTATCACCCACAATCTCCGTCGTCGGCTAGACGTCAATATTTATAGGTATGGCGATTCCAATCATGAAAATCTATCTTTCAGCAACCCAAATGAATCCGGTACACAGGTCATTGACACTCATAATCAATACAGTCACACCATTGCCATCATCCTCCGCCTCCTCACCTACCTCTCCATGAACAAAATCCGTCTCGCCTACCATTGGTCCGAGCTATGGCGCACTCTGCTATCTCTTATGCGCTTCCTGACAACTTACGCCTCTGACCTCTCCTCTAACCCCAGAATCCACACTCTCACAACCTCTCTCGCCGACCTCATGGCCTTCTGTGTCTCTGCTGGTGACACTTTCCTCCCCGACCCAGCCTCCTATGACGACCTCTTCTATAAGCTGGTTGAGACCGGGCCCGTGATATCCAAGTTCCGCGCCGTCTACGCCCTTTCTACCTCCTCGACGCCCACCATCGCCGATCCCACATCAAACAAGGACGTTCACGCTGCAGCCATCGATACCCTCCTCTCCGTCTCGACCCACTTCCACACGCTGCTGTTCCACTCCGAGGCCGCGGACCCGGTTGCGGCGGCGGCAGCAGCCGCGGCCACAAGCCCCAAGACAGATGGTGAGCCGACGCCCGTCGCACTGCCAGCCATCAAGAAAAAAAACCTAAGCCCGCGCGAGGTGCACCGTATCATCAAGCAGGGCTATGATACTCTAAGTATCCAGCCGCCGGAAGGCTTGACGACGTGGTCACGGTGGCGCGAGACGGAATGGAAGAGCGAGCTGAAGCGGGCGGCGCGTTGTGCGGTAGATGACGCGCGGCAGTTAGTTGCTTGAGCTGCTGAGGCTATTGTCGCAGCTGGCAGATGGTATGGGCGAGAGAGTGGGGGCTGGATAAGGGTTGCATGGCCTGATCTCTTTCTCATGTTTGTTTTTGATAATGGGATTTGGGCGGAAAATTAAGATTAGACTTCTGTTTTGTTTATGATATCCAGTCGAGAATGCATGGACTTTTTAGCATTGAGATTTGTGGAGAGTGGGATCGATAACATCCTGTTCTGTGTAAACCCTATGATTCTTTCTTTCCAGCGAGATTGTTACTTTGAGAAGATTGCGCAGGTATCAACGAGGGACATATTGTTTGAACAGTTATTTTTCGTTTTTGTTGAATACAATTTTCGTATTCACCCATTAGTCCCTTCTAAATGACGTAGCTAAGAGATATCACCGAGTGCTGAATAAGGCATAAGAAATATAGAAACAAACCGACCCATGATTAGGTCCGGTGGGACCTATTCGAAGAAGAAAACCCAGTAACCGTGAAAATGAGACAAGAAATAATAACAGGACAAAGCTGGTAACCATGAAGAATCACGTGCAAAGGGCAAAGCATCTTTCGAAACTCAAGCCCATGAAATAAATCTCAAGTCAAATCATAACCTGTCACCAGTAGAGAAAATCAAACTGAGAAAGAAGAACCGGATTTGCCGTGGAATTTGAAATCGAGAGCGGGTGGAAGGGTGTTCAAGGAGATAATGAGACATCGGCATCTTTCAGCGGGAAGACTTGGCCTGTTTGGCAACGAACTCCTCTGCTGAGGTATACTCAGTGCGGAAGTACTTTTCTGAGTTCTTGGAGAGCCAGAGTGAGAACTTGGAGAGTTCTTCACGCAGGCGATGGGTGGCCTGTAGGTCCATGTTGGTCTGAGCGAGAAGCTCAGGGAGAAGACCTGAAACAGCGATATTAGTACGAGCTTGCAGCCTGTATAACGGAGCACAACAGAAAGAATATCACGAATTTCAAAGGGAAATGAGACCGTACTGAAGAGACGAATAAGGTGCTCAGCACCGTAGATGTCGACGGGGCCCTGACCGGCGATAGCCTGGTACTTCTTCCGGAAAGTACGGTACTGTGGGCGCTCGTAGCGGTAGAGGAGGAGCTTATCGAGCATGGTGTCGAAATACTCGAGAATGCCAGCAATGACCTCGTCGAGAACTTCCACGTCGATCTTCTTCTCTGCGCGCTTGACGACTTCCTCATCGCGCCATTCCTGCATTATGGCGCGGACGGGTTTGGGGGCGGGCAGGGCGACAATTAGACCGTTCTTCGTGCAGCGTTCCCAGTCATCAACGATCAAAGCCTTCAGGTTGTCGGGCATAACAATCCGGATCGAGGGCCGCGCATTGAAGGCCTCCTCCTGTTCATGTTCAACAGGGATATTGTTAGCAAGACTTTCATACCGTGTAGTCAGACTAGTGACAAGATTATGGCGAAAATGGCCATTTAGGACCGCGCGAAAATGGCCAGGTTGGGATGACGGGGGGAGAATTCGGGTTTTTGTTTTCAATGGGCATGGCTGTAAGATGTTGCGGTTTGGAAATGGCAGGGATTGAAGAGAGAGATGATATGGCGTGGGAGGGGAGAAGATGCGCTGGGAAGCGATTTGGAATAGGATGAGAGCGCAGAGAACATCAATACATACCTTCTCGATTTCGTTATCGCCACGGGCACGCTTGTTGGCGCGGCCGGGCACCGAGTTGCCACGCTCTTCACTGTCACGCATGGAGCTGCGGTCAGACATTGCGCGCTTCTTGGACGCGGGCTTCGCGTTCTTCGAACGCACCGAGGCCTCGACCTCACGGCGGAGGTTGGCCGCCAGCTCACGGTTCTCCTCGCTCGCTTTTCGAAGGCGATCTTCGAGAACCCAGTCATCCCAGCTGTAAGAGTTGAGTCAGAATAACCTTTTGGAAATGATAGGGGGGATATTGCGTCGTAGCAACAGAAATGGGACACTCTCAGAACATTGAGAAGGATTCTCAGGTCAACTCAGACAGGGATACAAGATGGGGTACATTTCAAGGTGAAAATAATCAGAAGAAGTTGAGGCACGAACAGACGACGACGGTTAGGCCGAGGGGACCTGGGGCGTTGGCGGGGATCATTGTCCATGATGATCGTGGGAAGCGAAACGTGGAGAACGCAATGTTGTAGGAGGAAGAAATAAAAGAGGAGGGAGACGGCAACTTACGTATTCTTCCAGCCCTTGTAGTGAACGAGGTACTCGAGAGGGCTTTTCTTGTCGGTAAGATCCTTATGTCTCACTTCAAGGATTTTTGCATCATAGAGGATCTCATGATGGAAGCAAAGGACCTTTTCATCCTTACTATACATCGACGAGGGAGGCATGTTCGGTCAAAGGGAGAGAAAATGAGTGAAATGAGGTGAACAAAGCCAAAGGAGGGGGAGAAAGGGAGTGGAGGAGGGAGAAAGCGTGAGTTGAAATGAGTTTGTGAACAAGGTGAAATTCACAGCCTCACAGTGGGCACGTAAATCGACCAGACACACACACCCTTTGGTGAATTAAGCCTGTAAACCTGTGAATTCACCAGGCAGCAGACACCATAAATGCACTTTTTTGAAAGGTAGCAAATGATTTCCTGCAGGCTCCCTAGGCAGCGAGCGCAATAAACTAAAGTCGGGATGATATCGCGATGTGCGATGGGCTCGACTCTGCGTGGCTGCGGTCGACCAGACTTCAAGCACGCCTTTCACAATTGAAAAGGGCAGAAAGTGCCGGATTTGCTGCCTCCCAGGAATAATCAGCCTGCTTGGTTCAAGTCACAATGACAACTAAGCAAATAGATTCAATAAATGTGCTGGCCGATGGTTAGCAACGCGCATAGGGTTATATGGATGGGACTGGCGAGGTTGAAAAAAAGGCGGAACCCCCTTGGAGAAAAGGCTCGGGTCCTGCGGGAACCAACTTACCTGTCAACCACAAAAACCACCATAAAAACGGCGAGGGTTGCACAAACGGCTTGGATAGATGAATTCTTAGGCTCGTCTTGGATTCTCCAAGTGTCTCGGTGGCTTCGACCTTCGGGCCCACACGTGATAAGGCGCGCTTCCGCCTCGAGACGCGACGCGGCCTGTCTCTTTCGGGAATTATTCGCTAGTCTATCATTGCGGAATCCGGAGTCCGAGTCTTCTACACAGTGTACTCAACGGACAGAGTCTGGCGTGAGAAAAATTATGGCTCCTTCGGAAGAAACCATTTTGAGTAACTTCTTGCTGTCGCCGGCGCCGCTGCCGACGATCATGTCCTTACAGAAGTTCACTGAGCTCTTCCCAAAGCGCCTGCGGAACCATCCTCACATACGCTCTCTGTACCGAGAGCTTCAGCAGGTTCGGGACCATGATATGGACCAGGTCAATGAAAACATCGACCAGGAGATAAAACAGGGCGAGCGGCAGAAAGCCGAACTTCGTGCGGCCCTACTGGCAGCTGGCGTGGAAGCTGCCGACGCCAATGAGCAGCGCGAAATCGATTTGGATCTCCATCTGTTCGCTCAAACACCGGCGACCAACCCAGAAGACTACCACTCGATGGAAAGTCTTCTCACAGAAATGGAGACTGCTTGTGCGCACATTGAGCGCGAAATCGCGAGCATCGATGATGAAGCAGCCAATCTGGTGAAAGATCTCCATACGACAGTCGGAGACTTGAGTGACCTTCGCTACGGCAAACTCCAGGGCCCTGCCGGCACAGCCAACAATGTGGTCGGTGAGGCCATTCGCGGCCTTGAGAATCTTGAAGAGGCATGCTACAAGGGGAGCATAGGCCCTACCTCGTGAGCCTGGAAACGAGCCTGAGTTGGAGCCAATCAACCTCTTTTGGCGTCCGGTGCTTGAGCACAAGTGTAATACTCTCCCCAATTATCTATTGAACCTCAGCATACTTCTCCACGACCAATTCTGTTCCTTGAGATTCGATCATGGGAATGCAGACGACGTTCTGTCCGATTGACGCGATCAATCAAGTCGAAAGGTGCAATACCTCGTCTTCGTAAGAATACAGGTCCCAGAGCCAATCACATCAAATCCAGAATTCTGAAAATCTCTGGTCGCTAGCTTTGGTCTCCAAATAACACCGCGGGAGAAAGGAAAGGCGAAGAAGCAATGACAAAACAACGAGGATGTCGCCCAGGCATTGTTACTGTGCAACATAATTACCCTGAAGAGCTGTGCCCCCGGTATACAGAGTATCCGGTTGATCTCTGGTTGTTTTCTGGCACTTTCAAGAGAGTCAGTCTTACGGATCAGCAATGGCCGATAGTGTGCGGACTAAGCAATGCTTAACCAGCGACCTCTTGGCCCTCGCGGAATGACACTTTTAGCCTAATGATTTTTCCAATATAGCAATAGCATTATGGCCAATCAATCCATTTCCTATATTTTGTCTGAAGATTGCTTGTCAATGATACGGGTAAGCCCATAGAACGGAGTGCTCCGTACATATTGCCCGATTAGTGTGTGGAGTCGATCTTCGACACGCGACCCGCGTCGCGTCCTTCAACTACTTTCTTCCCTGTCGCCCAAGCTACCTTCCCACACAAACACCAACACAACCACTATCACCTGAGCTTTCCAGTCAACCGTCATGCCCTCGATCCAGTTGCACCCGCACCCCTCGGGACCCGCCACAAGTGCTACGGCCACAGCCCCGTCCTATCCGATCAACAACCCACTCCCCCAACTTCTCCGCACACCCTCCGGTCTCGCTCTTCTTGAGCTACAGGGTACAATTAACGTGCCAACCTCGGACAATGAGCAAGCCGAGTATGCCAACGAATTTGATGCCGAAAAATCTGTCTCCTACGAAACTCCGATCGGAAAGCTCATGTTCCCAGACTACTCGCCCCAGAATCCCGATGACACCAAGTGGATGAAACGGGCATACCTGTACGTCGGGCGGTACCAGCGCATGACTGGAGAGGTGAAGAAGCTTCCGCGGCCGATCGCGGTGCTGCAGAAGCGAGCTGAGAGTGCTGGGGTGGAGGAGCTGGAGGTGGTGGAGATCGTGCGGTACAAAGTGTTTTTCAAGAATCGCCCAGAGCCAGTGAATGATGTTTGAGAGAACCTGGTGCGGATTACCTGGATATGAAGTGATTGCAGACTAGGAGAATGCAGTGCGTCTCTGAGGTCTTTTGGATACTCGAGCGAGGCACCCATGGTCTTCTCTCTATGTTCCTTGTCAGCCAGCCTTAAGGAATTTGTCCTTGAGAAAACATGTGCATGAGAAATCCGACCACATACGAGCGGGATGGTTGGCGCGCTTTCATTGCTATTACCTCCATGCCAAAGCCGTTATAGAGGATATTGATATGGCCCTGCGAGAGGATTGACCGGATGATCGCCGGATAGCCAGGCTTTGGTGCACGGTTAGACACGTTGGCATCGTCTATCTGAATAGTCAAACTGAGACATACCGGGACACATCACACGTCAGCAACAGCAATGGGTTGAGCTCGCCAGCGAACAGATTATGAAATGACTTCAACATTGTCTCGTGTGTTCATTGCAAGGACTCGATCCTCGGTTTCCCCGATAGACCGAATGCTACGAGGGAACGAAGGTGGCGGGGATGTCATACCTTATGCCGGCCTGTTCTCTTTTTAAACTCGACGATTGCATTGCTCTTGGGGCAATAACATGCTGCTAAAGGCTCTAGATCAAATGTTGCTGTCGAGAGCCCTGCGGTCAAACCAGACCTCAGCAAGCCTGCTCGGTTCATTTGTATATCCTACTATGACCTTCCCCAACGCGCCAGACAACCCTGTCTTTCCTACGAAGTTGGGCCCCGAGTATGTGGGCTTTGGGGAATGCCAAGTAGGCTGCTTCGTCTGCATGCGATTCAGGCCAATCGCCTGCAGAAGGAAAGAAGAAATCCCTGATCGAAGATTTAGTCGTCTGGATCCTTTGCAGCTCCCAACAGCCTCTTTTTGAAACCCTGAGGCTTCTCTTCGCAACACTCATCTCACCAGCCGTCCAGATTTGATGGCTATTATCACGGCGCCAGGGTCCAACACATCGCTTTCGCACGACCTACAATGTGCAAGCTGTCAAAAGCATGCGCATTCGAGACGTGCGGTCGCTCTACGTTCCCGCAGCATATTATGCCGATCTTCGACAGCGTCTATCTCAGGTCTTGTGAACACTGAGAGCAGATTTCTATGTGCTAGAGAGATTGAGCATCCCGCTCGGCTCTGACGAGCTGGGGTATCTGCTGCAGATCTTTGCGAATTATGTCGGGGATCGGCCGACGGTGGTTGTGGAGTTAATTCAGCGACATGGATTGATGTATTTGGGGCGGGCAACTTCAAGAGATCGTTCGAGGCGTTTGAGAGGGAGCCGGCACTGAGGGGGAATTGGAAGGGTCGACCTGTCGAGCGCCCGATATGCAATATCCGACATAGTCGAAAGTCTCCGTTTGGACCTTTTTTCTATTCGGGGCCTGCCTCATTAGAGAAATGATGATCTGGTCGGGGTTAAAGATGTGAATATATCGAGCATTTGAATCATCTTGATACTACCTAAATATCGGCGTTGACAGACCGCTGTCGCAGACAAGAGGGACCAGGACTATATCAAATGTACTCAGGATTGAAATATACATGTTCTCTGCTTCAGATTTCTCATTCTGTCTGGATCGTATCCTTTTGTCTCTATATAATTAAGTTCGTACCTCGGGCTCCAGCCTGGTTTCTCGTCGCTGAAGTATAGTTGGCTTCCTCGACGAGTGTGTGCGCTAGGCTGGCTCGAGATGGGATTACGGTAACACCAGGATAGAGGCTTGCAGATGCTTCATCACTAGAGTGTCGGCATTCTCTTGTTTCTGAGTTGAATAGTCCGTAGTGGTTCCTGATAACGAGAGACTCCCCAAGCGTCTGGGGTGTGACAGGATGGCCTGGCCTCGAAGTGGTGCCTTGGCGCCTTACCGCCTCAGCGGGGAACGTCTCAGTGCCTCCGCCCAGCTTCTCTGCCGGCAGAGACAGCTCAATTCTCAGGTTCACGATTCTTCTTCCTTTTCCTTCCATCTTCCTTCGCCATCCTCCTCCCCTCTACCTTCGATCCACGATCATTCTCATTTCGATTGTCATCACTTAAGGGCCAACGACCTGCACCGTTTCCCTGACAGTGTGACTTCCTTGTAACCGCCGAGATCTCACCGTTCTTCCTCGGCCTCGTGAAAGCTGTCTGGAAACAGCCAGCTCTCTTCCTGTCATAGGTGGATGATCTTGATTTCTTTGCATTTATCACCCGGAACTCATTCTCTCGAAACTCGTACGGACGCCTGCAATTTCGCCTCCCCGTGGACTTCGACTCGGTTTTCCTGAGGCAGGAGAGGAGACTAAAAACGTCATAAGGCATCCTCGCGCTTTCTCCGCGAACCCGGTCGTCTCGACCTCCCCACCCCACCCTCTAGGAGACGCTTCTCCTGGACTCTTGAAACTTCCTCATGGTTGGCTGTCTTGTTGATTGTCAACATGGGGAGAATTAAGAAGGTGGCCAGCCAAAAGCATGAGGCTACAATTGTGAGTGGACCCGTCTCGTCATATTATCATCGGGCGTCACCCAGAGGAAACCGGTACTGACTAGAAAATTTTTTTCTCTCTCTGAAAACAGTCGCCTTTCTTGGGAGACTTCATCGCGCGTATCACCAGTCTTCCCGTTCCAGAACTACCTTCCCTTTTGGCCACATTCCCGAAACTATGGCCCTTCCCTCGAGGCGACCTCTATCACTGGATTGCTGTCTTGGACCGCTTCGATGAGATATTGGCCTCCGTCATCGACAGATACTTCTTGAACATTGGCCCACAAACACATCCTTTTGCCCGGACTGTCCTGCAGGAGGCATATGCCGCCGATCCGGCTAAAACCCCGACAGAGGGCATTGATGCTAAGCTAAATACTCTGGGATATGGCCCCGATGGCGATAGAGAACTGGTGGAGGCTATTCTAGAATTCTCGCGGCTGCTGCTTGAGAAATGTGGCAACCGCAGTTTGTATAGTAGCAGTGAGCGCTTGGGCGATCTCTTGAACACCACTTCGCTGTCTCTTCTCTACTCGACTCTGCGCTTGTCGCTCTGTCTTGCACAAAGGTACCACTCTCGCCAGCGAGGTACTCATCAGCAGAGCATGCTGGCGACTCACTACAACATCGATTTGGAGAAGCTGCAGAAAATAGCCGCACCGTTCCCGCGCCCATTTATAGCAGGCAAAGCCTCAACATCTGCCACCCCTACTGTCTCCGCCAAGGGCAAAGAAAAAACACCCCAAACAAAGCTCAATGCAAACGAGTTAATCTCCCTCGTACGCGATCACGACGGCTGGGAAGAATGGGGCAATGTGCGTGTGCTTTACTACCCCTCTGGCTCCTCCGAACAAACGCGGACAACGTCGGAATTCGGACAGAGTGATAGTTCTCACACTCCATCTACACCTACCCCCCTCCGTCGCACTGCGACTCATCCTACTCCTCGATTAAGTCGGGGATCAAATGTCGAAGAGTCTCCTTCAGCTGCCCCCAATGCAGGTGGGAAGCCAGAAGAATCGTCCGGCGGTGGAAAAATTTTGGACCTACCGTACTCCAAAATTTCATCAGGCAAAGTTGAAGATCTCCTTGCCGCCAACTTGCCAGCTCTACCCTTGGAGTCGAAGTTCGAACTGCTTCACAAAGTCCGTGTTGCTCAAGCCTTAGCTGGATCCCGCGCGGATCGAGAACGAATCCTATCTATCCGTATTCTTGCTGTGACGAATCTGGCTTACGTCAATACTGAATCCGCTTTCCAGCAGAAGATTCTTCAAGCCGATACGGAACAGCCGAAACGCCTTCAGCTCAGCTACCAATTGGCCGAACTCGTTCACCTGGGCGCTAGCGGCGACCTCGTCGTATCGAGAACAGTGCAAACATTAGCTCTTCAAGCCCTCGATGCGCTGGCAAAGCAAAAGGCACGCGCAGTCGATGTTTGCGCAGCTCTGAGCGTTAATGTCAACCATGGTGTCTTGATGTTCCTAACTCGAAAGGTCGTCAACGAACTGGGCGACGAAACTGACAACACCGACGATCCTTACCATGACGAATGGCGTGATGCTCTTCTTGCTCTTTTACGAACTCTTCCAAGCTCTAGCTCTCGGACACCGGAGACTCTAGTTGCAGCTGGCCTCATCCCTATGTTTGTTGATATCTTGAATCTTCGAACCACCAAGGCCCGCCGTGTCTTCTCTCGAGTCATGGAATTTCTCGATACATTTGTCCATGCTGTTAGGGATGCACTGGGTACATTGACGGCTGCAAAGGGATTCGATGCCATTTCTGATTTGATTGACAATGAGACTAAAACCGCTTTTGAAAACGTCTCCCGTGGAGAGGGCTTCCCTACCAAGTACAAGAACCCATCGATCGATTACCAGATTCCCTACTTCCAACAGCAGACGCTTCGGTGGATGTTCCGTTTTGTCAACCATATCATGCAGCATAACGGTGGAGGATTTGACCGCGTGCTGCGTAATTTGATTGACTCGCCTCAGCTTTTAACCTCGTTGCGCTTGGTGTTCGAGAATGCCCGGATATTTGGCTCGCATGTCTGGAGCAATGCTGTCAATATTCTTAGCAGCTTCATCCACAATGAGCCTACTAGCTATGCAGTCATCGCTGAAGCTGGTCTTAGTCGGAGTCTCCTTGCCGCTGTCATGGGCCGCGAACTCAATGCTAAGGAGAAACCGCCTGCTTTGGAGCCTGAAGATGCCAACCCTGAGGGTGCTGAGCCCTCCCAGTCGTCCGATGCGGCGCAGCCTTCTTCGCCAGTGGAGGCAAAGAAGAAGGGTCGCGAATACACTCTTGCCAGACCACGGAATACACCTCTTGCACCCGGCATTATTGCCGCTGCTGATGCTCTTGCCTGCATTCCCTCGGCATTCGGTGCGATCTGTCTGAACTCATCGGGCTTGGATCTTTTCCAGTCCTCAGATGCGCTTGAGAGCTTTTTCGAAATTTTCGAGAATCCAGAACATGTTAAGTGCCTCAAGGATGATCCCAACTTGGTTCGTTCCTTAGGTACCACATTCGATGAGCTTGTCCGACATCACCCAGCCTTGAAGACCTCTATCATGACTGCCGTCATTGTCATGGCTGCTCGCGTCAGTCTTCTCGGTAGAATTAAGGCTTGGGAGCTCGGAATGGGAAGTAAGCTATGGCAAGAGGACTCCCAAGGCCAACTCGTTCTCTCCGGAGACATTTTCTCCCTATTCCGAGAAATTGGTACTGCTCCCGATGCATCAGTTGAGGACCCAATGACATTTGGCGCTCTTCAGCTCAATGCTGATGCACTTCCTAACGGCGCAAAGCTTGTTGTTGGTGATCTGAGCCAATTTCTTCCTTCCCCACCCGCGGGCTTTGAGCCAAAAGACAAGGATGAGCATGGGCTCACTGTGACTGACTATTTATTCCCTGCCATCCGATTCTTGGGTGCCTTTTTTGAGAACCAGCCCAATTGCGCATCCTTCATTCTCGCCGGTGGAGCGGAGTTTGTCTTGGATTATGCTACTCTCCAGAGTTTGTCCTTCGATTTCCATAACACGGATGCCAACCAGGAACTCACAGTTCTGGTACACATGCTTGCTGAAACGAAGCCGCACTTGATTATCCCGTCTCTCATGCACCGTGCCCAGTCATCGGTTGATAATCTCGAAGCTTTTTGGAATGCACCTAAAGAGTCTGGATTTTTCACACCCCTTACTCAACCTCTCGATTCTAAAGAGTCACGACTAGTCCCAACCCCTGCTGTTGATCACGGAACCTTTTTCGTGAAGCACATGAATGCCGTCCTCGTTCTCACAGATTTGCTCCGTGAGATCTATGCTATGCCTTTGTACCAGACTCGGTCTGCCCAGCAAATATATCCCTTCAGCCAGGTTGTCCTCGCTGATCGATACTGTGCTCTGGTTTCCTCGCTTGGCAATCTCCACGCTGCCTGTACATGGGAAGAAATCATGATGGAGAAGCATATTCCAGAGACTTGGGTCCAGGCCACCAAGACCACAACTGGAAAATCCGGACCTGAACGCCCTAATGACACTACTGGAGACTCACAAATAAATTCTTCCGGGACCACCGCAGCCACTATTCAGCCGGGAGGGTCTGGTGCTCCCGAGAGTGGCAAGACTCCTGCGGCAGAAGAGCCCGAAAGTGAAGAGGCCAAAGCAGCCACTGAACGAAGTGCTGCTTTCAAGAATGTCCAGATTCTTCGCTACCTTTTGAGCTCTCTGCCTTCTTCAATCACAGGTTTCTTTCACAATCTAGGGTTGGGTCTCATCACTCGAAAGCGTATGGATCCTCACAATGTTCATCATAACATCCAGAGGGCAAACGCCAACATGGTTGCTGATGCCATCGCCCAAGCCGTGCTCCGAGAGCTTCAATTTAGTGCACCCAGTTCCTGCGACAGCCCAAAGCATCGTTTTGCTTACCTCATTGTCATTCTTTCCTCATTTTCGCATCTTCTGTACGAAGTCGCCACTGACCGGCCCCAGTCGAATTACTTGACTCTTGTTCTCGTTGCTTTCAAACGAAACAATGGGTTGAAGGTCTTGAAGGATATCTGCGAAGTTTTGATGCAGGAGGTCAAGGCTCTCACTTCGGCTGACAATGCTTCTAATCCTGATAAGGACGTGGCTGCTCGGCTTACCTCTGCCTACGGTGGAATAAAGATCATCCTCGCCCTGTTCGCAGAGCTTGCCGGAGGCAAGAGTATCGTGGAGTCCAGCCAAACACAAGCTTTGGCTGGCCATCATGACCGAGACCGTGATCGCCCGGATTACTTCTCACCTGGCCAGTTTTTGGTGGATCTTCGAATGGAAATTCTCCCCATGATTCAGGAAATGTGGAATTCTGACTTCGCAACCCAGTCTTCTAGTACAATTGTCAAATGTCTGGTAGACGTCCTTCGTTCTTCTTTGGATGGCGAATATGAATCTGGAGCTGCGCACAAGTCGGATACCCCTCCTGCTATCGTTGAGTTGCCTCGAAGGGCGTTCGTTATCAGCGAATCAAAGTTGGCGACTTTGAAAGAGAAGGGGTTCCCCCCTGAACTGAACAACGAAGCATTGTATCGTTGCAACAACTCCGTGAACCAAGCCGAGGAGTACTGTAATGCTCAATCTTGCCTTCGTGCCCCGCCTAGACTTCCTCCACGTCCCAACGATGTTCAAACGGGATCTTCCGATGCTACTTCGGGAGAAGGCCCCGAGGACACAAACGTCGGGGATGCCACGCCGATTACTCCAGGTCTTTTGGAGCACGGTGGCCTTGCTATGCTGCTGGCCCAGGCTGGTCGTCCTGTCGGCGATGCGATGGAGGATGACGACACGGCGAACATGGATCCTCTAATGCGCGATGGTTTGGCTCGAGCGATTTCCAATGTGCTGAATGAGGAAGAGGGTATGATTCGCGGCGAGACTCGGAGTGAGCCCTCCGCACACCAGGAACGTCCCCGCCCTCTGCTTGCACAGGGACCTTCTGAGTCTGTCAGTCAACATCAGAAAGAAACAAAGAATGAGGAGCCTGTCCGTCGTCGCCAAGAAATCACCGTCGAGGATTTGGATGTCCAGAGAAATCTGGTTCGATCAAACCTGATTGAGCGCTGTCTGGACGTTTTAAATGAGCACCATGACGTCTCTTTTGAGCTAGCCGACTTGATCTCCTCTGCTATCAAGAAGCATCGTGAACCAGAGAGCTTCCGACGAGATATTGGCGAGACTCTTGTCCAATCTCTCGTCTCATTGCAGATGGAGAACTTCCAGACTGCTGGTAAAAAGGTTGCTGCTTATGCGCACATTCTTGCATTGGTTCTTCAAGACAGAGACATGTATACTGCTACTCTTGAAGAGCTCAAAGATTGCTTCTCGACATTCTTGAGCTTCATCAAGCTCCCTGCTCCAGAAAAGTCTGCCGATGAGACTTTCCCGTGGATCGGCCATGTTCTACTTATTCTGGAGAAGCTGCTTTCTGACGATTGTCAGCCGCCTCAGATCTCCTGGACTCCACCAAACACCGATGATCCTAACGCTGATAAAGATGAACCCGCTCATCTTGAAGAGCCTCTTGTCTCCCTTGATGAGAAGACCCAATTGTTTGAGGCACTAGTTGAAATCCTGCCTCGTGTTGGCAAAGATGATACCCTCTCCCTCTCGGTGTGTCGTGTCTTGGTAATTCTTACCCGGCATCGCAGCATTGCCTCTCGCTTCGGGGAGAAGCGCAACCTACAGCGTCTCTTTGTTATGGTGAAGCAGTTGGCCAGCGCCACCAACGAAAAGCTTCAGAGTACTTTTATGTTGATCTTGCGCCACATCGTTGAAGATGAAGCAACTATTCGTCAAATTATGCGGAGTGAGATTGTGGCTGCATTCGAGAATAAGACTTCTCGCCAGATCGATGCCTCCGGATTTGTGCGACAGATGTACCACCTTGTCCTCAGAGCACCTGAAATCTTTGTCGAAGTGTGCAATGAAAAGTTGCTTCTCCAGCGATACGATTCGAATCATCCGCGCCCCCATATTCTTGGGTTGAAGTCCGACCACACCCCGCGCCCACGTGCTGGCAAGGACGACAAGGCCGAGGATAAAAATGACTCTTCGACGGCGGAGGCGTCATCAAGCGTAGAGGACAAAGACAAAGAAAAGGAGAAGAGTCAAGCTAAAGGTGCCGAGCTTAAGCCTCCAGTGGTCGAGAACCCTGATGGTGTCATTCATTACCTTCTGTCTGAACTCTTGTCGTACAAGGACGTAGATGACAAGGAGCCCTCAACGAATGAATCGACTGAAACCCCTGCTCAGGATCAGTCCGAGCCCCAAACTGACATTGAGATGTCTATTGATGAGCACACACCATCAGTGACTAGCAGTGCTGATGTTCAGCCTAGTCGTGCTGCCAAGAAAGGAGAAAAACCATTGTTTAAGGCCGAGGACCACCCGATCTACATCTACCGATGCTTCCTCCTGCAGTGCTTGACCGAACTTCTCTCATCATACAATCGGACGAAGGTTGAATTCATCAACTTCTCACGCAAGGCTGACCCTCTCGCTACGACTCCTTCCAAACCACGATCAGGAATCCTTAATTATCTACTCAATGTGCTGGTTCCTCTCGGCACTATGGAGCATGATGAGAGCCTGGCATTCAAAAAGCGCAGTATCACGTCGACATGGACTATGCAGGTGCTTGTAGCCCTGTGCACCAAAACTGGCGAATTCGGTGGTCCTGCCAGACGCCGAGGTGAATCAAAGCGTCAGGAAGAGGATGAACCAGAGCTTGCTTTTGTTCGCCGATTCGTGTTGGAACATGCACTTCGGTCATATAAGGATGCTAATGCGTCAACTGAACCTTTGGACGCCAAGTATTCCAAACTCATGTCTTTGGCCGACCTTTTCGACAAAATGCTCAGTGGCTATTCCTACTCCACAGATGCCGGCTTCCCGTCTTCAACCAAGCAGCTCGCGAAGGTCATGTTTGAAAAACACTTTATTCCTGCGTTGACGGCATCAGTTGCCGAGGTCGATCTCAATTTCCCATCGTCAAAACGTGTCATCAAGTACATTTTACGTCCATTGAACAAGTTGACCCAGACCGCTGTACTTCTCAGCGAATCCTCTGATATCTCGACTCTGGGTGAAACCGAAGATGATGAGATTTCCTCCGCAACCTCTGTGTCAGACATGGAGGATGAGCGTGAGGAGACTCCTGATCTTTTCCGTCATTCTACGCTTGGTATGCTGGAGCCTCGCCACGAAGAAGAAACCAGTACCGATGAGTCCGAGGGCGAAGAAGACGACGAGATGTACGATGACGAATATGATGATGAGATGGACTACGACGAGGATGTTCCCGAGGATGACGGGGAAGTGGTCAGCGATGAAGATGAGGATGTGGATGGTGTTGGTCCCATCGAAGGTCTCCCTGGTGATGCTGTCGAAGTTATCATTGATGATGAAGATGATGATGACGATGAAGATGACGACGAGGATGATGACCACTCTGACATGGAGGACGATGAAATGTATGCTGGAGAAATCACCGGAGATCATGACAACGAGAGCCTCGAAGATGGTGAAGACGACGAGTGGGAGAGTGAAGACATGACCGAAGACGAAGAAGAAGCCGAGATGATGAATCAGTTTGAAGACGAGCTGGCTGCCGACATGCGCCAATCACACCGACCACCCGAACCGCAGCGCATTGATGATCTGTTCCGTGTTCTTAATGAAGCTGCTGGTGGTGTCGATAATCTTCATGGCGATGGCCTTGGAGGCGATATTCATGATGATCTCCTCGACGAGCTCAATGAGGGAGGTTCGTTCATATCCAACCCGTCACAGACAATACTCTTGAATCCAAATATTAATTTCCGTCTTACAGAAGAGGACGATGACGAGATGGATGAGCTTGATGAAGGCGATGATTATGATGACTATGATATGGATCATGGATCTGAGGGAGACATGGAAGGTTCGCTTACTTCTCCGTCCCTCCACTTGACTTGGGTGAAAAGATCTTACTTACTGACAACATCTAGATGACGATCTTCTGGAGCCCTGGGGCTGGGAAGGTGATGAGGCTCCACCCGTTCGAGGACATCATCATCATCGCTACCGTGGGGGGCCTCCCCCAGCTTGGGCTACTGTGACCGAAATTTTGCCTGGTCATCGCGGCGGTCTGGTTCCAATCCAACCCTACCCTCGTGTTCATAGAACCCAAATCCCGTCTCGCGGCAACGACGATGGAACCAATCCTCTCCTTATTCGGAGCGATCGTGGTGGAGATCCTGCTGCGCTCCGTGGGACCGGTGCTGAAGTCTTTAATGACTGGGCTCAAGCTCTTGAACCCCCAGGTGGTAGCCGTCTACTTGCCATGGATAGCCCGGTCAGCTTTATGAATGCGATTATGCAGGCTATTGGTGGAAATGCCGCACCTGGCCTGGGTGTTGTTACTCGTCCTGATGGTATTCATGTTCATGTGGATCGACGTGCAATTTTGCCAAATCGCCTGCATGACATTTTCGGAATCAGAGGCGCTCCTGCTCCTCAAGCCCGCGGTCGCGATGATCCCCACAATGCTGTCAAATTTGCGCTCTCGACCACCAGGAATCGTTGGCAAGAGGAGGCTCGTATTCTGTTCAGCACTACCTATGTCGAAAAGACCCAGCGCGTCGTCAACTCTCTTCTGAAAGTCTTGGTTCCCCCCGCCATAGAAGAGGAGAAACTACGGCAAAAGGCAATGGCAGAGGAGCAAAAGCGTGCTGAAGAGGAACGTGCTGAGAAGGAGCGTCAAGAACGCATAGCTCGAGAAGAAGAGGAACGTGAGCACAAGCGCAAGGAGGAAGAAGAGAAAGCTCGACGCGAGGCCGAGAGAGAGCAAGAAGAAGCCGAGCGACAAGCCGCTGGACTTGCCGAACCTATGGAAGATGTTCAACAGACAGACACCGCCGCTGAAGCTGCCGAGTCATCCACCCAGGCCGAGACCGGCCGTCCCGAACCTGTCGAACGTGTTCACACTACTATCCGAGGCCGCCAACTCGATATTACTGGTTTGGAAATTGATCCAGAGTATCTAGAAGCCCTGCCTGAGGAGCTTCGAGAAGAAGTCATCATGCAACAACTTGCTGAACAGCGATCTCAAGCCGCCGCTGCCGGGGAGGAACCCACCGAAATTAACGAAGAATTCCTAGAGGCCTTGCCAGCAGAGATCCGTGAGGAACTGCTTCAACAAGAAGCCGCTGATCGACGCCGACGAGAACGTGAAACTGCACGCCGGCAAGCCAATCCCAGCAGCGGAGCAGCACCACACGCCGTGGATATGGACAACGCTAGCTTCTTTGCCACCCTGGATCCATCTTTGCGCCAGGCAGTCCTTGCCGACCAACCAGAAGATGTGCTTGCTACATTGGGGCCGGAATATCTTTCGGAGGCTCGTGCTTTGAACGGTCGCCGTATCGCCCAGTTTGGTGACATTTCTGGAATGGAACACCGCCAAAGAAACGACAATGCTGAGGATCAGGAGCCGAAGAAGCCCCAGAGACGCACCATCGTTCAGATGCTCGACAAGGCTGGCGTTGCGACCCTTCTACGTTTGATGTTCATGCCTCTTCAGGGTAACGCTCGCCATCTTCTGAATGATATTCTCCACAATGTCTGCGAGAACCGCCAGAACAGAAGCGAGGTGATTAGTCTTCTTCTGTCTGTTCTGCAGGATGGTAGCGTGGATTCATCTGCAATTGAGCGCAGTTTCTCGCATTTGTCACTCCGTGCTAAAGCTCCGGGTGTGCAAAAGACCCCGCAATCTGTCAAGCGGAACCTCACCCTCCAGACTTCCTCAAGCATTAGCAGTGATGTGACCCCAATCATGGTCGTCCAGCAATGCTTGAGCACGCTTTCTTTTCTTTCCCAATTCAACCCTCACATTGCCTGGTTCTTCCTGACCGAGCATGATTCAGCTTCATCTCTTAAGCTGAAGGCTTTCCGAAAGGGCAAGGGCAAGGAAAACCGCGCCAATAAGTTTGCACTCAATGCGCTGCTCTCTCTTCTTGACCGCAAGTTAATTATGGAGAGTCCTAACTGCATGGAGCAGCTATCCAGTTTACTGAGCAGCATCACCCAGCCTCTTACTGTTCTTCTTCGCCGTGAAAGGGAAAAGCAGGAGGAGCAAGAAAAGGGCAAGAAAGCTGAGGGTATTGAGGCCGAGGAGTCTTCCAAAGAGCCTACTGCTGCCGATACTGCCATGACCGATGCGCCGCTTCCCACAGTCGAGAATGCGACTGATCAAGATTCTCTTGCCGAAGGCGAGGAAGCTACGGCAGATGACAAGAAGCCCGAGGACTCAGAGCAACCTGCTGAAGATGAGAAACGCAAGCGTCGCTCCATTGAGCCTCCTGTCGTCCCTGATCATAACTTCCGACTAGTTGTCCATATCCTTGCAGCTCGCGAGTGCAACGGCAAGACTTTCCGCGATACCCTCTCCACAATCAACAACCTTTCCGCTATTCCTGGAGCTCGCGATGTGATCGGGAATGAGCTTGTTGGCCAAGCCCAGGGTCTCAGTGACACTATCCTTGCCGACCTAGAGGAGCTTCTACCCCACATCCACCAAGCCAAGACCGGCACGGACATGCAAGGTCTGGCCCTGGCCAAATTCTCCCCCGCCAGTTCTGATCAAGCCAAATTGCTGCGTATCCTCACGGCACTCGACTATCTCTTCGATCCCACTCGTGTTGATAAGTCCAAGGGTGTTGAACCAGAGTCTGCGCCTAAGGAGGATGTGCTGAAGAGACTTTATGAAAGTGCGACTTTCGGCCCGTTGTGGACCAAGTTGAGCGACTGCTTGACCGTCATTCGTCAAAAGGAGAACATGCTGAACGTTGCTACTATCCTCCTACCCCTAATTGAGGCTTTGATGGTTGTCTGCAAGAATACCACCTTGAAGGACCAGCCACTCTCTCGGGGCAGTCGTGAGTTATCTGTCAACAGTGCTCAGGCTGACACTGGTTTGAGCATGGAAAACTTGTTCTTCAAGTTCACTGAGGAGCACCGAAAGATACTCAATGAGCTCGTCCGTTCAAACCCTCGGTTGATGAGTGGCACCTTCTCGTTGCTTGTGAAAAATCCTAAGGTCCTGGAATTTGACAACAAACGCAACTACTTCACTCGCCGGGTGCACTCGCGTGGTGCTGAGCCCCGTCACCCTCATCCTCCTCTTCAGCTTTCTGTCCGCCGAGACCAGGTCTTCCTTGACTCCTTCAAGTCTCTTTACTTCAAGTCCGCAGATGAACTTAAGTATGGCAAGCTGAACGTGCGGTTCCACGGCGAAGAGGGTGTGGACGCTGGTGGCGTTACTCGCGAATGGTTCCAGGTCCTCGCCCGAGGCATGTTCAACCCTAACTATGCTCTCTTCATCCCCGTTGCCGCCGACAGAACTACCTTCCACCCCAACCGTCTCAGTGGCGTCAATTCCGAACATTTGATGTTCTTCAAGTTCATTGGACGTATTATCGGCAAGGCCTTGTACGAAGGTCGCGTTTTGGACTGCCACTTCTCCCGCGCCGTCTACAAGAATATCCTTGGTCGTTCCGTGTCGATCAAGGATATGGAAACGCTCGACCTGGACTACTATAAATCGCTGCTTTGGATGCTGGAGAATGATATTACGGATATCATTACCGAGACCTTTGCAATTGAGACAGACGACTTTGGCGAGCAGCAGGTGATTGATCTGATCCCTGATGGTCGTAATATCGCCGTCACCCAGGAGAACAAAGAGGAGTATGTTCAACGCGTGGTTGAATACCGCCTGGTAGAGTCCGTTCGGGAACAGCTTGACAACTTCCTCAAAGGCTTCCATGAGATCATTCCTCCGGACCTCATTTCTATCTTCAACGAGCAGGAGCTGGAGCTTCTGATCTCTGGTTTGCCCGAAATCGACGTGGATGAGTGGAAGAACAACACTGAATATCACAACTATTCTGCCTCCTCATCCCAAATCCAGTGGTTCTGGCGCGCAGTCCGTTCATTCGACAAGGAAGAACGTGCCAAACTGTTGCAGTTCGTAACCGGCACGAGCAAGGTCCCTCTTAACGGTTTCAAGGAGCTGGAGGGCATGAACGGTGTGAGCAAGTTCAACATCCACCGTGACTATGGCAACAAGGATCGTCTTCCTAGCTCACATACATGTTTCAATCGTGAGTCTTCCCCTCATATCACTCCCTAACCTGTCAATATCATTCTAATCCTCTCTACAGAGCTTGATCTTCCTGAATATGAAAGCTATGAAGATCTCCGTCAACGCCTTTATACTGCGATGACGGCTGGCAGCGAGTACTTCGGGTTCGCATAGAGGCTTTTCTACATGGAATTTTTGTTTCAGGCCCCAAGCATTGAGTGGCGTTTTCTCCCGGGAACAGTCTTAAAGGAAAGCGAAGGATGAAAAAATTTCATGAAAATGCGGCTCTTGCTTCTCATTGAAGTGCAGGTCAATCGATTGCTTGAGCCTTTTTTTATTACCATTTGTACTTAGATTGCTCTTTTACGGGAATATCCACATTGTTCTTTAATTTATACTCCGCGTTTTCCGTTATTAATGGCCTTGGCCTCACTGGCCTCAGGTTCCCGAGTCCGGCAATTCCCGCGCCTCAGCCACGAAGGCGGTGAGCAGTCACGGGACGCGAAAAAAATGCGGGGCCCAAATCGCAGGTGCGGGATTCGATTTTTTTAAAAGCTCCGGCCTCGACTTTCATTCGTCCTGCGAGAATCCATCTCGTTCTGACAGTGCTCACCATGTCGACTAATTCTATCAAATTGCTGACTGGAAACAGCCACCCGGAGCTCGCTGAGCAGGTGGCTGACCGGTGAGTGCCCATGCTACTTTCTTCGCCGCATGCACGGTCGATCCCGCTGCCCGCGGTTTGCTGGTCTCAACGAGTCATATGGTGAACTAATCGATATGCGAACCCAGCCTCGGCATTGAGTTGACCAAAATCATGGTCCTGCAGTACTCCAACCAGGAGACGAGCGTCACAATCGGTGAAAGTGTGCGAGACGAAGATGGTACGCAGACTTCTCCCCTCAATCAGATGCGGGCATAGATTTCAAGGGCAGGTTAAGGTGTGTTGATAGAGCTGTTGCTGATGTTCTTCCTCCGCATCCTGCAGTCTTCATCTTGCAATCTACCCGGCCAAATGACATCAACGACGGCCTGATGGAGCTTCTGATCATGATCAACGCTTGCAAGACCGCCTCGGCCCGCCGTATCACTGCGGTCATCCCCAACTTCCCTTACGCCCGTCAGGACAAGAAGGATAAGAGCCGTGCGCCTATCACTGCTAAGCTCATGGCCAACATGCTCCAGACTGCCGGTTGCAACCATGTCATCACCATGGACTTGCATGCTAGCCAGATCCAGGGCTTCTTCAATGTCCCTGTCGACAACCTCTACGCCGAGCCCAGCATGCTCAAATGGATTCGGGAGAATCTCGACGTGAGCAACTGTGTCATCGTCAGCCCAGATGCTGGCGGTGCTAAGAGGTTAGTTTATGGTTTCGGACTCCTTGTGTAACGTACGGTTAATCTAACGACATTCCCCACCAGAGCGACTGCGATCGCCGATCGTCTCGATACCCAATTCGCCCTCATTCACAAAGAACGTGCTCGTCCGAATGAGGTCTCCCGCATGGTTCTCGTTGGTAACGTTCGCGATAAGGTCGCCATCATCGTCGACGACATGGCCGACACCTGCGGCACCCTCGTCAAGGCGGCCGATACCGTCATGCAGCACGGTGCCAAGCAGGTCAACGCCATCGTTGTTCACGGTATTCTGTCTGGTAAGGCCATTGAGAACCTGAACGGTAGCCGACTCAGCCGACTGGTGGTCACCAACACCGTCCCGCACGCCGAGAAAAAGGAGCAGTGCGATAAGATTGAGACTATTGACATCTCTCCCACGCTGGCTGAGGCCTGCCGCCGCACCCACAATGGCGAGTCTGTCAGCTTCCTGTTCTCTCACGCTGTCGCATAAATGTCTCATTTTACCCCTCGCCAACTACCTGCTCTCCTAAAACCCAGCCTCTTCTATATAAATACCCTCTCTCAGAAAGACTGCCTGGGTTTGCTCTTCATGCGCGTGTGTGTATCTTTGGTCCGATGCGAAGCGAAGCGAAATGGTGCGCAAGCGGGAGAAACAAAAATACGATTCTTATGACCATTTTTTTCTTTCTTGACATCACTGGGGTTTTCATTTTCATTTTATTTTCTTATTTTCGTTGCTACTGTGTTTCGGTTTTCCTTAATATCAAATTTCAGGTCTGCTAGTGGTAGCACGAACCGATTGATTCATGGGTCCTTTTGCCGTGTTGCAAGGTAGTCATTCCCTTTGCATCGTGCATGTCTGGTACCGTTGCTCGCTACTTGTGGGCTTTGGCCCACAAGCTCGGTGCGCACTGTTGGTGCCTCTTTTTCTGTTTATCTAAATCATGATCTGAAGCCTCGATAGCCATTGGTTGCCACTTTCATTCTTCCTTTCCCGCTGTTTCTCTGTTGTGTTTTATCGGTGTATTATCAAATGCCGTTATTGGGTCTGGGTCTCGGATAGAAAAATAGAATTTGTCATCTCATATTTTTTTGGAATTTTTCTTTTTTAAAGTTGAGTTGGGTTTCAACTATGATTTCGGATTTCGGACAAGTACATACATGTGGATGCCTTAGTTTGTCCGGTCTCGGGAACGCCACTCTTGCTGGCAGGTGTCTCGCGTCCTTGCCTCGCTGAACTTGAATAATGAAATTGATATGATTTCTGTCCTAAGAAATGGTTTCGTCTGGTATATATATTTTTTAATATGAGGCAGTCTCAATTTGAAAACAAACGGTACATAAATTTTACGTATTGAGGTCTGTTGAGTTGTAAGATTCTTGCTCCCGAGATATATTTTTGTACATGGTTAGTTTCCGTCGGCGAAATGCATTTCTGGCCTCCAACCTAGCAAATCTTCCCCCAAATCCTTGAAAACCATCATGTGAATATTGAAGAAAGTAAGACTTGTTCTGAAGCCGTACAGACTGGGAACTTGTCTAAATTATCAAATCGCATTCCCGCTCCGCCAGCCACCAACCAACTTACGGAATTGGCACTCTGCAGCTGTCTTGGAAGTGATTTAAAACACAGAAAAGGTCTATTTGGCAGGCATGTGGCTAAGGAGACCGCTACATACGCGCAAAATAAATGCATCGTATTGCTAACTGAAAATAAGGGAGAAGTGTGGTTCAATTAAAAATTTCTGCGTTTTGGTCCCCTTCCGTTTTCCGTTGATTGTCTTTAGATGGATCGGTCAATTCTTGGATTTGGAATACTAGTCAACATTGATCTTTAATTTCACTTCAAGGAAGATTATTCTCCTCGACATTTATTATGTCGCTACGACTTGGGCATAGAGTTAGTAATGCATAGAGAGTGCTGTAGGGAACATGCGTGACAGGGCTAAGGATATCGTGCCCCAGAGTTGGGGGGGGGCACAGCAAAACCTGGACTTGGACATTCTGGTTGTCAACCAGGCTCGAACGAGCCTAGAATCCCGAGCATCTGACACGGTGGCAGGTTTTCGAGCATTTGCTATATAAAGACCTCAAGCCACTATGACCCTGCTCAAAATTTGGACTTTGTCGGAACATAAATGAACTCGGAGGATTTAAGCTACGCCAGGGCACCGGAGAGGAATAAGAAACAATGAAATTTGCATGCACTCCATTCAAAAAAGGGTTGTCAAAAGGTAGGTTCAACACAGATGCATCGCCCAGGTGCCCGAATCACCGTGGCAATCCTGGGAAAAAGGGTCCCACCATTCCGACGGCTCATAACGTAAAAACCTGGTCCCCCCGTTGCTTTTTGCTTTTGCCCTTTTTCGTTTTATCAGACATATTCCGCGTCCGCTGGGAATGATCGTTTCCTTTTAATGGTGAATCCCTCAATCATTGCCCAGAAAACGTGAACCTCCCCTCCATTATATCCCTCATCCCGCAGAAACAAATCATAACACCGCGGGTGAGATTTACTTCCGCATAGAGGAAGCACGACGCTTACGGAGCTCGTCGCGCTTGGCCTTCTCCTCGTGGACACGGTTGGCAAGGAGCTTGGCGTAGTCGTTGCTGCAAGCGCACATGTTAGTATGAATATTAGGGCAAAATCAAGAGAGCGGTAAAAACTTACGCAGCCTCGCGGGCAGCCTCAGCGCGGCGGCGCTTGATGGCAACACGCTGGCGCTTGCGCTGCAGGCGCTGGGGAGTGACCAGACGCTGGATCTTGGGGGCCTTGGTGTAGTCGGACTTGCCCTCCTTGGTGACGGTACGGCGGATGACGAACTTGCGGACGTCATCCTTCTTGTCAAGACCGAAGAAGCGGCGGATCTTGGTGGCACGCTTGGGTCCAAGACGCTTGGGGACGACGGTGTCAGTCAGACCGGGGAGCTCGCCCTCACCCTGCTTGACGATGGACAGGGCCAGAACGGCAAGGTCGAGACCAGTGATGGCTAAGGGAGACATAGTGTCAATGGCATTGATACTTGGGAATCATGTCGGAGAAAACCAGGGGTCACACATACCACCACGGATGGACTTGCGCTTGCGCTCACCAGTGCGGCGGGGGCGGTAGCAGCTGTGGCCATCGGCGAGGAGCAGACGGGTACGGGTGGGGAGGAGAACTGTAGATAATCGATAAGTATGATGCGTTGCGAGTTTGTATTCGTAGGGTTTCTGGCTTTGTGTGGCCAGAAAAGTCGGTTGAAAACGTACCACCCTGCTTCATGGGGAAACCTGAAAAAAAGAGCCCAGTCAGTTACTTTGCTCATGCGTTGTGTTTTCGAAATCCATCCACTAAGATTGTTGTTCAAGAGAATTCGTACCTTGCTTGTCGTTACCACCGGTGATCTTGAAGAGGTAACCCTTGAACTCATCGCCGAGGGAGTCACCGACAACCTATTCGAAAGAAAAAACCCCAATCAGCCAAATTGTTCATCGATATTCGCGTAGTGAAAATGTATGTGCATGTGGATGGTGTTCGGAAGAAATTTTGAGGTGATTTGTGTGTGGATGTGTGCTTCTGTAAAAGTCCGGGGAGATGAGGGATGCTGACTTCGGTGCCCATGCGCTTCTCCATGAAGGGACGGAGCTTGCGCTCATCGTCGATCTCGATGATCTTCTGGGACCCATTGGCCGGGTAGGAGATGTTGAGCTTCATCTTGACGGGGGTTGCGCGGTCAAGACGGTAGCGCGGAAGTTGTCGACAGGTGAGGTTGAAGGGTTCGGCTTTGTGGATTTTTCGAGTTCCAAAGGTTTGGCGTAGCGAGTGTGTGTGGTTGACTCAGCATGCGCTAGCCGAGTTGGGTCGCCTCTCCGCCAGCATCGCTAACCCTGTCACGTGATAGTCAGGTGAGCCTGGGTCTGTTCTTATCGGCCTTATCACCCGCTATCAATGTTATCGGGTCCTTCAAGGTTTAGCCAGAGATTCCTCAGGCCTCAGGCTACGAAGCATTAACCAAGCTCTCCGGTCATGTTTCGGGCGGAGAGACTCCGACGACATTATCCATGACCCGCAACAATTGTTGCTTGATGATTTCCAAAGACGCGGTCCTCGCTTGCCAGTATTCACTATATCTCGTTTGACAGACTCTACAAGCATCTGTCTTGTCCTTTCACATCACTAGGTGTCCGATGCTAACTAGTATACTCTCTATTCTCCTGATGGGGTATCCTCGGGCGAATATATCAGCAAGTGCTGATCTTGCCATGGAGTGATTCTCTGGAACTGCCTCTTTCTCACAATGTCGATTCTTGGATAAGGATTCCTTGGTATATTCCAGATGGCTGACTCTTGATAGATGAGCCGAGCCGTTGGCTCCGTCCCTCTGACACCTATGAGACTACGTACTTCCAACAGGTCCACTGAGCACCACCCGTCTTGGCATGCCTCCGCCGTATCTTTCGTACTGTTAGCCGCTTCAGGGGTTGCAAGCGCCAGGACTGCACCCAGCTGGCCAGCGTCATTAGTTAGTTGGGGGCGGCGGCGTCGTCATCCTCAACCACGACATTGCTGGGCTTAATGAGGCTATGGGTTGTGCTGTCGGACAAGCCTGCGCTCTGATCATCAACTAACCATTTAGTGACTAGAGCGACTCGCCCGGTTGACTTGGGCTCTTTGGTGCTGAGCCCGATGCGAGCGTGAAACAAGATCGTTGTGCGCCCCCTGACGCACTAGAATTCTCCATCCCACCCAGGAATTCCCCCGGCTCCACTTCGTATGCGGCGGAGATAAAAGGGCACCCAGAATGATCAGGACAGAAATTAAGCAACCTCCTCGAACTACCCCTGAATAAATGACGCACCTTCGCTCAGGATGAGGATCCCCAACTCCGGAGGCCAAAACACCGTCAAGCTCGAATGCAGTGCAACGCTGAAACGGACGGGTGCACGCGATGGCTTACCACGTTGAGCCGGTCCCCCCCCGCTGGCCGCCACGCGGCCAAGGCTTAGTGCCCAGAGGCCTGCCAACGACTGGTCTTCTCAACCGGAGATCGTCCACGTAACGGGTGTTGGTTGATTGCCTCTGGCGACAGAAACCTCCTCGAAGCCTCATAATACTCATTGTGGACACGTAGTTATCATCATAGTCACTAGAAATAGAGAGGTAGAGATATAGGAATTCGAGAAGTACATAGCAGTCGGGAGTTAAGACAATCACGGGAAACAGGAGGCTCAGTTGGTATGGCATTTCCCGATCCAATATTTTCTTCTGTTAGAGTTTCTCGTTCCTCGTTTCTCTCAAGTCTTCCCGCTCGTTCGTTCTCTGGGTCCGCTGGATTTTCCGGTTCTTCCGGAGTTGGATCCTCGTTCTCGCTCCGCAAAAGCCTTGAGACCTCCTTTTCCTGACTATAATCATTTCTCTCATTGCCAACTTCATCTTCCCCCCCGCAACAATTAGGCAAGCCCGTCCTTCAACGCCCAGGCGGATTGTCCTTCGTTTCTCCTGATATTACGTATCATCGCCATAAGTCCGATACAGAACCGCAGCGCCTTTTTTCGCCGCCTCGGGACGGTTTCCAACAGTGACGCCCCGATCGCAACGACTATTCTGAATGTGCTAAACGTCAGATTTCTTCGACTGGGGTCGCAATTCCCCTATTTTCCCTCTTGAACCACATCGCTACGACTAACAGGCGCCTGCTCTAAGTCGCGAGCGCCGGGTCAACCACCACCGCTCTCATTACGCCCGCCCGGGCACACGCACACCCTTAATCGCCATGCTTCGTTTATTCAACCGATTCTATGCCTTGTGCGGCATCGCCGCATGCACAATCCTATACTCTGCCTGGTTCCTTACGTTCCGGAATTTCGGCGATATTGTGCCGCTGGGATCCGAACAATTTCGAACAGCAACTTCATTTGATCAGCGTTTAGTGGTTTTTGGAGACTCATGGAGTGATAACGATACAGAGGAGCCTCAAGGGCAAGTATGGACAGATTGGCTATGTGAGATGGTAAGGATATCCTTCCCCCCCCCCTCCACGGCCCACGGCCGATTCCCCCTATGGGTGCCGCCTTCCCGGGATTTGAAACAGGACGAATGGGAGAGTTGGTAGCAAAAAAGCTCTTAATGGAATGGAGAAAAGAAAGTTCCCCACTGACAGATTTTTGCTTGCGCTTTTCAGTTCTCATGCCACCAGGAGAATCTCGCCCAGACCGCCAAGTCGGTTCTCCGGGGCAAATATGCGGGATCGGTGGTCGATAACACAGAACTCGACCTGACGAGCCGGCTCTCTCAGACCCGACTAGCCGATTTCAAGACCCAGCTTGATCAGTGGATGAATGCTGAGTCGTCCTCATTGGAGGGATTCTCCGCGGAGCAGATCCAGGACCGTCATGACCGGACGATCTTCGTGGTCTCTTTTGGAGTCTGGGACATCTGGAATCTGGTGAGCAAGGACTATGATTCTGCATCCACCGCGGTAGGGCGACGTATCGGCACGCTGGTGGAGCAGTTGAACAAACTGGCGGACCGCTGGGGCTCCATGCAGCTCAAAGTTATCCTGACTCAGACGGTGGACGTGACCTTCCTGCCCGGGTTCACCGCCACAGGCGGCGATGAGTACAAGGGCGCCATCAAGATTCTGGAGCTCTGGAACCGCAAGCTGCGTGAGGCAGCCAAGGAGTGGGACCGTGGCACTATTTACCTGTTTGATACTAATGCCTTCGTCATGGATCGCATTCGGGACTGGCAATTGTATGCCGCCGGCATTGAGGAGGAAAATGGACTGGGGACGAACCGGGAACCCGGCTGGGAAAATGTCGTTGACGCCTGCGTCGAGACTGCCAGCGGGATCAAGGTGATGATGTCAAAGGATAAAGGGAAACAGAAACAGTGTGAGCACCCAGACAAGTATCTGTTCTGGTAAGTTACTCCCCGTCCCTTTTCGTGCTCTTTTACTCCCATTTACGAGGTGATCGGCAACTTCATATACCCTTTTGTGCTGACCGGGAACTTTTGCGGTCAGGAATGAAATGCACCTGGGACCATCCGCCCACCGGCTCATGGCTACAGAGATCTACCATGGAATCGACGGAGTCTTATTGAACTCCAAAGCCCCAGTGCCTGATGAGGGCTCTCAGTCCCAGGCACAGTCGGAGGCACCACACGAACGCCACAACCGACGGAGCTTTGCAGCTTAGACATTGTCATGATATGTGAAAAAAAAAGAAAAAGAAAAAGAAAATCAAAGCAAAGGCAACCCAAAAAGTTGCAGGACCTAAGAAAGACCCAATCTAAGATCCAAGACTCCCAATCGCCGTTCTCTTTTCTTTTTTGCTTCCCTCATTTCACACCAGATCCAAGTCGGGCCCAGTAGAATGAAGGAGTGCTCGTACCCGAGAACGTCCAAGCACACATCAAACGCCCTGCCGGTCAGACAACTCTGTCTCAACGACTCCGTGCCATTCCATCCCTCAAACTCTCCCCTCTCTTCTGCCTGGGTCTGTTTGTCTCTATCTCTTCCTCTTTCTGCTACCCAATGCGGCGTGGATGGACAGGTTCCAGCCGATCGGGACGGTGGACACGGTAGTACGAACCGAATGTAAAACCCATTGGATTGGACCAGGAACCGATGTTCGGGACGGCCAGACAGCAACGCCAGGAACGACAAAGCCTCAGGCTTGCACACCAGAGGAAGAGAATCAGAGGGTGTCGGCAAAGGGGCAATGGGGGTGGTATTGTTGAGAGTGGCAGAGTTACAGTCGAACGTGTGGAGAGAGGGCGATCGGGCGATGAGATCATCTCCGATCGGCTGCTGGGGGCAGAAAGTGGAGCCCCGTGACGGCGCAGTCTCAACACGACTTGTCGCGGCCGCCTGCTTTCTTTCCACCTTCTTCTCTCGTCCTGTCTTGCATGTTTGTGGACTGCACTGGACACCTTTCTTTTTTCTGTTTCTTTCAGCCGGTGATCGCCCCGGGTGATCGATCTCGGTTTTCTTTTCTTTGTTGCGACATTTGCCGGGGAACCGAGAGGAGCAGCAGCGTGGGCCCCATCAATCGCGGTGATCGCCAATCAGCCCGCGCGTTGGCCTGCGAGTCGCCGCATCCGGAGACAAAGAAAACAATGATCTCGTTTGCTCGGCGCATCATCACCTCGTCCTTTGGGTTCTTTGGGATGGGAGAGTTACCTTCTGGACCCATCCGCCAGTCCCCTGGTTCCTGGTTCTCTTATTTTTTCTTGTTACATACAATCTGATTTCTCGTCGGGTCGCTGCCCGACACCGATGGACCATGACCAAAGTACAGTACATAGATAACAAAGCATGCCCGGTTTCCCATTGATTTCCCCCGTCCCACGCTTTCTTAGCCCGAATGGCAAACTCCCCTGCTGCTGGCCTGTCAGGTTCTGGATTGATTGGGCTTTAGTGCTTGCTGCCTGCTGTTTGCTAGCTCTATTGCTTCCAAATCGCCATTGCTCCCATTGTCAAAGACCAAGCCACCAGACGAAGCTGACGAGGATTTGATTGGCTTGGCAACTAGGACAGGATATCTGCGCGCTCCCCCCCCTCCCTTCCCTTCGTGGGCTCCACCAGCTCAGACAAAAGAAATCCCGTATAGTTCGTGGCTCGTGATTCTTTGTCTCGCCCACGCCGTTTTCTGTCCCCCGGCATTTCCCTGGTTTTTTTTTTTTTGCGTCGGGCCCAATTGGCCACGTCCATTGCCCTAAGCTGGATCGCCCTGATCATCCTATGTCGCTGTCAGTCGACCCGTCCTCCTAATCCTGTCGTGTTTGGCCTGCCTATCCGACCCTCCTATCACCTCTATAGTTCACCCTCTTTGTCTTGGGGGTGACTCTAGTAGGACGTCCATTCGTTTATCCCTATAGGCTTTATTTTTGATTGCCTTTTCTTTTACTTTCCCCGCCTCCCCCCCCGGACTGGCCGATGCTTTATACTTTCTCTCTTCTTTCTTCATCTTCCATCACTTCGCCCTTGTCTGCGGACGACCCTACTTTCGCTGGTTCGCCCACGCTATTGCTATTGCCATCTTTATCTGGCCCTTTTTCTTTGGCCTCTGCTTTCACCTTCAGCCTTTTCCCCTCGACCTTGGTTTTGTTCGCCCCTGGTCTTGTCCGTTTTGCCTTTCGCCCCGGCTCTTGTGCTCTCGCCCGTATAGATAAATGTCTTACGAACGAGTGCTTCCCAACCCGGCGTCTCTGCGTTATGAGTCTCCTCAAGTCTCACTACCCAGACCCAGCCATCTCCTCGACCACAAGATCATGAACGACGTCCCTCTTTCATATGGTGCCTTGCCGCACCGCCCGGCTCCTGGGTATAGCCATGATCCCCGTGTCAGATACGCGGATAGCCGGTCCACGAGCGTGCCGCAGACGCACCAGCAGATAGCCTCATACGCTCGCGCGAAGAATGCATTGAAGACCGATTCCATTACTTCGCCGGTACATCCGCAGTCAGCTTCTCTGGTCAAGCCTGCGAGCCATGTCTCAAACAGAGATATCCCTCGTCGAGAACGCTCTTCCTCTGGCAGTACGAGCCCTGTCAAGTCCACAAAAAGTGAGGGCGCTGTGCAATTCTGTCTGTGCCAGCCGGATCCAAAGATCCCCCGGCCCCGTAATGGTGAGTTGATATCACACGCGCCGTTGGTTGAAGTTTATGGCAAGTTGCTTTCTTCTTCGGTTCTCAATGAGAGCACACTTGACCGATCTGGCTCTGATTGAGAGCATGGGGTGAAAAATTGGATGTGGTTTTGGAGTTTCATTGATACAATTCGGCGGGCATCATGACTAACATGTCTCGAACAGCCTTTATCTTGTACCGCCAACACTATCAGGCCGCAGTTGTCTCACACAATCCGGGCCTGGCAAATCCAGAGATTTCAAAAATTATTGGAGAGCAGTGGAGGGGTCTATCGGAGGAAGAGAAGGGGACCTGGAGGGAACTCGCAGAGGTATGTAGATGTAAAGGCGCATTGGCATAAATTCAAACGCTCACTCGATTATTCTAGGAGGAGAAAATCCGTCATGCGCAGCAGTATCCAGCATACCGCTATCAACCAAGGAGAACGGGGCGAGATGGGTCCTCTCGCAACTCAACTTCGGGTATCAGCCACAGTATTTCTGGTGGGTCAATCTGTAACCGATGTGGTGGCAAGCTCATGGCTGCTCCGGCCTCACCAATGACCCCGTTTACTCCTACTGCTGGCCAACAGTATCGGTCGACCAGTCTTGGAGGTACTTCGCCCCATCCAAATGCTGCCACGACCGTGATCACTGCACGGAGTTCATCATGTCAGGAAAAAGAGAAGGGTCCTCCTAAACCCATTCGGATTGACCACCTGGACAGCCATCATCGCCATCGGAAGCTGGAAGATAACGGCGAGGTGTCTCCAGATGTGAAACGCCGCCGACTCTCTCATATTGGAATCAAGCCGGGGTTGCAGCATACGCATCGGGACCGGAGTCCCGAATCGCCATATCCCAGGAGTCCATACAATGGCCCCTTAAGTGTAGAGAGACACCGAAAAATTCCTGGCATCACATGCGCCCGGTATGGCAGTTCGTCGAGCGAAACGCATCCTGATCCAAGCTTAAAGCTACCTCCGCTTAAAACTGCAACACCAGTGACCCCAGTGACGCCTTACTCTCAAGAAGGATCAAGTGTCGAGGCCACTGTCATGACAATTCCGTTCCTCAATAAAATTAAAGTTCTTGCTAGAATCTCCCCTCCGTTGAATCCGTCTTTTCGCGACCCTGGCCCTCACTCCCGCGGATCAGTGATTGCTATTGACGGCCAAGACCCGGAACTCATTCGTGTTGCTGTGGAGTACCTGGAACGAGCGCTAAAGAAAGAGAACAACTTCAATGTGCGGGTCTTCGAAGGCCCAGAGGTTCAGACACCGCGGCAGGACTCCTCGGACGCCGGCCAAATGGGCGACGCCACGGTCGACTATCTGAACACCATCTCTGCTTGGCATCGCATTTCCGACGATATTATCGGATTTGTTAAGCATACTTCTTCCCACATGGAGGCGTCGGACTCTAGCGCCAGCCCGGATCATGAAGTTTCCCCCAAAACTTCCCCGAGTACCATCGTACCCAAGACGGCAAACTTGCAGATTAACTCCCCGGCTCAGTCGAGTGAGAACGGCTCCGAGGTGAGCACTCTCTCTGCTAGCACTCCCGGCGGCAACAGCAGCGCCATGCCTGTCGCCATTGTCCCACGCTACCAGCTAAGTACTGCTGATGCCTTTGCCTGCTCTATCCCCATCGGCGATGAATATGCGCCACTGGATCACTGGCAATGGATGGCATCGTTATGGCGTGCCTGTGTTGGCCCGGACATTACTCTGTACATTCGAGAGTGCAGCAAGGAGGAATTGGATCGAATTGGCGGAAACCCTGTCGAAGTGCGGCTGCAGGACGCACGCACTGTGATTCTGCGGAGGACGCCTGGATCACAGGGATTGGAGGAGAAGGCCCTGCGGCGCGTCGGGTTTGAAATTGAAGACTTTTTGACACAATGATTTTATTTGTGGCGCATGGCTCGGCTACATATTTGCGGGTGGACTTGTTTGGCTTTTTGGCGCTGGGTTCTTGACCAGACTGGATTGGACGGGTGGCATTGAAATGCATTTATGGTTAGCTAGCTATGCATGTCCGTGTGAAAGTTGTGCTGGATACTAGGTGGCCTGGTCGGGACTGGAGGTTAATAGACTTGCTTTCAAAATAGTAATTGTTCGTCATAGTAATAGATCATTATGTGCTTGAACAAAACCATCCGGACTGGAAATATTCGTGATGATCACTAGATTATTTTGACTCTGCGGTCTTTCAAATGGCGGATAGAGAATCCATCTTCATCCAGAAATTCTCTGATATAGGTTTGTGAGAATAAAGACGTAAATTATAGCACCCTCCACTCTTCAATCTGATTGCAGGTGCATTTCTATCTTCATGTTTTCCAGAAGGTGGTAGGCGGTTGGGGACAGGTCCAGAGTGAGTCGAAAATAAGCCTTTAGGCAAAACTTGTATTTCTCTTTCTCTTTCTATTTTCTTTCACTCCTCCTATTCCAGTATGAATCCAACTCCGCAACTAAACTAGTTATTCTGCTGGACATCTATAACCTCAACACTGGTTACTCGGAATCTGAATTCGCTGTAATTCCTGGAACCGAGCGAAAGCGGTCTAGGCGGTGAGAGATCTGCCCCCTCTGATATGCATATCACTTGGCGATGAGGTCTCTAACTTCGTCTTTCCCAGTTACGCAGTGTCGCCATGGTTGTGCAGAAGTCCTGGGAGTCTTCCATAGTAACTGCATGGCCTGCAAAAATGCAAGACGATCGCAATGCCCAGCATGTCGTCGTCTCATCTGCAGCTCCCCGTGCTGACCCGGACCCGTCGGAGACCCACCCCATGGTATCGACAGAGGCATATTCTTTGCGCATGCAATCACGAAATATACAACTTCAGCGGGATTCATCGCATTCTAATGACCAGGGGTCTAGTGATAATGGAACTGCCTCAGATACCGTGCAGCCGGTGCATTTGTCAATAAATGGACAATCTGCAAGGCATACAATCCAGGCAAACGCAGGACCCGAGGATTTGAAGGATTACATCCCCGTTGGAGTGCTTGGGCAAAATGGTTCCACTAATAATGGGTCTCTGCAAAAGGAGATCTCATTATTGGAAACGCACAATTGGATCCGCACGCACTTCCAGCACAAGGGAGTAATCAGTGCGAATCTTCGAGTCTACGTGGACCCAAGAATGGCCAGTCGCTACAATTCGCAGCGTTCAGTCACAAAGCTGCGTGCAGCTCTGAAGAGTGTGATGGGCGCACTTGACCGCTGCCCTGAAGCATGGGAAGGCTGGCGCCCTCCCCAAACTCCAGACGGGGACCTGGCAAATGGTGCAGACGATGAGTCGCTTTGGTACATGTTCAATACACTACAGGATCCAAACCCACAGGTGAATAATATGAAGGAAGAATGGTCGCGACGCGCAATGGAACTTTTGTTATCTGATGAAGACTTTTCGGACTTGGGTCTCAAGACTCGCTTGTATCCATACCAGCGCCGCTCAGCGGCAACTATGATCCAGCGAGAGGCGCAGCCGGCTCAGATGCTAGATCCTCGTCTCCAGGAGTGCAAAAGCCCCACCGGAGCGGTGTATTATTACGATAAAGAAGATGCGCATCTTACTCTGGACAAAGTTTTGTATTCAGAAGCTTGTGGAGGAATTCTGGCCGAGACAATGGGCTGCGGCAAAACCCTCATATGTCTTGCTGTGATATGGGCAACTCGTGGGCATTTCCCCCGGATCCCGATCGAGTATATTGCAACTCCAGATAAACCTGATTTGACTCCTGTCAGGGAGAAAACTGGATCTCTGATGACAATGGCGGCTGCAGCTGTGGGTCGGAATTCGGAGCCCTGGAAGACCTTTTTCTTGGAGAAACAGCAGCAGGGTGCCTTCTACGACCGGTGCTTAAAGGCATGCGAGGCAAATCGCGGCTTCTATGAAATTCCTCCACACCAAACCAGATACCAAGGCCGGCATAGCGGATCATATCCACGGCCGCCAGCGAAACGAATCCGCCTCTGCTCGGCGACACTTATTATCGTTCCAAACAATTTGATGGACCACTGGCAGCGGGAGATAAATACCCACATCGAAGGACTCGATGTCCTTGTTTTACGACAGGGGTCCGACAAGACCCCTTCGGCTGATCAACTATTGAACTATGACATTGTTCTTTTTTCGAAGTCGCGCTTTGAGCGTGAAGCGGGCGAGCCAGTTCATAATCGTCGCGATAGATTGGTGCAGATTGATTCACCTCTCACACAGCTCCACTGGCTGAGAGTGATTGTGGACGAAGGACATAATGTTGCTGGGCATGGCTCAAAAACCAATATGATTCATATGTTGGGACAATTGCATTTCGAGCGCCGTTGGGTCATTTCGGGTACTCCTTCAACTGGCCTCTATGGTGTCGAAGTGAGCCTCGCCTCCCAAGAAGCGAATACCAGTGATACCGAGGCCTCTGAAGAAATGACTGCTGCAGCTCTACGGGGTCGAAAAAAGACCGGAAATGCAGCAGATAACGAATTGAAGGATTTGGACCGACTACGAAGAATCGTGATTGAATTTCTAGGCCTGAAACCATGGGCGAACTCACGGGCCGAGGACCCCGCGGACTGGACTAAGTATATCAAGCCTATTGGAGAAGATGGCAAGCGTCGCAAGACTCCGGCAATGCGTGCCACACTTCAAGGCCTGGTCGTGAGGCATCGACTCGATGTCGTGAGCTTAGAAATTACCATTCCGAAGCTTTATAATCGTGTCGTTTATCTCGAACCAACATTTCATGACCGCTTATCAATCAACTTGTTCCTGTTTGGTCTGGCTGTCAATTCGATTACGTCCGAACGCCAGGGCCCAGATTACATATTTGACCCCAGCAATTGGAAGCATCTCAATCAGACAATAAACAACCTACGCCAGGCAGGATTCTGGTGGGCAGGCTCTGATGTTAATCCACAGGATTCGATTGATCATGCACTCAAATATCTTGACTCAAACAGAGAGAAGATGACGTCTGGGGATATCCAGCAGCTCGTTCAGGGAATTGATATTGCCCAAAGAGCATTGAATTCTCGTAGTTGGCATGAATACAAGAATCTTCACGAGTTGGGTGTCTATGTCCGGGGATTTCCAGAAGATCATCGAGCCCATTGGGCGCTGGACGGAGCGGATCCGGAGAAAGAACCTTTTCTCATCGGCATTACACAGGCTTGTCGTGCCCAACAGTTCGTCACGCAAAATCTCAAACTCTCAGATCCTACCCTTGGCCTGTCTGGTGCCGGCATTAAAGCCCGTTCGGAGCTTAAACGACGTGATAAACGCGCCGCAACCAAGGGCGCTCCGGAGTCAACTACTTCACCAACAACACCGGGTTCAATGAGCCACAGCCCCAAGCCGAAAAACATTAAATCTCCTAAAAAGACGTTCACTAAGAACCTCTTTCACACACTTGCTTCGGACTCGCCGCTCCAAAAAACTCAATTTGTCGCTACAGCCTCAGCCAAATTGACATATCTTCTCGACCAAGTCTCGAAATTTCAAGCATCGGAGAAGATCATCATTTTCTACGATAACAACAACTCTGCATTCTGGATTGCCGAGGGACTTGAGCTTCTTGGAGTCGAATTCCGTATCTACGCCAGCACTCTAAAACCCGAATTGCGGACCGAGTATCTCAGGCTCTTCCGTGAGGCCGACGACGTCCGTGTTCTCCTTATGGACCTCCGCCAAGCCTCACACGGCTTGCATATCGCGCAGGCATCGCGCGTATTCATAGTTAATCCAATATGGCAACCCAACGTGGAGAGTCAGGCCATCAAGCGTGCTCACCGTATCGGCCAGACAAGACCAGTGTATGTGGAAACGCTTGTGCTTAGAGACACCCTCGAGGACCGAATGCTGTATCGTCGGAAAGAAATGTCCGACGAGGAAATCCAAAATGCAGAGAAGAGTTTGCTGGACGATAATACGATGAGCCATATTATCCAGAAAGAGCCCTTCTTGCCAATGGGCGATGAAGATAGTACCGCTGCAGCGTATCTCGATTACTCGAGTGGCTTCTTCAATCGACATAAGTTGCCAATTCCCGATGATGAGGTTATGGGCCTGCGGGAATTGCCGAAAATGAAGCGGCTGCATGGCATCGAGGGATCAGATGCTGATACTGATTCCGATGTTGCGATCATGTCTGGGAGCCCTATACCTAAAAGACCGCGCCTTGGCTTTGCGTCGGACGTGCAGATTCTTGGTGATGAGCCTGTGTCTGAGTCAGCACAGCCTTCGTTCTCTAAATCTCCACCGGTTTCCACGGGGTCGGTAGATTTTGGTAAAAAAGATGAAGGGCGGCGAATTTCTCTGTTTGGAGGTCCATGATGGATTGCTTGGCTTTACGAAGACTACGACATGCATGCTCTTGATGACTTTTGGGGGGTTGTGTACATATTTTGTGGAATAGAACCATTGTTTTGTATGTCGGCTTAATTATTGAGATGAAGATCCGCCTGTTGACCCTCCTTTTTCGCCATATTGGACCCTTTCGGTCTGGTTATTGCCTTGATGACATGAATACTGGCCAATTCATGTGGAAAGAGAGCTTGGCTTTTTGAAGTCTCAAGGTCCTCATGAGGTTCCCGAAATAACTCATTCAAAGCGAATGGACGTGCAATGACCTGCCCCACATTGAACGGATGAAGACTGATTTACCTTTCAATTGAGGCTTTTCATTGGGTTTCGAAGGCTCCGAAAACGCCGCTTATTAACACGTAGTTTTATCAGAGAGGAAGCACAGCTGGTGGGCTCCACTGAAAATGGCAGCTTTCATCATTAGCAAGGAGGGGATTCTGGTTCTTATGTATTCAATCAACTTTCTGCGTGGCTTATTCGGCAGATATAAATGTCGACCTATTCTCTAGTCATATGAAGGTCCGGTCACTCACACTATAATTGTCCACTTTGATTACCTTCTATCCATTTTTCTTCGATACTCGACAGAAACCCTTTCATTATGACCAAAATAGCTGCTACGTTTCAAAAGCTCCAGGAGGCCGAGATTCTCTGTCGCTCGTCCCAAGTTGTTTCGGTTGTGAACGACCAAGTTTACATTTTTGGGGGAGAGTTGCGACCGCGCGAGCCTCGAGACAATGATGTCCACGTTGTATCATTGGAAGCCAGTAAGTTGAATATTGAATAAATTTTCAATGGCGATGGAGTACACTGTTCAAAGTAGACTAAATATTGTTCAACAGATGCTATGATTGCTTCTAAGCCGGCCACATTTTGCTCCCCATCCCCTCGCGTTGGATCGGCAGCTTGTACTCTCAACGGAAAGATTTACATCTTCTCCGGTCGTGGTGGTGTCGCCATGGCTCCTGTCGAAGAACATGGTGCAATCTGGGAGTTTGATCCGACCCAAGCGAAATGGTCTCTGATTTCACCATCCGGTCAAGTCTCGAAAGACTTGCCAGCGGCTCGCAGCTACCACTGCATGGCCAGCGATGGTGAAGATACAATCTACTTGCATGCAGGATGCCCAGAAACGGGAAGACTATCGGATCTATGGGCCTTCAGCTTGTCTCGCAAAGAATGGACCGAGCTTTCCCCGTCATTTGATCCTCCTCGCGGAGGTTCATCAATCACGTTCACGGAGCACAAACTATACCGAATGAATGGATTCGATGGGGAAGCCGAGCAGGGGGTAGCCTGGATATTTATTCACCTGGAACCAACTCCTGGTCTTCACACTCATACTTGCCTGATGGTATTGCCGGCCCCACGCCCCGAAGCGTGAGCGCGTTGGTGCCAATCCATCTTCGCGACCAGCCGTATTTAGTGACGCTATTTGGCGAGCGTGATCCTAGTTCTTTGGGTCACCAGGGAGCGGGGAAAATGTTGCGGGATATTTGGGCGTTTAACATCCAGAGCAAGAAGTGGGAGGAAGTTGTGGGCCAAGGGGATGACGTTCCTCTCGCAAGAGGATGGTTTGGTGCTGATAATGCCGGATTGAACTCCATAGTGGTTCACGGAGGCCTTGGGGAGTCCAATGATCGACTGGGTGATGTATGGAAGATACAATTTTCGTGATTGTTTTGGTTGTACACACATTTATATACATAGCGTGCTGATAGGAGGCGGATATATTGAATCAAAGGACTGGTTGAAAATATATGCTTGCTCTCAGCTGCCGTACTGAGCTTAACATATCGAGTAATGCAATCATGCTGTGAAACTCATCACTAAACTCATATATGTAGGGAGCTGCTCATGAAATTGGGCAGACTCGAAGATGCTTAATAAGCGGCGTTTTCGGCGTTTTACAAAAAAGGCGCATGTGCTGGGGGGACTTTGGGATCCACTTTGAATGTGTTGATCATTCGACAGTACGGAGTAGGGCGGGCCGTTACGGCGGGAGGAGGCACTAAACCCGGAAGAGAGTATAGGTTAGAAATTGGGGCCAGCCAGTTTCCAGGAGAAAGATTGAGCAGGAGAGTTGGTAGCTATTTGTTTAGAACGATTGTCAGCTTGACAAATTCTTCAGTTGAAGGCCAAATCTGAGAAGGCCAATTTTCTTCTTCACGAAACCCTTTCCACCATTTCGTATTCTCCGATACCCGGTGTTCGTTCACATAGTAGTGCCGAGAATAGAGATGGATCCTGATGAGCGCACGCCATTGATTCAGGCGGCAACCAGTGGAATTCATACTTGCCAGCACCTGAAATCGCCAATCATGCGCAGAGTACCATTTCGAACAATATCAGTTATTGTCTCTGGATATCGCACTTTCAGTCCACCTGGAACTCTCGCGTATTTGAATTTGGAGCAGTCCTCTACTTGGAAGCTATTTACCCAGGTAATTTAGTGCCTATGTCTAGCTTTGCTCTATCACGGGGTCTCGCGGCCATTGTCTTTGCCCCGGCGGTCGGTCAATATATCGATGTTGGAAATCGTTTACATGTAGTCCGCGTTTCGATTGGTATGTGCAAATATCGGCATGAAAATACGTGTACTGGTTCACTAAGCTTCCCCACTACTTAGTTGGCCAACGACTGGTGGTAGCTGCATCGTGCACTATCTTTTATCTCTTGAAAACCCTGGTTACAATCTCGCAAGTCGTTAATGTTTTCTTGTTGACGGCACTGGCCCTTTTGGCTTGCATCGAAAAGTTATGCTCTATTATGAATCAGATCTCTGTGGAGAGAGATTGGGTATGCTTCTGATATCTTCACAATAAATACTCTGGTACTAATAATTGGTAGTTTGTGGTAGTTGTAGGAGACAATAGTGATGACCTGAATGGTATGTGGTTGATGATCGCTAGAGAGCCATATGCTGAGATGAAAGTTGCTTCTATTCATGAACTCGCAAATGAGACGAATTGATCTGTTCTGCAAGCTACTTGGGCCGCTGCTCATTGCCCTTATAGACGTAATAAGCACAGAATACGAGATTTTGGCCAATTTTGGCGTGAACCTAGTCTCGGTGGTGGTAGAATACTTTTCCATTGCAAAGGTCAGATTTCGAGTCTATTCTGTACCAGACCAGTTTATAATACGCCCAGTGTTTCTCATATATTGCTCCAGGTTTACTATGAGATTCCTGGATTGCAAGAGTCAAAACAATCTAACACACCAAAGACTTCAAACAATGAAGACGAGCAAAGGGGCATCGTGCGAAGGACAACCGGCAATGTTTCCACGCTTCTATGGGGAGCCATGCGGGATTTGGAGCATTATTTTCGGCATCGCCTCTTCCTTTTCTCGTTTGCCGGCGCACTTTTATACTAGACTGTTCTGTCCTTTTTAGGACAAATGGTCACTTGGCTGCTGTCCGAACACTGTCAGTGATATTTGAGATATTTGCCACGTGGATTGCACCTTTTTTTATGATTAGAATGGGGCCGATACGCGCTGGTTTATGGTTAGCTAGCGGGCAAACCATTTGTCTGGCGATTGGATTATTTGTTTTCTAGAGGTTCTCCAGTCATTCTTTAATATCTGCGTCGGGCCTTGTGGGCGGAACAATTCTGAGCCGAGTAGGTCTGAGAGGATTTGATCTATGTGTCCAGATTCTGGTCCAGGAGGTAAGCCCGAGTGAATAGTTTCTCATTGTTGTTTCTATCTGACAGATCATGACAATTTTGCAGGAGGTCGAAGACAATGCTCGACGTTCCTTTTCTTCCATTGAAGCTGCATGGCAAAACTTTTTCGAGATCTGCTCTTATCTCACTACCATCGTTTTTTTCGCGGCCCGATCAATTCAAATGGCCTGCCACCATAAGTGTGATTGCTGTTGGAACCGCAGGGTTTCTGTATGCTATTTGTGTTCGAATAGAGAGGGGGCATTTGCCACATCTCTCGAAATGCTTTCCCCAAAGTCGCTGGCAGGGGTCAATGGGACAAGGCCTGCAGAGAATAATCTCATCATCGGAGCTATAAGTATTTGTTGACTATGTACAAAGAAAGAGAAAAATGCGAATTATTATGGAGGATAAAATGTTGAAGGCGATTAATCTCATTATGATTTCTTTGCCTTCTCTGCCTTCATCACTGCGGACGTTCCAAGCCATACCAATCTCATCATAAAATTGCTAATTTCTTGGATATTGGCCCCCTCGCTGGAAGTCAGCTCTTTGTCAAACATTTCCCGGAAGCTATTGGCAGTTGAAATAAGAAGTTCCAAACCAAGGCGTGCCTCTGCACCCAGAGGATGAATCACCGTGTCAAGGAATAATGTCAAAACTGCAGTGCTCGCATAGCATGTGATAAACCTGACATAAAGCTAGAATTAATAGAAATTGAAACCGAAACAATGACTAGAAATCTCACCTGTATGCTTCTTGCCCAACATTATCGATCACAATCCTCAGACATGCGAGTGTGGACCGACTGGCTTCCAGAGACAGGTCAAAGCTCGAATGAACCACCCCATGAAGATCAAGAGCTCCATCATTTGACTCAGTAGTACACCTTCTCACTGTCGTGTGGATGACAGTCATAAGATGGTGATATTCTAGTTGAAGATACATACGTTGGATAAGGTGGGCGAAACTCTCATCTGATCTGCTCGGCGAAGGAATTTGTGAGACGAAGAGCGCAGGGCGAACGCTTGGAGGGATGCATAATCGCCAGTGTTCAATCTCTTCATCCAATTGGCGGATATGAAGAAGGATGTCGTTGTCGGTGTCCTTGTAAGCATGGGCGGAAAAAAGCTTCTGACAGACTTGTTCTTTCAGACGACTGAGCTCAGGGTCTCCAGGAATATAGAGAGAAGTGTTATCCAAAGCGCCATCATGGTTAATATCGGAAGTCTGGTTCAGCTTTGATAAATAGATGTAGTACCCATTATGGTTTTCAGGTAATGAGAGATCACAAAAGGCATCATTTAATAAAAAGTTATCCCCAGTACGAAGGGAGATATCTTTGTCAGCCTTGTAGCATAGCCAAAAGAGATTCCGGAGATGTTTTCTTTCCCTGTTCAAGATAGATATCTGAAATCCAAAAGAGCGGGATGCTGGATAGAGATGTCCCTTAAGAGAACAAACTATGCGACAAGAAATGGAATTGAGGAAAGCAGCGCCTTCCCAGTGACCGCTGATTATACGTTGTAATTGCTGGTATAGAAAGTAAGCCAGGGCATCATCCAATGTGTTCATATGAAACGCAACTTGGACTTACCAGCATCAAAACTGCCTCGAGAGTTGTCAAGCTGGTATCTTCAAGAACACTGAGCAATAGAGAATACGCTTTGGCAGAACATGCATATGCATCAATGGAAATATGATCCGAGCATTTGATGCTAGATGCGATGGAGAGAAAGCTCCAAACCCAGATCTGTGCAGAAACTTGCGTAGGCGATGGTTGGAGCTCACTCAAAGGTTCATAAGCGGCTTCCATGGTATTCGAAGATAAGGTTTTGTCCAGAACTGGAAATGATTGTAGAAAGGAAGAGCCAAGAAGATCATTCAGAATTCCCCGAGTAAGACTTTGATCAGGTAATTCCCAGCGTTGTAAGAGAGATCCCTGATCTATCGAATAAGGCAAAGGGTTCCTACTGGGGATGCTGAAATCATCGAGAGTGACATTTTGACCCGTTCGCCTTGAGATCCATTGAACTCCTTCCTCTGAGGAGATAGAAATCCCGTTGAAAAACCAGTTTGGCCCGAGTTGTTTTGCGGATGTCGTAAGCCGAGCGGAGTGTGTTACGGGCGACGGATCTCTGGGCCTGACAGGCACCGGCACGAAAGGGGGCAAAACAGACTCATTTGCCAAAAGATCAGCTGAAGCTACATCATTTGCGATGTTTCCAGCTTCACTAGACGTTGTTGGTCTAGTTGATTCATGAATCGGAAGCACATGAGATCCCGCACCTCCGGCCGGCTCCGTTTGATTCAAAGAAGATTCAAGTTCCTGAATGCGCCGAAGGAGGCTTCGTACATCATTCGCCTGTGCAACATTTGAGAGTATCCTAAATTCGAAACTGATGAAAAGGCTGTTCCAAAAGATAATCGACTTATTGGAACCTAAGGGGGCACGCTCACCCTTTACGCGACTTCTTGCGAGGCCGCTCCCTGTCGAAGGTACAATCGAGATTTCGATGGATGCACCACTCACACGCGGCATTTGATTTTGAAAGAATGCATTGAATCTGCAACAGGCAGAAGTCGGTGAGCGCTGGTCCTTGATCGAGCCGCGAAGAGGCGAATGACGTGTCATAGAACCCGATGGATTACCTTTCTCTGATAGCACGCATCGCAAGCTCTTTTTTGTGGATTCGGCTGGCCTTTTAGAGGCATCACCTCTGGACAGCCAATGAAGGCAATTATTAAAACTGGGTTGAGTCTTGATTTTGTCTGAAAGCATCGAGGATTTGGAGAATCTTGTGCATTGACGCTATTCGGGGGCGAGAGTGGGGAGACAAACGGCGGCTGGCGAATCAGAACACTGGAATCTGGAAATCTTAAAGACATTTAGCGTTGGAGAGGGGAAAACGATCTTTTTAATATAACGAGAGTCTTCAAAAAAAGGAGGAAATCTTTAGGACTCCCGTGACTAGGATTCATATGGAATTTGAGCCTTGTTTACTATCCAGATTGCAACGCACCATCTAACGTGTCGTACTATCGGTGCCTTACCCCGCCCTCACAACCCATGTGGCACTCGTAGTGCGATACATCACATTCATTCTTGACGATATGGTAGAATACTGTATGAGCTTGTAAAGGCGGGATCCAATGGATTTTGATGTTCAATCTGATGATGAACTATCTGGCAGGAGGTCTTGAATATCTTCTATTTGCTGACTAGCGTGTTATGGCGCTGGGTCCAGAGTTGACCCGGGGCACCATACAAAACGAATGATGAATCGGGTATTCCTGTAATACCGGGACGCAAAAGGGGTATGTGACTCCTCGCGGTATTCAATGGCTTCTCCTCCTCGACAATTCTACTACTATCTCACATCCGTCACCCTCCACCGGATCTCTCTTCTTACCCTTGCTTGATTTCGATCTCTTCACATCGTCGGGATATCTTTCTTGATCTATCTCACATCGTCGAAATGTATGAATGTGCCTCCTGCACGGCGGCTTTTTGGCACTGGGTGGACTGTGAGGAGCATATGGACGACTATGACCATTGGATTGCATGCGAGACATGCATTCGCAAATTCCACAGCCAGAGAGCCGCAGACCAGCACATGGATGCACTCGATCACCGTCATCCCATTTTTGAATGCGAGACATGCGATCGCAAGTTCTGTAGCCAGGAAGCCGCAGATCAGCACATGAACGCACTCGATCACCGTCGTCCCATTTTTGAATGCGAGACATGCGATCGCAAATTCCACAGCCAAGAGGGTGCAGAACAGCATATGAGGACAGTGAAGCACTATAGTAACTATTGTGATACCTGTGATCGTTGGTTCATGAACGAAAACAACCTCCGAATGGTATGAACTCCCTAGGTACTGACTTTTAATTACGCCGTCTTGAATTCTCACCAGGGAATACAGCATCTGAATTCAAAAATTCACCAAGGAAAGACTGTAAAGTGTCCATTTTGCGGAAATGGCTTTGTCACTCCCAGCGGACTGTCTCACCATCTAGAAAGTGCATCATGCCCGCAGGCCCGCAATCTGAACCAGGAAACCCTCGCAGAGATGGTCAGACGCTCGGATCCCCACGGTCTCATCACTCAGAAGCAGCTCGAGTCGCATCAAGAGAAGAACGTGGAGTACGAGGCCACCCATGCTGCATGGAACGGGCATAACTGGGAGTGCTACCTCTGCCACAAGCTCTTCAAGAACGTTAAATCCCTCAACCAGCACATAAATTCCCCCACACACAAGCAGAAAATCTACCATTGCCCCAATAGGCGCGAGAATTGCAACAAACAATTTGTCTCTCTGGCTGCCCTTTTCAATCACCTGGAGAGTGAAACGTGCGGCTTGTTGCGCTTTCGCCAAGTGCAGCAGCTCCAGGAGCGACTGACAGACTCCTTTCTGAACCGGAAAGTTATTACGTATATCTGACTTTACTGCAGCTGGATGTCCCCTGTCAGCAGGTCCTAAAAGACCTGTCACTCGAGATGCTCTTATCACAATCTTGATCTTATGGATCCAACTTCTTCTCATAGCTGGTTCATCACAATCGGTGTCGCCTCATCAGTACATTCCGGAATCCCTCCCCTCCAACTTTCCCCTGCAAAGGTTCGCTATTGAGCCACCTATCGCTAGCGGTTGCTGCGCACAAACTTTAGTTGTTGAATTCCCGGGACGAAAATAGCGATGAACTCGTGAGAAGGATGTAGTGTTGCTATTCATGTGGTTTTATTTTCCAATATTCCCTCTTCTTACCTTCTGCCGCTGACACTGCTATTATGTGTTGTTCTGGGCCCCTCCGCTTGTGGCTCTATGCGCGGACGAGGACCAGCTAACGATTGGGTATTTAGGATTTTAGGGGTTTGCCCTGTGCTTTTTTTAGCAGTCCCATCGCCTATTTAATCTATCTCTACAAAGAATCCCCCTCGTACCTGGAGTGAGAACCTAAACTCGAGCTCTCTTCAAGATAAACAAGTCACGTAGTTCGAGTAAGCTTCGCTATCGCCGATCTCCAACCCCAAACTCCCGATAAAAGCTCGCGATAAGCAGATAAGCACTAACCCCTCCTCCCACCCCAATCCCCTCATCCTTGCTCCCCTTCATCCCACAATCAAAAGCTCTTCCTGGGAAGCAAAAAGACCGACAATGGCCGACCCAGCTCCTCAGAAGGCGCTCATTGTCGGCATCTCCGGCCCCTCGTCTAGCGGTAAAACCACCCTTGCCCGCCTCCTACAGCGCATCTTCAGCGGCGTCCGCCTCGATGCGGCCACGGCCACAATCTCTACGAAAAACCCAAACACCAAGCCCGAAACCCTGAATACCTTTATCATCCACGAAGATGACTTCTACTACCCGGATGACCAGTAAGTTCGAACCCCCCTGTGCGCCCGGTGATAACATCCAACATCCAACCTCCAACAACTCCACCCGCTAACACCGCCAGAATCCCCTGGACAACCACACCCTCCGGCAAAACAGTACAAGACTGGGATACCGCCGCCGCCATAGACACAGGCTTTCTAGCGCAAGCACTTAGCTACGTGCGCGCGCACGGCCGCCTGCCGCCGCGCCTGCAAAGCAAAGAAGACCAGAACGAAGACAGCGGGTCCGGCGTGGCGGACGCCGTGGTACAGGAGCTCCGTGCGCAGGTCGCGGCGCAGCTGGCAGGCGCGCAGGGGAGGCCCGACACACTCGCTTTCATGGAGGGCTTTTTGCTCTACGGACCGCAGGAGGGTGGGAACAGCGATGGCGAGGCGCTGCGGAGAGTGCAGGGGCAGATTGGGCTACCGCTGTTCTTGCCGGCGGGGTATAGCACGGTCAAGGCGCGGAGGGAAGGGCGCAGCGGGTATGTGACTATTGGGCCGGCGCCGGGGCCTGAAGCTGGGGTAGACGTGGAGGGGGGAAGGCCGCACGGAGAAAATGACAGGGAGATAGACTTGGAGGGAGAAGATGATCGGCCGCCGCAGAATTTCTGGACAGATCCACCGGGATATGTGGATGATATTGTGTGGCCGCGGTATGTGCGGGACCATGCGTGGTTGCTTGTGGCGGACGAGGGGAAGGAAGGAGATCTGGTGGCGCGGGTTGGGGAAGGCCTGGAGGTGAGGGCGGATGCTGGGGTGAAGGTTGCGCCGGGCAAAGGGGCGGCTGGGATGGAATTTGTGTTGAAATGGGCTGTCGAGGAGGTGTTGAGGTTTTATCTAGAGGCGAGGTAGACATGACTGGAATTGAGACTAACTTAATTGAATAGAGTAGCTCGATAGATTAATAAAGCAGCATAAATTTAACTCTACATATAATTCGGAGGATAGTAACAGACTATGACGGTGTTATCGAGAACAAAGTCGAAAAACTCATCAGAGAGGGAAGTATACGGAATTGTTCCAGGCTAACCCTGTAGGCTACTTAATCAACCTACTATGTAATCGAAGTTTTGAAAAATTCGAAGAGAAATATTCAATCAAGAACAAGCGGTAAACATTCTTAACGTTATGATCATGGCTAAACCTATTCGTACACCTCGAAAGCATCAAAAAAGAAATAATCATCCCTCTCGAGCGCCAGGAAAGGGCCCCTGCCAGCCCAACAGGTAGTCAATGCGATCACGCAGTGGAATCGTCATTGGCAAAGAAGGCGTTTTCGAAACCGCTCCATCCTCATCAGACGTAGCAACTATGATACTCGCTTCGGGATATGCACAGAGAATTTCTTGGGCGCGGGAGACGAAATCATAATGCATGTTTGCGCGGTAAATAGAGCGATAGAGGAGGACAATGAGGAAGACGCCGAGAAGCAGCCGGAAGGGATATGATTTTGAAAAAGATTTGGGACGAAGTTGGGAAGATGACGGCATGTCGGACGGTAAAGCCGACGCCGTGGTAGCTTCCACGGATGTGTAATCAACGTGCACAGTCTCCTGGCAGCTCTCCAGCTTTGTTTTACCATAGTCATCCTGTAGTTTAATCTCCGCGTCTGAGCCTCCTCTACTGGCTGTGATGCGCGGCATCCAAGCAGTGGCTTTACCATGTGGGAGCTGCACCTCCCACGTCAGAGCAAACATAGCCAGGTTGGTAGGGGTGCAGATAACTTGCACCTTACTAATGCCAACTTTAGTAGCAGCACCGCCGCCCGTATCCAGGGGAATCGTCTGAAACCGACTTTTTGGCTCTTGGAGACTTGCTGCAAAATCGCCATCCGGACCACCGTGGACATAGATTATGAAGCCGCATCGCTCAGCCCAGAAGTCGCGCTGGATGAGATCGAGCGAACAGACAGCGTGATATCGGATTTTGAAAAGGTCTGGGCTGTTTGGAATCCTGTAAATATCAGAATGAATAGCCTGTGCGACCTTGAAATCCTTCAAAAACCCATAGAATTGTGCATCACAAGGGCGCAGGGGAATGACGAGCTTGGAAGGGATCAGGAACTGGGCCATAAGGCAGCTCTGAAAAAGGTTATAGCGTTTGAAGTGCGTGGTGCGAAACTCCATGCCTTGATCGGGTGGAGTGCAGAAGTAAAAATAGCCATGGTCATTGGTTGAAAGACGCGGCAGGCCTGGAACAATGAGCTCGAACCAGCCTCGGGGCCTGCTATTTGACAAGCATAATACGAAAGTAATGGTTGCTCGATAGACTTCAGGTTGGAGGGTAGAAGGGCATTGGACGTAGAAAACCCTGTCGAGCAAGAGGAGACGAGGTCTACAGGTGTCGGAGTCATCGGTAGAGAAAAGACGTTGAGGAGAAGAAGGTTGCACGAGAGGAACGCCCTCAGTCGAGATCGCCACCGACGACATGGTATCAGATTCAGTGGACAGAGCTTTCATGTCACACGGACTTCCTGCTGATGCCACGGTAGAAAGCTTCTCCAAGTCTTGCAAAAATTTACCTTCCTCACCGGTGCCTTCATTGAGGCTGGTATTCAACTTCGAAGGCGTTGCAGGTATCAATATCTCGCGGCCTGGCCCCACTCTGTCATACCTGGATTGGTTGCCATTATCGTTGATTCCATACGGAGTTTGAAAATCCACTGGCCCTTCGAAGTTTTGGCCATCGTCTTCAAATGGCGTAATTGAGACGCCAGGGAGTTTGGGTGTACTTGGCTCCGTCCTGTTATGGCCCTGACTAAGTGAGTTGATAGGTCGCGGAATCAGGCTGCGCCTCCGTGAATGCTTTGAGGACGTCGAGGGGACAGGTGACTGTCTGTCTGTTTCCAAAGGGTTGTTCTTGATTTGAGACCCATAATACGCTCTCTCCGAGTCAGAGATCGAGTCAGGGAGCGAGGCCGCTTTTGCTGTCCTCTTGCGTGGGTTGAAGGAGCTTGACAGACTTTCACCTAATGGAGTCTCGGGGGTGGAAAGATTGGGTGGAAGAGATAGATTTGCATTTGTACTATCCACAAAAATGCAGGAGTAAAATGAGTCGAGTAGAGACCTGCGTCGCGGTGATCCATCTGGAGTGCAGGCAGCTCGAACAAGAACACTGCCTGAGTCCGAGACGACGCTAGTTGGCGTAACTTCATCACGAACAGGGTCCGGCACCCCCGCATTCAGCAGATCCTGCGAAAGCTTGCTATCCGGAGTGACGGGGTGCTTGGCATCATCGCCGGTGGTGACAGGGGTTGATTCTTCGTCAGAGATGGAATCGTGCAGGAGTTTGATGTTGTCAGGCCTGGCCACTTTGGGAGCGAGGGAGAAGTCAATGATTCGTATGACGGACGGGTGAGCGGTATCGAGAACAGCGATATTGGCATTTGGGGTGCACCGAATCTGGTTTGGAGATGAGCGTTTGATCCTAGACTAAAATAGAGAGAAGTGTGGCGTCTTACCTCGACGGACATGTAGACCTCGACCGGGTCGTTGGGGTCTCCACTCCAGTCACACCAAAGGTCTAGATTGCTAAAAGGGCTCTCAGATGAGTTCATGATGACTGGGAAGAGATGGGCATATGAAAGAGAAAGAAGTCAACAAAGAATAGATTAGGGAAAGCCAGCAGGCATGGCATGTCGCGGAAGGTTGCAGGATGGAAGGAGAAGAGAAGGAAGGAGCGCAAGCCATTTGGAATTCGCAGTCACCAGAATTGAGAGACGATAGCACGGTGAACTACTAAGAGATTCGCCAGTATGTACACAAAAGGGATAAGAATGACCTCACTTTTTGATAGAAAAAAAAGGAATATAACCTCCATCCCTCCCATTCTACCCAGCCAGCGCCTTTGAAAGAAAACATAAACAAAAGACAAGCAAGACCCCGAAGCCACCCAATGTGAAAACATCAAAAGCGTGATATCTAACAAAACCCATCTATCCAGACAGACAGGAAATAGAGAAAAGCAGAGTGAAACGGAAGGATAATAACCAAAAAGACATAGAGTGTAAAAGAAAGAGGTGAAAAAGCCAAAGAGGGGCCATCGAGGCCGATCATCTAGCCTCACCATCAACGAGCGATAAGAAAAGTATGAAAAGAAGTCCCCCTGTTCCCCTGCATATGAATTTATGATCCGGATTGCCCGGGGAGCAGCAATCATCTATTACCGAGGTGTTCCGTTCGCAGAGTCCGAAGGATGGGGATCAAAAGCGGCCGGGCCGGCCGTGGAGCCATAGCGATCAAGATCCGGGGCCATTTGAGAGGGAAGGATCGGGGTAGCCGAAGGAGAGGGCGGGTCAAAATAGCTTCGCACGGGGGTCCCGTTGGTGCCTTGGGGATAATTGCGATTCCGCTGCAGCGGAGGGAGAATGGTGGAACTGGTCGGGTATCCGGACCGGGAGTATCCCTGGGCCATCATTGCTCCTGTGGAATCCGAGGTCTATCTCGAGCCGAAGAGACAGGAAAGAAATCCTTAGCCAGGGACCTCCTTAACAAAAACTCACTGGTTCGCAGAGGGGTGTCGTACAGGAGTGCCAGGCTGGTTCATCGCCATCAATTGTCCCACGGCGGCTTGTTGGCTGGACCGTGCCTGACCTGTTGGGTCGGGCATTTGAGACATTTGCGCTGACGGTGGAAGACCATAAGACATCTATAAAGAGGGGTAAAACAAGACATCAGTTAGAAAGAATGTTCTTGGGGTGTAGCCCACAACGAAGGCTCTTCCGAATAAGCAAAGGAAGAACGAACCCCGTAGTCTGGCACCACCTGTCCCGTTGAGTAGGGCTGCATGCCCGGCGTCTGATATGCGCCAGGCTGACTCGCATACATGGCCGTTGGTTGGCCATACGTATCCATCGGACGAGCCATTCGACTTTCCGTGTCGTAAATGTTTTGGCGACCGTAATCAATGGACGTCCGATGGCGTTTCACAGGAGCTCCGTAGTACGTATAGTCTCGACTGGGGGCCGGGTACCCTCCAAAGCCCGCTGCCGCTGCCGGAGGGATCTGGACCGACTGACGATCCGGCGATCGCGGAGGCATTGCTGGAGGGAAATCGTCCCGATGCGGACGTTTACTGAAGGCTAGTTGTTAGCCAGTAGCTCGCCTGGAAACTTATGGCCTAACTCACCTAATCATGGCTCGAGGTTCTTTGCGAATGCGCAGCTTGACTCCTTGATCTGCAAACGAGCGCGAGAGGAACGTGGACTCCATCATGCCAGGAAAGTTCTTCGGGGGCGACACTGCAGCATACCGGAATCGTCAGCTCTCTTGATTTCTGTCTCTCACGAACCATCAAAACCCCTGTAGTCCGCGCACAGAGGATTTGAACAAAAGGACATACCCCTAAATCGATCCGAAATGATGGTCTTCAAATACGTTACTTGGTCCCTGGAATGCGCTGTCAGCTCCCGCTCTCTGGGGCGGTCCCCGACCGATGCACGCGACTCACTTTCGCATCTCGAACAAGGTGAATTTCAACCGGAATTCGCCCTCAATCTTGACCGACAGATCTCCAAAGACGAAGAATCCGCCATCTAACGGGAAACTTGTCAGTCTGCGCGTCCTTTGCAGCTAACCATCCCACAATGTCTCGCCAACAACGGCTAGAAACCTGTCCCCTTGGGACCAGAGAACAAACTTACCGTCATTGTTCACATCTTTCAGTCTATGAAGGGACGAAACTAGAGTTCCTGCTAGCGCTGTGGACGGTGCGACAGGGACAGGGCGCTCCTCTGCAGCATCGTACAAGCTGCAGCACATAAAATAGTAGGGGCTTTGCAGGTAGTGCCTAGAGAGCGGTGGGGTTTAGCGCGACCCGGAACAACCGCTCCGCGAGCTCAGCTGCAGCTGCTCCTGAACGACTAGCTTTGACCCGCGGGGTTGAGGAGGGAAAGGGTCAGTGGGACTTACTGCGCTAGATAAGTGTTCTCTTCTCGCACCCGGAGCTGAACGATCGGGGGCGGATCGATAGGTTTGCGCTCTGTTCGATCAAAGAAAGAGTCCCAGTCAGTCGACTGCGGGCCACATTGTGCCTCCCACTTTCTCTCCCCGCCACGGGCCCCATCGGGTGTCCCGTGCTCTGTCTTCTCTCCGCGCAGCACTCAAGGAGGAGATGAAGCCCAGAGGACTTACCCCGTTCATGCGCGGGACAAGATCGAAGTGCAGAAGACCCAATTGAGAGAGAAAAAAAACAGACGGGAGGAGAGAGCAAGACAGCTAGGGAATTGAATAGCACACACCTTTCTCCTTGCCCCCGGCCACGCGCGCCCGATCGGGCTGCTGGCGAATGGTCAGGTCAAAGTCAGAACTGGTGTTGGACAACATAGTCAGTGGGAATCCCTGGACGAGCGAGTAAGAGTTGCGACCCAGTCAGGCAGGTTACCGAAGGGGAATGGGGACGAGGGAAGCTTGGATGCCAAAGCGGATGCAATGGATACATCAAAGCTCAGACGAGGGTAGCAGGCAAGCAATGCAGCCTACGAAAAAGAGGCCATCTGCTCGCCAGCTGGGGAGAAAGAGAGCCTTTTTGGGGGGGATGGGGAGGAGGAGGAGGGGAGGGTCTTTGGTGAAGAGCGCAAAAAACGTACCTCTGGGCTTCGCGCGAGAGAGACGGGTCGGTGAACGTCGATGCACTCATCAAGACGACGGAGGAGTGGAACTGGGACCCAAGGTGCGAACTAAGTTTTTGTTTGATAGACAGGCTCAAGCCGAGACGAACCCGCTTGAACCAGCAAGGGCCGTTTCACGGAAGATCCGAGGCAAGAGTCAGGTCGACGGCTTTTGTGTCCACGGGTGCGACAGCGGTGGTTGGCAGGGAATGAAAGAGTGGGAAAGGGAAGGAACAAGGGAATAGAAAGGAGGAAAGAAAAGAATGGGTCGGGGGGAGGAGGGAAGCGGACAGCGTCACAATGTCGTGAGGTCTTCGAGTCGCTGACTCCGGAGGTTTTTTCGGTTTAGTAATGAGTGCCAGTGACCGCAAGTGGGTAAGGCCTGGGAGTGCAAGGGCTAGGAAATGACGTGGGGTTTGAGTTGCGGGTGTGAGGGCAGACGAGAGAAAAAAAAACGGTTTACGGGTAGGCAGGTCCAAAAGAAGCGTTCGAGATCGGCCAGCTAGGGCTAGCTAGGGTGAGTTGGGGGCCTTGGGGGTCCTGGGAGGCACTTTTGATAGTGTGGCCGGGGGTGTTTGGCCGTAGGGCGGTCGTTGGCAGTCGTTGGCAGTTTGGCAGTAGTGGGGGAGGGGATGAACGAAATGGCAGCGGAAGAGTGGAAGAGTGGAAATGACGGGATGACAAGAGCAGTCACGACCATGGAACCTCCCCGTTGCAAAAAGACCGGGCTGCACAGGCTGAAGAAGCTCAACCAGAGACTGACCAGGACTCACCAGGCAGCGAGAGACACACACACAAGAGAGAGAGGGAGAAAAAAAAGAGTGGGCAAAGAAGGCCGCAAACGGTGGTGGTGTCGTCAGTCGGAAACAGGTGGTGGACCAGCGCTCTATCAAAGAGCGGAGGAATGTGCCCAGAACAGCGGCAGGTCGAGCAGGTATAGAACGGCCGGGGGAGCGGATACAGTATCCGAGCAGACCGGGCAGACTAGGTGGACAAGGGTAGTCAGGGTATAAAGGGAAGTATCAAAGTCGAGGCCGATGCGAAATCGCGAATATGCAGGTCCCGACCATCCACGAATCCACGAAATCGCATAAATTCCAGGCCAACGTTCGTCGGTCGATTTCAATTGGCCGTCGAATTTCCCCCGGAGCAAATCAGCGTCCCGCACGGGCAAATCTCTCCCAGTCCGCGCACAAAAAAAATCAAACCCAATAGAATCCCGGTCAAAAGCCAAGAAAAAGAAAATAAATGAGAGAAAAAAAAGACAATAGTTCCCCGAATAAGAGAAGGTAAACGTCCCCAGAATCTGGGGGATGCTGATGGTATTGTCCAATCGTAGAACAAGCAGCACGAGAAAGCCCCCCAAGAACACTAGGTCAGTGCCTTGACGACTTGCTGGATGCTGATCGCCCTCGCGGAAATCCGCTATCCTGCTCGTCCTAGTCACGGCCAGAAAAAATTTTTCTGCTGCTATTGGTTGGGCCGTTTTGGGGAGGAGTGCGAATGCGGGTGTATAGCTAGCTGAAGAGTGGAGCCGGGTAACTGACCTCGACCGTTGGAAAAGCCAGAGAGGGTCGCCGCCCGTCGAGCCCAAGGCGGTTAAGATGGACCAAAAAAAAAGTGGGTGGGTAAAAGGACGCAGAGGAAAGGGACGAGGGTTCAGCTGTGGTCGACCACGGTTGAGGGGGAAAGTGGAGTGGCACTGTGGCACTGGCAATGGCGATCGGGATGATGCGCACATTCGATCGGCCGAGGATCGGGCCTAGCAAGGTTGCTCGCAGCAATTCAGTCTCCAGGGCTGCAGGGTTCCAGTGAGCGCTGGGGCCCTAATCCGTTAGGGTTTCGGGCAAAGCAAATCTGCGGGGAGAAAAGAAGGGGGGCGGGAGAAAGTTCTGCTGATGTCGTTTCCCAAGCCGGAGTAGGGGAAATCGTAATCGCCGTAGGCGTCGTTGCTAGTTTGCTAGTGCGGTGCTCGGGCCAAAAAGGAGTCGATATCCACCGGAATGAAAACGGAGCCGGACCACGGCTATGCACGTAATGCGCCCTGAACAAGAGCAACAGCTCCAAACGCCAAAAAGTGGACTCGGCTCCCCTGTTCCGGCGTCTAAGCATTCCAGTTAGAGTGGATTCCCGGATATGCGAGGTCCAAGCCGCATGGCCCTGGGATCCGGGGACTAGTTGTGCTTTTGGACTGCTCGGGACTTAGGCTCTTGCGCTCTGAGGCTGGAATTGGAGCTAGCCGGGCCTAAATAGTGTAGGGCGTATCAGAGCCGAAGCAGGCGGTTGCCTAGGCTCACTCTTGCGGGGGCCGCCTGATCGATGATCTCGGTTCGCAAAGGACTCTAAATTCTCGCCCAGAAAAGGGAATGAAATGAAGGACCCGAATTTGATGGACGTGCGTTGGGCCGTTGCGTTTCTTTCTCTCTTGCGGTCGGATGTCTCCGTACTGGTGTGGAGGGTGGTGCGTGCTTTGCGCTCCCCGCAAACCTATTTTCCAGCCCGATTAGCATGGTTCCAGGAATGTGAAGCCATTAACCAAGCCACCCCCTCGTTCAAAAGCTCAAAGGGGCACAGGGATGGGAGGCCTGTGATGGCTCCATTGCGATCTTCTAACTCTCCTATGTCATCGCAGCGATCCAAGCCCTCTAAATGAAAGCTTTCCGGCAGTTGTCTTCCACAAACCGCCTTGGGACCCACAGGGGAGGGAGGGAGACTTGAAGTTTCCAGGACGACTTGGCCTCGACTTGGTCTTCCCTTCGACGTGGAGAAACAAATCAAAAAGGCCATGGTGCTTGCTTACCTGTCGGTCTGTCGCGACTTAGCGCTTTGTCCTTTCGATACGAGTCCAGAACGCGCTCTTGGTCGTTCTCTCGATAGCCAGAATTGTCTTTGTCTCGGACAAATCCAGTTAGAAAGCAGCACAATGTCGAGAAACGCTGGCTGCAGAATCGCACTTGCGAAGAGAGCCAGATACAATGATGAGATTTTGGAGGCGTGGACCGAGCACAAGCACGTTAGGCCGATGGGAATCGTTCAATCGACACATACCGGGTCATGATGCGACGAAATAGAAAGCATGATAAAGAAAGAAAATGGTTTCAGAGTCCAAATTCAGATCAAGACAAGTGTCAAGAGAAGGATTTTTTTTTAAGAAAAAAAAAGGAACCCACTCCCTCCGAAAAAGAAAGAGAGAAAAAAAAATTATATAATAACTCCACGCTCAGTCCGTCTTGAAGCAAAGAAAGGGAAAGGAAAGTGAATGAGAGGGGGAAAAAGAGCACGAACCCTTCTGCATCGCCAGCTCCGAGTCGATGCGTCACATTGTCTGCGTGTCATGCAGGACCGGCGACTCCTGCTGCACTGGCCTGTCTGCAGCGGAAACAAGGTCACCGACCCTACGCTGCCTGAAGGACATAGGGCCCCGGCCCCCATCCTGGCTGGTCCTCTGCTCCCCGGACGAGGTTGCGCGATCGGGCATCGTGCATCTGGCATCAGTCGAATCACCACGCGAGGCCCAGAAGCCCCGCCGAGGTGGACGACGGTGGTTTGCAGATCGATGCGTTTCTATACCCGGCGCTCCAGTATCGACGGGACTACGCTTGCGCCACACCTGCCATTTTGCCTGGTCCCCCGCTGCGGCTGAAGGATGAGAAGGCGAGGGAAAACGACAGACGGAGAGCGGGCTGTGGGCGAGGACAAAATGGTACTTTTGTATCAGTCACCCTCCCAATATGCCGCTGGTGTGTATCGACAGCGCATGGCTGACATCTTCACGAAGAGTGGGGAATGTGATGGGCGAGCGGAGGGGCAGTGGGGGAACGGAAAAGAAGAAGGAGGGGCCATTGACAGCTCGGCGCTTTTCCTGGACTTGGACGTCCTCGAGGCGAGGACACGGCAGTGTGGAGAGATGGCAGCCCTGTTGCTGGGAGGAGGAGGGGGAGGGGAACCGACAAGCATGGCGCACACTGGCGTGGCTGCATTTGCAGCTGGATATGACAAGCGGCCCACTCCCTGAAGCCCAGATGCAGTGTTCTCCTCAGGGAACCCGATAGCGCTGCGGCGATCATGCAAGGGTGACGGACCAGTGCTTATTGAGCTCGACGATCATCTCGATTGTCCAGCGCAGCCCAATCTGGCCTGGATGGGCCAATGGGGGTCGGTGAGCGGTTGTTGGCTGCCGAATTTTGCCTGCTCGCCGGGCTCCGGTGATTCTCGGGCAGGATCCGTCGGTGGATGCAGGGGTGCGGTAGGACAATGCTGATGTGGACAATAGCCAGGGAGAAAGAGAGAGACCGGGTCAAGTGGGATGGCGAGTATCGAGAGATCTCCGGCGACTCTGAAAGGAGTCTTTGAGCCGCGACTGACTCCTTTCAGAGCCCCAGGGCTCACGTCTGGGTTCAGCAGGGACGGGGCATCTGTAAATCCCCGCTTCCGCAGTGGTCGGAATCCCCTGACCCCTGCGTCTCCGTGCATCGTTTGCTGGGCAAGTCCAATGTTTGGTATCCGGCGACAGGGCTATCCGCAAACGCGGCTAGTCCGTGGGCCACTTGTGATGAAAGCAAGAAACGGGCGAGCGCATGAGACGAGGAGCGAATCATTCCATTGGCCGGGTCTCTCGGCCTCGAGTGAAAGCTGCAGAGAGCGAATCCAGGCCCACGCAATCCTGGCACCGGGAACACACGAGTGGATGCGAGAAGCGGTTCTCCCGTCTTCCATTGGGGCTCCTAGATCTCGCTTGGGATTCGATGAAGCTATTCAAAAAAAAATGCGGAGAGAAGCGCAACGGTCTGATAGGCGGAGAGAGAAGAAAAGAAAAAGAGAGCCAGGCGGAAGAAGAGAAAAAGAAATGGCGAAAGAATCAATTGCAATATGCAACATGAGGCGAACACGAAAATTTGACCTCGAGGCCCTGAAAATTGAAAAGTGGGGGAACTGCAAACTCCGCGAAGCCATGGAAGAAATGGAATTCGCATGGAAACCGGCGAACGGGGCGGCGGGGACAACTCAAAGGCCCCCGACGATGAAGTGGCACCCGGAAATTGACTGGGCCACCGGTCAAGAGCTGGGAACCTGGTTGCCTGTGCTACGTTGCGACTCGAGGGAAAGAGACAGTTGAAATCGAATGAATTCAAGAGTCTCTACGGCGACCTCCGACCAACTCAAATTGTATGATGAATGTTTTGTGTTTGTTGAAGTATTCTACATGTTAGGGTAACTTGGCATCTTCATACTAGATTGCCTTAGTCCTCGGCCTTGGAGTCGGTCGAGTCTTCCGGGGCTTAGTGGCTTCGCGGACCGAGGGAACAAGAGCAAGAACACAAACAAGGACAAGGAGAAGAACAAGGATGAAACCGACATCCAAAAAAACACCCCAATCACCATTCGCTTTCCTATTCTCTCCTCTATAGTGTCGTCCTGAGCTAAGGGTTGGAACTAAGACCTGACAGCGGCCCCGTCCCAAGAACCACGGCACCCCTGGAACGCTACATTATGCTTAAACAGCGTGGTTTGGGGGGGGTTCCATGGTTCCGTTCACCGTGGTCGCTTCAACTGACAGCCCGACAACCCGACGCTCTGACCGCCGATCCCGCCGATCGAGTTTCTTTTCTCCGTTGAGAGACCACCGAAAAAGGCACATGGCGTTTGAATGTTCACAGAAGACCATGTTCAGAGGAGACCCAATTGCTTATTTCATGGGCTCCCCGATAAATCAATTGATTGGTTTTTCTTTTGAAAGGCCCGCGTTTCGGTCTTCCCCGAACATCTTGTGTGCACTGTGCACCGAAGTGAATGCCGGTTTGGCCCAGGATTATTCTCCGAGCGTCCCGACACTTCGGGTCGGCCCCCAGTAGGTTGCACCAACCGTGCAGCCAGACACTCGATAGAGCACAAGTCGCATGGTAGAATGAAACGCATCACATTGGTCTCCGAAATCTGCCGTGCCCATGGTTTCCCCCAAGATAGGAGATATCTAGCATACCCCACAGAGCGTATACAGCCAGGAAGGGTATCGGTGATTTCGTCTCAAGAACACACCTAGGGCTGTCGTGCGCAAAACATATTTCCAACGTAAACTGGCACTCCTCACATCCCATGATCGGCGCCGGTAGTCGAAGAATTGAGTTTCTGCTCCTTTGGCCATTCACCCTGCAGGGAGAGGACATAGGGGGAGGCCTGAAGACAGGTCGATTGTGGCGCAGAAAGAAGACGAGAATCGAGAGTTGGGCTCTTCCTGCATGTCGTCGATCTCCCAGGAGAACTAGTGCCGGCAATTCTTCGGAGGCTGCATTGGGTGGCGATAAGGCACTGGCATACGATAGATCGATTAATAGGTACGCCAATGGAAAGTGGTGGGACTCTCATAGTTGCACTGCTATACACATCCACGGTCGGACAGGGAAGAGAAAGGAGCACAGCGATGCAGCTGAAATGGGCAATCAAGCACATAATAACGGTCAGGGCATGGACTAGTGTTGCTTGTTTTTTTACAAGATACAGAGGGTATGGAAGAGAGATCGATGGATTAGAAGGGAAGATACTGGGTGTAAATTCCAAGCACACAAGAAAAAAAAAAACTCCAGACTCCGCTATCCCGCGCTCCGTGCTGGACAAGATATAGTCAACCTAGCGACAAGGAAACCAGAATGAGAAAGAGGCAATCGGCCTGAGGTGCAAGATGTCGGCCGATGATGGGCTGACCAGAGCCATCCCGAATCAAAGAAAATGAAAAATGAAAGGGGAGAAAAGAAAGGCCCTCAGCAATGTGAATCGAAGGGAAAGTAGCAGAGAAAAGAGAAAAGACAAAACAAAAAAACGCCCTGTTCATATGCGTCGCGGCTTTGCGGGGACACAATACGGAAATAACACAGTAAATGGGCTAGATTCGTTCGTAACCCCCTCATGGTAATGATCATGTCTCCATTACCACGTCACCATCCACTTCGTACTCGGCATCGATATCGTCGTCTTCCTCTCCCTCCGCGTCCAGGTCGACGTCATCTGTGTCCGGAGATACCTTCTTGCCATTCTGTCGGTCAGCTGACCCGGGCTCGGCGGGTATCATCACTTGAATCTTCTCAACCAAGGCTTTGCGGGTGACTGAATGAGGAGTTCTGGGTGGTTTTTCTGAATGCTTGCCCTTGGATCGATAGGACGTGGCCGTCCCTGGTGATCGTGAGCCAGACGATCGCTTCTTCTCGGGTGTCCGTGGGGGGTCTGGCTCGATAGCCGAATCATCTTCATGATCGACTCCATTGGTTTTCATGGGTTCCTCGGAATCATCGTCGTCATTCACATTCTCGGCGTCCGGGTCCCTTGCGCTTTCCTCGGAAGGTTCATCCAACACGAGACCAAGGTCTTCCGGGCTTGGGTCCAGGACAGCTTCTTCGTCGGCAAGTTCGCTTTGCTCCACGTCAAGACCATTTGATTGAACTGGAGTGGCATCCACTCCGGGCGAGTCTGCGGGCTTGCCGCTACGACCGCGGCGTACAGTGGGGGTGCTGGCGTTCGGAGTAAACAATGGCAGTCCCGATGGCCGTCGAGGTGTGTTGCGCCCACTGGTACGAGTAGCCGTTGGTGTCATCGAGGGTCGTTTGCTCCCATGGGGACGGCCTACCTTGCGCTTCGGGGGAGCAGGCACATGGACAGGAGGCCAGAGTTCAAAGCGAGAGGGAGGAATACCTGCAGCAGGATTAGGAATGGGGTCTGGCTTGGAGTCGTCGGACTCATGTATGCCATTAATGTGCGGGAAGGCTGCAGATGTAGAGGGTGGCCCAGCAGCCTCCCCAAAGCCATCGGTATCTGTCCCGTTTGTTGTGGGCTCTTCATCGGCATCCTCTTTAGACTCAACCTCTTCCTCATCCTCATCTAGATCGTCTCGAGGCGCAACCGCGTGCAAGGGTGCACGATCGAAATGGGATTGATTGTTGCGCCCCATAATGTATGGCGTCCAGAGCAGTGCATCGGGGTTGAGCTGGACGTAGCCCTTGCTTTCCCATTTCTGGATCACCTCTTCAAAGTAGGTATTATCGAGACGGAATGCGTAGGTTTTCGTGATAGGATCTCGTACTAGAGCACGGAGGCCCTCCAGCGCGGAAACAATATCATCAGCCGTCATGCCTGTCCGATCCGATAAATCAGCGATGCTGAGAGGTGTCTTCAGATCGCGAAGTTGGTACGACAGAATAAGTCGCCAGTAGTTTCGGTACGATACCAGACCCATGTCTGAGAGAGGCTTCTCGGGAGAGCCATTCTTGCCCTCGATCCGAGTAAGAAGATAGGAAAAATCGATCAAAAGGTTACCATAACCTTTGCGTTGGTGGATTGGAAGTGTGAGAATGCAGGAAACATTATTTGCCGAGCTTGGCCGCTTTTCTTTGCTGAAATAACCAACGAAGTGACACCCAAGGTCATCATATTCGCTCATAACGTAGAACAAGAATGGCTCCACGTCATAGTATAGCGTCTTAGACCCCAAGAATAGCTTGGCAAGGAGGCACAGATTCTGACAGTAGACAGGGTTCTTTCGGCCGTCCACCTCAAAGATGGAAATGGAGCCGTCGCGGTAAATTTCGTCGCCTGGTGGATGCTTCGCAGGGCATTTGAGCTTATGTCGCCAAGCAACATAGTCGGAGTTCATGTATTTGAGGCAGAATTCACAGATATAAAGCACACGATTCCGACTGTACTCCTCTGGGTAAGGAGCAGCATACCAAGTCTCAATCTCATGGCCACCAAAATTGATGTACTTGATCTTCGACGGGGGACCGGAAACTTTCTGTGAAGCTGTAGGAGTTGCCTCGCCGTTGAGCTCGGCTTCTCGAATCTTTCTCTGCCATTCATCTTCGGCCCTTTGGCGGGCCAGCTCAAACTTGTCGCGATCGGCTTGTAGGGGAAGGGTTTTGGATGTGTCTGCCTCGACTTCGGATAAAATGCCGCCATACGGCTTGGATTTGGATTCGTCGGTTTCCCGATCGTGGAATGGATGGAAGTGGGTGGCGTAAGGTGCGGGAGGAATAGAGGCGAAATGGGCTTGAATTTCTTGAGGCACAGGCGGGGGCTTCGGAGCCTTCTTCTTCTTGCGTTGCGGCCGGCTTTGGCTGCTCAAGATTTTGGTCACCTTCGCCTCATCAAGGCGGAAACCGACAATTAGTTTGCCGAAGTTCTTTGAAACCACACGGCAATGATCTCGATCCACTGCGCGAGTTCGTCGAGGGCGCATCGGTCGAGCTGGGGAATGAGCCTCATTGACAGGTTGCTCGTCACCGTCAAAAACAGTTTCGTTCATATTCAAATTATCAGCTTGGCGCCGTCGCTTTCTAAGCACAGGGGCGTGCTCTTCGGCTTCTGCCGATGAAGCTTTCCTTTTTCGCAATGATCGCGAGCTATTCAGTAATTCATCGCTGATGTTGGTATCGAAAATCGAATGAAACCCATCTCCGTGCTTTCCTACATGAGCAGGTAGAAGCTCCTTTGGAAGATGGGATGCTCCAGTTTTCCGCTGGGTCGGACTCTCCACGGGGTCGGGTTCTAAATTATTGCGAACACATGTGGGACATCTCCAAGGATCTAGTCGGCGAAAAGTTAGCAACCATACCTTTTCCACCAGAGAGGAGACCATTGATTGACCTTCGGAGTCATTGAAAGCTTCTTGTTCGCGGGCGCATTGCCGATGTGCTATCGGGATGCCGAGTCAGTAATTGTCAGGAAACGGAGGGGGTCTGAGGCTTTAAGCTTTAAGCTCCGCCCCGCAAAAACAATGATAAACATACAATGATCACCACAAACATTGCAGGTCAGCCATTCTTCGAAATCTTCGCTGGGATCGTGTTCCTCATCTTGGCTGCAAAACCTATTAATTTGTTAGCATGACCAGGCCCTGCTGGATTTATTATGATAGCTCTTAGAAAGAAATTCCACTCACATGCAGTTTGACCGGCTGCGGATATCCGCATCTGCGTCCTCGTGTCCATTGCTCTCGGCCTCCCAGTCCTCTTCTGCTTCAGACTCGGATTCACTGCTTGAAGATTCCCTTCGATCATTATCCTCCTCGAACGCAGGATCAACATCTCCATCAGCCGTCGCTGTTTCATCTTCTTCAGAGGAGGAGGAGGTATCGTCGCCAGGAACCTTCACTGCTCCGACAGGCTCCGTCTCATCATTGTCGCCACTGTTCTGTCTAGCCAGAATGCCACGGCGGGTGGTCACATCATGGCCATTTTCCTCCGCAACTTCTCCGGTGTAGGCTCGATGAACAGCATCCTGAAGTTGCTGGTCCATCTGATATAAGTCGGCTTCCTCCTCTCCCTCTGCATCTAGGTCACTGTCCACCTCGTCGGGGGGCGGGGCTTGCTTGCCCGGATTTTGGTTGACCGGCGGCGCTGTTGCCGCCATGGTGAAAGTCGCAACAGCCGCCAGGTCGACCGCAGTCTGATCACAAGAGAAATGCGCGCAAGTGTCTCAAGAAAGCCTCGATTCAACTTTGGCGCTGGATCGATTCAAGCTACAGAGCCACCCCGCTCACGTCGGTGGTGGTCCGGAGGCGCATCTGGAGCCCGGGGAGACAGTTGAAGGTAGTAGTGACCGAATCTAAAGCTTGACGCATAAAATCGGCGCTTTTCTGGGACGAGAAGGTCTTCAGGCGCAAAGAAGCTGTTGAAGAGAGACGGTGTTAACTGGCCGTAGCAGGTCGCATACACGTGTCGTCGGGAGAAGGGGACTCACGCCCAGGGATAAAACAATCGGCTAGTTGGAGTAGACAGATACAAGACGCGTCGACGGACAATCCAAGCGCTGGAGGCGGTCCCTCTTAACGATCGATTGCGATCCGACTGCCCCCTTGGCCCTGGGGGAGTGTCGTTGCAGGCGGCTGAGTCAGTCGCACTAAACCGCATCGGGCCGCGCAGACCTCGCTCTGGAAACCGGCCGACCCTCCAACTCCCCTCCACCTCTTGTCTTTCTCCGCGATTTGATCCTTACTGTGTCGTGACGAGTTTGGATCTCGGTACTTGATCTTCGAAATTGCCTTTCTCTGGTCCCTTCTTTCTACCTCTCGCGACTGTTCACTATGGGCGTCCCCTTCGAGGCTCTGCTCCCTTACGGGATTATTATGGGTGTACGTTCATTCGCCAATTCCTTCCAGAGCTATGGCTGACACCCACCACAGATGTTTGGCGTCACCGGCGGTGGCCTGTACCTTGTCAAGCGTTTTGCCAATGAGGGCAAGAAGCCCCGCTGGAACCGTGACCTTTGGGACCGAGTAAGTCACTTCCCTTCCAAACCGCAATCGGCTATGATCGGGAACTCGGTGCAGAATGTGTCGGCTAACTTTCTCACAGCAAAGTATGTTACAGGCATTTCACCCCAGACGAGACGGACCTACATGAGCCCCATTGGCCAGATACTAACCTGACACCTTCAACCCTCAGTGATGGAGCGCGACCTGCGGATCACCGGTACTATGCGTGGACAATCCAGCAACCACCAGGCACCCCCCGGATTCGATGTCAGCAACCCGTGGAAGGTACGTTAACGATGCGACTGCATGAAAGAAAAACTACAGTGGAAGAAGCCAAATACTGACTCAAGCTCCAGATCGAGAAGCGGATTTTCTAGTTCAAAAATTGCAACGTCTCTTTATCTATCATGTCTGCGTCTCCCGTTTGTTCCTCGATCATTATACATACCTTCCTCCGCAATTTCTAGAAATGTCGATGTACTATACCATTGAGCACCTCTTCTCTTCCGGTAGTTCCCGCCCGCCGCTCCTACTTGAGCTCGGAGGATAAGCCCTGAATACCCTGGATTTCACTCTCACGGAAATGCATGTCGAAGTACTTTGCCAGTGCCGTCACCCGGTCTTCTTCATTGTGCAGCACTTTCAAAATTTCTGTTATGCCGTGGACTCGTCGTTTGACTTCTTTTCCAGATATGATGTCTTGCCCGATAATCTCTTGCCCGCTCGGGTCTAAGGTCATCCGCGTGCAGACAAAGATTTGAGTAAACCAGCTAGTGCGCTTCTGGCTGACTGTAAAGTTCATCACATCAAAGTCCTGCGGTAGAAACTCGGTCTCGGAGAAGCAGATGTGAGGCAGCCACTTGCTCTCCGGGTTGTATCTGGTCTGGTAAATCCAGATCTTCTGCGACTGATCAACGAACTCGGGAATACTCTCCTTCACCAGGCGCATCTCAGACGGGGCGATGCATGCAGCAGTTGCACCGTCCCGGAGAGGCAACGGCGCGGTAGCGTTCTGGTTGCCGAATCCAACATCGACCTAATCGGAGGGGTTAGAACGAGAGCGATGTAGACAGCTTAAAGAAGCCCACTGACCATATATTTCTCTCCATTGAGAATCACCATCAGGACCATGTGCCCTCTGTATAGATATACATCATTAGCTCCCCATATTTGAACCATTTAGGCACGGAACCCTCGGCGTACAAAGGTAAATATTGCCCGTTATCCACCCCGGTGGCGGTGGCAAAGCTCACCCTCCCTCCCGTGGCATACACGAAGTACCCCAGGGACCGGAGAATGATGGAAAATATTCCGTTCATCTCCATACAATACCCATCCAAGCGACGTTCCACAATCTTCTCGAACAGCTGATCAGGGTTCAAAGTAATGGTGTGGTGCTGAGAATAATGAAGGCCGGAATTCCCCCAGGGGATAGAAGCGAGATGGCGCCTCTGGAGATTTCCCAATGTGCCCAGGGCATCTGCCTCGATTCGTTGGCGGACATCTTGTATAAGACTCTCGCTATTCTTGGCAGAAGGGACATATCGAATACGTTTCAGGTAGGCCTCGACCTGAGAGTCGGTATATGTTGGTGGGAGGGGTACCATATTGCGTTTGCACTGCTATTTTCCTGTGGATGGGTCGTGGAAGGTGTATATCGTTTCAGCGGTATCTGATGTGAGTACCTCAACGAGTCTTAGAACAGATATGTATAATTCGAATCTCAGACCTGGTCACTCTGCCTCTTGAGGTGCGGTAATGGTACAGACTTGCAACTCCTCGATGACCAATAACTAGCGATCCCCACATCATCCGCCACCGATCCTTCCGACTGTTCCCCGCGGGGGTTCAGTGGAAGGGTGGCATCCGCAACAGCAAAGAGACATGATTATTGATTTATTTTTAATAGGCCAACGTACAGGAGATATAGATCCTTGATTGGCAGTAAATACTCATTGGAATTGAGAAAAGGCTCGCTATTGATCTCACAAAGGTTTGCAAAATATATATGTGTGTGTTTATCCAATTCGGTGGGGCAGTGTACATTCTCTCCGTCATAGCAACGTAGATTCGAACTCTATGATTCAAACGATTCAAAAACTTCAAACGCAACCATTAAGTGTTATAAGATCGAATAATTTGAATGAGGCTGGTACCATCATTCAATGTCTTCTCTGCCTCCTCCAACTTGTATCCTCCCCAACGCGGAAGAAGTACGGTCCAGACATACCAGTATAACACGGCGAAGAGAATGCTTATATCACTGATTAGCTCCGTTACAATATAATGGAGATGAAAACTTACACCATGATCCCGACAATGGCATATGTGGCGTAGAAGAAGTCCACATCCCCCTGCCAATTGGGAGGTGGCACGAAAGGCGCCGCTAACAAGGCCAGACAAACTACAATACGCAGCCAGACAGCAGGAAGCCAAGCTCTGAACGGTCGGACTCGACTAGGCTCTCTGTAGCGCAATATCAATAGCCCAACGCTGATTGCGAGTGCGAATATCTGGCCTGGATACCCTTCCACGTCTAGAATGAAATTGTAGACATCCTGCTGTGGAGGCAGGGCAATCACCAAAAGGGACGGGACATAATGCACCAAAAGTCCGCCAAGAGGTGTCCCAAATGGCCGCGAAGACGATAGGAGATCCTGCCATGGCAAGAAGCCCTGTCGGGCGATTTCTTGATTGACTCGTGCCTGGACGGTCTTCAGTATGCGTGTGATAGTCTGAGCAAAAAGGATGGCATACCAGTGCAAAAGTGACCACCATAACGTTACCAGCAGCCGAGATAGCAATCGCAAGTGGAAGCAGTGTCCTCCCAACATGGTTCCCAAATAACCGCTCGAATAGTAGTGCAGCCACCAACTCCCCACTGTTTTTGATATCGTCTAGCGGGACGACAAGTAAGTAAGAAACATTGGCAAGGAAATACAGACCACCGGCCGTCAATAGAGCAGATGGACAGACGGTTTTCAACGTCCGAACCGGGTTATGCACTTCATTGAGCACATTGTTGATATTACTTAGCCCAGCATATGAATACATGACTTTAAAAAGAGAAGTTGAAAGCAAGCTCCAACTCCAATTTGATCCTTCCCATAACTTATTCCAAGAGATATGACTGGTAGCCTTTGTTACTGGGATTATCTGATGTGAGTTGCCAAAGACCTGGAGAAGCAGAACCCAAACACCTGTCAGGGACATGGCACCGATCAAGAAGATCTTGACCCAGCCCAACGCATTCTGGATCAGAATACCAGTCTTCATAAAGCAGCCATGAATTATGGTGATCACGGTTAAAAGCCCGACGGCAAGTGTCTTATGTTGGAGATCGGTCGGTTCGACGCTGAATGCGAATAAAGTGTACTTGGCAAAAATAATGCAATTGCTGGCCGTGAAACCAAGAACCACGGCCTGTACCGCGATCAGCGTGGACGCCAGGAATCTTGGTCGGGGATAGGTATACTCCAGGTACACCTGCAGCAAGATGATCTTAGTGGGTGCCTCTATCAGCAGCGAAGCGAACCGGAAAGATCTACCTTATCTCCTCCCGACCGAGGAAGCATGCATCCGAATTCCATCGAGACGGCGAGCCCACACGCCGCTAGGATGGTGCCCATGACCCATACTAGAAAGGTTAATCCGATGCTGCCGGCGGACTTCACGATGGATCCTGGTGTTGCGAAGATGCCGCTACCAATAACCCGTGACACCACGAGAATGTATGCGCTGCTCCAGCTGAGGCTTTTCCCATTTCCCACTCCAGGGAGTGTGTCGGGATACACCCGCGAAGAGACCGATCGAGCATCACTGAGCGGTACAACTGGCCTGCCATTTTGATGACCAGAATCCAATAAGGGCTGTGTTTCATTATGTTCCATCGTCCTGGTCCCTGAGCTTGTTGCGTCGTAGCCCGCAAATGTACCTAGTAAGTCATTTGTTTCGGGGAGAAGATCCCATGAAGGTAAATCCATGGTCCGAGAGGAGCAGAGCCGAAGCAGGAGGGATATCTGCTTTAAAGACCCGAATCGCCGTGATGGATCATGCTTGGAAATCACAAGGCATTTGGCCAGGCACGTCATTTGGGCTGAATGTTAGGTGTTCCATCCTTGCGTGACAGCTGACGGGACGGCGAACCAACGCATCCGCATGGCGAGACGCATTTCAGAAGTACTCCCATCCGGAACGAAGCAAAATAGCATGATTGATTTTCCAGTCGCGAGTATTGGCTGGGCGCGGTGCAGTTGTTGTCTCGTTAAAGCGGTGTGACGCTTCTTCATCCAACAGAGGGGCTGATCTATAGCTTATCTCACGGAAACAAGCCGATCGGCAATCAAATCCCCATGGACAAATGTCCACGTTTAATTTATTTTTGTGCTATCTACAAGAAGCTAAGGCGTACACTGATTGCTTTTGAGTTCTACCTTTCATACGTCTTGGAAGGCAAGGAAAACGGCACACGACATCCACATGTATCGGGGTGACGGTTGTGTATCGCGATTTCAGATTGTTAATATCCGCAATAACGAAATGGAACAGGCTCTTATGTCATATTCTATCATCTAGTTATATAGAGCCAAAGATAAAGCACCAAAGGTTTTCTCGCAACCGAGAGCCAGTCCTCCAAGTAAACTTGAAAAGGAACCCCATAGGGCATTTGACTTGGATGATAGCATAGCCAAAAAATTCAAAAGGGGGAAAATTCGGCATCTTTGGTTATGCGTCGTTGATCACAGACTAGGCTAAAGGAGCTAATTGCCTTAAAAGTAGCTCACTGTGGACGAGAGACCATTGTTTGGATGGCAAAAAAAAACCTGCAGATGACGTGCCTTGGTTGCATACCTGCTTAGACTGTATAGTTGGAAAATCATTATGGGTGTCTTTCTGGAATGGCAGTTGCAAAGAGGGAGGTGAAGAAGAGAGATACGGCAGTTTCGAACATGAATGTTCAGAAAATGGACCTATCACAGCTGGTGTGACAGTCATTGCTGCTCCGGATCCATTGAGGTCTCGATTCGACGAATGACTCGGGCGGGATTGCCGGCAACAAAGTGAAATGCCGGAACGTCCTGATTGGTGTCAGTTCAAGCCCAGGAATGAGCGCCAGTTATGTCGGGGTCGCGAACCTTTGTCACGACTGAGCCTGCTCCAACCGTGCTGCCTTTCCCAATGCGTACCCCAGCAAGGATGGTCGCACTCCCGCCAATCCATACATCGTCCTCGATGTGGATCTCCTTACCAGCCTCCGGTCCTTTCAACCCTTGCCTGACAGCCGGATCCATCGGATGCGTGGCTCCGTATAGACAGACATTAGGCCCAAAGAGTACCCGCTCGCCAATTGTGATGAGACAAGTATCCAGAACAAGAAGATTGAAGTTCAGAAAAGTGCCCTTGCCGACCTTGAAATTGAGTCCATGGTCGATCGAAATGGGCCCATCCACGAACGGGTCCGTTTCTTCGAAAAGATCTTCATCTTGCTTCGGATCTGGGTTGACTGGCGGCAAAGGACGTGTGTCACCAACAATGCTGTTATCCGCATAGTCAGTAAAGTCTTCCCATTCGGCCTGCACTTTCTCTCCTGGCTATCCTGCGATGACTTAGGCCATTTTCTGATGCTTACTTTCTCCATAATGCCACCTTGCAACGTCGAGAAGTCGATCCCGCAGCATTGAATGCCTCGCAAGCCTGCTTGCATCGTGTTCTGTTCGCCTGTAGATCTTCGTCCCAAGCCCAGTACAACTCGCCCCGGAGCATTTTCTGCCACTCCTTGGAATGCGCCATTATTCACAATGATTTGGGGCACGAGGGTTGGCGTTGAAGGTCCCGGTCCCAATAATGAAAAGAAGTTTATAAAGACAAGGTTAATACAATGTCAATTCTTTGAAGACAACAGGTTATTGACCGAGCCTTTTATTGCTCGAAACAAAGAATCTCGGTGGGGTTCGGGACGGCGGCCTCATTGACCCAATATGGTAGTTGAGCCAGCCGCACCAAAGACCTGACGCCACGATCCACAAGATATGTCATTGATGGGACCTTCTTTTTGCGAGTCTGTGGGCAGGGGTCTTGGCATCATTTCAGAGTGGTTTGAGGTCTCATGCCGTGTTATATATACTTTTTTGAATTTCATTAGGTAGTGGGCGTTCGGTCTGGTGCCAAGATGCGTCGAGACTATGATGACGATCCCTCGAAGAGAGCATGCAGATGACTGTATAATAAGTTATTTATATAAGAATACGTCTACAATGATTGCGTTTGATTTTTTGAAGGTGGCACATTTCATTAGAATACAAATCTTGCAAGCCGATCGTGGCTTAACGCCTATATATCATCCATACAATCTGTCAGACTCGTCGTCATCAAGGGGAAGGATACCACGAGCCGGCCACCCAGGCCGTCGGTACTTCCTTAAATCGTATCCCCCGAGCTCCGTAATATCTAGATTATCAGTGTCCAGCTGGATTTTGGCCTGATGGCATAAATTCCCAGAAATGCGACAGTACCAGAAGCCTCTGAGCCGAGGGCACTCCAAGTCAACCAAGAGACTGGGATGCTCCTGTCCATCCTGTCTGTCCCCCCAATAAAAATCTGGTTTCACAAGTAGAACATCCAGATCTACGGCTGCTTCTCGATCAATGCAAAAGAAACATACGGGGGGCGCACCGTCGTGGCGATAGATAGTCCACAGGATGTTCCAGATATCGTCCAGTGTTCCGTCCTCCTCGGATTCCCACGGAATGCGACAAATTTCGAAATCTTCATTGAACTGCCCGAAGTCGTCGGTGCGAAGTTCCATTTGAATCGCCTCATCTTCTTGTGTGGTCAAATGCTTAGTGAGATAGAAGGCTGGGAGCCACTCATATTCGTCTCCATGGGGTTCACAAGCCTCCCAGGGGGAGGATCGTGATAGAATGGCATGTCTGGATGGTGCAGAAATTCTATCTCCCTAATGTCGGGCGAAATCCCCCGCGCAAGATAATAGGCGATTGTAGGTGTCTTCCACGGGTTGAAATCAATCATCTTGTTGAATGTCATCCGGGCCGTAAATAGCGGCTCGTTTGACCGACAGTATCCAAATTCTCCAGAATCAATATCGTCTCCTTCCCTGAGTGGGCTGAGAAGAAAATAGATGGGCATGCTTCGTGTTCTCTTGGAATCATCGAGGTGCCTTAGATGATATTGCCTGAAGAAGTTCACGATATGTCGACGAGACTTGATCTGGTGTCGATCGAGGGGAATCAATTCTACCGTCGTATCCTTAGGCCGCTCCTGCCATTCCTCGTTGAGGTGGGGACAGTTGCAGATGGGAGCATCGCACTTCAATATCGTATCTTTGGAAGGAATTTTGAAGCGTTTCGTCACGGCATTCTGGATAATAGCATGTGTTCTCTCAATTTCCTCTGGTGTCGCGTGAAAGAAAAGAAAAATGTGAATATGCTGCAAGCTTTGTGGACGTTGCCAAATTGGCATCTCGGGAACCGCATCTTTGTGATGTTCTACACGAGAAAAGATGTCCATTATCAGCTCCGCCGGGAGTAATTTGGCGGACAGAGCTGTCAGCACGGAATCCGTATACTCTTTCCGACCCCATGAATTGGCAGTGTCAGGAGTCAAAATTTGGTGATCCGGATCGTGAAGAACCATGCCAAACGTGTCCCAGAAAAAACCGTCGCGTGAATCCTCTTCCTTGTCAACTTGAGTAAACCAATCGCTGGATAGATTGCCGAGTTGCTTTTCGTCCCCGAGTTCCGTGTTCGTGCGCCGAGCGGATACTCGAAGCCGGGGTGGGTCACCAGGGCGGCCTGCACCCGAGGGAAGCGTTGCTTCTGTGGCGATCATGACCACCGAGATAGCATGATCTTCGCCTAATCGACATTTACCTGTCACTTGGCGCTTGGTAAGCTCATCTGCGACGATGAACCCGGTCCAATCGGCTTGATACAGCAGAACCGCAATTGCATATAGATTGCTCTGGCTGTCCACACGCGGGCCTTGCGTTGCAAAGGATTGAAGCAAAGCTCGAGCCGGAGTCCAAGTCAGGATCTCAGCGGGTTCCTCCAAGGCCGTTTGGTAGTGGTTGATTAGTTTCTGTTGGGCGGAATGGTCCAACTCTGTGAGGTTGACAATCAACAATTGTTTGTTTCCCTCTGCATCCCTTTTGAAAGTTGGAGGCTGATTGGATGGTTTCGCGAAATGATCGGACGATGACATTTTGGCAGGTGTGGATCTCCAATGCTGACACCAATTGTGCCTCCTGTCCATTCATGTATGTTTACCCCCTGTTCGCTCAGGAATTGGCTGGGCTGAAGAGAAAATCAAGGAGGCGCGAGAGTTCCGGCTTAACACGTTCGTGTTCGCTAAGGGTTCGGAGGGCACGAAGTGGAGCACTCCAGTCTATCAGTGGTTAGTGTATGTGGATCGGTAAGAGCCTCCGAGAATCACGATAAGGAACCCTGCGTTGACCGCTGACGAGTAGAACATTTGATGCTATATAATTAGTCAAAAGGATGGGTACTGAATAATAATTCAAGTTCCAAAAGAAATTGATGCTCCAAGACACGATGCGATGTGTTTAATGCTCATCATAAATTCCCATTCGTTATGTACATATATTCCCAATTTCCCAAGCATATCCAGAACCCAGCATATCGTAGACGCTCAAGCAATAAATGAAAACAATCCTATAGGTGCACGAAGCCCATCAAATCAAGTACAGTGACCGTGGGGCATTGGAAATCAAAAACAGAAGAGATAAAAAGAAAGGTAACACAAGAGAACAATCGGACCAAGATTACGAATATCTGGTCTCGTCACCCTCGCTGTCACTCAAGCTATCACGGCGGCGACGGCCTTTTCCATCCCGGCGGTAGCCTTTGGTCAAGCCTGGAATGGGGTGGTGGTAGCTCTTCGTACCCGAATCTTCGGTGTCGACATTCGAATACTGGTACTCGGATCGGCTTCCGGCAGACGAGAAATCGAGCGGTTCGGTGTAGCCGCCAGGGACCGAGCGACGATCCTTTTTGCGGGGGCTGCTGGTTCGAGAAGAAGGCGCAGAAGGAGGTGCAGCACTGCGATGACGTTCACGATTGGGCCGACGAGAATGGCGACGAGTAGAAGGATCGCGCAAATGATGCTCTTCGGTGGCCTGGCTGAGGACGTCTTCGCTGCCAGCAGTGAAGGAGAAGCCGGAGGGATTGCGTTTGCGAGAGCGACGGGGTTTTTCGTAGGCGTAGTCACGGACTTCGCTCATTTCACTTTGCTGATAGTGAGTGGGCGCGGCCGAGGAATCATAGTCGCTGCCGTGATACGTGCCATCCGCCTCGCGGTTCATGCCACCAATGCGAGCAGGTTTCTCTTCCCGGTAGGCGCGCACGTCCGCATCAGCTTCACCCTCCCAGTGCTCGTCCTTGTTGCGACGGAGCAGCTTTTCGCGGAAATTGCGCTTTTTCTTTCTCGGTTTCTCATCAGAGATGGTGGTTGCGGTCTCCGTGTAGGTACCAGTCTCATCCGTATATGTGTAGCCATCATCACTGTAACCTTTACCGACGATACTCCCGCCGCCTAGCTTCGTACTCTTAGTAGCATTAGTGAGCGTCCGGCCATCTGGGCCTTTTCGACGCAGAACAGTCGACTTGTAGTCCTCCCAATCTCCTTTACGCCAGACAAAGCCGCCGTTCTTGGCCCAGAAGAAGAACCAAATACAGGCGAGCACAAATGCAAGCCCGATAATGGCAAAGAGGGCCATGAGGCCCTGCATTTTGATGCTATTCGGGCTGACAGTCCCTTTGCCATAGGTGACCTTTGTCGATGTTGTAGTGGAGTCAGATCGAGGGGTCAGGATGTTCAACGTGGCAGTGGATAAAGCGTCAAGAGGAATGTCTTGAGTGGGATCCCGAGCTTCCAGTGACAAGAGAGCCGCGGGGAATTCCCCGACCGGTAGCACTGGAGCCATCGTGCACGATTCGAGTGGTCAAGAGCGCGTGGCTCAGGACGGGACTCTGGAAGAATGTTAGCAAACGCAACGCATTCTTAGGAAAGAATGGAAGCCTACCTCGAATCAAATGATCTGCGCCAGATCTAGATGAGTGAATTCCGATATGGAGAGCTTATGAATGGAAAAATTGAGCAGAAGCACGACGTAATGTACCTGGGCAGGTGTCAGTCGAATCTGAAGAGATGGAGATGGGAAGATACCAAGCCAGCGATAATGAGCGCTCGAGGTGTATCTAGAAATGGGGAGGTTGGAGGAGGCTGGGGGGCGTGTTTACTGTCCGGGTTGCCCCACCAACGAGGGCCGCTGCGCCCCACGAAGTTGGAGCCTCAGGCCACAAATCGAGTTCGCATCATGTGACCTGGCCTTGGTCGGACAAGAAGGATGCTAATAGTAGGAGTTGTTGCTCGTAAGATATTTGTATCCTTCTGTGGAAGACAGCTCCATCGTAGAATATATTTAAATTTAAAGAAGCTTGCTAGGAGGCAGGTTCATGGCCTGTCGTTGTAGAGGCTACAGCTATGGCCGTGGAATATATGACCTTGTCGACGTGTACTTAAGAAAGCTGTTATACCTCGAGGCTAGAGCTTTGAAAAGTCAGAAAGGCGTGTTTGCAGAAGAAATAGAAGCTTTTTGACGCTAGTTTGAAATGGATAGGCAATGCTCATCAGCAGAAAAACCGATATGTCAAATGTGCTTCCTCGGCCTTATAGATCGAATCATCACTGCCGCCGCAAATGGTACGTAGCTCGATTTTCTTTAGTCCACGGACCCAGCATTCATTGATTCCGTCTTAACCCTAGCACTCGGAGACATTATTTTCGAAGCCAAGCCTGCATCTCACTTTCATTGGCCCAAACCTATCACTTGGCGGTGTTTGTCGTGGGCCCGGGTAGATTACCAAGCACGCATACGAACAGGCCAGCGACAGCGAGCCTTGTTGAAGAAGGATATATAAGAACAAGTGTTGCAGCTGAAAAAATCTAGTAAATTTATATCTAGAGGTGAGCCGTCCAAAATGTCTTCCACCTACAAAGTTCTGGTCATTGGCGCTGGCGAACTCGGTATTCAAGTGCTTCGATGCTTGGTCTATCATCCGCGCTCGGCGGAGGTGGCGGTTTTACTACGCCCAGCCAGTCTCACTTCAACCAATCCTTCCCAGAAGAAAAAGGCCGACACTCTGAGGCAATGGGGGATCCAATTTGTCGCTGGCGATATCGTCGCAGACTCGGAACAAACCCTGACCGCCGTTTTTGCTGGCTATGATCTCGTCATCGGGTGTACTGGATTCGTCTCAGGCAAAGGAACCCAACTTAAACAGACTCGAGCGGTACTGGCGGCTGGCATTCCACGATACATCCCATGGCAGTTTGGCGTGGACTACGATGCCATCGGGCGTGGCTCGCCCCAGGATGTCTTCGATGAACAGCTGGATGTCCGTGAATTGCTTCGATCCCAATCAAAAACGCGCTGGGCAATCGTTTCAACAGGCATGTTCACCAGCTTCCTATTTGAGCCGTCTTTTGGTGTAGTAGATCTGAAGGAGGCAACCGTTTGCGCCCTCGGAAGCCTAGAAAATCGAGTCACAGTCACTACACCGGAGGACATTGGGAGATTCACTGCCGAAATTGTCCTAGGCCACGATAGCGAAGCGCTGTTTGCTGGCCAGCCCATTTTCGTCGGCGGAGACACCCTCAATTATGAAGAGGTGGCACAAATTGTGGAAAAAGTTACTCAAATGCCAATTCGGCGAACAGTCTTTTCAACTACCGATGCAATTGCTGCTCTAGCGGAAGACCCTGATAATTCACAACTCAAGTATCAAGCGGTATTCGGTCAAGGTCGTGGTGTAGCTTGGGAGCTGTCGGCGACATGGAACTGGCAACGTGCATTACGTGCAACAACTGCCGAGCAATGGGCACTAGAGAACTTGACAGAGGCCAGTTCACTCAGTATAGCCTAAGCATAGGTTTTTCTGGCATATTGAGTTTTTCCTAAACTTCATGAAGTTGGGAATATCAGTCAGAAAAATGAGCTTGGAAATAACGCTGATTCGCAGCTTAGAGCGCTGCTGACCAGTCTCATCCAGAGCACCGAGATAGCGAGTTTTACATTGACGCATCCTACGCAAGAGTAAATGTCAGGAGAGCAGAACGGAAATGCTAATACCAATACCACACCTAAAGTCCTTCCAAGTTTTTGCTTCCGCTTCCCCGCTCTCTACGATACTGATGCCATATGTCAGTGTTGCAATACCCCACCGATCTGCTTTCATCCATAACTCTAATGTCTTATAATAGAGATCATAATGTGCCACTCAACAATGGAATTGTGCGAAAAGCCAATGGAACCGGGTACATTTTCCTACAACTCATCCGCTGTGAGCGGAGAATCTGCCAGGATCAGGGAATTGGGAGCGAGATCTGCACCCTGCCTCGGTTCCAAAACGGTTAAAGTGGGCTTGACAATGCCATGGTATCATTGACTCAAGAACATCAAACTTTCTTAAACTTTCTTCAGAACCATGACTCCGGTCGGACTTCCAAGCTCTATGGTCTCCTTATTTAGAAGCTTTCCAATGCTCTGAATAGTTACAGTAGTTTGAGTATTAAGCAGCTATTTTTCAAAAATCATCTCTCGTATGGGTCCTCTCGAGCCATCCTCGAGTGGCTCAATGCAAAGTCTCCGCCGATTCTTTGCTAGAGTAGGTGATAGCACGGACCACGTTCTGGGCCCAATGGTTTGGGGTTTGGCCCCCTATGAGTATTTCATCCCCTCTTTGGCCCCCAGATTCGTTAGCTTGAATATGAAAAGGGGGCCGTGTTCATAGGGCATATTGGCTTAAGGTGTCAGGATGGATAATAAAATAATAAGATCTGCTTCTGCAGAATCCTGCAAATGCCAATCCTTTGGCTCTGTCCTGCATGATGTCCGATTCTTCAGATGGCGGCTATATCGCCGACCGGGGTACTCAATTGATGATAGAAATATGGGTCTTAACATCTTTGGCAGTCATCACGGTCATTTTGAGATTCTCTAGTCGTGGAATGAGAGGGAAATTTGGCTGGGATGATTTTCTCATCTTCTTCTCTTTGGTAGAGTCCCTCATTCACACTCCTTGTGGAAATCACGGGAAGCCCACCTACTGATAGACGTACATAGCTATGCTTCCTGGGATGCTCCATCTGTCTTACCTTTCTCTGTGTGAATCATGGTGAGCGACACCTTGATGATCTACAACGAGTAGATGGCACGCGCGGTGTGGACAAGATCAAGTTGTATGCGTGGATTGGCTCGGCCTTCGGAACTATAGGCCTTGTAGCGGGAAAGGTTTCCATCGCAACTCTTCTACTTTCAATACTCGGCCATACAAACTGGCTTCTTTACAAGGCCTTTCTTTGGGTATTTTGCATTGGCCTGGCTGTCCCTGTCAGTACCGCATATGCTATCTTCGGGCTTGTTCAATGTTCGCCGCCTGCTGCGCTATGGGATAGTAGCGTTAAAGGAACGTGCGTCCAACAGAAAGTGGTTGCAGACTACGGAGCTTTCACGGGTTGTAGGTCACCTCGGGCCTAATCGAAATATGAGTTAGCAATGCTAACTCAAGAGACAGCTTACTGTACATTCGTCGATATTTGTCTCGCCCTCCTTCCTGCAACAATCTTTTTTCAACTACAGATAACCGTAGTTGAAAAATGGCAACTGAGCATGGTCTTTGCCTTGAATATTCTGTTAGTACATAGTCGCCATTCTTCCTTCGATATGAGGTTGTTCCTAATACAAAGACGAAGCACCTCAATTTGCTCGGCCATGAAAACATACTATCTTACAAACGAAGCTCACCAAACGGACTTCACCTGGGCCTCATACAATGTCTATATCTGGCACACGGCTGAACTATTTGCAATCATATTCTGCGGCACAATACCGACTCTAAAACCCATTCTCGACATGTTTCGCTGCCCTCAACTATTTGGATCATGGCGATCGAGATCATCATCTAAAACCAGCTCAAAATCCCAATCTGAAAACAGTGGTGGTATGCGGATACATTCGATACCTGCCTACGGCAGAGAGAACTTCCGGTGGCGTGAAGCCGATCGTGAAACCGATCGAGATTCGGCACGCGTATTAATGGGAAAGAGGTCTGATGATTCATTAATTGACGACCATTTATGAGTCTCGAGGAAATCGACCATAGAAGTACAATTATGAGTAGCCTCGTATAAGCAAGTATATGAATAAATGCGCATTTAAGCCTCATATAATTCTTTAGACGGCACTTTTAAGTAGAGGATCGGTGGCATTCTTCTGAGTGTCCTTTGTAGATAGATCCTTAGCCCTTCTTCTCTCGGGACTATTATGTAGAATATTATTTGACCTAAAACTTATATAGCCGGGCCCAAGACTGAACTCCGCAAGTATGAAAGTGCATGTCCAGAGAATCTGGATAGCTCCTATACACTTTAGAGGCTGTGCCTTTTACAGTCCACTTAAGACCTTCAGGGCCTATTTTTCTACAGCTGATTTTATCTTCTAGTCCACGTAAGATGTCATTTAGAGTTGGGAGTTGGGGCTTAGAAAAACATTTTATTCGAAATAACCATGGCACAAAAGATAGATCGCATGGTGCCCCTGGAATTAAGCAACAGAAACAGGGTATATGGGCAACTCACATTGGTACTCACCCTGCCCTCCGCAAAAAGCCCGCGCGTTCAACTTAATAGTACGAAAAAAGGACTGATCATTCTGAGAAAGTCACCTCAACTAAGGAAAAGGTCGATGTTTTAGGCTAATCACTACCATTGAGCACGTTGCTCACCGAGTTGGTTAGAAAGCTGCGCCGGAGTCTCACTCAAACCCTCATTTAAGTTGTTCAGAGCAGTCTCAAAGTCCAAATCTTCCAAGGTCCAATCGACGCCAACACCTAGATTTGAGGTAAATGATCTCAGATTGGCTTGATCAAAAATTACCTCCGGGGTAGGAGCCAGGATTTGCGGACCATTTGGGGGAAATTGTAACTCATATGCTGTCCTGGTTAGCACATCCAGGCTTCCCGGCTCCTCTAGGACGGGGGGTAGAAAGGTTGGGGTATTTATGGCAAGATTCGTCTTGAAAGCTGCAGAGGTTAATACACCTAAATTTTTCGATGGCTCATTACTTGACACCGTGGTTTGGTGGTGCTCAGTGGGAGGCGCGACAAGCTCGGGATTCCAGGTGGTAGGAACTAGCTGTGTGAGACTGGCATCGTGATCTGCAAATTCGGCTTGCATAGGGCTCACATCCTGCGTAGGGCCGGTCGGCCAGACCTGATTCAAGCCAAAGGTTGGGCTGCACAAGCTTTGCTCCGAATAATTTGCGCTCCATAATGGAGATACTGTGGCCCCATTAGCACGATGGGACAAAAAGTGAGCATAACAAGTGCTGTCAAGACTTGGGACTCTCAAACTGGGTTGACTGGCACTGAGGTCATCACCGGTGAGGTTGGCACTTCGAATAATGATAGTAAAGCTGGGCCGCACCAACATTTCGTTTGGCTGAGTAGAGTGGCAGCGAATATGAGGATAATGTGTACTAATAGCCCTCTCAAATGTCGATTTGATGTTAAATCCCGTGATCCTGGTCTCCCCGATCTGAGGTGCCATCATCTCATCGAGGATTACGGTATCTAGTGGTCTGGGGTTCAGCCAAAGTCGGTCCCCTTCGTTAAGATAACCTTCACTCATCATGTTCACTCGGAAATTGTCAAACTGAGCCATGGTAATGCTAGCTGCATTGATCCAATCTCCTTCAGGGCTTCGATCCATGGGATTGCTAGGATTTGGCAGAAAGTCACTACATCGGAATACCAGGGGTTGTGTAGGATTCTCCGCCCGAATGACTTGAATATCACAATCCGGGATCACAGATGGACGAGAGTAAATGAATGGACTTACCTGCGCCCCCCACTGCTGCTCATGTTGAGGTATGACCAATTGCGCGGAGTGTTGCTGATAGGACTGCCCTAGCAAATTTTCTTGTGGAAGATACTGCCCAGAAGCCTCATCCTGAGGAATATTCTCCTGCTGAGGCTGCTGAACTTGATACATTGGACATTCACTTGAAAGAGACGGAATGACTTGAGGGGCTTGAGACTGAAATAGTAGCTCTTCGTGCTGTGCTAAACGCGGGACAGATGGCTGTTGAAAAATATCACGCTTTGTCCGAGAAGCATTGGGGATTTTTCGACGATCCGAAGGAAATTTCTGTGACTTTGGTTCGGATACACATCCCACAGAATGACGATGTGATGGTTGAAGACATAGATTCGGTGAGACGCGGTGCTCTTCCTTGGTCAAGTGCCTATCCTGGGACTGTTGTTGGTTAGGCAGCTGAGGATGGAACTGATTCATCTGTGGGAGTAGTTGAGGTTTTGACGAGTGTTGCGGGGCCAGAAATTTTGCATGGTCCTGAGGAACCGTTTGTAGTTGCTCGTGCATATCATCCTCCCATAATTCCGGACACAGTCGCGGAATTGTAACCCTCCGCTGACGCATGCGCTCCTCATACAGCTTGAGCTGAGTCGGAGTAGGCTGCTCCAGGAGATGAGGCTGTGGAAGCTGTAAACCAAGGCGGCGCAGCTCATCGGCTGGAGGATAGCCCATCATCTGCATGACGCGGTCCTTCTCACGGTCATTCCATTCCTTTGTGTGGGATTGCCAGTGACGTCGGAACTTTTCACGGAGCGTGTTTTGGATGAGACGACAGGTCTGCCACATATAGTCGACTCGGATGTCCTCGTCTGGCACAGCGTCAATGACGCATTCCGGAACTGCTGAGGCGCGCTCAACAAGAAGGTTGCGGAGGAACTTGGCGTGACAGCGAGACATCAGCATGCCTTGAACCTCGCCATCGTAACTAAAGCCCGTAGCAGTCTCGAACCAAGCATCCTGAAGGAGTTGACGGAAATATAGCTGCGACGGCTCATCGTAGAGCAGGTCGAGTATTGACCAAGCCTGGAACAGTGTCTTCAACTTCACAGTCTCGGCGGAGAAGATGACTGGCATACTGTCGGATTGGAAAAGACTTGAGTTGGATCAAATACGTTGGGTTCAATATCGCTTGTGGGTGCCAAGTGGTGTTTGAAAATCTCAAGATACTAATCATGAACAAATCAGAGATTCTAGAGAACAGACAGTCGATGGAAGGGTGAGGGGCTTATGTAGTCGAGACTCGGATATGAAGTCGGCGTGGGTTCCTTTTTTCCAACCTACAAGTCGATTTGAACAAAGAGGACAAAGGCTTTGGTTCGACGGAACAAAGTGACAACAAAGTAGAAGACAAGACGGCAAGGCATTATGCAAACCACAAGGGCTGATTGAACTCTAAAATATCCGTTAATTATGGGCGACACTTACCAGCAAGCCGTTTGATGGCTTCTTATCGAGTTAAACCCCAAACCCTCAAGTTTTACTTTACTTCACACAGCCACTGAATGTCAATAGAACCAAGAAGCAAAGAATTATTGGTCTTAAAATTTGACCTGTCAAAATTTAGAGGTGAATTTTAATTTCCAGATGGATATGTCCAGATTCACTTCAGATTTACTCAAAGTGAGTACTGGTAACTAGCTCTATATCATCATCCATCACTCTTCAATCTGCATTGTATCTCCTACAAATGCTTCAACTTAATAGCGCCCCTTTGTTGCAACCGACACAGCAGCAGCTACTGTATGTGCCATTGAAGGATCGTCAGAGACACTGATCGTCGTCATTTATAGACCCTTACTTTATCGGAAACAGGTTCTTTCTCAGGTGGAGTGGGCATCTCTCCTGACAGTGCACCGAAGATGATCTCTGCCTTGACAGACCACGAGGATGAAATGTTAAGAGCGGATTTTATGCCATGTTCGACAGCAAGTATGAAGTGTGAGTGCTGCAGGCTAGCACCAAGACCTTCTAAATCAAGGGGAGTCTCAAAGCTTCATTTGATGCATGGCATTGGAGTGCTCGGCAAAGCCCTCAAACACCGTGACAGGGAACTTGGGAAACCTCCCACGCAGTTTCTCGATGGCTGTTTGGTCTTCGAAGACGGAGATCTATCAAATATTAGTCTCGCATGTGAGAAGTTATAGGCAACAGTGTCGCTACACGTACAGTCCCATAGGCATCTCGAAATGACTGAGAACAATCCTCGTTGCGCTTTGAATTCTCTTCGCTCTAGTTCTTGAGGATAGATAACTTTGCAGCGGCAATCACAGCGTCCCGAAACCTCTTGTGCTCCCTGCCGAGGGCGACGAGGATTCGGGTACTCTGCATATTCCATGATGAAGGGCAGCTTGGGATGACTTCATTCACAATCTCAATAATTCGATCATCAGAGACCGAAACGTCGACAGGAAGGCAATCAAATCAAGCAGAGGACTTGGAAGGAGCTAAACGGCATGAGCTCGGGTCTGGTGAGTGTGATGGCATATGTTACCATATTCAAGGAGCCGAAGCGCCCCTCTGGTCACCCGCCTATTGACTTTAGACACTGGGAGCCCTATACTCTCAGTTCATTGTTCAGGGTCATCAACGCCGCTGTATCGGGAGGTGTTTGCGGCGCGCCAATTGGGGACTTGGTCGTGTGTTACGGTGCTTACGAGGCTAGCTTCTTAGGAAAGATTTGGCTCCAAGAATATGGATTACGAGATACATAAATCAGCACAGATCGCTAAAGGATCGCCCGGGGGGGGGGGGGGGGGTATAATATTGCAGACCATAGGCAGACGCAGCGAAGGGACTGGCTCTCAGAACTGTCAATAGTCACGAAAGATATATAGGGTATGAATGAGACTAAGCCGCCGTGTTACGTTGAAATACAAACGCAAACCTACTGATACGCACATAGGGACTTAAATCAAGCACACGAGTACCGGCCATAGATACCAGAAGAAAAAAAAAAGGAGGCTGCATATAGGTCCAAAGAAAAAGAGGAAGAAAAGACCAGAAGAGATTCCAAAGAAGAAGATGACCTGGTGTTGAGACATGGGCATGACAAGTAAAACTAAAATAAACAGGAAGGGGGATGACACGAGATAAAAATAAGACGGCTGGGTATGTGGGGGGTATAATCTCTCTCCTCTCCAAAGTCAACTCGGAGCCCGGAGTGCATAAACCAAAGGTAACCAAATGCAGGGCCGCTTTTGACATCGACAAGGATAGGACATGATGGGCAACATAGAAGGGGAGACATAAAACATAAAATGGGAAAGGCAGGGGCACATGGACATGAGAAGAAGAAGCTATACATGGAGCGCTGGTAACATCCAATCAAATCCATCATCACGCAAAGCACATCAGAATCGAACTTGTCATCGCAGGTCATCAGAATCGTACAATCATATCACCGTAACGGGAGGTCCTGAACCTGTTGGCGTCGACGACCCCACCACAAGCCCCCCAGTTCCCACATCCAATATCCGGGTTACCATCCCACGTTCCAGATTCCCATCGAGAATTGAATCAAGATCAGACCCAAGGAATGTAGGATGTCCCAGGACGGTTGGAGAGGATCCGAGTTCGTAGTAACGGGGTCGCGTTCCAACATCTCGGCTCCCAAGCAAGAGATAGCAATTGCAAACGCACACAAAAAACCCAGAGAATCCTCCCAGTCCGACAGGGACAGGTCAGGAACCTCTCGCTATCCGACCTTTTGGGTCAGTGCAGCGAAGGTCCGCCAAACCTGAACGCTTTGCTCGAACATGATCATTTTTTCCGGTTCCAACCACAAGACCCGCCAGGCAAAACGCAAACATAAGGCATGAGATATATAAAAAAAAAAAGAGAAAAAGAATCCAAATCCCAACCAACTTTTTGACAAAAATTATCCCGCCCGCTTTTGTTGATGCAGGGCACAAGGCATACAAGACGAAATATAATCCCAGAAAAAGAGGGAAAAAAAACGAGAAACAAATCATCATTCGACCACAGATGGGGAAATGTCAAGGATAGCGTAGTGATCCAGGATCATGCCCGGTATCGAGACTGTCCGTAGTTGGACCGACTGGACCGGCGAATACCACGTTCAGAAAGGCGATCCTCGGGATGACGTGGTACGTCCTCGATTTCCCGACGAGTGGTGCGTCCCGTCTGATCGGAGTACGAGGAGCCGGAGTGGTACTTCTTGGGCTGTCTGCTGCCAGCGATCGAGAAATGCACCCCGCCGGTTTCGCCGGTACGGATGTTGATCGACTTGCCGGCAACAGCCTCTTCAGTGAATCCAATCGTCATTCCATTCAGAGTGAGAGACATGTTCTTGTTCTCGCCATTGCCGCTGCCGCCGCTGCTGTGCGACGGACTCTTCTGGCTGCCGTTGTCGCTCGCTGCACCAGTGGCCATCTTCGGGATTAGCGTCTCTGAGGATGGTGGCATTGGAGGGACGCCGTCCCGGCCCGATTGTTGAGCCTGGTAGCGTTCGACTTCGCGTTCACGGTCTTCCAGACCACGACTGTTATCATGATCTGCGTAGTAATAGTCTTGCGGGTGCCGGAGGGCGCTCTCCACTGTCATGTGAGCTCCCCGGTTGGCGTCACCATATTCCCTGGATCGTCTGGTCTCTCGAACACTCTGGCTACGCTCAGGCATTCTGCCATCCCTAGAAAGACGGTGACTAACCTCCGGCGGCAGCGCCGCAGCAACATCGGTCATGTCGAATGGTCGTTGACGTCTCTGCGAAGGAATGGCATTGGTGGTTTGAGATTTGCGTGGTTCGGGTCGTTTGGCTTGATGCAGGTGAACTTGAGGCGCTGATTTCTTCGGAGGCGGCGGAGGCGGCGGTGGCATCCGGTAGAAGTCCTCATCTGCTTCTTGCTGCCTAGGCTTGACGGGGCCCCGGCCCCGAGGTACCTCGCGAGCGACTTCTCGAGAAATATCTCGGCGGTCATCGCGACGAGGCTCTCGGTGGTACTCGCGGGTCTCTCGGTGATATTCGCGGGGCTCTTGGTGATACTCGCGGGGCTCTCGGTGGTACTCGCGAGACTCTCGGTGGTAGTCGCGGGGTACCTCCCGAGATGACCAGCGATCCATCGACTCGCCTTCATCCTGCCAGTCCGAGAACCCCTCTAGCGGCGGGTGTCCGTATACCGAGGACGAACGACGAGCCCGAGACCGGGACAGGTCTCGATGGCGGGATTGAGACCGTTCCCGGGGGTACTCCGAAGGGGCACCATACTCCGAGCCTTCAAAGTACGAACCTGCCCCGAACGAAGAGGAGAAGGCTTGGTTGGCATAGGCGGATGATGAGAGTGGAGGACCATGGAAACCCGGGTCGTAGGCATAGACCGGCTGCTGTTGCTGCGGGGGGTGATGGTTGTACATGGGAAGTGGTGGTGGTCCCATGATGGGCATCGCACCCCCACCATGATAGCTGATCGGTCGTTCAGTGTGATACATGCCGTTTCTGTAAGAGCCGGAGCGGGCTCGACCACCGGCGGGACGATGGAATTCGGCAATGGGGTACGGATAGCCGGCCGTTTGGGGGGAGGCCGGAGGGTAATCCGGGACCGGAGGCCGGCTGAGATGGAATGCTTGCGAAGGATAGTCCATGGCTCGGGGGTCAATGGGGGTTGGGGCTTGCTGATAATAAGGGGCCGTCCCGTCGTGGTAGGGGGACTCGGTATACGGGCGAGTATGGGCCGCAGAATCTCGTCGACGGGGCTTGGACGGCGACCTTTGCACGTGAGCATGATGGTGGGCGGAGCCCGGATAGGCACCCATCTGCATCTTCTCAGCGCGCTCTGGCCGGGCTCGATCCTTGTCCTTGGGGCGTTCTTTGCGGCTGGAACTTTTTCTGGTGAGGTCGGTTCGCTGCTTGGGCAGGTCCTGCTTAAGAGCGACGGGGGGACTTTTGCCGCCTGACGGGCCAGATTGGGTGCTGTTGACCGTGGCGGTGGTGCGACTAGAATATCCTGAGTCACTGGCGCCGTCGATCAGCGGCTCCGCTGGGAATCTGAGATCCAACCTGGAGAGTTTGGCAGCCGTATTGGCTGTGGTATTGGCCGATTGCCGGCTATCGGGTACGACGTCAAGAGAGTCTTCGTCATAATCCTCCACGAAGGCCGCTTGGGGGACTTTGCCCGCAGCCATGGCGTGCTGCACGGCCGGAAAGCGTGGGAACTGGGCGCCGGTCCCTAGAGAGAAGAGGGGAAAACAGGTTGGCTTCCGTTTGGGGAAGAAAAGTAGAAACGCGGTGGGTTGTTGCTTACCCACCGGGCAGCAAAAGGAACTGGCAGACTTACAGCAAGCCACGACCGGCACAGGTCCAACCCAAACGATGACTCAAACGCAGAACTCGTGCTTTTGGGTCGGGACTAGGGTCGTACTTGTTTGTCCAGGTATTTTTGTTGCCGTCCCTTTTGGAGGGAACGGATTTGAGGGGCGGGGGGGGAGGGGGGGGGGGGGCGAGGTTGGGCGTAGATTTGGGGTTGGGTGCCGTACAATTGTTTACTCCTCCACACGTCGTGAGCGATTCCACAAGCACGGACTTGGGATGTCTGGACGACTAGATGGCAAGAGGATATCTAGACCACCAACCCAATGGCTCGATAGTGTGTCTCACTCTTTCTCTCCTCCACTCACTCGCAGTGTTTGTTGCCTCGCACCAGACTTCTCGCTGGGAGGGGTTTTTTTTCGGACTGGTCTCTTTTTTTTTGGCTGCGCACCCAATCTACGCAGGCTTGTCGCCAAGAGGGAAGGCGGACCTGCCGATCGCAGGAGAGGGGCGATGGCAGGCGTAATCAGGATCTGTCAGCGAGCGGAGAGTGCGAACGGATGTCCAGAATACACTGTCTCCATCTGAAAGTGGGAAATTGGGCGGGCAGTGACGAGAGGGGTTGGTAGACGGTCGGGCGGCCGTTTCGTTGGGCGTGGATGCGGTCGTCGTGGGGCCGGGTTGCAACTGGCGCTGGGCCGATCAGTGGTGGGCTACAACGCAGCTGCAGAATAGCCCAGCAGAGTCCCGAAACGCGCTGGGTTCGGCCTGACGGTGGGGTTTTGGAAGGAGAAAAGAAGGGTGGGAGAAGTGTGGAGTAGACGATAAAGGCCGGGAGGGGTGATAAGAGCCGCCAGAGAGCGTGAGAGTAAGAGAGTAAGAGAGAGAGGGAGAGAGAGAGAGAAAGAGAGAGCAAGACGGGGAGAGGAACGAGGAAGAAGAAGAACTGGAGAAGAACTGAAGAAGACCTGAAGAAGAAACGAGGACGATCAAAGGCCACACAAACTCAAAAAACAACCAAAAATGATAATCCACTGATAATATCCGCAATAGAGCTCTTCGAAAAAGAAAACGAATAATAGAGGATTTTCCAGGGCAAAAAGCAAAGCGAAAAATAAAATAAAAAACGAGGGCGACGTTTCACAAGGAGGCTCTCGGGTCCATGGGTACCCAACAGGAAGAAAAAAAAGAAAAATTAAAAAACAGAGCAGCAAGTGGGGGGGGGGGCGTCATCATAAAGGGCTCGCGCCTGCACCGAGTATCGCGTACGATACTCCTCGTTCTCGAGAATACTCTATATCGCGCTCTGATACGGAGTCGCTCGGGCGACGGACCGCCCGGGGTATCAGCATCCTCGATTCTACGAGGACTATCCTGGTCTCGGAGTCACTCTATCTACTCCATCTCGGAAACCCTGACGCCTGCACGATGGCTTGATGGCTCGAGGGTCATCCGGACGCTGTCCAATTCTCCCTCTGATCCTCATGCTCGTCCAGCAGGTCGACTATCCGAATAAACTCGGCCCCGCTGGGGTTGGGTTTCATGGATTTCGTTGGGTCCGTTGGATCTGTTGGATCTGTTGGTTCCGTGGTTCGGGCTCGGATCCCCGTGTTGTGTCTTTCCTGTTTCGGGCGCCCGACGAAGGTATAGACACGCTCCACGAGACAAGAGACAAGAGACAATAAACAACATACAATATAACACTATATACTATATACTATATACTATATACTATATACTATACGCTATGCAATATACGGTATCCGGTATGCAGTATACTTCGGTCGATACCTCGGTAGACGGAGTGAACTGGGTATACTTCCTTCCTATAGTTCCGCAGTTGTCGAAATTCTGTAATTTCCGGTATCCATACATCCCCTACCAGATCGAATGGAGCTAGATTGATCGTTTTGGGCCCTGCACGAGTCATTCGGGTCCTCCTGGTATCCCTTTCTTCCCGTCTGCCATACCTTCACGCCCGTTGGAGCACATCCAGAGGCTGAGGGTATCGAGTACTCCCCGTTCCTCTCCGGCCAGAAGATTCCTTAGTGGGGCACAGGGGGAGGGGCAATGTCCACTTGGATTACCCACCTGACAGGACTGGCACTGACTCCTCGAGATGTGCATACATACCGGCTAGCTCATGATGTGCATGGACGAAGACCAGTGGTGTTGAGAGATCCCTTCCGAGCCTTCCAGAGTGGCCCTATGAGCGGCACGGCGACAAGGCGGTAATGACCGATCTGCTCTCTCTCTCTCTCTCTCCTCCCCCCATTCTGGTTCTATCGCGCTCCTCGTGCTTCTCTCGTGCGTTTTTCTTGATGTTCCCAGCGGAGGAGGGGGGGGGGGGGGGTTCTTTCTGGTGATGCTGGTCGGCCCTAACGCCCAATCTCCCGTTGCGGCCCAATGATCGCCTCCACCAACAGTCCTCCGCTACATTCCCAGGCGAAACACGCCCCAGACGTCTCGCCCACAATGGCACCAGGGGGAGAGGGAGAAACCAGAGGGTCTCCCTGGAGCCAAGCTCCAGGGCTCACTGAGGCTGTTTCTCCTCTTTTGGGGGGGAGGGTGCTGGTCGCAAACCTTCCACGCGCCGATGTACCAGGTACACGGGCAAAAGTCGGTGGGGGACGAAGCGCAGCGCGGCCCGGAGTCGACAGTACATCATGTCTTTTCCCTTCCATTGGCCAACCCGGTCCTGGAGTCGTGGAGTCATGGAGTCAATGGGGTAATGCAGCCATGCAGTAATGCAGGATTGGAGTCATGGCGATGGGCTCTGCTTAACGAGAAACTACCGTGGTATCAGCCTGTATCAGCCTGTTAACGTTGCCCCAAAAAAAGAATATCCATGAAAAAAAAAACCGAGAAATAATCAGCCACTTCCCACAATGTTTGCATCTTTTCTGCTGGTTCCTTTCCTCTTTCCCCCCATTTCCGCTTAGTTCTCCCCTCCTACGCCATCTTCCCTTGAATCAACGCATTCTCGCCACTGATGTCGCCGGTGGAGCCCGCGGGACCATGGAATGAGGAGAGCACACCAGGCCCGTCCCCGGCCTGCGCTGCAGGCCCTCCGAACCACCAGCCCTCGTGGCGGCTCATCTATGGCGCTACTTCCTGTTCTCCGACCACCGCGCGCCCTGGTTACGCGTGAGTCATCGGCCTGGACACGCAGTCCAATCCAGTCAGCCTCGACAGTGCGCGCGCGACATGGGCCAGTTCCCGCGCGTTATTCGCGAGCGGTCGCCTCACGAATAAACCCTGGAGACGCCCCCGGAGCCCTGGGAGCAAGCATCCGCGCTCCCATTCCCCCACCCCAAGGATCGTCGAGGGTCGGACGCCCCCGTAGTTTGGGGGAGAGGGGGGGGTCTGATGGCCACTTGCTTTTTGCCTTGTATCATGTCCTTTCTCTCTCGCCCTGATTTCTTCGGTTGCTGGTCGGAACCGACCTAGCTAGATCGGTATGACATGCAGCACGGACGGTCTATCATTGCCCTCTCCGTCGCCCTCTTCACCTCCTTGCGTCGTCGGCCGTGGGACACGGTCCTGTCGCTTCACCACGTAGTTGCCCCCTCCCCCCTCTCCGCACGTGTGAGCGAAACCCTCCCTTCCCTCTCGGCGCTGGGCGTCGATAAGGATTCTGGATGCGCGGGGAAGGACGTGGCCATCGTCAATGGTCGAGATCGATACTCCCCGAGAAGCACCGTGACCGATTCGGGGCTCGCGAGGAACTGGATCAACACGCCCGGACCAGATGCCAGACCATTATTGGCGGGCATAGAGCAAGTAGCACCCACAGTGCGAACCCGAGATAAGATTATTCAGCGTCGACCGACTGGCTGCTTGCTGGGCCACGAGCCTGGTATACTTCCGGAAATGCTCCTACCGATGGTCGGGGCCCGCGCACGGTCACTTCCATGCGGCTCCGGGGACTCCCCCCCCCCGCTCTGGTTCTTTTTTTGGGGCCGCTTTTCACGAAGTGGGACGCTTCCCGAAGAGCGCGATTATGGATCGAGAGGGTTGGTGGCAAGTCCCGGGCACCCTGGAAATCGCCCCGGCCACGATCGTAAGAGGATCTGACCTAGCGATCTGCCCCGTGCTTGACTCGGTCGGATTGCCAATGTGGATGCTGATGCTGGGCATCTCTTTGGAACGCGATCTATTGAAGGTAGTTGGGACCCGTTTGTGTACCGTCGTCTGGGATACTAGTTACGACCATTCCTGTACTAGCGGGAACTTGTTCGACATTCCAATGTCCGGACGATTCGCAAAGCCCATGCCCAAAAATCAAAATCCAAAACTATACGCCAAACTATACGCAAACCTAGTATACCAGGAAGCCTATAGTCGGAACTCTCGTGCTGCATGCACCTTGTCGCGGTCTCGCAATCCTTCCTGCCAACAATGTCCCGGCGCATCAAGAAGTATACCGCCTCTTGCCTTGGACACTCCTCCATCCATGATCCCCAAATCTCCCGGAAGTCACAACCGTATACGATCCAGCTAATAAGCTTCGTACGCATGTCATCCATGTCCCCCATTTTGGCTCTCCCCCTGCCTCTGCCTGCCCCGTGGCCTGCGCCTATCAAACCAACCCCCTTCCTCCTGTCAGACGCAAACCAGCCTGTCCCTCCCCCCTCCCTCGTTCCCTCTCCATCGGAGATCCACGAGCTCGCCACCTCCCCCCTCCTTGCTTCCGGTCTCTGCAGGGTGGCATCAGCTCCTCCAAGACAAGACCCTCACCGCTCTTTTCGCCCTGTCGCAAGTTCGCCAGCATCACGTCTTTCCAGGACCAGGACTCATGGACAACGAACTCTCGACCCTGGAAACACTGACCATCCATCTTCTTCCTACCCCTCCATCCCCCTCCATCAATTCTCGGCCACACCAGACGTCCGGATCCGCGGCACCAATCCCCCCTCCTCTCCTCCTCTCCCTTCGAATTGACGTGCAAATGACCTGCATCGCAGACGGGCCCGGGGAGTCGTGGCGAGCCCACAGCAGCGCAGAACGAACTCCGCAGGGCCGACGATGGAGAGACCATTTCTTGGCCCGTTGTTGAGCTAGGCGGGTATTTTCATTTTCATTTTTGTTTTGTTGTTGTTGTTGTTGTTTTTGACGCTAGATCTCGGAGCTTCGTAAGGGTGGTGGCGGGTGGTCATGGACATGCAGGGCAATGGTTACAGGACTAACTAAGTTGGGTGACTGCCTTTCCCCTCGAGGAGGACGGGGGGAAAATATGCGGTAGCAGACGATCGCGCGGAGCGAGAGTCGTACGGAATAGACAATGCAGGCGTAGCAGGCCGTTCCCAGGGTTACGCCGGGTTCGTTAGCGGGTTGGTGCGACTGCAGACGGGCGCGATATTGGGAGGAGGGGGGAAGTGCGTGGGTTAGGGTAGTTTGGTATAGAGCTGGAGTCCCATGCAAGCGTTTGCGAAGTGTAGAGGAGTAGGCCCCGAATCAGACCAGGTAAGAAGACAAAGACAATCTGCCGTGAAAAGAGTTCAATGTGTTTGCTGTGCAACGTTCTATCATCCAATGGCCGGATTATCTATCTATACAACCGTTTTCTTTTCTCTCCTTTTCTTTTTTTTTTTTTTTTGCTTCCTTTCTTTTCTCCTTCTCTTTTCCGAGACAGCGGGCTCGACGTGAGATTAGTTGCCCTAGTCGGGCCGGTTCTATCGGCCTCGCCTCTCTTCCCCCGCCACCCACCCCCCAATTTGTATACGGCCGCCTTCCAGCTTCATTACGTCCGGCGCAATTGTAGCGCAATCCAGCCGAACAGCCGATACACCGCAATAATGCCTATCAGAATACCTACCCACTTGCCCGTCCGCCCCGTCGCATACCCATACGTCTCCAGCACCGCTGTGCCGCGGATCTGGCACTGCGCCGCCAAATCCGATGTATACATGCACTGGCAGTCCGCGCCGCACGAGTAATTGCGGTCTGCGAATTCGTTGACCATCATGCCTTGGAAAACATATGCCTAAACGCCGCAAAAGAAAAAAAAAGCAAACCCGTTAGCAAGCTCCCTGCCATTGACGAATCCCAGAGGGAGGAAGGTGAGAAGGGGGGGGAGTACTACGGCGCCCCCGCCACAAAGGCGGCGGCGGTGCACCCAATGCCGTGTGGGACGCCCATACCTGATAGTCGATGTAGTGGAACACGTATTTCCAGAAGGGATTCAGGATCTTCGGTGTCACGAGGAATCCGCCCACGCTCATCCACAGCCCATTCGCGAAGGCCACCAGCGCTAGCGCAATCACGAAGTTCGGGAATATCGCGGTCACGAGCACCACTAGGGACTCGGCCGCGACGAGATCAAGGAAGATCCACATGACCCAGGTGAAAAAGGCGTCTGCTGTGGGCTGGAAGTTCGACAGCCAGTACGACACAATGGAGAAGAGCAGGGAGATCAAGACTGGGGAGGTCAGCGCGATTGGACGGGACATTGAATCAGCTGGGGCTGTATCGCGGCTAGGGAGTTGGCCGGTGACACAGGAGACGGGGAGGACGACTGACAGAGGAAGGGGAGGCCAATGAGGAAATTGGACACGACGAAGGGGGTTGCGCCATAGAGGCCGTTTGCGCGCTCTTTCGCAAAGGTCGCTCGGTCCTCAAGGAAGGCGGGCACGTAGGCGACAGCCATAAAGGACATGAAGGCTGAGCCAAAGAACTATGGGTGGAAGAAGTTTGTGAGCTTTACGGGCGAAGAGTGGGGATAATAGAAGAGGAGACGGTGGAGGCGTACGATAGCATTGATGAATGGCTGGATGTAGTCCTGGGACGGATGCAGACGAAGCCATACCGTTCCCATCATGATGGCCAGTCCTGTAGCGGATGAGTATACACATAGCTTGTAGATGGGGGAACAGTTGATGAGACTGGTGTGACCACGTACCCAGATACATGACGATGCGGATCCCGTAGGCCACCACATCGCGATAGCTTTTGATAAACGAACGGTGTAGGAGGGCGGCTGTGATTGTGATGGCCCCAGGGCGCGCCATATCTTCGCCCACGGATCGATCACCTTCTTTCTCTATTAGTCGCGCTCGCTCGGAAACTTGTCGACTCAGGACAACCGCCTCTGTCGATTTGACCCACGCATTCTGGATTCGCTGAACGCGCTCCAACGCTGAGTCCTTCCCGCCGCCGAAGTCCGAGCTGACGATATCGAGCAGAAACTCGGCTGGATTCGTGTATCCCGGGATCGGGTGGCCAATCTGTTGGAAATAGTTATCGACATTTGCAACTGGGCCGAAATAACACGTACGGCCCGCGGACAGCAGTAATAGCTTGTCGAACAGCTGGAAAGTTGTCGTCGAGGGCTGGTGGATGCTCGCTATTACAATGATCTGCCATGAACCTGGTTAGCATCGCAGCGTACACGTCATCATATATACTTCAGGCTACTCACGTTGTTGGAGCGCGCCAGTTCTTTCACGTATGAAATGACCTCGAAGCTTGCTGTCGAATCCAGGCCGCTCGTCGGTTCGTCCAGGAACAAGATCTTGGGGCAAGTGATGAGCTGACTTGCCACGCTGACACGTCGTTTCTGGCCGCCACTGATGCCCTTCCGAATAGGAGTGCCAACCAGGGTATTCGCCTGATTCTGAATACCGAAGGCTTCCAGAAGGGTTCGGATCCGGTCCATGCGCTGGCGCTTCGAGACCGAGCTGCATCAGGGCCAGGGTCAGCATCCACCGAAACCAACAATGGGAGAAGGAGAGAGAGAGAGAGAGAGAAAAAAAGACATTAGGTTAAACGCACCTGGGAAGCGACAGATCGGCGGCGAATTTGAGCGTCTCGCGCACTGTCAAGGACCCGATCAGAGCATCTTCCTGCTCCACGTAGGATGTCATGCGGCCAAACGATGCCGCGCCCACATCCGCGCCATTGACGAAGCTCTCGCCCAACACCCTCGCTCCCGATGCAGCCGGCCGTCTGGCCAGCACATTGAGCAGGGTTGTCTTGCCACAGCCCGACGGGCCCATCAAGGCCACGATTTCCCCTGTCCGCAAACGCCTCGTATCAGCATGAATCAGTCGGCGGCACCGATCCCGGTCACCATCTTTGAAGAAACCGCAACTACATGGAGAAACACCTACCTTGCTGCACATCGCCGCCAATATCATTGATGAGATCTCGAGCCTGCTTCGTCTGCCGATCCTTCACAGTCACCGTCAGCCCGGTCCAGGCAAAGCTCTGAACAACATGGTTCATCAGGAACCGGCTGCCCTCATCATTGCGCTCCAGATCCGTCCCGCGCTCGATACCGGTAGCCGGGGTGGGCTCATCCATGTTTGCTTAGGCAGTTGGGAATGCAATGCTTCTTCACCGGCAATACGAGGTTATTTGTGTTTGTCCTGTGTCCATCCCGGTTCTCGGGACGTGGCCGGGGGAATGTGGCTTTATATGCGATTTTCATCGCAACGGGCACAGCCTCTCATGGCGCACGATTTCCAGTCCCCGGTCCCTCAAGCTGAGAAATATAAGGGAATGGGGGGTGGAAGGCCGAGGGCGTCACATATTTTTGCTGGGCGGGCTTCGGTTGTAGTTGGTCCAGTGGAGCAATGGTGGTCCCCGACGGGGGTCGCTGAGACGCCACGCCCACACTGGTTTGGCGCTAGTCAGGCTTAGTGGAAGTCGCTCGAGTCGGGTCTTAGGTAAGATTATGGAGGTCCCCGGAGACCGGGGTTCAGGCCAACGGGGATCAAAAGGGATCCATAGGCATCCAGAAAGATGGATGCAAGTACTTTTCGGGCGAGACGATCATCCAGATAAGTCTAGAATTATGAAACAGGGCCCAGCGATTGGTATTTGGCTGAGATGTCCGAGGTTGAAGCGCTTAGGCTTGACGAACACCGGTTGCCATCCTACGTATGCTACCCGGCCTTGCTTGTAGATCCCCGATGTGCGCCCCACAGCCCAAACGCGACTTCAACCTTTTTGTGCTTACTCGGTGACTCCGCGCGCTAGCTTTTGGCAGGGTAACTTACCGCAGATTTTTTTTTGGTTCGGGATCTAGAGAAAAATAAGGTCCAGATCTTGAGTGGATCCTAATTCTTACCAAGCATCCCCAAAGCGGTGTTTGAGGCTCGGTGTTCGACAATATACCAGATTATAAACCAATCTCAGGTAGAAAGAGATTTTATTGTATGCAAAGCTAAGAATCATTTTTTGATTCGGCCCCCGCTTCTAGCGCCACGACCGTCTAAACAGGAAATAGGAAATATGAGATATGTGATATCGTCGAGTGCAAACAGAATTTTGAGGCGAGTGATCCAAAAAAAAAAAAAGATAAAGTGCAGATTTTACATCCTAATGAAGTTGTTAGCAGGGGATTTTGGTGGAGCTGGAAAGGGGAATGACGAACCGCTCAACGGGGGACAGGCCCAGAACCCGCATGCCGTTGTTGAGAACCTGGCGGGCAGCGGCGTACAGAGCCATACGGGCCTTCTTAACCTCGGGCTCGCTACCGATCACCTTGAGCACGTCGTAGCTCGAGCTCAGCATGTGAGTCATGCGGAAGAGATAGCTCAGCACGGTGATGGGTTCCAGGGTCTTGGCGGTGTTGACAAGGACATCGGGCCACTGGGCGAGCAGACGGGTGAGGTCAATGGCGTGACGCTCAGTCAGGAGGTCGAAGTTGGCGGTGTGCAGCTCGTCAATGTTCAACTCGGACTTGCGAGCCATCGAGCACAGACGGGCGTGGGCATACTGCAGGTAGGGGCCGGTGTCGCCCTCGAAGGAGGTCATGGCCTCCAAGTTGAAATCATATCCGTTGATACTGGAAGTGTAGGATTAGTATGGAAAGAGGATAGATGGAGGTAGAAGTAAGATTTCAACTTACCGCTTGCCGGTCATATCCTGGACCATAACAGCGCTGATACCGAGGGTATCGGCAGTCTTAACGGGGTCGGCAACCTGCGAATACTTGACCTCGTTCTTCTTCATGACCTCGTGCATCTTGTCGCCAACATCCTGCAGGATGTCATCCAAGAACTTCACAGTACCCTTGCGGGTGCTCATGCCTTTAACCATGCCGAAATTGATGTGCTGGCAGCGGTCCGACAGGTCCTTGCGACCCATCAGCTCAGTAACCTTGAACAGCTGTGCCAGGTGAAGATCCTGCTGAGCTGCGACGACATAGATCATGCGGTCGAACTTGTACTGCTCATCACGCTCAACAATGGCGCCGATATCACGGGTCAGGTACAGAGGAGTACCGTCCTTGCGAATAATGATGGCCTTGCCAAGCTTTTTAGCGCCGTGCTTGGTGAAGTCGGCAATGACGGCACCATCAGACTCCTCGGTGACACCAGCTTTCTCCATGGCCTTGTAAGCATTGCTCATGCTCTCAGCCTTGACCTGAGACTCGCCGGAGTAGACATCGAAATCAATGTTCAGACGAGCATAGGTCTTCTTATACCGGGCGATACTGAGATCACGGAAACGGCGCCACAGCGCCAAGGCCTCTGGGGAGCCGTCCTCCATGCTCTTGAAGTAGCGACGAGCATTCTCATCCTCGCTGACATCCACAAGCTTAGCCAGCTCGGCCTCCAGCTCAGCCACGTCCTCGCCCTTTTCCTTCTTAGCCTTAATCTGTTCCTTAAGCTCTTTGATGGGCTGTTCTTGCGCAGCGACGATGTTGTTGATCTTAACATAGACATCGAAAAGGTGGTTAATAGGGTCCTTAGTCAGGCCCTCCTCGCTACCAAACTGCTTAAAGCCGTTTGCCAAGAGACCGTACTGCTTACCCCAGTCACCAAGGTAGTTCATCTTGATCACATCCCAGCCCATGACAGTGAAGATGTTGGCGAGGAAGCTGCCGATAATAGTACTGCGCAGATGACTGTAATTATGAGAGATTTGTTAGCCTCGGAGTGGTCAACGGGCAGATATATCTATATACACACCCCGCGTGGAACGCTTTGGCGATATTCGGCGACGAGAACTCAACAATCAGCCTCTTCTTGCCCTTGGAGGGGTCGGAGGGGTCCTTCAAGCCCATATTTCCATTTGTGCCGAATGCAGCCTTCTCCTTCAAAACACGGGCCAGGACGGTGTCTACCAAAGGCTTCGCCTTGCAGAAGAATTGAATATGGGGGCCGAGGGCGGTTGGAGGGTGGATGAGGTCGGACTCGGGAAATTTGGAGGCAAGCTCGGCGGCCAGTTCCTGCGGGTTCTTCTTGATCCGGAGAGCTGCAACCTAATAGTATGGAATAAAATCATGATTAGTACAATATGCCCCGCCAAACGAATGGATTCAAGTTGAGCGCGTGGAGGCGTACGGGTAGCGACAAATCACCCTTGTCCAGAGTGTTGGTCCATGCGATGCGGGGGTAAATAAGATTGGAATCGATGCCAGCAGCCTTTCCCAGTTCCTCCGCAATGTGCTCACGGTAGATATCCATCGGGTTCAAGGAAGGGAAGCAGTCCGGGAACTTCGAGGTCTGGCTTGTTGATTGGAGAGTGAGGGCCTCAACAGAGGCCGGCAGGGTATCGGCGGACGCCATGGTTGCGGTTCGAAAGAGCGAGCGGTATGGGGTGAAAGGGAGACAAGGACTCGGTCGTGATTGAGAAAAAAGACAATTCGGCCTGTGAATCGTCGGGCCCCGCTTAGCAGATTCCGACCCATAAGGAGGGGAAATTTCTCGGGGTCGCTTTTTCTGCGGTGACTCAGGGCGGGCGCTTAAGGGCGGTGTATCACGTGGACTATATACTCTCTACGAAAGAGGCTGGAGAGCGGGAGCCGGCCAGTGGGTTTTTCCGAACAATATTCCTGTCCCCGATCCCCTAGCCATAACCATCCATCCTTTACACAAACAAGGTCGAGCGAGGTCACAGCTAATATAGTCAGGATGTGATAACACAACGTAGAAATCGAGTGATCAAGAAGAATACGATCCGTATCTCCGCAAACCCAGAGCTACGTGAAACATAAAGCATCGAAAAGGAATTCTTACAGCCAGCAGAGGGTGGTGAATATATCGGCCATCTGGTGGAAGTGACACAATAAAGACTGTTCATCTCAGTCGTCGATTGATGTTCCAATAAGAGTATTCTCCGCCTTTTCTCCCGAAGCATGGTCCTAGGTACTTTGAACATAACCTCGCCGCTGGCCCGTGAGCATTGACAGCTACCAATCATCGCGGCAGGATAGATTGTCTGACGTCACTAGTTGGGTTGTCCTAGTATATTGTACAAAAAGCAAGGTTCAATGGATGCGTGTCACAAGGGGGTTAAAGGCACCACCTGTGCCGCCAGAAACTCTTCTCTTGTTTCGAGGATTTATAATCATGGGCAACCGACGACGCCGCCAGTCGGCCTTAATACGTTCGATCCAAGCGGGGCTGTTGCGCGATCCCGATCGGTTTAAGAAATCTGCATGGGGGCACTTTGTCGCATTCTTTACTTTCCAACGAATCAAACTGGTTCGTTTTGAGAGCCAGCTCTTTGCAAAGCTGCGACAAGATGTCTGGAACTTCGATGAAAATGAATACCAAGCAAGCTTCCACACAACGCGAGGCCAGCTGCCCTTGAGCGCTATGGGCGACCTTGGATACTCAGGCTCGGTAGGGATTCTCTTGACAAGATCTAGGAACAATATTGATTCCCTCTGCTACAGACATTCTTTACTACCTTTGATGGACATCTCGTCGTCAAAAGTCTCCCACGTCGATTTGAGCACACATTTTTCCAATCCGATTTACTCGAACCTTATTGTGACTATATGCGGGAACACCCAGACTCGATGCTCGTTTGGATCACCGATTATATCGTCTCACCCTACGTCACTCTGGGCACGATCTTTGGATGCACGCCTGCTCATCATATTATCATGGAAAACATTCTCTGCGGCAAAACTGAAGATCCCAACGGTGACAATTGGGAGACCTACGATCTCAAGCCAATCGACTACTTCTATCCAGAGCGTGATCTCATCCCAGCACCTCTTATCAGCGAAGCTACCTTAAGTAGACTAGCAGACACCTTCAATGATAAGCTTCATCTCTGGCGAGCTGACTATGAGAGCCTTTGGGAGGCTATTGAGGCGGACACGAAGTTTCTGCAGGACGCCAATGCCGTTGATTACTCTATTTTCCTGGTCCGAGTTCCTGCTACTTCTAACCCCACAGTGCTGGGAAGAAAAAGCCCGTGGCGAGTGGGGATTCCCTCTGCAGATGGTCAATGGAAGTATCGGGCGGTAGTCCTGGACTTTTTCTGGGCTAAGCACAAGCTTCATGCACAGGCCTTGTCTGGGGTCGTTCAAACCTTCAATGTTGTGGGTCGGAAGGGTCCCATGTCGATCACGACGACTGCGACAGAATATCGCCAGAAATTCCTTACAATGATCTCTGAAATGATTGAAGTGCATGATAAGCATCAATCAGATTGATGACTAAACGCACGGTCTGGGACATTGGATGAAATATATATTTCGCGAATTTCACAGAATTTGCACTAATACCCAGCAATGAGAGCATACGTATATCTATTTTCGCTTATTGCGGAATTTCAAGTTCTGGAAACTGAAAAACAGAGAGGGCTCAATTGTCACATGAAAGCTACTTGACTTTACTTTCGTCCCCTGCCCTATATAGCCCCTTCACTCCGCAGCCTCTGGTGCAAAAATGGAATGGTTGGCCCTTAGTCCGTCCAGGTGACAATTTCGCCACAGCTTTCTTGATTAATTTTCATGAATAACGAGAATATTTACGGTATTGACACATTCAGACCATATCCCCGTCATTAATTTGGAACTCAACCTGATTATGTGCAAGGCAAGATGGAGAGCATAATGTATCTTTGATAGGATACATCAAAAACCTAAGAGACCCCGAGCGATTGACTGTGCCCATTCAGTACAACCTGAGAACCAATGGTTAACAAGGCTTTAAGCGACCGAAAACAATAGGAGAAAACTTACAGATTGGCACATAGTCTGCTCCTTCTAGTAAGTGTAATAGAAGCTAATGTCAGTACCACCTGGGTGCAAGAAAAATATCGGACAGATTATTGGGAATTCTGGTTTTGAATTACAATCAATTGTTCGACCCTCTTGTCCTGCACAAACATGGGCATGTGAAGTTGACCTTGGAATCACCAAGAAGGAACACATTGTCATTGTTGGTTCTCATAGAAAGTTTGTTGTTCTATCATCGTGTATCATAATTTGATGAAGTCTATAAGCTCTATCTATACCGAAGATGTCTTTGCTTCCCCAGACTCCCCAGACCATTCGGTTAGGATCTCGTCGGGGACATCACGTACGAGGATATGCACATGCTCAAGCGCTCGGACACTTTGCAACCCAACCCAATTCTTAAACCAGAGCACATGCGACTCGGGGTCTGGGAAGCGCCCCTGCGTATCCTTGGCCAACCGGGCCACAAAAGTGCGTTGAACAAAGGATTCGATGAGCGCTCGGGACTCATCCGTCAAGTGACCCTCGGCGGATTTCACGGGAATTGGAGTCCGCAGCCATACGACGAGATGTGAGATGCCGGGGCTCAGACCGTAGGGCCAGTCGTTGCGGAGAATCCTGTAATCCTCGGGATCGGCAAATGGGCGCGGGTTTTTGAAGGTGACCAGCGGCCCACTTGGGGCTTGGATTGCCGCGGAACTCGCGCCGTTACTGATGCTGGTGGTCAGGGTGGAGGCAGTGGTACCATTTGTGGCGGCATTGGGGTCGGCGTTCGGGAAGTGCCATTTCAGCCGCTGCTGGCAGATGAAGTTCATGATTGAACCATACTGGGCTTTCGTGTTGGCCGTCCAGGTCAGGTATCGGCGCAAGTCGGAGGGTCTCCGCTTGAGGGCGCCGAGATCGTTCCGCGCTGCATGAATGAGTGAGGGGGAGAAGAACAAGCAGAATTGCGGTCTCGGGTGATTGAGGGGAGGGAAAAATTGGAGACGAGTTGGGGAAGACGTACCGATGATAGCTTTGAGGTCATCCCAATCATGTGCCACAAACTCCTCGTCGGTCATCGCTAGCAGCTGGCGGTCCAGCGCCGTCAGATTGAACGGTGTAGGCTCAGGCATATTGTCAACCTGTTCCGGAATACTCTATTTGGGAAGTTGGAGAATAATTACGACCAAGTAGAGTGCCAGAATCCCATCGAATCTCACCCGGAGTAAACAGGAACAGGAAGATCAGCGGGGAAGCCCCAAAGTGGTGCGAAATTCCGTTGGGCGGAACCGCCCCAGACTTTCTCTTTCTCGTCTTCACCTCCCCCCTCCTCTTTCACGTTGACCACCTGCCAGTAATCGCGAATTTCAATCATGAGGTGAGTTATTACCATGGAGAATATCACATTTGAGGCTTCAATATTGCCGGTTGCTTGTGAACAATGGCTAATCCAGATCACCCTCTCGCCGTCGCAGTGCTTTCAACGTTGGCACGGTCCTTATTCCCTCGACCTTGCTGGTCGCAGGTGTCTACGTCGTCAAGCCTGAGTTCCTTGCGTATGCCATCGCAGTTGCCGGTGTCCTCACCAGCGTGGCCTTCCTGGCCTCCAGCAACAATGGCCGTTCGTGCTACCTCCCCCTAATCCCATACCACACCCCACGATCGCGTGCGCCGCGGAGCTTAGAAACACCAAAAAGCTAACCTAAACCCTCCGTCGGGTGTCACCTGCAGTGCCGAGCAAGCCACGCAAGGTTCTGAAACCGACCGAGTTCCAGGAGTTTGAGCTCAAGGAAAAGACCGAGATCTCCCACAATGTCGCGATCTACCGCTTCGCCCTGCCCCGTCCCACCGATATCCTGGGTCTGCCCATCGGTCAGCACATCTCTCTTGCCGCTACCATTGCCGGTCAGCCCAAGGAAGTTGTCCGCTCGTACACCCCTATCTCCTCCGACAATGAGCGCGGCTACTTTGACCTTCTGGTCAAGGCCTACCCCCAGGGCAACATCTCCAAGTACCTTACCGAGCTGAAGATTGGCCAGACCATGAAGGTGCGCGGTCCCAAGGGCGCTATGGTCTATACCCCCAACCTGTGCCGTCACATTGGTATGATTGCCGGCGGTACCGGAATCACCCCTATGCTGCAAGTCATCGAAGCCATCATCCGTAACCGTCCTCGCAACGGCGGCAACGATACCACCAAGGTCGACCTGATCTTCGCCAACGTCAACCCCGATGATATCCTGCTCAAGGAGAAGCTGGAGAAGCTGGAAAAGGAAGATGATGGGTTCCGTGTCTACTACGTCCTGAACAACCCGCCCGAGGGCTGGACCGGTGGTGTTGGCTTTGTCACCCCCGACATGATCAAGGTAAAGCTATCAAATACGCCCATCGGACCCCCTTACCAAAGAAAATGATAACAGGAGACCTATACTAACACCAATTCTCCATAGGAGCGCCTCCCTGCCCCCGCTGCTGATGTCAAGGTTCTCATGTGCGGTCCTCCCCCCATGATCAGCGCCATGAAGAAGGCTACCGAGTCCCTGGGCTACACCAAGGCTCGCCCTGTCAGCAAGCTGGAGGACCAGGTCTTCTGTTTCTAAACGGGTGTCAGCCCTTCTAGATAGATACGTTGCAAAAGTTTGGAAATTGCGTAACTTGTTTGAGTTCGACGGAGAGAGCGGCTCAAGCGAGTCGAGGAGTTTTTACTGTATATGTGAGGAATTCGGGATATCTAGACTTGTCTATAGACCCTTGTTCGCCAGCAGGCCTCAAGTGGCTCTTTGAATGCTGAACGATTCTTTTTTTCATGGTCTTGGAGCAAAGTCTCTTATCATTCGGCATAGATTATTTGTGTTGTCCTTGTTCCACCATCCACGACTGAGTAAATCTGGACCAAAGGAAACGAAATGGTCATGTTCAAACATGTGCAAGTATTGAATAGACAATAAACTGGTACAAAGCAGGGCACAATGTGAGCTAGGGAGATCCTTCGAGAAGCAGACGGGGAGCCAATCTGGGCTACGCCCGGAAGGGATCTCCCAAAGAACATACTACTAGTATTACTCAAGGAGCTGGTCCAAATCAAGCAGTCAAGCAGGCCAAGCTATGTTGCTTGAAGTAGTAGCACACCAAGTGAAAGGAAAGTCGGGGCGACTGGTTGTGCGGAACTTGTTTGACGACGCTTTTTTGACGACGCCCATAGTGCAGAAACTAAGGTAACAGAAGATCACACTGAGGGCTAAGAGCAGATTGGTGACAGCAAGAAGATGGTACAGACTACATCCTTGCTCCTATCAACTTTGACTCGGCACTTAGGTCCCTTATTTCGCGCTAATCAGATTTCATATCACTAGCTCTAAATTAGATAAATCTAGGGCTCGGTCCCTGTGAGTCTATCACAAAATCAAAATTGAACAATCGAACATGACCTTCGAAGTGGATTCAATTTTCCGCTCACTGCCGACGGCCCTGAGGACCCGCCTAATCCGGAAACAGTTGTCAGCGCGAGCCTCTGGGGCACGATTGCAGTACGGACGATCCTTTCCTGGCCTGCACTCAAAAGAGGACCATGGATGCGAACGCGGCTCGCGAAAGCCGGTTCTGATCAAATACTCCCGGTGGAGCAGAAACAACGAAATTGAATTTCAATAGCGGGCCTTTTAGGGTATCTTAAATTCATTAGCTCGCTGGGGGCCTGACTATCAGAACAAGGTACAAATCGCCAGCCTCCCATCCTCCGCATTCATTCCATCATGGAAACCCTACTTCCGACTCCGCGCTAAAGTCTCACCATCCACGATGCTGCGCCCACAGCCAATCGGACTCCGTCATCGTGCAGGTACACACACTAGAACACGCGAGCACGAAGATCAGAGGATGCGAGGACGTCCGGGCATCCACATGGCGAACCAACCCTAACCGATCAGTTCGCCTGTATGGTTCAGGGGGCCTTTCCGGGGCTTTGACCCCACAAGTACCGTGGGACACTGTTTGGGCCGGGCTTCTCCAGGTACACGAGGCTGTGGTCTCCGGGACCATGGCAGTCTCCCATCCCTGTTAGTGTTTTGGATTTGCTTTTTCCTGTGTTTTTCTCCTCGATTTCTCCGCCGCCAGTCAAATGCAATGGAACTGCTGGTCAGAACTCAACCCGTGGGATCCATGGTCCGGGGGGGGATGGCCGCAGTCTCAACCACAATGGCCTGGTCAATCATGCCCTGGCAATGGATCAGTTGACAGCCGTCAATGGTTCTTGACAGCATTGTCTCAATTGTCTCGGTGGCGTGGGAAATTGGGTCTTGCCCTTAGAGAACCAATCGTCGCGGATATCGGACCATCAACACCCACCGAGTCATGGATTGTTGCTCCACCGGATCGACGAAAATTGCACCAACCAAGCCTTTTGTTCCTGCTGCACGTCCCTCCGTCTCCACAGAGGAATTTGCAATTGAACAGCCCATCTCATCGCTTTTGGCGGGCCCCTCCGCCTCTCAGCCCTCGATCCCGGCGGCTTGGGAATATAAAGACAATCCCGCGCGTCGGAATGGGATTTGGGCTAGTTTCCTCAGTTTACTGTAAAATGGGTACCGCTACCATTTCGGTCCCATCGTCATTCTTTTGATACAATAATGTCTCTCGAAGAGAAGTTTCCCGCGTATGGCGGGCGTGGACCTGGCGATTTGCGCCTGGGAATCACCCTGGGCGTCATTGCCACCATTTTCATGGTCCTGCGTGTCTATGTTCGATTGCGAATGAACAAGTTTGGGACAACCGCACTCATTTGGTCTCTCATTGCTTGGGTACAGCAACACCCGCTCTATGAACATCAGGAGACGCTTTCCACTAATGATGGCTAGTTGTTTACTACTATTACGCAAATCTTCGGTATTCTATCCGTGCTTCACGGCCTGGGCAATCACATCACACTCATTATCAAAGTTGGAGAACTGCATAACTTTCTTCTATTCACCTGGGTCACTGTTTTCTTTTTCAACCTTGCCATTCCGACCGGCAAGGTAGCCGTAGCCGCGTTCTTGATTGAAATGAATGGCCAGAGCAGTAAGTGTTGCCCAAAACCTTGGGCATTCAGATTACTCACTGTATTCCACTAGATCCCAAAGTCCGTCGCAGTCTCGTCGCCGTTGCTGTTCTGAACATCATCCTGAATATCCCACAAGTTCTGATGGTTTGGTTCCAATGCAGTCCTGTCGATGCCCTATGGGACCCTGTTCGCCAGGATCAGTGCGACCACCGAAGGAGCGTTTACTATACATATTTTGTGGGGGCTATTGCGGCATTATCGGATTTCTACCTTGCAATCGTCCCAATCCATATGCTCCTACCCTTGCGTATTGATCGCAAGCTCAAATGGGGTCTCAGCTTCCTTATGGGATGTGGTATCTTTGCTGGCGCCGCTGCCATCGTTCGAACCTGGGCAGCAAAATATATTCTGACAGAAGACTCCTCTTGTATGTTAACCGATACTCCCTCCCCGCCATTGAACTCGTTTTACTAATATAGTCAATCTAGATGGAGTCGGAGTACTATTCTGCTGGGGCGAAGTCGAGGAATGGATTGTTTTAATTACCATGTCCATCCCACCCGTTTGGCCTCTCTTTCGACCATTCACACATCGGTTCATCAAATCGAATATCACCAGAAGCCATCCACAGGGCTACAATTACAACTCAAAGCAACCGTACAGTACAACAGCTGTTGGCGACCAGTCCCCCGGATTTCCTCCGCCCCTGGTTACTACTACAATCTCTATCTCCTCTACCAAAGGTGCAACGACAACTGCAGTACCGTCGGAAGCCAGCCCACGAGTCTCGCACGAGCAGACGCCTCATAACATTTTGAATAACAAGAATACTTCGGGTGCTTGGGTGGAATTATCTCCAATAAAGGACCCTCGGCTGTCGCCATGAACGATCGTTATACTGTTTTGGACATTATAATTTTCCCTCTTTTATCACCCTATTCTAATACTCGAAATTCAATTGTCACGATTAATGCCATAAACACTATTCATTTGCCGTTCGCATTGCCGCTCCCCTTCTGCTCAATCTGATAATGTGGTTCGTCTCCACCTTCATTGTCTGGGTGAATCCACAACTAGTAGAACTTTTTTCGCAGTATGTAGATCAGTTCTATCATGACCCACTAGGCTATAGAAGCCAAATGTGGCACTAGTATGATGCGTACCAGATAATGTCTCTATAATTCTGCCCTGGGCCCGTGCAAATGTCAAGGCCCGATAAATAAAGAACTACATATGCAGGTGATGACCCACTTAGAATTATTATTTACTAATGAAACCTTGGACTCAGATCCATTCCAAAACATATTCTTAGCATACTGACTGCCTAGATCTCGAAATTTTGTAATCAAATAGTGGTACTAACAGTGGTAGTGTAGGCGGCAATAGTAGTGATACATCGTAGTAGGATGGGAGGGGGGGGGGGGGGGGGGGGGGAGTAGAAGCTTGATGGGGTAGTGAAACTGACTGTTGCCTTAGCTATGAGACTCGATATGCTTCGTAGACAAACTATTTGTTGACACAAAGCATAAGGACTAAGAATTCCGCCTTGATATTCCTCATAATCCAGCTGATCTGTAAATGAGCTCCACCGATTATGCTATTTCACAGATGTGCTTCATACGGAGAATAACTTAAATAAGAAAGAATTTTTCATTTTAGTTGTCCATCTCAGTGATGGCAGGCAACTCATCCAGTAGTTTGTACATCCAAATCCAAATAATCATCTTGTCTAATATACTAGATTTTTATGGGTTATTTTATTTCCCATTGAGACCCAACATCTATATATTGTCCTCTCACGGTATAAAGTTAAGTTTGAGTCGAAGGGGCGTTGGTAGAGGTTATTCTGTGTCGGAACCCCAGGCCTTAGGTAAAATAATATCCAAATCTGGTGCCGAATTAAGGCAGATTTGAGAGCAGTCTGAAAAGGTCTAGTGATTTTACCCCTCAGCCCTCGCACCGGTGAGGGGCAGCACCTAAGCGTCCGGCTTCGTGCAGATTGAGCGGACGGACCGCCAATCAGACACGGCTCATAAGAGAATATGAAGATGACCAAGCCTTTATCCAGTACATTACTATGCTTTCATGCATAATAAGCGATTCGGCTTCTTTCTTTGGCCAGCAGAGGACCAACCAGTATATCTGTTCACACAGGGCATTGGTGGGACGCAAAGCCTAGTGAGATAGAGTTATAGCTAAAAGAGAACGCATGCCGGAAAAGGAAAGCAGTTTGTATGGGAATTTTGCTGTCAGAATGAAATGGGCGACTCGGTTATTCTACTACGGATATTTTGAAAAGATCGAAGAGCGTCGCTTAGATGGAACATGGTTTATTAGCAGCCGGAGCTAAGCTCTGGAAATACTTGAAGACGAGGAAAATGAGTGGTTTGAAGTTTCGGTCTATAGATAATTTTGTGGTCTAACGTAAGAATAGGTTCGCTTAAGCTAGATCCATTGGCCAAAACCATGAGGTTTTGGCCAAGAAACACTACAACATGCATCTCACCTGCATATTCTATTTCCAAGGTTCCATGCAGACTGAGACAAATTCCCCTCAAAGCGATCACAGAAAGACCAACGTCCAGCCTTACTGGATTATAGTGATTCTCATAAACAGAACAAGTTGAGAACTTCACAGAATCAGTGAATGGGGAAGATTTCACAAGAAAGGGCTAGAATTCTACCCACAGTGGGTCATCACCGGGCTCTAGATTCCAGAGTCTAGAATCTCGATCTAAGATTATCGGCATAGCCGATCCGAAGTTGATTAGGCTTACATCTCAGGTACTCCAAGGCACGGAGACCCTACGTATTGTTGAATCCAATCATTGGCCACCGGTTGAGCATGATGGATGCATGTCTCGGGTTCTGTCTACGTTCTTCTATCGCAATTGGTGATGTGTTGCGGATTTCTCCCGCCCCTAGTTTTAGCGTCTTTCTCTGCATGGGCATCACATCAAACATGAATGGGACCTGTCAAATCCCTTTGGACCCCGCTTATAACTGTCTCTTAGCTTAAGAGAATTAATTATAAAAGGCACCAGTAGCCCTGACGATTTCGACCTTTCTCAATCAATTCAAACCTTGATCGGTATTCCAGGACTTTCAGAAACATTATGGCTGTTCTCTGCCTTTTGACAAGCCTATTGGCCCTCTCAACGCCTACTCTTTCTATGGTAGTACGGCGTCAGTCAATCGTCCCGCCAACAGGTTGTCCAATTCCTACTTGGCAGGTGAACAATTTTCAATGGTACAATGGCTCTCATAGCTTGGACTGTATCCACAACCAAGTTGATATCAATGCAAAAGGCTGCCTCTGTGGAAATGGGTGGTGCGAGCCAGACCCAGCAACTTGCAACGGAACAATGGTGCCTGTTTGCTACACTGGCATGCCGAACTATCAACCTTGGGGGTATGGCCCTCCCGAAACACTAGATATCGATTTTGCAGACGGCTTGGAGTGCCACGATGAGTACATTGGCTATCGCGTTCATGACATTGGCAACGGTGCAAGCAACTGTGGATATGCCGATCGTGGCCTGGGTCGAATCGTTGCCTTCTATGGAACGTCGAATCTCGCTAGTTCCACGGGCCATATGGACTATACCCTCGGGGACGGGCATGCGCTCAAATGTGACAACGGGAGCTCCATCACATATTCAGGAAGCGTGGATTTTACACTCACCTGCACACATGATGCTGATTTCAATGCAACCTGTACAGCTCCGGTTTTCGATATTCCCGTTTTGAGCTATGAATGGGTATCGTGATTCACGCCTCGCCTGTTGTACGTGGAGTACGGCAAGGTTGAATACAACAGAATTGAATGAGTACGCAGGTGGACAAAGACTGTGTCTGTTGTATATAAAATGTTATAGCAGCCGTGATTGGATTGCGATTGCACAAAAACAGAATAATACATACTTGTTTATCCTCATTTATATCACTGCGAACCTACAATTTACTTCTTGATTCAGAGTTAGCTTGATTTGACATATCAAATTTTAAGGGCAATAAAAATAATTCATCTTTCATCGGAGCAGAATCATAAAATCCAGAAATAGTCGCAGACCCCGAGGCTCCGTAAACAATCACCTTGATATATTGAGAAAGAGAGTGTTATTTCAAGCAAAAATGCTAGTCGAGGAACAACTAGCAAAACACGTCTTGTTTCCATCATACCCATATGCCAACTCATTCTTTGCCTGTGCGGAACGATGCCGGTCCGGAATTCGGACCGGAGGCTTCTGTAAAGGCTATTATTTGTAACGCTTTTAAATATCGAGTGTCACTGCCGTAGCATGTAATAACCTCATACACTATCTAGTTCACTATCTTCATTGCCTTGTATTCTTTACATTACTGACCTTGAATGGATTATAAAGATGAACCGTGAAAGTGATGATAATACCTTAATCAAACCCATGGACGTAGGAAGATATAAAAAAAGAGATAAGAATAAACAAAGGTTCCGGTATCAGAAAGCGCCAGTCCACCACAAAGACAGCTGATAGAAAAATATTCAAATGTACACAGTAAATATCAAGTATCACCATCAAGTCTTCTGCTCCTCGACGAATTTAAGCGCCTCTTCGCGCGAAACCACGTCGATTGTACTAGCCTTCTGCCGGAAACTTACACCATAGCATTTCTCTGCTACATGCAACATCTCCGGACGGAAAGTGGTGCAAATGAATTGTCCATTGGTAGAGTCGGAGATCGACTGAAGCATCTGTGCTACAGCTGTACGATACTGCGCATCCAGGTTGGCATCAATCTCGTCGAACAAGTAGAACGGCGCGGGGTCACAGGCTTGAATGGCGAAGACAAGGGCGAGAGCGCAAAGACCTAGAAAGGACATTAGAATTTTGGTAAAACCGAGATTGGGAAAGGGATACTTACTCTTCTGTCCACCACTCAACTGTTGAATGCGCTGCTGCTCATCGTGCTTGCTATTGAAACTGACACTAATGCCAACGCCCACGTAGTTCTCGACACTCTGGCGAGCAGCTTCGTCATCGGAGTCAACTTCATCGTCGGGTTGCATTGCGCGGTCGGTTTTGCGCTGAATGATCAGGCGACCACGACCAGCTGGAACCAGTTTCTCGAAAACGTTGGCGAATTCACGAGAAACTTGCTTGAAAGTCCGTTCAATCGCCTCATCCTTGCGCTGATCCAGGACGGATATCAAGTCATCGATGGACTTCTGAGAGGCGTCAAGCTCTTCCCGACGGGTCGTGAGGGTTTCACGTTGCTTAGTAAAACTATTGTACTGCTCAAAAGCCTTCTTGTTGACGTGGGAATATTTTTTCAGTGCCTCATTTGTCTTATGGAGCTTCTTCACAACCGCATTGGAATCGGTGTTCTTGTACTTGGTAAAGGCTTCGTCGGGGAGGACACCTAAATCACGAATATTGGCAGCGCATTCGGCGGCTTGTTTAGTGAGTGCTGCTTTCTTCTGCATGCTTTTCTCCATGCGGCGTTGATGTTTCTCAATTGACCGAGCAAGGTCCTCCATGCTTCGTCGTGTATCAGAATTACGCTGTTGCAAATCGCTAACACGGGCATTGGCCTCCTCAATCGAGGTGTCAACTTGACCAAGACGTTTGTTGAGCTTCTCCAGTGCCTGGTTAAGCCGCTTCTGCTCACGTTGAGTTTCTTTCAGGTTACCCTGGACCTCTTCCTCCGCCATATCGAGATCTCTGTTCATGAGCTGATCGAGACGGGGGTTCAAATTCTCACGAAGTTCGACTTCCAGCACAGACTTTCGACCCTCAAGCTCGCTACGCTTGGTTGAAAGGTCCTGATACTGTCGACGAAGCTCCTGCACCGTTCCACTCAAAGTCTCCAAGCTAGCTTCTTCCTCGTTGGTAAGGGCTTTTTGGAATGGCGAAGACAACTCGGTCTGGAAAGCGTTGACCTGATCGTTGAGAGCAGCAAGGTTGGACTCCACATTGCGCAGAGCACGGCGTTTTGCATCAAGGCTGTCGGTCTTGTTTTGCAATTGGTCGCGCTTGCTTCGGAGCTCTTGGCGTAGCGGGCCACTGCTATTTTGCACCTGGTGCCTCTGTTGCTCTAGTTTTTGCAGCTCGCCGACAGCCTTGGTGATCAGTTGATCCAGCTTCTCGAGCTCTTTTCGGATTTCGGTACCACGATTCCGCTTGGTCTCGTATTCATCCCTCCACTTGCCAACGTTCTTGACAGCATCCAGTCGGGACTGACGGGAATCATGGTAACCACCAGTCAAAGCACCACGCTTATCAGACCGGTCACCTTCGGGTGTGATCGCATTGACGCCATGGCTGCGGGCATACTGCGAGGCAACCTGCAAGTTCGGACAAATGATTGTTTTGCCAAAGACATGCTGGAAAGCTCGCTCATATGCTGGGTCGAACTGCAATTTTTCGATCATGGGAATTGTGTCACTCGCGCGAGGCATGCTCATGGGCCTCGAGCGAAGGCGGTTCAATGGCATGAAGGTAACACGGCCTGCCTTCTCCTTTTGCAGTATCTCCAACACCGTTGTGGCAGTTTCATCAGTGTCGACAACATAGTGAAACAAGCTCTGTCCAGCTGTAACTTCAACCGCGGTGCGGTACCTATCACTCACATCGAAGAGCTCAGCAAGGGTACCATAGACACCCTCAAGATTGTGCTGGCGCTTGATTCTTCGGACGGCTGCGATACCACGGCTGGTGTTGTGGTCCATCATGTGAGAAAGAGTGCGCTCTGCGCGGTCCATTTCCTGGGAAGCACTTGAGAGCACCGAGTCAAGCTTCGCCTCTTCTCTCCAGAACTCCCTTAAAAAATATTAATACATCAATCAGTTGGTTTTTTGAGTACATTCTACTTACTTTCTTTGGTCCATGAGTCGATCTCGCTCGTCTTTTGCAGTTTGAACCTGCTGGTCCACATTATGCATAGTATCACCCCTGCCGTCAATCTGCTTGCGTAAACGCTCTGTTTCAGGCTCAAGTAGGGCAATCTCGCCTTCCAACTCTTTAATGTCTTCTTGGGTTTGTGAAACAACGCCTTGGACATTTGAAACAGATCTATGAGTCTCACGAATCTCCATCTGCAACCACTTGTCTCGCTCAGACTTGTTCTTGAAACGCGAATTCCGACCTTGTTTGGCGTAAAGACGTTGGCGGGAGGTCTCTGCCTCAGTCAACTGAGCCTTGACAGCATCTTCTTGGTCTTTTGATGCATTGAAAAGCGGCAGGATATTCTGAAGTTCGGCGTCGCGCTCATTGATTGCTGTTTTGACAGCATTCAGATCGGAATCGTGACGCGACTTGAGAGCCTGTGCAGCCGCCTGGTTGTCTGAAAGAGATTTAACCTGAAGTTCGATTTGAGCCAAGGCTTTGGAAGCCTCTCGGCGCTCGTCTTCTAGCTGGGCTTTATCAACTCTCAAGAACTCAATCTGCTGGCGACACTCCGCAATCTCTGCATCAATCTGGGCCATGGCCTTCTCGCCCTCAATAAACTGATCTCTATTGTTGTCCGCGTCCTCGACTCCATTCTGTCGGGCCTCTTCCAAATTTTCAAGAACATTGGCAATCTCGTGTTGCTCGCGAGAGTAAATTGTGTATTCAAGGCACCGGCGCTCCTTATCCTTTTCTTGGTAATTTCGGAGTTCATCTTTCTCCTCTTCGAGTTCTGCTAACCGCTCATAAATGTAGTCTAGCAATTCATCGATCTTGGCGCGCTTGCTATTCGTCTCCTGCATGATTTTGAGTGACTCGGCTCGACGAGCTTCATAGACCTGCGTTCCGGCAACCTCCTTCAAAAGTACCAGCCTCTCAGAGTCTTTCATATTGGTCAAAGCGGTCACCCGACCCTGGGGAACAATGTAGTAGGGGTTCGACCGAGAGAAACCAGCGGACTCGAGGAGATTCATAACGTCGTTCTTAGTAGCATTTTTTCGATCGAGTGTGTATTCATCCTTCTTGATACCGATCGTGCGACGGAGAACCAATTCAGGCTTGCCTGTGGGGAATCGATCATCTGAGTTGTCAAAGATAATCTCCACATAAGCCGACATCACTGCAGAGCCCGATCCTTCCTACACAAAGTCAGAGAAATGGAAGACACATGTTGATCGGTACATGACATACGTGCAGAAGAGCCTGGCGCTCCTCTCTTCCAAGATGGGTGTAGGCATCACTTAGGACAAACCGAATCGCCGCGAAGAAGTTACTCTTGCCGGAACCATTGCGGCCGACGATGACATTGTGTTTGGGGGAAAAGGGCTCGATGACTGTTTGGTCCTTATAGCTATAAGTGTAATTGTGTGAGAGAAAGATAGGGGAATGGTCAAAGGAGTGTCATGAATGTTGCTCGTACCTCTTGAAGCCCTGGATAATTATTTGCTTGACATACATCGTGGAAAGACGCGCGACGCGATTGATCACAGGGAACAGCGCATTACGCGGCCAGCGCAAGTGGAGGAAATGAAAGTTGGGGTTGAACAACTGGCTGTTGGTTGTTCAGTATTCTCTCAGAGAGAGAAATCAGCCGGACACGGGGAGATTAGTTGGTCGCGACGGCGAGGAGGCTACGCGAGGAGCGAAATCAGCGCGTCTTGTTGGGCGCGGGGTTCTGCCGGGCGGTGAAGCGGGCATCCACAGAAAAAAAAGTGATTGCGGTATCGCATTTTCTTTCTCTTTTTTTGTGCCTACCGTTGACTTTGAACAGCAATTATGAGTGCTTCTGAGACGCCTGTTCAGGCACCCAGTGTCGCTGATGGCATCGCACCATCACACACTTATGTGCCCAACCAGGGATATGTGAATCCCGAGAGCGCAGACACCGTCATGGCGGGGCAAGAACTTGCCGATCCACAAGAGTTCGAGGAAGAGGATGATTACTACGACGACATCTTTGAAGAAGAGGAAGAATTGGGCGAAGAAGACTTCCAGTCTTCCAATCCTGCCGATCTTACTAAGGCGTACAACCGCCAACGAAAATTGAATGACCTCGCTGCCGACCCGAACACTCCCAAGTGGACATACCCTAAGACGAACACACAGAAGCCGACCGTCAACACATACGCCTCGATTGACGACCAAGTAAAGTCTTTGACTCGCCATGCTGCGAAGATCAAGCTCGACGATCAACAGTCCGGTCTGTCCGGCGGTGGTGGTGGCAACCGTGGAGGAGATCGTGCGGATCGTGCTACATCAGAACAAGTGTTGGATCCTCGTACGCGAATGATCCTGCTTCAGATGATCAATCGCGGACTCGTCTCAGAGATTCACGGCTGTTTGTCAACTGGAAAAGAGGCCAATGTCTACCACGCCATGTCATACCCCGAAGGGGATGAGGAGGCTACCCCGCAGCACCGAGCCATCAAGGTCTACAAGACCAGCATTCTAGTCTTCAAAGACCGTGATAAGTATGTGACTGGTGAATTCCGGTTCCGGCAAGGATACAACAAGAGCAATAATCGCGCCATGGTCAAGGTGTGGGCCGAAAAGGAAATGCGTAACCTCCGAAGAATTCATGCCGCTGGCATTCCTTCCCCGGAACCAATTCACCTTCGTCTGCATGTCCTCGTCATGGGATTTCTTGGTAGCTCAAAGGGGTTGCCAGCTCCACGTCTCAAGGATGTTGAATTTGATATGTCCGAACCTGAGAATCGATGGCGCTCGTTGTATATTGAATTGCTGGGTTACATGCGTGTGCTGTACCAGACATGCCACCTCGTCCACGCTGATTTGAGTGAGTATAATATTCTTTATCACAAGAAGCGTCTGTACATCATTGATGTCAGTCAGAGTGTGGAGCATGATCATCCTCGCAGCTTGGAGTTCTTGCGTATGGATATTAAGAATGTCAGTGATTTCTTCCGTCGCAAGGGTGTTGATACTCTAGGAGAGCGAACTATCTACCAATTCATTGTCTCTGCTGATGGTCCTGCCGATATCACCAATGGCGACGATGAGATGGTGGATGCAATTGAGAAGCTATTCATTGCTCGTGCTGAACGTGGTGAGGACGATGCTGAAGATGTTGAAACCGCTGTCTTCCGACAGCAATACATCCCCCAGACTTTGGAGCAGGTTTACGACGTTGAACGTGATGCCGAGAAGATCCGCGACGGAGCGGGCGGCGATCTCATCTATGGAGACCTACTGGCAAATGGCCAAAGCAAGCCTTCTCCCGCTGATGATGATGCCGAATCAGATTTCAGCGGCGATGTTTCTGTATCAGGCTCTGATTCTGAAGATGAGAGTGGCGAACGCGATCCTTTTGAGAAAAAGCCACCTCGCGGCAAACGTTTCGAAGACAAGGATGTCAAGCGTGAGCACAAGCACAAGGTCAAGGAAGAGAAGCGTGAGCAGCGTGCGAAGAAGATGCCGAAGCATCTCAAGAAACGTCTGGTCTCAACCTCT